GGAGCTCTCCGCAAGCTTCAACATTGGCAGAGGCTTCGTCGGTTGGGAGCTCTCCGGAAGCTTCAACTGGTGCAGGGGTAGTGGTCTTCTCCTGGATTGACTCAGTTGTGGTGGCCTTCTCCTCGATTGACTCCGTTGCGGGTTCTACCTTTGTGGCGGACTCGGGTTGCGCATCGTCTTGGTCATCCGCATCCGATTCGTTATCAAGATCCGGGGCGTAGACATCCCTAGCTACGAAATCGGCTTCGAGGTTCTTGAGGATTCGCAGTCTAATATCATTTGGGTCATCCAAGGTCTGCTGAATGCTGTCGCGCTCTTTCTCGAGCTTGCTGATTTCTTGCGGATGATATTTGGGACTGAGCTTCTTGATCACTTTGTTGTAGTATCTGATCACTTTCTTCATGTTCTTGATGAAGACCTTGTTGCCAGTGACCTTCTGTTTGGATAGGGTGGGGATGTTGTTGTTGGGAATCATGTGGATGGCATGATCCACCACCTTCTCACGGTAGTACTGGGTAACACGGGGAAAGTCGAGTTGATCCATTGTTCACAAGGAATTATTGTAGACGGATGAAGTGTACGTAGAAATGGCTGTGATGATACTGAGTGCTTGAGAGCTGGATGTTGGCGTGCTTGAGAGTTGGATGTTGGATTGCTGGTAGCTGCAAAATGTTTGCACGATTGCTTTTGTTGGTAAGCTGAGGCTGTCGGAGATGGTTGTAGTGGGTATGAAGACAAGAAGGTAAAAGTTTGAAGAGAAATATTGTCGTGATTATTTATAGCCAGGCTGCCGTTAGAGTGACGGCGTATTCACACTTGCCAGGCGACATGTTGTCGTTGGGTGACAACCGTTGTGGCTTCACTGTGAGTGAATGTCGATATTAGTGAATTTTGCGTATATATCACCTCCAGAAGCGTGTTAAGAGGCGACAGGCGTGAAGTAATTACGGCCAACAGTTAACTTCCCTTTCATGATAAGCCATCCCATATGGTCCTGATGAGGGGTCTCATATGGATACATGGCCGAATCGCATGCCAACTTCAATTTCATGAGGCTTTAACCTTATCTGCACATTGACACCATGAGTCGACAAAGCTCAACAAAGGTTGACAAGAGGCGAACAAAGGTGTTGACACAGGTGCAAACAAAAGGGAGAGATGGCACGTGACGCGTGACGCGGGATATGAGGCTGCGCATATGCTTGGCGGCCAAGTAAGGCTGAGGTCCCCTGAAATTGATGTGCTCCAGTTTGATATCCTTACAACTTCACTCACGAGTTGTGCCATTGATGACATCCAACGGCCAGGCCAGTGCAGTGTTCCAGTATGGACCCAGATAATCGGAGATGGACCTAACCAAGAATGTCCCTCCATCGTTGAAACACCAAAACTGCCGGTGTTGATGCAACAAGGCGGCAAAATAGGCCAAGATGACAAGTGCCTCGGGACGACGCTGCTGGAGTAGGCTCACATACTCAGCTGAGATGACAGTTGGCCATGCGAAGACCAGTTGGGGGTTATCCAATTGCGCTCCAGGGCGGCCAACAATTCTGAAAACCCATCTCAAGTCCTTGATGGTGTCATGATATACTGCAACGGAGGATTCGCTCAGATCAGACTTGTCAATCAAGTCTTTCAAGTCATCGCATTCCACGCGTCCAGAGTCTTCCACACTCCGCGGAGGGGTTGATTCGATAATTGGCTTTAGCTCGGTGTTCCTGAGGGCGTCCCATGACTGATTGATCACGGCCCGCACCCCACGGTGAAGGTGGAGATATGTGACGAATTGATCCAAGAAAACATTGAGCTCTTCTTGATAGTAGTTGAGTGTATCGCAGAGGACTTGAATTCCTAAAAATGTGGAAAAAAGAAACATGGGGACGCAGGTTGATTGGTTGACGACTGTCTTGGCTCCATTGAAGAGAGTGATGGCATGCGTCTGCAGACCAACCGAGTAATCACGAAAATAAGTGACATGCTCAGGACGAAGAACTGCGAGGTGCAATGCAGAAATGGCGAGAACTTCGTGCATGAGGTACGGTGCTGAAACAGCATACTTAAAGAGCAGTTCCACAGTGGCCTTTTCGGAGAGGAGAATACCACCTAGGCTCGGCCAGGTGACACTGTAGAAATGAGATAGAAGTTCGAGCTGGGACATGTTTGCGACAAAACGATCATCTGGCGGAGGAGCCTGGGTTTCGTTGCTGCCGCCAAGTGTGTTGAAATTTACATCACCAGGGCTTCGTTGGTCATTGAGATTTGGGGTGGCTTCTTGAGTAGGAGTTGGAACAGGCGTGGACGTGGACATGGACGTAGATGGGCGTGAACTCGCCGTGAACGAGCATTGGTGGTGAGTGGTCCTGCAGTTGACACATTGAGGAATTGTTTCATCGCACTAAATGGGGGCACCTTGTCAGTAGGTTTTGACGTGAGATATACAGATCATTGACATGGGGGATATGCAACCAAGTATAACAAGAATCTTGTTTGCCAGGCAACTTCTAGTCGACCCACCTTAATATGGCGGGCTTTGCATTGAGTGCAGCCATGCCTTGACTTGCGGTGTGGTCTGCGTGAACCTCCCCGCGACATAGTATGTGTCTGAGGCATCCGTGTCTCTCGCGGTCTCAAAACGGGGCGGGCGCCCGCGACTACTTGCTGATGAAGCAAGGTGAGCGGTCCCTCATACAGGATCAGGTGTCACCATGCATTGGAAACCGAGCGAGATGACTGTTTGAGAGGGCAATAATTGGTACGGAGGCTATGCTAGGCTCCCGCGAAATAGCCCGTGGCTTGACTGGACAGCACATAGACCTACTCCGTAGACCTAGGAAGAGGAGTTGAGAGAAGCTTTTAGGGCTTTGGAGACGAGTCCGCGTATAGATGACTAACTAAATCGAATAAGGAATAGCGTGACACTAGAGATGCTCCGCACTCTGCAACTGGAGGCAAGAGCAACCCAGACCAGAAATGCTCTCTTCTTTTCTTTCTTCGCACGAGTAATGGAGTTTTGTAGATGCTTTAGAAACTCCAGACACAGCGTTTTTCATACTTAAGTGCGTCCTCATATCCTCTGACTATATAGCCAGTAGAGTGTGATGCTGTGGATAAATGACGAGGCAGCCCAGTCGGAGCATATACGCGTATTGAAAATGTCTAGACTCGCTACAACAGGCTCAACCATAGCAGAAAGCGAGTTGCAAATTACCTCAGTCATGACCTTAGCCTAGCAAATCAAGGAGCCTCACAACCTTGCCTCCAACGTACAAGGTCAACACTGTATGTAGTTGCACCTGTGGCCGAAATGGTCATGGGAGGGATGAGTGGAGTGATAGTCACGTGATGGAAGGCGCCTCCAATGTTTTCGACGACCTCCGCAATTCAATTCCAGGTACATTAAACAGAGCGCCGTTGATGTCCTGAACTCTGACGGGTAGCCTGCATTGTGCCCACCCAAGAAGCGAATAAGCAGAATACAGATTAACGCTCCGAAAATGTCCAATCCCGGCGCCAGATTCGTCTCTCAAAGTCTTCTGCAGACTCTCAAAGCTCCCCATTCCGCAAGCCGCCCAGCCAGAGCTTTCATCTGCAGACAATGCCGGCAGCTTCTCGCAGAGAAGCCCTCCCCAACATCCACCCAGCTCGTCCAGGCCGCTCGTCTGTTTAGCACGTCTTCTGCATTTCAGAAAAAGTCGTCTGCCTCGTCGAAATCCGCCCGCTCGTCTCCCGAGGTCGGTTCGCCAAAGAATAAGTCGGCACACATACCTGACAATGCGGCCACGAGGAACAAAGACGCTGAGGTCGACCCCTACGACTTCACCGACCTGAATGAAGGCCTTGCCACTGCGATGGCCAGGCTGAAAGACGCCTTGACAAAGACTCGAGATGCCGGCCGCGTCACACCTGAGAATCTTGGTCAATTGCCCGTGGAGATCAATATCAAGGGTAAAGAAGCACATGGGGGCAGTGCGCACAAGGAAAGAGTCAAGATTCAAGACCTAGCCAGCGTGGCACCCAAGGGTGGCAGGACTCTTCAGGTCTTTGCGGCTGAAGAAGCAGTAGGCTAGCTCCATGCACCCACCCCCTCGCAACAGCGTCCTCTGTCGGCATGTTACTGACACGGTGTGTTTTTAGCACGTCAAACCCTTGCTTTCGGCTCTTGCGTCCTCTCAACATAGTCTTGTCCCTGCCGTCGACTCCAACAATCCTCTATGCATTATCGTCCCCATCCCGCCCGCCACAGCCGAAACGCGAGCTCAGGCCAAAGCCGAGGCGAAGAAATGCTTCGAACGAGCCAGCAATGATGTTCGCAATGCTCGTGGTGATCAGCAGAAACGTCACCGGAAGATGGAGCTGGAGAAGCTGGTGATCAAGGACGAACTGCGCAAAGCCCACAAGCAAATGGAAGAGGTCGTCCGCAAGGCTCAGGATGAGGTCAAAAAGGTGTACGAGGCTGCCGTTAAGAGCCTGGATGCGTAGAACGCCATGTAAAAAAAAGTCTGATTGTGACGGCTGCCATAAGTGGTCACTAGTCCTTCGGAGCACATTGGTAAAGATAATCTGTCGCTCTGCCAAAAATATCCCTCACGCCTACAATCGCTCATGTGATTCTGCATCTCCGTCAAACCAACTCCCTGCTATGCAATACATTTAGACCTGTCACCATCCCATTCATTCATTCATTCCTCACGCTCGTTCTCGGTGGAGATACTGGGCGGCTGCTTCCTTGCCTGGCCTTCAGCTTGAGGAGGCGATGGTGATGGTGATGTATTAGGTGTCGGCGATCTTGGCTGTGTAGGCTTGACTGGTACTGTCTTCCTAGGCTTGTCGTCTTTTGTAACAAGTGACCAGCGCTCTGCGTCTGGCACCAGGTATACCTTCTCCAGCACTGGCCTCCCGATTAACGCATCTGCCTCAATATCGTAACATGCTGCTACGATGCAGCGAAGCTTACCCTTTTGGCCCTCAAAATCAATCCTCCCACGGATGTTGATAGTGTCGCGACTTGCTCTCTGTAGGGCTCTCATCTGGCCCAGGCTCCAATGTGTTCGAAAAACTGCAGTCGCGGATTCGATGGCTGACTTGAACGTCATAGTCTTCACCACATCTCGAAACTTTTGGCGAGATTCATTTTCACCGAATTCGCCTCGGAGAAAGGGTAAGATCTCTTTCATTCTGGCATCCGGAATCTTGGTGCATTGGAGACTCTCGATCGCCTTCATCTCTTCGGTATGCCTGCTTTGATTTGCTGCCGAAGTGGTGTCTTGGTTATTGTTTCCACTTCCCGAGGATCGAGCTCGGTACTCGGCGATCTGATCCAGGATACGTGCTCGGCAAAGAAGATATGTAACACGTGCAAATTCCTGACAACCAGCATAAAATGCTTTGGACATAATTACTGGATGAAAGACACGGTCCATGCGGCTGCCCACAGTTTCGGGAAGTTGACGCCAGCCATATGCGGCATTTTGGGGGGCATCGCGAGGTAGGTAAAGACATGGGACTTCGTAACTGGCGGGTGGGCCAATTGGATAAAGAAAGTCAATAAGGATATTCATGGCCTTCACCTCGAGAAGTTTTATCAACGGGGAGTGTTTCTGGAATGCTTCGCGCTGAACGAGCTGTGCGATCTTCATTTTCACAGTTTGAACCTTGTTCTTGTCTTTGGCAAACCTCACATACGCCTTCCACTCGGGATCGCTTTCTAAATAGAGCTGCTGTGGCCTTCGACGGACCCATATTGGGAGCATCAAATGTACGCAGTCGCCCAGATCGTCCTCGGTGACTTCATTTGGCCGTGGGGTTTGTCCAGGTTGTTGTGGGTTTTCACGAATTTGCTTGGGGCGATCTGAGGGTTGGAGATTATCTGATTGTCTCCTAGCATCTTCAAGTTGTTTCTTTATTTTCTCAAGGTCGCGGTTCGAGGCGGGTGAGGGTAGAATGGTCCTGATTGTGTGAAGCAAGGCAATTCCAACGAAGATACCTGTCACAAAGCGGGCGGTGGGGAATCTGTAAATTGATCAAGACTGAGAACACGATCTTGCGACTGTACAGACGTACTTTGAGGTCTGGGTTATGGAGACTTTTTGTAGTGTGAAGGAACCATTTTCTCGAGGTACACGAACTGTGCGTGACCTTCCGAGTAAGAATCGCAGCATTGGAAGGGTAAGGGTTGGTTCATGGTAGTAGAATGAGGACCAGTTACATCAAAGTCGCAGGGTGGGAGCCCAAGGATGAGTGGTAGTTGATAGTATAGAGAAAACTGTTCAGTTGAAGAAGCCAGGTCGCAAACATATTTTGGCAAATGAACATATATCCGAGCCTCACATGTTGCCTCCGCCACAAGGAAAGTACCTAATACAGTCGGGAAGTGTGTATTAGAGAAGCGTCGACAGCTGTTATGCTACATTGATGGTGGTGTGTTCGAGTTTACCAATAGTGGGGAACTGCGGTGCGATGGGAGGGAGTCGATTTCCTCCATAAACGCCCGGGGCCAATCAGGATGGGAAAGTATTGGGATGGAGGGTAGAAGACATGGAGGGTAAGTGCAATCACAAGCGGTGGGCACTTGCCAATCCAAAGTCACCAGACCCCAGGCTTGAAGCGTGGATTGTGGCGTTGCTTCTGTGGCTGCCTCCTTTTCTGGCAGGCAGGCACTGTGGCTTGATATGCGATAAGTAAAGTGTTCCTTCCTCCTCATCTCTATGATCCACTCACCTCCAAAGCTGCCCCCAGCGCAGGTACTGGCCAACAATTCCCCAGTCACCACGACACTCTCCTTCTTATCGGATCGAATATTCCCTCCCCTCGGATTCAAATAGTCGCCTAATACAGTCAGGGCTCATTGTCGAGCTGCACCAAAGGCGAGCATGAGGTCCCTCACCTCAATTCTATCGGCAGCTGCCTTGTTGCACCATGTTTCTGCGAACTCGGCATATCTCTTTACCATCGACCGATCCGTCGTGTCTTCGTCGACCGCCGTGATCGATTCAGACTTTGCCAGTGCCATTATTGCTCGGAGAAGATCCCTTACTGCAGATCGACATTTGGGACTGTCGAGCGAAAGCGACCTCGAAGATCTCAATAACTACGGTGGATATCAGCTCCCACTATTTGGGGCACAAGCTGCCACTGAGGCTCCAGGGAAGCTCTTCATCAGGATCCATGGGGTTGACATGTCCATCGCCGAGTTCGACTCATATATGCCCGACCTGTGGATTGAAGATGCCGCAATTGATCTGTTGACGGATTTCAAGGCAGTCGACAATCGCCTGAAAAAGGATGGCATTTGTGAATATTCCGTTCCTCCCAGCCTCAATGCACCAGGAAGAAAAGATGTCGAGGTCATATTTTCGTATCCTCTGGACGGTGTATGTGGTTATCTATTGCCTTGAGTGTGAGATATTGACACTAATCCCTCTCCTCTACAGGAACCTTCATGCTTGCACGCGTCAGAAATCCCTACCATTCCCGTCATCCTCAGCCTCCAACATTACCTTCCCACCTCCCCATCTGATGTCAAGTCGCAAATCACCGGTCTTGTCCGAATCCTCAAACATCTTTCTGCGACCCAAAATGTCGAGTCCACACTTCTTCTCCTTCCAACCACCCTGGCCAAATCAAAACCCCACGCCCACCACAACCATCACGCACGATCAGTACAGCTGGAAGAAGAAGAGCCTCTTGATCTCCCTTTGATCCCATTCGATTCATCGGTCAAGGCTGCGACTGATGGTCTGATTTCCCAATCCAATGCCACATCCAACTTTACACTCCCCCTCACATTACCCGCTTGCTTTACAAGCCAAGCCTCGTGTGAGAACACGACAAACTTTTGCTCTGGACATGGAAATTGCTATGAGGCCCACAATGCGTGCTTCAAATGTAAATGTGGCAGTACCCTTGCCAGAACCAATCCCGATGGGACCAACAAAACTACTCAATGGGGCGGAGCAGCATGCCAAAAGAAGGATATTAGCGTACCATTTCTGATGTTTGCTACGTTTGGCGTCTTTTTCGCAGCAGTCATTGCTGGTGGAATCGGCCTGCTGTATAACATGGGCAGTGAGCCTCTCCCAAGCGTGATTGGCGCAGGTGTGGCCGGCCCCAAGGCTGGAAAATAGTGCGGATCAACTTGATTGACCTTGTTGTTTGAGGCGCAATGGAGGGAGGAGGTATTTGGCTAGTAGACCAGTCGCCATGATCAGAGAGACAAGGATTGACAAGGTCGCCAAAGGATGCAAATCGTCCCACAGTTGTCAGGGATTTGGCCTTTGGAACAATGTATACAGTAGTGTTATATGACCACGAATGATTTAGATCAAGGTGTTTCGATCGTCAAGACTTTTCCTATCCACGCTGGCGTCGTAGGAGCTATACATGTGATATTACTGTCTATCCTTAATTCCATAAGTTCAGCCTAGTCAACGCCTGTCTTTTTCTGTGGCTCTGCTGTCTGGTTTGCGCCAATTACTGTACAACCAAGATCCATGATACCCTTTTAGCCCACACATCCGGACCTCCTTGTTATCCAGAGCCTTCTCGATCTAGTCATCCAATTCAACCCAATCCCGTGAGCCCACCTCGTTTCATGACATTTTGAAATTGATCCTAATTCCAATTCTGCCAGACACATTCACAACCCCCAATTCCACCATCAATACCACCTGCACTTTGACTAAACCCATCACCGTCATCAGCGTCATCTCCTGTCTCCGTCGAATTAATCAAACTCGGCGCCGGATTGACCAACCCCGGCCCACCCACGCTTCTCAACTCTGGAATCAAACTCTTGACATCATCCTGAATGACCTGCAACTGATCCACACCATAACAATACGCTCCTTTTTTGTTGATATTCCCTCCATGGCGATCAATACTCAATGTCGCTGGATAAGGAAAGGATCCTGGTCTGCTGAAATCAGTGGCTGAATTCGTGGCCGTCCCAGTTGCAGTTCCATTATTCCCATCTCCTCTTAGCCGGACTAGTAAATCAGCGCCGAATTGTGGATTCGTCCAGATTTTGAACAAGAAGCGGGTTTGGCTGAGTGTACATCTCAAACGAGCTTGGTTTCGATCTGAACCGCCGTCTTCATCCGCAGCGTCGATGCCGTTATTGTCGGAGAATGCCTCTTTGTCGAGTGCAGCCATAGAGCGGAGAAAGATCGATTTGTCGTAGTACATATAGAATCCATAGTGTTCGTCGGCGAGGCCACGGTTGTAGAGTTTGATGGGTTGGGCGGATGGGTATGGTGAGATGGGGAGGAGGTTGGCTGGTGCGGCGCTGCCGTCGTCGAGGATGTCGGGTGGTGGGAGGCCGATTGTGACATTATTGTTGCTGTCTTGTCGTCGAGTGAGGGGTCTGGAAGCTTTTGTGCTTGTTTCCGTCGTGATGGCCGAGGCGTTCAAGTTGTTGGGGTCGATTGGAAAGCTGGGAATGATTGTGATGAAGAATGGTGTTTTTTCGCCATCGAACGGTTCGGTGATGTTGTCGGTTGTGTTGCCCATGAAGATCTGGTCTGCTCGGCTTGGAGGTACGGGGTTCGGTTCAAAGAGATCTTTGGAAAAGGGGTTACTGGCGCGTCTGGTCAGAGGCAGCGCTCGTTTGGCCAGGTCCTGGACCGGGATGGTCATGTTGGCGGGAACGGTTCCGTTCTGGAATGAAATCTGGAAACGGAAGTTGGGTTGATCTGGTGCGTTGTCGCCTATCTCGCCATGATTCTCCTTGGGCAGAGCACAGCTCCAAAGAGTTGATGGGGCCACGCATTGGTTCTGCTGTTTGACGAGGTCTGGTCTTGCAATGGTCGAAATCCCCGTAGGCATCGGTGGATACCCGGTGAGGTTCAACCATTCATTCTGCACAGGTGTACCATCACCAACCCTAGTGAGCAGTAATGCGAGTAACACACATGCGACGACGATAAGGAGGAGCAGGATAGAGATCAACCACGCCCAGCGCCGGTTTTTCTTCTTCGTCTTTGCTTCTGCGTCGTCGGTCTTTTGCTTTCGGCCGAAACACCACAGCTTGGACAGGAAGCCACCCTTTTTCTTGTTCTCGTCGACGTTCTTGGTCGAAGTGGGAGCGGGAGCTTCTCCTGGGGGGTGGGATGATGCCATTGGAATCGTCCTTGCAACAGGCAATGTAGGAGATGGTTCTGCTGGTTGAGACGGGCGCGCTGAGGTTGTTGCGTCATTTGTCGGGGCTTCTGGAGTGTGGAAATGATGATGAACTGCGATAGGCCCCGGCACTGGTTGAAACGCTGCGGCCGTTTGTCCTCCAGGCGCGTTTCCATAAGCTCTTTGTGACTCGGTTTGGGAATATACTTCAGTCAGTGGCACTGCACCTTGAGAAGCCATGGCACGGTTCATGCCTGGAGATACAGGCCCAGGCGAGGGCACACTTGGAGGTGCTTCAAGTGCAGCAACATTAGTGGTAATTTTGGGAGGTTGATCCTGCGGAATCGTGTTGCTTCCACTTGGTGCTGGCCCTGACTCTGAGTCCACATGACCTTGTGCCTCGTTTGATTCCATCCCCTTTCCCATAGTGAGTGATTGCCCCTTGACATGTCCTGCTTGTGGCTGTTCCGAAGGACGAACAAATGGAGCAGGTGCTACGTTGGATTGTACAATTGTGGGTGAAGGCATCTTCGTGACTACCTGTACCGCATATTCACTGGAAGGACCTTGAAGATTACTCATGGCTGGCAAAACTCGGCCCCCAATATCGATCCGGGTCTGCTCGTCTTGATGTTGACCAAGTGCAGCTGCTCCGGTCTTTTGTTGATGGTCAAAGATTGAACGGAATTTCGGTAGTTGCTCTTCACAAGAATGATTCTCACATTCGAAGTATTTGGTCCCATCAATTTGCTCCACTGCGCAGGCGTGATAATATTCTGCGGCGGTCCCATTGTCCCAACACTTCGAGATCGAAGGCTGTGGTGGGCCCGGTCGAAACTGATGGGCGTCGTTCTGGAACTGCTCGAATGAAGCATCCTTCTTTTCGTCGACTGGAGATACTCCGTCGCGGGCCTTTTCCCAGGTCGTCCACCGAGACCAGACGCTGGCTCTGGCACTTGCAATGCCGAGTCTTCTGGGCGTTTGAGGAGAGTCTGAAGCTGCAGAGAATGGTCCATTGCTTCTAGACATGTCCATAGGATACGGACCGGATGGCAAGGGTGGAGTTGACGCCCTGTGGGTGGCAAGACTCTTAATCGTGCTTTTCCTTGATATCATCGGGGAGAGCATCAGATTCCACCAACCCTGAGATTTATGACGCACAGTTTCAGGAGATGGGGCCTGTATAATCTGTTCTTTGCTTTCCGAAGAAAATCTTCTGGTGTCGGCTTCTCCAATAGTGTCGGTCTCATATTCACTCGAGTCATCGATGTGGGTTTGGGCGGCCTTGGATGGGTATGATCTTGTAAAAGTTGCACCATTCACAATCGTTGCTCCCGCTGTCGCGTGTTTGAGTGCCAATATGGCGTCTGAATCGCTGATCGCTTCCTTTTCACTGCTCTTTGAAGCCTTGTATTGTTTCGAATTCGTCTGAATGCCATTTGAGGGCTTCAAAATCTCCCGATCATAAGGAGAGTCTGACGGAGTGACGACGATTGCAGGAGTATCAGGAGTCTGCATGGGTAGAGCACTATCACCTGCGTAGTTGTAGGCGTGTGCTTCGGCTTCGTGTTCAGGAACGCTGAGTCCTATGACGATGGATCGAGAATCTGGAGATTGTGCATTTGCGACTTCGAGCTTTCTATGGGAGATGTTGGTCTCTGGACCTGATAGTATTTGGGGATTTCGATGCTGTGTTGGCAGACTCTGTTTATTAGATGATACTGGGTTGGTCAGTAGTGCGTGTAGACCACGTTGTCGAGGATGGTCCGAGACGTCTCTCGCCGCTAAGGGCGCGTTGTATGTTGTGGAGTAATTGTCATTCGACTTACCCTCCTGTAGATGAGGGACTTGTGAGAATGGCCCAGTGTGCATCAGGTGCTCCGCTTTTGCAGACACAATCGATGCCCTGTATTTCTGTTTCACTCGAGGCCTTTGTGACTGCACCTTGTCAACGATCAACCCATGCATTCGAGCCCGTCTGGGAGAAATGGCAAAGTCTGTCACAATGTTAAGACCAGGCCGATTTTTCATGGACTTTTGTTTTTTGACATGTCTGCGTCCTGCGGAAGGATCATGATTCATGGAGGAAGTGCTTTTACTGTATCTCTCGAGCCGAAATTCGTCCTCATTGCTTGATGAATCGCCATGGTCGTTATCCGAGGCTGCAGAGTCGAATGTCTGTGACTTTAGAAACTGTTGTTTGGGAGATAGTGTGGAGCTGCCATTGCTGGGCTTCAACGTTGTGTGTGGCTCAATCGGTGGGGACGACAGCGGGAATATCGCTTGTGACTTGAAGGCATTTGGGTTTGTGTTGGCGTTGAGCGTGAAGCTGCTGACCATGGTAGCTGTGCGCGCACGTGAGTGTCGAGATTATGAAGAATTGGTTCCGACTTCCTGATATCAATATTATGCCCTGAGATGAAAGGTAGCTGGGGGCTTCGTCACGGGGACTGGAAGGGGAGGAGGGTTGTTGCAGAACCCATTCACGCTGAATTGAGACCACAGGCTTCAGGTGATGTTGCAAGGGCGTGGTCGGCAGATTTGGGGTCTCGATATTAGTACACTTAAAGACACGCATAAAGAATGAAGATAGAAAGATGAATGTTTTCATGGATCGATCTGGCAATCATAGACAGAAATTCGTTGACGGAGAAGAGAGAGGTTGATAAAAGGGCTGTTCCAAAATCCCACCACACGTATAGATTGAGTGTTGTGACAATAATGGCCTACCGTAATCATAGTTCTTCCTCTTCTGATAACAATCCTATTGAGGAACGTATTGTTTCGAATGAATCGCGCCAATTCTCTGTGTCTGAAGTTTCAAGCCGTTGCGGCTGGATCGGGGTTTGAGAGAACGAGTGGCTACGATCACCACAAAGGCTGCCGCGAGAGCGACGGCTAAGACAGGGCTGGCATCGAGGGGCTATTTTGAGCTCTTGGTAATGCTGCTGCCGCCGGCAAAGCGACTGGTTGGACATGAAGGTCTTCAAGTTACGCGCCGCGTTGTTGTTTCGGATGTGGAATCGTAGCAGCAAACGAGGCGTCTGTCACGTGATGGAATAGTGACGCTGCAAGCAAGGCTGAGACTCTACCATGTTGTATTCGTGGATTACCATTGGGGCCATTAACACAGATTAGATCTGATGTATCTTCCATTGGACGTTCAGTTTAAGGCTGCGTCCTTTAAGTCTGAACTCTAGTGGCCAATGAAATTATGAGCAGTGCCCTGAAAATGACAAGTCGGCCTGCCAAAGCCGTTTGCTGGCTCTGGAAGACGTATATCGGCCGTCCCGGAATCGTTCAATCACAATCACCGACCATGGTATCATAACCCAATCCAAATACCGAACCTCCTGCAAGGCGCAATAATACCGGACAAGCATGACTGCCCGGCACAGATGGGTTCAGCAACATAAATAATTACACAGGAGCTCTGATCCCCAGAAAGGTTCAGCGAAGTTGCCCCAGTCGGCCCAGTTGAGAAACCGAGATGGTGCGCAAAGTCAACACTAGGTGCAGTTTCCCAATGATGTATGAGAACACAGCACGTCCTTATCGTCTGTCATCCGAATACTGGATTCCTTGCATAACTCCGTTCATCAAGGGTGGGAGAGTTCGTGGTGGATCGCTTGCCGACTCTATGTTGCTGTTATAGTGTGAACCCGGTCCATAGTTCAGTGGTGTTTGAGGCATTGCAGCCGGTGGAGGCGGGAAAGACCCTTGGTGCTGCATGCGCTGCATTTGCTGACTCATTTCATAGACCTTGTTTTCGAGCTCTTGCAGCTGATGGCGCTGCTTCTCATAATCCGCTCGTTGCTGTTTATTGGAATTTTCTAAGCTTGTAATATAATCAATCGCTAGAAGGCGTTAGTACGAGCAAGAGATATGGACTGGATTGGATGATGCCTACCTCGCGAGAGAGTTTCCCACTTGCTGGACTTATTATTCTGAGCCTGTGGCAGACGTGTTCGCAGCTGCTCAAAGCAATCCTTCATTTCACTTCGTCTTTTACGCTCGGCAAGTTTATGGGTGACGCGGAGCTCAGGAGTTCTGCTATAAGGCGTTTGACCGTTGGGTGAATCTGGATCTCCGCGGAGATTGTCGATGTGCTTGTGCTGGAGACTGTGGTGATGAGCATCGGGCAGTTCTATGCATGTCAGCAAACAGGACTATTGTGTGCGATCAATCGGCCTACCATGTTGCCCAAGGGGTAATCTCGATGACTCCACGGTCAGGATGCTGCTAGTAAATGATTCGGCAAAACTATTCCTCCTCGAATATGTTGATGGAGGCCGTCCCGGTGGTCTCGGTGCATCAGGATCGGGAAAGGCATAAGCTTGTCCACGGGTGGGAAGATCTGCACTATAGACTTCGGACTTGGGATTCTCCAAGATGGGTGGCGCGACACGACCGGCGGCAAAGCCATTGCGACTGCCACGAGCCGAGCCAAAGGATGAGATTGATGCACCTGACATTGTCGAGTAACGACTGCCTGACGGGCCGTTTGTTTGAATGCCCCTTTCTCGCTGCAAGCCGGAAACAAGAGATGACTGTGACAAATTATTACTTGTGTATGGTGATGTCGGCCCTAGTCCGAGGTTGTGCATGCCGCTGTGAATGCTGTTGGTGACGCTGCTTCTGCGAGAGTCGTCGTAGTCAGTGCTGGCTCTATTGTGATTTTGGTCGGAGGTGAGTGGTGGAGGTCCGTTGATGTGTTGGGAAGCACCCCCGAAACCACCAGACGGTGTAGAGTGGTGATCAGGGCTGTAAGGTGACGGGGCAGGTCCGTTGGGTGAGTGTGCGGAATTCAAATAGGGCATGGAGTTCCCCGATTGAGCAGAGGACCCAGACACTGGAAGCAAGAAGGTCAGTATGAAAGTGTGTAACACGAGGGGATGAGAACGACCCACAAGTGCCTGAAGGCATCCATGACCCTGAGTCCCTTTGGGGCGGCGGGGGGATGGACAGGTCCAATCGATTCCTATCGGCGGGCTGTGGAGGGAGTTTTGAGGTGAGAGAAGCAATAGAAGGCAAGGTTTGGGTAGTTTGAGGAAGGGCGGTTGGGGAAGTCGCTTCCCACGGCCTATGACTCGTTGTTGTCTCCATAGTGAATATGATGGTCCGTCGTTCAAGGATCGATCGAGTGTGACTAGCTCAACTCCAAAGCATTCAAAGGTGTTCGGAGCATATGGTCCAGGGAGAGAAATCAGTGGGATTGTGATCGAAGCTCAATGGGAAGGAGTGATAATTGGCCAAAGACAGAAGACGATGTTGGTTGAGCGGTGGAGGGTGCCGCAAGAAGTTGCAGGACAGGGACGAACACTGCAGTCAACAGTAGTACAATGGGTATCGAGGAATGGACAGATGTAGAGACAAGCGCGGACGGCTGCTGCGACCAGACGGTGGAGAGAGTGAGCGGTCGGATACTTTGGTAGTCAAGATCAAAGTTGAATTGACCAGAGAGTCGTTGTGTGGCAAGGGTGTTTTCAAACACCGGATGAAGGCCGACAGGACGATCAAAATATGTGGTCCAGACTCTGAAAGATTCTGGTGGCGACTTCACGATGACACAAAGACATCAAGTCATTCAGTAAAGGGCAATCAAGGCTGGAGAATGCTTGCCGGATACAAGACTGGTGAGTTCTTGATTTCGAGGCAGGAATTGGAAATGGGGTCGAAAGATGTTGCGAAGCTGAGTCGTGGTGGAGCTTCAGTAACCAAGTTGGCGGACGAGGCCTGGGGACGTCCGTGGTACAAGATGAGCGGGAGAAGAGAGGTGAAGGAAGAGTTGTGTATCTCAAATCCGCCTTTTTCTTCGGGTGTCTGCGTTGCAGGGAGGTGTCAAGGATCAGAAAGATGGAAACCGAAGGCGCGGTGAGTCGAGCTGATGAACTGTGCGATGGAGGATGAGGTGAAAGGTCGAAAGTCGTAAGAGATGAGACGCTCAAATGTTGGGAAGTCAAAAGGGCAACAGACAATAGAGGTAATAAGATGATAAGAATGTATCGAGTATGGTTGAAATTATATCAGATGGACAATCTTGCGCCTGAACCGTGGTGCAGACGGGTGGAAAGGTGGCGAACGGACGGGCGGGAGGTCTGTAACCTTAGCCCGGTAGGGGTAGAGGATTCTGAGTAACTCCAAAGTGAGGATTTGGAGTCGCAATGGGGAGTGACAGAGCGATGGGCGCAGGATGATGAAGACTGTGAGAGACTGTGTGTAGGCTCGGACAGGCGCAACGACAAGAGTAGGTGTAGGTTGCAGGTTGCAGGTGGGAACGAGAAGTTGATATGAGAGAAATGGAAGCAGGGTGCGAGACTGATGGATGATACTGGTTGGATGGGATGGGATGGATGGAGGAACCCAGGGCAGGAGCAAGGTGCAACAAGTGCAGCAGGTGCGATAGAGTGCGGGTGGGAGTCGCGGCGACTGGCAGGTGCAGGTGCAAGGGAAAAACGTGGTTTTGCAAGGTGGCTGTGGGTCTCCCGTTGCAATTGGTTTTGGCCCGAGCAAGATGTCGCCAGGCGAGTACGGAGTGGCAGTTAGGTTCAACTAGAACAATTTGCAGGTGGCGGGGAAGAGAGGGCCCAAAAAGGTTGTTTTCAATGGGATTCGTTGAGTGGCCATCACGCAACCGGTAACCTTGATTGTTAGTCCCAATCGCTCAATTGATCGTCATTGACAGCGTCCACTTTTCCACTACTATGGGTTTTAACACCCTTCAACCATGGTCTAGGGAATCAATAGGTGAGGTCAGCCTCGCAGACTGGAATTGGGCCGAGGGTGAGGAGGCCACAGGACTAGGACAGGTGTTAAGCAGATGCCATTGAGCAGATAACGCTATCACTCGAAATGGATGCTGGGGGGTAGAAAATTGGGGATCCCCATGCACAGAAATGATGTCAAGATCTAAGAGGCCAATTGGCTTGAGTCAAGGCTTGTCGAGGTTCCGATTGCAGGCGTTGACATATCGACAAACCGTACTGGACTCTTCCTACAGCGGATTACCAGTGGCCTTTGCAGACGCCCGAGGGCTGCTGGGTTTGGCTCCAAGGGCGCTCCAAGTGGTGGTCCGGGGGGCCTGGGGCAGTGGATTCTCTCTTGAGGGTGCTGACCTATCGGTCGTTTGGTGCTAACCTTGTCTGTCGTAGGTGGTGACTCTGGGCGGTTTCAGGTCATGCTTATATTTTAATGGTGGCTCTTAGCCTCCGGTTCAAAGTCCCCATGTCAATTGGTGACCTGCGCTCGACTCTGCCACTTTATTGCCCATCGACCTTTGGTAATTGTCCAGGACCATGAAGCCTAACTGGCACTCTCAAGCGTATCTTTTTGTCTCCACCAAGAGCCCATCGGCCCAAATTTTGACATTTGTATTGAGATGCCTTCTACCGCTGCTAAAACCAGGGTGCAAATCCAATATGGGTCTGAGATTGGAGAAGACTTAGTAATTCTTGAAGAATCAATGCTCTGTGCATACGAGTGCGCCCTGAGGGTGTTTCTGAGAAGTTGCGAGTACTTAGGAGCGAGCAACCCAATGGTCGGGTTCTGATCTTCAGTGGAGAAGTGCCAGTATGCCCAAAGTTATGAGGCGATTGTGACTACTGTACGCACTACGTCGTAAGAAGCTTGAGGCTCCAAGCGCCTGACAAGTGGGCGCGGCAAGGGGCGAGATTCCGGGCCTTGACTTGAAAATTTCCGACACCTCATGATATCAAATGGCATCTTCATCAATCTACGGGAGTTTTGGTGTGTCTCAAGAACCTCTAATTCCTGCAACTACAACCATCGAAACGGTGGCTGTAATGAGGCGATCTGGTCTGGTTTGGTAAAGGACTCCTAACTTGGCGAAGAAAAGGCTGTCTCAGGCGTTGTGATCCTCCACGTGTGGCATGCCGTGGTGTGCGTGTGCGTGTGCGGGAAGGAACCCCAAATCAAGCCACTGTTGGCTTGTGGGCAAGAGCCCTTGAATCCCAAGGGACCAAGATTATTTTATTAATTGCCTCCTCCCTAGATTTCCGCCGCACAGCATTGAGTGCATCGCACAGACACGACAGGATCACAGGGTTTGAGGTCGGCGAGAGGTCCCAGAAAGCCAGGGGGCCCCTTGCCGCATCTCAATTGTCCCTGCGCGCCCTGATCTCGTGGGCTCCTCGTGCTCCATAGCAGGCGTGTTGCCGATCTGCGCGAGTTGAATTGACTCGCTCACGTTTATTTGGAACGTGTCAACTCAATCATCAATATAGCATAGAAGGGACGTGCGAAGAGCCGCGACAAACTCTACAAAGCACAACGATAGATTTTCGTCGCTTGTTCTCTCTACAGAAAGACTGTATCAATCTACATATATATCATATACAGGGACGCTGCAGTGTACTGGATTATCAATGACTGGTCAGTAGTCACTGAGGACCACCTCTGAGCACACTATTGCTATCTCTTGACTCGATTCCCACAGGGCTGTCCCTTGAAACTCAGAGTGGCACAAGTGGCCAGGTACGGTAATCATGATAAAGAGGGGTCGTTAAACAGGCCCCGCTTAAAGATGTGGTCCTTGAAGGCTTTGTGGGCCGAGGGGCCACCCGGCAGCCAAGCTGGGTACCACCCTTGACCAAATGAGGTAGGTCCCAATCTCTAATCTGGTCAACGGGAGCCTAAACATGACCAAGAGATCCCCAGCCAAGCCTAGAGACCCGTGCCTGGCGCCAGAGCCGGGGGACACTGACGACTCGACGGGGTATAGTCACTGACAGATTGTCCTTTAGCTGCCCAGTGGTGCCCTGATGGTCCTTGTAGCCTTTGCCAAATCGTTCCCAAGGTTGGCATGGTTGGCAATCCACCGCAAACTCATCATCCCAGTGTACAAACCACTTTAAGTCATGTCGATCGTTTCCCTTGGAACGACATTCCCCTGGGACTACAGTGCTGATCACATCCATCTAGACCACAGTGACTGCAGTGACCACGCCATTCTGTCTCTGTTCTTCTGCATCACATGCCTCCATTTGGTTTTTACCACGCAGCCAAGGCCCAAACAGTCTCTACCTTTCCTCTTTCTCAGACTTGCAGCGTTGTACATACGGATTATTCCTCATCCGAAGTCGACAAGGTCTCGAGATTCCAATTGGCACAGGTCTCTATTATCGACTAAACTTCCAATCAGACATGCACAGATTTCTCCAGTCATCAGCCTTCATGCTTGGGAAGGCTGATGACATCCAGCTGGGCTTGCGAGGCCGCCAACCAGTGAATGCTTCTTTTCTCCCTTGCATGCAACAATCTCGTGCTTTTGCGTACGCCAACAGATGTGCAAACCTGGAAGGGCTGCAGCTGCAGCGGAAATGCAAAAACTTCGGATCGATGCCGTGCCTGGTCTGACTTGTGGCTCGAGTCGTGGAAGTGAAATCGTAACCTCCCTTGCGTAATATCGTTCCATTCAATTCAGCCGCCTGCACTCCCAGGCCCACTCGAATCCACTTTATGTGCTGGGCAGAAACAACATTTTGGGGTCACATACGAATGACAGACTCCATCGGCTTGAGACCCCATCATGCCCAATTCAGGGAGGCCTACAGCTTGAGGCCACCATATGTCACGATGTGTCTCCTGCACGCTGATGCTACCCGCGCACATTCTTGAGTCAAAGTCGATGGGGTACAAGGTTTCCTTCGTGGTAAGTCCCGCAGACCGGAAGGCTCGTTTATCTCAAGACAATTATATTCATGGTTGATATCACTGCTTAGCATGGCCCCTAGTTGCAAGCGAGAGAACTATTCGTACGCAAGTATGACGATCACTTATCCTTTCAGCTGCTTCGCAGCCTCGAGCAAGCCTGTCATAGTGTCCTTCATACTCACGTCAAGGGGGATGTATTCGATGCCCAACACCCTTTGGGCCTTGCTCCCATCTAGCTGGTACAGTGGTTGTGTCAACCCTGCTCCTGGGACACCCTCTGGAAGTCGGTCACGCAGTTCCGGGAGGTCTTTGCGGAGATGATCAACTGCAGTCTGGTAATCAAAATGACTGCCCACCAGAAATCGTTGATTTCCAGCTTCTTTAACCTCGTATGCTTTCAGATGGGCCTCTCCAATCAGACGAACATCGGCAAACCCGCCAAAGTCCACTGGAGGCACTTCCTTTGCGTCCAACAATTTCCAAATGGCCTCTGTCGACTCGTTGAGATGTTCCAATGACTTGATGCCTCCTAGAGTAGGACCAAAGATCCAAGGAGGATCAATGGAAACAAAGTCGAATGCAGGCGTGTTCTTCTCCATCCAATCCCACCCGGCTCGTTCGGCCAGCCCTTTGGCAGCACAGTAGGAGAAGGCTCCGCTGTCTGAATTCTTGGCCTCCTCGTAAGTGGCAGGATTCCAATCAGCCTCAGAGTAAACATATCCGGGACGATAGCCTTTTGAAAGGTCAAGGATATTGGCGAAGGAGCCGGTGAGCACGAATCGACTAACATTGGAACCTTGCGTATGAGCAGCTTCTAGTGCATTGATGACACCGTTGATTGACGGCGTTAGAAGTTCTTCTTCATTGTCCTTGGGGTTCAGGACGAAGGGATTAGCGGTGTGGATGATACCTATCACTCCTTTGGCAGCCTCGTTGAAGGCGCCTGGTGTCACACTGTCAGGGACAATAGCGAAGGATAGCTTGTCCGCGTATTTCTCATGCACTTTCTTGATCCCGTCGATCCTTTTCTCCGACCTGACGGTGCCGCGAACATTGTATCCGGCTTCAAGGAAGCTATGGGCGATCCACGCAGCAACGTAGCCGGAAATGCCAGTAATGAGAATGGTTTGCTCGTTCGGTGGTAGTGCGCCCATGATGACGTGTGTCGAGAATGATTGCAGCGTCTCAATAAATAATGTAGGGTCACACTGAGACGTATGGAATGTACACTTTTGATCGAGATGTCCTTTTGAGTCTTTGAACAAAATTGATGTTCAAGATGTGGAGGCCAGATGACGTGAGAAAGTCGTCCATCTTATACCGCGTACCGCCACAGGATAATTTTTGAGCCATATCGCAGTGGGTGATGCTGGAATAATTGGTATATGCTGAGTGGGATTCAAAATCCGAGCTCGTCCGCGCTAAGGGATACCATTAAAAAGTCCACGCACCAGTTTTAATATATATTGCGATGAAGAAGATGAATAATCCTGCATGAAGATTCACCTGATTGGTTCGTTTGAGGATTTTATGCTGGATACGTGTCCACCGTTGACTATTGCAGTTGTAACCATTCTGCTTTTGCACGTGAATAAGTTCCGTGATGAGTCCTTTTATGGAATGACATGAGCAGGCGATCATTGGTTGAATCACACATTCCCCATGCTAGCCGCATCGCGATGAAAACCAAGTTTCCAAGCCTCGAATCGTCAAAGGCTTAAGTAATATTCTCGCTTAAAAGTGATCATACCATATGATGATGTTTAATCAATCGTACCTCCTTCTGCACCGCTAGAGCCTGACGCCGGGCCCGGGATTTCATATTTGGATGAATCAGTCACTAGGAGGGATCGTAAACCATCTCCATCAAGTCTGGCGAGAGGTCCAATTCGAGGATATTGCGCAGGTGCAATCAACAAGGTCAAATGCAATCAACAAGGTCAAAATAGGCACGGACTGAGGCGGGTTGGGCGAGTACCAAGCGTTATGGGCATATTCGTAAGCATGTGCATGACAATGCCACAAGGTGCTGTTGCCCAATATCAACGCCCGACATATATGCTGCTGGGCAGCTCATGATGCATGATGTGATGCACCTGAGCATGACCGAATCACCTTGATAGAGACTCATGTCGCCGTGTTTCTGCCTTGTGGAATTGGGTTGATATGTCGTTTGCACAGCCTCTCGAAGACTCTGGGGAAGGAGATTGGATGTCACGTGCAAATAATACAATTGGTTGAATCGACCACTTATGAGTCAGCCAATGATGGATCGCTCCGTTAGGCAGACTTCAACTGTACAGTTGTCCAGAGAAACATCAACCTCCAGCACCACACCACACTCGCTATCATGGAACGAATGAGTATCTAGGCAGTTGTGACTCTTTCACCGGTCTCGGCGAACCTACGTATCTGCTGCCTGGACACGAGACTAGCAGGTTGAATATGACTCTCACTGGTCTGCAAGTGCTCCGCCTCACGCTTCTCCGCTATAGCAGAAGCATGAAATCCACAGGACATACACTGTCGGCCGGAGTCGACATCAAGAACTGGCCACCAGCATAGCCCAGGCCAATACTACAAACGGTTTGGTCGTCACAAGATAGGTAGCAAATCTTCCCAAAAAATGACTTCTGGGCCAAGGCAGACTTTTACACATATGATACACCTTCAAAGGTCAAGACATATAGCAATGTCCCCCCCTCGACCTCAATGCTAGCCATCAACTCACACTTGGGTGCCTTATTCAGACCTTACCCTTCTACTATACTGACCATGACCAAGAAATTCCAGGCAAAGCTATGGGGTTCGACCTCAAAAAAGGAACCTGACTGTGACACTGCCATGGTTGACACTGTGAAGGCTGAAGATGCAGATGCACTTCCTATTCGACTACGCCTCCCGCCTGAAGAAGAACAAGACGCCTCTTTGAGAATCAATTCAGTCCTTTCCCGAGATTCTTTTGTCGTTTCGGTTGACCTACTCAAGCAACCACGTGATGGCCTCGTCCGCAGCAATTGTGATATTGTCCTGGTCATTGATGTATCCGGGAGCATGGCAGCTCCTGCTCCATTGCCAGGAGCCCAGGACGGGACCGATGCTGAAGACACTGGGCTCAGCATCCTCGACCTCACTAAACACGCTGCGAGAACTATTCTCTCCACCCTCAAAGCTAAGGACAGACTGGGTATTGTAGCCTATTCTACCGATGCCAAGGTATGTTACATCTCGGGCTGAAAGTGAATGACCTTGACTTTGAGCTGACTTGTCCCACAGGTTGTAGAGAAATTGACATTCATGACGCCACAAGCGAAAGACAGGACAATGAAGAAGATTGAAGCTCTGTATGAAGAGACTGCCACAAACTTGTGGTCAGGTATACGTACAGGGTGGAGCCTCTTTAAAGAGTCCAAGCCCGTCAACAATGTTCAAGGCATGTTTGTACTGACCGATGGAATGCCCAACCACATGTGTCCCAGGCAAGGGTATGCGACAAAAATCCAGGAGATGCTGGCAAAGACCGCACTCAATCGAGTTTGTCTTCCGACAATTCATACCTTTGGTTTCGGCTACGAGATGCGGTCTGAATTGATGACCACCATTGCTGAGGTGGGCAACGGCAGTTATGCTTTTATTCCTGACGCGGGCATGATTGGTACGGTTTTCGTACATGCGGTCGCCAATCTATACTGCACGTTTGCCACTTGCGCAGTGCTTGAGCTGTTGTGCGTCAACAAATCGAATTCGCAACCTGTCGCCATTCGTGGTCCCACCAGCATGAGCACCAACCCTGCCCAAAATCATGTCATGATAAAACTTGGTAATCTCCAATATGGCCAGTCTCGCGATATCTGGATTGAAAGTGATCAACTACCGCGAAACTTTGAACTGAGCGCTCAACTCACATACCGCCTACCCAACGAAAGCGAACAAGTATGTCACACCAGCATCGGCCGCCTGCACAAGGCAGAAGAACCTCAAGAATGGACAGAGTATCATCGATACCGTGCCCAGCTCTGCGACTTTATTTCCTCGCTATTTCCGTACAAAAAGAACGGCGAGCGGACGGAATGCAAGAATAGGAGCCTACCAAAGGAGGTCGGTGTCCGCCTCGAATCATTGATCAAGGACATTACATCGTGCCAGCACAAAGGCCCAGGTGTTGAGTCACTGATTGCCGAGTTGGTCGGGGAAGAACCAGCAGGCCAAATATCTCTTGCACTCAGTTCAACCAAGGAGGAGAACTACTGGAGAAAATGGGGTCGACACTATCTCCCGAGTCTTATGCACGCCCACCAACGGCAAGTTTGCAACACGTTCAAAGATCCAGGACCACTTCTTTACGGTCAAAAGAGCCCGCTTTTTATCCAATGCAGAGACGAGCTTGATAATGCTTTTGACAATCTGCCTCCACCAAAGGCAAGTATTCCTCCTGCAATGGTTGCAACCTACGATCTTCATGGCAACATGATGATGGTTCCTGGACAGCCCCGTCAGACTGTGCATATGAGCAGGTGGAATTCGTCCAGTAACCCTTGTTTCGCCGGCACCTGCAAGGTCAGACTGGGAGATGGACAACGAGTGGCAGTCAAGAGTCTCAAAAAAGGGATGATGGTCTGGACACCAGCGGGAGAAAGACAGATCCTCGCGATAGTCAAGACTCGAGTTCAAGGCCGTGGGCAGAGTGTGTGCAGAGTTGGCGATCTTCTCATCACCCCATGGCATCCTATCAATTTTGAAGGAGAATGGAGGTTTCCAGTCGAAGTGGCTGACGTCTCCCTTGGATTCACAGGCAGTGTCTACTCGGTGGTTCTCACTGCTTCTGTCAACCCAGACGCACATGCGATTGAAGTGGGCGGACATGTCTGCGTTACTTTGGGCCATGGGATTGTGCGTGGTGATGAAGATGATGTGCGCTCTCACGCGTTCTTTGGAAATCATTCAAAGGTGATGAAGAGCCTGTCCAGACTCGCTGTTGACCACAAGGGTCATATACGGTGCGTTGGATTACAGAGACGAAGCAAGGATGGCCTAGCGAGTGGATTTTTGGGTCCCAGAGTATTGAAGAGGGAAGTCAGGAAAGTGTCAGGCATGGAGAGTAGCAGGATTGATGAGCGAGGTGCTGTCATGACTTTCTAGTCCAAGTCGGGGATTTACCTATCATAATAATACGCATCTCAGTTGATCAATACACTCGGAGTATACTAGGTACTTTAGGCCTGACGATAATACATGACCTCAATCCTTGCATGACAGTGACCACTACAGATGAAGAGTAGGTAGTACCTACTCGTAGCATGCACAAGTATCTATCCCATATGCACAACAGTCCGGCCCCCCCCCTCCGGCCCCAATCATACCCTACATAATCCTACCCCCACCCCTTTTTCAACGTCCGAGCACCAAAAGCCTCCCAGATCCAAAAATGGCATCGCCGGCGCTATCTCAGACACTTTACTTAGAACGGCTTGGGCGGACCCCGCCCAGACAGGGCGTTCGGCCGCAGTTGGTTGTTTGTTTTTAGTGGTTGTGCGTTACCCCCCTCGTTCGATCCCGCGCCTTAGTTTTGGGCTTGCATCTACTCCGTACTCCGTATGTACGAGTATGGTTCAGGAACCATAATCTCATCATCATGATTTTTAATAGTTTTATGAGAGGAGACGGAAGATGGCCATGCAGGTTTATTTGAAGTAGAGTTACCTAGACTAGTAATAACAAGAGGCATGATTTATTCGTATGCACACCATCTTTTCTGATCACCGTTTATCATCACAGAAAAGACGGAACCCCCTCCATCCATATTCATATCCATGTGGCTTCAAGACCCCTGACGGAGAAGGCGGTGTGCGGAGGACCAAGTGACTTGGGTGGTCCCCAAGGACCAATTATTGGTCGTGTGTTCCTACTGCTAGAGGCACCTACGGCCCCTCGGGCGCTCCAAAGTCCAACCTGCCGCCCACTGCACCCCTCCCCCCTCCGCCTGTCAATAATTCATTCATGATAATAATAATACCATCATCATCCACCTGTTATTTTCTCTACTCATCTCTATCACTTGACCGTATTGATACCTTTGTTCCCGTTCCCTTTCCTCGCCTCGTCTCATATTGATCCCTTGGTCTGCTCTGCTTCTCTGTATTGCATTTCACAATCATGGCGGATAAAAGCAAACTCATCTCTTTCGAGGGTAAGTGTCAACAATGGCTGCTGCTGACGGACCGACTGCATTGGCTACCTCAAAATACCCTCACACGACGTGACATGACTTGACTGACTTGAATCTCTTCCATAGACTACCAAGGCGTTCTCACTGCATACTTTGAATGGGCTGAGAGCTACGACTCCAAGGTAAGAAAGAAGAACCCCGTCTGAGAACATCACCATCGACCTCGTCTCCCTCACCCCCTGAAACCCATCCACAACCGCTATACGCAGACACTCGTCCATATCACTCACCCACTGCCCCCCCTTCCCCCTCCTTACACCTCAACGCACGTATATACTTACTCACTCTCTTTCTTCTCAAAGGACTGGGCCCGTCTCCGCAAAATCGTCGCCCCCACCGTCCGCATCGACTACCGCTCATTCCTCAACAAACTCTGGGAAGCCATGCCCGCCGACGACTTCATCGCGATGATCTCAGATAAAAAAGTCCTTGGCGACCCCCGTCTCATGACCCAACATTTCTGCGGTGGTTCCAAGTTCGAAAAAGTCTCTGATGACGAAATCATCGGATACCATCAACTGCGTGTGCCGCATCAGAAATACACCGATGAGACGAGAACCCAGGTCATGGTCAAGGGTCATGCTCACTCGTCCAATCAACATTGGTATAAGAAGATTGATGGAGAGTGGAAATTTGCTGGTCTCAATCCCGATATCAGATGGAGTGAATATGATTTTGATAAAGTGTTTGCTGATGGGAGAGAGGAGTTGGGTGATAATGAGAAGAGTGAGGTTGCCGACAAGGTCGCCAAGCAGGCGGAGGGTATTCCTGCTCAGTAGAGGATGGGACCTGATGGTGATGGCGGATAAGGGAAGTACAAGCTTGGATTTGGGTAAGCCAGAAGAAGGTCAGAGGGATGGATCTATCATCAGCAAGACTCGTTACTCACTAGCAATGCCAATCAAACTTTGCCGACCTTATCTGATACACAACAAGACTCCGAATCATTCGTGACCCTCGATCATTGTCAAAGACAAGGATCAGAATATCAAGTTCATGGGTGAATGGATGATTTCATCAAAAGTGTACATTTCATCTACCGGGTACCCAAAGTAGATCCAAAACCAGTAGCATTGTCGCCATGTGCACATATTCTACAGACTTGTAAATAGTGATCCCCATACCCATCAGGGAATCCCAACTCAACCCAAATACACCTTCAATCATTCAATGTCCACCCCAGTGGTCGAGGTTATTAATGATATAGTTCCTTCGCAATGCCGTTTTGGTTGTGAAAAAGGGGTTTCCCCTCCCTCCGTCTTCGCCGCCCATGTCGTCGTTGCCTCGTCATGAAATATTCGTCATCTCTCGTCCGATCAGGCCAGATCAATAATCAGAGTATCGCTCAAAATTGGGTGTGGAGTCAAAGCGGCTTTGGGGCTGACTTGTCCATGGCATGCCTGTCGCTTGAGCCCGACGTTCTGCATCCTCACGTTAGTGATGCTATCAACAGAGATGATGTCTAGAGCTGCTTACCTCGTTCAAAATCACCCCACCGCCTCATGGTGATCTTGCTGCTGTCAAATTCTCCCTCGTATTCGATTCCAGCTTTCTTGGTCTTTTCTCCAGCCGTCTTTCGAGTGTCACCCCAGCTGAAATCATCAAACTTCCAGAACGCATATGTTGGCAGGACAAAGTTCCAGATGGGAAGAGAGAGGAGATAGATCAACATCCACAAAATGTACGACCATCGGTGTGCGGTCAAGACAATCAAGACCGCCGGAAGACCCAGGATCAATGCCAGAAGAATAAGAGGGATGACCGGGACAGGTCGACGAACAATGGAGATGACAATCAGGTAGAAGGTAAATGCAATGGCCGCCGGCAGCACCAAGGTGCCGATCAATTCAATAAAGACGACAAATTGCATGCTGAAGCAAAAGGTGCCACACAAATCACGCACCAAGACCAGCTCCATGAGATTGTGAATTGTCGAATTGATCCAGCGCCGACGCTGTGAAAGGAGAACTTTGAATTTGTCTGGAACCGTTGTCTTGCACACCGCTTGAGGCACAAAAACCTGCTTTCTCTTGGGGAAGGTCTTTAGCATGAGCGTTGACAGGTATCGATCTTCACCGAGGAGAAGCAGGTTCTTCTTATGCAGCGTGTCGACCACATTTTCAGAGTAGTGCTCGACAATGTCTGGATTGGCCAGAATTGGGACCCAGTAGTTCTGACCTCCTTTAGGCGACTTGATGCGGTACATGCAGAAACATCCCGGCAGACAAGTGACACCGCCAAAGACGGATTCGAATGACTTGGATAGATGGTGCGAGATGAAATACTCAAAGACTTGGATGCGTGAAACCCATGACTGATTTTTGTTTGCAATCTTGGTCTCCCCGCAAAGACCCATGATTTCAGGGTCCTTGACCATCGCAGAGATCATGTGGGTCAAACTGTCAGGGAAGACTTTGGTATCAGCATCCACCATGAGAACCATCTCGTAAAAATCGGGCGACATTCCAGTAACTTTCCAGAGACCATTGAACATTTCATACTCAAGCTCCGTCATACGTTCGTCAAACATGACCTTCTGGAGGAAAGACATGAGGATGATTTGACTGTCGCGCTTGCCTCTGTTTCCTGGTTTGCTCTTACTGGCCTCATCAGGGGTTCCACATTTGACCACAACCAGCATGGGGACTCGTTGCTGCTTTGCGGGATCAATGGCAGAGTTCTGGCCATAATCGTAGAAGCCTGCATAGACCTTGGCCATGTTGTGTCGTTTGGAACCACTAGACACAGCAACGTACGAAAAGGCTTGCACATCTTCCGGGAGAACGACAAAATCGCCCATCATTCCAAGAACAATGTCCGGAGTTGATAGGGTCTCGCCCTTGCCCTTAATGATGCCATCACAGATGACGAGAATTGCTTTGTGGCTGTTGGGATAGTCTGTTGTGGCGATGGAATCCAGCGTGGTCCGAATACCGTCTTCACCTTCGGAATAGGCTGTCACTAAGCAGATGACGTGAGCGAGAGGATAGCCAAACGGCTGCCATTCAGGAGGCGGTTGAGGCACGACGTTTTCATGGATGAACCCAACAGGATTGTTCAGACCCCCGTCGTCCAAATGTGTATCGTGACCTGACAATAGGACGCTCGACCGACTTGGCCCCATGCTCATTCTGGAAGGCAGATCCAAGGTTGCTTGACTGTTACTATAGCCATGTTTATACACACTACCGGAAGGCTGTATCAGCCGGGCATTGGACGATTGACTTGTCATGGTAGTCGGAGGTGGGCGGTTAGTCTTGTGCGAGCGATCCACGGCATAGGGGCTGGTAAACCGAGACGTCTGTGGGAAAAGCATGCTGCCACGTTTGCTGGTACGACCATCGGATCCTGTTATGGTGCTCGCAGGATCAGTAATCCTGGGTGCCGGTCGGTAGATGTCGTTGGACCACTCCTCGATCTGTTTGGCTCGTTTTTTGGGGTCGGACGTCTGTGAGGTTTTGGCGGCGCCAAATTTGCGGGACAGGAACCATTGAAACGTCAAGGCCAGAAAGAATTTGGCGAGGACAATCGCGAGGATGAAGACCAGAGAGACGTAGAGAACAACCTTGGAGGCAATGCAACCGACGGTCTCGGTATCGATAGAGCCCACCTTGGCTATTTGGGTAAGACACCTGCCCATCTTTTTGTCAGCGGGAGATTGAAGGACGTGGGTCAGATCCATTCCCCTGATCTCCTCATTCTCACGCAGGTGGTCGAATTGATTGGACCAAGCCACTTGGCTGTCGTTGAACCACCTTAAAAGGTCTAGATCGATGACGGATCCGGAGTACACGACTAGGTTTCGGCTCTCGTTTCTCAGATCGTTCCAGGTGAAGAAGACCTCCCCAGCCTTTCTCAGGTGGAAGAAAGTGTCTCTTGCCTTTTCAGTGGTGTGACAAGCGTAGCCCAGGTAGTAGGGGACGGTGGTGTTGACTGGTGTGGAGCCATCTTGGTTGAAGGCGACGCAAGGGAAATACCAAGCTAGGTCTCCTTCATCGTTGGTAGGGACATCGGAGCCGGGGGCAAGAGTGATGAGGTCCTTGCAATCGCCATTGACCTTTTGAAACATGAAGCTCCCGTCCTGGCCGCCATACTTGTGAGGGAGATCGTAAAGGACATTGGTGTCGAGAGGAACACCCAAGGCAGCCGGATGCATGGAGCCATCGAGGTTGTATGCCTCACCATGGAAAATCATGTAGCCACTGTCGACATTGTTTATTTTCAAGCGAAGGCCAGGGGCGGCGCAGACGGCCTGGGTGAAACCAAAGGTCAAGAAGCCAACGAAGCCAGCGATGAGAAGAATGATGCTGATAAGGCCAACCTTTTCGCGCCAGGCTCTTCTCTGGGCTCGTGCCGGCATGCCAAAGCAGTGCAGTACAAAATCGGGAGCCCAAAAGGTGATGATGGCGCAATAGATGTTCCAGATACTTGGCGGTTTGATTTTGTCGAGCTCCTTTTGATATCTTTTCTCCTCCTCGGTCAAGTTTCGAGTATCCTTCCGGACGAGCTTCCGAGGATGCCTTTTCTTCCCCACGGGCTCAATGTTTCCCGGGGCTCTGACCGTTTGTCGACGAGACGGGTAATCTGACCCTTGAACTGGAACAGCGTGGTTGCTGCTATCTGAGCTTACAATACGGTCCGTTTCACCAGTCACTTCAATGACGGGGTCGTTGCCTGTGGTGGAAGGAAATACCTCCATATTCTGGGCGGCCTTGCGGTAATGATAGTTTGGATGGTCTCGATCGATACGATTGCGTTCGGGACGAATGAGGGACTTTTTGCGACCGAGGTCAGAGGCATTTAGGGGGACAGACATGATGGGTTCCCAATCAGCAGCCTTGGAATCTGGAGAAGCTGGGTGGTGATCGTCGCTAGGACGGGAACGAGAGTAGGGGGATCCTCGAGGCTGATTATAAGGGCCAGTCTCAATATCTCTTAGACGCCGCGAAGGCGATGATCGGTAGGGGGAATGGGACTTGTCGCGAGTAGGCGATGTGGCCGGGCGTGGCCTCCGTGGTTGGGACATGATGAATATCAGAACTATCTGGAATGTCAGCGGGGAGGTCACATTCTCAAGCATGGAACAGACATGATTTTGAACATACCGTGTGGGGTAAGCCAGTCGTGTAGGCAAAGGAGTGAAGAGATTATATGATCAACACTTGCTTACAGCGCCTGCGCTTTGGGACCACAGATCCAAGAACTGGTGATCAAGCCTAGTTGTGTTGTTGGTGTGTGAGGTGTCGCTGGGCTGCGGATGTCAGAATGTGGATAGGGTTGCGGCAATAGTCAGACAACAAGAAAATCGCAGCCAAGGTTGATTTCATTTGCAGGGACAGCGAGTGTGAAGTTAGGTGAGGTTTGTCATAAGTGAGTGTGTCTGAGTTGGAAGTGATTTACAAAACAGCGGAACGGGAATGGGAATGGGAACGACAACAACGATGGAAAGTGCAGTCTAGAGTGATTGTCAAGTTGGGAGTAGCGATGAACGATGAACGACGAGCGAGTGTACGGAATACATGGAGTAACGGTACAATTGCCATTGGCCACGGACCCATGACCCAAGAACAGAGACACAGTGGCAATGCACATCACAGAACAGCACAGACTGCACGGTAACAAGAAACTAGGGGCATGGGTGAGCCGAACGCCTAACCAGACCCAGCATAGGCTGTCTGTCCCAACTGGGGTTTACGGGGGACCACTGGCCCAGAAGAACTCGGTAGGTAGGCAGCTGTAGGCCATGTCCAAAGCAGTGGAGACCAGGCTTTGCCGCCTACTCCATAGGCGTTCGACAATTTTTCTCCAGTAGAAGCCCGCCATTTCTCCTGAAAAGAACTCCGTGTTTGGGGTGTGTTACGATCTCGAGGCATCATTCTTGTTATTGATCCCAAGGGATTTCATATCCAATGCAAGAGATATGGATGACAGGATATTTGTGGATGCCAACACCAACGGAGTCCGGTGTTTACTATTTGTGTTCTTACGTGTGAGAGCCCTTTTCTGAAATGCGGGCCAAAAAAAGGTTGTTGGATGATGGGATGATGCAAGTTTCTCGGTTGTGGCTGAGGCGAAGCCTTGCAGTGGTGTGAGGCGAATCAGAATTTGGCATTATCGATGTCGCCGCGAGCCTCCCGCCGGTCCGGGTTGCTCTGGCAGCGCCCCTCGGCCCCTTTGCCCGTTCCAGCTGAAGCCTTTAACACAAAGTCTTGGTGGGGGGAAGAGAGGTGAGGGGTGTGGACACCAAAACCAGAGTATCGAGGTGCCTGTGTTGAGGCTCCAGGTGCCAGACTTTAGGTGGCTTTTCATCCTTGGGCCCCTCTATTTCGCGCCCCAAAGACACGCGTCACTCCTACTAAATAATGCTTTCTCGTCCTCTTTTCTGAGTTCTCGGCAGACCTTCCTAAGCAATCTCCATATTCATCAACGTCTTCCTTGCTTAGAATTCCCCCCAGCCCGTCAACTCTGAGGCATCAATTTGACTTTAGTGATAAAAAGTAACCCCTTTCCATCATTGACAGCACAACGCCGATAGACAGTGGAGTCGACTTGTCTTATTGTTCACACAATGGATGTATGTGGATGGCGGGAAACAGGGATGGCTGTGACAACTGCCATGTGACTGGAGTCGATGTTAACGATAAATCTGAGTCTTGATCCTCAATAATACTAACCGTCGACTTCTTGGTCAGTAAATAAACCTACCCAAGTACTGCTAAAGTGTCTTTCGCGGATATGGGACATCCGCAATTGATCAAACCCGGAACTCCGGCCATCTCTACGCTACTGCACATCCTCACAAAGATCCTAACCACATGACTGTTTATAAATCTATAATTACCAAACATCTGTTTGTCTCTTTGTCTGTTGACGTATTGAGCACAAAAGCGTCTCCTTGCACGGCCCATCCATTTGTGGGGCTGAGACAAGCTCGCCCACCTGTTGTGAAACCGTATGCGTACTACGCATAAATGGGAATATCCATCGGGTCCACAGAGGTTGTCCAGACTTTGAATTGCGTTGGCATTATTCGAGGACGTACCATTCGGTTCGAAGACAAGAGATCCCCAGACACTTTACACGAAGACTGTAGACGCGGAGCTTCACAAAGGATCTCTTTAGAGATACCTAACTACCTTACCTACGCCATCAAGTAACAAGTAAGGAGAACTGATCTCAGACTCTCCGTGCCCACACTCCCTTCTCTTGTTGGTTCTCCGCTGCCTTTGACCTCGACACCCTCTGCCTGCTCGACGCTATCCCATTTTCATCATCTCACATTCTTTTCATACTCCCCTCCACTTCGTCTTACCATTTCTCCTACGTATCCTCACTCACTTAGACCGTCTCTCCAATCAACTTTGACCTAGCTGGGCACACGCTCGCATTCCTATCCTTAACACCAACCCATACTGCCAACCCTTACGTTGTTCAACTCATCATCCCTCCCACACTTTCCCTAGTGACCGCACCAACAACCAACACGCAATAGCCTAGTTGTTACTCCTGTTCGTTTGACCTACAACCTCTCTACCAACGTCCAGCGACGTTTGTGCCACATGTATCTGCGGTGAAGATCACACAGCCTTTGCACCATGGCCGAGGCCACGATCCATCCACTTCCACCTACTCCTCCCGCTCCAATCTACTCGCCTCCGTTGAGGACCGACAGCCCTCGCATTGTCGAACCCCGACCTGAGCAAGACGCCTATAGGCCTCCCTCTACATCCTCCCGCGATCACTATGCTATGAATCGTCCACTACAATCCCCCGAGGCCGCCGTGCCCAGGATCCCAGACCCTGCAGCCCCGAACAGGACTCTCACACCCCAGTCTGTCACTCTTCCAGATCCTCAGAGACTATCACCTACACCCGGGGCTATGCGGGGACGACCTGTTAGCGGACAGCTACACGCCAATGTCACCCCCGACCACAGGAGAGTGGCTTCGGAGAACATTACCCCAAGAGAAGACATAGAGTTGACTCCCTATCAGCGATCCATGAGACATGTCTCAACCTCCGCCCTAGAACCTGAGGGACCCTCGGACAATTTTGAGCCATTGCGCTATCATCATATGGCCTTAGACGAGGCTGAACTCAGCAAACGGGCCTCGAGGTTAACCGTTGGTACCGACGGCTCCGGCCGCGTCGACAGTCCCCACCAGAACACATACGGCCAGCATATTCCACGTCCAACTTCCTCCTACTCGAATGCCTCTGACGCCCGCGGCCGCACTCATTCTCCCCATCAGGCTTCGCCGGGCCGACCAGTTTCACGTCTGTCCAGATCGCCAGATACACGACCTATCTCATATGTGGATCTACTCAATGTTCCCTACCCACAGCCCGCCCCAAGCGGCGCGGAAAACTTGGTGAACTCGGGCTTACGGACCGTCATTGGCAACAATGCCTCGTTAATGTCCACCAGGAAAACCCTCGACATGTATCGAGCCAACGTGAAGAAGACTAGTGATCCGGCGGTTCAGTATGAATTTGCCCTCTTCATGATCAGCGCCGCACAGGAGGAAGGGCTCGACGCGGATGGGGCATCTGATTCCGCCCTGTCCGACAGATCGCAGACGGCAGTCCGGGAGGACCTTCTCAAGGAAGCGAAACACATCTTGCAGAAGCTGTCGGACCGATCATATCCCTTTGCTCAGTATTACCTCGCCGATGGCTACGCCTCAGGTCTCTTCAACAAGGGCCGGGAAGACTGGGATCGGGCCTTTCCTCTCTTCTTGGCTGCCTCTAAACACGGTCACGCAGAGGCAGGCTACCGCACCGCCCTGTGTTACGAGTTCGGTTGGGGATGCCGTGTTGATGCTGCCAAGGCAGTTCAGTTCTACCAACACGCTGCCAGCAAAAATCACCCCGGAGCCATGCTGCGGCTAGGACGAGGCTGTCTGACTGGTGACATGGGCCTCACGAAGCGGTATCGTGAAGGGCTTCGTTGGCTCAAAAGGGCCTCGGAATCGGCCGACTTTCAATATAATCAGGCCCCTTATGACCTGGCCTGCTTGCACGAGACTGGTTTTGGCCCGGACGTGTTCAAGGATGAAACTTATGCGGCTCAACTATACACCAAAGCTGCTGACCTGGGCCACGTCGAGGCCAACTATCGCTTAGGTGAGGCATACGAGTACGGCCACCTAGGATGCCCCAAGGATGCCGCACTCAGCATCCATTTCTACACCGGGGCTGCCGAGCGTGGCCACGCACCTTCGCAGATGGCTTTGTGCGCGTGGTACATGATCGGGGTGCCAGGACTTCTAGAAAAGGATGAGACCGAAGCCTACGAATGGGCGAACCGAGCCGCACAGCAGGGTCTGGCTAAGGCACAATACACACTTGGCTACTTCACGGAGATGGGCATAGGATGCCGTCGAGATCCTCTTGAAGCCAATGTCATGTATGTGGCCGCGGCAGATCAGGGCGAGGAAAGAGCAAAACATCGAATTGCTGCAATTCGTGCTGCATCAGTTGGAGCGGACCCTCTGACGGCTGCTGCGCACAGAGGTGCATTAACCGATAGCAGAACCGGCGGCAATATTGGACCTCAGGGTGAGCTTTCCTCCCGACCTACCATACGTCGCAAACCCCTTCCACTGACTGCCCGAATCTAGAAAGTGAGAAAAAGAAAAAGTTTGGGATTTTTTGAGACGATCATGTTAGCGAAGCATTGTGCATTCACCGGCGTTGGCCTATAGACGATACAGGTCGGGAGTCGTTGTCTTCGACACCCGATTGTCTTGTCGATGACTTGTCGAAACAACATCCCCCAGTCGTGGTCCATGGTGAAACGACTTGGATGTGGCCGTGTTGACAGTGGAATCTCGAATGAGCAAGGGGGTAATTTGCATTGCGATAGCATCAGGGACATCTTGACGAAAGCATGTCACGGCGGAACAAGACTTTGGGAGGATTCACGACAGCGACGAAGTTGGTTAAAGTTACCAGTGTTCTACTTATTGAGGTGCAGATGTTGGATGGCGCTAGGATTGCTTTGGATATCTTGGTAGAGCTTTGATCCGGACAAGAGGCGGAGTCGATCCACGAGACAACTTCAATAATTGACCTGAGTAGCATCATGTCGAACCATGAGCGAACACACCATGAGGTTGAGGCCGTGCTACAGGTTCAGCAGCTGAGAGGGAAAATCAGACAGACGCATTCTGTTGCCTACCTTGAACTCCAGTGGCACACGTGATAGTGATGGTGATGTGTGCGTGTGCCTGCCGTTTATACAAAACCAATCATTATCATTGTGCAAGTGCAAGCATTGTATGGCCCCTTGGACCTTCCTCTTTACATGCAAGGAAAATTCCTCATCTCTTCTCATCCTTCATCTTGTAAATCAAGAATCCCAGGATGCTTGGATACTTCATGCATGGTTGGATGACCTGATCCTTGAGGAATTGCGTCATGAGCAAGCATAAGCAGTCACTTGAACGTCTATTGCTTCACCCATTCCCTGGCACTCTTCACATGACTGCTCAGTGCGTCCAGCCCTGGGACATTCAAACTTCTACATTTTTCTCGTCAACCAACCCCCCTCCCACTCGTTGATTTTCCTCACGATGATTGGCCACTTCTGGCGGTGAGCAAGCGAAACGAAGAGGAATGAGAACGGAAACGGCAGACACGCTTGGAGCCATGCCAAACCCGAAACCCTCTTTAATAACCCCTCGACCTTCCTTGGCTGCATTGCTCCGTTGAGATCGCGCCACATCCACCATTCACATGGCCGAACCTTGCTCCCCGCTGGCCTCACCGCCAGCATATCCGCCAGCCTCTCTTCAACAGTCTCTCTACCTTTCAATCCACAATGTCCTCATGACATGGCTCTCAAGCCCCTTCATTCCTCAATCGTCATCCCTCGTCGGCGTTTTCTTGCCGATGCCCAGCGCCTAATCCCTATCCTCGCCTCGTGACTCCAGTCATATCTCTCATCCAAGACTGCTACCCAATCAAGGGACCGAGCCGCCGTGCACGGCTGCATACCTGCAACGCCCCTCCACTGCGGATCTCAGAACATCATCTTAAATTCTAGTTCCGCTTAGAAGCGAAAGGCTGGTCTAGCACTTTGTACAAGACGACCTTGTTCCGCCTTTCAGGTCGAGCTTTCTATGCCAGAACCATATCAAGAAGAACAATGTCACCAGTATTGTCCTCTATTTGCAGTTGCTGCAGGCCATTCCAATGACGGCCATGGTATTATCCCTCGCTTCGGTCCTTTATTTCGCGCTCTCTCATGTCCTCTGAAATTGTTCTTTGTCCAGCTTCCCTTAACTTGCCTGTTTCCTTCCTCATCAATTCACTGCTTTGAGCCTCCTTTGGGGAGTGTGACAATCCGACCGAGGTCCACAGAATCTACTCGGCCTGCACGTTCGCCCCCAGCAAACACCAGTGCTCGACTACAGTCCTGTCCTACCCCAGTTTCATGATGTTACGATTGACGAATATGCCCACGACTGAACAGCGAAGCTACGATGAGTGCGAGTCCGATACAGAATCTTTTCATTCTGCTATAACGACGGCTCCCCCAGACGTCGAAGGCAGGACCAACTTCAATGGGCAGAGAGGCAAGTCCGCTAGCCAGCACTTGGAAACAACGACTATATCCTCTGCGGCCAACATCCGCACAAAACGGCAGCAACGAAAGCCATCGTCTAGCCCGGTACCTATCATACCAACCCGAAGGTCAAGCAGCAAACGCCGCAAAACCTCCAGACTTTCAGCAACCACAGCCGACCGCACGCTCTTAACAAATGAATACTTCTTCTCCCTCGACGGCATACTCGCCCTAAGCCGAGAATTCACTCCTCTTCCTAGCGCCTCACATTCATCCTCCAACTCTCGCACAGCCACACGCCACCCTTCTCTCAACCCTCAGGAAGACCATCATAATAACAGCTTCTCTCCGTCGACAGCGACCGAAGACATGCAGCATTTGTGCACAAGGCTTGACGAGAAACTGGCGTACACTCTCACCTACTCATACTCGCGCAACGAGGATTCTGAGTCGTCGTCTTCGCCTTCATTGAGAGCCGCTAGCTCTAGAACTTCTGCCGACGGATTTACACAGTCAATTTTGCGCCGAGATAACTCAAATAACTCAAATTCGGCTCACCAAGTACCTCATAATTCACGTCTAGCCTCCACGGATCCTTTCCCCAGCATGTCTGATCAATCCTTCAAGCCTCATCGTCCTTGCTTGAACACGATCCATACCTGGACTAGCAATCAAACGCGGAGGCTTGAATACGAGAAGATCGACCGCGCATACAGCGGCCTACGCGGCTTCGTCAGAAGGGTTTTGCCACGTTGGCTACGGCCCAGAGATGCTCGGACGGGGTTCTTCACGGGCGACTGTGATGGAAGGAGCGTAAGACGGTTTAGAATGGATCTGGATACCGAAGAAGAGTCGGTTGGGCAGCATAACGGGAACAAATTGGGGCATGCCAATGACGACACGAAACACAAACACAAATGGATGTGTTTTGGGTGAAAGAGAAGCCTTTACTCTCGGCTTGAATGGCTCTGACCCAGGAGCAAATCCATGACAGGCTAGGCGAGCTTGACCGGATCAACTACATGGATGAAAACCGGCCCTAGCGTGAACAATACTTCTCTACATTGCGGGTCCATTGTGCTTGATTACGATGCTAGGATAAGCTCAAAGAAGACGAGCTCAAAGAAGACGACTGCTAATATGGAAAGCTATGGCGAATAGCCTGGTCCTCAGTTGGATACTACGATGTTTCGCAAGGATGAAGCACTCTGCAACAACAAATTCGGAAGTTCTTGATGGACAAGGTAACGGAATAGCCTGTCTCTGCGATGTCTGTTTATAGTTGCACATTCATTTCACCACATCTTGTCACAACATGTAACGCAGATAGTAAAGTACTGCCAAGTCGAGCAGTGTTGGAAATATCCCTAGCTAGCTAGCCAGTCAATCAATCGATGACCGAGTGATATTGATAGCAGAAGAGCTATTTCCGTTTCTGGAAGAGTACATTTATGATAGAGCTTCCTGGTTCCATTCTAGACTACTCTAACCGCTTGTGCTGATGCTGGTGCTCCAGGTGGGAGTCATGGAGGAAGTGGTGAGTCTACTCATAGTGGATGTCGTCGGAGGACTTGAAGTTGGATCATCGGCAGACTGGCTCGATGAAAATCCTTATGGATACTGTAACGATGTGGAAGTGGTGGACGTGGGGTCCATGTTCGGCATATCCATCGAGGATGTCGACAAGGGATCCGCTGACCCTGTAACTGTAGAGGTTGAGGGGGGAACACTGCGAGAATCCCTCTCATCATGAGTCGTGAGCGTGCTAATGACGCTCAGTCATTCTTGCGTACAATGTAGAGACGAGTCTGACTGGGTCAAAGTACAAATCGCTTTCGCATTGCGTCGTTGGTTGGCCAAGGCGTCCAGAGATGCAGAGCTTGGCTGGTGTGAGCCGAGACTGAACCATCCAGATCAGAGAATTGCTCCAATAGAGCATCCAAAATTGACAACTGATATTTGCGGGCCGGTATCAAGGATACTGCTTGAAGTGGCCGTATCACAGGGATGGGAGAGGCCGGAGATATTGTCCTGGAACGGCTGGCCGAAGGATGGCGAGACCTCAGCAAATGCTCGAATTGTCCTCATGATTCTCTGACGAGCTTTTGCGTGATATGCAGTCAAATCGATGTGCTCCAACTTCCTCATAGCAGATCGAAATCGTCCAATTTCTCGCGATACTGCAAGACATGCCTCTTGATTTTACTGGAATCGACCCAGGTGACGAAATCCTCCATGCCTCTGTTGATGAGAAAGGCAGGATCGGTGACGACGTCGGTGCCAACACGAACATGACCTTGTTCGATGAGTTTGTGGGCGGTGCTGACATGCTCGACCATGCCCGAGCGGACCATGATGATCCCCAGGCGTCGACGACAGAAGGCTGAGACAGTGACATCCTTCTCCACACTACTCAATCCTGCGCCTTGCTGTCTAGTCTGCTTGAGTATGCCGATCTGATGTAATTTCTCCAGCATGACGGTCTCCATTTGTACACGATATGGGTCTGTAGGGTCGAGAAGGGAGAGGAGATGTGCAAGTTGCCTTAAGCGGCCACATAAAGCATTGTATTTGCTGTAGTCGAGGGGGTGAGTAAGGTGGTAGCGGCGTCGAACAGCGGCTTCGCGGTGAGAGAGACCATCGGACTTGTAGTTGATCAAATCAACCTTACGAAGGAGCTTGCGCTCATGATGTTTGAGTTTGCGAACCATGGTCTCTTATGGATCTATCGACCAGAGTCTAGAGATTGGTCGCAGGCTGAGCGGCGATGGAATGATTTGATCCGCCAACATAATAAATTTTGATCTGGGATTTGCAACCCCAGGTCGAAATGCAACAAACTTGCCAAGAGATAAGATAATCGGCATTTGCTCGGATGTACAAGTGTCGGCAGGCGCAATATGTCATCACACCCAGTCATAGTGGAGTCTTATCACCCTGGTCGGGGTGATCCTATCCAATCAGAGTCGACATGTTAACTTTTTTGCAACAGAGCCCCTCAGCACAAGTATACAATTTGTAAGATTGCTGGATTGTGAATATTCGGCCCATGGGTCTCAACCAAGTTGCTGGACTATGGCGTAGTTACTACTCGTCGTGAAAAATCAGTGTGCAAGGTTTCAAGCGTCTTTCCCCTCAATCAGCTGAATCAAGACCCCTGTGGAGCATATGTGTGGATGGTTGGGGTACAATGAATGTTACTGTATACATTTACAGTAATATGTTGTCGCTGCAGTAGTATTGCAATGGAATCATCCCGCCGAAGAGTCTACAAGGGTCGGCATCACCCCCGCCCAATATCAAGGGCTTCGGGAAAGTACCAGTGCAGGGAAATAATGAAGATAGTTTATTAAGCAAGTGGGGCTATAGCTTCACCTCGGCTGGGGAGATACGGAGTGGTCTATAAAACTCGCTCACGGACATTTTTGAACCCGCAGTGAAAGTGCTTTATCCGTAGGCGGCCCGTTAAGTCCGTGGACTCTCTTTAATCAGTTCAGGGGGCATTCGTGGAATATATAAAAAGCGTGGGCCCATTTTACTCTTCTGCTATCTATACAAATCGCGCCGAGCATTCGCCATATTGATCATGCCGACCCAAAAAGCTATCGTCCTTGAGGGGGAGCCTGGAAAGGCGTCGCTCGTCACCGATCGCCCGTATCCCCGGCACCGACCTGGCTTTGTCTACGTGGACGTCAAAGCTGTAGCCCTCAACCCTACCGATTGGAAGCATGTCGACTTCGCCAACCGCAAAGGGCTGTTGCTCGGTTGTGACTTTGCGGGCGTCGTCGCCGAACTGGGCGAAGGCTACACCAAAGACTGGAAAATCGGTGATCGAGTTCTAGGCTTCGCCACTGGAGCTAACGAACTAGAGGCAGAAGATGGCGCTTTTGCTGAGCGCATCGCCGTCAAAGCCGATGTTGCTCTTCGCATACCCGACAATATGTCCTTTGAAGAGGCTGCCACCTTGGGTGTGGGTCTCATCACCGTTGGTCAAGGTCTATACCAGCAGATGGGACTTAACCGTCCCAGCAACCCAACCACGAACGGCGAATATATTCTCATCTATGGTGGAAGTTCAGCCACAGGGACGTTGGGTATTCAGTTTGCCAAATTGTATGATCCACCAACCCTTTGCCTCTGCTCCTCGGTCTTGGGTCCGGCTCTACCTGCTGACTAGATACTAACCTGCTTTGATAGATCGGGATATAAAGTCATCACGACCGCGTCGCCTCGCAATTTCGAGCTGCTCAAGTCTCTCGGGGCCTCTGAGGCATTCGACTACCGAGACCCGGATGTCGCAGACAAGATCAAAAAATACACCAACAACAGCCTCAAACTAGTGTGGGATACCATCTCCCTCGAGCCGTCGGCCAAGATCTGTGCTGATGTGATTGCGCCTGGAGGAACGTATGGAACGATTCTCGGCGTCAAGTTTCCTCGAGATGACGTCAAGATGACATTTTCATTGGGCTACACTGCAATGGGTGAGCCTGTCCGAAAATTCACGTTCAGAATGGACGATACCAGGGAAGACTTTGAATTCATGAAGGAGTATTTGAAGGAGGTGGAACCTCTTCTGGCGCAAGGCCGCATCAAGCCTCACCCGCCAAAAGTGGGCAAGGGCCTCGAAAATGTGATTGAAGGACTTGATCTGTTGAGACATGACAAAGTCAGTGGACAGAAATTGGTGTATACATTGTAATGTCGATGGACCAGTCACGCTCCAAGTAGCAGCAGCTTTTCCACTATCTCAAAGCAACTGTTCACCCTGTTCCATAACATGTCACGTGGTTCTTGAACGTAGGCGGAAAGTGTGGCACCAGGAACAGCACGACGAAGCAGGACAGGGAACAGAGGGCTGGGCTTCTTGACCGCCGAGACAAAACACACAGTAGTGACGAGCAGACCCAAACGGTTCAACGTTTCAAGTTACGGAGTGTGCAGATACCAAGGGACCCCAAGAGCTGTCGTCGTAATCACTGTGTGTTCATCCAGACAATAATGTGGGACCAGAAGCCAACCAGGAAGTTAGGCGCTAATAAGTGAGATGCTGAAGGGCTCGCATCGTATTAGAGGGCTGAGGGGCAGGGCGTGGAGGGGCAGAGGGGTAAGTTAGGTGGTTAGGTATCCAGGCACCGCCAGGACATGAGAGCGAATTGTTGTACATGCGAATAGGCATTTACCATTCACCGTGGCACAGACTCACAGACTTTAAATTCTATTTTGGACCTTAAAATAGCAATAGGTAATTGTCTGGCGAGTTACGCGTCCTCATGTACTCCGTATATACTTCGAATCGCATGTGCAGCAATCGTAGGTAGTATCTATGCGCTAAAAGACAAACATGTACATGCATTGTTAGGCGACGATTAAGTACCTACAGATTGCCAGGTAGATGAGTGTCTTACGTGCCTGGTACGACCACCGCACTTGACCAGGTTAGGCACCATAATGCGCGCAACTTTGGTGGGATGCCGCTAAACTTTCAGCTAACTTACGGTACGAGTCATCGTCATTGCTTGCGACTCTCTCTGGGCGCATGCAGCCTATAGCCTGTAACCTGTAACCTATAACCTTCAGCCTCCAGGCTCCAGGCCCTTAGCTGCCAAGGCTACACAAGCCCCTCGGCCCCAGGTTGAGAATTGGAGGAGGCGAGGGGCGGCAGCCACCAGACACCAGACACACAGCAGGACCACCATGACGCAGCCTCCAAGTTACCTGGTACATTTTGCCAATGATAATAATGTATGAAGTCATCCACCACCACAATTCCACTCTCCTCAATCACGAGTCTGCCAGGAAATATGTTCATCTGATCAACTATTCCGTGAGTGTGTTTTCTCCAGATCTTCAACTTTTTGAGGTCAGCCACCTTGCTGCGTCACAAGGCATACCAGCCATCGACATATCGACATCAAGATCGTGATTATCGCAACATCATTCAAGCGGTGCCACCAGGCCTCGACGGTAATCCTGCGTGACATGTTTCCGCGCTTGATCCCGTCACTACCACCAGCCGCGTAACGAGAACGATAATCTGCATCTTAGGTCGATCAGACCCAATTGTACCATACAAACCTTGCAGATCGTTCTCCTTACCTGACTTTCCCCAGTCAGCCTTGTCCTGCAGCATTCTTTATTCGAGCAGAAACCACATTCATATCTCTCCTGCCTCCCTCACCATCACTGGAACCCTCCCTCCTCCCCACGACATTCCTCCTCAGAGCCATGTCGACAACAACATTACCCTCCCGACCACCGCCAACGACGACCTCGCTGAGCAATGGCAGCGTCAAGTTACCCGGCACTCAGGATGACGCGGCCACCAGCAAGACCTCATTGCCTCCACCAGGGCATCTGCTGACAGGGAAGCAAGAGCATTACCTGAAACGCGAACTCATTGCTTCTCAAGTTCATAGCGAGATCTCTGAACTCAACAGTCCCACCGCTTTACAACGCTTTGGTGCCCCCTTCCGTTCGGAATTTGGAGAGATATCACCCATGGACTCAGAATTGCCCATTCTCCGTCACATTTTTGTTAATCATGTCCGCAAATTCCCCTTCCTCAACCAGGCAAAAGAGAAGGAATTCTGGCAGGACAAGTTGCAAGTCTTTCTCGAGTCTTTCGCGAGCAAATACATCTCCTCCTCTGAAGATCGCCTGGAAGAGACTAAAAGAAGGAAGCTGGCCAAGAAATGTGAGAAGTTGATCGAACTGATGATGGTTTCGGGTATTCCCACTGCCTCGGGCTATGAAGAGAGAATTCGCTTTTCTGAAATGGAGGTGGTGGAGCGAGGTGCCAATGAACAAGGCCTGGTCGTCAATCAGCCAGAGGGCAATTTCATTCATGGTTGGGACGTCAATGTCGCCGCCGTAAGGATGACCTCGGTCAAACGCACCGTCCGATATCACCAACACGCCGAGTTCTTGATCAGAGTCAAGCGAGAGAACCAGCCCGAGCACTATGTAGGTCGCCGTTATGGAGAATTTGCCAGACTGCAAAAGAGACTCCGGACAGAGATGCCTGGCAAAGTTCTCCCTCCTCTTCCTCGAAAAAACAAGTCTGCAACCGCCACAATTCTCGGGTCAGGTGCCGATGACGATGCTTCCTCAGTCTCCTCGGTGTCTACTCAGGCGAGTCTAGACGACACTAGCTCTTCGAGAGCAATGCTGTCTGCTCACCGTCGCCTCAAATCTGGCAATTCGTTGAGTGTCGGATCTGGCACAGGCTCGCCTAGGGGGCGTGCCTCTCCCCGGGTCAGTCTGTCTCGAGACCGGAGTGTCAGCCCTCAACCCATCAGGCTACACCGCGAAAACCAGCGTGTGTCCCTGAGGGCCTTTCTCCGCACCTTGTTGCAGAATCCCCAGATCGCCGGATCCAAGTCGATGAACGAATTCCTGACCCTTCAACCGGTCAAACTTAACGAGGAGGAACTCGAGGACGTTGACCGACGGAAAGAGATGGACGAACGACGTCTGGAAGAGCAACGACGCTTCTACGACATTGCCCGTCAGCGAGCCGCCGAGCTTGACACCTACATGGAGCAGTTCCGGCGAAACATAGTCGAAAGCAACGGTCTCACCAAGCTTTTTGCAGAGATCCGCAGCAAGGAGCGTTTGGACGACCTCAGTCCCGAGTACCAGAAATTCGCCGAATGGCTCCGCATCGAAGTCGCCGCCACCATATACCATCTTTTCCTTGCCGAAGATAACTCGCCTGAACTGTTCGCCCAAGCCAAGCGCATACATTCTCTCGTGCCATACACGGTCCTCAAGAATGTCATTCGAATTTCCAACCCTGCCGCTGTCATGTCCGGCGTTCTCGACTTGTTCCTGGCCCAGCCATTTGGAGCTCGCTCGCTACTGCAGAGAATCTTTGCGCAAACTCTCAGCGATGGCATCCGTCAATTCCAAAGATCCATTGATGATCTTGTTGCCAGGGTTGGAGACTCTGTCCTTACCAACAAGCTGAAAGATTTTGTAAACAGCGACGAGGAGACCAAGCTCTTGCTTCGTGCCGAGGCAGAGAATGAGCAGGTCGACTTGGTTGTGGCAATCCTGCGGTCGGAAAAGTTCCAGCCCGACTTGACGTCTACTCAGATCCAGCGCGTGTTCAACGCTTACGTAGCGTGGAACAGCGCCGTGGAGAACGCAGACGAGGAACTCAAGCAAGGCGCAGAGATGTTTTCGCAATTGAAACAACTTTTAAAGCTGATGACTCGACAACGGGATAAGGATATGATGGCTAAGATGATCGAGGAACCGACCACGCTCCAACTTTTCCGGGATCTCTTTACCATCTTCTACGAGCCCTTGATTCGAGTCTACAAGTCAGCCAACGTGTACAACAGTATCACAGACTTTGCACAATTTGCCGAGGACGCGATCAAGACTGTGGAGACGGCGCAGCGGCAAGACGTGTCGGCAGATCCCAACCAGACTGTCCAAAGTTTCATCGACCTGTGTGCACGCCACGAACACAACCTGTACAAGTTCATTCATGAAGTCCACATCCACGACAACGGTCTCTTCACTGCGCTGATGGGCTGGATCGAGGATATTTTGGACTTTTTGAGAAAAGGACCAAAGGGGGGCAAGCTCGACATGAACGCGATATTTCAAGGTGCGCTGGATATGGGGACGATTGATAAGGAGAAGGCCATTAGTGAGATCAATGCGTTGATCCAGTGGCAGGAAGCGCGTAAGAAGTGGCACAGCGATAAGACACGGCAGAAAATGGCAGCCGAAGGATCGACCAGCTCCGCTGATGGTATGCCTGGGCTGTCGTCGTTCAGAAGCAGTGATTTCGGATTGCACGAAGTGAGTACAACGCCTGACCGACGTGACACAGTACTAACCAATTCCCTCTAGACGGATCTTCTAGACCTTCAAATTGAAGAGGACGAGGATGATGACGAAACTGACGAGGAAGAGGCGGAGGACGACCTCGACCCTATTGGTGCCGAGCGTCGACGACGGAAGAAGGCTCAGGATCGACTCCGCCGAACTGCGGGCGAACCGGTCAAGCCGGATGTCAGCGAGGTGTTGAAACTCCGAGAATCTTTCCTGGCCATGCTCAGAGCCGTCCTTAGCGACTAATGAAGATATATGACCCGCAGCCGCATCAGCCAGCATGGAGGGATGATCGGCTCATGATCATGATGACGATGATGACGAAACAGGGCAATGATTTTGCAGGCCTTCAACTGATATCGCATTGCTGCTCAACTGTCATTGCGCACGGTTTTTGTCTGAGCAAGCATGGTTGTGCATAGATAGTGCATAGATAGCATCTCGCAATAAAATATTGTATATACGAAGAAAGGGGCACCAATGGCGATGGAGTGACAAGATGTCTAGACGTCTAGACCCTATCGACCAATTTTCTCCATGGCTGCGTGGTGACGAGGTTTGGCAGCATCCGCATCCGGCAAAGCAATGAACGCAACCATTTCAGATCGCAACGAAACATCGAGTCGATGCCGCAAACAATGGCCACAGTTTCTTCAGAGTACACAAGGCTGGTCAGGCATTGAAGAATAATACAGAGTCGTGTCCACGTCAGCGTCCGTAGAAGGGAGGCACGGCGTGTTGAAATGCAAGTCAAGAAATGCAAGCACGACCCTTGCTCAGCAAAAGGTGATGAGGAAGTCACTATAGCGTACTCCGTAGCCAAACCCCGGTTGCACCTGCCCCCTGTGCCCTTGCACCCAAGCTTGGCACAACATGACGCCTGCGCCTGCGCCTGCGCTGAACTCGTCGTCCCCCCTTCCATCAACCTCTCACGCCTCCCCACAGGGACCACGCCCTCTCCAGATCATCACAACCCTGCGCTCCCCAGACTTCCCTGTCCCCTCGCCGCGCAAAAGACGATCCGTGGCTCCCAGCAGAGACAAGGACCTCGCGAGTGCTGTCTCAACTTTCACACTTCGTCCACCATGTGTGGATAGTGGTCTTGCAAGACCTCATCTCGACAACCGCTCTCAATCCACCTCCACTTCCCTCCCATTCAAGGTGGATATCTTCAGAGCTGGTGCAGCTCGACAGATTCTACCGTATTCCAGCATGGCTCGCGTCGACGAGGGGCCAGATCATGAGCGGGAAAGACTGATCGATAGTCCAGAGCCCCCAAATGTACTTCGAGAAGCCCGGCGCTCACAAGACTCAATCTCGAGTATCTCCACCACATCGCTCGTCCTCGAGAACCTCAACTCAGTCTATTCCTCAAAGGAACAGTCCTCCCTTCCCTCACGATATCGCGACGACGATAGCGACCCTGAGCTGCCCTCTCTAAAGACCAAAGACTCTGGCGTTCCCAGTCAACACATGTCCAATGCTCTCCGCCGAGCTATTTGGATCGTCTCCGTTGTTGCAGTCATTGGCTGGGCCTTTGCCATTCTTATTTTTATCTCGGGCGGCCGTTACAAACATTCTTCTACTCTAAGCTACGACGCCGAGACCCCTGTCAAGAGCACGGGGAAGAAAGTCACTCTTGAACAAATTCAGTCTGGACAATGGTCACCCAGAAGCGCTCCGCTTTCCTGGATCGCCGGCCCCAATGGTGAGGACGGACTGTTGTTGGAGTACAATCGACCAGGGCAGGATTTCATCGTCATCGAAGATATTCGCAACATGAACGCATCACTGACCGGAATCGAGAGCAAAACCTTGCAAAAGAGTGGCTGGATCACCGTTGATGGTGAAAGAAAATTTACCGATAAATTCTGGGTCAGTCCCGACCACAAACATGTCCTCATTCAGACCGGGAGAGAAAAAGTCTTCCGACATTCTGCCATCGGACAATATTATATTCTTAATGTTGAGAGTCAGGGTGTTGAACCGTTGGATCCGGCCAATCCCAAAGGAAGAGTTCAATTGGCTACTTGGTCACCAAACGGCGCCGCCATCGTTTTCACTCGAGATAACAACCTATTCTTGAGAGAATTGGCCTCGACCAAAGTCACCCAGATTACCAAAGATGGTGGACCGGAATACTTCTACGGCATCCCCGATTGGGTCTACGAGGAGGAGGTTTTTGCAAGCGACACCGCTACGTGGTGGGCCAGAGACGGCAAATACGTTGCTTTCCTGCGGACAAATGAAACTTCCGTCCCAGAATATCCTGTCCAGTTCTTTGTTTCCCGCCCCAGTGGCAAGACTCCCCCTGAAGGCCTCGAACATTACCCCGAGGTCAAACAGATAAAATATCCCAAGGCTGGAGCTCCAAATCCAACGGTTGACATGTTGTTTTATGATATCGACAAGGAGGAAGTGTTTGAGGTGAAAATTGATGGAGGTTTTCCTGACAATGACCGGATCATCTACAATGTGCTTTGGGCCGATCAGGGCAAAGTTCTTATCTCCGAGTCTAACCGCGAAAGCGATCGTGTCAGGATTCTTTTGGTCGACGTCGTCACTCGATCAGGACAGACCGTCCGCACCATCGATCTCAGGGACATCGATGGCGGCTGGCTCGAACCAACCCAACATATGACTTACATCCCAGCCGATCTGAAACATGGCCGCGAGCTTGACGGTTATGTTGACACCATCATCTCTGAGGATAGGGTTCACTTGGCATATTTCTCCCCCCTCAATACCTCCACTCCGCTTTCTCTGACAACAGGAAAATGGGAGGTCGACGGCGGCCCAAAGGCGGTCGACTTGAAAAACAACATTGTATATTTCATCGGAACCGTGCAGGCACCCACCCAGCGACATCTGTATAGTGTTCAGCTCAATGGCTCAGCCTTTCACTCGCTCGTTCCAGACCACGAACCGGGCTACTGGGACGCATCATTTTCGTCTGGCTCCGGATATATCAATCTCCAATATGCCGGGCCTGGCATCCCCTACCAGAAGGTCGTCTCCACGGCGCCTAATCCCGAGAAAATTGAGCAAGTTGTTGAAGACAACAAGGATTTAGCCGCCATGGCTGCCAGCCACGAACTTCCTCACCAAGTCTTCCAGAACGTCACCGTTGACGGCGTTACCCTCCAAGTAGTGGAACGTCGACCTCCCCACTTCGATCCCAAAAAGAAATATCCCGTACTTTTCTATCTCTATGGTGGTCCAGGCTCCCAAATGGTCAATCGCCGCTTTCATGTCGACTTTCAATCCTTTATTGCCTCATCTTTAGGCTACATTGTAGTCACTGTCGATGGGCGGGGGACAGGCTTCATCGGCCGCAAGGCGCGTACCATCATCCGCAATGAACTGGGCAAGTATGAAGCACGGGACCAGATCGAGACGGCCAAGATGTGGGCGGCCAAATCTTACGTGGACGCGAATCGCATGGCGATCTGGGGCTGGTCTTATGGCGGATTCATGACTTTGAAAGTCCTCGAAACCGATGCTGGCAACACTTTCCAGTACGGCATGGCCGTCGCACCCGTCACCGACTGGCGATTTTATGATTCGATCTATACTGAGCGCTACATGCGTACACCACAACACAATCCGGATGGCTACGACCGCACCGCCATTTCCAATGTCACGGCCCTGTCCCAAAATGTTCGTTTCCTCATCATGCACGGTGTGGCCGATGACAATGTCCACATGCAGAACACATTGACCCTGTTGGACAAGTTTGATCTTGGAGGGATCGAGAACTACGATGTCCATTTCTTCCCTGACAGTGATCATAGTATCTACTTTCACAATGCCAATCACATCGTCTACGACAAATTGAGCACGTGGCTGATCAACGCGTTCAACGGCGAGTGGTACCGTACAGACGATCCAAAGCCTCTGGATGATTGAAGGCTGGACGTGAAGACAGCCCACGAGCATCAACTGAAGTGCTCTTTGTCTCAATGAAGATGTTGGTTGAGTTGTACAAATAGATAGATCTCTTGGTCAAATGTCAGGTGCATTCATTGGGCGGCTTACAACATGGCAGCGAACCACATTTGGCGTTTTGTATAAGATTTGACAAAACCATGGCGTTGGTGGAAGTCTAACAGACTAGCAAGCAGGCAGTCCCGGTTCGAGAATCCATCTAATTGATCGTATTGACTTTGACTTCCTCTGCTATTCTCTAAACATCACATCATTTCTTTCACATACATGCACAAGGCTGCTCACCCTGACCATTTAAATGCTCATGATATCCAAAACCACAAGCTCACCCTGCCACTGATTCTGCCTGATCTCCGATTCTTGACCTAGAACTCCTCCGTCTCGACGTGTTTGACGGAACTGACAATCCTGCGCTGTCTCGGTCGTGTACAGAGACAGACCCAGTGCCAGAGCCAAGTCCAATAGTCAAATTAGAGGATGACTTCGACTGACTAGCCAAGCGACCAGACACAGACAAAATATCTGATTTCTTTGAAGTCTCCTCCTGGGATTTCACGACGCGCAGCTTAGCCTCAGCTGCGCGCAAAACGAGACGTTGAGCGTCAGGTTCCCAACCGTTGAGAGCCCAGTCACGCGGCGTCCTGCCCTCGGAATCCATCGCTTCCACCGAAGCACCGTGATCCAACAACACTCTGATCACCTTCTCACTCCCATAAAGCGCCGCCGAATGGAGCGGACTGACTAGATTCCAATCCGCTTGGTTTGGATTGGCACCCGCAGCCAACAACAGTTCCATCACCTCGATATGTTCCCTCAACACCGCTGCATGCAATGCGGTTCCGCCGAACCGACTTCCCGGCGCATCTAAATCAACCTCTGTATCTTGAATGATGTCTTTGACAGTATCAATAAGTCCGAATGACGCTGCATAGTATAGTGGGGTGGCGTGATGGGGGTAGAAATTCCATTGTGCTTCGTTGGATGCATTGATGATTTGAACCCAAGACATGAATGTCGATCTAGATCGAGGACTGAAGAAGTCGCTGATCAGTCGTCGGAGTTGAGAGTCGGCGGTTGTTCTTCGGACAAAATACGTCCAGCAGAGTGCAGCGTAGCCAATGAGTGGGAATGTGATGATTCTTTCGGTGTATGCTTGCGCAGTCGTGCATGGTCCAGTTCTCATGTCTCGGAAGGAGAGGTATGTGAGGCAATTGAGGGCGAGTTCATGGTTGGATTTGGTGTCGTCTAAGGCGAAGACGGACAGGGTGGGATGCCGCTTGATGGATGATGAAAGTAGATATTCTCGTACCGACAGATGTGCAAGTCGAACATGTCCACTTTCTGACAGGCTGATTAAGCTGCCGCATAGATCGAGGATGTCTTGAGGGCTGCGGAGGCGAGAATCTTCATCTAATTCATCGAGGCCGACTTCAATGGCGATTGCTTCATGGACTTCCCTTAGGGTTAAGGGGAGCATGGTGAAGGATATCCATACCAAGATTCTGCGGACTATTTCGATGTCCGAGGAACTGACTTTTCCTAGGATTTTGTCGTAGGTTTCGTCGAGTCCTTTGGGGAGTTCTCTTAGGGCTAGTCGAATTGCTTTGACTGTACGTAGGCTTCCAATTGCGTCGATCTGACATTGGACCCAGCGAAACCTAGCCCCGTCAGTCAATCAAAACACGATTTATTGCGAAAAGCAAAGGGGAAGAAGGGAATGTTGTATTTACATTCCAGCTGATTTTCGCATCAGTTGATTCGCGATTTCGTCTTTGATTGAATCATTCAGCCACTGGAGATTTCGATCTGAAGACAGACGGTGGGCTACATAAGCTTGAACATCATCGTTGACCTCGTTCAAGTGACCCTCGATGCGGAAGTGGTCGAACGAGTGTAGCCCAGACTCAATCTCTGCTTCTTCCCGGCTCGTCAGCAAGACTCTGACATTCGAACATGATGTTCGGAGCGCGGCAAAGAATTCAAAGACGTCGCTTCTTTGCTGACACTCGTCAATGGCATCGACGAGCAAGATCAGGTCTGACTGGGCGGCAAATGACTCCAAGCAGCTTTGTAGAACAGCTAGCGTGGGTGGCTTCTTTTGGCCGGGGGGACCAGAATGACTCTGATCAAAGGCTTGTTCAAGGAGAGAAGGGAATGTGTTTGTCCTCGAGCATATTTGTGCTACTAGGGAGCCGAGAAGATTGGCCACGTCTTGTGATTTAGGTCGGCGGAAGTCGCAATAAAAGAACGCTAGATTTGAAGTACTCTTCTGCTCTTGCAGAGTTGCTGATAGATATGCGACTGTGTTTGAACTAAGTAGTTGTCGTTAGCCTGTATGATATCCACGTGGATGAAGAGCCAGGATCTCGGCATACAATAGCACCGTCTTGCCCGCGCCGGCTAGTCAAGGGCCAACGTCGTCAGCGTGAGATCATGATCATGCCAGGGGCAATTTGTTCACTCACGGAAGCCGCTGAGCCAAAGAAATGAGCGGTTGCTGGCAAACCAACTCTTAAACTCAACACATCTGGTGAACCAGCTGTTGGTGCCAGACTGATGTAAGCGAAGTGCAGCTTCATGGCTTTCTAGTGGATCAGTAGGTGAGAGCCATTGGAGTATGGCTCGTTGCCGCTCATCTATCAAAGAGGAAGGCTCAGTTTCGAGTCCAGATGTTTGGATCTCAGACAGAAAAGACGGAAAGTCGACATTGCATCATACCTAGTTCCCGAGATTTCATGTTGTTCAATAATCCATCGAGATCGGCTTCCACAGCACTCATTGACAGCTTCAGTGAAGCCGTCATGTCTTGAATGTCGATGAGCAATTCTCTGCATCGAGTCAGGATCAGGCTGAGAGACGATTGGGGATCGACTGAGGCTTGATTGCGACGAGTTCAAAGGACGAGGAGCAAGGAAACACATACGCCTGATCGACAGTCATGGCAAGTGCCAGAGTATTCTTGCAACGGGTGACTCTTTCCAATGCCATTCTAACCTCTTTCTCCTTAACCTGCCATCCCACGGCTTGCATCAATGCCCTTCTTTTGGAGCCCGACCTGCTATCAAAACTTGACGTGATGAGAGTGTCTAGAGCCTTCAACTCGCGAGCACATGCCACTAGGGGACCACGGTCTGGGTCGCAGAGCAACTCCAAAGGCGGTCTCCTATGGCTTGCAGCGATTGAGGAGGCAGAAGAACTGGATTTTTCAGAGGTGGCTTCAGTGAGTCTCACCAGTGACTCGAGAACACTGCGAAGATCCTGCATCTCGCCGAGGACCTGGCCCAGACCCCATGGCGCCCCATCCCTCAAGATGGCCTTGAAATCATAGCACACTGAGATAATCGCGTTGGCGGCCTGCAACACCGCTATGACACTGGCAGCCACGCTAAGAGGGTCCATGGTCGTCGTCGACGATTAATCCTCCTCGTCGATGGTGCATGGTAGCCTTGGAATGATCGATCAGGCCACTATGAGTACCCATGTGCTGGCTGAATGTAAGACTGGTGAGGCTGATGGAGGTTGGCGTTAATGGTGGTACCAATATGGTTAAGCAACGGATGACTCATCAGTCCGCATTCCAGCTCTTCGCCCCCAGGCACGTGTCGACCGATCATTCATTTAAAGGTCTATATAAAGTCAAATGCTGGTATCTGAAAGCCAATCGTTGATGTTGCTCCATGATTGCCATGGATTTGATACATTTAAGTTGGACCCTACAGTGGAGGTGATTGGTGCTGTTCCAAGGTATAATAAATATCTTGTCTCTAAAACCATGAGCCCTGCGTCTCATCTCACAACAATATTGCACGGAATAGCGACCGCAAAGATAGGGGGGAGACAAGAATCGTGATTCATCAATGTAGTAGTAGAGTGGTGAAGCGCTATATAAAACACCAATCTCCCAGTCTTTTGGGAGAACTGCTGAAATACATGTCAGGTGTCGAATGCCAGAGAGGCCAAGCAATCAGAATCCACGACCGGGACCTGTGGGTAGAGGATCGTAATTCGGAGCGGAGAGCTGTTGGTCAGGGTCTACGGAATTTTGGCCCATGCCGAAATCTTCCATGAGAGCATCCCATTGCGCCCAGTCCATGGTTCCATCATCCAGGACGACATCTTGCATCAGCACTGGGTCTGGAGCAAACATGACATTGTCCGGCCCAAGAGGCTGGGGTTGGTATGATGAATTCGCCTGCAATCCGCTGACTTCTGGCCCAGCTCTCCTAGATGGTTGGGGGCCAGGATAATGCGGTGGCCGGATATCAGACAAGGCGTCTATGAATTTGCCATTACTCTCCTCTAAAGCCACCTTGAGCTCCCAGTCTTTCTGGTCAGTGTCGGTCCGCAGTGACGGGCCTGAAAGTCGCTGTTTCCGTAGAGAAAGAATGTAGTCCGGAGTAGAAGTCGGCAATACTCCATTGCTGCTCTGTCTAAGAGCCATTTCTCTGGCAGCGTATGCTTTGAGGCACAGACTGCCGACAGCGGCAAGGAGGGGTTTTCGATTGTAGGTTGTAAATTCCTGGTGGTGAAGAAAGACTTCATCCACCAGTTCCCAGGCACGATCAACCTCGTCTCCTAAAGTTTTGGACGCCAGCTCATGCAAGGCATATATCAAGGCCTGCCAGATGAAGTAAGAGCGGCTGTGCCAAGTAAATCTCTTGAGCTGCTTCGATGAATGCACTAGGTTGTCAGCCTCGAGCAAGTGGATGGCGATTCGCCAGAGCAAGGCTTGTTCGTGTGGAGGCACATCTTCTGCCTTTGCGTATTTTCGAGGGTGGTGGGCCATTAACCTCATACTGGCCACCGCTCCTCGGGCAATTATGATGGCCAGGAACTGAAGAGGCACGGACGGGTCGCAATACCTCAAGAACTTGTCTTCCAGTCGTCGTTCGAGCTCGTCGACATTCGCGTCACGTTCTGCCAAGCTCATACCGCCAGGCGCCACCAGTCGTAGCTCATCGATGCCAAGCATGCTCTTCTGCCTAAGCTTCTCTTTCCAGAAGTTGCCGAACTCACATCTCAGAAGACACGCTATCATCTCCCCAGGCCGAGTTTTAGGAGTTGGCGCTTCAGTCATTCCTGGCCACATATCTGCGTCGTCCACGTTTGCAGGGATGCGGACATTGGACATGCCGAAATCGCCAAACCGCCCGGACCCGCTGAGTTCTGCGGAACGGAAGTCGAGGATAGAAAGTTGCCACCAAGCACGTCGACGTAACTCTGACTCAAACGGTGGGATGCCGATGCTGGATCCATCGCGATGAAGACCCATGCCCTGTGCAATCCGACTTGCAACTCCAGACAAAGTCCATAGTGTTCGTGAGTCATAGTCTTCGCGCATCGAAATCAAATAGAACAAGAATGCCTGCAGCACTTGAAGATCCGAAGTGCTCATATATCTGGCCTTGGATAGAGCCATTCTTGTTGCGTATCGATAGCGAGCGAGTAGCGGCTTGCGACCCTCACCAAGTTGGGTGGTGCACTCTTCGTCTGAGATGGAAAACACTGCAAGGGTATAGATTGCAAACATCAAGCATTCCAGACCTTTTGGCACGCGGTCCAGACGTGTTGCTGCTGCCACAAGACTTTGATGCAGGGATGGTTGATGAATGAGCTTTGTCATAGGATTGATGTTGTCGAGGAATATTTGCCAAAGCTTGAATATGTTGTCGTGAGTTGGGTGGAAAGTCTGAAGCTGATTATTGCTGGATGAAGGGGTGATGCCGAACAGGAAATCGGTACCATTTTCGGCTTCAGACTGGGAGTCGCCCTCGTCGTCCGAATATTCTGCGAGGGCTGCTTTGGGTCGAAACTAAATCAGGTCAAGTCAGCCGGGGGTGTTGTAGCAGAGAAGCAGCGACTAGAGACCGAGGTGGCCTTCAGTGCTGATAAAGAATCATACCTCATTTGATACACTCGTCCACAAAATATTCTCGACGAATCGTGATTGACCGCCTTCCGTGAACAGCACGCCGGACTTTGAGCCCTCGGCGAGATGAGGGGCAACGCGGCCAGACAAGCCACAATCAGGACTAGGTACAGGGACATTATTCATTGACGAGACTTCATCCGATGTGGACGGGCCGGACACTGGGAGCTGGTCGACATGAATACCCTTGCTTTGCAAAAGAGCCTCATACTGCTTCAGTCGCTCTAGTAGGGCCTCTTCTGCTGGTTTTTTCTTTCTGCGGCGCGAAGGGGGCGGGATTCTGAAGGTACATTCGGCCTTTGACCTTGTACAGTTGGAACATGGGCTTTGCTTGTCGCATTTGACCTTCCGCTCGAAGCATCTCAGGCATGAGAATGGTTTAGAGCGTACCTCTTTGACGTTCGACATTTCAACAGGAGGTTCATTAGCCTGCTTCACCAAAGCTGATAAAGACGTTTCCGTGTTGATGGCGCGATATGTCGATGCATTCGTCAATCATGACTTTCTTTCTGAAGATCCCACTGTGCTTGTTTTAAACTTTGCCAGCGATGACGAGGTGGGGATAGATAAAGCTCGGGCGCTCGTAAGGGTGGGTGGTGGTGTTGGGATCATCAGGCAGAAGTTGTTTCGGAACTTCGAAAAGTATATATCACGTGATCATAAAGTATCTGGAACGGGGTTCAACCGAGCCACGTGCTTGATTTTCAAGGCTATCGAGGTTGATGCAAACGCTCAATTGATGAGAACCAACATGAAATACATCTACAATGTCTGTAAATGTGAATAGAAAGGCTGATATCGAATCTCATTACACCGAGTATAGCCTTCTACCCGTTGACAATGACTCCTCCATTGGGATGAAGACTTTGTCCGCTAATCATGCTGCTGTCTGAGCTTGCGAGAAAGACAAAACAGGTGGCGATTTCGCTTGGCTGAGCAGGCCTACCCATAGGCGATGTGAATTGGTCTTGCGCAGACTGGTCCATGGTACTTGGGATGAGAGGCGTCCATACTGGGCCTGGACAAACAGCATTGACACGAATACCCTTGCTCATTTGTTGATTGGCAAGGCCACGTGTGAACGATACAACCGCTTGAACTAGAGTCAGCCAGCCTCCCTTTTGAAGCACGGAGATACTCACCTCCTTTGGTAGAGGTGTAGTCGAGGAGATCGGGTCGTCCGATGTAGGCATTGATTGAGGCGCAATTGATGACGACATCGCCTTGTTTCATATGTGGCACAACGAGTTTGGAAAGGAAGAAGAAAGAATGGATATTGGTGTCGAAAGTCTTGGTCCACTGTTCGTTGGAGATGTCGGTGATGTCCTGCTGAACCATTTGGTACGCCGCATTATTGACCTGTGAGAAAATTGGCGTGAGATTCGATTTCCCGTAAATGAAGGCAGGGGTCTCACCAGGATGTTGATTGTGCCCATTTTCTGCGACGCAAATTCCGCGACTTTTTTGTTGTTCTCGAAAGTCCTGAGGTCGGTACTGATCAAGTGACACGAGCGGCCATATTTTTCGACCTGACGCTTGGTCTCTTGGGCATCTTCTTCTTCCTCTGGCAAATAGGCAATAGTACTATCCGCCCCTTCCATGGCGTACAGAATGGCAATGGCTCGACCAATACCGCTGTCACCTCCTGTTATCAGAGCCTTTTTGTCTTGTAACTTTCCGGCTGCTTTATAAGTCTGGAGTCCGCCATCTTCGGTGGGTATCTTGGTGTTCACAGGTTCAATAGGAAGATCTCCCTGTTTCCCAGGAGGATCCTGGTGGGTAATCGGCACTTTGAAGCCTTTCTCGAACGGCGAACTTGAGCTGGTAGCCTCTTTGACTGCATTCTTTACTGACTCCATGTTGCAGGGCGTTTGAGACAAGGTAGGAGTGTTAGACAATAGCAGAAGAAGCGAATATCAGGGGAGAAAGTGGCGGGCAATTTATAAAATTTGGAAATGCATGAGCAGGAACCATTTTGCTATTTTTTGGGCGGACGTCATATTGATCCATTGTAATGAGAATCACTGATGTCACTGAAGATCTCCCTCATTGGCACGGACGGGCGTATCCGCCTGTTTCTTTATGGCTCGGGGGCTTCAACGGCGAGATATCATGACTCGGTCGATGATAATAGCCAGAGTAAGAAGCAAGGCGCATCGAGGCGTAGATGACGCCAAAATGCGTTGGTCGAGATCATATGCTTGCATGTATGTCGATGTCATGTCGTAGAAATAAAGAACGGATAGAGGTTCCGCATTGGACATATTTAGCAGCTTAGCATCTTACTGTATTAGGGACATCGCCAAAGCTGTCTATTTTCGGGGGTTATCTTCACTTCGGCCGCTTCACCTCAAACTGTCCGAGATTTCAATACGAACACGACCTTCATGTCGATACACGGAGCATCAATCCTTGAAAAGTCCCGTTACAAACCTGATCAAAATAGGGTTCGTGGTTTCCGGTTGGTGGCAGTCATGGGACAATCACGGCCGGAGAGAGGACATATAGTCCATCATCTGAGGCCTCGAATACCTCGCAAGGTTAGTCGCGGTGTAGACTCGCAGTGCTTCCAACGTTGGCTCATCATTGTGTCTCTACATTCTTAAGCACGAGTCTCTTGTCCTGTTTCATCCGTACTAATACTAAGGATGCTATTCAAAAAATCACCAAAACCTGAACCAGAAGAGGCAGGAGGGAATCCGGCCACAACGAACGTAGCAAAGTCGCAGCCTCAACCTAGCAAAGATGGAGAATATCCATCAACTGGGAAAGCTGCTGTGGTTATCATTGCAATGATGGCAGTCAGCTTTCTCGTGGCGCTGGTGAGTATATTCCTCATACTTTGGTCTCCTTAAAATGCTTTTTCTGATGCTTACCCTAACAGGATCGAACCATCGTTGCCACCGCTATCCCTGTCATCACGAACCATTTTGACTCCCTGAACGATGTCGGCTGGTATGCATCTTCTTACTTACTCACCACATCTACCTTTCAACTATTGTTCGGCCGAGTATACACCTTCTATGACCCCAAATGGGTCTATCTGTGCTCCATCACGCTCTTCGAACTCGGCTCCTTAGTGTGCGGCAGCGCACAGAGTTCCACCGCTCTGATCATCGGCCGCGCCATCGCGGGCATGGGTAGCGCAGGCACCATGTCCGGTGCTATTGTGATTATGGTGCATGTTGTGCCGCTGGAGAAACGCCCTGCCTTGATGGGATCTTTTGGCGCCGTCTTTGCCATCGCTTCGGTTAGTGGTCCACTGCTCGGTGGTCTCTTCACCGACAAGGTCAGTTGGAGATGGTGTTTCTACATCAACCTGCCGATCGGAGGGTTGACTATGATACTCATCTATTTCATTCTCCACTTACCAGACCATGTTCGTCAGGATAAATTGTCTTGGAAGACCAAACTCAACAAGCTCGACCCTGTCGGCACGGCCTTCTTTATGCCATCCATCATATGTCTTCTACTCGCTCTACAATGGGGCGGCATTACATACGCATGGTCCGACGCCCGCATCATCGTCCTTCTCGTCCTCTCGGGCATTTTGATCATTAGCTTTATCTTTGTCCAGCACTGGCGACAGGAGTTTGCAACACTACCTCCACGGATCCTGAAGCACCGCTCTATTATCGCAGGCTTCATCTATTCCTTTTTCAGCGGGGCTAATATGATTGTCTTCGTCTACTTCCTCCAGATCTGGTTCCAAGCCATCAAGGGTGTGACGGCGGTTCATGCGGGGATCATGAATATCCCAGCTATACTGGCATTGACCCTTGCTGCCCTGATCGCGGGGATCGGCACGAAGAAAATAGGTTACTACACACAATGGATGTATCTGTCCACCGTCATGAGCCCTATTGGCGCCGGGCTGATCTCTACGTTCACCACAACCACCAACCACCAAGCGTGGATCGGCTATCAAGTGATTTGGGGCTTGGGCCTCGGCCTGGGCATGCAACAACCCAGCATGGCTGCTCAGACGGTCCTATCCAAAGCCGATATCCCCACGGGCATATCCATAATGTTTTTCGCTCAAACTTTGGGTGGAGCTGTTATTGTCAGCATCGCCAACAACATCTTTGGCAATAAATTGGGGGCTGGCCTGGCCACCATTCCTGGGGTCGATGGCGACTTGGTGGCTCACATCGGTGCCACTGATCTGAGAAAGGTGGTCACTGAGCAAGCTCTTCCGGCCGTGCTGGAAGTATACAACTTGGCCCTCAGATATGCGTTTTACGTAGGCACGGCGGTTGCGTGTGCCACCGTCTTCGGCACCGTTCCCATGCAGTGGATTAACCTGAACGCTGTCGCTGCAGAACAAAAAGCCGCGGCTGCGGCTGCAGCTAGCGCCCAAGAGACTGCTACCGCTGCAAAGCAGAGTCCGCCTGAAAGTACTGTCGGCGCTGAAGAGAATTTGACGGACAAAGAAGAGGGTGGCGAAGGCCGAGAGGACAACAACTCGCGAGGCCACCAAGCAGTCGCGAAGAAGACTGAAGAGGTGTAGTCATCACCTGGCCGCCTCGTAGATTTCCTGGAAATTCTCCACTTGCTTCTTAATATGTACCAATTAACACGGGCGAGGCATTTTGGCAAAGCAGTAGCTGGAATGATTGACTATCTGTTATGGTTAAACTGTAGTCATGGGAAAATAGTCATTACCGAGAATAAAGATCGTTCACACGAACAAATCAATCTAATCTCAAAAGTAACCCCCTTCCATTTCAGCCCTGATGACCAAGAAGTAGTACTTGCCTCTTCCCTTTGATCTATTATCGTCTAAGCTCCAGCTCCCGCACGAATGATATAACCACCGTCGACGGGAATATTCTGCCCATTGAGATACTGATTGGTGGCAGCAAACAGGATGGCGTTGGCCATGTCCTTGTCCGAACCTGGACGACTCGCAGGCACTTTATCCGCGTATTTTTCTCGTGGAATGTGAGATTTTTGTTTATCGTCACTTTCGCCGCCGGTAGTCATCTCGCTGGGGAAAACTCCTGGCGCAATGCTGTTGATACGGACACGGATGTCATTGCTTGCGACCTCGTTTGATAGCATGGTAGTGAGATGGATGGCGGCAGCTTTGGATGCGTTATACGCAAAGTGGTGCTGAGCTGTCTTGACAATGCCAGAAATGGAGGTGATGTTGATGACGGTACCGGAGAAATTGTCGTTATGAGTGTGGGCGGCTTGTAGCAGTGGCAGGAAGGCCGTAGTCATGAAGAAGAGCTGTGGCACGTTGGTGCGATATGTGTCGGTCCACATTTCAAAGGTCTCGCTCTCGTCATCGAAGAGATTCTTGGACATTTCTTCGGCTGACTTGGCCTCGGTCTGTTGTGTATTTAATGCGATGCCAGCATTGTTGATCAGGATACATAGGCACTTTTCCTTGGAACTAATGGTGTCGACGAGTTTCTTGATCTCTTCCTTTTTGGAGACATCGGCTGCAACGGGGATGATTTGGCCGGGGATGTCCTTGCCAAAGGTTTCAGCCACCTTTTCGAGTTTCTCCTCAGTACGTCCAACAATGTAGACCTTGGCACCATTTGTGGCCAAGGCTTGAGTCGCCATGAGGCCGATGCCACTACCTCCGCCCGTGATCAAAGCGACTTTACCTTGGACATCGAACAGCTTGTCGAGTCGGAAGGCCTGGTTGTGGTCGTTGATTTTCATATTGGAGGTCACTGAGAACTGTCGAGTGAGAACAGTAAGGCGCGATGAAGCCGTGATGCAAGATATCAATGGTCTTTGCGACCTATAGGCAGAGGAGTAAATAGTCGGTCTTGATATTGGAGCGAGGGCTGTTGTACACCTGACCAAAGGAATGGGTAGTCGGGGTGGCATTGAGAAATGTTCGAGGTCTCTCATACACCATAAAGACCTCTCTGTCCATGTTATGTACAGGCATGAATAACTTTACTCACCAGCCATGAAGTCAGGAAGCTTTTGAGGCCTCTGCCCACCGTTTCCGCCTATTTAGGTACCTACGTCAACACCCAAATGACGCATTGATGATGATCTTGGGCGGGTCTATCTTCCGGCCAACTGGATAATGTGTGTCTGAGGTAGTCCATGATGTCTTCGCGATCGGAAATGTCGTCCATGTCATGAAAAACATGTCCTGCAGTACGAATGGCATGCAGTGAAAAGGCCATGGTGTCAAATGGTAATGAGATTGGAAGAGAAGGAAGGAAGCAACCATTGCAGAGGTTGTCGCGCAAGGTGCCCAGCCAATAGGATTATGGCCAAAGTTTATCCGTATGCATTGCGTTCCACGTGCCTGCCACTTCTGTACTCTTGTCAATGTTGACACTCGCCAGCGACATTTCAATTCTTTCCAACAGCATCTCTCCATTCGCCATTATACCCTCACCCTCGACCATGGTGCGAATCCACACACGGGTTGCTGGCAGGTGCACGACAACGACAACATAGTCCGCCGCATCCTCAGACCTCGTTGCATTACAGCTCGTCGTCAGCATGACCAGCTACGGTGATGGCCCTCCTCTCGCCTACTCAGTGCCCGACTGGCCTGCGCTCTACTACCCCGTCCGCGCAGTACCCGGTGAGGCCCAGTACCTCTACTACCTATCCGACATCTATCGATTCGTCGTGTACTGGACCCTAATCTGTGTCGGGTCGGCGCACCTCTCTGTTGCCATTTGGGCAGTTCTCATGCAGTTCAGCTCTGCGAATCAACGACGCAAGTACCTCAAGACCCCCGCAGGAAAAAGTCTCAGTAGCAAGAACAAGAAGCTTTTAGGAGAATACCCTCTGGGTGAGACGTTGGGCTGGGTCTGGCTAATACCACTGGTCTATATTGTGATTGGCGGTTTGGAGGCTTTGTTTGCGGGCAGCTTCGTGGGCTTAATACTGGGTGCTGTCTATAATGCAGGTTATTTCAGCATGAGTACATGGACTCCCCTGTTGTGGGGAGTCATCATCATGTTGGTTCTGGTGGTCAGCAGTTTCAGAATACACGGTGGCTTATAGATGAGACGGAAACATCTCGGAAGTCGTCGGCGCCCGGGGGGAACAAGATGTGAGCGATATTCAGCTCGCATCCAAGGCCCATGGTGTGAGGCCTCTATCATTACTCGACTTTCTAAGTAGCCCTCTCGAGTTAGGGTGGATTGAGTAGAGACCCACCAAAGACTAATAAGCAATGTCTGAACACATTCTTGTTCTTATTATTGCATAGGCGCAGCTTTGGGAGCCCTAGAGGAGGTCAAGGATTCACGTACTGACGAGGACGACATGTACCACGAATATGCCAGACCGGTGTCTGCTTAAGCGAAACCCGTAAGGCGTGAACTCCCCACTGTGGTTGAGCATACAATCCGGACCATACTTTTTAGGTCCTGGCGTTCCAAAGGATTGGCTAGGTGGAAAGCCATAGCACCGAACTAGATGTACAGAGTACGAGTAAAGTGACATCCCCTGGAGAAGATATCTGAGGCCAGAGCTAGCCTGGAATTCGCCGGGTTCGGTTGTGGACCGAGATTTGGATTTGGAGGCATCCGGCTTCTGATCTGAGAACTACGACAGTACAGAAGACAGAGCATGGCAGCTGGTGCAAGTTGCAGAGGACTTTCCAGGGAGGAGGAGATAGACTCGTTTCTCCGGAGACTCGAGTGGTGACATGCACAATAATGAATTGGAGTACGTGAGCACCCAGTTGGCGCACAAAAGCACATCTTTTGGTCACAGTCTTGGCATAAAAAAAGGCACTCACGTGGTTGGTGGATTAACCTAGCAAGTGCTGGGCACTCGTAGGTAATAATGTATGCGTGTGTCTGTGCGTATGCAGTGTGACATAGCGTACTCTGTACATCATGATGCACGAGAACCACCAACTCGTGGGCTAATCCCGGATCTGGTACATTTGACTCGTCACGCTTGTGTACAAAAATACTTGGGCCTGAGAATATCGAGTAAGTAATACTACGTAGTCGTAGCTGACATTTCCCCAGGAGCCAAGGGTCGCGCCATTTCCCACTCCCGGTTCTCCGTCTTTCTTCCTCTCTCGAGAGAAAGTCTGAAGGAGTTCTTTCTCTTGCAGCGGGATCCAAGTTCGCATTGCAGTAGCGCCAGGCTTGATGCCTGACTGTGATTGGCGCCCTCTTTCAAGCCGCGGGGACGGGTCAGGTGCAGCTGATGTCGCCAGTTCATTCGTCAGCTACGCATCTGAACAACCACAAAGTTCGTTCAAATCTCCATCTCTGATGCAATCCGCTTCGAGAATAACCCCCGAACCCATCGTTCCAGCACACCGGCAGACTGGCAACCCTTGCTGCTAGGGACCAATTTCCATTGCAGCCGAGTTGGCGCCGTGGTGATTTCAGACTTGAAGTTGGGAACAACCTTTACACCAAGTCTCACTCTAGGAAGTATTTACTGTTGGAGTGCAGTAGACTCCCATACTAGACCTACACAATGCCGTAAGTGCATCCTCTTCCAAACCTACCGCACTGCACCGACCGCGTGCATTTCCTCTGCAAGGATGCAGGGCTTTGGGTTTGGGCCACTGCGGAAGTGTCTTGCGGGAAAGTGTAAGTATGTATTGCGCAAGCGACGTTGGGACACGGATGTCTCTGAGTCTGACAGTGTGACACTTGGAGGTGGCGCACAGGGTGCATACAGCACCAGAGTACGGTATTGTCATACTGTACAGGCAGTGTCCATATGGTAGGACAGTTGAGAGGAAGTGGAGCACCGCGCCATTCGTTTCACCTGTTTCGGAACAGGGGAGTTGACCTCAGATTCTGATGCCCTGGACATTGATTCACGATAATTGTGTGCTCGCTCGACTGAAGAGTACGTACAAAACTTGCATACATACCTTATAGCACGGCTTACAAAATCTTGGTCAGGAATCGGCTATATTTAATGGGCAATCCTGAATAGATGTTGGCAAGATGTGGCCCAAAAGACCTGGCAAGAGTAATCTGCCCTCGGACAGAGTCCAGCCAGTGTGCTGACGAGCCTTCCTCGTCTGGGCTTTTGTGATGCAAGGCGGTCGCATGTCATTGGAGCAAAGTCGTTTCTCAGACTGGTGCTCCCGATGGATTCCTTAGACTACCGACCCCCCGAGTGGTCGCGTCATTGGTGGTGAGTTACAATTCCTGCACAGGTTATCACAGATTCAGAGAGCATGCTCAGGCCAATTGACGATCCTTTTTGTGGTTGTTGGTCATTGAGGCACCCCTGGCAAAAATCTGGGAACGGACCAGGCTTGACAAAGGGTTCAAGGTGCCACTGTGCCCACCCTCTCTGTAGTATCGAGTATAGTATACCGTATACAGTCCCTACGAATTGAAAGAACAAGCCTAAGGGAAAAATTAAAACCAAAATAAACATGGCGCGATGTTTGGGAAAGGGTTTAGCTACGTACTTTAATTAGGGTTCGTGACTTGTATCGGACGTGTAATGGGCATCTAAGTTGTAGTGTCGGTAGCGAGGACTCGCAAGTCGACACATCAACGATGAGTGAGCCAGGATGCATAATGAACTCCCAGACAGCAGGGTATGCCTTGAAAGAAAGGCACTTGGCCAAGGGGTGTCGCGACACATGAGTCCGGGGGCCGTAGGGCCCTTCGGGCCACTATTAGCGACGAAGGAGGGGCATGCTTAACCGGAAGCCCACCCTATTGTTTCTTGTACGTGTACAGTACCTCCGTAGTATGGACGGTACTTTTTCGCGGTCATAACCTGTCTGACAAAGCATCTGTAGCATCTGCGCTGCTGCGCGTGCGTGTCGTGTTTGCTTGTGAGGCACGTCGACGGACACGACCCCCACCTAGCTCCCTGGTTTCGTATTATTGATTGGTGACTCTCACCCACCTTGAAGTCAGTCAATCGGCCCCAGACAAACTTCTAACTTGTTCGGCAGAATCACCAGAGAAACAAAGCCAACACGCTCGGTCATGCCTCGACTGGCCGCACAGGAACTTGTTTGTCACCTTCTCGAGAATATCCTTATTCAAGAGTCGGACTGACCCCTGTCTGCCAGCACCCCCGCCACGCATGAGGGAATAATATACACTTTTCCTTCCTTCGTTGATCGTAGTCACTCAGAGCAGAAGCCTCGTTGTTCAACTTCTACACAACGTGGTTTCCTCACGGCATATCGAGGTGTCAATTATTAATAATGATGGGTCAAGCTAGAGTCCTCAAGTCGAGGGGGCCCATGCGCCAACTCAAACACATTGGTCGGTACCTGGGGTGCTGCGTGTTCTAAGGATTACTGCAGATCTATGAGGGTCCGAGGGGCTCCCCCCACTAGGAACTCCGTTGGAACAACTGTATGCGTATTGCCTACCTAGTTGGTGCTCTTCAGTGCCATTCTGCCGACCTAAGCGTGCTAAGGTGCCTAGGCATCAGCACCCTCTCGCTCCTCTTCTCTCACCTCTGCCGCCCTGCACTATTCGTTGTGGAACTCTCGAGACAGACACTTTTTTCCCATTCCCCATTCTAGCCCAGAGACAAGACTCCCTCTCACTGCTACTTCCGCAATCCCCAATTTCCGCCTACACACCCTCGCTGCATGTCTACGACTCGATCTCCTACTGATTCTTGTGCTCTATCGGCCTTATTTACTACAGAACCATATACAACGCTGATGTAGTGTCTCGCCCTTGTTTCTCTCGACAAAGAAACAGTCACGTCCCTCGCGTGAGGCGCCACCCAGACTCTCGTTCCTCCTCTCCCTCTCTCCTCACTTCTCTCGCCTCCTACCACCTCCACTCAAGCATACCCTGTACCACCATTCCGTTCGACGTCTTTGGCCTCAACAGCAAAGAGACTCGACGTAATTCTGTCTTCATGGAAATGTCGAGATAGCACAGAGACTTTTGCTATCCCTCATGGTGGGTCAAAGGCCCTGAAACGCAGCCGGCTCTGCCCCATACTCTCGCCCGTCTCCACCACAACTTCCCATACCATTACTTGCGAAAGTAATGGCAGAAGATGATGTCTTTCCAACTTTCCTCGAGCCTCCCACTGTCACCGCCCTCAGGGGCGATGCTATGGCAGGGATCAATGCTGGCCGTCATGCCATGGAAAGATCATTCAGTCAAGACATTCAAGAAGGAAGCCAGGATCTGAAAGAGGCTGCTGAACAGACTCGGAACATCATTCTTGATCTTAGTCTCGATGGTGTCATCCGCTGGGTCAGTCCCTCGTGGACCGATGTCGTCGGTACCGAGCTGAACCAGGTCAAAGGTCAGAAGATCACACACTTTATTGCTGGCGACGATCCTCTGGTATTTGAAAAAGCCACCGAGGCCTTGAAGAGCAATGACTCCAAGAGCACCATTATTAAATTCGCCATCAAGGTTGGCACATCCTCAGACATCGCGCCCATGATACCCACCGAAGACGGCCAGACACCCAACAAATCTAACGTCGACGTTGATGAGCAAGGCCTAGCTACCCTCGAGCTCGAGGGCCAGGGGATTATGGTCTACGACCGTTCCTCAGGCGGTGGTACTCATACCATGTGGATGTTACAGCCAGCAACGGAGCCTATACGCATCGAGATCGCCCTTCCACAGGCATTAGTTGAAACCCTGGGTGTCGGTGCTGAGATTCTCGCCAAATATCTCACCGAGTTAGCTGAAGCCGGCGCCAATGATCCCGAGAACCATCCTCCCCCACTTCCAGTCTTATGCCGCGTCTGCGAAAGGTCTATCGTCCCCTGGTGGTTCGAAAAACACTCTGATCTGTGTGTTCAGGAACACAAGGCAGAGATGGACGTTCAAATGATCCAGGAGAGCCTCTCCGAACAGCGCCACGCCATTGTCAAGGTCCTTGATGCCTTTGAAGCCCGTCAGGGCCGCCATGGTTCTGAATCATCCTCCCCAAAGCTGGCCCCGGTTCCAGAATATAAAGGCTTGTCGATTGGACCCTCCCCTACGCCCTCATCAGGCCTGTCTTCCGTATCCGCGTCCCATGCTCCAAGCCCTACTAGGTCGCGAAGCCCGTCCGCTGCAGGCACTGCTAATGCACGCCCACGCTCCTTTGTTGTACGCCGGCCACTCGTCCGCATTGTCGAGCTTATCCTTGACCTCTGTGATACAGCCCTCGAGATCAACGTGCCATCCATCAAGGACAGCAAAACCAACTCTGAGGACGAGTTCCAGTCACAGTCCCCCCAGTCAGAATCCAGGATCGCACAAATCACCCAGTGGCAACCACCAAGCAGTCTGGACAATGAACCTGGTTTGGCCGCTCTCAGTGCCGACACTGAGAGGCTAGCACGTGCCAAAATCGATGCTGTCCATCGTCACCAGGTGATTTTGGAGTACTCAGAACGGATCAGGCAGGAATACATGGCAGAAGTTGATATATGCATCAGCGAAGCCCTCAACAAAGCTGCAAGAGCCGCGGCAGGCGAGCCTTTGTCCTCTAGTGAGAGTGACTTGGAAACAGAAGACGAGACTGTGCTAGAGGGAATCCTAGAAAGCCCTGGAGAAGAAGAGAAGGCCACTCCTCATGTCTCTGAGCCTGAAGCCACTCGGGCAATGCCTTATGTTGGCCTCAAATCCCTGGCGTCTGCCCTCCGTAACCCACGGGATCTACAGCACATACCTGTGCATGACCAGAGACGTTCTTCGTCACAAGCCGTTTCCACAGGATCCAATAGCCCTATCGAGTGTCCAACCCCGAAGTCGCATAAGAGTAGCCTCATCTCTCAACCCCAGCCATTATCCAACCGAAGATCTCTTTACATAGATGATGCCAACGATAGCGACAGCAGCCTTCCCTCGAGCAACTGGCGAGCAGATTCACCTGCCCTGTCTGACCACGGCAGGTCTGCTCACTCTCGCGACAGGAAGCGCAGAAGCATGCACCTACACAACCTGACATCGGCTTCTCCTCATCGCCAGCAATCACCTGGACGGTATCCACCCCCACCGCCGTCTCCATTACGTATGAACAAATCGCGAGTATCCAGCGCCGAACTTGCCCAGTCTCCAATCGTTTCGCCTCTCCTCACGACCGGTGAATTCATGCCTGGCCCGCATGTTCCCATATTGCACCGTCGACAGTCCTCAATGCATTCCTCCGACGTACGGACGCCATCCTCACCCCGGCTCAGTTCCATCGCCCAACCTCAGCAGCGAGCTCAGCCTCCCTCAATCAAAGACTTCGAGGTCGTCAAGCCCATCAGTCGTGGAGCTTTTGGGAGCGTCTATCTGGCTAAGAAGAAATCTACTGGAGAGTATTTCGCAATCAAAGTCCTCCGAAAATCCGACATGGTTGCCAAGAATCAAGTAACCAATGTCAAAGCTGAACGAGCAATCATGATGTGGCAAGGCGAGAGTGATTTCGTGGCCAAGCTCTACTGGACGTTCTCCAGTAAAGACTACCTCTACTTAGTTATGGAGTTTCTGAATGGGGGTGATTGCGCCTCTTTGGTCAAGATTTTAGGAGGCCTCACAGAAGACTGGGCGAAGAAATACGTCGCCGAAGTTGTCCTCGGAGTCGAGCATCTCCATCATCGGGGTATCGTGCATCGAGACTTGAAGCCTGATAATCTCTTGATTGACTCCAAAGGTCATTTGAAACTGACCGATTTCGGTCTCTCCCGGATGGGGTTGATCGGGCGCCAGAAACGTGCTTTGAAGCAATCAGAAGAGCCTGCTCCTGATCTGCTCAAGCAAGGCCCGTTCACCACTCATTTATCCAGTACTGGCTCGAATCCAACGTCGAGGTCGGCATCTTTCGATTATCAAGGGCCTGGCTCCCCAGCACCTACACCGTTAATGACGCCCGCCCTCGCGGGTGGCCTTGATCAGCCCTCATACTTTAGTTTAAGCAAAGACAGCTCTTTGAGCCGTGAACTGTCTTGGAGGGCGTCGGGCCATCGCAGCGACAGTGGTAGCCAGTCTAGCTTCGACCTCAACAATTTACTCAGCAAGCTGGCCTTACATGACAGCCCAGAGGGTCAGCCTTTAAGCACTAGTCGCAGCCATACAGGCGACGAGGAAGCTCACAGCCAAGGTAGTGACTCTCCGGACTTGTTTCCCTTGTCTCAGTCCATGAGTAATATCTCACAAGCACCTGCGCCGGTTCCAGTGTCATCACAAATGCTCCCACCTCCGACCGCACTCTTTGATCCCGAAGAAAGCGGTCGCCGCTTTGTTGGGACGCCTGATTACCTTGCGCCGGAAACAATCAATGGTCAAGGCCAAGATGAAATGTGTGATTGGTGGTCACTCGGTTGCATCATGTTCGAATTCCTCTATGGCTACCCGCCCTTCAATGCTGAGACACCCGAGGAGGTGTTTGACAATATTTTGCATCGGCGAATAGCTTGGCCAGAGGACGACGAGACAGAAGTCAGTGCTGAAGCCAAGGATCTGATCAACAAGTTGATTCAATTGAACCCCAGAGATCGCCTCGGTGCAAATGTGGAAGAGAAATACTCGAGTGGTGGACAAGAAATCCAGGCTCATCCTTGGTTCGCAGATATTAATTGGGACACCCTGCTCGAGGACGAAGCACAATTCATTCCTGCACCAGAACACCCTGAGGACACCGAATACTTCGATTCTCGCGGTGCCACCCTGTCATCATTTCCCGAAGAACTTGAGGACCAGATATCGCCGTCGGGAACGACACCTGAAGGGACTGGCTATCCTACACGTCCTCATGATGCCTTGTTCCGAGCGCGGACCCAGACCACCTCAGTCAAGAGAGGTCTGATGCCACTGCACATTCCTCCTCATGTTGCGCGGGACTCTCGAAGTAGGCGCTTGAGTGAACCTGTGATCGCCGATGATTTTGGAAACTTCACGTTTAAGAACCTACCTGTCCTGGAGAAGGCCAACAAGGACATAGTAGAGAAGATGCGCAAAGAAGCCATGCAAGCTCAAGCCCGTGGGTACTCGCATTCGCAGGCTATGTCTGCGGCTAACAGTCCAGCGGTTGGTTCTCCGGGTCCTTCACTCGAAGGAAGCCCGATGATGCCTATGCCCGTCAAGAGAGCCTTGTCGATCAGCAAGGGTCATAGACCGGGCTCACCCTCAAGTCTGACGACCTCAAACTCATCACCGAGCCGGCCGTCACAGCCCTCGTCGCCTCTGCTTGTACAATTCTCTACTGCACAACATCACGAACGACGAAAGACATCTGGCTCATCTAATGGGAGTGCTTCGCTACTGCCAGGCAGCTTTTTTGACATTCCTCATGATGCTGCCAGATATGGCAATTCGGCGGCCAATTCGCCCATCAAGTCTAGCCGAGTTCCAGCCGTATCCCCTGCCAAAGTGATGAACGTACCACAGAGGCAGACGAGTCTTCATGGCCGTACCAGGTCTCAGACTGTTGGCTCCCAAGAGAGCGACAGCCAACCTCCCAGGGAGAATTTCGTCCCTGGTCACCATAAGCGCAAGAGTCAGCTATTCGTCCGTGATGTCTCTCCATCTTCGTCAGACAATGAGAATGCTCAGGCCAAAGCGCTGTTAAAGGTGCAACGCCGGAGACAGAGCTCTCGGCGACTGTCAAATATAACATTTCCTGATGGGCCATCATATCGACCGCTCGACGTGTTGATATGCGAAGATCATCCGGTGTCGAAGATGGTCATGGAGCGACTCTTTGAGAAGCTTCGGTGCCGCACTGTGACTGCGTCTAATGGACCGGACGCGCTCAGACTCGCAATTAGTCAAATCCAGTTTGACATCATATTTATGGAATTCAAGCTTCCCTTGATCAGCGGTGTGGACGCTGCTCGTATGATTCGAGACACCAAGAGCGCCAACACCAACACACCTCTTGTGTGCATCACTGGATATTTGAAAGATCTTCCAGAGTCGCATCATTTTGACACCTTGATGCAGAAGCCTCCGACCACCCAGAAGCTCTCTGAGATGCTGACCAAGTATTGTTTCTGGAAACCAGCTCCGAAGGAATTCAAGCTAGCACCGGCTTTGCAGATCCCATCGATAGGCCATCGACTTGATCGGGCCCATGCACAAGACAGCCCTAGCTCGGTTGCTTCGAGTCTCGCACCGACAATGCCGGATTCATCGTACAAGGGTTCCAGCCGAGAAGACTCGATCGGCAGTGGTGGCTTCTTCAGTGATTTGGAATCTTACCGGTCTGAGGATTTGCCGGTGATCGTCTCTCGTTCGGCGACAAGTGAGTGGTCGAAAGGTGGGCTGGGAATCTCCGATGAGATCGTGCTGGGCCAGAAACCGTACGTACAAAGCGGATTCCCCCACTTGATACACACCGAGTCTGCACCTCCTACTGCTTCTGGTGATGATCATGGCGGGTTTGGGTTTCGCACCCCGCGTCGTCAAAGATCGTCCGAGGCGGTCAAGTCAAAACGCAGTGAGCTGCAAAGACAAAGTGAGAACGCTGGAGCTGCCGAAGAAGGAGACGATGAAGACGAAGAACTCGGAGACGCACAGGTAAGGGCTCGCTCCCCCGTCGGGAAGAGTGCGCGCCCAACCTCGAAATTGGGCATTGAGATGATGCGTACCAATAGTCGGGGAAGTGTCATCTCGATGCACGATGATCGAGGCGGGGATGCGGAGAGCCTTCGCCGATCTCTAGAGGTCCTGGAAGAGCGGATTGAAAGTCTGAAGATTCCAGAAGAGCCGACAAACCAAGAACTCGTGTCTGCACAACCTCGAAAACAGCACGAACGATCTGCCTCTCAGCATTCACACCCTCAAGGAGAGGCAGAACGTCCTCCGAGCCGTGGGCATATTACGCCGCCAGTGATATTCCCCCAACGACCCGGGGCCACTGTGACTGATATCGAGATGGATAGTGACGTTACGCTGGTGCCTACCAGACATGAGTCGGAGTCATAGAGGACCCATTGTCACAACACGGTGACTCGAACAACATCAACAAACCGCGACTTTTTTTCATGTATTTATGATGACGACACAATGATTTTCTTTTCGACTTTGTTACAACGTGGAACTTTTGAATTATTCTTGTGCAACAGTATATGCAGGGCGTTGGGGGGGGGCCAGGGACAGCGCGGGAGTCCCGTGTTTGCAGTGAGCAGGATCTCAACGTGGATTTCAATCTACGACTTGTTTGAGGCCTGACTCCAGGTTGGCAGGGACAATCTTGCAGGTATAATCAAGGTGCAGACGCGAGGGACAAGAGCCATGATGCAGAGCAGGTGTGGTGGACGAGAAAGATGCGATGACACCGTTTCCCACTGTAAAACAGACGCCTGGATTGACTGACGGTCTGGCGTGCCAACATTTTAGATTTCGTCAGACGGAATATCAACGGATAATTAGCCATCACCCGTTACATCGCTCCTGTCTGTGCATGCATGCCCATCACAATCAATCTCCATGTCTTTCTTGTCTAGATCCTGTCTTGCCTTTCCTATCGTGCCTTTCCTATCAAACAATGAGCCCCAAGTAGGAGGATGGCCTAACAAAGGGGTAGATGAGGACTCGGTGATTGCTTGACAATCTGCAACATTGGATTTGGCGTATGAGAGAGTGTAGAATAGATGTGTGCTGGTGTGGTGGCATACCATTCAGTATTCTCATCAGGTGACGAAGCAATTGTCTGCAATTGTCTGATATGCCAAGAAGGACAGCACGTGCCAAGTCCCAAGTGTGGGAGGCGACAAATGATGCTCTCTGCCTGATCCACCCGTTCGCTGCTCTGACTCGCCATCGTCCATGTTCCTTGATTTGATCCCAGCTCCCCTCACCCAAATCACCTACAAGGTCATGTCCAGTGATTGGCCAACGCACCGCTGAGTTTGTCTCCCGTTCTCCTATGCTGGAACGTCAGATGGTTTATTGTGGGCAAGGTGGGCGGGTAGGTGGGTGTGAACCAAAGTGCCTGTTTTTTTGTCTCTATGTCCTCGGGCAATCGAGCCATGTCTTGACTTGTTGGAGCAGCAGCGCGTGGCCCTGGGCCTTGGAAGAGGCGAAAATGGCCTGTCCCAATCCCAGTGCTCAAACACCCAGTCGGCTTTCAGTGGGGCTTCCCGCTGGCTCGTTCATCATGTCTGCCGTACTTGAACTGGCAAACAGCGAGTGGGTGAGTGAGTGAGTATTGTGTGGGTCAAGTTCATCTTCACCTTCAGCTTCAATCCAAGCAGTTTTTTGCAGAGTATCTATCTGTCTATCTTCCGGGGAATCTTTTCACATTCTCTTTCATTTCCTTACTTCTTCGTCGGCCGCAAACCCCAAATGCAGTCCCTTCCAGTCTTTACCTCGATAAGTTCTTTTTCGTGAGACCCTGGCGGGTGATTCCAGGCCATGTTGCTAGTGTTTCTCGCCTGTGTCTTTTGCTGGGTGGCTCTGAGCCCCCACCTGGTCTCAGCACAGTCCAAAACGCTAAAGGATTGCATTGTCAAGGCCTTGGATGGTCGCAGTAATCGGGTGGCATTCTCTGACAAATTTCTCTTTGAACTTCTCGACGTCAATAGATACAACCTGGTGTACAAGACCAAGCCTTTGGCCATTACATATCCTGAAAGCGCGCAAGAGGTCAGTGGGGTTGTCAAATGTGCTGCGGAAGCAGATGCCTTTGTACAGGCGAGGAGTGGGGGTCACAGTTTTGGCAATTATGGCAAGTTAACGGAACTTACGCTGATGCGCGTTGACCAGGATTTTTTCTAACTGTGTCATAGGCCTTGGAGGAGATGACGGCGCAGTGGTGGTGGACATGAAGTATCTGGACCAACTGACGTTTGATGAGTCAGACAAGACTGCGCACCTGGGTCCTGGAAACCGCCTCAAGGACGTGAATGAGTTTCTCCTCGAATACGACCGAGTGGTGCCTCATGGAGATGCTCCTCAGGTGGGGGTTGGCGGACATTATACCATTGGAGGCCTCGGCCGAATCTCGCGACAATATGGCGCTGCGACCGATCAGATTATCGACGCCGAGGTGGTTCTCGCCAATGGATCTATTGTGACGGCGTCAGAGAAGGAAAACGAGGATATCTTCTTCGCCATTCGAGGCGCAGGCGCTTCGTTTGGAATAGTGACCGATTTCCACGTCCAGACTCATCCAGCACCTGGGAATGCAGTGGCATACACCTACAATGTCACTATCGGCGACCCCAAGCTACAGGCAGAGGCTTTCAAAGCCTGGCAAGAGCTGGTGACGGACCCGGATCTATCTTGGAAATTGTCGTCCCAGTTCATCGCCTTCCCTTTCGGATCTGTCATCACCGGATTCTACTACGGAACAGAGAAGGAGTTTAGCGCGCTCAAGCTCGAGACACAGTTGTCTGGCATCAACGAATCAAGCATCGACGTTCATCTGGTCGATGCCGCAGTGGCGGTTGGGCATGATCTCTCCGAGCTCGGTCTAGAGCTGTTTGCTGGCATCCCCACTCATTTCTACTCAAAGTCTCTATCCTTCACCAACGATACCCTCATGACCGATACAGGAATCGACGCTATGTTCGAGTACTTTGGCGAAGCATCTCGCGACCTGAGTCTCCTGGGCGTGCCGTGGTTTGTGATCTTCGACCTGGAAGCCGGCAAGATCAACGAGGTTGCGCCCGATGCCACGGCGTATGCCTTCCGTGACACCTTGTATTTCTTGCAGAGCTATGCCGTGGATCTGCTGGGAATCTTTGAAAACCAGCAACGAGATTTTTTGGATGGATTGAATGAGGTTGTCATCGACCATACACCCGGCATCAAGGGTAGTTATCCGGGCTACGTCGATCCCTTTTTGGCTGATGCACAGAAGCAGTACTGGGGAGAGAATTTGGCGAGACTGGAGGATATCAAGGCAAAGAGAGACCCGGACAATGTCTTTCGGAACCCGCAAAGCGTCGAACTTGCATGATCAATGTGGCAAATTCCAAATTCTAGCGTTGGACTCTGCTGGAGGACGCACGTCCACATGTATATCAAGCATGTAGCTTGACTAATAATGTATTAATATCAGCGATAGACTTATGCTTTGTGCGGCATTCACGGCACAGCCAGGTGGAATGCCTTGTGGATAGCATTACGGAGTACGATGGCAAGGCTAAGATATGCAGGAGACCCTCGGTACCTATGCACACAATTACGTTTGCTAGGGGCCGGAGGTAGCATTCTCAAGTCCGCGGAAGGGGATTTACCTGCACAATAATGTAGTAACACCCACAAACACGGCCTCTGGACTCTCATACACGCGCAAGGACGGGCAAAAAGCGGAGAAAGGCAAGTATTCCAGCGTTCAGGTAGGATAAGCTTGCGAAGAGCCCACGTGACAATTCCTCCAGTCAAAACAGCGACGGTGGGTCACTAACACGGCAAGTACGGAAGCGCATGACAGATATTCAGTTGAATCAGTTGAATCCAAGAAAAGACCACGCACACTCCATCACCACGGTGGGGTTTGAGTTCTCGTCTTTTGCGGCTGTGTTCGATAATTGTCATGGATTGATGGTCATATGAGAGAAATGGATCTGAAAATCTTCGACTGAAAAAGTAGGGTCTAAGTAAGCGATGGATGTAATGCGATGCGATGCAATGGATGCTCGACAGTTGAACATGTCAATCAGGAATGGGATGGTGATGAATGATGAAGATAGGGGGGACCTATCTTCCTGATTCTATCGAATGCAGCCACCGATTTATCTCCTTAAGCCTACCAGTATACACATACAGTAGGTAGTTACTACTAGGTAGGGTATGTACATTGCTGCAAGTACTTAGTATCCTGCAGCTTGATGCACCCCGTACTAGACCCAGTGCTTGGAAGCTGGAGAGAGCGGATCTGTCCATTGAATATAGACAAATCAAAAAGATCAGCGCACATTTGACGGCCAGTCATAAATTCACAGTTCCTCGGTTCGACTATTTCTTGCTGCGTTGGTCTCATGATACAAGCTCACTGAACTTTTAGTAGTTTTGTAGAAGTGCAGATTGGCGCAAAGAACGCATCTGCATCCTCTATCACTATTTCCTTAGGTGCTGCTAAAAAGGAAGCCAAAGCTAAAAAGAGCAAAGGATAACGCGGCCATTGCGGCTGGTGGGCAGGGACATGGTGCATGTTCATGGGGGGAGGAGGAGGATGACCGAGGGGGCCTTGGCCCATAAACCTCCATCACCAACATCATACATGATCACCCAGTCATTCGTATCATTCCTAGAGATCGTCACTCCTCCATGACGGATAATAGATTACGTCCAAGGGTTGACAATGTCATCACTGCTAATTAGAGAGATCCACGTCCCTCGCAAACTTCAGCGGGAAATGTTTGCGCAGTGCCCGGAAAGCGGTTCTTTCGTCCACACTAGAAACAATAATCGCCACTCATGCAAGAAGTCATGAGTTTGATGGTTTTACCGACGGATAGGAATGCTTTCGACGGTTGCCCAGGCTTTTAAGGCCCGTGAAGCTCGCAAGTTCCCCTCCCTGAACCTCACGACACTTCGGTGGCTTTCGGTGGCTTTGGGGGTGCCTCGGAGGTTAGGCGACCGCTTGGCTATCATGCGCTAAAACTTAGATAGTTAGTGGCTGCATTGAACCCTGGAGAAGCCTAACAAATCGTCGGCTTTGGCGGCTCTAGGCTCCTTGTTTGATGGTCTCAGGTCCAGCCAACCTTAAAAACTGACCCAGCCTTTTCGCACAAGGTTCTGGGACAGAGTGTGAGAGCGGGAGAGGGAATGAAGTGCAGGTGTGTGCGTGGCCTGTTCCGTTCAGTAGTACTCCGTAATTAGTTCACTCACAGTTCTAGTCACCATTTAGTGCCAGACCCCAGTAGTGGTGTGCGGCTGCCATCTGCCCTGTGCACCAGAGTCTTGATTTGAGTTTCACGCCTTTGGTGACTCTTTTGGCGCTCCAGCTAATAACTGTGCCCAGTGTGCATGGGCATATGTTACAAGTCTAGGCCACCTTCCTTGCCAGCCTGCCAACTCTCTTCTACTCCCTCCATCATCTTGGTTCTTGGTCTTCGACACTGGTCCATCAACTCCATCAACGCCTTGTCCCCATCCATCACCACTGCATTTGATCATCCATTTGCACACTCACTTGACAATCTCAGTCATCTCACATTGTCAACATCTGTCTTGTACCCTTCAGCTGGGCTGTACAGATGACTTGCGCTGGCTTACCTTGACTCTCTTTCTCCCTCGGCCAATAATCCCGCGGCTGGTCCGGGTTTTTGTACCACCCCCCCAGCTTCTCACTCCCTTGAAACACCATCAATTCACCCCGAATTCCAATCTCGTCAGCATCCAAGAAAACCACTCACTCTTGCCTGTTGGCGTTTCTGGGTTTGGGTTTCTGGTCGACTCACTGTTTTGGTCATCCGCGTCCTTTCACAAACCAATTCGATGAGTGCCACTTGCCTCTCTTGATCGCCAACTCTTTACCGCTGCACAAGGCGCACCTTCCTACCCTCCTCCCCAGTCAATCAAGATGTCAGCGGCAACAACAACGGCGTCGGTGACGTCTGCCGCCCCAACCGCGACCAGTGCATCCAGTGGTGGCAGTGGGCCAAGTTCACCGTTACTTTTCTTCGTCGCTCTTGGTTTCGGCGTGGTCTTTACAAACTTATGGTGCGTATTAATCTCACATTGGCCATGTAGGCACCTATTAACCCCTAGCCAGGATCATCGTCGGTGTCAAATATTGCTTCCGTTACAATCAGCGCAATCGACAGCGCATGAATGGCGAGGATCCTGATGCAGTCGATCTCGGCGCTATGCCTAGACAGCATCGCCGAAGAAGAGAAAAGAAACTGATGAGTATGGACGAGGTCAACGAAAAATTCCCTCTTACAAAATACAAATCATGGCGTGCTTCGAGAGCCGACGAAGGTTTGCCTACCGCTGGTGGAATCAACACAGCTTCGCGGCCTCCTACTCGCCCTGCTAGCCTACACGACGAGTCACGAGACGCTAAGGACACCTCTGAAGCTCGCGAGGCGCCAGAGCCGACAGAAAAAGATCAGTACACAAACAATCAGGAAAACCCAAAATCTCCCGGTAGTAAAAACGGCCTCGGAACTCGTCCAGCCACTCCGACTAGAGCCAAATCAACCGACTCAGATCCAGATTCCCCAATCGTACACAAAGTCACTTCCAATGAAGATGATGATGACGATGAGCACATTCAGACCGCCGTCCCTGCCGAGCAGCTACCAGACCCCGGCGATGCGTGTGCCATCTGTATCGACACCATCGAAGATGATGACGACGTTCGTGGTCTTCACTGCGGCCACGCTTTCCACGCTTCGTGTGTGGATCCCTGGTTGACATCCAGACGTGCATGTTGTCCTCTGTGCAAGGCAGACTATTATGTACCAAAGCCGAGACCCGATGGCGCCAATGCCGACGGCCTTGGTAGGACTGGCACTAATGGAGAGCTTCCTGCACCTCCCCCAACCGCATTCTCAATCATTGGAAGCGGTCGCCCAGGTCGAAGACCGGCAATGTACATCCCCGGTCGGTTCATGAGTATCGTGTACCACGACCGCGATAGGCACGGCTTTCCGGTGGTCATGCAGACCGAAAGACAGGGTCGCAGCTCACGGACACAGCAGAGCGAGGCGAACGGCACCAACATTGAGTCAGAGGAGATCCAACGTGAGCCTGAAAGAACAACCTGGAGATCACGAATCACCGGATTCCGCCTTCCCCGTCGAAATCGACCCGCAGCGTCGACCGAACAGTCCAGTGGGCCGACTGCTTCTCCAGAGATTCAGCGGACGCCATCCCAGCTGGAAGCTGGAAGATGAAGTCAGTCCGACTGCACATGCCACGATGTTATGACTCTTATGATGGATTGATGGGCTTTTATGCATGCGAGACGCTGCGCGGTGGTATGAATTGGATAGGCGACCAGACTAGAGCGTGATCGACCTCAGCTCTGGAGCTATCCGAAGGAATCTCATACAGGCAGTTCAGCATGCCATATCGAGTGATGTATCAGCATCGGGCTGGCGCACACAAAATTCATGATTGACAGACAGCATGCATTGTAGTCCAAGTGCGGTGGGATATGGCCATCGAACTCACACAGTTAGAGTTATTACCACACATTCATGTCGAATACCATGTAATTCTACTCTCTGCCAACTTCTTTTGATGTTTCTCCACTTCAACCAAACAGCTGTTGATTGTTTTCATCGTTGTACGAGAGCAAGAGTACACCTGAACCCTTGTCCCACAGTAGTGTAGACTCTGGCATATCTGGGCAAAACTGACTGTCTTCTGACATGGGGTCTAGTAGGAATGATGCGTTGATTCAGGGTGCCACTGATGCACAGCCTCCTTGGGACGTGGCAATGATGATACTGTGCTGTATGTACTCCGTACGTCGGAACAGGACATCTTGGCGGATCCTCCAAATTAAAACTCCATTGTATCTGTTTGTCTTAGATACACGTTGCGTTTTGAGGTGATGTCCAGTAGTAAAGGCATCACATCCGAGGAGGGTACGCTTATCTCCGTAGATTAATCACGTGCGCAAAGGGTTTGACCCATAACTCGGCCACACGCCCCTCACCTAAGCTTCCGCCCAGACCGAACTGTAGCCCCGGAGGAGGACTCCCAAACCAACCACTCGCCAAGAGGAGGGGCGGCCACAAAAGTCACAACGACATTAATTAAAACTCCCGATTTTTGCCAAAAATCAAGGCGGTGGCATGGTGGTGAGTTTCCCTCAAACCAATGTCTCTATAAGCGCCTGGTAATTAACATGCCTCATAGTAATGGTCAGCATGTATCGTTGTGGATTGTCCTTTAACCGACAACCAGCTCCGATCCGATCCCGGTTCGATTCCGGGTGCCGCCACAGTTCTGTTTTTTGTTTTTGCAATATTTTCGTATTAGGATCTGGTGGTTGTGTTTTTGGCTGTGTAAGGTGTAGGTATATTGATGGGACATGTGAAGATAGTTAAGCTCATCAATGCTCGTATACATCATAAGGTAGGTATTGTAGTGGTAGTAAGGCCCTCTCGGCGATGAAGATGAGCATTCTAACAGTATGCCCTGTTCACAATGAACTTGAACCTGGATGTCCATTGATATCACGTGTTGTCAGGTATTACAGACTCTTGCTCTCCCCATCTCTTGAGTTATTTTAATCGTCCTCCAACAGAACATCAAGTGCCTGCTATACTATGAACCGACATTGGCGCTGCTTTTAAGTACCGTAACCTCCTCTTCAACCATCAAGCCTGGGTGACTCTTCCCCCAGATCCAGATATCCTGGCGCCAGCCCCAAACAGGTTTAGCTTATTTCTCAACTCTAACATTCATGACTAACAAGGAATCATTTCTGGCCATTCATTTGGTTTCTCTTTCGTAACTCCTCCTTTTGTCTATGGTCGCTCAAATGTTGTTTTATTGCTTCCTACCCACGCAACCATCCTGCCTCAGGTGGCCCCTGCCGTTGCTTACACCGTGACTTACAAGTGGAGCGGAGCTCTTTTCCCCGGCTGCTTTTACACCCCAACTTTTCTATGGTGGTTTTCTTGTACAGCGGAGATGCTGTCGACAGTCCAAATTGTCATTACGGCATGGCCACCTTGACGAGGGTTTTGCTCACTATTCGAGACATAATGGCCGCTTGTCTCGGTCTTCCGATACCCTTGCTCTGTCCTCGATGGCCTCATTAGTATCTTCTCCTATGTAAGTTGTGCTGGTGCCGTCGATGCGTCGTGCACACTCCATTCCATCTCACTTATAACCTTGTTCGCCCACGTCATCGTTCAAACCCCGGCGGCGACGGAGGCGACGACGAGAACCTGGGGTAATATATCAACCGCATCATCATCGTCACTTGAATTATATCCCCCTACTGCCCTCTTAAAGATCACACCCTCCCTCAAGTCACTCGTTTTCTCCTATCCTCTTCGTCAATTTCACAGTCTCATGCAATTACTCCCAATCCGTCCTTGATCAGAATAGCGATATAATCTACGACTTCGACCCTCCAAGGTCACCCTCCCTCTTCAGCCCCAGCGAAAATGACACAGACAGCCACCTCAACCCCCCAGCCGAAACGCAAGGCTTCTGCCCCACCACATCGAACGTCTCGGAGCTATTCAACACCGTTTGATATAGACGTCTATCTCAATCCATACATTCCTCGATCACCACTTCACCTCCTCCCTAGACATATTTCTTATTTCCTTGGCTATCGAGCCCCTCGCAAAGACCATCCTTCTCCACCTCCACCACAAAGGTTTCATGACACCATTTTATACACTTCGATATTCATAGGCACCTTCTGCGGTCTGGCCATTATCGAACATGTCTTTCTCGCTCTACCTCCTTTGTCCGGCCACACGGCTCCCATCATCATTGCCTCGTTCGGCGCCGCCGCCATACTCGAATACAACACCATTGAATCTCCTCTAGCCCAACCGAGGAACCTCTTTGTTGGTCATTTCCTGTCAGCTCTAGTTGCTGTCTGTGTCGCCAAGCTATTTGGTCATCTCCCTCAAGATCGCTATGAAGACTTACGATGGCTGGCCGGTGCTATCTCGGTTGGCCTTGCCAGTATGTTGATGAGCGCGACCAAGAGCGTCCATCCTCCAGCCGGAGCGACCGCTCTAATGGCCTCAACGACAGTTGAGATTCAAGTCTTGGGATGGTGGTTGATCCCACTCGTACTCCTTGCATCCGTCTTGATGCTTTCCAGCGCTTTACTCCTCAACAACCTAGCTGGACGACGATATCCAATCTACTGGTGGACTCCCGTGGACTTGAAGGCTTTGAGAGAGGAACGTCGTAGAGCCAGAGCCGAACCTCACCAAGTCGACCTAGAGAAAGATGATTGGGACGGCTCTTCCCCCACTGCTGCCACAACCACCACCAACGCCGCAACACCGTCTGCGGCACCCCCAACGACCGTACCAGACTCCAAAGTAGACAACTCATCCGACGAAGACACAACCGAGGCCGGCTCAGATACAGGAGATCTCGCCAAGCTGAGCACTCAGGAAACACGGGTCACTCGGACCATTTCGTATAGTTCAGCATCCAGGGTACCGCACCTCCACCTAAACCCAAGTGGTTCTTCTGCTGGACACCGCCCATCCTCTTCCCAACGATCAAAAGCCCATCGAGGCAGTGCAATAGACCCTGACATCAACGAGGATAGCATCATCATCTCCCGCGAGCGCATCGTCATCCCCGACTGGCTCGAGCTAAATAATTGGGAAGATGAAATCCTACGGATTTTGATGGAGAGATTGCGCGATTCATGATCCACTGTGATGCTTACATGACAAGTATGTAATGATCAAGAAAGGCGTCAGTGGCTAGACCATAACTTAGAAGTGCAGCAGTCCATCAATATGAATGCATCGTTTGCTCTACTTTGACTGTTTCGGATCTAATCTATTGGTGGTAGGTAGCTGGTAGGGATTCATTTTTCCCTTCCCAAGGTATGATAAGGATAGGGTGTACCTTATGAAGAGTGACATCCAACGACTCCATTCGCGATATAAGAATAAGGGTAAAGGATACAATCCCATAATTCAACCCACCCTTCCATTCTAATCTATACCCCTTTAGTTCAAGAGGCAGTCACCTTATTCTTCGCACCAAAGATATCCTTTGCCACCATGGCCCTACAAATCGGATGATAAAAGTCCTTGTTCTTCTCAAAGGTATCAACCGCCAGATCGACATCCAAGGACAACAGGCCACGATACAAAGGGCGCACAAACTTCATTCTTCCCACCTGACCCAGTAATTCAACCACAAACGGTTTGATCGACACATCTCCACTCTTCATCGCAACCTGATAATACCGCGACGAAACTTCAACGTTGCGACTTTCTTTGAGTTCGTAGATGGATCCCATGTAGTTCGAATGAGGGACCGGTAGGTTTTTCTTGAATAGTAGGACTCGTTCGAGGAACACGACGACTTGATTGGCCGACCAGCCTGCAATGTCGAGTTTCGTAGGTCCGAAATCGGGGTTGGGTTCGTGTGTGAACTTCTCCCATTGGTCGGCGAGGGAATTGGCGGCGTCGACGAGGGATGTGTCGAAATCGGGTTTGGGAGGGTATCCGGGCTTGTAGAACCAGGTGTCCCAGTCGATTTGGTTGAGTTTGGTGGCTACTTCTTGGTTGGCGGAGAAGAAACCTAGGAGTGTGGCTTTGAAATCGTAGCTGTCGAGGGACTTGCCGCGCCAGGTTTCAAAGTAATGGGGAATAAAGGTGTCGAATTGGTCTTTGCCGATGAGTTTTTCAATGTAATATAGAAAATTGAAGCCTTTCTCGTAGGGGATGGATGAGAATGCATCGTCAGGGTCTATGCCTTTCAAGTCGATCACTAATTTGGTGAATTCGTGCTCGGTCCCATATTGTTCAATGCTGTCGGTCATGGCCTTCCAACCAATGATGGCAGAGAAGTCTCGCCACTGATCTCCTCCATGGACTATTGCTTGAATACGGCGTTCGAGATATGTGGTCCATCCTTCGTTGAGCCAGAAATGTTCCCACGAGGCATTGGAGACGAGATTGCCCGACCAGGAATGACTGAGTTCGTGGGCAATCACGTCGACATTTTGCCGATCTCCAGAAATTACCGTCGGGGTAGCGAATGTGTAGACTGGGTTTTCCATCCCGCCATAAGGAAACGATGGGGGGAGCACGAGGACATTGTACTCGCCCCAGGCATAGGGGTAGACCAAGGATTCGGCAGCTTTGAGAAACTTTTCAGTGTCTTCTTCGAATTCCCATTTGGCATCTTTGATCTCGTCAGGCCCGGTGGCGACAGTGCTACGTGGACCGATTGGGGCGGTCACGATGTCGCCGGCCGCCAAAGCAAAAAGATATGCAGGAATAGGCACCTTTTGCTGAAAGTTGTACATCTCACCACTACCGGTAGTCGAAGGGGACGCAGGATTATCTTTGGCCGCTATGCCAGAAGCGATGACTGGAAGGCGAGACGTGATGTGAAAGTCAAATGTCGATTTGACATCCGGTGTGTCTTGACAAGGAAAAATGGATCTTGCGTGGATTGCCTGGCACTGCGAAAAGACATAAGGGTGTTTCTTGTTTCCAGTTTGCTCTGGAGTCAGCCATTGTAAGGCGGTGCAAGATTCTGTGGTTTCCAAATCGATTTCGACGTCCAGAGTTGTGTCAAGGGCATGTTTTTCGCCAAGTTTGATCTTGAGCGGACTTCCGTACGGCTCCACTCGAGGCAGGAGCTCCCACTTGGGCACTTTGCCGGCGACTTTGATGTCATGGATCTGCAAATAGCTTGTGTCGAGTATGATTTCATCGCTTTCTCCGTCGGTGATGGCCTTGAATGTATGGGTAACGCTTCCCTTGAGCTTTCGAGCGTCGAAATCAATGTCAAGTTTGGTGACAGAGTGGATAGTCTTCCAATTGTTGTAATTGGATAACGTGTTGGGATCACGAGGTGGATTGATGATGACTTTTGTGGCCATTGTGCGAGCAGACGAGAACAAAGGCTGGGATAGACTGAATAGGTCTTGAGTTTGAACGACAGATCGAAATGAGGCACGGAGAGCTAGTTTTCCGATTGAACCCCAGGCAGATCCGAATTTCATTAGAACCAGATGGTTGAACAGGTGTTATAGATGGCTAAATCAGCCTTTGTTGCGGCCAGTGTATGCTCTATCACCAGTATCCACTGATTATGTGTTGAGAGCTTGTCATCATCCGAACGAATCGAGATGGTGGTGGAAAGGTCTGAGGTGGTCGTGACAAAGTTGCCGGGTGATCTTGGCGGGGGTGTAGGGTGGAGAATCTAGTGCAATAACGACACCTCGTGTACCTGACTTCCAGGACTTCCAGCCTCTTCAAACAAAACACTTGGGAAGTTGTACTCGCCTGATTGATGGGACAGATGGGCATCTAGCACTTACATTTTCTGTTCATGCTGTGATATTTAAGATGGGGTTTCTTTGGTCAACTTGAAGACTCCTGGGGCCATGGGCAGTTGTCAACCCTCGGGCTTCTGGTAATTCTAGTTTCTTGTGAAGGAGACTGCTCTTGGACAAGTAGTGACTCTGCAAATGCCACCCATTGACACTCTTGATCATGCAGTGGAAGTCTAGCAATGAGCTGAAAGACTTGTTCAAGCAAGAGGTCGTCGTCTCCATACGATCCACCCTACCAAGAGCGGATCTTCGGCCTTTTGTTTTTCCCGAGTGTTTTGTGCTGTGAGAAATTCATGATTGTGAAGAATATCAACAAAAATCTGTCAGGCTCTGCCAGATGGCGAGCTATATCCTAGGTAGATCTTCAGATGCCAAATATTTGATTTACTTAGACAGATCCGATCCCAGATCCTTCATGTGTCTAGCGTCGCCATTGATGCCTGCTACAAATCACAGTGTCTCCCAAGAGATACAAGCAATGGTACTATATCACGCCACTCACTCGCCTGCTCCAGACCAACTGAAACCACAAAAACAAGCCAGTGGGCCTATGCATACTCCGTAATGTCCTCGAGACGATGGACTGATTAACCCCCGTGCGCCACCCATCTTTCGAGGCGTCTTCCCCATGGAGAAATCCCGTCTTCGGACGAGAGGAAATTGGGGGGAAGGGGCAAGTTGACTTTTCAGGCTGCCCACAACTGGCACAAACATGGACAATGGGTATGCAAGCCACCAACTTCTCGCTCCCACCCCGGTCTCGCCGGTTCTCCTAGGTCCTTGATGCAGAATCCTTTGACATGTCGGAAGCGAGCACAGACATAATTGCATTGGGCCTGTCGGTCTTTTTGTCTGTCTGTTTATCAGCGAATGTCAACAAGATGCATTTCAAGTTGGACAACGTAGATTGCACCACCCCCCTCGACAAGCACAAGCTGTTTTCTCACCGTCTTTGCAACGCGAATCTGTTGGACAGCCTTGTTGTTTCCACTTGGTTACTTCTACCTCCTTCATGGATACTGTAGTGCTACATCCGTGCATAGAGCCTCTGGAAATGATCGTCATGAGCTCTACCAAACCTCGTCACACAATCAGGAGAAGCGTAACAGTCTGAGTACGTTGGTAATTAAAGGCCTATTTTGTAGCTACAAACGTTGCAAGCAGGCGGCTGGCCAACCGCCGTTGTCCTTTTGACTACCCTTGCACCACACTTGTGGCGATCTCACACTTCTACCACTCTCCTTTCTGGTATAATCTCCCTCATGTATAATCTGGGACACAGCATATTGTTCTGAAGGACCTCAATGCTGCTCCTGCTCCACTTTGTCCATCAACGCATGTCACCCGTGTACAGGTCGACATGCCACTTCCGAGACCTTCAACACTTACTCTCCCTTGGCTCTCTCACTTGCACCCTTGATGTATCTGCTTAGGTCGCCGACTGGGAGGTTGAGAGGGAAGTCCACCGCAGCCAGAAGTTGCACAAAGAAGAGATACCATCCAAGAAGACAGGTAGTGAAGAAGAGTCCTCCCGCGGCGTGTTGATAAGTGACATTGGGATCCGAGCGACCCATAGAGAAGAACAAGGCCGAGAGACAGGAGAATCCGGCCGTCAGGGAGGTAAAGATCAACACAAATACAATGTTAGTCCGGAGAGCGATGATCATGTAGATGAAATCCAGCACGGCCATGTATACATGGAAGAAAGCGAAGGTGGACGCAAAGACCGGGTCTGAGGCTGCTGCTGCAGGATTGTCGGGCAGGTATGCGGCGGAGGCGTTGAAGTAGGGTGTCAGGGTAGCTCCAAAGGCAAGCCAGAAAGCTCCAAAAGAACCAAAGACGACAAAGGGGAACGTGTTGCCGAGGATGAATTCCAGGATGCTAGCAATAAGCATCAAGAGGCCTCCGAAGAAATAGTAGACGCCACTATCGGGGTGGTCAGCTTAAGAATCTCCTGTATCTGTGTTGGTGGAAACACTTACACTTCAGCAGCACCGAGACCGCCTGAGCCTTGCCATCCGAGTAAGACGTTGGATAGCGGCGTCAGTGCGATGAGGAAACCAATCAAAGCCCTTGTTAGCGTTAGCGAATGCTAGAGTCGACGGTTGCAAAACTTACAGAGGAGTCGGGTTTCCAAAAGTAGACCGAATGTTGTTGGAAACACGATTCTTGGGCGAGAGGTAGATCTTCTCAAACAGCTCTGGACTGACGGAAATGCTGCCAGCAGTCCTGATTCTCTTCAGGGCAGTTTCGCTGTCGTGGTGTTCATGGTGCAGATCATATCTGTTGCCATTCACCGAGTCGCTGCCGGCATGGTCCTTCTCGACGTCAGGTTGATGGTTAGGAGCGGACATTGTGTGCTGAGGGAAGCAAGGATAGGATGGTCTGGTTTGCAAGAATGTTCGTGGTATCCGCCGATTTATAGAAAGTGGTCAAGCCAAGGGAACCAGCAGGGTTGAGATGGCGACACAAAGACAAGGTTGAGACAGCGCAAATTGATCATTCAAGCATACTGGGTGAGGAGTGCATGATATACTTGACCAGGTGCAAGGCCCATAAGGTATGCATGGTCTTGTTTGGTCGCGTCACATACCACCATGATCGAGTGATTCTCCTCTCGGTGGAGGGGAGACCCCCTAAGCCGCTCAGCCGAGTGTCGCTTCCCATTTGGGTGGAGAGGCAAACTCATGTTCCTTGGAGCCAGCCTCCGAATGCAGTGTGGTGACCAAGCCATGAAATTAGAAACACCTGTTGACCGGCCAAGCCCGCATGGGTCCAGGACGATCAGTTGGCCAGTGGACGGCGACTCGACTCAGACTCGCCTCGAGCCAGCAGACGTCCCGGATCAGCAGCCTTGAGATGTGGTTTTTATTGGCCACCAATCATGTCATGCACAAAATTGTTCAAGCTTTAAACTATGATGAGGTCTAGTCCCCCATACGATGGGTTGACCACAAAGCTGGGGTATGTTGGTGCATGGACGGCATGAGTGAACATCCGGTATCATACTGGAAGAGCCTGCTCGGCAGAGTGCAGGCCCGCTGGCATACCTACTTTACACCCTGGTGAAGAGGACCGTGAGCGACTTGGAAGGAGCGGGGCAGAGCAGCGTTGTCGAGGTCTAAGACCGTGAGCATCTCTCGAATCAATGAGGATCAACGATACTTGAGTCATTGACTCGAGTTGTCTTCAAGTGGTGAGTTGGCACAGGCAAAGATTGGATGTGCGGGATTCTCGGAAAAGAAAGGTCTGCGGGGTTGGAACCAATGCCGTGCATTCAATATTGCTCGGAAGCCTCAGAATGACATGTCTCTTCTCTGTCAGTGATCGGCAACACAGGTGACCGGCGAATAATCGGTAGCAAGGTTGAACTCAACAAGTATGCCAGAGCTGCCATTGTTATCTGGGGAGATGATGACGAGGATACAAGCCGCGGGGTTTGGTCCACAACGATCAGCTGGACACCAGAAATCCATCAATACTGGAGACGGTGCAGTGGCTCGAAGGAATAATGATCTACGGATACTGAGAAAGATATTAGAAAAGGTATGGACGTCGGGAATTGGTACTGCTGCACATCTCGACGAGAAGCATTCATCCACTCATTGTCTTACCATCAAGTTATGCCCAGGACAACATGAATTGCGGGGGACGATCAGGGCAGCAGGGCCAAGATGGCACAAGCACGGGCTGTCAGAGTCCAAGGAGCAAGGGATCCCTGAGAGTCATTGGGTTGAGATCCGAATGGCCGCTGGTATGGGGGTGCGCGGTTGTCCCATCGTGATGAAAACGACCAGACGCGTCACACGTGCATGGTGCAAGACCACTTGTCTGTTGGCACACAGAGTTCGGATCACAGGACTGGAGGCATTGCTCAGATGGAACCCCAGGAACTGCGGAGAGGGTCTTGTCAAAGCGGAGGCATATTGAAGATCTCCAGTCCGGCTGACAAAACTCTAGGACATGCAAGGGTTGAGTTAGGAGAGAATTCCTCCTACTGGAGGGTCAAGTGGTGTGAGTTTGAGATTGGATTGAGCCACATTCTGGCCAGAGAAAAAGACAGCATCGAACAGTAGGAAGTGCAAGCGCAATCGTGACCCGTGACTGCAAATGCAGAACCCCAGTGCCCCAGCGCTCTTGACACGCTTAGCCTGTTCAGGTTTGGCGTTGCCGGACAGAAGGGGTGGTGCTGGGAAGCTTTCCAGAATTCCGCACCTCCTTTGCTCCAACATATGCGTATGGGCAATATGAACAACTTCGATCTACCTTCTCGAGACGAATTCACTATGTATTACTTCTGGGTGGAGGCACGCCAGTCGATGAATTCCTTTACAGAGGGAAGATCTACTCCGTACTATAGTCTTGGTACACTTCGTACTTCGTAGTCTTAAGCTTGGCCGATTAAAGTTGTCGTAGCAGATCCAGCTTGTGCGGAGTGCAGAAACATGGGCAGCAATAACTTGCTCCTTCATCGTCAGGTGAGGCTCGGAGTCAAGGAAGGTGTGATGGGTGCATTTGGTCACGTGTGCTGCATCTCTGACCTTGGGCTCTGTGTTGAACTCTATACCGTGTTGTTACCCCCTGATTGACATGTCAGGACCTCTGGAAATTTCGTTGCATTCTCGCATGCTTTGGCCTGGATGTTGGATGAAGCCTCCCGACTTGTCGATCTCGGGATCGAAACAGCACAGCCAGTTGGGGGAAGGGAGCGTATCGCGGTGCTGAGGATTCAACATATGGAAGAATTGATCAAGTCAGCCGGAACATTCAGCGACAACTTTTCACCTGGTCTAGCTATGTATTGAATAGCTGAATGTCCGATTCTAGATCTTCTCCCGCCCTGGACTTGTCCATAGGAATCCAGACCAAGGCAAGGAGAACGGCGTATTCATCATGCGTCCAAGATGGTTCCCTGTTTTACACAACAACCAAACCGCAAAGACGTGTATGTACAAGTTGACAGTTGTTTTGCATCGCTGTTGCACTCATCACCGATGCGATGCCGTGGAAATGAGACTCTCGGGTGGGTTTCAACTCTGCGAGTCGCAATCTACAAGCTGGCTTTTCTCCATCTTCAATTAACTCTCTTGCCCCGTTGGAAAGCATCATCTTCCTATAACAGCCGCCCAATCAATTCTCCGCAGACACCTTGGTCAAATATGCCTCCAGGTCGAAGTTCTTGTCGTCGGGATCGGTAATGACTGTCAACCTCAATGTCAGTCCATCATATCCTTATTTTGTGCCAGCTCGGATCTTAAATTAGTCCAAATCAATGGGAACATACCATCACCACTTGCAGTCTTAGACTGAGGAGGCAGTGTCTTCTTTGCCCATTCTAGTTTGGCCTTTTGTATTAAATCCACCTTGTGTTGGTATTCGGCTTGCGCGTGAGATGCTGCGTTAGACGAGTAGATCGTTCTTTGGTGTGAAAATCCGTACAAGACGCCAGCAATCAGCGCCGAGTATCGGAGTACCTGCACAGTCACTGGTCAGCTCTGTTGGCATGCTATCAAGCTGTCGGCGTGTCTTACGTTGACTCCCTGAGAAGTTGACATTGCAACAGACTGGCCGGGCAAGAGTCCGTCGATCGAGAGTCTCGTGGTATATGCGCCTAAAAAGCAATGGATGCTTATGCTCGTCTCGCTCTCTCAGTCGCTACCGGTGACGGTCGTTTAAATGTAGAAAGGGAAGTGATTCAAAAATGTCGCGGGAGCTTCAGTCAACGGAAAAACCAACAGGCCGGAGGTTGAGCTTGAGAATCTTTGGAGATCCCTGCGCCCATCGTCATCACGTGACAACGCGCCTCCCACGCCCCATCTTTCTCAGTATTGTTTGTTCCTAATCCGCACGGACAGAACGCACCACCCACCTTTCCGCAGATGAGTTGACCCAGGTCCCACGTTTCGCCATGTCCTCGCGCAGAGATGAATTACTTGCCAAAAAGGCGCGCCTGGAGGAACTTCGCCGCCAGCGCGACCTGCGCCGGGAGTCATATGGCTCCTCGACTCCAAACCTGGGGGAGGTAAGTCGTCCCCTAGAATGAACGGACCTATTCTCAATGCTGAACTTTTTTGATAGACGGCCACGCCAGCCCAGTCCGTGGAAGAGCGAAAGTTGGCTGTCGACAAGATCGTTTCCGACCTGTTAGGTCGACCGCGGGATCAGCCAGGCTCTCCTGGAAGGAAAGGATCCCGCCCTAGTTCGATTCACGGAACCGGGACCCTAACACCCCAGACCGACGTCGACCCATCCCCCCATGCGTTGATGCAGTCGACGTCCACACAGACTGACGCCACTACTTCAACATTTCCAATCCACGAAGATGCTGCCGGCCATGAACCTGCCCGCCCCAAGCCAGAATATATCACCTACACTAAAGGAGTCCAGACAGAACCCAGCCTGGAAGAGATTACAAAGTCAGCAGACGATTCGGATGATGAAGACCTGAAACATTCAAAAAGACGCTCGATCAAAAGAGATCAGGAAAGGGACGAAGAAATTCGGCAGAGCTTAAGGCGCGAAATCGAACAGGAGGTTCAGGCAACATTGACTGGCGATCCCAACTCTCTTCTGCCGACAACAGCACCACAGCGATTTCCACTGCGCACCTTGACAGACACCGAGCTTAATGCGGTGGTTGCGTCTCCTGATTTTGCCAACTTTGTCGAACGGTCATCTAGAGTTATTGAGCGAGCGCTGGATATGGATGACGAGTATGATCTGCTGGCGGACTATACTCGAACATCCCTTTTGGACGATAGCGACGATGACACGAATTTCTCACGATCCAACAAAAAAGCACACTCCCTCCGCGAATCCTTTCAGTTGTTTTCCGACAAAGACTCACGACGACGCATGATATCCGATGTTCATTTCTCGCCGCATTTCAACGAATTGCTATTATCTTCCTACACCAAAAACCCTTCGGCGCCTCATGACTCGGCTGGACTTGTACTCATCTGGAATTGCCATTCGCCCTCGCGGCCGGAGTACACCTTCAGAGCCTCGTCGGATGTTTTATCTGCACGCTTTTCACCATTCCACCCCAATCTCATCATAGGCGGTTGCTATTCTGGGCAGATCTGTCTGTGGGACACGAGGTCTTCCAACAGGCAAGGACAACCAGTCCAGAAAACCCCTCAATCAGGATCACACCTCGGTCATACGCATCCAGTCTACAGTATCAATGTAGTCGGAACTCCAAATGCACACAACATCATGACTGCATCCATGGACGGTGTGGTTTGTTCGTGGTCTGTCGATATGCTGACGCAGGCTCAAGAGTATCTGGTCTTGCGCAACTCCAAGGCAGACGAACTGGCCCCCACGACCATGAGTTTCCCAGCATCTGACCCCACATACTTCTTGGTCGGCACCGAAGAAGGGAGCATCTACCCATGCCACAGATACGACCGAGCTGGGGCCTCCGCTGGTGTCGATGGTCGGACCACATACTCAGGCCACAAAGCTCCAGTGATGAGCTCACATTTCCACCCTGCTCGTGGCATCACCGATCTCGGTGATCTACTCCTCAGTTCGAGTTCGGATTGGAGTGTAAAGCTCTGGCGAACCAAGCCCGCAGCCAGCTCCGGGTCTGCGGCAGCAGCATCCAAAGAAGCAGAGAAACTATCCCCGATCTTGAGCATCGAGCGTGAGGATTTGGTTTACGATGCTAAATGGGCTCCCCATAAACCGTCGGTGTTTGCCTGTGTCACTGGAGCTGGGGACTTGGAGGTCTTCGACCTGAACTTCGATCTCGAGGTGCCCATCACCAAGGCAAGTCCAAGTCGGGGGAAGAATGGAGTGGTTCCATTCCGAGGGCTGAATAAATTAGCTTGGGAGGAGAAACGCGGAAGTCAGATTGCGGTGGGTGGTCTTGACGGGAATGTGACGGTGTTCGACGTCGGTAAAGGCTTACAAGCCAGTAATGACGAGGAGAGGAGAGAAGAGTGGCTGAACATGAAGACGCTGGTGACCAAATTGGATCGTCAAGGACAGTGAGTAGTAAAACTTGAGATGTGTCTACCTCGGCGGCTTATGCTCGTGGTTGAATTGGCTGGTCATGCGTGGTGATGACCACTACCACCGATATATATCCCAACGCTGTCTATCTAAAAGATAAACCCTCATCCGCATCCGGCGGATTTCTCTCTCTCTCTATACACCTAATTTCCAATCCCTTTACTCACAAAAACAAGATCATCTTCCTTTCCTCCCAAGTCACTAAATGAATTGACGCGAGGTACATTTTAGAAATCACAATTTTGGCTTCACGTGCAACCTTCGCTTCGGTCTTGACGGTCGGCCCATACTCCAAAGTCCATGATTTTCGTCCGCTGTGCTGTCTTTCTGTGTCGATGAAGAAGGCTGCTTCCTTGAAATACTCGTCACATCCACCTTGACTAGGTTGTCACCCAGGAGAACTTCCTGACAATCATCGTCAGGCACACCGTTGACAAACTGTGTGACGACGAAATCGACTCTGCGCGATCCCAGTACCACCATAGGTGCATGCCATGTTCCTGCTCCGTACGTGACGGCTTGGTCGCCGCGGGCTACAAAGGCCCGGATTCGGCTTAAGTCGGGTGGATTGTTTGTGGTGGTGGTGATGGTTGATGATTGTGGGATTACTAAGGGGTCAGGTGGTGAGGATGGCGACAGAGAAGAGGGAGGACTTGCGGCTGGAAGAGGAGAGGTTAAGGTCGGGGCGACGATGACGAGGAAGACGGTGTCATTGCCGTCGTCATCGTGGCTACCGACATCGGCATCCACATCCCCAGAGTCAGTCTCTGCAGCCAATCCAAGCGGCACAAACGTCTGCGTCGTATACGGATGACGCTCAAGGATCGAAACACGAAACACATCCCTCGAAGCTGCTCCGACACGGCCCTGTCCATCTGGAACATCCATTCCAATCCCACTAAGGTTGCGCGGAAAACATGAAAACATACTCATTTGCGGCCACGACGATGGTTTCCGGAGATCCTGAGAAGTTCCATTCGCAGACGATGAAGGGTACGAGTTCTGAAAGACGGAAATGGGCGATGTCTTCAATGCCGAGTTTTGGTTTGCCAGTGTGGCTTGTGGTTGATGGGGGGCGTGTAATGGTGGTGGGATTTCGCTGGCTGAGACGGGGGGCTTGTTCATTTTCCGCGGGTCTGGTAATGGACCGGTGATCGCTGTGCCGAATGGTGAGAATGTTGAAGGAGTTAGAGGTTCCAGTGGAATGAGAAGGCCATTGATGCCCAGAGTGGTGGGTAATGTTAGTGGCATTGTGATGGTATTGATGTGGTGGTGATAGGCGGGGGAGGAGGAGGTGGGATAAACCTCCACAGTGCGAGGAATGGCGGTGGCAAGTAGATAGAGGACGAGCTGAGTGTTGACCGACCAGTGCTTTTGTGCTTAGTGTCTCAGATAGAGACAGTAGAGTGGATGTTTCACAACGAGGACAAATCTGTATCTTGGATGATGCTTTGAACGTGTGAGGTCTAACAGGTGAATTTAATTCGGAGAATTGAACCCCTCGTGTGGGACCGAGGCGATGGCCGAGGGAAGCGTCCGAGTCCGCGCAGTCAGCCAACAGAATATCTGGTTTATCACTGTTAACTTTTGGTTATCTCAAAGCATACTCCGTACATATTATCGTATGCTTATCGGTCTCAAGCCATCAGTTCGTACACTCAATGCAAATACAAACGATGGGCAAACACATTTGTCATAAGCTCGTTACTCCTTCACTGGATCTCCACTGGAGTCGACTTGGGTCTAGTTCCTCAGCCATAGGACAGGGAAATAGACGACGCTGAAATTCAAGAAATATGAAACTCAGTAATGCTGCTCATCAACTAGGACTTGCTGCAAGTCTGTAAATATGTTCGCTTGAGTTTGGCACAACAGCAGCCGGTCCATCTCTCTATTTATGATCATTTCACCGACGACGTGCAGCCTTCTGCTCTCAGAGATCTCCTCTGAGGTGTTGATATTCTGAATAAAGAACAAGTCATCACCACATGGCGACAGATGGGGCTCGCATGGCGTTGAGCAAAACTTCAATCATATTCCTGTGGTAGCTCGACTCAATGATCTCTACCTTTAAAAATCCTGAGCTGTCATTTACAATGACATTGACTGTAATCAGGCTGATGGACGGAGCCAACCCATCAGAGATTCAAGTGACAAACTTGCACTTCGTTCCACGTTCCACGCCTTGTAGAAAGCCATCCAGGGCTCACAAAGAGCCCAATGCTGCGAGCAGAGAGCAGTCTTGGGTAGGACCGGCTGTCCCTAGTCTTTGTACGCAGTGTGGGATCAAGCACCCGAACCCAGAATTGATGGTCTGTCGTGGGTGATCAAGCGCTGCAGAGGGTTGAGCCCTCAACATGATGGCTAGCTGCACAACCTGCGAAGGAGAACAGCCCAAAATTAGTAGTATGGACGTATGCGTGCATGACTTGTGGGCATCTCTGGTCGTTTGTATGGTTATCGTAGTCAAATCATGACAACGACGTCAATGTTTCATCACACGAACTGAGATTGCCAATACCCCAATGTCGTACGTCACTGGTAGAAGACGAGGGAGGGCACAAGGCTGTTCGACACTCCCTCCAGTCTCTTGACCTTCTCGGCGTCCTCAATTAGACCCCCGTTCGAAAACAGATAATCTCGGCAGGGGCACGGTACCACTTTATAGAATTGATGGACCTTCATGTGCCAGTGTCAAATCGTGTCAAATCGGTGATAATGGGGGATGCTGAAGGGAGGAAGGTTGTACTGTGGCGGTGCAGCTCATGTCTAGCATCGAGTTGATCGCCATTTGTTTGTATCCTGACGTACAGACGCAGTGAGACAGACTTACAGAGCAACGGTGTGTCCGTGAATTCGACCTGGAGATAGGTGCTTTCCAACTCCAACGATGTTGCCGAAGACTATTGTGGCGATAACCTCGTCCAGGTTACTCCCGACTACGGAGTAGTTGACAAAAAGCCTGGAAGATCCAACATCTCGTCAGCCCGACAGGGGTATGAAGTGGCTCTCGCTAAAGAGTTTAAGTTACAGACTGGAGGCGAAAGGCTGCAAGGGAGGCTGCAGCCTCTTGGTCTGCAGTAGTTCAAAGGTTGGGAAGGTGGTTGGCTTAAACAGTGGCGCCTTCCTTGGTAGTGTACAACCGATGTCAGGGGCAACACGCAGCCTTCAGAGACTTTGGAGGCTTGGTTGGCCATTCGGAAGTGAAAAGTTGGTTTGCTAACCCCAGGAGCCCAGAATCCAGCCCGAGGCGCCCACTCTAAAGGCCGATAGCAACAAACAGGCGTCCTTCCGTCCCTAGCGCCCTCCCCACCGCCCTCCCCAGCGGCCAGCCGATGACCAGGTCAGTATCTTCTTTGCAGCCAAAGGCCAAGTTGCCAACTCATGTCCTCAGCAACAAGCATGAAAATAAGAGACCAGCAGGTCCTTGTCCCTGCTCGTCTCTGCCCTATCAACTGAACAGTGGACATTTGATGGCTTCTGTTGAGAAAACCAAGTAGATACACACTTGCAGCTAGCTGACTCACAACCTACCAGAGCCCTTTTTAACTGCAAGCATTCCTACCTACTCCGTAGGTACGGAGAAGCAGTGTAACACTGTACTCGCTGCACTGTTCGCATATCCGTCCATTACTCCGTATGTGTGTGCGGCTCAATAGGAATCGAGATTGCCGAGTAGTGTGAGCCACACGTGCGGGGCCTCGACCAGACGCCCTGGCCAATTTCCCACTTTCTTTGCTTGGATCATGACTGCCATCTTCCTTGAGACCGGCCAATTAGCAATGATCATCAGTAGCTGTGAAACTCCAGCCGCCTACCAGGCCTGCTACTGCATGTCACCGCCAGTAGGCACATGTACAAAGCCGTTTGGGTTTGGTGACTGCACTTCATTGCACAGCATTACGTGATGAGGTAGCGTTTGATACGCATCGCCAGCTATTGAGAGACCAGCATCAGCTTGCCGAATGCCCGGACAGTGAAGTCAGTGGGACGCATGGCGTCATGAACCATATGTGTGCACAGTGCTCGTACAGAGCGTCATGCCGTTAGCTATTGGGGCCTTCAACTGGGAAGAAGCAGCTGCTCCGCATTGAAGTTTATTTTGTGACTTGACGTTTGTCTTCGTCTGTCCCAAGAAGTGCGATCGCCAGGTCGCTCTTAAACGTGCCTTGTAGGGTAAATATTGGTTGTGATTGGGTGAAAAGTACAAGTCCATCGAAGGACAAGCACAGATCGTGGCGGAAGTGGGGTTGGGGTTTCCTGGTCCTTGCATTAGCTTCCCGGAAGACTCCATGAATGACAGGGGGGTATACGTGAATTCCGAACTTGATCCATCTGAGCTTGTCCAACTCTGTGAATGTCTCGAGTCACCATCGAGGCCACGTCCTCTGTCGCCTCCCTCGATCTGCCTTGTCATAATGATGAAAAGTTTCCGAATCTGTCAGTTGCTCTAATCATTCAGCTTTCATGATCCCACCAGTGAGTCCAACTGAACGTGACTCAAAGTTTGCGCGTGTGAATCATCTCTCACAAAAGGCCATTCTTTGCCCGCAGAGGTAATCCAGCCTCCCTTCTACTTCGTGCACATCTATCCGCGTTTGATTTCCTGGTTCCAGCGCCACAAGCTTGATTTTTTCCCTCGGGCAGATCTTCCCACTTTTTCACTCGTCCCTCCGATCATTCGCCTACATTGGCTCCATTCACCTTGAAGCCAATTCTTCCACACCCGCCGCTCTCGCCTGGCTCTTGCCTTGGTACTCCACACTTTGACCCTGGTTCTTTCCTTCTTATCCACTGACGACAGAACAGAAGCAGACGCATCCTCCATCCTCCACCACATCGACCGTTCTCCTGCCACAATTCTTCTGCTCGGATCCAATTGGCACTTCCCAGGTACAGTAGATAAACCTTCTGCCGTCAGTGCGTCAACCTTCCCTTCTCCTCCACACCTCTCTCCTCCCCTGTCATCAACCTCGCCTTTATCATCCTCTCTCTCCTACGACTTCTCACGCAATCCCTTACACAGGTAGTCGTGCATCATCTTACCAGCCGCACCCTTTACGTCGCGTAACCCTCACTCCACATCAACCAACGACGCCTTCGTCACTTCAGATCTCTACACAATGAAGACTGTCATTACTGCCGCCATTGCCTTCGCGGGTCTCTCTCTTGCGCAGAGCCTCGACAGCTTGCCACAATGCGGTGTATGTTACTCTCACTCTTGGGGGAAACCTATGCCTATCCATAAACTGACCATTGTCTACAGCAACTCTGCATCAATAACATGCTTGGGCAAGCCACCAACTTGGGCTGCGATTCCAGCAACGATCCTGCCTGTCTCTGCTCGAGCGCAGACTTTGGCTACGGCATTCGTGACTGCGCTATTCAGGCATGCCCCAGTGGTACAGATCTCGGATCTATCATTCAGTATGGACTTGACTATTGTGCTGCTGGTATGTCCACGTCCACGATGCAACACCAGGTCAAGATATTCTTTGGATACTGATTTGTTGGACAGCTAGTGGAAACAACGGCGCAACCTTTAGTGCAACTGACGCTTTGACCGCTGCTGGAACCGCAACCGGTGCTGTGGGCAGTCTATCTGGTATTACTGGAGCCACTGAGACTGCAACTGGCGGTGCTGGCGGCGCGTCTTCAGCCCCAGTCTCAACCGAGGCTGTCGTCACCACCATTGTCAGCGATGGCAGTACCATCACTAGCACCATTGGTAGCACCACCATCTTCAGCGAAGCCACTGGTGCCGCTGGCGCTGCTTCCTCGGCCATTAGCACTGAGGCAATCGTGACTACTATTGTCAGCGACGGATCAACCATCACCAGCACTATTGGCAGCACCACGCTGTTCACTGAAATCAGTGGAGCGGTTAGTGATTTCCAATGCTTCCTCTCAATGCACTCTTACTGACTCATGGCACAGGCAAGCTCTGCCTCTGGCGCTGCTTCCTCTGCATTGTCTGGAGCCTCTTCAGCCGCCTCTGGTGCCGCGACCAGTGCTTCTGGTGCAGTGACCTCTGCCACAGGTGCCGCTGGTACAGCAGCCAGTTCTGCTACAGGTGCTGCTGGATCTGCAGCCACCTCTGCTACTGGCGCAGCTGGTTCCGCTGCCACCTCTGCTACTGGTGCAGCTGGTTCTGCTGCTAGCTCTGCCACAGGCGCTGCTGGGTCTGCGGCCAGTTCTGCATCCGGTGCTGCAGGATCCGCAGCCAGCTCCGCGACTGACAATGCTGCCATGCCGCAAATCACTTTCGCCGCTCAGGGCGTGGCTGGTCTCGCCGGTCTCGCCGCTGTGATGTTGCTCTGATACACCGACTACGAGTGGATCGCCGCAGGAGCTTCTTGTACGATTTATTTTCCACATTACTGTTGATACCCCATATCAAGACGGGCGTTACTTTGCATGATGGGCCAAAAGGAAACACATACGTCTGTCATTCAGGGCATGCATGCAACGTTTCTGCGCTTTCTAAGCATTTCAGGAAGCTTGACAATGCTTGATGGGTTCTCAAAACCGCGGCAAAGGTCACGCCATTAAACATGATAGGCATTGAGCTCTAATAGGTCCATAGAAGGGCTGATAGTTAATACAGGAGAGTACTGAACATCTGTAACATGCTCGATAAGACGTGAATGTGAGATGCCTCGGATACTATAGTGAACATGGCCATGAAAATTGACCATTCCGTCGGGCCTCGAATCTGTCTGCAAGTTGTGATATGAGTTGTCAGATATGTTGGCCATGAGAAATGGGTCTCCCTTTCCAGTTCCCCAAGGCTGGAGGTAAAAGGGCTGCCAAGCCTATTTTGGTCCTAATGCTGTTCGCTGCCTGGTCGCCCCACGTCATAATCTGCTAAAGTGGTTTTCATTCTCACGCGTCACGACACGCGACTTCCTCTTGGTCAGTAGATCACAGACTCACAGATAACTTATTCAACTGCCACGGATGAGGTCAATCTGTATTTGTGAGTCACAAAAAGCACTCAAAGCATTCACACCATCTTCTTCAACTCGCTATTGTTGGTCCACTGCCCGGCGTCCAACCCTAGGGCTGTTGTTCCCGCTTCACTGCTCCCAACGTTTGAAATTCACACCCACTCAGTGTCACCAAATTCATTCCAATTCCTGTCATCGCACCGGCCTCACGATGCCTCCGCCGAGGCAATCAACCCTTGGGTATGGTTCTGAGCACTAGAAATTGAACTGAATGCGCTAATGCCATTATTGTAGCAAGTTTCTCGGGACCAAAACTAATGGCACCAAACCCAAGGCTCAATCTACCTTGTCGTTCAATGGGAACCCCACCCCAAGTCCTAAAACCTCGACCTCGGACGAGAATGAGCCACCCACTACCAATGGAAATGACAGATCATCTGATGTCGAGATGAAGGACGACAGCATCGGAGAGAGACAAGGCTCCTTGGAAAGGAGTTCTAAGCGAAAGAATCAAAAAGAGAAAGAGAGTGAGACAGAATCAGATGATGAACCAGTAGTCAAGCGTAGGCGCAAAACATCCAGCTCAAGAAGCCCGAAGGGAAAGACAACTCCAAGGTCACCAAGAAAACCCAAGACTCCCAAAAGAAAGTCCCCCAGTCCCACCAGGGCTGTGCGTGAAGAAGATACGCCTTCTGATCAGGACAAGAACGATATGGACGTTGATGAGGGGCTCTCAGCAAGCGATGGTGAAAAACCCAAGATTGACAAAAAACAAGTCGCCAAGGTACAGGCCACTATCAAATCTACCGGCAAGGACCCATATCCGGACTGGAAGCCAAATGAGCCTGTTCCCTATGCTGCATTGTGCACGACTTTCTCCCTCATCGAACTTACGACGAAACGTCTCCAGATAACAGCTTACACTTCTGCTTTTCTTCAACAGGTTCTTCGCTTGACACCCGAAGACTTACTGCCAACGGTGCAACTAATGTTGAACAAACTTGCCGCCGATTATGCCGGTATTGAACTAGGCATCGGCGAGTCACTGATCATGAAAGCCATTGGTGAAAGTTCTGGTCGGTCATTGTCTGTGATCAAGGCGGATCATCAAAAAATTGGAGATCTAGGCCTAGTCGCCGCAAAGAGCAAATCCAAGCAGGGACAAATGTTCAAGCCAAAGCCATTGACTGTTCGTGGAGTACATCAGGGGTTGCTCGATATTGCGAAGATGGAAGGTCATGGCTCGCAAGATCAAAAAGTACGAGCCATCAATAAACTGATGGCTTCTGCAGATGTTTCTTCTGCAACCAAGGTCATCGACATCAACAAAGACAAGGGCGGACCATCTGAAGCAAAGTTCCTTGTCCGCTTTCTCGAAGGCAAGCTCCGACTTGGTCTTGCAGAGAAAACTGTCATCATTGCTCTCGCTCAAGCCGTGGTAACTCACGAAGCGGCGAAAGAGGGCAAAGTTCCAAGCACTGATCAGCTCGCCAACGGGGAGGCTGCGCTGAAGACGGTCTACAGCGAATTGCCCTCGTACGAGGTTATCATTCCTGCTATGCTCGAACATGGAATCTTCAAATTGCACGAGACCTGCAAGCTTCAGCCGGGTGTACCTCTCAAGCCTATGTTAGCCAAGCCCACCAAGTCCATCACAGAAGTTCTGGATCGCTTCGAGGGGAAAGATTTTACATGCGAATACAAGTATGATGGAGAACGGGCACAAATACATTACGTGGCACCAGAATCGACTGGAGAATTTCCTGCTGCAGAAGCCACTTTGGTCAAAGATCCGAACTCGTTCAAAGGTCTAGCGTCCATCTTTTCGAGAAATTCAGAAGATCTCTCCAAGAAATACCCCGATATCCTAGAAAAGCTCAACACTTGGATCAAACCATCGACCAAGAGCTTTGTCTTGGATTGCGAGACAGTGGCATGGGATCCTCAGAACAAGAAGGTTCTACCATTCCAGCAATTGATGACCCGGAAACGGAAAGACGTCAAGACGTCGGAGGTGACAGTCAAGGTTTGTGTGTTCGCATTCGATATGCTTTTCTATAACGGCGAAGCCCTGGTGAAGAAGTCGCTCAGAGACCGGAGAACACTACTACACGAGGCTTTCGAGCCCGTCGAAGGCGAATTTGCTTTCGCTCAGTATGGCAACAGCAAAGACATTGAGGAAATCCAGAAACTATTGGACGAATCTGTCAAGGCATCCTGTGAGGGTCTGATGGTTAAGATGCTGGATACCGATGACTCTGGGTATGAGCCCAGTAAACGATCACGAAATTGGCTCAAGGTCAAGAAGGACTATCTGTCAGGAATTGGGGATTCTCTCGACCTTGTCGTTCTTGGAGCATATCATGGCAAGGGCAAACGGACATCTTGGTATGGGGCATTCCTTCTCGCGGCGTACAATCCAGAAACCCAGAACTTCGAGACCGTGTGCAACATTGGCACAGGGTTCAGTGAAGCCGTCTTGGAAGAACTGCACAAAGAATTATCCGAATTGGTTATTGAGCGACCAAAGCCTTTTTACAACCACAGCTCGGTCAAGAACGATCAGCCTGATGTGTGGTTCGAAGCGCGTCAAGTGTGGGAAGTCAAGACTGCCGACCTCACTTTGAGTCCTCGATACCGAGCAGCGATCGACGAGATGGGTGGCAAGAATGGAATCAGTCTGAGATTCCCGCGTTTCATCCAGAAGAGAACAGACAAGAAGCCTGAGGAGGCGACCACCACTGTGGCAGTGGCAGAGATGTATCGAAAACAAGAGGTGGTTGCAAAGGAAGGGGGAGGCAAAGGCGGAGTCGATGATGACTTTGAGTATTAAAGGCTAGTGGTCAGCCCAATAACGACATGAAGCATGTCCATAGTTCTACTATCGAAAAGGAGCCATTCCTGATGTAATCAAATCTAGCAGAGCTGATGTATCAAGAGATATCGACACTTGCTGCCTCTGACTGATAACCACAACAGGCGGGGATCCAGCACGTGACTGTCCCGCCATTCCCCAAATAGTTAGCTCAGTTTTCTCCGAGTTGGGGTCGCCTTCCAACATACAAAGCGAGTTGTATTGAACCCGGGGCCAACTCACAGCAACGCACAAGAACAGGACAACACCTTTGTTTACCCGGTCCTTATATACCGTCCAGCGGATGTGACAGCCATTCGTTTCTCATATTCGGTCGACTCGCCGTATGTCACCGATAGATTATCGCATGGTGGTGGTCGGCGCATACTCCTAGACCTTTGACACGCTAATTAGTCCGTTCGTCTGTTCTGGTCACGACTGTCGCAACAAGATGTCGGGCAACTCCAAAGGTTGGTCTTGTCGCACTCTTTGTCTGAAATTGACGCTCGAATGCGCGAAAGCGCGAGTGCGCAAGTGAGTGCGCTGGCTAATTCGCGGTGATCTCAATCTACAGCGTCCGAAGGCACGTTCTTATCAACTTCGGGGTTTAAGTTCAGTAAGGAAGATCGAAAGGCCGGAAAAGTCAGGATACGGAAGTTACCCTTGCAGGTCAAAAAGAATCAGGAAAATGGTAGGTTCTACTATCCTACTGCGGCGAGAGAAGATACCCTCCGCCGGTCGTCGAGTCCCTTTTGCTAATGATGGGCTCCGCAGGCGTCAAGTCTAGCTCCTCCCTCAACCTGTCGCCAGTCCTCCCACAGTTCGATGCTGAAACCATGTCCAACTTCCCCAATGGAAAGCAAGAGCCCTTGGAAACCCTTGTATGCAAGCACTGCAAGAAATCCATCTTGAAGAGAACGGCCAGCCAGCATGTTGCCATTTGTTTAAAGTCAAAGCAGGACAAGGCTCGGAAGAAAAAGGAGGCTCGAGAGGCAGCTCAACGGGCAAAAGAGCGCGCTGAGCGGGTTGACGATGACGACGACGACGATGACGACGCTAAGGACAGCAAGTCTCGCAAGAGCGCAGTCAACGGAGACGGGGACGATTCCAAAAAGGCGAAGAAACGCAAGGCCGATGCCGACGATGATAAGGAGCCTAAGAAGAAAAAGAACAAGAAGGAAGAGCAGAAGCCAAAGACCGCGAAACCCAAAGGTCCCGTCGACGTGGAGAAGCAGTGTGGTGTTACTTTGCCCAATGGCGCACAGTGCGCCCGCAGTCTCACCTGCAAAAGTCACTCGATGGGCGCAAAGCGTGCAGTGCCAGGGAGAAGTTTGCCATACGACATGCTGTTGGCCGCATACCAGAAAAAGAACCAGGCTCGACAGCAAAAGGCCGCCATCGATGCCAACGCTCCAGCACTATTGGAAGACGAGCTCGACGCTGCGTTAGGCGGACCTATCGATTCCGACGAAGAGAAGGATGCAGTCATGACTTCAATACAACGGAGTCTCTCTCGGCCACAACCTCTAGTCACAGTGCCACTGTTTCCCATTCGACAGAAATATCGGCAGGTGCGGATGAAAGAATTACTATCAAATGCCATGAGCGGGAACCGGAGCGGAGGTTTATTCAGTGTTCCTCCCGAGAGCGCTAGAATCGCCCCTCCTTCGGCGACTAGTGAGACGGTGAATGGGGCGAGTGTCGTCCCTGCTTCGCCCGCTTTGGCGAGCGGTGGTTTACCCCCGCCAGCTGTCAAGGCAGCTGCGAGGAAGACATCGATCGACGTTTCCTAGGAAGAAGGCTGTGGGTCTCGACTACAAAATTCTGAAAGTGGTTCTGTTCGTATCAAACGAGAGGATGACGGATGGCTTTATTGTCTACACACTGAACGAGCGAGCTCGTTTTTGGGTCGTTCATCTACGGCACGAGTGTTTAACAGTCCCTGATCTTGTTTCGAGGCGAGCAGATCAGGTCGACAGGTACACACCCATCGTCGATTTCACATGGATGAAGCACTCAGTGTGAACCTGCACGTGCAAAGTTGTGGTGTACTAACACAAATCCGGGAGAGACTACAGTTCTGCCCCAGTTGCATAGTCCGAGCACCGTCAAGGCTACGAGAAGTCATATCAAAATACACATGGACTGGTGAAGGACCACCTGGCTCAGAGTCACCACGAAGAGCTTATGATGTGGGAGATTTGACCGTACCAGACCTTTTATGATTGGAACATATTCTCCCTTTTTGTGGGGGCCTCGACCTCCGATGAAACCAAAGGAAACGGCCAGCCATCATGTTGATACGATGTTAAATGGGAGCGCTCTGACCACCTCATGTGAGGTCATGAACATTGGAATTGGTATGTGGAATTGGTGGGACTATGATTACAATGCTCGGAAACAGAGACTAGCATTGGTACCGCCAAAACCAAAACTGTTGGACAAGGCAACATTGACCTGGCGTTGCTGCGGCGTGTTTGGTACATAGTTGCAGTGGAACCCATCGTCGAGGGACTGGATGTTTATCGTTGGCGGAAGAGTATTCTGCAAGAAGAAAACATCAATACACATACACATTGACAGCCAACAGATCAGACCAAAGCCCTTGCCACGGCAAGGAAGGCAATCAATGGAACAGAACATACCTCATGAATAGCCAATATCGTAAAAACAGCCTCAATTGCTCCAGCTGCACCTAGGAGATGACCCAATGCGCCTTTCGTGCTACTGACGTTGACTTCTTCGACATGCTGTCGTCCGTGTTCGCCGGTCATGAGTGACACGATGGCCTTGTTCTCTGCTGCATCGCCCAATGGCGTCGAAGTGGCATGCGCATTGATATAATCGACTTGGGAAGGGGGGATCTGGGCTAAGCGTAAAGCTTTGGTCATTGCGGACCTGGCACCACTGCCGTCTTCGCGCGGTGCTGTGAGATGGTGTGCGTCGGCTGAATTGCCATACCCGGCGAGTTCGGCGTAGATACGTGCTCCTCGGGACCGAGCATGTTCGAGTTCCTGTGTGTCCCCAAAAAGGGAGGGAGGTTAGTATATAGACATGTATACATATATATGGAGAGAGAGAGAGAGGGTGTGTGTTGAATTCGAGTGGAGAAACGGAGAGAGTGTAGGAGATGGCGAAACACGAGGGACGGGGGTAATACCTCAAGAACAACACAAGCTGCGCCCTCACTAATAACAAACCCATCTCTATCTCTATCAAAGGGTCGAGATGATACTTGCGGTTCTTCATTAAATTTTGTAGCCAGACTTCGCGACCGAGCAAACCCGCCAATTGCAAGAGGGTGAATACATGATTCAGCTCCGCCGGCAATCATGACGTCGGCTTCACCTGACTGAATGAATCGCGAGGCATCACCTAGCGAGTGGGCGCCGGTGGTGCATGCTGTTGTCACTGCGTGGTTGGGACCCTTGGAGATGTCGTTAGAGAGAGGGAGGATTGGTGGAATAGAATTCAGGAAAGCTTACCCTCAGTCCATATCTCATGGAAATGTGTCCTGCGCCTAGGTTGATAAGGAGTTGTGGGACGAATAGTGGATGGATTTTACGGTAGTTGTGTTTCTGAAGGTATTCGTCAGTATACCACTTTAATGGATAGTGATTGGAAGGTAAGGATGTTTGGGGAGGCTTACGGCTTCGTGATACGCGACGGAAGTGTTGTAGAGCTCCTCGAGATTTCCAATGCCGGAACCGAGGCAGACGCCCTAGTTTCCAACGTCAGTGATGGAACTCGATTTGAGTTCTTGACTGAGTGGCCTTACCGTCATATCTGGATCCAAACCCTGGCCTTGATCGAACCCTGCATCCTTCAGAGCTTCTGCCGAAGCAGCCAATCCATACTGTGCGAATTTGGCCGTTTGTCGTAGCTCCTAGCATTTCGAGCATCAAGGGTTAGCTTCCAGTCATCTCCATAGACAGGCTAGGTTGACTAAGGAGGCTACACACTGTGGACGAGACATGGTCCCGTGCTCTCCATCCGCCAACATGATCGTGACTGTCGCCGTTGGTGCTGGAATCTGGCTTTAGGGGCACAATACCAGCCACTTGGGATGGAAGATTGACAAAGTCGGGGCCAAGATGGCGGGTTGAAACGATTCCACTATCGCCTTGCAGGAGACGACGCCATGTTGTTCGGACTCCTGGTGAAGATCGAGTCAGATGGTGGACTTTGGGGAAGGGGAAAAAACCACCTACCAACACCTAGAGGCGTCACGGCGCCCAGTCCAGTGACTACCACACGTCGCATCTCATCATTGAAGCTGCAATGATTTATGAGGTGTTGATTTTATGGTAGGGGATTTTGCATAAGTGCTGAAGGGGGGATAAATTCCAGGCGTGGTCTAATGATGCTATGGAGAAGGAAAGGCGCTGGTCTCTCTTCAGCCTTGTCGTAGTTGTTTTTAAGGGTGGAAGTCACATGGTTCCTGTGTGCAAGGCTGCAGTTCCAGCCCTGACGATGCCCCTCGGCCAAGGCAGACACCACTGTAGCCAGGCACTCTAAGTACCTACTAGGGAGGCTAAACCGCAGGAAGCTCACCTACGCCGTACCTGCAGAGTTGGCAAGTTTTATTATTAAAATGGGCGCTGATCGCCGGGAAGAAGCAACAGTGGAAGGAGCAGGCCACGGCAGACGCAAGACGGACATGGCCGCAGCCACAGTGGAAACTCGCCTCGCTGACAACTTCCACCCGCGATGCATTGACATCGTTCCACCACGCCTTTGGCCAACGACACGACTTCCACAGACTCCGTCATTACCTGTGTTCTTTGAAAGAATTTGTTAAAAGAATTATATGTACCACAGGAGTTCGACGTATATGCTCTTTCTTGACAGTTCAATGAGGTCAATATGAAGATACGATTTGACTGAACCCATCTTCTGATTTAGTTCCACCACACCAACGTCGCTATCGATATCTCCACCTTTATGAGCTCGCTATTTAATTAAAGGTACAACAGATATATATGACATATTTCTAGGACCTCATATTGTTATCACAATGTATTGTTCACACATCTGCACCACTGCAGCCTTCCTCTTTGCTCTACTCCCCCACGGCTGGGCTTCTTTTTATGACAATCCTGAGGTTGAGACTCCCCCAAAGTCCGGAACTCCATTAGACGAATTGAAGGAGAAATGGGATTTTGAGGTAGGTGCTGATCCTATACAGACAGTAACAAGAGAGCAATGACTGACGACTTGATACAATTTCAGTGGGCATTTAGTGGAATCTCAACTTTCGCTCATCTGAAGCATGTCAAATGCTTATCAACGCCCTATGAGCCATTTGATATTGGTATCATTGGAGCTCCGTTCGACACTGCTGTTAGCTATCGTCCTGGTAAGTGTAACAACAATACATGTGCAACCATTTTACTTTCGAAATCCGGTCCTGCATTGCATGAGGCCATGCTTCTGTTTGGCGTCGGGTCGATATCCTCAACGATCCATGTAGAAATAGTCGACTAACCAACCATCTCCAGGCGCTCGCTTCGGCCCTCGTGCCATCCGTGCTGCTTCAGCACGTCAAACCACATTTCGAGGCTTCAACCACCGAGCGGGCATCAATCCATATACAGCATGGCCAACGCTGCTCGACTGTGGCGATATTCCCATCACACCCTTTGATAACGCCCTTGCCTTGCACCAGATGACCTCAGCGTACACTGAACTATTATCACGCCGGCCACAGTCGCACGCAAACCCACCCAACCACATCCATCCCAAACTCATCACGTTGGGAGGCGATCACAGCGTCGCACTGCCATCACTCCGTGCTCTTCAAAAGACCTACAACCAACCCATTGCCGTGTTGCACTTTGACGCCCACCTTGACACATGGCATCCAGGCGCCTATCCCTCGGCCTGGGCCTCTCACCCCACCCAAGCCGACTTCACCCACGGCACCATGTTCTGGATCGCCAGCGAAGAAGGTCTGATTGCCAATTCATCTTCCGTACACGCAGGACTACGCACTCGTCTCGGCGGAGACGATTATGGCGACTACAGTAACGACGAACGACAGGGATTTCTCCGCATTGAAGCCGACGACATCGACCATTTTGGCATCGACGGCCTCGTCGAAATGATCATGGGCCGCATCGGCACCGAAGTCCCCGTCTACCTATCTGTTGATATCGATGTCATCGACCCAGGCTTGGCTCCTGGCACCGGTACACCCGAAGTCGGTGGCTGGACCACCCGTGAAATGATACAGATTCTTCGCGGAATCGAAGATCTTAACCTCGTTGGGGCCGATCTCGTCGAGGTGAGTCCAGCTTACGATAATAATGCCGAGGGAACCGCTCTGGCTGGTGCTCAGATTGTCTATGAAATCTTGACTAGTATGGTCAAGAGGGGTATGAAGGATCGTGGCGAGGAGATTATCGAGAGGCTCAAGCCTGGTGATATTAGAAAGATGGCTCTAACTGATATGGTAAAGGGTAAAAAGTCACCTGGGTCGAATCACGTCAAAGCAGAAGAAGTCAAGGATGAGTTGTAGTAATAAACATACAGTTTGTATCTAATCTGTAACCCTCGTTGGGGGCAAATTGTTATTATACTCTGTTCCGCATAAAGGCCTAATAAGCCATACCAGGGGAAAGGCTCATTCATGTGTAGATGTCGAATACCATGTTTTGGTCCAAAACCAATTTACCAACGTCCGTTATGTTATGGGAGATCATCTTCTTCAACCCTACATACTCCCATATTGTTGGACTCACTCAGCGAGGTCGTCCAAGACAAGGTCTTGCACCTCCTTGGATCCACTCTCAAACGCCATGCTCACTCGCTCTGCTGTTTGACCACCGTTTCAATGCACTTCATTTTCATCGTGATCGTGGTTGACGTCAAATGACAGGCTCCAATTGCTTTTCCAATACTCAACTCCATAGATTTCTCTAGATTTCTAGAATGCATACCGTGAACCTTGTCGAGTAACAGGCTTACCCTGTCGGTTCAGAACGACTGTCATATCCGAAGCACTATTTCGTGTTTTTGGATTATCGTCATAATTCGTCGAGTTCTTCTTGCCGCGACCAGTCCGTGGCCGAGGGGGCAAGTCGATATGCTTGTGGCCAAGCTCTCCCAGTGCGGTGCTATTTTGCCACTTCAGACAACGATGACTCTTGTCGTTGATGTATGTTTTGGTCCTGGTCGACATCCGTGTCGCAGGCTCCTCAGATGGCTCCCGAGGTACCAGATACTCAGCTCTGGTCTCCATGTACTTGATAATCGTATCGCGATGCAAAGACAACTCTTTCCTGAGCTTGAGTTCGCGTATTCCTCGCGGATCTAACCATCCAATCAACATGTCGAGCTCTTCGGCGGTTTCGTAGAAGCCCCATTGTTGTGCCGTTCGCAGGTGGGTTGATCCTTCCTCGGCCTTTTTGCGCTCTGCGGGTGTCATTTGGAAGTTGTGGTAGTAGGCTTTCCGCTCCATCTCATTAACGTCGATGTAGCCTTCCCGTTCCATGTCATCCGGACCTTGGACCCAGATCCGACCGTTTGCATACCCGGCCTCGGCCGTGGAACTGTCTGGCAACCCGCCATATGGCATTGCGTTGCGTTCAAACCACCAATAACGATTGCAGAATCGATCTTTCCCAAGAACTCGAGTGCGTGGACAGTCGGCTTCTCGCAAATCACTGTCGACAATCATAATCTGGTCTTCCGCCTCTTGGAGCTTTTCTCTCTCTTTCTCAATCTGTTTCAGCACTTTCTGGTATTCCCTGCTTCCTTTGTTTTGCTTGGCCTCTGCTGCTTTTTCTTTCCTTTCTTGTTCTTCTTCCCGTTTTCGTTTTCGTTCAGCTGCTCTATCGTTACCTCGTCTCAGTGAGCGAGTCATGACCGGTGCCTCATCTTCAGAATCAGGGATAGAAATGTCGCCATCAGCGTCCTTGTCCGCCTCCATTGCATCCTCAAGCTCTGTAATGGGAGAGGGCGATTTCTCCGGCTCGGGCGCCAATAGTCGCTTCTCCGTTTGGAGCTCCTTCAGTCTGGCCAGCGCCTCTTTTCGAGTTCGTTGGTGCTCAATTTTCGTTTTGCGGTATTGTGTCATTGTGTTGCTCATTTCCTCTAGGAAGTCTTTGACTGTCTTTGTTTCCAAGAAGAGCCGACAGATGATTTGGAGTGCTTGAGCCCTCAGATTGATATCCATCGTGGAGTACTGGATGGCGGCCGTGTCAATAACGGCATCGGCATCAAGAGGAGCCAGGTGAGTCAGGATGGCGTTGCAGTCATCAGTCAATCGGGGCCGTCCAGAAACTTGATGCAGCAAGCCAACCATGATCAACTCCCAACCTCCATTGCGGAAATCTCGCTTCCGGAGTCGGTCAATCCAACCGTATTCGTCAAACATTTCGGCGGCACGATGGGTGATGACGGGCTCTTCAGGTTCTGGCTCAGGATCGGGTTCGACAAACTGAACTTTATTTAGACTGCTTCGTGTTCGTTTGGCAGGATACTCGGGTTCTGGGGTGGGTGTGGGCGGTCTGCTCTCTTCTACTTCTGATTCGTCATCCTCATCTTCCTCACCGGAATCTGGGAGGTCCGGCAGGGAGATTTGGATTTCTCCATCACCGTCATGCTCGCTGTTAACCAACTGCTTCAAAAGGGCGCAGTGGATCTCGACAAAGAGCTCGCAATCAGCTTCGACAGATGAAAACTGCATTGCATCGACGAAGTCATCAAAAGTAAATGAATCGAGTTTGAGAACCTGGCAGTAGACATTGACGGTGTTCCAGATTTCGAGCAGGAGACCGACAGTGCCTTCTTTCAGACCGGGAATGACGGAATTGGACGTGGGTAATCCTTTGGCCTGCGTCTTGGTGACAAATTTCAGGCTGGGTCGATGGGTTCCATCTCGAAGTGGCTCAACTTCCATGTCATCGATGGGATACTTAATCGGTGGAGGTGGTGGAGGGATCGCTTGTGGAACTTGAACCGACGCAGCATGAGGGACGCCCCTTTGCGACGAAGGGTAGATGTTGTAATTTCGACCATCTGGGGGATAGCCATTGTAGTAGCCGTGCTGCGACTGAGGATATTGTACGGGATAGCCATGTGGTGGGTAAGCATGATCGGGGTGGACATCGTGCGGCTGTGGCGGGTAGTAGTATTGCTGTTGTTCGGCGACCTGGCCATTTTGTGGTTGCTGACCTTTCTTGGACTTTGGGGCCGGCTTCAGCTCAGGAAAGCGTTGTGTTGGCCAGGTGGCAGAAGTATTTCCAGTATCCACTTCCTCTTTGGCGACGGCATTAGTGCTGTTTCTCTTCTCTGCCTTTTTAGCAGCCACCTTGGTGCTATACAGCAGATGAGCAGGCACAGTAGTATCGATGCGGAAACGACGGGCGATCTCAGGCTTGACAAGCCAGGGTGCACCGTTCCAACCTTCTCGCGTGACGGTGTTTTTGATGAAGGAACGCAACATTTGTTTGGTAAAGACCTTGCGGTCTCTCACAATGTGGTTGTCGTCGACAAGAGCCTCCTCTCCCGGTCGGTCGGGTAGTCTGACAAAGTATCTTGAAAAGGCATCTCTAATGACCTTTCCGTCCAGACCTTTGATTTCGGCGAACTTTGCCTTTTCCCTCACGTAACCAGTTAACCTCGTGTCGTCATGTAGAATGGCAGTGACAAGTTCTCCCGGGTAAAAATCGTTTTTGAAATCATTAAAAACTTCCTCAACCAAGTTGTCGATGCGGGAAGTGGTTGAGAATTGAACACGACGTAAGACAGGATCGCGCAAAGCCTGAGGAAAGGCTTCATCAATCTCTCGCGAGCCAGCTTGTTCGCTTCTGAGCGCGTCGAAAAAGTTTAAACCTGATCGACCAGAAACTTCGCAGGTGAATCTTTTGGACTTGTAAAAGTCCATGCGCTCAAGGTATGCATCGTACGAGACAAAAACTTCGTTGGTCTCGGGAATGACCCAGAGATCAGTGTCTTGATCGTCGATATGAGGATGCTGCAGGTAGCGAATAGGCTTCCTCTTAAAGAGCACCATGTTGGGCCCGGGGTGGTGGGTGTTGACAGGCTACAAGGTGCCCGCGCGGTGTGCAGCGAAGGGCTTCGGGAGAAAAGGGGTGAGATGGGTTCAAGGATGGGAGGACCTGTTGATGAGTGAGTTTAGTGATGTAGACGCGTGGAAAGAGGAGACGAGGGCATTTGGGGAGCGAGTTGTCGGACATGCGACACGAGGTCAACCTGATATGGAGGTGGAACAACATACATTTGATGGTGGGGACGCGTCGGGGGAGGAGGAGAGAAGTATTTGATCGAGTCGGAAGGGTGGATGGTGGGTGTGGGCGAGAAGTGGTGGATGGCGGAGAGGGTTGAAGAAATCAACATGGCTAGGAAGTAGAAGAAACAAGAGAAAGAAGAGGTTATAAGAATGAGCACTGGATGTGGAGTGGTAGGAAGAGGTCGCGGAAGGAAGAGGCAGTGGGCAGTGGGCAGCGGCAGTGGGTGGACGCCATGACTGGGACCAATAATCATCATCCTTGAGTGGCTGCGGAGGGACAGGCGGTGGGTGACGCCTCTGAGTGGCCCACGCGATGAGATCAAACGTGAACGGGGATTAGACAATTGTACACTCTCCACAAAGCACGGCGAGGACCTCAGGTGGGTTGAGTCATTTCTCCGTTGGAAAGTATCATGTTAGGTTACTGCTGTTTGGCTTTATCTACTCCGTATGTCCTAGATCTGTAGTTGAGTTTATGAGGGCAGGTGCAAGTTGAAGTGACGAGATGGTATTTTGTTTACATGGGATTAGTCCGAGGAAGGCGCGAGAAGATGAGCTTGTTGGCTACTTTGACTTCCTACAGTATGTTGGAGATTCTCAGTCTCTATGGATTGTGCTGATGGAGTCAATGTCCTTGATGCACTGCCCTAGCAGCCTCGTAGGTGAGGGTGAGAATCTGTCCACGAGAAATCTTCCGTGCAAAGTGATGCGATGCGTTCATCAGCGCCTTGACGGACGCCACGCTAAGCTATAAACAGACAAGCTCCCTTCTTAACCGTTCGAGCCGTGCAACATGGTCGCGCCTGCCTCGGATAACCTACTATTGTTGGTCATGGGATCGCCAAGACCCGCTCTCCAGGCGGCCTCTGCTAGTCCTCGATTACACCAATCGTATTGCATCTCGACCCTCGATGGCCCATGGCCACTTGGATCTCCATCACCAACTGCGCAGACAAGGTGTTGATTGTACTCATTCGACTCGGCATCCCACGCACTATCCAATACAACCATTTACAACCACTGAATGGCTCGACCGAAATAGCTATTTGCCATTATCATCTATTCTCCTCCTCACACCTCCCTCGACCCACGTCCCCTTTGCCCGGTAAGGTGGATCGCTTCGTCGACCAGCCTGCTCAGCACCCTACGAGACGCTTTGAACCACCGCCAGTCTAAAATAAAGTCGTCATCCGCATCCGCACCACTTCTGCAATCTATAACATGCGGATCAAAGTGCTCGCCTAATGCTGACAAGGCTACCATGTGGGTTATTCGTATTATAGATGTATGTGGCCCGAGGGCCTCAATCTGGATGTTGACATCCCCCAAGCTCATTTTTCCAGCCACCACGACAATGAATCAAGCTAGGTAACACACCATGAAGCCCACCCAAGAACCCAACACTCCAACTGCCGAGTAGGTGCTGATGAACATCAACGGTAGGAATTCGTACCTGTTGCCAAAGATGATCCCATGAGCTAGTGAGCAATACACCATCAATGGAACTGATATTACAATGTAGAGTAAGGCGAATCGGTCCAATAAAAATACCCGTCTCCGAGCTGGCGCCGGAGCAAGTTGGTCGAAAGCGTAGAGAAAGATGATCAGCCATGCCACCGTGTACGCTACCTTGATGGGGAATTCGGCCGCTGTGAACAAGAGCGGAAACAGCGACACGTGCCCTGCCACCGCCAATGGCCGGAAACTAGCCAGATGAGAGCGGTCTCTGACAGCCAATAGACTAAATGGAATCAAGACGAGAAGAATGGCCTTCTCATGGACATGCCAACCGAACAAGAACGAGGCGTATCCACATAGGGTGACGGCTCCAACAAATGCCTCCCAACTTGGCTTGAACCATAGCTTGGTCAATGCTATCATCTGGAACGCCAGAGAAAGCCCAAAGCAATGTTGCGCCGTGATATTGGGTAACACGGCGAAAGATGTGTCGCCCACCAACCCTCGGGTTACGCTCGCGAGCGCAGATGGATCAACCTTGAGACCTAGATATGGTGCCATTGCAATCAAGGCCCTATCTGCGAAGGAATAGATCGCCCATACGTTCGGTGCCCAGTAAGCATGGCAGAGTCCACGGGAAAATGGAAACAGACGACTTTTGAGTTGATCCAGCTGGGCCCATAGAGCAAATGGTCCGAAAACCGACGCAAAAACCCCAACGATGCACACTCCGAGCTTGATGATGTTTCCAAATCGTGGCCGAAACATATTCTTGGGTTGCAAGCAATAAACTCGGAGTAGATAAACAAAGTATGCTGGGGCCAGGTATAGATATATATGCTTGAGAGACAGGAGAATTGCGAACGACACCCCGCTCAACAGCATCGTAGACTCTTTCCTGGCCAGCACCAGAGACAGTATTAGGATACCATACAAAAACCCATTGTACTGGAAATGTATGTGATCGATGATGAGCAACCCGGGAGAAAGTAATATGGATAACGCAGCTGCATGGCTCTGTCGCCGTGTGGATGGTGGGCAAGATACAGTATACCTAACATGTCAGTCAGGTTCGAATGCCCGATATGTGACGACAATACCTATGAAGAGCATAGACAAGCAGGAGCTCTGTTATGATGACAGAACTTCTCTGAAAAACAACAGTTGCCCAGGAGCTATACCCCAGGTTGGAGATTTGCAACATGTCCGAGTCAATCAGCTGAGCAGGTTGTGATAGAATCCATTCGAATACCGCAAAGGCGGGAGGATAGTCCAGTGTCCATTCGGAAGTAGCCTATAATCACTTAGTATCAGATCCAAAGAATTCAAAACGTCTTGTTGCTGACTTCATAATACCACTCCTTGACGGGCAATGATTGGGTGATAGCCAGCCAATTCCGGTGAACTTCAAAATCTGTTGACTTGTATGCTGGAAACAGGAGTATCTTGAAAGCTGTGGCTACGACAGCTGTCTGAAACAATGATGGCCATTCATCCTGTCCAGGCTGTCGTGGAGCTCTAGGTGTTCGCTTGTCCTGCATCATTTGATCAGCACTCACAGATTTGCTCCGAAATACGGACTATTGTCGACAAACAGGAATGATTGGTGTGATACTCCGCAGCTGGCCGAGCGTCTGCGACACTGCCTGAGCCATGATCAAGTCAGATCATTGGAACGAGGCGGATTTCAACGAAGTGGGATCCAGATACATGGTGATGGACATACAAACACGACATATGTGACGTTTTCGCTGTGCATGTTGAAGTGGCGTGGCACTGCTTTGCCTAATGTTCCGCCGTAGGTATGTATGATCCACTGCACTCTTTAGCACCCCCGTGACCCTTCTTTCCCCAGCGCCAATCTGGCAGCCACGAGCCACCACCGTGTCATTCCGTCATCGCCCCTACCAAGGCCACCTTAAACTTTTAGGTACTCGTAGGCAAAGAAACGCCCAAGAGCCTTCGTCTGCGCTACCGACACTAACAATGGTTAGGTACTATATCATGTCCAAATCACAATCCATCCCGCTTCTATAAGCATACCAACCATTTTTTGGCATTCATGGAATCATTCAAACATCATGTTGCATCGAGCACTGTAAATCATAGACTCATTGTTGACACCAACCCTCTTTCGCTCGTCGTTGACGTCGGACGTGAACTCCGCCTTTGCATTATCTGCGTCTGCATTGCTTGGACCACGGTGTCCCTGGCGCGAACCTGGACCGCGACAACTAACTTTGCCAGCAAGAAAGGACCGGCCTCATCGTGATAGAGGTGTCCGTCCTGTTTGAGAATACTCCATTTTACTAGGTGAGCATGCTATCCCAATGCCATCTTTGCTCCCCTCACATACTAACTACCCTTTGACATCATCAAGCCTGCGTTCCAGTTGTCCCAGCTCTCGCCATCATGGTTCTCTACCTGAGAACGATTTGCTTAACTCTAGCCTGGGCCATCACAGCCTTTGCAGAGGATCCTCTTGAGCAGTTCTCCTTCGGACACCAAACACCTCTCTCCCCCAATTCCTTCGCCATCCCAGGATGGTCAATGCTAGGCGAAGGCCACGTGCCTCAGCTTCTATCCGACAAGGTCATCCTGACTCCACCCTACGGCGGCAATAAACGTGGTGCACTTTGGAGTGAGAATGCAAACTTATTACAAGATTGGATGGTTCAGTTCAAGTTCCGTGCGGGCGCGCCGGATCGAGGAGGTGGAAATTTGCAACTGTGGTACGCAGCAAACGGAGAGAAACAAGTTGGCACATCCACGATATATACTGCTGGCATCTGGGAGGGCTTAGCGATCGTGATAGACACTGTTAGTGGCACTCAAAAGGTCCGGGGGTTTCTCAATGATGGTTCAGTCGACTACAAGTCCCACGCAAATGTCGATGGCCTGGCATTTGGACACTGTGACCACGCCTATCGCAACCTGGGCCGGCCTTCATTGATCACCATCAAGTCGACTCGGAATGGTGGGATCGATGTCCGCATCGACGGCAGACATTGTTTCAACACCAACAAGGTGGTCCTTCCAACCGGCTATGACTTTGGCATGGTCGCCTCCTCCTTCGACCCTCCAGACTCTTTTGAAGTCTTCCAGTTCTCCCTTGCCCCGACGACACCCACCCCTCCCCCTCCTCCCTCGACGCCCGATCATCACCAACATGAGCAACCCGTTGAAGACCAACAGCAACCCCAGTCAGGATCTGATTCACAGTCATCCTCTTCTGCCTTCAGCGACGCTCAAATGATCGACATGCATAATCGCCTGAATCAGCTTTCCAAATCGATCCAGAATTTGTTCCTTGAGCTTCAGCGGCAGACAGCCGCTGCAGAACAACGACACAACGACCTCGTTTCCAAGCTCCCCAATGGCGGGCTCATTTCAAGTTTGGACTCACGCGTCTCCAACCTGGACCGAATGATCGGGAATCTCGAACGTGAACTCAAATCATCCGATCACAACACTCAATTCCGAAAACTGAGCGAACAGCTCACACAGACACACCAAGGTGTCACTGAACATGTGCCAGAAAGACTACGAGAATATGTCCAGGCTCACACGCCACGCATTGGATTCATCCTCTACAGTTTCATGGCGTTTCAAACTTGCTGCGTCGGCGTCTTTGCATGGTTCAAATGGCGGAAAAGTACCATGCCTAAAAAGTACTTGTGATTTGCCTATCCATTGTAAAACACACTCGGGGCTTGCCCAGACTACTGAGACAAGACCTGCTTGGTGGGGGTTGATCCGGGACTTGCTGGGGACCCAGGGAAGAACTCCATGTACGAGGGTCCCATGGATATGGGCCATGTAATTTTAACGCTTGGATGACATGAAGAAATCTAGAAATGCTATTCTTTGCCCAAGATCCAAAGCCAACTTGACTTGACTTGACCCGAGTCATCAACTGACTCATCCATCCCTCCCTGTGCTTTCTCGCCTCCATTCCTGGCAATGCTTCACTTCACGTCACGTCACATCATTGATCATTGTCATCCACCTATGGTCTGCATCTATACGCAAATCTCGGGTACAGGGTACACTCTCTAACAGTCCAGCGGCCAGTCATCCAGGCGAGGAAACGCTCGAGGCCCAAGCCGTAACCACCGTGAGGAGTAGTACCGTAACGTCTCTGGTCGGTATACCAATAGTAAGGCTTCGGATCGATACCCTCACGAGCGTAGCCGGCCATCAACTCCTCGTAGTCGTCGATACGCATACTACCACCGACAATCTCACCAACACCAGGCATCAATACATCGACACTTTCGGTAACGCGAAGATCTTCAGGGTCTTTCTTCATGTAGAAGGCCTTGATCTCGACGGGGAAATGGGTGAGGAAAATCGGCACGTTGAGAATATCGGTCATTCTTCGTTCCGCGGCTTCGGCAATATCGTCGCCAAATTTGTGTGGCTCGCCGTCTTCATTGGGAATATCGTTCTCCACAAGCCATTCGATGGCTTCGGCGTAGCGCATGCGTCGGAATGGTCGAGATGGTTTTTGGAACGAGGGGTTGAGTTCGCGGATATATTTGCCCACGACGGGGTCGGCTAGGGATTTGTCCACGACGCTGCAGATGACGTCTTCCAAATGAGCGAGGAGGTCGGGGAAGGTAATGAAGTTGAGTTCTCCTTCAATGTGCTCGTACTCGGACAGATGGCGTCGCGTCAATGATTTCTCTGCTCGGAATGACGGGCGCATGCAATAGCAGTCGCCGACCGAGGCAAGTGCCGTTTCGAGGTAGAGCTGGGAGGATTGAGTGAGATAGGCTGGTTCGCCGTAGTAGTTGAATTCGAATAGTGTGGCGCCGCCTTCGACCTGTGTTTGCACCATGGCTGGTGGACAGACTGAAGTCATGCCTAGTTCTTGGAAGGTCATGCGGAAGGCCAGGTCCACAAAGTGACGGACCTTCAGGACTGATGAGGCAATGTCGCCACGAATGACTAAGTGCCGGTTGTCGAGGAGGTTTTGCGGGTCGCCACCTTCTTGCACTTTGTTGGTGATGGCGTCCTTGTCGCCCACCGCGGCGCCAATGATGGTGAAGAAATCCGCGTGTAGCTCCCGGTCAAGAGGTGCATGTGCTTTGGGTGGGAGGGCTTTGAGTTCGCCCCGGATCTCAATGGATGTCTCCAGGGTTAGGGTCATGGCTGCGTACGTCTTGATCATTTCTCCGCTGAGAATGCATTGCATCTGGCCATAGCCGTCGCGGAGAGTGATAAAGATCAGGTCCTTTTGAGAGCGAAGATGATGGACATACCCCAAGACCCGGACACGAGTTCCCTTCGAGTCGGCCGTCCCCAGCTTGATCTTTGCGGGGTCGGTCTCCTGAAGTCTGATTCTGATCGGTGCTGGGAGACTGGCATCCTCCTTGATGACGATCTTCTTTGCATCTTCTAGCACTTGTCGTCGCTTGGCGGCCTCGGCATTCTCGCGAAGTGCTAGCTCAGAAGCCTTTACTTGTTTCCGCTTGTGCTGTTCATACAGGTTGGTGGCTTTCTTCAAGGCAGACTTGGATGCAGGTTTCCATTCCAGACGTGCCGACGCATCGCTACCCTCTTCCACCGTACCAGTAATTGATTTGCGGGTCAGATAAGTTGAGGAGCTGCCATCAGCCTTGATCATGGCATGTAACAGGGTTTTGTAAGGCGCAGCCTCAGTTCCAACTGCCGTGTCGTCATCAAGGCCGATGTCTTCGTCAATATAGATGGTAGACGCCATATTTGCGGATCGTTGTGTTGAGTCTCAATGTCGTGTGGACAACAGGTGGGATTTTGGGATTTTGGGATTGTGATAAGAAAAAAGGCAATGACTCAATGACTCAAAACCAGGAGTGTGCCAAGACTTCGACTCGGTGCGTTTCAAGAGACAGTTCTATTCCCTGCGAAACGGCAATAAGCTTTCAAAGGGTAGTGGACGCACAGAATGTGGCTTTTTCTTGTTCGAATGGTCTGGAATGACAATGTTTGAAGCTTAGACATAGCCATATAATTTCATGTCTAGGTATGTCTTATGAGTCATGAGCGTCATGCGGCGGCTAAAGGTCACGTTACTGGGGCACAGAAATTAGACGCGCGACAATTGAGAAGCGCGCAAGGAGGGAAGATTTGAGGGGTGGAGGGAAGCCAATTTAGGCCAGGAACAGCGTTCGCCAAACGTCCAATCAACTCGGGAGTTTGTCGAAGTCAATCAAAAGAAGAACGTGTGCACAAGGTTTGGGATCCTTTCGAGATGCAGCAAGTTTTGGGCCCAAACTAGGATGTTCATGTGCTGTAGAAATCCTGCCGCAGTCTCCTGTCAAGCAACGCATACCCAAATTATATTTCCAGATGAAGTAGCGAGGTCTGTCAATCGTCAACCCCTGACCTCGAGTACCTGGTACATCGAGGTCGCCTGGCTTCTGCCTCGGTAGATACCTAATAACAAGGTGTAGGAAGGAGACTGCTACACTGCTTTCTTTATGTAAATTGGCTAGTACCTTACTGTAGTTAGTGCCTAGAAAGCCCCCTTAACCGGCAAGCCATCCACTGCCCTCCCTTCCACCAAACACAACCCAATGATGGTGCAGAATTTACTCTGCCCCTGGGCTTACTTCCTCCACTGTGATCATCTTCAATTCACTAGTGCAGATTTGATCGAACGGTGTAGAGTCGGGTGAAGACTATGACAAGAAGGATAGCAGTCAGCAGGCTGGAGGCTGCACGTTGCAGGCTGCATATCGCATATGCAGGAACGGTGTCCAGGCAATTTGAAGGTCTTTCCCCAGGCTTTATTCCAGGTATATGTGATGGCAAAGGCGGATGGAATATCCATTCCAACAACGTCCCTACCGTAGATGGAATCAAATATGTCGGTCTCGCTAACCTAGTGACCCCATTATGCTTCAGAGCCAACAGGTTTAGGCACCTCGGCGCTCCACCAGGCGTTCAGAGAGTCCCCTCGTCCTCCCTGGTGACCTTTTCATTCCAGGGACGTTTGAGTGCCCGGGGCCGTAACCGCCGCCCCCATAGTCATATCCACCCAACCACACCCTGGCCGCTCTTTCACTTTCCGGGCCCCGTTGATTCATGTGTAGTCGTTAGCTGCTAACCACTTTAGTCCCCCCATAATAACTCGTCTTTTGATCGCGTTCCCCTGCCGTGCCAGGGCTGCGAGATCCAATGCCTGCGGAGCGATGCCACCAGACACTCATTCTCAATCTTCACTTTTCAATTCCTCCATCCATTCGCCTCGTCTGTGTTGTTCCTTCCCTCATTCTTCTGCTTTATTCATCCTTCGTTTCCATCGTCCGTTTCTCAGATCACCTTGATTCTTCACCAACTGCAGGTGCCTTCGTTCACTTTCTCTTCATTCACTCCCTTCGGCCACCCACTATCCTTGACCAGAGCCTCGACCTATTCTTGTGATCCTCGAGTCACTTTTACAGCAGAACTTGAAAAGCCCTCGCCGACATCTTGTACACTAAACCTATTTGACGACAGTTTATACCATCTTCACCTTTTGAATACCGGCTTTTGCCATTGATTTGACATCACAGATTATCCTCGATCCCTTGCTACGTTCGAACGACATACGACAACTCTGTCCCTGAACCTCGTCTGGTGGGCACCCCCGCTGCAGAGCCCCATATGCTAGCCGCAATGCAGAGTCAAGATGTGTTTGGAGGACTGGGGAATCGATATGAACAATCAAAATTCATTCCAGGTAACACTGGTTTCAGTCATGGCGCGTTCAACACCAACCCAGCACCATATGGAGGCTACAATGACCGCAATCTGAGAAAGACCACTCTCCCTTCCATCAGCACCGCTACCAAAGATCAGCCTCCCTTCGTCGGGAACGAACAAACCCCTGGCACTGCTTTTGACATGAATTTCACCCCTTTGCTACCATCACAGTTGTTACTCGGAAGTCCTTTCCAGCCTGGGTCTCCAGGATCCTTTGCCTCTCCTCAATTCCCGAGTTTCAATCGCTTTCCTCAAGGCACAAATGCCCTGCATCACCAGACGCAGCAAGTTCACCAGAACCAGCAACTTCATCTGGGTAGCCCTACCCAAGCCAATGCCAACCCAATGTCCCCCCAGGCATACTCCTCCGTCATGTCTCCCGAGACCTACACTGCCACATCACCAACCGGCTTCTCTGGACTTGGTGGTGCAGCCTTCAGTCATTATCAGCCAATGGTCGGTATGAACAATACATGGATGACTGGTACCAGTCGGACTGTTTACTTGGGCAACATTCCTGCCGACACGTCTGCTGAAGAGATACTGGGTCATGTCAGAAGTGGCCAGATCGAGTCCGTACGGCTTCTGCCCGAGAAGAACTGCGCTTTCATCTCCTTCCTCGACAGCAGCTCGGCCACACACTTTCACTCTGATGCAATTCTCAAAAAGCTGGCTATCAAGGGCAATGATATCAAAGTTGGATGGGGAAAGCCGTCATCAGTTCCTACCTCCGTTGCCCTTGCCGTACAACAATCCAGTGCCTCGCGAAATGTCTATCTCGGTAATTTACCAGAAGACATTACCGAGCAGGAATTGCGAGAAGATCTAGGGAAATTTGGACCAATTGACACCGTCAAGATGGTTCGTGAAAAGGCCATCGCATTTGTCCATTTCTTGTCAATTGGCCATGCCATTAAGGCGGTAAATCAACTCCCTCAGGACCCAAAATGGGTGGCACCTCGTCGTGTTTACTATGGCAAGGACCGCTGTGCCTATGTTTCCAAAACACAACAGCAAAACGCCGCGCAATATCTGGGGATTGCCCCCGGTTACGCCCATGTCTTGAATGGAGCTGATCGGGACCTCATTTCCAATGCTCTCGCACAGCAGTCTGTTGCTGCTGCTGCGGTAGCCACTACTGCTGGTGGCGTGAATAATCTGGGCAACCGTACCGTGTACCTGGGTAATATCCACCCCGAAACCACCATTGAAGAAATCTGTAATGTTGTTCGAGGAGGCCTTCTACACCATATACGCTATATTCCTGACAAACATATTTGCTTTGTCACATTCATTGATCCAACTTCGGCTGCTTCATTCTACGCATTGAGCAATCTTCAAGGGCTCATGATCCACAATCGACGACTCAAGATTGGCTGGGGCAAGCACTCTGGAGCACTTCCGCCGGCGATTGCATTGGCTGTTAGTGGCGGTGCGTCTCGAAATGTCTACATCGGCAATTTGGATGAGAGCTGGAGCGAGGAGCGCTTGCGACAGGACTTCTCCGAGTATGGAGATATTGAGCTCGTCAATACCCTGCGCGAGAAGAGCTGTGCGTTTGTCAACTTCACCAACATCGCTAACGCAATCAAAGCAATCGAGGCTGTTCGTGGGCGAGAAGAGTACAAGCGGTTCAAGATCAATTTCGGCAAGGACAGATGCGGTAATCCTCCGCGACAGAATCTGAATATGAATGGCAACCAAGGCCGCATGCAGGGTGGCATCGACGGCACCGATTCTCCTGCCTTGGTGAATGGCTTCGACCATGCAGCCTCGCAGACGGGATCGAGCCCGACACGATCTACCATTCCTGTGGGACCCAAGGTTGTGGCTCAGCCGATTCGACAGCAAACAATGCCTGCCACTCCCTCTGCTATTCTCAATGCCGGAGGCCAGAATCCTTTGACCATGTATTTGACCCATGTTTCGCAACAACAGCAAGCCCAGGCTGAGCAAGACCTACGAGAGGAGACACTGTCGTACGCAGCACATCAAACGCAGCAAAATCAGTCACTGTCAAATCAGCCAACACCTTTGTATGGCGATGGCCCCAACGGTATGTCAAATGGGTTTGGTGGTCTCGATGCTGCCACTCCGTCCCACGTTCCTCGCCAGAACAGCATGAGCGGGGGATTGGGCAACATCTCGTTGAGCAATGGTAACTCGACGACTGTTGGCGGTCTGCTTGCCCCAACCCATACCGGCTTCGGAGCGAGCCGTAGTGCTCATTCCCGGGCAGTATCATTACCCGCCTTCTCGCAAGAACTCTTCAGCGGAAGTCACGCTACCCAGCCAGGACCATCCTCGTCACGCGGGTTTGGGGGCCATGCACCACAAGGCAGCTTTGGGGGATTTGGATCTGCGTTTGGCACTGGCTTCGGCACCAGTGGGTTCAATGGGCTTGGATTGACCAGTGACAGCCGATCAGGGCTTTCCGGCTGGGCCGAGGAAGAACTCGGAGCAAAATAAGTGGTTGTAATATTTCTTCCATATGTGTTTCTAGGTTTTTTTGGTTTTGATTTTTTTGGAGTGCTGGATGAGTGCGCTTCGATGAAACGGAGGAATCGTGTGAACACACCGTCAACTAATAGCATGCATGGATCGGAACGATTCGTTTCATCTGGAGATCTTTGGCCAACGCCCATATTGGCGCTGAGTCTTGCGTGCTTCTTATTGAGCACCATATGATGTGCACCATGCGCTGGCAGGGTGGTCCAAATGGGATATTATCTCTACCTCTTGAATCTATCTCTGACTTGGGCTTCGAGTCTCATCGAGGCGCACGCATATGAGTTCCAGAAAACGGTGAAAACGACGAGTGAAGCATGAGGCATTAAGAGGGCTGGTGGCCGCTGGCTTGGTGAGCATTACAGAGCCCCGTCTAGCCTGGGAAGCCCATGTAACTGATTAATTTGATGCAACCGAATAGACTATTGATTCAAGTCTTTATCATATCCTTTACTGATAGATCTCATCTTTCTTGAGAGGTTAGCCTGAAGCATGAAAGTGAATGCTGTTTGAGATAAGCAACGTGGTTGCTCAATAAATGACGTGAACACCAGTGTCGGAGATTCTATTGCAGGACTGCTCTGAGGCCTGCTTCAAGCGTGTCGACAGGTTTGACCAGTGCCGCTAGCAGATGCCCACCAGATCCCCTCAGACGAACAAGCAGATGTTGATCAGGTACCAGCTCTCGTAAGAGGTCAAGGTACCATATACTCGTATACACAGATGTACTCTCAACGACACTGTCGGAGGATGCAGAGACCCTGACCGCGTGTACAGGAAAATGGTAGTAAATGCATGGAAATGTGCAAAACGGAACCAAGAAACAGTATCGTGATAGGTACCTAGAAAGATTATATCCCATACAAATATCCAAATCCGATTTCCATTCCATCCGCACACCCAAAATACATCACCTTCAGCTGGTAGGTCATACCAATCAACATTGTCATCTGCTCCACCTGAACGTTGACGGAGCTCGACAACCAGCTTTTGTTCAGCCAATAAATTCACATTTCGGAGGACACAGTCTTGAGTCTTCAACTTCTTTGAGATATACTTGTCGAATCTGACCTGTCCGAGTGCATCTCTTTTGCCATCTGAATATGTTAGTAAAACACCCGAACAATACTGAGCGTCACCGCCCGGCCGGCAGATTTGGATCTTTGTATTTGGCTCGAGATGAGCTTTACTCAAACACCATCCTTCTTCTGGACTCCCAGCTGGGAGGGACGGAAAAAATTCTCCAGGCGAGATGTTGAAGCCTAATGCCCGGATGTAGGTAGATGCAGTCGAAGTTGATATCCCAATCTCCGATACGCCGTCAAACGAAGTGGTCGCGGAGCAATGGCATAGACTCTCGACGTGACCGTCGAAAAAGGGACAGAACGCTTCATATTCGAAATAGTCTTCGTGCTGCGGTTGCGGTCCAAAACAATAGGTTCGGTCGAGGCTGGTGGAGACCTGATTCTTTCAGTGACTCGTCCTCAAAAGGGGCTGAAGACACAAAGCAATACCTGAATGACGGGATAATTGGTTGGAAACCTCATATCTGATATTCGGCGAACTCCCACTACCCGGATATTTTCGGCTGTGCGTAAAAGAAAATACGAAAATAAGGGACTTTTTTTGCCATACTTTTTCTCAACTTGACTTGCAAATGATTCGAAAGTCGTCATTGATTGTCGCCCATGACAGAAAAGACCTACAGTTCGAGTGTCGAGAACGACAGCTGTGAGACCTGAGATGTCCCTCAAGTCATGGTAGTCATACCGCCTTGTGCTAGAGGATGGACCTTCGAAGAACCACTCGGTATTTGGTCTATGTACGAATGGCGTGCTCCATTCGGTCACACCGCCAAAAGAGCCTTGAGGAACGAGAACTCTGAGGAAACGTCCCTAGAAAATATTAGCGGCCAGCGCAATGAGATCGACCGACACTTACATCAGAGAAGGCTCAAAGGTTTTTCGGCCTGTGTATCGGCGTTTCTTGTATCGATCGTGTAGGATTATGCTGATTCCACTGTCAAACCGACAACCTGATTTTCTTGACTCGTGCTATCAAGGCTAAGGATGCCAAAATGGTCACAGTGAACCAGCAATTGATCTCGAACGTACACACTTCTCGTCCATTCTCGAAGCGGTCTAGTATTGATGCTGGTTAAATATTGACGTCCCTCAGATTCACTGAATGTCATAAAAAGAGTCATTCCCGCGTTGAGATTGTTGACGTCGATCCAAGTAGGGTAGGAGAACTTGCTGTACCGCCTCACCACCATCATAGCGCGGGTCAGAGATACCAGTTCTGGAACATCGTCAAGATAAACAAGGATCTCCTCAGCCACATCATATGGAAGGAGTTTGAATGGCCACGTGAAGGTATCCAGAAAATCATTGGTGAAAGACTTTAATACCTCCAACCCTGAAGGCACCAGAGGGCGGGCTGTCAAGGCAAGTTTACAAAGACCTTCCTAGGTGATTTCGCCGCTTTTGAGTAGAATGGGACAGTACTGCTTCAAAACAGCAGAGCATCGCGTATGGATAAACGCCATTCCAGTGTCATTTCTAAAGCATCTCGGACAGTATGTTTGGCCTTCATGTTCGGCAACTTCAACTGGTTAGAGAAGCTGGGAGTGTAGATGTCTATCTACACTTACGGTCATAATCACCAGATTCAGCAAATGAGCAGAATATAGACGTAGCTTTCTCTCTTGGGCATTCACAGGCAGTGGCACAAGGCATGGGAGCAAGAAGTTTGAGGATTTATGCCATTGCAAGGGAAGGCACGTCTGTCTCACCAAGACTACTGTGCGTAGTGTACAATGGTAGATGCAGGTAGGAAGGTCGTAAATCATCCCTAGAGAATTCTAGATATGGTTAGAGTTACAACGGTGTAGGACACTGAACTCCTAGGCTCTGCATGGGATTGCAGTGCTGCCTAATGTCCGTGTCCCTTAACAACCATCTAGAATGAGGACACTGGTGCGCTGAGAAGGAGTACTGTAAAATTCGTGTTAAGCTGGGTTGTTTTGGCCCCTAAGGAGCACTTGGTCAGTTCGTGTTAAGTTGAATATCCTATCTGACCCTGTAAGAGTGAAATGTGCCAATTCCCATAGGCCGAGAGGCTGGTCAGGGATCCCGGGGAAGGTCGCCTCGGTGCTTCCAAGTTCCTTCGGCTACCCTCGTGCACCTGTGCCGCCAATCTTCAGGCTAGGACAGCAATCAACAATAACCGAACCACCAAGCATGGAGTTCGTTGAGTTCTCCAGAGAACGCGTTATGGACACAGCTAGACATAACGAGGTACCTACTCCCTATGCTATATTCATGCTTTTGGGCCGCTCAGAGGCAAAATGTCCAGTCTCGTAAGTACCTAGTAATGTACCTAGTATCTACGAGTAGTAACTTCGGAGTCAAGTACTCGAGTCCACACCAAAGTCAACCTCAACTTCGCGAGTTAGCCCCATTCCATCCAAGTTCACGCATCCATCTATCTCCTAGCCTATTCCCATTCAAGGCCTGCCCTCTCTCCGTGTCTCCTCTTTCTCACCTCCTTGGTGTGCTCCTGATCCCATCTCATTTCAGACTCTCTACCTGCCTCTACCTGGGGACTTCAACTCGCTCGCTCACATCCCAACTCTGACACCCGCCGAAAATCTCTCGTTGTTACGGCACCATCATCAGGAGTCCAATCTTAGGAAGGACATCAAAGAGTCACCATCCCCAATCTGACATCCACCGCTAAAATCGAACCCTATTGTCACCGCCCACTCCAGTTGTGACCTTCATTTTTCTTCTTGATCCTGTCCACCCCATCCCTTCCCACTTGGAATCACATCTACTTCACACCACATTCTCTACCAATTACCTCGGATCTCCTGTCTAGTCCAACTGATATTCATCCACTGCTTCTTCCCTTTCTTCCTTCGACCAACGCTTCACATCACTTCTACTCATCACAACTCGGCGCGTGGCCCACCAGAGTCGGAGTCGCGCACTATCGCTCTTTCCCGCAACTGCAACCGCGCCATTCCTCCATCCCCCCCCCAAAGATCTTCAATCGGACGCTTTTTCACCTTCACTTACATCACCATCATTTCCTCCGTTGTAAGTCTCATTAACACAAACAAAACACCCTCTTAATTGACAGACAGACTTCCTTCATTTACTGCCGCCTAAATCCGATAACTCTTTCCCCGGCTCGTGTTGTTGCCTTGCGCAGTTTTGACGCCCTGCACCCATTGCCGATCCTCACTTCTCCCACCCTCCAGACCCGCTTCCTCCACCGCACCCTCGACTTCGACATTCCCCTTACCCCCGAGCTTTCACGCAGCAACAGTAATATCATCCTCTGCTTCAGGCTCGCGTCTTGAGTAAGCGTCCACAAAATCTCCTGACGAGACTTACTGTCCTCGTTGGTTCTACACCAAGGCTAATATCCGTTTGCCTAGGTGCTCACGTGCGACAACTCCCCTTCAAAGCCATTCACCCTGACATACCACTCTCTCGATCAGCCGCGCAGAAAGACAGCAGGACACCATGGTTGTAGCAACAATCAAGTATGTTGACTGCCTATGACCTCTCCCTGCCTCAACCATGACGCCGGACATTCTACTAAACATTCCCTAGATGTGTTGTTGTTGGTGATGGTGCCGTTGGAAAGACCTGTCTACTTATCTCCTACACAACAAACAAGTTTCCCTCCGAATACGTGCCTACTGTCTTCGATAACTATGCAGTCACGGTTATGTGAGTTTCCTTACCCCTTCCATCGTGCAGCAGACAACTTGTGCGGGCCTCCAATTTGTCATTTCGAGCAAGACGTGATATACTCACAATCCGGTTGTGCGCCACCACCACCATTACGGACTCTGCTCAAACGCTGAATCTTCAGGCCTGTCTCGCCTGACTCGCCTGATTAATCGGCTCCGCCTTCGCGCTTTACCCCTCCTCTGTATAACCTGAAACACCTAAGCACGTGCACTAATCTAAGTTCTTGTTCAGGATTGGCGATGAACCCTACACCCTTGGCTTATTCGATACTGCCGGACAAGAAGATTATGACCGATTACGACCTCTCTCCTACCCTCAGACCGATGTTTTCCTCGTCTGTTTCTCAGTAACTTCGCCAGCCTCGTTTGAAAACGTGCGAGAAAAATGGTTCCCCGAAGTCCACCATCACTGTCCTGGTGTTCCATGCCTGATCGTCGGTACGCAGACAGATTTGAGAGATGAACCATCCGTTCGAGAAAAACTTGCAAAACAGAAAATGCAACCCGTCCGCAAGGAAGACGGTGAACGCATGGCGAAAGAACTGGGCGCCGTCAAATATGTCGAGTGCAGTGCTTTGACCCAGTACAAACTCAAGGATGTTTTTGACGAAGCCATTGTTGCTGCATTGGAGCCTCCACCGAAGAAGAGCAGTAAAAAGTGCACAATACTATGATGTGGCAGACTCATGAGGTAATGCACATATCGACATATTCATAACATGTGCTGACTTGAGCAGACTTGGCTCCTGTGTCCTAGATACAACACCTGGATTTGGAGGCTGGCATGGCTTTTGGACACCATATCCAACCACACTTGATCATCTTGTGCAAGATGTGCTCTATTCAGTCTCATCGGTCTCACCCAGCATCTTGATCCTTGCCATCAAATCTAGACAGCTCTGGCTCCGGGGCACGAATCTTCTTCCTAGATTGGCGTTTCTTTTTATGATTAAGCCTTGAGGTGGGCGGGCAATGGCAAATGGCAACGGAGTTGATATCCATGTTGCAAATGCAAAGTTAGGGGCATGCGGTTCTGAAACTGAAAGTGGCGTTCTGGGGCGTTAAGTTGTATCCCATCCGCCAGCACCGCCTGCCAGCCACTAGTCATTGCGTTCAAGTTGAAATGCATTCTTGCAGTGTGCCACATCTATTTACACCATTCCAAACACCAGAGTACGCACCCAAGAGGGTTGCGCAATTCAGCCATTCAGCCATTTACTCATGCTTTGCAGAGCCATGTTATGCGGTCCGAATTGAGCACCTGAGCTATTGAGCAATTAAGCGATGCGTGGCCTGGCTTGGTGTGCAGACAGATTCTCCTTTTTATTTTCCTTAGAGAGAAATGAGATCAAGATGAATTAGAGACGTTGACATTGGTCATGTACTTGCTACTTGGCTTTGCTCTGCAATCACTGATAGGTCTCTCATTCCTAGTCCCTTTGCATGGAGGTGTAGTCAGTGCCAAAGTCAACGTGACATGGCATCGAAATAGAAAAAATGATGAATTTCAATCTCAGGCACACGCAAATCAGGTCATGTTTGTACATACATATATCTGCACCCACTTACTCGCTATATGGAGTTTCTAAGTGGCCTTGGTCCGGATGGCGGACGATGCTAGAATTAAAGATAGAGATGAAGAAGCATCTCAATGTCATCATCATCCTCAATCACACGTCTCGTCTCTCCTAATCATTAAACTTTGAAGATGGCCACGAATTCCCCATCCAAATCATCCTATTTCCCATGGTCTCGAGCTCATGTTGGCAGCACTGAGAATGTTTGCCGTGGCATCTGAGTCGAGGACCTACTTTCGTAGCCTCGTTGGTCCCCCATCCACGGAGTGTAAGCTCGTCACCTCGTCAGAATTATGTGTACCTGCTGAAACAAAGAATCCAGGCCATCAAGGACTGACATGCATGTCATTGTCCGGCTCCTCCAGTGGTGGGTATTCGGACACATCCTCTCCGTTGGTAGCAACGGCTTTGCCAGCCAGGACCGGTGGGATTGATCGTGGTGATAGCTCACCGTTGGAGCCTTCAAATGACGCCGAATATGACGTGGCAGCCGACCGGTTATCATAACCAAGGAGGGCAAGTCTTTTGCTGACTAGATCTTGCAACTGGAGGAGTTGCTCCAACTCCGAAATCTCCATGGAGTCTGCAACTTCAGGCGGCGCCTCGCTGATCAGTGAATTAGTGAGTTCGGCAAGCGCATCGCCGGAGAAACCATTGATCCCTTGTTGAGACATCTCGGCAAGATTGAGTACAGTTTGTTGTTCTCTAAAAGATCGACTGCGCAAATTGGCATTGGCCCGCGCCGTTTCGGCAATGGCAAGGGCCTGCGAGCCAGTCCAAAAATCGGGCTCCTTCATCTTGACCACGTACTCCGTGGGTGGATGGTGTAAAACAAGATTGTCAGGACGATACTTCTTGCTTCGTATGTGTTTTTCTGCATTCATCTGGCGGGGGAAAGACTGATCCTCGTACCAACTCTTTTTGACCCGATCAATAAAATCAAGTCGGATACCTTCTTCGGGCACCCGGTAGATCTTGCCATCCATGACCTCTTGCTTAGTCCTGTCAAAAGTCACAGGGTCGGGCATGAGTTCTACCTCGATGATGCCGTTATTTTTGAATCCCCGAGGAAATGGTACGTCCAATGGGATGGCATTCTTGGGGCGGCGAAGCTTGGGTACTCTCCCGAGGGAACCAGGTTCGGCTTCAGCCTGGCGGCTGAATGATGCAACGTCGTGATCAACATGCAATGGACATTTCCACGACGATCCGGGTTTGTTGTCGCCACGGCGTCTTGGCGGGATAGCCAATGGAGGACTAACGCAGTCTAGATGCCATCTTGCCGGGCAAAAGTCACAAGGAATGATATCACGACCTTGTGATGTGTGTCCACAGAGATAACACATGATGAGCTTGCCCTTGCTATCGCGCAGCTCCTTGTAATTGGGTTCTTCGATGAAGCCAGCTCGGTTCATCTTGGTGAGGTTGTTCTGAGTCCGAGGAAGCGCGACTTCTTCATACTCGCCCTCTTGGCCGGTACGGACACCTTCAAAATAGTCGCGCACATCGAGTGGGAGAGTGAAAGCCTTGGGAATGGTTTTGTCGATTTGACCAAGAACCAGGCCAAGAATGCCAGTAGGGGTTGCTTCCTCGGGAGCGCGATTCGCAGCACAGGATGGACAATACCACGAGCCCTCGACCTCATGATCGGGATTGAGAGGTGGCTCGAGGCAAGCATGATGAAAGGAATTGGTGCAGCCATCACAGCATAGCAGGATGCCTTCTCCACTGCACGAGTAACAAAGCTCATCATTGTCCTGTATTTTCAAGTCAGAGTTTGCAAAATTACACATGAATCATGAGATGCGAAGAATGATGAAGAAAAATGATGCCCTGCTGTAGAGCTTCGACCCCGAAAAGCGTGAGAGGAGGGGCAGAGAGAAAGGAGAGCAGCCAAGGAGACTGGGAAGGACGATGGGAGAGTCGAATGGGAAGAATGGAAAAGCCAGATGTGAAAATTGGCGTAATGCAACCGTGCTGGGATGAATGGATGATGGCTTACCTCTGTGCCTGATTCTGCTCCGTGGCTGGTTCCAGGGTCGCGTCCAGCCCCCGCACGAGAAATTCCGGCAGTAATGCCGCCGTTCTTAGGTTTGTTCGGCCTGTCCAAGACTTGGGTCAGCAACGGGTTCTGATACTGTAACTTGAAATTTGCACTGGTGCATGGGACGTTTTGATGATTCCTGATAATCATTCGGGGTAGAATGTACGTCTCACAGGGTTACTTACGAAATGAAAACTCGGGCTGAACGTCTTGCTCCTCGGGTAGGAGCTTGGAATCTGGTCGCCCGTGGTGTAGTACCTCGTGACGAGATGTGAGTAACGCCAGGAGCAGGTGCAGGCTGCCCTGGACCAGGAGATGACCTGGAGAAAGGAGTAGGGGCATCTGCAGGGTCAGAAAACGAATCTTTTCGTAACCTCCTGCGAGGAGGCCCCCCGATCACCAACGTGTCGTTTCCGTTCTCCAGCGCGGCTCCGAGTGTGAGAGCGGATTGTGACGTATGCAGATAGTCGTCATGAAGCACTGGTGGAGGAGGTGCGAGGAGATCGGGAAAGGGATCAATCGAGCCACCATCAACCGGATCTCTCATGTGGCTCTCCTGGTGGGGAAATGTGTTGTAGTCATGGAAACTTTCACCCAGATAACGGGCTTTGCGTTTCGAAAGTTCATCAATTTCGTATTCAGGCTCGACTTGGGACCTGCGCGCCTTTTTGGACGTCGCTTTCGATGAAGAATGGGCTTCCGACCCTGTTGGATTGGGAAGCGACACGTGAGTAGTAGGGTTTGCGGACGAGCGTAGCCTACTCGACGCTCCAGATTGATGTCTGCTAAGTCTTGTTCCGTTTGATCGTGACCTTGTGGCACTGTGGTGAATGCCATTCGAGCGGCCGTGATCAGTAGCGGTGCCAAACTCGTCAGGCATGGTCAATGACTGGGCCGAAGACAAGGAAGATACGCTGGAAACGCTCCGCGATCTCTTTCGCTTGTTTGACGAAGAATTAGGTTTCCGAGCGGAAGTTCTCAAAACAGGTTCGACTGGTGCGGGAAGTTGACCGACAGTCGATGCTGAGGTCCAGTTGTGGTCTTGACTCTGGCGAGTAGCTCGGAAGAGGGGTGCCACATAGGACTCACGATAGTCCTGGTCATTTGGATCAGGGGCCCCAAAATACAATCGAGGGCCAGAGGTGATGTCTGCATGGGTAGAATCATGGGCGGCGGGAGTCTGTTCGGGACTCAAGGAAACATGACTCTGGCGACGAAAAGATTTGACGCCGGACTTGATGTAGCGTTTGAAGATTTTGAACTGTTGATCAGTGGGAGATTGTGAGATAACAGCTTCGAGGACATTCCACAGATCGGGGATAACTTGAGCATCATCCCGCAGTCTCCGCAAGCCCATGACAAGGTTGAGAGAGCCTTTGTCTTGCGCTTGTTGGACGGCGTGTTCGACATGGCTGTTTAGGCGGTCCTGGCGAATATGCTCTTGTATGGAGACTGGCTTGGGTGAGGCATGGTTGCCAGGGGTAGTAAAGCTAGATCTGACTGACGAAGGAGAGTAATTGGGGGCTTGTGGCATGCTTGCAACTTCTTTCATAGATGGACGACCACGCGGCGGACTGGAAATGACAATTGTATCGGGTAAACGAGGCGGATCAGGGGGTAGCTGTGATGAGATCTCTGGCTCTCTGGGGGCGGCCGGCACGTCGGATTTGTCCAGATCGGGGGTTGGTGTGTGAGTATTGTCGACGTGGACGGAGGTGGGTTGAAGTGAAGGACGGACATAAGGCGTCAACTTGAGTTTCTGCAACAGCTTTTGAGAAGGCGGGATTCCCAATGGCTGCATGTTTTCCAAAACACCACCCTTTTCCAGACCTTTTGTATCTTGATAACTCGGGACTGCAGGCCGGACCGCGGGTTCGATCCATGTATCCAAACTGGTCTGCAAGCCATTCCTGATCTCCGGAATCTCGACTGTCTTTACAGCAGGTTCTCTGTCTCCAAAGGTGGCGGGACTCGAGTAGCGGCTGGATCTTTGCCGCAGCGATCTCGTCGCCATCCTGCTCTCGCTTCTTCGCGCCACACGCGCGGACTGGAGATGAAACCGTGTCAGAGACGTGACTGAAATGAATGGAGATGAACTTACGATAGCCTGTGCAGAGGCAGATTGGGCGAAAACGAGTAGATCGTGGGGAATAAAGTAGAGTGTGAGAGGAGTGGGAGAGTTGTTATGGGAAGAAAGATGCAATGCAGCGCAAGTTCAAGTTTACGCAGTGGAGGCAGGTGCAGGTTGGGGGTGCAAGTGCTAAGCGGACAATCGCAAGACACACAGACTTGGTGACTAGCCAGTAAGTAAGTCCTCAGTGAAGACGGGTTGCTAATAATTAGTTAACAAGATCGGGGCAAGGGGGCCGGAGCCAGCCCAGCTCAAGCATCATTGGTTGGCACTATAGCGAAACTAGGCACCACGTAGGCTCCCCTAAAACCCCCTCGATCCCAAGGCTGAGTACCCTTTCGGCTTCTTGGCCTACGCCCGCTGCTGCTGCTGCTGCTGCGTATAAACATGGCGTTACTTCCGGGGGCACCCTATCGCCACCACAGTCAACCACTTACTTAGAGATATGAATCACAGTGGATGACATATCACCACATACACTACAAATCACGTTCCCTCAATCTCATACTACAGATGGTTGCCTGTTTATGAGACTCATACTGTGTTTTGTTCGCTTTCATCACCTGGTCTCTTATGTGGCCATTCTGACGTGGCAAATTCTAGGGGTAGCCCGCCTCGCCTTGTTGCTCAAGTCCGAGGCACCTTCAGCCCCCCCTTTTCCCTTTCAATCCCAAGAAACGCAACGTGCAATCTACACTAAACACAACACTTGTTTCTTCTCGCTGGGGCATAAAGTTCTCGGTGTGCATTGATGTTTAATCTGTTCATCTACACACAGCGACTTCCCTCATTTCCCAGTGAGGGCCTGCGAGGGGTGAATTCCTAGGTTTGGTGACCACCAATGGCTCATCCTGAGATTGAACTTCTCTTTGTCTGACCATCAGTAGTGTCAACCAATCCAACGGTTCTCGCCAGCTTTAGCCTAACCAGACCTTTTCATACCCAAGGTCTGCCTGTCACACCCGGACAAGTCTTCACAGTCAGTGAAAGACGAGAGGCTGCCTTAATGGCAAATGAGAGAACAAGGTGAGCATGTCGACTTGAGACTGCCCTATTCATCGTCGCTATCATCATCGTCATCATCTTCAGTCTTCTTTGCGGGCTTCTTCTTCTTTTTCTTGTTCTTGCTCTTGGCACCGGTTGACTTTGAGAGTGGCTGTTCCAAGATCTTCAGGATCTCTTCGTCCTCAATCTTCTTGTCAGACTTGACGCTCTCCAGGTCCAGCGCCGGTGGGGCTGCTAGACGAGTAATTCCATTCTTGGTGACGGCTAGAATGGAGTTAGTTGGAGAGCTTAAGTAAAGACTGATGACGACATACCAATTGTGGTGAACAACCGTGACACAGGTGAGCCATCAGCTTCAGCGGCAGGCTTGTATTCTCGAAGGACGCCGGCTCTAATTGATTCAACGACACCAACCTTTGCAGCCCTTTCGTCTTCCAATTGTCGAATGCTGAAAGGGAATGTGCCAAATTTCTTGACAATCTCAGACAAGACTTGGCGCGACGATGGACGCTTTAAGCCATAAGTCGTAGCTGTTCGTCGAAGGAGAGTCGATCGTTTGTCGAGGTCCTTGACCTTGCCCGAACCCAGACTCAAACCTAGCTCTATACCCCAGAACTCGCCCACTTCCGGATTTCCTTCGCCTTTGGCACCGTCGACGGGAGAGAGGATGATCTTCTTCTTGCCCTCAATCTCGTTGCGTTCAAACTGCCACGATGTGGTATGCTGGACGACATTGACATCGTAGGCCTTGGCCACCTTTTCAATCAGGCTGGAGATCTTGCTATGGCTGGGGGCTTTGACCGCAGCAGCCTTCTTCTTTTCCTCCTCGGTTCCAGAGGCCAATAGGCCAGGTGGTAGCAGCAGTCTCAACAGGAGTTCGTTGGCATAGTGTGTAGCAACAAGAAGGTCAGCTTCACGGCCCGTGATATCCGCCTTTTGTCCCTTTTCTTTGGGTACGACCACGGTGCTTCCAATGATTGAGCCGAATCCATCGATCTGTGCGCCCAACTGGACCTTCACAACCTCCCCAGCTTTGATGGTGGTGCTTGAATCTTCCGCGTCCGAGGTGAGAGGAGTGAAAGGAGTCACATGGGAGGATGGAGAGATGGTTACTGGAGAGCCAGATCCCTGGAGAGGTTGTTGATGTCAGCCTAAAATCAAATATCGACCAGCCAAACGAGCGGAGAAGGAGCAGAGACGGTACCTTTTGGATCTTTTTTCCTTTGTAGACCTTTGCGATCTCCTCCTCCAAGAGCTTGTCGCCTCTTTCGCATAGAGAAATGATGTTCTCGCCGTCAGCCAGCCATCCTGTCACAAAATGGTCAATTTCCACGGGTCTCGTGAGCGGGGGTCAGGAACAAGCGGTACCTGTCACTTCTGCGAGGACTTTCTCCGAAATAGTGGAGGCGGTCTTGAGTTTGGTGAGGTTGTCAGGGTTGTTGATGGTGCTATCTTCCACTGCTGTATCGGCCATGCTGTCGGTTGCCGTGGAGAAGGTGGTGGTGGTGCAGGGAAGAAACAAGGCAACTTGAAATCGAATATTTGGCGGGGTGCACAAATGTCTGAGGCTTTAATGTGGGATTAACCTGTGACCGTCTGTGGTACTTGCAGTTGATCCACGCCGAAAGTGTGACGTGCGTTCCCCGCTGTAGTTGGTTGTTCGGCGCGGAAAAACCATAATCCAAGAGCGTATCCACTGAGGCTGGACGAGGGGGGTCCCGTCCTCTCGAAAAGGTAACGCTGGTTCAGGCTGATGCAACAAGGGAGCGAGCTCCGAGCAACGAACGAGTTATATTTATCTAATGGGAGGTCGCCAAAGCGGTGGATTGCAAGGATAGACATTAATGTCGGACTTTTAATTTTAGAGACATAAAATCCTAAGAAATAGAGAGGAATACAGGTGAATGCATATATGCCAGGTAAGGTCTGGAGTAGCAATGAACTAGCCCTATTATCTATCTCAACGCCTTGTGGCCTCCTTCTGACACCCTTAGCTACCCCATCGGTGGTATCGAGGGCAAAGAAACACGTCAGTCGACGTATGGGCATCCAGGAGATCATGGTGTCACGAAGAATTTGGACGATATTAATACAATGAAGTGCTCTTTAGGCTTTGTTCCTCTAGGCATAACTAACTCTACACAATTTTTGAATGGTTGAGTCAAAAGCGGACATGACTGGTCGCGGACATGACTAGCTTTGAAAAGCGATGGACTATATGCGTCTTAATATCATCTACGGAGTAGCTCTTGACAGTCTAGTTTCTCCATCTAAAGGTTAGCATCTTTCGACTGATTGATGGACATTTTGGAGTAAGATACGAGTGTTTGAGACACTCCGGGACGTCCGCTTGATCGCCCAAATATGGTGAAATATATAATTAGGAGTGACCGCTCTGTAGTTGAACCATAGCACCAAGTCATTCGTACCTTCAGTTATTCACTCAGTCCCTCATCGAGGGAACAGTGGCGATGATGGGATCCAGTGCACTTGCAACATCCCAGCGCTTCACAGGCTTGTCCAAAAATGCATATCGACTTCTCCAGCCAGCAAGCAGTTGGCATAAATATGCTTGGGTCGCCCAATCAGAGAGGTCGGTAACCCTACATATACGTACTTCTACAAAGCTAGCTGCTGATACAAGAATAGTGATGGACGACTCGCTCTTTTCAAATCACCTCTCCGACCTGAACTTGATGCCCAAGCTTTCGCTACGCGGCAACTGAACAACGAGATGACTCTACTATCCGGCCCGTTAAAAGACGCAGAAGGCGTGCGACAAATGATCGACACGGTCTGCCTTCAAAATGATTCCACTATTGACGATGCTCGAGCAGGTGTCTTCGAGTACCTAGATAATGACCTGTTCCACTTCCACTATACAGAGAAAAGGAGTTTTTAGTTTGCATGAGATCAAAACATGCGCCAGGCAGCTTCTCACGGGATTATCCCACATTCACAAGAACGATATTGTTCACACCGGTCTGCGTTTCACTTTACAGCATTTGAGAAGAATACAGACTGATGAATACAGATCTCAAAATGGAAAACGTGGCATTTTCTGCCGTGAGAAAGAAACGCCTCGGGAGAACCTCATCCGATTTATTAGTCAAGATCATCGACTTTGGTGTTGGTCAGTATTCATGAGATTTCCCTTGCCCTATGTATCCCAATTCTGACCTTCTCAGCCGATTCTACCCCAGAGGACCGACATAGGACTATTACCGCTCCTTACTATCGAAGTCCAGAATCTTGGCTAGACCTTAGCTGGGGTCCATCTACCGACATATGGTCGTTTGGGGCTATTGTGAGTGAGGGCTAAGATGTCGCTGGGATCAAACCTACTGACTAATGTTTTCTTTGGAAGATCGGCTCCCTCCTCATGGAGCCAGGAGCTTCGTTGCTTAAGCTCGTTGGTAACCCCGGAGGGTTTGACCGACTATATCGGGACCTGGCACCACTTCGAGCTGCGTTACTTGAGCTCGTTGAGAACTCCGGACAGGTTGACCAAATATGTCGGGACTTGGAATCACTTCGAGCTCTATGTACGTTCGTCCCATTCCCTCCGACCCTCTTGAGTCGACTGTCACCAGAAGTACAGGAGATGATTAGCCGTCTCGAGCCGACAGTCGCGGTCAACGGGAAGCCAATGACTCTAAGCTATCTTGGCGAAGTTTCTTGTGCTGACGAAGGTGGTTGGGACTTTGTAACGGCTGCTATGGACCCTGACCCAGAGGAGCGGCCGACGGCCACGCAGCTTCTCCAGCACCCTTGGCTTAGGATATAGTATTACGTGTAAATCGGGAGCTTGGGAATGTACAATACATAGATATGCGTTAATGAGTGAAATGTGGAACTGACAGGGTTTGAACATATTGTTTTGCGTTATATAGATATTATACAGCTGCTTTAGCCACCCTCGCGTCCACCGCAATTCTATGGTTGCGGTTCTTCAAATGGGCTTCAAAGCTTTCGGCCGTGGTACCTGGACCAGTCATGTACACTAATGACATATGTGTTAGAGAGAGAATCGTATTAGAAGGGATGAGAAACTTACCTCGCCCGGGACAGTCAAGGCATCGAATGCGAGGCACATATTTATGAGGAAGAGCCTTGGAGGCTTCATTCGAAGGAACCAGCTTTTGCGTCTTTGGGTCCATTGCTGTATGCTTCATGAGACCTTCAAATCGATCATCAGGATATAATTTTCGGAGCCGGGCCAGGTCATTGGTAAGCCAGTCTGGAGGTGGAGGCTGCGATGTATTAGTATCTCATTACCCTCATGTGAGGAGCCACTTACGGCAGGACGTGAAGAACTGGGCCCGTGAGAAGTTGCATCCACCGCACCGGGGATGTCTGCGGGAGGGGGAACTGGTGAAGGCGGCGGTGGCATCGCGGCAAGATTCAACGGTGCAGCGGATGTCGATCTTGAATGATGACTTGGTCGTGGGCTGCCTTGACTTGATAGGTTTGAGACGACGCCAGCGCGTTCCTTGAGTCTCTGGGCTCTGACAAATTCCCGCAGCTTGGACTTTCCAACTTTTAATTTGACAATAAGCTTCTCCGGGGCCGATTCATCATCGCTTTCCTCTTTGTAATCCTTCTTTCTCGCCGAGCTCCTTGACTCGTGGTGGGACGGGGTGACTGACTCTGGTGTGGCAGAGCGCACAGAAGCAAAGCCACTGAGATTGGAGCGAATCCCAGCCGTGGCGGATAAAGCTGCGTTTCTAAGACCACGTGTCCGTGCAGTTCCTTGTTGCAACAGATGGGCCGGGATTGCAGGGGAGTCTGGCCCGGAATCTTCGCTCTCGGACTCGTCAGAATCCTCAAAGCCATCACGTTGATTAGCCGCACGACCCGATCTTCGAGCTGCCTTGGCCATCCGAAAGATGCGACTTTCTTCCAGGCTCAAGGCACCGCCGGGAATCACCGAAGACACCACAAGGGAGCGGATGGTTCTCTGTCGATCTTTCAGATCCGGCAGAGCGGGGCCACCACGACGGTTGGTCGACCGCTTTTGTCTCCTCTGTTCGCGCGATATGGACAGCTCAGTGCGTTCCAAGTCAGCTTCATTGAGTTCGTACAGATACGGGGAGTAATCCTTTGCAGACTGATAAGGTCTGAAAGTACTAAGGAGCGGTGATGGGAGGAAATTCTCTCGTAGATCAGGATCGTCTATTGGCCGGCCGTCGAATGGATGGCCCGTGATGTGAAGAGACTTGGAGAAGAGCTGACATTGCTCGCGAATTGAGTGTGCAATTGCCGTCGTGAACTCTCCTGCCAAAGACAAGTCATTGGTCATCTGACAAGCAAATTGCTCGGGTGAGTTGTGTGGATTGTTTATCTCCCATTCAAACTGGTCGATCAATGTGTTTTGACCAATTGTGATATTCAGCTTGACAAGGATGCGCATCTCGTCGTTTTTATAAGCATAATAGGGCATGGTAGGCTCGGTGGTGACTTCATCAGAGTAAATCTGGGGGCAGTAGTCACAAATCTGTTCTCGTATGCTCGCAGCGACAGCTTGAACCAGCGGGCGACACTGCTGCAGGTCAAGGCCAAAATCTTCCACTAGCTTTTCGGCAAAGTAGTCCACGCTGGTGGTTCGGTCGTGGAGATTCCAAGTAAAGGTATCGCGTAGTTTGACCTTGCCCCAATCAATGTCGAGTCTGATGGGGATCAAATCCTCTGGTTGTTGGGCCTGGATGAACTGCTCATGACGAGAAACGCGCGGTGGGAGGGTCTTCCGCTTGCCTGGACGTCTATTTCTTGGATACACGATGGGGTCGCGAAGATTTTTCTCGTCGGTTCTAGTGTTTCCGAAACCTTCGTAGCCGACGCCAAATACGGAGGCCGGATCCTGTTCTCTTCTCTGACGGAGATTTTGGTAAAAAACTAGTTCCTGTTTCTTTTCCAGCAGGAGACCAGGGTGATTCCTCTGCTCCGCCAGAAGAGCCTTGTAATGGTTTTCGCGTTGAACATAATGATCGGCGGCAATACGGTCGACGGGAGTCTCGCGCTTTCGTTTCCGATTGTTGTTAGGACTCTCTCCGCGATGGTTTGGGGAGGAGGACTGATCAGCCTTGGGAAGGTCGATGCCAGAAGCCGCGAGAACCTCTTTGGCCCTTTCTTTGCCCTGGGCAATGGTGTCTACAGTGGAGGAGGTTGGGGCAGCGGAGGAGGGCTCGACAGGAGCGGCGACAGCAGTCGCACCATCAGGAGAATGACTCATGGCAACGACATGTCAGTGAAAAAGGTGTCGGGGATACAGTGAGGGAGTCGGATGGCGACTAGACGCGTTTCTAATTGGAAAATTAGCCATGCGGGTAGAAAGTGGATGGGTAGTTGAATCATGGGGGAGAAGGAGAAGCTGGGGTTGGGCGACTGGGAGAGGGACCAGACAACTCAGTCATCAACACACAACCAATCCTCTCATTGGGGCATCAAAAACAACCATCCAGAGAAAGATTGAGATACATACCAGATCCGCCTCGGCTTGAGAGATACGCAAACGAACGCGAACGTGTCTAGGAGAGGGCTGAAGACTGCGGTGGTTCGCGTGTCATCGGACAAACTCTTGATCCAGTCAAATTAGCGTCGAAATTCTTGTCCGGGTTAATAAGAGAGTGGGAAAGGTGGATGTCAGACAGGGGATTTGAATCCCGTGATGCAGGCTACGGCGACTAGGTCGCTGGTCCTGGGTTGTGTGCCTGGACAGTGGTTCTTCCCAAGCCGTCTGTTTCTTGATTTAGCTACAATTTCTGGTGTGCAGATTGATTGAGCAGATAGGTGCCATGCTTTGCCTGGTTGATTGAACTAATCTCTCTCATTCTTAGTTGCTGGTGAAAGACTTGGGTGGCTGGTTGGGCTCTGAGAGGAGGAAATTACGTGTCAGACAGGTGAATTCCTGGCACCCGCCGGCTCCCATCTTCCGATCACATCGTGGCCAGTGTGACTGCTGACCAGTGACCAGTCGGTGGGAGCCACAATGGGACTCAGTTTCACGATAATCGAATCGAGGGGCGGGTACTAATTACAAAATGGTCTTACAATGACGATCCAAGCGTCTGGACTTGCACATGTATACGAGGTTGTGGCCACAGGCACACACGTGGAGCGATATTCTGATGGCCTCACCTTAGGAGTAGGGGCAGGGGTAGGAGTAACAGTATATGATGTAATTCACCAGTGATGAACCTCTCCTTGCAGTCTTTTTGTTGGGACAAATCTTGTTGATTGTGTCAAGTATAGATATCTTTTCCAACAGCGTCCAGACAGAACCAAGGACGAACAAAAGAGAGGAGGTAAGGTGGTTGAAGAAGCAAGAAGTGGAAGGTTCGAAGGCGACCAACGGAGCTGGATTATGATTGGCCCTTGAGCTGAGCTGAGCTGAGCCGTTCCCAGGACCAGCAGGGTTTATGAGATCCCCAAGATGACATGCCGTAACCCAAGCAGAAGAAAGACTGTTCTACTTCCTGTGAACTGGGTGACAGATTAGAGAATCAACAGTGCTTGTGCACAGCGACGCCCTTCTACAGCTCGTGCTCGGTTCTCCTATATCATTGGACATCCCTCTCGACCGACATTTCTACGACGACCAGCGACCATCAACCAGCAGCGACGACTTGCAGTTTTTGGTACTGCAGGTTGCGTTGTTTCAACAGGAATGAGCGAACGAGGAGGCAGCTGCAGATGCGTCGTTTCACGAGTCACGGTTGACAATTCCACTCTGGACTCTTTGACTCTCAATCGATCCTTGATTCCTTTCATTGATCAACGTTGATTGTCAAGTCGGTCATGATTATGCCTCTACCCATATTGACTTAAATTCATCCTTTTTTGACTTATTTATCAGCCAACTTTTGGACATCTTTCCTTGACATCATTGCTACCGTTCTCTTGTTTCCTCCCTCCTCCTAAGTCAGACTTCCCCGTCGCCTACGTCATTCGCTAGACTGCTTTGAACCCCATCCCTCCTGGAGTCCTTGGACCTCGTTTCAACATGGGTGATGCTTCTTCTCTGCCCCCCAGTCCCTTGGCTGAGGACTTGAGATCGTCAAAGTCCTCCTCCTCAATACTCCCCCTACGAATAATCACACACAACATCCGCTATGCCGCAAACCCTCCAGAAGAATCGGAGCTTCGTTGGCCTGAAAGATTCCCTACCTTGTCAGCACATTTCAAGTATCACATTCGCCATGACTTCTCCCCTCCATCCACGCTCGTTGGCATGCAAGAGGTTCTCCAAAAGCAACTCGGAGACCTTTTGAGGTGTACGTTCAACTCGTCTGCCGACCCCAAACAGAACGACTGGGACTATATTGGGGTTGCTCGAGATGATGGAAAACAAGCTGGCGAGTACTCTCCCATCTTCTATCGGCGATCTGCATGGAAGGTCTTGCACTTTGAAACGGTCTGGCTGAACGAGACGGGCGAGGTTGGAAAAAGGGGATGGGATGCTGCCAGCATCCGGATCTTGACTGTTGGAGTGCTGGAATCCACTTTGCCGTGCTCCCGAGGCAAGACCATTCTTGCTTTGAACACGCATCTCGATGACTCGGGCAAAGTGGCACGTCGAGAAGGTGCGAAGATCATCCGTCGAGTGGCGGCGGCGAAGCAACATGATTTCCCTGCCGTCAGCTTCACCTATCTGTCTGGAGATCTCAATTCTCCTCCTGAAGACGATGCGTATAAGTTGCTCAACGCCAAACAGTCGGGATTTTTGGATGTGCGGCGACTCGTTTTAGACGATGAAGTGTATGGTGACGAACGTACGTTTACCGGGTTCCCGGAGGATCCGAGCGCACAAGGGAAATGGAGGATCGACTTTGTTCACTTGGGATACAAGGACCAAGGCGACGATGATGCCACGGAAAAGGAAATGCACAGAGTCAAAAATCTTGTTCGTGGATATGCAGTGCTGCCCAACCGGTTCGACAACCGTATTTGGATGACAGATCATCGTGCTGTCGTGGTTGATCTCGTCATCTGAGCGACACTGACAGTTGAAGCCACTTGTGCCAACATTGTGGTGGTATGGAGCACGAGGTCTTGAAGGAGGAGGGATGGGCGTATGTGGTTGTGATGTAGACATCTGACTAAGTAGCCTTCCTTTTGATTCAATTACACAGAGAATTGAATTTTAGAAGCAAAATGGGTTTGTTAACCATCGGGCTCGTTAAACATAGGCATCTACTTCCACGCAGATCAATCTCGACCTTGTTGATCGCTCTGACGACGGCAAGACGAAATTGGGGGACGGGTAGGAATAGCAAGATGACGTGTCTATATCTTGAAAGATGTCTATATCGGGTGAAGAAAAGATCTATGATTGAAGTGCCAGACGTGACACAACATGGCCTCTTCAAGTCAAAAGACCGGATAGCCAGACAAGCAGAATGAGCAAACCAACGACAGAAAGAGAGAGGGGTTTCCAGATTACGAGACTTTTCGTTTTTTCCGAGGTGACAATGGAAAGACGTAGAGGTGGACGTGGACATCGTCGTGGACATGGTCAGTCCGTTCTATTTCCCCTGTCCAAACAACGATCCCAAACCGTCACTCGCAAGCGACGGCTTGTCACGTTGCCTAATGACCACTTTCTTGCCCCAAAAGTCATGATCATAAGTCGTAGGCATACTTGCAGCGCCGTCCGGACTGGTCCCTGCCAACGGTAGAGGCGGAGCAACGTGTGGGGTCACCAGATCAATTCCCTTGTGAGCACCCGCACTCGCGGAATAATACATGGGGTTCTGACGTGGTTGGAGCGGACGCAGGTTGAAGTCGTACATGCTGTTGAAACTGGATGTGGTGGATGTGGTCATCGTGGTGGTTGGTGTGGTGCCGAGAGATGGAATTGGTGTTGTCATACTGCCGGTGATGGTCATGGTCATGCTACCGGTGCTGGTGGTGCTCATGGTGCTGGTGTTATCGCGATCGTGCAACTGTTTTACATATTCGTGATGATGATGGGTATGATTTGGTATAGACATGGTGGTGGTGGCACTGGCTCCCTCTCCGCCTTTGATGCTTTGACTGAACCGAGACAAGTAACGAAATGCTTCAGAATGTTGACGGTCGTGTAATTTGGGTTTCCATTCGGTCGGGTCTAGATCCGGTTTATGATCGTGCAAGTCGGCGGGTATCCGCGTGCAAGACAAGGGCGAGGATGGCATTGAATGCACTCGTGGAGGACTCAGGCACGCCAGGGACGCGGATAGAGGTTTGGCGGAGTCTTTGCGGCGACAGCTGGACATGAAAAAGATCAGTATTTGGTAGTCATGAGCACTGAGGGCACTTACGCCGCGCTGCAATATAGAATCGAGTTGGATGGCGTCATGATTTGTTTTTCGCACATGGCACTGTAGTAGAAGAAGATGGAAGTTAGAACAAGTTTGGTCAGTTGCAACGCTGTATGGAGATGTTTAACATACCAATATTGCAAGAAACTTGCTGCCATGGCCTTACTGTTGTCGTCTTTGCCTTTGCCCTTGTCCCTGTCGCCGTGTCGCGAGACAGACTCACTACTGACGACGGAACCAGCGGAGCCAGAAGCAAGACGAGGTGAGTCACCGCTATTACCGCTGAGTAGACTCTTGGTCTTGCGTTGAAGGAGGGGTCTTGGCCGAGACGACCTTTTTATGTTTGTGGGAGGTTTGGCAGCGGCCGGTCCGTCTAATGGGCTGGGTGCCTTTGTATGGGTGGTGGTGTAGGTGGTTGGCTCCCCCATTAGGAGCGGTGTGGTCAGGGGGGAGGGGAGGGAAAGAGGTATGTGGATGAGTCAATAATCGTTCATGGGACAAAGAGGCGTATAGTCAAGTGTGTGAGACGATTGATTGATTGATCGAATTGTTGTTTGGTCTGTCGGCTAGCCGCGGCCACACCGCCGCGTCGAGATGGAACAGCCTAGTTCGTTCAATGCAAAAAGACCAAAAGCTCGGATCGGGCTTTGTCGGGCTCGCCTATGTTGTCTGTTGTCTTGTCTTGTCTTGTCTTGGACGTGGCCTGTTGTGTTTGTCTGGTATGAACCCCGGACGCGTGTCGTTTAGGTTGGATCGCGTTCCTTGGAAATGTATGTCGGCAGGGAGGTAATCAAAGTTACTAACACCGCCTGGGGTTTGGAAAGATGGCACTGCGCCACTGATTGTGCGGAGTAGGTGGGAGGGATAGAGGATCGATGGAGGGGAGGGATTCAGGTCAGGTTCGACAGATGGAGGGGCACAGCAAGCCGCCAGGTGCTTGCAGCCTTGGGGCCAGGCAGTTGACGCCCGTACAAGCTACGACTGACTGCATTGTGCCCAGCAATGATCCAGGGGCGAGAAGCACCTCTAGCCAACAATCTATCCATGGCACGGCCCGTAAGTTGGTCAAGATTCATGTGCTGGTCGTGGCTGGTGTAAGATTGTCGTCAACAAAAGATGGTGTAAGACGAGTCAAAAGATGATCACTTGGCCAGTGACATTATCGGTCGTTATCTGACAGACTTGATAAGCATTGAGGGTGCGTTTAGGGTTGAGATACGCCTAACCGGAGCTGTCTAGGTAAAACCTTACTTATTAAGTAAGCCTTAAATGGGCGTCTCTGGCCCTGGGGTGGAGTGGCTTCAGTGGCTTTGATGGCTTCAACTGGCCCGAGGCGCCCCCTCGGCCCTTAGAGGCTCAGCCGGAGATTCTGGATGTTTGGATGTTTGGATGCGTCATCTTTGCCTGGCCGTGCCTTGCCCAGCCTTGCACCAGGGTCCGCTTCTTAGCTTACCGCTTATAAGCGAAATGGAATTGAAGTCTTAGAGGCTGACAACTTATAAGTTGCGATATGTCATGATGAAGTTACTATTATTGAACCGAAACAATATCACCGTCGTAGTAATAATTCATGTTGATGCAAGTAAGACTCATTGATCACGTAGCATTTCCTGCACTGTATGACACCATCATCTTGGAAACCTGCCCCCATCAGGTCCCTAAGAAACCCTCTGGAACTCCACGGGCAGGTGGTTGCTCACTGCCGCCAACATAACAACCCAACATGCTACTCCATGCGAATTTGTGATGTCTCAAATCTCGCAGCTTCTTATACGCCGTCGCATTGCCGTACCCGATCCCTGTACTCGGGTCTCGATACTTGACAGGCAAGGTTGTGATGGGACACAGCTCTTGGCTGCGTTTCACCGTCTTGCTTGTTGCTTTTTTCTGGCTGTAGAACACCGAGAATTCCTGGCGCGCATCTGATGAGAGAACGTCGAACTTCTCCAAAATCATCACATTCCGTGTAGTGTCCTCGGGTATTGGTTCAGGTTCTTCTTCTGCTTTGGAGTCGACCATTTCCACATCCTGAAGCTGAGAGGGATTTGACGGCTCTGATTTGATCACCGGCGCATCAGGAGCTTCCTGTGAAGGCTTTGAGGCTTCCTCGGGGGCACTTTCTGACTTCTCCGTCTCTGGTGCTGGATTAGACGCTTCTGACGCGACTTGCGATTTGGTGGTCGTCGCCTCGTTCGCCTTGCTACTGGCATCAACAGGCTTGGGATCTGGTGGATGTGGCAGGTTTGATGGTTCTGAACTCTGCCCATCCGCTCCTGTTTTCACTGGGCCATCCTTAGGGGCATCCTTAGGGGCTGCCTTTTCTCCATCTCCCCCTGGCGTTGTCGATTCTGCATCTGGCATCGCAACATCCGAAGCTTGTTCATTTCCGTCCGCTTTTTGGGTCTTTGGCTCTTGAGCTGCGTCATTGGCCTTTGAGGTCTGATCTTCTCCCTCCATGGCTGCAAATTCGTGAATTCCCGTTAGGAATGAGTCGTCTTGTTGTGACGGCGTTTTAGTATTGGACACATCTTTGGTTTCTGGTCTACTCTCAGAAGAAGCCGGAACCTTCTCTGCGGCCATGACGGGTGCCGCGTCTGTAGGGTTTGTAGCCGAAGTAGTGGAATCGGCAGCTTTGTCCACTTTTTCATGATTCCCCTCTGCCGTACGTACAGTCTCCGTCAATGAGTTGGGAGGAGCTGCCTCTTTGTTTTCCTTTGCTGGACTGCCAGGGGCGGCAGGGGTTGATGCTTGTCCATCTGGTGCTGTAGTCGTCGCTAGGGTTGGACCTCCATCCGGGTTGCCAGTGTCTGGTTGTGCTGGTGCCATTGCTGCAGCTAGTTTTGCCTCTTCTGCTCTTTTGGCAGCCGCCTGTTCTTCAAGAAATGCCTTTGTTTTGCGCCCTGGCTTCTTCTTGACACCTTCTTGCACAATTTCAGGCTCCTTGACACCATACCGTCCAGGCTTTGGCGGGACCCATTTCATTTTTGCGCTCCAGTATGTGAGTACAGGCCCGTCGAGTTTTCTGTTTTTCAGTGCCGCCAACTTTGCTGCCTGTTCTTCCTGTCTCTTCTTCTCCATAGTTTCCCATCGATTCAGACTCTTCGCATTCTGTCTCTCCACCCTAGCGGCCTCGGCTAGTCGGTCAGCCTGCGTAAGTTCTTTTGGCGCATCCTCCGCTCTTTGCCTGTCTCGTTTCTCCTTCAGAGCCTTGAGTTTCTTGCTTTGCGCTTCACTTTCTCTCAGCCTCTGGATGGTTTCCGCGCGGTGGGCAATAGTTTGTTTGCGTAGTGAGCTCCGTCCAGATCCTTCGGAGTGAATCCATGTGACTCTTTCTTTCTTCTTCGATGGCTTTGGTTTGGGTTCCGTCGTGGATAACGATGGTCTTGTAGGAATAGTTTTCGCCTTTTTCCGGATCCCGGCAACACTGGTCAAGGCCAGGTCTGCCTTTCGCTTCTTGGATCTTTCTGCTTTGGCCTGTTTTTGTAATTCGTTTTCCCCTTCCAGATCATCAGCGCCTGCGTTGGGGCCTTGATCATCGTCATCGCTTGAAGACATATCGGCATCATCTTCGCCTTCATCGCTTCTAAACTCGTCGTCTTCCTCCTCGCCATCTTCCGCGAAGAGAAGAGTAACTTCGTCCGGTTCCTCCTCATCTAGTTGGGATTCTTCCAAGACCAAGTCTCTATCGTAACGGTTGCCGGCGGTCTTCCGTCGCTCGCGGCCAGCCACCAGAGACTCGATTGGCTCTTCATCGGATTCATCTTGGCTCAACTCCGAATCGGAGAGTTGAGGAGTATCGGCAGGGGGGTCTTCATCAGACATGTCGCAAGAGAGTTGTCGCAACACACGCGACGCTCATATTATAAGATGCAAGTTGGAATAATTAATGGAGGCAGTCAAGGTGTTGTTGCATAAACTCCAACTGCGTTGCGCATCTCCAAGTAGAATTCCTCCGGATTGCCGGAGTTACAATTTATCCGTCTCGACAACCACTTTACGCGTTGCGTTGGTGGCACGCGTTATTAGCGTCATCGACTTGACTCTACTGTCCTTTCTGCGCTACTGAGGTCCTAGGTTCAGTTAATTGAACGCTGGTCTATCTGCTCAACTGACACCAGCTTTCCAAACAACAGCAATAGATGCACAATCATGCCGCGTGTCCAAAAGACCAAGGCAGTCTCTAGCACTCCCCCAAACAAAATCACAACCATTGCCAGCAAGCGGAAAAGAGGTGAAGAAGAATCGCCAGCCGTCCAGGAACCCTCTCAGGATTCGACCCCCAATCGAAGCAGCAAGAGAACAAGAACCAGCCAGGCTCTGAGCAACGGCATCGAGTCACCAAGTACTCCTCGATCAAGTCGTAAATCCACCGTTCATGTCACCGAGGCTGAGGTCAAAGAGGAAATAAAGATTTCTGTGAAAAAGAGTCCCGGACGGAAATCCAAAGCCGCCGAAGAAGAAGACGACGAGGACGAAGGAGATACCGGAAAACCCAAACGCCAACGCAAAAGCCAAGCACAAAAAGACGAAGAAGCCATGCCTTTAGCAGTACGGACAATAGGGAGCAAGATGTTTGTGGGCGCACATACAAGTATAGCCAAGGGAGTCGAGAATGCGATTCACAACTCCGTACACATCGGAGGCAATGCATTTGCATGCTTTTTGAAATCACAGCGCAAATGGGACAACCCTCCGTTGAAAGACGAGAACCGAGAGGCATTTCGCAAAGCCCTAATTGAACACAAATACGACGCAGAAAAACATATCGTACCGCATGGAAGCTATCTCGTCAACTTAGCCACCGAGGACAAGGACAAATCCAAACAATCATACGACGCATTCATCGATGATCTTCGACGATGTGAGGCTCTAGGAATCAAATATTACAATTTCCACCCTGGAGGAGCAGGACAGAGTCCAGTAGGAGAAGCCATCACTCGTCTTGCCAATAACCTCAACCGGGCATTATCCGAGACCAGGACCGTCGTTCCATTATTGGAAAACATGGCCGGCCATGGTACTTTGATAGGAGGACGATTCTCCGATCTGCGCGACGTGATTGCACAGATCAAACCTGAGTACCGCTCTCGAATCGGTGTATGTATCGATACATGTCACGCATTCGCAGCGGGGTACGACCTACGCACGCCAGACGCATTCGAAAAGACGATGAAAGAATTCCACGAAACAGTTGGATTTCAGTATCTCAAAGCCATGCATTTGAACGACTCTAAAGCCCCGTTCAACAGTCACCGCGACCTTCATCAGAACATCGGATTAGGTTTCTTAGGTCTACGGGCATTTCACAACGTCATGAACGAACCAAGATTCCAGGGTTTACCGCTGATTCTTGAGACGCCGTCGGAAAAGCCAGACCCGAAGGACCCGAAAGGGAAGAAGATGATTGAGGACAAGACCGTGTGGGCGGAGGAAATTAAATTGTTGGAGAGTTTGATTGGGATGGATCCAGAAGGGGATCAGTTCAGGTCTTTGGAGAAGGCGCTAAGTGCCAGGGGTAGGAAGGAGAGAGAAGAGATGCAGAAGAAGTTTGAGGAGAAGCAGGAAAAGGAGAAGAAGAAGTTGGCCAAAGAGAGGGAAAAGGGGCAGAAGAGTTTGAGTGATATGTTTGGTGCGAAGGGGAAGAACAAGAATAAAGCAGGGACTGCGTCTAAGAAGGGAAAGAAAGGCGGTGATGATAGCGAGGGAAGTGAGTTGAGTGATTTGAGTGACGATGAAGCATCTCATGTACACTGATCACTGGGGGCAAGGGATCCTCAATATGGTTGGTTATGTGTCTATTGTATATGTGGGGCTCGAATATGTTATGAGAAGTGTACAACAAGAGGAGATGATCCAACCAACAACAACGAGCATGGAACGCACAGTGAAACGCAGACATGGCATTACCAATCGCCTGCAGGTTTGACGTATAAACGCATGCCATCTCTGGGTCTGGCGGTGATGCCTCCTTTGATCACAATCTCTTCATCTGGATCGACCATTTCAAATTCCCAGGTTCCCACAAAGGCTGCGAGTAGGGCGGCAAACTCAGCCTGGGCAAATTTCATACCGATGCAGCTTCTCGGTCCGTGCAAGAAGGTCAAAAAGGCGTAGTTGCTGACAGCACCGCCGGCATTGCTCTGACCAGGTGCCATCCACCGGTCTGGGTTGAAGTAATCAGCATCATCGCCCCACAGTTCCTTGTTGTTGTTGATGGCCCATGGCGAAAGAATGACCTTTGTACCCTTGGGGACAAATTCACCAAGAATGGTTGTGTGGTGGGCGGCATCACGAAGAGTCAATGGAACAGGGGCCCAGAGCCGCAGGACTTCCTGACAGACAGCGTGAAGATATGGCATGTTGTCTAAAATCTCGTGGGTGATGTTGTCACTGTCGAGGCTGGGGATGTGGGACCGAATCTCCTCACGCAGTCGTTTCTGCATTTCCGGGTGCTTGCTGAGGACGTAAGCGGCCCAAGTGAGAGAGGAAGCGGTGGTCTCGTGGCCGGCGGCCAGGAAAGTCATCATGTTATCCACAAGCTGGTCTTCGGTAAATCCACCGGATTCGAGGGCAACGGAGATGATGTCTGGATGCATGGGTTCTTTGTTAGCTAGACGCTGTTTCTTTTGCTCGACCAGACGGCGGCAGGTATCTCGGGCAACTTTGGAAGCGGCGTGGACCTGGCTGTTGCGCTCGAAGGGAAGGTTTCTAATGATGACATGGGGAATGAAAAACTGCAACAAGCCGAGAATCTGTGCGGTGCGATTAGGTTGGAAAATGGAACGATATATGGTGTTGAGTTCGTTGGAGGGGTCCTTCAAAGCCTCGAAATCTTGACCCAGACCGGCGACGCCGATTATGTCGAGAGTAGCTCGACTAGCCCACTCGCCGATTTCGACGACATGCTTGGATTCGTCCGAGGGTTTGAAGTCAGCCTTGATGGCCTGAATCATTTCGCGTGACTTGGACCAAAAGATGGGATAGAGTTCCTTGATGTGGCGAAAGTTGAAGGCGGGCATAAGATTCTTCCTCTGAGCCTTGTGTTCATCGCCTTCTGCAAAGAGAATACCGATTCCCAAGATCTGGCCAATGCCAGAACGAAGAAGGGATGGTTTAATGAAGTCATAGCTTTTGGTGGTCAGAACTTCGGCGAGGCCTTTGGGGCTAGTGACCAGGACTCGTTCGCGGTTGAACAAGTGTAAATAACGGATGAGACCATTGTTCGGGATTTCGTTGGCCCATCTTCGTGGAGGAATTCCGGAGGGTTCGGCGACCAGGACTGACCATTGGCCGTTGAAGAAAGATCCGCCGGAAGGACCTGGGAGATGTCGCAAAGGACTCACAAAATGAGGGTAGATGATGACGGTGTAAATGCCATACACGATCCAGTGCAATAGAAAGACTGACAGTGCGGTGAGGACATGGGAGCCCAGAACTGAATACGAAGGAAAGCCACGGACCAAAACAATTGCTGATGCTAAGGAGACAGTGAGCCAACACCGGTATGTGCTCATGTATTCTGGGAAGAAGAACGGCATGTTGGTGGTAGAGAGTAGGACAATCTCAGATAAGGGAGTGAGACTGATAGACTAGACTGAACCAAGTCTGGCTCGAAGGGCTTTAAATATTCACACAGCTATGGTTATGGACGAGGTCTCTTCTTGAGGAGGGAGAGCAGGCAGAAGCGATATGGACAAAGCAAGCAGTCAATGACCCGTACTTTTGGTGTTGAAGGTTGGATGGAGGAAGGGATACGAGATACGAATGCGGGACGGAGGTGGTTACGTCGCAGTCGCCTAAAGTTCGCAAGTGCGCGTCGTTTTTTTGGACGGGACACTGGGGACTCGTTAGTCATCAGACCCAGGGATGGGGGGATGAGTTTCTCCTTGCCGACGGCCGAGGCGTCTAAGGAGAGTTTGGCTTGGAGTACCTATCAAATATGTTTCATTAGGAAGCCGCGTGGCTGCTCAGACATACACCAGACACTCCAGGCACCCCTTCAGGTAGGATGGAGAGTGGACCATGCATCTCAGTCGTCGTTTGTTTCATTGATGTAGACACTTTGTAAATTTTCGTTGGAGTTTGAAGAAGTGTTGGATGTTGCTCAGGGATCCCCTCAATTTTGAGTCCAATACTAGGCGTTGCGCACCTTCCACAAGCATAAAGGCATACGTAGGCAGATAGGTTGGAAGCCGACTTTGAGGAAGGCACGACTCACTCACCGAGAGCAAACACGCCCAAATGCTGCAAAGCGTACCTGTCTAGGTGCCTACAGGTCGGTACTTGCCGAGGGAAGGTACTTTTGGTGGGAGATCAACCTTCCTGGTTAGAATTATCAGCCAATGGGAAACCCATTGTATCCATTTCTGGAGATTCGATGGTCAGGATGAGAAAGAGCGACCAACTCCAGAGAGAAAGTGATTCCCAACGCCGCCACGCATGCCATTCACTAGGCTATCCTTCAATCCTCAATTCTCTACCAAAACACAACACAAGGCATCCCCAAGTTCACGTCTCCACTCAAGTTCAATCAATATATATATCACCACGGTGTGTTCCTGCAATGGTAGCCTTGCTCTATGTAAGCAGTAGACAACTATCTCACCCCACCCAATGCCCTGGGTACGCGTACCACAATCGGAGGATCCACCAGTAAGAAGCCTTTTATTCTCCCATGGCGTGCCCCGAAGCAGTATCAATTCTCGAGACTGAGCCTCTGACCGATTTCAGCATTGCGCCTGCTGACAAAGATGAATTCTCCAGTCACACAAATTACTTAATTGGACTGAGATGCTGGGATTGAATAACTGCATATCACCACCCTCTCTGATAGGATCATAGCTGCAATTTCATCCCCAGCATGGGCCTGATCTCAGGTCTTGATCTCAACTCATCCTAACAGTCCCAGATCCAGCCCTGCCACGGACTTCTTTCATGTCCGCAGTGATATGATGCAATGGGCGATGCCCCCTTCTCTGAGCTCAGGTTTGTCCCCGAGCGATCGACGATATCCAAGAGAGAACAGGAGCTGGAGATTGCTCGCCAACGTTCTCATGCTGCAAAAGTCTCCCACCAAAAGCGCAGGTTGAAGCAACAAGCGTCTTTCGCAGACTACAGCAAGAGTATGCTCCCAATCTTCCTCCTCGTCCATCCCGCTGATCATCTCCTCTATTCCAGTCGTCTACTACGCTCCTGAAACACGCACGTACAAAGTCCTTGTCGAAAACGACAGCCCTGACCAGGACGATCCTGGCTCATCGACTCATACCGCCGGCCCTGTCGAAACCCAGCTTCAGCTGCTCCAGCAGGTCGATGAGACTGCCCGTTCCATCTCTGACATCATTCCAGGTCGCCATTCGGATCCATTCAACGCCCAAGGAGTCTCCATCAGCCCTCGAATCAACCAGCTCCTCACCTTTATCAGGGATATCTATCTCCCCGGGCTGTACGTCACTTCCTTCACCAAACGATCCGGAGCCGCCACTCCACCCGTTACCACTTATGCCGAAGGTTTCAATCTATCGGGTCACCGCCGCGCCTTCACGATATGGACTTCGATGAAGGAGGAATTGACTGACCAAGGCAGGGCGCTGGCCTGGCTGTCTAGCTATGCTCCTGTCATGGCTCGTTACTCGTCCCCCCACGTCCGCCGCGAGCTTCTTCTCATGGCAACCGAAATGAAGCTCAAGAGCATGAGCATTCTCAAAAAGAAGATCGGTTCTCTTTCCAACACCCTGCCACCCGACATCGCCCTGCTTGCTCAGATTGTCTCTCTGTTTCGCGCTTCGTGCAAGAAACGTGACCTTACCTCGGCCAAGGTCCATGCCGAGATCATTCGTTGCCTGATTGACCGTATCCACCAAGGAAGTCACCAAATTCGCACCTTGTTCATCACTCTTCTCAGCAACGACACCGAGGTGGCTTTGTCTAACATGTCTCACACTTTCTTCGAGTACGAACGTTGGGTCGAGGCCCAATTTCAAAAGTTCTGGTGGAACCAGGGCATTTTTAACCTTCCACCCGTCCCTCTGCAGCATCTTGACTTGCACCCGAGCATTCGAATTTTGCCCAGTCGTTCGGCCTGCATCCGGCTTCGCCGTTACTTAATGATCCGCAGGATGAAGATGAATCTCAAAGACCCTGAGGACGTCGCTCGCAGTGATGTTATCTTTGCTTGGGTCTCCAACTATTCCATGTACGACCTTGGCCTTCTGATGAACGTTTATGTGAACTTGCTGGAAGGCAGAGGGTACGACCAGTCGCTGGTCATCCGGTCTGCCGAAGCCTCGGTTGCCTTGACAGCTTTGTACTGTTACCGTTGGGGAATCCACCAGGCCACCATATATGGAGGCGACCATCGCGACGGAATGCACTTGACCATCATCAATCGACTGCAGAATGTCCTTCAAACCACACTGGAACTCGCAACCCCACAGGACCTGCTTCATTACCAGGAAACCATTCTCTGGATGTTGTTCTACGGTGCCCGCTACGAGTACCGTGTGAATAGAAAGAACCCCAATAAAACGACAACCACATCCCAGCGCTGGTTTGGTCATAAATTTGCCCAACAGGTCCACGTTTTGGGACTGTCAACGTGGGAGGATGTGCGGCAAGTTATGCGTCGATTTATTTTTTTTGAATTTCTCGAGTTGGATGTGGACTTGTGGTTCGAGGAGACCCTGCAGGAGTTTTCCCAGCTAACGAGTCAAGTTTGATCATGATCAACTGGGAAATGGTGGAGATTTCGGCTGGGTTCCGGCTGAATGTTAAGGGAGGAGATGTTGCCATAAATCATGATACCTAGGCTATAAGATTGGAATGATAGGACCATGTCAGATCCCTTTTCCAACTCAGTGGATGTGATCTTGTTATCAGCGGTTGATGGCACAATTAGTATCATCCACGCGATGGTACCAACCCTCATCGATCAGTTGTTGTTCCATGGCAGCCCACTTGTCGATTTTACCACCCTGGACTGATTTCAAATCCAAGTCGGCGAACTTGACATCGATAATGTTGACAGCCTCACTCTCCTCGAGCTCGACTCCCGGGCTCCGCCGTCCCAATGACAAGAAGACGCTACAATCTCGCAACGCCATGGCCACTGCGAAATGGGAATCCGACCCGTCTGGACGTCGAAAGTCATGCAGCCCAACCCCATTGAATTTCTTCTGTAGAATGGCTAGATGGCGAAGCGCCGGCTGCACTCTTTGACGAAACTCGGCGAGGAATGCAGTTAGACCCTCGTCGTCGTCATCACCATCATTAGCGTAGGGCCAGATGCTTGCAAGTGCATGGCGCAGCACATGATCATCAGACGACAACAAGTCCAACGGGCAAAATCCTGAATCACCCCTGCCCTGGAATTTGCCTCCATGTCTCCTCATCGCATTCATTGCACAGGTTCGACAATTGCGAGCACCCGTCGGAGCACTAGGACTTTGAACCAACCACTTGGGTTTGAACTCAACCAGACGCACTCCCGGCCCATTGAGATTCTGCATCAAAATCCCGTGATCTTCATCGTCATAGCCAGGAAGATACACATGACGGCGATGAGGATGACGAAAAGGAATGCGCGCTTCGTCATCCTCTATCGCAGTCCTTCCCCTATCCATCTCTCGCAACCCACGATTCAAGATCTCAACCATCTGCGGAGTGAGTTTATACAGAACATGATCCAGAAGTAGACTTGAATCGTGTTGGAACAAAGGTACTATCTGCGTATTGAATTCGTCCACTACTTGTCTAGATGGTTTAGTCGATGGTAGATCCTTGCGTAGTCGCATCACACAGCAATTGATGTGGTGGGCTTGTGATGCTGGAGCTGCTACACTCGTTACACTGTAGATGACGTTGGCTGCTCCTTCGGCGAGATATTGGAGTTGTAACTCGGCGTGCGCGAGAGATGAGGGACATGTTGGCGTTGATTGGTGGGGGGTTGGCGGTGGCATGGTGGTACTGGTTTGTCTTTGATAGGAAGGTATGACAGAACTAGGGCCGTTTGTTTGAGGTTCGAAGCTTTGCCTTTGGGGATGTTTGGATTGTTGCTGTACTACTATAGTAGTAGATTGTTGCTCAGCTAGGTAGTGTTCAGTCGTCGTTTCAGCTCGGTCAGCTCATATCGGATCTTTCGTGTTGATTTCCTGCCAGCTCAAAAAGGAGCCGAATGAGATAGGTAACCCGCAGTGAGTCAAGCAAATTAGGGACTCAATTGAGGAGGTACATATGCAATGGGTATAGTCTTGCCTTCGGGCTGTTACTCCTGTTTGTACTAAGTAATAATCTCAGTATGAGTTCTCTACCTGGCGGCCTGGATATCCAGAATTATCGGCGATCTCCTGGTACCTTTTGCTTGGCATTATGAGTGTGTATTGCGTGATGTAAAAACGCTGGATTAAACACGTATTGTCGTGATGTTGCAGGGTTATGCTTTGTACACTTCGGTATTATGAAATCCGGGCAGTCGTCAAAAAGATGCTCTCATTAAATCTGCGAGTAGGCGCTGGCCTGCTGCTCCCATACTCCCCATGTCTGATACCAACTTAGTACTAAAAGTCCGAGTCCTCCGTAGGGTAGTGATCAATAGCTTCTATGTAACTCCAAAAAATGGGCTTAGATAATGAAGTTTGACTGCGGACTTTCTTTCCAGGTCCGATTTCCTAGGTACCTAGATCCTCAGGTAGCGACGGTGCGAGTACTTGAATTGATTAGTTGAAATGGCAGGGCGATCCCCGTCTCAGAGTATGCAGAGCACGTGGTCAACCCTTGGGTGCGTAGCCTTGCCAACGAGGCTACGGTTCTCATGTTCCTCATACGTGGCACCCTCCTCCGTCCTCTCGTGCAGGTTGACTGATAACGGCGTGACTTCCAAGATCCATATCCTCGTTCCCTTCGACCATACCCGTAAATAGTTCGCTTAGCTTCACTTCCTTGAACTAGAACGTCTTTCTTGAAGCCGGCCACTCGCCGATCTTTCTATCACTCTCCCGCCTCTTCGTCTCAAGGTCCTACCTCGATTTTCCTCCACGGCATCAATGGTATCAAATATCAGGAACACTCTTCCTGAGGCTGCCATTGGAGGAGCACGCCCTTCATATCGGATGTCCGTCCTATAAGCAACCAGTTCTCGATATCGACGTCCTACCAAGTTCACAGCCTGAACTCGATCGCCGTCTGTCCTGGATCTATCCTTGAGAGCTCTTGCTCGAGTGATCGCATCCTCCATCCGTTCGTAAAGAGGAATGATGGGCGTTGGTCTGCGTTCGAAGAGGTCCACAAGACAGTCTCTAGCGTTGACTCGCTGAGTGTCATCGTTCGGGAGGACTAATCTCCAAGCATCCCCTCGGTCCAGGATTATTGATTGATTCCTTTTGACGTCTTCCTTGGCGGCATAGACAGTTAACGTTTGACGGTCACTGGTGGTAGCCATGGGTTGGATTTGATCATGTAGGCAGTCTTTTGTGTCAAGTTGCCTCTTCTTTGCTGGAGCGCCTGATGACTTTTGTGGCTAATCTGTCGTGTCTGCCTATCCCTCTTGTTAGGTATCAAGGCCACCATCAGGCTCGAGTGGCTCGCGAAGGAGAGCCACTCATGCCTACGGAGGGAACTCAGCCGATGGAGGACGAGGTTGAGTCCGCGTGACTGAGCGAAGGCCTAAAGAGGAAAGTCAACATGATGGTGCGTTGGTCCTATAGAAATGTCAGGGCGTGCTCGCTACTAAATAGGCCAAAAGTATTGCCTTCTCGGGAGCGTAGTGGTAGAAGAAGGTACTTCTCGATAAGTACCTTGGTAGGTAAGGCCGTCACGTACGAGGTTAGGTATACAAGGTACCTATTAGGGTTACTTTTCGTTGGGATGGCCCACACCCACGTGATATGTTCCACTTTTCTCTAGGCACAACTTCCAGGCGTAGCACCCTTAGAGCATACCTGGAGCCCCCCTATAACCTGGGCATCACGCTGACACAGGATATGGTGGCAAGGAATCTCATACCTCTTGGCGCGATCCGAGATCTACATTAATTACCTACTAGGTACCTTTCTCAAAAGTGGAGGTTCATTCCTACAGACATGACCTCAGATCAAACAGGCAAATGCCGACATAATAAATACTGCGGGGATAGGATTTAAGAGCGAGCGGATGTGCCGCTCGGTGAGGATCTCGGTAAGTTCGGCGTGGGATGTACAATAGGCAGTTATGAACCATGATTTCGATCGTTATATCATCATTATCATCTGTTGATTTAGTTTGTCTTGAACATGTTATTCGAAAACGTGTGGTATTGCTAACATTCTCGAATACACCACAGGGCGTCAACCAAAACTACTGACAAGGACCAGGGCACCGATCTGGATTGGCTACTATTACTACCTACTTACTGCCCACACGTGCTTATGCTTATGCGACGCTGACACTGTGTCATAATCTGTAATACTCATCTGCTCTCATCACATCTCATCTTCCATGCAATGGCATTGGTAACAGACTTCAAACCTCATCTAGCTCTTGTCACTGGCGCCACCGGAGGAATAGGACAAGCGACATGTCTCTCGCTAGCTAGACTCGGATGTTCTGTTGCTGTGCACTTCAATTCCGCCGCCGACACGGCCCAGTCACTAGTACAACAACTGGAATCCCTGGGCGTACGTGCATCAGCCTTTCAAGCCGATCTCTCAACCTACGACGGAGCACGGCGTCTTCATGCTCAAGTGGTTGAACGACTCGGTCATCCAACCATTCTATTCAACAATGCAGGTCTGACTCTGGGAAAGAGTCAAGTTAAAGATATCTCGGAAATTTCCATCGAGGAGTTCGAGGAGACTTGGAGAGCAAATTGTGGGACGGCGTTTTTGTTGACTCAGCTATGTCTGCCGAGTATGGCTGAGAAGGGGTGGGGGAGGGTGATTTTTTGTTCCAGTGTGGCTGGGTTCACGGGTGGTGTTGTTGGGCCTCATTATGCGTGAGTCGGTCTAACTCGAGTCAAGATGTCTCGAGGGTACGCTTCGTTGTGCTGACTGATTGTCCTTTAGGTCCTCAAAGTCGGCTCTCCATGGGCTTGTCCATTGGCTTTCTGGTGCTTACGCCAAACAAGGTATCACCATCAATGGTGTTGCGCCGGCGCTGATCCAGGATACAAAGATGCTGCCTGGGCGCACTTCAAGTGCCACTTCGGAGCTTGCTTCCAGTAAGCTATGTCCCAATCCATTCGTTCATCCCATAGTTATCCTTCATGTCATGCTGACTTGATGTAGGAATACCCGTGGGAAGGTTGGGGACCCCTGATGAAATTGCCGAGACGGTCGTATGGATGGTCAAAACCAGTTATCTGACCAACAAAATCATTGCCGTCGACGGTGGTATTGTCGCGCAGTAATAGGACAGTTCCATTCCCAGATTCTGTTTCGAATTAAATGCAGGACTGTTTGCTGGCTCAACCTCCTGTTTCCTTCTTGCGCTTTGCTTCTTCCTCTCGCTCCTTTTTCCGCTGCAAGAATCTTTCTCGTGCACCCATCTTATCTGCCTCGGTGACTTTACTCTTGCTCTTGTCTTGTTGCTGTTGTTGCTCCGCAAGTTGCGCCTGTTTTTCCTTCTCGGCCATTTCTTCAATTTGTCGCTCCATCATCCGGCTTTGCCGTTCTCGTTGCGCAGATCGTGCGTCTTGAGTCTTGGATGATCTCCAGTATTCTTGCGGCCGTCCAGATTCCTGACTCGTGGTCGTAGCTTGTTGATTGCTTGGTTTCTTCGGAGCGGTATTGAGACCAGCAGAAAGAAGCTGTCGCTTGTCAACAACTTCGCCGTCGTCATTGACAATAATGTGCGCGCCCTTTTCGATAAGATCCTGTGCAATCTTGGCTTCGGATCGTTCCTCCTCCATCTGAACTCCTGCGTCATCCTCGCCTCGTGCATTCCTCTGCGCCGCAGCCTCCTCCGCTTCGGCAATCAATCTCATCCGCTCCTCATCTTTCTCCAGCATCCTCTTATGAAAAGCCGTCATGCCGCCACCTTTGCGCCTTCGCTCCTCTTCTTCCTCTTCACGTTTCTTCTCCTCTGCTTCCATAATCTTGACTTCTTCCTGCTGCTTCTTGTATGCTTGGGTCACAAACTTTTCCTTGTCCGCGAATTCATCCCCCTCGGCGTCTCGTTCTCGTTGTAACAATTTCTCTCTGGCGCGTAGTTGGTCTCGTTTTCTCACGTCCGAACTCTCCATCAACGCGGTCATGTACTTGGGTTTCGAGTCGCCGTCCGTCGTCACTTTCTTCTGCTTGGGAACATGGAATGTGTCGTAGGCCGCATCGTAGTCGTATACAGACTTGTCGATCTGGGAGGCTTGTTGGTCGTGTAACTTTGCACTCCGCAGAGCCGACAAATTTGTATATTTATCCGAGGCAGGCCCATTAGAAGTGTTTCCATGGAGGGAGAGTTTTGGGGATTTCTTGGGAGATTGGCTGGCCTTTTGAGCGTCTTCGTCGTCGTCATCAAAGGGGTTTAAAGGTCGTAGGGGCTTCGACGGTTTCTTTGCGCCGTACGCGGGAGGCGGAGGCGCATCCTCGGATTCACTCGCATCGTCATCTTGGTCGAAAACAGCCTTGCGTTTCTGCGCCGGCTTCGAGATTCTAGGTTGAGTTTTGGCCGCATTGAGGCCAAATGCGAGAGCCGGCATCTCGAGTATCGGTCTCGAGGCTGTGTCAGGTTCCTGGGCTGGATAAGTAGCCTCGGGGGCTCAAATGATCTGACGAGGATGAGGACGAAGATGCATCAAATTCTCAATGTCACGTGTAAACAAACTAGTTCAAAAGACATGATATCACCGCATTGACGCGTCAATACAAAACTCGTCCTAGATAGGTTAGGTAACCTTGGAAGGTAATTATATTTCAAGGGGATAGACTGAGTACATTGCTATTCCATATTCTACCATGCATACCTGCATTCACCGTTCTTCCTCTCGATTGACCAGATTGTTACATTCCCCAAGTCTGTAAATGGGTCTCATTGTCTAGCTCGTTCCAAACCCAGAGGAGAGAGTTCAGTCTACTCTCTTGTAGGAACCATCTGGGACCTGCCCAGCCTGCTCCTGCCAGTTGTTGCAGTTGCAAAGCGCTCCTTCCTGACATTAGTCCCAACAAAGATCTGTTGGCAGGAGCTGAGCTCTCCTCTTTCCTTCCCAAAGTCTGTACCAAATATGCTTCGCCCCTGCCTGTATGTAGCCTAGGAAGAGGTCTTCCCCCTCTTCCTCCTCATCCTCTCTCTCTCTCTCTCTCTCTCTCTCTCTCTCTTTCGTAGCTACTAGATAGAATGATATACAGTCAATCCCTACAGTCCTGTGCCTCTGTATCAAGATCAACAGCCAGAGATGAGGATCTGTTCCTCCGCATACACCTGCTCAATACCTCACAAGACACCATCATACCATCCCCCAACCATGGACGCCCCTCCGCAGCCAACTATTGCTGCCATCTTACAAGTCGAGACCAATGACATCGCTGTCTTTATCGTCATACTAGCTTGGTCATTGTTGTCTCTGACCCCACCGAACCTCATCAATGCTGGTTTCGAGTTGGTTTTCCCATCTGAGGATACTATCAAGGACATCCTACAGCTCTCGCAACTAGAATTTGCCCCTGTTTTACTCGAAGTCTTCCGCTGTGTCACCGCTCCCACCATTGACTATTTTAAAAGCCTTCCTCTTATAGACAACGAGCTCTGGGGCGTCTATTGTTTGGTAGTACCCTTGTTGATGTGACACAGGAGTCAAACATATCAACGACTCTACCGATCGGTGTGATCAACAGGTAAGTTGATAAGGATCTAAGAAAAATGGTGGTTATATCTAACAGTAAATCTAGGGAAATGGGACATGGGAGCCCAGCAGATCCTAGGATACATATTGCTACAGAAAATTATCACCAGGGGAAGTATCATTATACAGCACATCTTCTTATGAAGATCCCATCAGATATTTGGGGTCGGGGTCGATTCGACCCCACCCAAAAGCCCGAAGGCGGCGAGGGGCCGGGGGGGCATTGATATTTGTGCGCCCACGCAATTTTCAACTTATCTTATTAGCTGGCTAGTGGCTAGTCGGGATGAAGATCGTTATTGATGGGAGGACGTCGAATACAGCGAGGTCTGTTGTTGATGGGAGGACGTCGAATACAGCGAGGTCTGTTGGTGATGGGAGGATGTCGAATACGACGAGGTCTGTTGGTGATGGGAGGATGTCGATACGACGAGGTCTGTTGGTGATGGGAGGATATTCGTCCGATATCGTATTCCACTATATTCTGGATCCCTTCGTCCTCGTCGTTCATCTCGTGAAATAGTAACATCGCCCCTCTCAACAGTCCTTATCCACGTAGTCTTCAGTTTTCCTCCCATCGAAGACGTGCTACCGAGGATTACGCGTCATACTCAATGAGCTCACCCTTTAGAGCCAGGTCGAGCCATCTACTAATCCACGGACAGCGAAAGCGGCACATCGTGCACCGGACAAGGTAGTAGATCCTCCGTCGTAATTCACGTGACCAATTTAAAACAGCGTCACTAGAATCCGCTTTTGGCGAACTGACTTTCCCCTTTAGGGTGCTTCATTGCACTGCGATTGATATACGAATAGTCAAGATCTCTTTGACTCGACATGCCCCACGACATAGACACACCCAACTGTCGCATATCATAGCATTGTGTTTGCCTACCTCGCCTCCGCCGAGACAAGGCAGGCTATGCAATCATGTAAACCACCAGCAGTATTCAGCCTCCGCTCTGTGGTCCGGCTCCCAAACCTCTCACTACCACTACAATCACCGTCTCCCTTCGTCCTCCTTCTCCTCCACCACCGAGCCTCTTATGACCCAGTATGTCCCCGTGGGACGTACTCTATCTCATCACTGCATGGACCTACATCGTCTCGTTCAATTTCACCTACGCCATCCTCACCATGGATCCCAAAGAAATGGAAGCGCTTCGCATCCTCCAGACGATGGACTGACAGACAAGGAAAAGACCAGTTTGCGCGAGCGGCAAAGGTGCAAGGGTTGAAGAGTCGTGCAGCCTTCAAGCTGCTTCAGATCAATGACAAATATAAACTCTTCAAACCTGGTATGACGGTGGTGGATCTGGGATTTGCGCCGGGAAGTTGGAGTCAGGTAGGAAACAAGCCGCCCAAGATCCCCCATTCCATCCTGGAGAAACTTCCCTGTGTCCCTGGGCCGAACCAGAATCCAACATGTTTTTTAAACTGCAATAGGTCGCAGTCGACTTGACAAAACCACGCGGCCGAGTGCTTGGAGTCGACCTCATCCCCGTCCAACCACCAAAAGGCGTATCAACCATCCAAGGAAACTTCCTCTCGCCAGATATTCAAGCCGACATCAAATCTTTCCTTCGAGATCCCGATCGAGGTCGTCTACGACAATCACTTCTCCTTGGCGCAGTACCGACAAGTTCCGACGATCAAATGAAAATCGAGGAGACTGAGACCGGATATCTCGAACGTCAGCACTCGTCATCACAGAACTCAGATCTAGACTCGAGCTCAGATTCGAATTCGAATTCCGAAATGGAAAAACAACACGCCGACAAAACTGTCGACGTCGTCTTGAGCGACATGTGCGAGCCCTGGGATCCGCTTGACGGATTATACAGAAGGACTATCAGTAACCCGTATTACAGGTTGATGAATACTAGCGGGAATGCATTTCGAGATCATGCGGGGAGTATGGTAAGTCAAGAATCAATAAGCATCCCAGTTCGACATACACCCTGTTACAGTGAGTGTCTAAACTCAGACTAACATCCATTCTCCCCTCCCCCGTCACCGGGGTCGGGGATATTCTTTTACTAGGATCTCTGTCGCTCAGCCTTGTATTTCAGCTACGAAACCCTGAAAATCGGAGGTCATTTCGTGTGTAAATTCTACCAGGGTGCCGAAGACAAGGCGTTGGAGAAAAGCCTGAAAGCCATGTTTCATAAGGTTCATCGTGAGAAACCGGAAAGTTCGAGAAGTGAATCCAAAGAAGCATATTTTGTTGGAATCAAGAGATTGGCCAAGGTTGATAAGGAGGCGGTTTTTAAAGAGTAAGGCAGTGAGTGAGTGCAAATTCTGATGATGATTCGGTGTACAAATACCAGGAGGATTCGACCTGACATGAAGACTTCGTCCTATCCTAATCATGGTCCTTGATATAAATACTGTAACATAGCATAACATAAAATAGAGTGGTTTGGGTATCTATATATATATCATAAGACTCATACTTGGAAATCCATCGTATATTCAGTGCAATTCAATCCTCCCAATCCGTGTGTCCCCATCATCACTGCTCATCACTGTACGAGACATATTCTTCTCGCGTTTAGATTGGCCATGTCCTCCTCTCCTCTCATCTCATCGGTCCTGGGCTCCATAACAACGAGCCCAAGGCCATCCTCTGCCCCGCTTATATCAATTCTCCCTCCCCCTCTTCTGAGAACTCATCCTCTTCATCATCGAGATCGATATCCTTTGCAGCTTCTTCGGCTAATCTCTGTACCTCCTTCAAACCACTTAATTCCTCGACATAATCCCGATCATTCAAGGCCTTGAGAACAAACTCCCACCCTTGTTGCTTATACGCATCGATGATTTTGTCGGAGCAGGCACTGCAGCAATCGTAGCTTCGGCCTACGACATTCAACGTGGAGAATGTGCTGAGAAACCCGCGAATTTGATGCGGGACCACACCTAATGGATGGTCGCCACGTGAGTCTGAAAAGGCTGAAGTCGAGGATGACGATGATGAAGATGCGGGTGCTGCGGCGCCTGCGGGATGTTGTAGGACTGAGACTAAGAGTTCGACAAGTAGTGCCGATGCAATGGCGGCAATGCCCGGTCGTGTTACTGTGCATTGCTGGTCGAGTGTCTGGTCTCGCATTGAATCTGCTGGAGCAACCACGTCGTTGCAGAAGTAGCATCCTAATTCACCTTGTTGAGATGAAGGTTGGGATGGTGAGGTCTGGTCGGTCCCTTCTAGCTTCACACCGTGTCTCATGACCACATATGTATCAAACCCTAATGCCGCATTCATGACAATCTTTCCGGCCGCCTTGCCCATGACGGTTGGGAGCCAGCGTGACTCTCGAGTATCCATAAGGAGAAAGATGACATCGTGCTCATCGATCAGGCTTTTCAACTTTTCGTATTCGGCTTTTGTACCTTCAACATTGGTGACTGGATGTCCAGCCATAGGGACTGATAGAACGTGTCCCTCAGACTCGACTCCAGGATAAATCAGTTTTAGGGCGTCAGCTGCAGCGGAAGCCTTCTTTTTACCACCACCTAGACAATCCTCGAAATTGAACAACGGTTGTCGCACAGGATTGGAAAAAGATACCGAGCCATTATCGATGAAGGTGATTTTTCTGACACCCCAGCCCATCAGATTGCGGCTGACGTAGCTCCCTAATGTGCCAGCTCCGAGGAGGAGACACTTTGTTTCCTTGATCTTGTCGAGATTGAGATTAGGGCTGATGCGCCATTTCATGAGTTTCAAGTTCAGATCGACGCTCGAATCTGCGAGTTTCTTGGGGTCCATGTATTCAGTGAGGTCAGCGAGTCGGCCAATAAGTTTGCCTGCCGGGTTTCGTTCCCAGCCTACAACCCTAGGGAGGGGTGGGATGGCTGATGAGTCTGTCGAAGATTCAGTGGCTGGCGCGGCACCAGTCGCATCTTTGGTATTCTTGTCTGAAACCTGCAAATTGAAAATAACACTGCGAGCAGCATCGCGTCGCATATGCGTCTCACGATAGGCGAGAATCTGAACCTGGTCGAGCTTCCACCTTTGACGCACCAAGACGAGTAAGTTTCGTAACATCCAGCCCGGCGCAACAGGATCAGTGTAATTGGAGGGATCGACAAAACAAACATATCTGTCCTCAGGCTCAACATCGTCGAAGAAGCCAGTCTCGTAACTCGACAGAGAAGACACCACCCATGTATATCCAAGACTGTCCGAAGGGGTGAGAGGGGTATTTGGTGTCGTCGGTCCAAATTCTTCATCCGCAACGCTTGGAAACTGCTGATCTCTTTCCTTTTTCACCAGAAAGAATCCATGTTGACGGGAATCAACCCCGTATTTCCAAGTCGAGACCTTGTCCACCAGAGTCGTACTCTCGATCGAGGTTAGAGTCGTATATGGCAATTTCGCACCCGAAGCCGGCGACGAATCCTCTCCAACAGGCACCCAGGAGGAATTCTGGACTATCGCCGGAAAAGCGAACCAGTAATGGAACTTGTACTTTTTCAGATCCGCATACGACAGGATCAGAAACGAAGCCAATAAACTGGGACATGAATAAATCGTGCCATCATTGATGGCCTCCCAGATGGTTCGACCAGCATGTTGAATCAATTGAAGCTTGTCGATAGATTTGTATTCCTCAATGGTGTTGAGGTTTCGAATAATACCTTCTGCGCGATAATGGTTCGCAGGAACATCATCACTGGTCAAGGCATTACCATGAACTTGGATGCGACACGACCATTCCTTGGCGTCCGAAGGGCGGATTTCGTAGAGACCTAGGACTTTGCGCGCCGAGTCGTCGAGTTTGTCGTGGTTGATCTTGTGGGATGCGAGGGATGCGTAGAAGGGGATTTCAATGTCGGAGGCAAATGGAACGTACTGCATGATGTACCTAACCAGGGTATGGCTGCGGGGTTGAGGCAAGAATGAGGTCGTCTGTGGAAGCTAAGAGGAGATGAGATGCGATGGTTTGTTGCTGGATATTCCCAAGCTTACCAATCACAAGATCTCCACACGATATTGTTGATGAGACCAGAGTTGGAAAGGTCTAGAAATCAATGGAGGGAGGTGTGGGTTAGATGCGGACTAACAACGTTGTGTCATGTCGTTGATCTTCGCCCCCTTCTCCTCCGCGTTCCTTCCGTCCCCCAAGGCTGAGACAGTTCGGAGGTGTTGCTCCGGTCATTTGACGCGTTCACGTGGATCAAATGACACTTTACGCGTCAACTGCATCTGTCGAGTTTTATATCACGGGATCTCTGTTTGAGCATGACGACTACAAAGGTCATCAACACGTCCAACGTTGTGTATGATTGAGCATTCTGGCAAGGAGGGACGCGGAATCTAGCGACAAGAGGCACTACAACGAAGCCAAGCTATAACGCTCGCTGGATAAAACCTGCCTCCACCTGATACCCAGGTACTCCTACAGAAGTCCCTCTTCTCACCTCACACCTTCTCTCTCTCACACACACTCAATAAATTGTCTGCTATCCTCGATTCATTCACCTACCTACCATCCATCATGTTAATCGGTATCAGCGGCTCCATCTGCTCCGGCAAACACACCACCGCCGAATATCTCGTTCAACACCATGGATTCCTCCGTCTTCATCTTCCCACACAATCACGAGTCCACAATCCGCCCAAAATATCATCATCATCAACCTTGGTTTCCCAAACTAATTCGACCTCTCACCAACAAGAAGACTCCCAATCCGACTCAGCACGTCTCCTGCCAAGTATAACCGACCAACGAGGAACCCGCGGCCTCACATTTCCCGACGTCGACGCATTACTCGACTTTGTGACCAAACGATGGCGAGAACATTGGGTATTGACAGATGTTTCAGATGAAGCGACTTTGGAAATGTTATTGCGAAGACCGTTTTTCTTACTTATTAATGTCGATGCCCCTGTGGGGTTGCGATATAGGAGATTTACGGATCGGTGAGTGATAGATATATGATATCATACATCCACGTCCTGAAAGAAACCAAAGTCATCGAACTAACGCAACCACCCTTGTCAAATCATATAGATGCACACTACGCAATCTCACACCTATGCCACTAGCGGATTTCATCTCGTATAATGATCTCCAACTCTACGGAATCACACAGACATGGCCTATTTCGTCGTCAAGTGGTGAAACTCCACCCAGAACGAAATCCCATCCTCCGACCGGGGTGGCACATTTGTTGTCACGGTCGCATCTACAGATTCTGAATTCGCATACCTCCATCACGACATACTATACGTTTTTGTCGACGTTGAGTCTAGCGTCGCCGATTCGGTTGCGGCCGACGTGGGATGCGTATTTCATGACGTTGGCGTCATTGGCGTCGCAGCGAAGCAATTGTATGAAACGGAGGGTGGGGTGTGTCTTGGTGCATAATTCACGCATCATCAGTACGGGATATAACGGGACGCCGCGGAATTTGACGAATTGCAATGAGGGTGGGTGTGCGAGATGTAATATGGCGTCTACGGGTGGAAGCGCGCTCAGCACCTGTCTATGTCTGCATGCTGAGGAAAACGCGTTGCTTGAGGCGGGTCGTGAGAGGATCCGCGAGGGCAGTGTCTTGTATTGTGATACTTGTCCCTGTCTGACTTGCAGTGTCAAGATTGCGCAGGTTGGTGTCAAGGAGGTGGTCTTTAGTCAGAGTTACAACATGGACGATGCGAGTCGAAGGGTCTTGAAAGAGGCAGGCGTCGAGTTAAGGCAGTTCAGTCCTCCGAGCAGTGGCCTAGTGGGTTTCTCGGGCGTCTTGGACGGTGACAACTTAGGAAATGAATTGGTCGTCGTCAATGGCAAGTAGTTACAAGGGCTATTAATCCCTGCATGAAATAAATACATAGCTCTGTTGGACGAATGAATATCAATCAAGAAACAACTCTTGGTTCAATCATAGAATATCGCCCACCGAGAAAAATACGGTCAATCCGCCTCTTTCGTTCTCACCTGCTCACAAATCTTCTTTCTTCCAGGGGCGTCGTCGCAGGGGCTCCATGATATGGTCCAGCAGCAGGTCATGTGGAGACTTTGCCGGTCAAGGGAGACGTGGCACTCGTGGGTCCGCTCGTAACTCCCGTCTGCTGTGACTCCTCCATTCTGGTCGTAATCGGTGTCACGTTTCGACTTTCGGTGGGGCTTGTAGGAATACTATTCGAAGATGTTGCAAAGCTGGCGATGATTGAACGCCACTGCTCGGCATCTGCATGAGTGTGTGCCTTGAACTGAAAGTCCGAGGTCATTGCCAGCTTCTGTCCAAACTTGCTCCCTGATGAGTCTTTGGCTTTGACCGTGAATTTGAGGCCATCCGTGGCTCCAACGATGGCGTCAGCCAGGTTTAAAGATAAATCGGGGGTCGGGTCTTTGTGGTAATTGTCATTGTCACGATATTCATGGAGATAGCCTGCAGGGGAGACAGCATAATACCCGCTACTGTATCCCTTCAGAGCACCCATTCCCCGTGACTTGCGCTCAAGGGAGCCTTCGATGAGTGCTTTGGTGGCACGATGTGTCTCATTGGGGAAAGTAACGCCGTCCATGGTCTTCGCTGGAGCATTGGGATTTACCAAGGTCTGTTGATTCCTTGAGATGAAACCGTTCCACTCAAAATCAAGCGGGATGTTGCTAGCAGTGGAGGCAATATCCCCATACATGGCCTTGATTCGATCAGACTGGCCACTCATGAACTGGTTGTATGCGTTGATCGCACTTTGAACCGTGGTTACAACGTGGGATTCGAATTGAGCAAAGGAGGCTTGAACAGCAATCAAGTCTTGCCGGTTATTGTTCTCCTCGAGGATCTGTCTGTTGAGGCGATACAGGATGCCTCGACGAAGCACATAAGGGTCATGATTCGCCGATACTTTACCACCTGAGGAGTCGAAGGCAGCAGCATTGTGAGCAAGTAACTCGATATGTTTCTGTGTGGTGGCGCGAGCCTGGTCCACAGCCTTGGATCCCTTCCCTGCACCGCCTGCGAGTTCTTTCTTCTTGTTCTTGATTTCGACATGGAGACGCTCAAGCACGGGCAGGACCTGAGCAGTCAGATTCCTGGAGGTCTCTTCGTAGAGCATGCTCTGGGAGTTGGTGTTGGAACGGAGGTTGTCAATCAAGCCAACAATGCCTCCGAGGGCAGTATCGAAATGGTGTGCCTCCTTCAAAGGGTCTGACAGTGTCTTGAGGATCTTCTCCTGATCCTTGGACCGTACATGTTGATCTTTAGCCACGGCAGAGACGTAGTTCTCAAGGTAACCGCACATGTGCTTCCATGCTCGGAGTCGTTCGAGTAACAGGCCCGATGCGCCGGATGGGTCACCGTCCCAGGTGTCCTCTCCTGAGGATGTCCTCGTGGTCGCGACTCGGGTCGGAGGGGGTGAGGTCGCCATGAGGGGATAATGGCAGCTAGAAGAAACTGGGGTGTATTGAGGTGGAGGGGTTATGTTGTAGGGTAAAACTGCCATGATGGTGTCAGGTTAGCGGTGTTGTATGTAATTTGGTGTGGTGTTTGATCCTAGTCGTTATACTAGGGGGTAAACTCACCTGGTCGTGACAATTGATTGAATGAAGTGAAAAAGCAGACGACAACAGTGATGATTCTTGGGACGTTCCTTCCTGCAATCGACGTGGTTGAAGCGACGCGTTGAAAGTCCTGAGGGAAGGTGCGGCTGAAGATAGCCAGCAGATCTGCTGGTCGACGCTCCTCGAGAAGATTGCAGGCACCGGGAGACGAACAGCCGAGCTATGCAGCTTATTAGCCACAATATCGATTATAAGGTTCCACTGCTGCTAGTTTATGCTCAAGAGAAGGTCAATAAGCTGTCACGTTGACATTTACTCTCTTCTACGAAGATTCAGGATTGTAAAGTGTCACATATGCCCCTCGTTGTCCTCAGCTGGAGCGTTCTTACACCCTCCTTTGCCCCCTAATCTGTGAGCAGCCGGATCCCAACGACGTCATTGCAGATCCCAGAGGATCGGCAAACAGACTACACCAATCACGCTTGACTGGTGGCACGTTGAAAGGGTGGACGAGGACAGAAAACAATACGCTGCACCAAAGTTTCGATGACAATTCATTGCACACCCTCATGAAATCAACGAATACTTGATCAAATTGTGAGGTCAGATGATGTGAGTACAAGTTCAGATTGCAAATCAATTAAATATACGTAGCGAGTAATAGCTACAACTAACGCTAAGTCGCCTATAGAGCTCTAGAAATCACTACTACATACTCTCGTTAGGGCATTCTCTATATTGCACTTCTCTCTAGAGCACTCTCTTCAGGGTACTCTCCATATCGCACTTCTATCTAGGACATATACTCTCGGGCATCCTCCGTATCGCACTTCTCTCGAGGGCACTCTCTCCAGGGTTCTCGCTCCAGTACTCCAAGATCACTCGGACAAACTCGAGGTGAATAATCCGAATACTTAGTCACGGGATCACAACTCGCGCATATCCAATCATTTCAGTAATAAGATTTGTTCTAAGCCAATCATTCATGTTTTTCTCAGCTCATATCACGTAAAAGTTTGGCCCGCATGCCAGATTCTCCTACAATAAGAAACTAAAACTAATGTAGAACCTACTCCGTCTCGCTCCGTAGGATAATTAATACTTGGGATATATCTATAAGCCAGACCGCAAAGATTGTACAGATTGTTTTGGCTACATGTCATGTGACATTCATGTAGTCAAATGCAAAAGTAGGATATCGAGGATATATGTTTGCTGCACTGATCCGAATCAGAATATGACTGACAAGATGTCATCCAATTCACCAGGCTGCGAAGCGAATCATGTTTAGTGAGCGACATTCTTCTCGGCCTCGGGCAAACTTTGGGTATCGGTAAGCTTGGGGTTGCGGAGGAGGAGTGAGAAGACGATCAGAGGCACGCAAAGGCAGATACCAGTGATGCACAAGAGTCTTTGGGCGTGTTGGTAGGATTCGATGATGGCAGTTCGCTCAGGGGTACCGACGGGGTAGATAGCAGCCACGGAGAACGGGTCGGCGTAGGTGGCGCTGGCCAGAGTATCGTTGCCGAAGATTGCGAGATTGTCTTCGAGGGCGCTGGGAAGCACATTGGTCCAGATGGCGCCTGACACAGTGGCACCGAGAGCAGAGCCGATGTTATAGGTTGCAAGATACAGACCAGTGATGACGGCAACATGCTCGTGCTTGGTGGCAGCCTGGATGGAAGCTTGAGCAGGGTATGGAAACATGCCGCCGGCAAAACCGAGCAAGACTTGAGCTCCAATGACACCAGACTGACCAGCTGAGCTGGGTGAGCCACGGTAGTGAATCAGGAGACCGAAAGCGACGGCGAAAAGGCAGGTTCCGGCAACAATAAAGTACTTGAGTCGCTTGACCTTGTACACGATCAATCCGAGGATGAAACCGGTCACCACTGAGGTGAAGCTGTACAGGGACAGAATTCTGGTGGCTCCCATGATCGAAAAGTTGAAGGCAATGATCAGGACGGTGTAGAGGTAATCTCCTTGCATGTACCAGGCAAAATTCAAAGTACAAGCTATTCCCAAAGCAGCCCAAACAGCCCGGTCTCTCAAGAGATCAAAAGGCACCAATGGCTTAGGAGCTCGCATTTCCCAAAAGGCAAAGGCAGGAATGCAGAAAAGACCGACGATCAAAGGGGCCAAAACGTGTGCCTTCTTCCAGTTGTCTCCATAACCTCCAGCAATGGTGAAAGGGGTCAGGACCAGAGCAAAGACGGCGATCAAGAGAATGATGCCGATGACGTCGAGCGCCCAGAAGAGTTCGATGCAGAGTCGCTTGAATCCGAGAGACTGGTAGGGGGACTTGTAGTTGTCCAAGATTCCGGCCTTCTTGGCCTTGCGAGCCACATGCCACAGGGTGATGATGAGAGGCAGGGCGCAAACAGGGTAGATGATGGCCCACATGCCAATACCCCATTGCCAGGTGGTGGCCCCCAGAACCGCGGAAGCGACATTGCCGCTGATCCAGGTGTTGATGATGAATGGCAAGGCAGGAACGTAGCTGAAGAGCAAACGAGCACGAGTCGAGGTGATGTCGGCAATAATGACTTCGACAAGCAGGATAATACAGGTGTAGCCAATCTGATAGATGACAGCACCTCCGACAAAAGTCGACGTGGTTGTGGAAGCAGCTTCAACAATAGTACCAACGACGTAAAAGACGACACTAACCATGACCAACTCAACACGGCCAAAGACATCGGCAATCTTGGCGGCCGTGGGTTGGGCAGCAGCGGCAATGACGGATCTGACGACGTTGATGGTGGCAAGGAGCGAATGTTGGCCCCATGAGGCCGTGGCGGTGGTCTGGTAAGTGTAGCGAACTGTGCCGTCGAGACCGTAGGCGTAGGCGATGAGGAAGACACCAATGAAGAGGAGGATGCGATCGGTCTGGGTGATGACCTGGGCCATGGCTTCTATGCGAGCAACACCAGGGGATTGTGAGCCAACGAGGATGGAACCTCGTCGGTCAGAAGGGTACTGGCCCGGTGCCAGTCCATCCTTTGCCGCGACATCTTGGTCCAACTTGGGTTGGTCGGACAGCGCTGCTTGAGGAGGCATTCTCTCCTTGGAACTGTCGGAGAACGACATGGTGTCTGCCGGACAAGAGACAAAAGAATAACGAGTGAGGAAGAGGTGGTTGTGGAGGAAGAGACAGCAGTAGCCTTGTGCTGGGACAGTGATGATTTATCAATGTCGGGGCAAGGTCGAGATCCATGTTGCATCGTGGCAAGTGGATGCTAGGGACATGGGTCGGACAAGGCCTGAGTGACAAACTTTTGCTCTTCCGTCACATCGGACAGGGAGTGGGGAGAGAGGACTTTGAGACGGAGACGCCATACTGGGACGTGGGTTGCGAAGATGGCAACCAGAGGAGTAGAGAGCGGAGACTCCTATAGGCTGTTAGTGTGCTATGATCACTCGGGGATGTGCTATGCACGTATGGAAGAGAGGCACTAGAGGGACGCACGGTGTGGGCTTGATCAATAATGCTGGTGAGTGACTTGGGACTTGTGAAGAGACGAGTGACAGAGAATGAGTGTCATGGCCGGATACGGCGAATATTGCGTGTGGGTGGAGATGAAGCGCAGCGATTAGACAAGACTGATTGGTGATTTATCTTATCAGATGTAAAAATTCTGTCCCAAGTGGAGGAAGAAGGGAAGGATCGCTGCTTGGCGTGATCAAGGGTTTCGACGTTACAGCTTGTGAAGCTTGGATCTTTGTACATACGGAGTAGGCCGAGACTCCAAACGGCTCAAAGGCCCCTCGGCCTGTGGATAGGGCCTGGGCATGCCTAAGGTAAGTACCTAGTTGCTGCTTATAAGTCAATATCCAGGTTGCCTTGGGGGGTCCCGAGGGCGGAGAGAGCCCCAATTAGTCCTGGACCGGGTGCCCAGACACGCTGGTCGGCAACCCCCCCCCCAAATCTGTGCCCATGGCGATTATAAGCAACGCAAGCTTACTATACGCCTGCAGCAGTCATGCAGGGAAATCACATGGGTATGGATGATGGGATGAGGGTATTACTTTATTATTAGTTGTGTAGGCGGCGTCGTCAGCAGGCGTAGAGCACCTGAGTACCGAATATTAACTACCAGGGTAGGTCAGGTACCTATCTAGGTACCTATCTAGCAGGCTAGCAGCCTAGGTACCATACCTAAGGTATGGACTTCCTTGCGATTCAAGTTACCCAGAGTTCTAGCTTCAACTTTAGGGGATCTACATACCTGAATCTTAATGGCATCATAAACCAACGCCGGCCCTTTCTGACCATCGATCGATCATAACAATTTGACTTTTGTTATTGACAGTAGTCTCTACTTGGTATCTCTGTCTGGTCTCTGGCCTCTCGTGTCTCTCCTTTGTACCTAGTCTTTCATCCCTCGTGACGTGTCCCAATTGACCCTCTCTTCTAAGCGGCAACCTTGAACTCCCACGACTCCCTCGGCATCAACGACGTGGCTGATTCAAACCCTCTCTTCTTGAGCTGAGCAAATTATCGGCCGCCAATTCCGAGTCGAGTCGACTTCGGCTTAGACGAAACAAAACAACAACAATACCTAATAATGGACCCTTGTGGCACCGACCCTCCCAACTAAATTTTTCCGTATGGGAGGCCCCTTGACCCCTCGGCCCTGCCCACGGGCGCCCCGACCCAAGAAAACTTGAAAGCCCTGAGGCGCCTCTGGTTCCCCCGGGAAGTCCCCAGCGTCGACGAATTTTTCAGTTTTCAACACGTAAGGACTGAGGGATATTTCCGCACTAAACCCAACTAGCCAATTCCATCCTGTCACACTTGCGTTGAACGCACGATGTTGCATCTAATCAGATCACACATGCAGACTTTAAGAATGTATCCTGGATCAAAGAGAGACCAGCGCTTCCTTGGCCTGGCTCGTCCTTCCCTCTTGGTATCATTCCACCATATCTTTCCAAGATCGGTACTCCTTGGCCTCAAAGGTCCAGACAATCCGTCCATTTCCGGATACCTAGGCACGCCAGGTAATGTGGATAGGACTCAAGCCTTGGGAGATGAATGAATAAGAGGGACACTCGCCTTGTCATGTGGAGTGAATACTAAGTCACGGTGGATCTTGATCCCCATTTTCGTCTTGGTTAGGTTGTTTGTTGGTATATCTCCGTACTCGTAGTAATATAACTCCATCTTCTCTGCGTACGCGTACACCACATGCATTATTAGTGCTTAGATAGCACTTGTGCACAATAATTACTACTACTAGTAACTTTCCTCGATCGATCGTGATCATTTTCTAGTCAAGTCTAGTAGTAGTCAGGGATATGATCGTCACCTCTAGACTTGATCCCTACAAACCGATACCGGAGATTCGATCACTTACGAGTACTGAGGCGGCAGATCGATTCTCTTTTTGACTTTTACAACTTCTTCTTACACCCAACCATGTCCAGGGTTTCCCGACGTCATCAAACTAGTTCATACTACTAGTTGATGCCCTATAGACTATGCATGATCGTCACCTACACTACAGAAGTTGGCCCGATTCTGATCTCATACTCCATCGCCAATTCATGGATCCATCTCTACCAATACTCAATAACACTTCCATCATTCAAAGCCTCATCCTCATCCTCATCACCGATTGCTCGCGTGACATTCCCAACCCTGAAAATCCAGTATATCAATAATGTCATTCATCGGCCACCTGGTTGCACCTGGGTTCTTCGATGACTTCACCATGATGGTCATCAGTGATAATCATACTACAGAACCTCTCCCAACACATCGGCTCCTCGCACAGCCGTAACAATATGCCATGGTAGACAATCAATGCTTGGATCAATGCAGCCTCTCGTTGCCCCAAGACTGACCAATCCTCGATATTGTCGAAGCACGTCGTCGAGCAATTCTTCCACCGGCATCTTATCCATATCTGCCGCGTTTGGAAGGCCGTGGACCCAGCTGACTTCAATCGCAGAAAGTCCATCCTCTCCTTTCTCCCCTCTGCGCTTCATCAAAAATCCCGTCACAAGAGCCGGTCGGATTTCTCCTGTCTCGCTCGATTGATTGACTCCATACGGCAGGATAATCGACCAGCTCTCTTCCGATGGATCGATCAGTGTGATGTCGCTTTCGGCATTCGGATCGAATCCATGCTCAGGCGGTGTGGCGGCGCTGAATCCACCGCTGCCCCCGGGGGTGGGAGTTGCTGCCATCAGCTGGTCCGGCGACGTTATACCAGCCTGTGGCGTTGATCCAGGTGTTCCGTACATATTTCCGAGAGTAGCTGTGCCAGACTTGCCGCTTCCCTTGGGAGTCACAATTCTCAGCATGGGACGTAAGCGTGCTGACAAAAGAATCAGCTTGCAACGCGACGTAGCTGGCGTTCGCTCGTCCTCGAGTTTGCACCATTCCTTGACTTCGGCTACATCGAAATGGCCATTTTTGACTACGTTCAATCGCCACGTGCCAGGTACTTTGGCCATGATGTCTTGCGACGTGCCCCACATCTCTCGAAAGATCTCCTGTCGCTGTCTTCGAGGGCCTGAGCTCCATAATTGAATGCAATAGGACATGCTCAGCGCAATAGTCCCTGTTTCGTCCGTCCATGCTGCTGAAATCCATCGTTCATCATGACTGATCGAGTACGCTAGGTGAAGACATGGTCCGCTCTTGGAGAATGGAGAGCTGTAGCTAGATGACAGGTGGAAGTGTACCGAAGAGTCCATCTTGACCATGGTCACCGCTGAGCTGCATGACCCCGCCGGTGTTGTTGTCGTCTCTGACTTGACAGGAGGTAATCGATTGTAGACCTCGCGTGCCAGTTTGAGGTATGCGCTCTGAGGTGGTATCACTAGCATTTCGCTGCTCGCCACAAACCCTTGAGGGATAATTTGCAATGCAATGTCCGCGACTTTGGTCTTGTCCGTCACCGAGTCTCGGAATGCTCCAAACAGCGCGTAGAATGCATGACAGGTGTCCAAGTAGTCATTCATGTTCTCCGTTGGAGAGATGATGTATACCACCACCAAGCCCTCTAGGTCGGTACTCAATCCGAGATGATCACCAAGTTGTGCACAGCGACGACTTGAATCATCAAAGTCTTCAATGCTCCAAGGAACCAGCCCATTCTCAGTGAAGTTCGGAACACGTCCGACTTTGTGTTCCCCCAAAAGACAAGAGGTATATGCATCTGACATTCTCCGTAAAAGATTGCTGCAGCCGTCCAGGATGTTTTGCGCGTCAGGACACACGCAAAATACCGTCACATCTTTACCGCCGTTGTCAGGCTTTAGATTTAACGTGTCCCAGAATTCTATAATGGACATGGAAGCCGTGAGTGTGTGGTTGCCTCGCCGTACACGAATCTGTGGATTCGGCAGCCGGGCCATTCTTCCTGAAAGGTTGATGGAAGGCCCGTCGGCTTGAAGATTCACGAGCTGTGACAATGTAGACGGGGTTCCATTTGAATTGATCCCGCTCAGGTTAAGCCCAGCTGTCGCTTCCTCGTCAGATGCAGGCCTTGAATGGTGTTGAGAATCGACGACTGACAGCAGAGATGATTGAGAGACTTGGTCGACTAGGATCTGAGCTACATCAGTTACTTCGGCGGCAGACAAGTCGGGGAGTTCGCGAGTTTCTGCCCCTGAACCGGAGCAGGGTATTGACGGCGGCTTCATAGATCCATCATGGAGCAGTGCCAACATCTGTTGTGTTTCCTGGCGAATCTTCTGTTCCTCTGGCTCAGTGACCTCTGACGCGGCAGGCGGTGTTTGAGCGCGATACTCGGTCCATTGCGGTGCAACTTTCGACGTCGTGCTCAACGGGACATGTTGTTCAAAGGACATCCTAGAACTGTCATCGGTCTCGTCTGTGTCTGACGGGCTAGAAGGGATCATGTGGAGGATGTTTTGATATCTGGACAGCTCTCCAGTCTCCGCACGTTTGGGCTTGGGGTCGAACCAAAAATCACCGTTGGCTGAATACTTGCTGTCCCGCTCCGATAGGTCTAACGAAGGTTGCACACCATCAAACGCGCTAGGCCTCCGAGGCCGATTCGTTGATTTTGTCCCATATTGATCTCGAACGTCCCTTGAGGGTAGGCTCTCTGTGGCCAGAGGTAGTTCATTTTGCTTGGCCACTGTTGAATTTGTTGGCCGAGAATCTCGAGGCATAGATGGTGAAATCTGCTCGGAGTTTGTCTTTTTTGAAATTTCATCCTTTGCATGGACCGACGCAGGTAAGGTCTCCACCGGTGTCTGCCGGACGGCATTGGTAGCATGCTCTACCTTAGCTGCTGACAGAATATCGACATTCGATTGACCATTTGATGACATGCCAGGCTCCTGGTCTTTGGGTTCATTCCCAGGCTCATCGTCAAAAAAGTCCCAGTTTGGCTCGTCGCCTGCGGCCTCTTGGCCGAAAGTGTCGCCAGGCATCTCGTCAAACAGATCCTCATCATAAAAACCTCCGCTTAGGTTGGTGGGTTCGTCATAATCAGGCATTTGCTCGTCCTGGGTAGATACCATGTCTGCCGGTCCGCGCAACAGGTTGGCCGGTGTGGTGGCCAGTCCATCCACCGAGGAAAACCCAGGGGTGGGATGCGTCATCACGGCATCTGGTGGAGTGGGATATATGGTTTGACTTTGGGGGAAACTCGGAGGACCATAAGGATGGAAAGGTTCGTCAAAAGGTCCGTCATCATTGAACAAGGGTTCGTCATCATCCTCGTGGTCGTTATTTTGGCCCTGGTGTGCGTCTCGAGCGGGACTGAGGGCGGTGCCAGAGATCCATTTCTGCACAAACTGTAGTGCATCTTCAGGAGTCCCTTCTGCCTCTGGCGGCAAAGGTGGACTCTCTGACACAAAGCATAGCTCTGAGGGCCAAAATATTGTCTTCCACGTCGTGGTCTCGATGGATGGAGTGTTCGGCGATGATGCTTTCTGGCTGTCTGTTTGGACCACGTCACCTGTTTTGACCACAATCTCAGTCTCGACCCATCGGGTTGATTTGTCTGTCTCCAAATACTCGCCGTGCTCTTTCAGCCATTGCGGGAGTAGTTCTTTCCACACATTCTCCACTAGGCTGAGAGACGGTTCATAGTCCGTCTGCATCTGGAAACTGAGCTCTGTTCCAAACTTTGCAGCTCTCTGGAGCTTAAACCTGGCAATTATTCCGAGTGGCGCAAGATAACCCGAACACCTGGAGTCTGTGACTTCAACATCATTTGAATCAATATCGCTTGCTCGGAAGAATGACGAGGTGTCTTCTCTAACAATAGTCAGAACAATGTGCCCACTAAGGATGATCTGAAGGTCGAGTCTGAAGAGGCTCCATTTCTTGGTTGAGTCGAACCGGTCAATACTGGTTGCAGCTGGCAGATCTTCAATCAGATAAAGGTTGAGCCCCACTGTCTGGATGGCGCGATCGTTCGCTGGCACCAGTCTAATGCTAGAGGTGATGGCAGCAGTGAAGAGTCGATACAGTCGTGCCTGCTCGGGTTTCAAGAGATCCGGTAGTCTCGCAGCGGTTTTGTAGGCAATTGTGCACGCGTTGCTACGGAGAACATAGCCAAACTTGCTCAACAAAGCTTTCTGGTCTTTGGCATTTGCGATGTCGACCTTTTTGTAAAAGGTAAATAGCTGTCGAGCCTGAGGATCGAGCGCAGCTAGAATTGACGCTTCCCTGAATTGACGCTCCGTCTTCCTCAGGCGAGCAAGAGTTTCCTCCGGAGACAAGACCTGAGGTGGAGTATCCGGGGTTGGTGGTGGAATTGCGACAGTACAGACGATGTAGGCGATTTCGCCGAAGTCGCCCAGGGTATATACATTAGTGGCGCAACTGATGGGAAAGTCGTAGGAGGTCGCCATCGATTATTCGTGGCGAGCCACGATCAATAGGTGCCTTTCGACGCACAACAGAGATCCAGCTTGAATTGGTGGCCGCATTTGATCATTTTTGACATGGATTCCGCCGTACTGGGGAGGACATCATGATAAAAGGGTGTGTAATGAGAGCTGTTGAGGCCACCCAGACGGGATTGATGATGGTGGTGAGCAATAAATGGGCTTAACGGTACCGCGAAGGTGAAGATAATCTCTGCTGTCAATTGGTGAGAAACCTCATGGATGTCCGGGACCGATGCGCTCTGTCTCCTCTAATCGCCAGCTCGAGCAGGTCCAGGTGTGAAACTGTCTCAGACTTGGGTGTTGATGTTGAGGTTCTTGGTAGTTGACAGATCATATCACGTGCGGGGCCGAGATCCTTGGCATGCAGTAAGTCAGGAATCCACATGTTGGGCGAATATGTCAATTGTAGATGGCTGGATACGTAGATGACATGTAATTAAGGGAATATAAGGGATGATTAACACATCGGTTACTTGAATATAAAAAATGCCATTCAAAAATATCGCCCAAGTCGAGTAAGGCACAAGTACAGCGCCCCGAGACAGTGGGTGACAATCGGGCGGCTCAGCCTTGCATGTTCAGCCTTGCCCCAGACATTCTTCGGCTCAACTTCGGCAATTGGACAAATTTTGCCCGCCAAAAAGTTTCACAATTTCAGTCTGCGGTGAAGAGGCGATGGTAGGTATGTACTGTATCGACCACTGGGAACAGCAACAGCCGGCGCAAGACAGTCTAATACATTTCAGGGCCTGTCATTGATGATAAAAATGTCAGTCTCGCATTTCGGCCCATGAACAGACCCTATTCTCCTTCCTTTCCTCCATCAACATGAGACTCACCGGCAGTGGGGTCCCGGTGTATACCGTTTCTGGCTCTTCCACGTCCAGAAACCTACCAGACTGGCTGTCGTCAAAAGAGAAACGGAAAAAGGACCCCGAGTATGCCAATCGTGTCGAGTTACTACAAGACTTCGAGTTTGAAGAAGCCAGCCAATGCGTTCGGGTGAGCGAGGATGGAGATTGGGTTATGAGTACTGGCACCTACAAACCACAGATACACACTCACTATCTACCTAACCTCGCCCTCTCCTTTGCTCGACATACAGACACCCTCAACAAAACCTTCCTCTTCCTCTCCTCCGACTACTCCAAAACTGCACATCTCCAAGAAGATCGATCTATTGAATTCCACACTCCAGGCGGCTGTCATGATGTGCTACGGATACCTCGCTATGGTCGTGACCTGGCTTATGATAAGAGAAATTGTGAGTTGTTAGTGCCGGCCGTTGGAGTCAATAGCGATGGGTTGGGAGAAGTATACAGAATCAGCCTCGAAGAAGGACGCTTCATGCGGCCATTTGAAGTGGACGTTGGGGGTGATGACATGACCTCGTCAGGAGCAGGTGCTCTACAGGGTGGCATCAACACTGGCAGTGTTAATACTGCAGCAGTAGCGGAAGGAAGCCACAACCTTTTGGCTTTTGGCACATCGTTGGGTACAGTCGAGTACTGGGACACTAGGTCTAGGGCTCGTGTCGCTACTCTCGCCATGCCATCTGATCATGACGGTCGACCGGGAGTGACAGCCTTGGACTTTCATCGTTCTGGAATCAGCACAGCAGTTGGAACATCTTCCGGTCTCATCTACCTATACGACTTACGGTCGCCGGTTCCTACTCTGAAGAAGGATCAGGGCTACGGGTATCCAATCCAATATCTCGAATACTTGACGCCATCCACCACAACACGAGCATCCACATCCGAGCCCAAGATCGCATCCGCAGATAAAAGGATATTGAAACTTTGGGACGAACGAGATGGTACGCCGTGGACATCTGTGGAGCCTGCAGTTGACATCAACTGCGTTGCCTGGTGCAAAGACAGTGGCATGTTCCTGACGGCGAATGAAGGACGACAGCAGCATGCTTTTTTCATTCCTCAACTTGGCCCAGCACCGAGATGGTGTTCATTCTTGGACAATATTGTGGAAGAAATGGCCGACGATCCTAACGACCCCTTGGCGTTCTCGAGGTCCAAGGTGGGCGAAGTTTACGACAACTTCAAGTTCCTCACACTACCACAACTCCGGATGCTGAACATGGACCACCTTGTAGGCAAGACCAACCTCCTGCGGCCATATATGCATGGTTTCTTTGTTGCTCAAGGCCTCTATGAAGAGGCACGACTAATTGCAAACCCTACGAGCTACGAGGAGGAGCGAGAGAAGCGAGTGCAGGCTAAGATTGACAAGGAGCGGGAAAGCAGAATCCGCGGAAAGAAGAAATCGACCGCCAAGGTCAATCGGAAGATGGCGGAACGAATCATGGAGCGCGAGCAAAAGAATGAACGCCGGCGGGCACAAAGAATATTGGCCCAGGGCGGAGACGATCAGGCTGTGGAGGATGCGGCCGAACCAGAAGAACCCGAAGAAGTCGAAGACAAAGGCTTACTCGGCGATTCTCGGTTCTCGAGGTTGTTCCAGGATGAAGACTTTGCCGTCGACGAAACATCTCGTGAATTCCAACAACTCAATCCAAGTACCAAGGTGGCGCCTTTGTCCAATCTGGACAGAGAAAAGGGCCTCACCGCTGTGGAACAAGAAGCTCTTGATGAAGTACCTCCTTCAAGCGACGAATATGGTAGTGACGGCGATGATGTGCCGGCCAAATACCGGACCAAGGAAAGAATCTCCACAGCGGACTACAAGCGTCGGCCCAAGAAGCAAAGTCAAGGCAGAGACAACATGCAAATGCGGGTGAGTTCGTCAAAGAACTCCAGACCTGGCGCTCGTAGCAAGGGCGATCGATCGTTTGGCTCGCGTGCCGAAAACATGCAGCCTGTCCAAAGAACCAAACGCAATGGCTTTTCGGGGAATGTTATGGGGGAACAAACCATCACTTTTGAGCCTTCGCGGGGTAAGAACAAGCAGCAAACGTTTGACTCGGGCGATGGATATGGAAGCCAGCGATCAAAAGATCGTCGAAGTGCATCAAACAATACCTTTAGGAAGATGTGAGAGGAGAAGAATAAGCATGCAGAATTGTAGCACGGGCTTTCGACCATCGAGCCTCATCGTGTACTAGTACATTTATGACTATTATCGACACCCATCCTCCTTATCGAGGACACAATGTTTATCATATCGACGAGTGAGTCACTGTCGACGTGATTGGAACTCATATCATGGAGAAAATGATATAGAATAGACTATAGATGCACACATGCAGTCAGAATGACGGCGAATGACTGTCAGACACAATTAAACTTGTCTAAGTTGGTCTTGGCGTCGCGGTTGCCGCGAGACCAGGGGTGGACTGGTTTGGAAGGTGCGAAGGGATTGGTCGACTGTGGCTGAGGAAGGCACGCGGGTTGGAAGCAGTCACTAGCGGCAGGCGTGGTTCTGTCAGGGTGTGTGGTCGCGCCTGCCGTGTTGTTCGCTTGCGCCTACAAGCCAACATTCCTGACATTAATTGAAGTTCAACATTTCACCTTGTCGACGACCCAACACCGACCAACAGCCCTCTCGGGCGCACTATGCGGATGATACTAACCACAGCAGCACGATCATACTGACAGCTCTATACAACTAGTCACTAATCGCCAATCGACCACCCCACCGACTATCCCGACTATCACGCCCGCTGTCAATCACGAGCTCGACTCAATCAACGCACCATCGACACAATCACCGTGCATTCATGGACGATAACGCTTAGATACCACGACCACCAGCACTGCCAGACTTGGCAATCGATCCTTAGCGACAGCCACCCATTGAGACTCCAGATCTCCCCCCGCGACTATGCCCTCGTCGGACGATATCCCTTCTTCACCCCCCAACGGCTCGACTTCGCTGGAGGACTCGTTGAGATACTACAAAACCCAATACGAAACCCTCGAGGCGGAACTTGCCGAATTCCAAACCTCTAGCAAAGAACTCGAAGCCGAACTTGAAAAGGATATCGAAGCTTCGGAAAGGCGCGAACGCCAATTAAAGGACAAAGTTGGCAACTTGCAGTATGAGGTGGAGGAATGGAAAACCAAGTACAAGCAATCCAAACATGAAGCCTCAAACGTGCAAAACTCGTTGCAGAAGGAAATCACCCAGTTGCGCGACGACAATAGATCCTTACATATGCGTCTGCGTGACATTGAGGTGGCCAATGATGATTTTGAGAAGAAACAACGCAACACCGAGTCATCCTTGGAGGATATGGAGTCAAAGTACAACCAGGCCATTGAAAGAGGTGTCATGCTCGAGGAGGAAGTCCGCACTGGCGAACAGGAACGCGAAGCCTTACGGATAGAGGCACAGCGTCTGAGAGACGAGCTATCAGATCTCAGGGTCGAGACTGACATCACCAAAGAGAAGTTACGAAAAGAGCTCGAAGCCAACGCCATCAGGAAAAAGCCTTTGACTCTTCGACCTGTGGGTATGACTGGCTCCCCACGATCCGAACTGTCTCCGACCACCACCAACGCCTCCTCTCCCACTTTCGACACCCCTCCTACCAAGACCGCCTCCTCGTCCGGCATCTCAGACATCCCTACACCCCCATCGCCTCCAGTTTCAGACAACTCTATCAACACAAGGATCCCTTCGACATCGGGTCTGCCAAAGCCCCGACTCTCACTCAACGCGGCCAGTTCGAACCCTCGACCTGCGACATCAGCCTCCAATTCCTCGTCCAGACCCAGTGGCCACACTCGTGGCAACTCGGTCGCCATGTCACAGACCAGACCTTCATCAAATATGCGACAGAGTATCTCGAGACCTTCTGGGGCGCTTACATCGCGATCCGGTCTGCCACAGTCTAATTCGATCATGCATCTGAGAAACCTACGAGGAAAAATGCAGCAATTGGAAGCGCGGGTCCAAAATGCCAAAGCAAAACTTCCCGAGTCGCGGCTGCCAGCTCCCACTAGCACTCCCCCCAGAATGTCACCCAGAAGTGGCTCAGCACTGGGCACTCATATCCCCTCGTCGGTGACAGTTCGAAGTCGAAAACGCACCAATGGAAGTACCATCAGCGGGTTGGAGTCGTTGCCAGACAAGCGGGTCGATACACCATCAGTGCCGACGTCGCGAACAAGTCGTATGTCGGTGAGTCATCAGGCACCGGGCTCGCCGACCAGAGGGGAGATGGCGGCACCGTCCTTTCGACCATCCAGTCGAACCAGTGGCTTCTCTGGGCGAGCTTCGTTTGTGCCCAACCACAGCAGGCCGGGAAGCCGGGCGAGTGTGACAGGATTCCGGGCGCCGCTTGGAAGCGGAGTAGGGTCCAATTTTGCGCCAAATGCATCGACAGATAAAGTTCGACCAAAGAGCAGCCTGAGTAGCTATGGGTACGATGGCACCCTAGATTCCGAGGCAAGTGATACTTCTGCATTTTCGGATCTGAAGGACGCCGTCACGCCGACGCCTCGGCGAACGACCTTCGCCAAACGAACGAGCGACGTGGGGTCTGGGATCCCAAGTCCAACCAAACGGACGAGTATGAGTGGAGCACTGGGCAAAACCCCAGGATTAGGGCGACGACAAAGCTCGGGGCTTACTCGGATCGAGGGGGGAGCAGCGGGCGACATGAGACCTCCTTCACGACAGTTGAACAACGTGAATGAGGGCTACGACGTTAATGAAACATTTTGAAAGGCAGAATGACGATGACTTGCAATGGACCGATTAGCGAAGGGGTTCTTATGGTGTGCTTGTCACGATACTCTGGTTGATACTCTAGTTGACGGTGATGTCATGATGATCACCTGCATGACCGTGGAGTCTTGAGGTTCTGCTTAGATGGATGTTGAAGAGATGGGGTGGGCACAGGAACCAAGCAGATTCGAAACATAGGATGAATATCACTTGTTATTGCCGGTGTGTGTTGTTGGAATCTCGACTCTCCAAGGACGTTTGCTCTATCTCTCAACACTGGAACGCAACACCATCCCGTTTCGCAATATTAGTTCCTCCACCTGCAAAGCCTGTCCCCTCGCAACTAACCTCCACCAGTCTACCAACCGTATTATGTCTATGTTTCGATTTCGATTTCTTCGACTTGTTCCCATCTTCACCAGTCAAAACCTCCCCACTCGACCGACCAGAAAGATCAGCTTGACAAACATAACAACTGATCCTCGAATCCGACGAAGAGCCCTTGAGAAATAACGCAGCACACCCCCCACATACAACATGTCCACATCCAACCGCCGTACCCAGTCTCGCACGTGACGTATTAGTCAATACTTTTTGACAACTAGGACAGATTCTCGACGTTGGTTTGGTTTTTGTGGTCTTGGTGTTGTCTTTGTCTTTGTCTTTGTCCTGGTCATTATCATCGCCCACCTCCGTGAATTGCACCGTAACCAGACTTTTTAAATTATATGTATGTTTATCGGTTGGTGTTGATGCCGGACATAGAGGTTGAAGTTTATGTTTGATCGTTGGTCCACTTGCGGTGGAGATGGTCGATACAGACGGGATCCAGAAACTTGATTCTGAGGTTGATGATGTCGAGCGTTTAGATTCTGTCTTTTGCGAACCGTGGCTGTGGCCATTGCTCTCGCCGTTGCTTGTGCTGCTGCCGCCGGCGGAGTCTTTGGATGTTGTAGTCGTAGGAGTTTTTACTGCCGTCGTCGTCGTCGTCGTCGTCGAGGTAGAAGAAGAATGCATCTCAGTAGCACCTCTCTTCCTCTTAACACCTCTAACATCATCACCTATTCCCATCTCCCCCCTCTCAAACCTCTCCAGCTCCCTCTGTCTCTCCTCTTCGATCTGCACTTCTTTCTCCTCACGTTGAATCTGATCTCTAGCTTGCTGATCCCTTTCCAATCGTTGAATCTCTTTTCTTTGACTGACGAGATCATTGAGTGCGCATTCGCGACAGAAGAGATGGACTTTGGGTTCTTCAGAATGAGATCCAGAGCCAGAGCCAGATCCAGATCCAGATCCTCTAGTGTCGGCTCCGTTGTTACACGCTACTGGATCGACAGCAATACCTAGACATAGGCGACAGTATCCAAATGGAAGGAATGCATCTCGTGTTAAACGTGTTGATTGACTGCCCCAGTTGTTGCGGAGAAGCGAGCGTTCGTGAGCAGTGAAAAATGCAAGTGACGTGTTGCGTTTGGAGTGGGACATTGTTGATTATTATTGACTGGATGATGAATGATTTGAGGGAGATGTTTTGATCCAATGGGTGGAATGTGTTGAGGTGGTTGGTCGCTTGGATTGTATCCTGCAAGCTGTGTATGTACAGTAGCTATCCTTCCTCGCTTTGCGTGCAAGGGTTACAAGTCGAGGTCACAAGCGATTAATTTGGATTGGTTGAGATATTCGTAGATGGTTGTTGATGGTTGGAGGTTGTGGAGGTTTTTCCATCTTGGAGTTGTGATGACTAAGCTGCTTCGGGATCTGTGCAGACGACAGCCATCAAGGACGATGCAGTCGACTCCCTGCAAACGTCAAGTCTACAGTCCGCTGGGACCTACTTCGTATGTATAGGCTTCTGGATCAATATTAACTCCAACCGCTGATCTGTCCATGTACGAGTTTCGCATATCTGAGCTCAGAGACCTGCCCCAGGACGATATCACGTGACTAAATTCTCCATTCAACAACGAATGTATACATGTTGGATGGAAAAGCATTCTCCTACTCAGAACTGGTGATCAGCGCGATGATCAAGCCGTCTTCCATTGCATCTATTCAGCTAATTACTTTACATGTCCAATTTCACTGCGGCAAACAACCTCCCAACCCATCCTCATTCACCAAGTCTCGGCCTCTTTCAACCGATCCCCCGATCCTCCGTCATTGTTGAATGAGTGTCGTCTTAGCCTTTGTTCCATAAACATCTTGCGACCCTCAACCCGTCCCGTCATCGAGTCTCGACGTGATGAGAGTACAAACCCCGAATCTTTCGATCCCGTTCCGTCCTTTGCTGCGATCAGATGCGCAATGTCTCTCCGGAGAATCCTAAAGTGAGTCTTGCTTGTCTGGCTTGAAAGCCACACCTGCTTCGACATACCTTCTGGGTCTCCAAACGGACACAGATATGGCCGGAAATATGCTCGAGCGATTGCCAGATCTTTTGATTCTTGAGATGATCTTGTCAGATCTCCATCCGGGACAGACTGTGAAGATGAATCTCGAGAATCACATGCAAGATCGTTCGAAGGGCCACGCTCTGTCGGGAACTTAACCCTAATCACTGGCTGCATGCTGTCAGAGATGTCGTCCTCCAATGGGACTCTCGTCCTAGGAGATTCAATAGAGTTGTTGTCCGGCGCCGCTCGATCCAGAGCTGAGGAAGTGTGGTCACTCGGAACTGACTCTCTGCCAAATCCTGTAGGTTGAACTTGCGTAAGAGTGGCTGGAGAGCTCACGGACGCATCAGAAGCAGTACTTGTTTTCTGGAATTGACCGTTCCCGACCGATTTGGGTGCCCTATCCACAGGCATTTGCGTCTTTGAGGTTGTTCCACCTTCTGCCTTATGTTGTTGATAACGTGTCATAGAGCGTCGACCTGTCTTGTCGGGGGAACTACCATTACGTTCGTTGCCATTGTTTCGTGCCCATGGGGAACGTTTGATTTTCGGCTTTTGGACATGGAACCCATCTTCAGCATCACCCTTGATGTTCGAGACCTGCCCCACTCCATTCTCAGGATCAGCTCTGTCGTCCGCCGAGCCCTTACCAAATTTGACTGCCTTCTTCGGTGCTCGGCTGGTTGACTTGGCGTTGGCCTCATTTCTTCTATCTCTCTCCCGGTCAGTAGCTGACGATTGTAAGGGATGTGACGTCGGCTCGGAGTCCTTCAATTGAACTGGTGCGGACTTGGGTGGGAACACATCGAGGTCTTCTGTTAGAGGCTGTCGTTGGCCGTGAGTGTGCTCATCCTGACTTGCGAACCCAGCCGCCCCGTCCTTTTGGTCTGGAGTTGCCAATAATGGATTGGCCTGTTCGTTCTCCAGCGTTGAGCCCTGATCAACTTGGTCATCTTCATCTCCGGAATCATCATGATTCAATAGGACTTCTTCGGCATCGCCAAAAATCCGTTGTGGAACTTTTTGGGCTTTTGCTACGGCGTTTTTCTTCTTCTTTTTCTTTGTGCTCTTACTCTCCTGAGGTGGTGAGGGCGATATGGATAGCTCTCGTGCTGAACTCTGCTGGTCCTTCGAGTTCGGAGGTGTTCCATCGAGGGTCATGAGCAGCTGTGCACCTTCATCAGTCTCATGACTCCTGAATTTTTGTTGCCGAAGTCGAGCTTCCTTCTCAGGAAACTCGTGGACCTTTCCATGCTCAATTCGCAAATAGAAGTATTCTTGATCGGTTCGATGCATCATGCATACCATCTCCCACACGCGTTCACTGGTTTCGTCAAAAGGCTCCCACTTAATAGAATCCATGACGACATTTGCTTCGGGACATGCGATTTCTCCAAGCTTTCTTCGAGCATCAATCGTAAGTCGACTGTCAGAGCTCCAGAAGTAAGTACAAAGCGTCATGCGAACGCCTTGAAAATATTTCGCACGGAAAAAGTCGACTTCTTTGAGAGCTGTCCCACAGCATATGTCTAAAATATGTGCCAAGATAGGGTGGTACCATCCGATCAGAGAGAACGAATCAAAGATCAAACCAGCAAGCCGATACAATTGTGGTGGCTTCATCTCTCGCATGGTAAATTCGACGACCATCTCATGGCATAAGCTTCTCAGACTTCGCCAAGTAGGGTCTTTGCTGGTCATGGAGCAAAATGCGCAACAGCAGTCAAAGCCAAGAATCTCTTTCAAATACAGGCGGTGACCGGTAGTACTGCCTTCGAAGCCATCGGAATACAGGATTGTAATTTCTTCGCCGGCTGGGATCTCGCGGACCGCTCTGATTGTGAGTTTCACGTTGGCACTCCCGCTTCCTTTGCAGTCGGATACTTCCAGCATCGCGTTCGGAGCACAAGAGTGGTTCAGCAGGCCGGTAAGCACGCCGAAGACTAAGCCGGGTGTTGAGCCTAAATAACTGCAGATTGAGTCATCGAAAAACCGGGCAGCTAGTCGGGCTCGACGGCTCAGATCCTCAGAAGTATTGCAGAGATCCGTCTGTCTTTGATATTCGCCGTTTGTTATGGCTCGTAGAAGTTCCTGTAGACTGAAGCTGATTGTTGGTGTCCGGCGAAGAAATGCAGCTTTGAGGTCAATAGGGTAGCCATAGGCATGGACTAGTCCTCGCTGGGCAAATTCCTGTGTTTTTTCAACAACATCCTCCATCTCTTGGACCACATCGTGGACGAGTCTGATAAAATTGTCTTTGCCAATCTCTTGGGGACCTTTCCATGGACGTGAGAAACGGGAACTTGGCCAGGAAAATCCAAGTTCAGAAATGATAATGTGGCCGGGCACAAGGTGGAACTGGGCAAAAACACCATGTTCCCACGCGTTGCGCGATCCCTCATCATGACGATGGATGGCCATTTTGTTTCAGATGCGTAAAAGGTTGGGGATCGAAGAGGAATGTTGCAGTTGTATTGTGGGAGCTGGCGGAAAGATGGATGGCTTCGATAAAAATACAAGAGATAAAAGTTGTTGGCCTGGGGGTCGGTGATATTCCAACTTTGACTGCCAGAGAGAAATCAGTGCAATTGAGTAACCAGGGTTTGGTAGAAAGAGGTTCGACTTCAGGGAAGGAGGCTACCACTCAAACAATCTGGAAAACAATCTGGCGCATGTGTTTGAGACAATCAAATAAGCCAAGAGCGCTGGGATTGTTGGATTGCGACTGCTGGCACTGAAAAATCACCCAGTTTCAGTCGGTCTGTTGTGTTTGAACAATGGTGTATTGGTCTGGCTGTGAAGATGTCATCATTCATCAAACAATGGTGTTTCTGGATTTCTGAGGTCTCGAAAATTTCATCAGAAGATGGAAGGAAAAAATAATTAATTAATCACATCTCAGACTGTTCTTCTTGAGAGGAGGTTTTTCTGCGGCGAAAAAGCCTTCGAAAATGTCCAGATTTTCATTCCACGCGATGGCCTTAATCGGCTGCCAATAAGATCGGTTCAGACTGTGACAGATCTGTTGACAGCGCCGAGAACAGTGACTATGACAGTGAGTCACAGTTGATGGCTTTCTGTCGACAGGACAATGAGAGAAAATTCGTGAAGCGTGACATTACCGCGTCCAAATAAGAAACCTGGGGTCGGGAACAGTGAAAAGAACTCAACCATCAGCAGCAATTAACGACGCGGTTAGATGAATAATATTGTAACTGAGGTATCATAAGACTCATCCAGTGAAACCAAAGCACAAAAGTTGATGGTGTTGACTCTGCATTAGAGCCTGGAGAGTTTCAGCCTGGTCAATTCAGTGGTACTGGCTTTGAGACACAGCAGCGTGACCAAATTGCTGACGAATTTGTCATTCTAGTAGTACTGAGGCTGTCGCTGCCGCTGACGCCGGCAGCAACGACACTGCCGGACCAGATGGTACAAAAAGTACATCGGAATCCATAAGGTAACGGCCAATACTGGAATCAAAATCTGCAGCCACAGAGGGAAGGATGAATAATTGGCGGTCGATCGGATTGAGATAAGCCCGTGTTGGTAAGTTGTCCATGGCACTGATGGTGCCATTGTAATGGACTTCGTAACCAGACCAGCTCTTGGGCGATGATGTGGGCGCTTTCGAGCCTACACGAAAGACTCAAACGGACTGGGTCGGGTCTGAACACACTGATTAGTCGCATTTCTAATGAGGTTTCAGCCTACAACTTACTTGTCAGTCGACTTGTCAGTTGCAGGCCACGTTGTAGGCAGTCAAACTTGAGGCGAAGACTGCATTCTGCAGCCTTCAATTATGGTCGACAAGGATAAAAGGTCCAAGAGGACGAGATTTACTCAATGATTCTAGTTCCTGGTTTCTAGAAAGCGACGGTGGCGGTATGGCTGGGCGTCGAATGTAAACAATGACGCATTGTTGATAGGTGCACGGACGTTGAGCATCACAGCCACTTTCGGCCTGCTGCAGTGACTCGTTGCCTGAAAACGGGACTTTTGATCGAGTCACCAACGGTGTAGAAGGGATTCATCAAAGTTTTAACCCATGACTCAAAGATCTCATTCATAAATTGGCGAATGGCTTCTTCTGTCTGGGGGCTGGTCGGATTTTGTGGGATTGATGTTGATGAGATGGTCGAAGTGCGGCTCCCAGCGGAAGCATTGGTCATAGTGGTAGGCTGATGAAGCAACATGAATCGTACATTGGTTCCAGTAATGAAGCAACTAATGTGTGAGTTTGTGGGTGCATAGTTGTCGATCACTTTGAGCCACATGTTGGGACTGAGCCATTGAACTTCTTCCACCACATCCAAGGCTGCATGAACGATGAATTGGTTCATATAACGAGATGTCTCTCCATTGCGGAACCTCGCGACCCCGTCACCTCCACCCTTGGACGTGCCGAACGTCAATTCAAACAGTGGTGTGTCGGTTGGGGATATGATGACAAAGTAGTAGGACATTCTCGATGAAGAGGTCCAGCTTGCAGGACGCAGCAGTTACGTGGTCTGCCCTTGCACCTGGCTCAAAGATCAGCCAAGGCAATCGTACCAGAATTATGTTAGCGTCAATTAGAAAGCCGCAATATGAGTGTCTTTGTTGGTTTCCTTGTCGTCACATGGAACTCAAGGAGAGGAGAGTAGACACATGAGACGAACTCGAGAGCGCCAAGTGATATATTGCCTAAAGGGGGATAGAGGACTTGGCATACCTTTGACGATATCAAAGTGAAAGAATGTCACGTGGTTCAAATCATACTCATCTTGATCCATGGACAGTTCAACAAACGACTCGACTTCTCGTCTACTCGTTTGCGAGTAATAAAGCAAGACACCATGAAACTGTGAATTTTGGTGCCTGACTTGCAGCCTTTGACTACGAGTCAATATGGTAAGCACCGCAGGGTGTCTGTCAAGCGCGATTCTCTGCAAGAACTCACTGACGTTTGAGTGTGCATGGTAGGCTCCCCGAAATGTACCCTCGAGTCGCAAAGCTCTACCTACAAAGTCCATATTGAAGAAAACTACACATCAATCTCCATCAAATTCAGAATCGAGCTCTCTATTTCCACCCTCCAAAAAAGATAAGAGACTGATCAAACATGCACAATTGATGAATAAGGTGGCCAAAGCATCAGCTAAGAAGCCACGAAGAAGGAGACCGAATAAAAAACTCGTCACGACTCTCGATTCTCTCGCCGATGCGCTTCCAGACAGTGGGGAACAGGTGCCGAATTCCAGAGCGCAAGACCAGGTCAATATAATCCAACGCAAGAGTATGAAGTCGAAACCTGGGGCGATGAAGCGTAGAGAGAAACTTGACAAGAGTGAAAGAGATCGCTTTGCAAAGAATATGGCCCAGCTAGCTGGGTCGAATGGATCAGACGCTACTCATGGCGGCGACTTGCCTACTGGGACACCTACGGCCACTTCGACGACAAGTCGTTGGGCTGCTTTGAGAGGGTTTATTTCTCAAACGTTGGAGACAAGACCTGATTTGCAGACTGCAAAATCATGAACACCCTTCGACTGACGATGTATTATCACCTGCATATACTAGTCCCGGTGGAAATGCCTCAATGCTGTACCACGCACCTCCCCCGCCTCAAGGCGGTGGTTGATACATCGAATGTATCCTGCCCACCACCACAAACGAATCAGCAATTCACAGATTTCATGGATCAAGAAGAACATGGCATGTTGCATGCAGCAGCAGGGTATCGCAAAATCTCCAAGGCTCCAGTTTGAAACTAGGAATGATCACTGCTGGGACGAATCGATCGTGAAATGTCGCTTGCAGTGGTCGGAGAAGGTCTATCGGACCTCGGAGCCTCCAGAGGCGAGCTGATACAGAAGCACGTGTCGAGATCTGGCATGCTCAATCACAAAAGCGATCTGGGGAAGGACAAGGCGTCCATGCAAACATACTACCATGGCTGAGCGCACCGAAGGCTGCTACGGTAGAACAAGAAGTTCCCCTACGCATATTTAGGCGAGGCCTCTACCAGAGAGAAGCCACAGTAAAGGTGCAGCCACTTTTCAGAACCAGAGTCTTGGTTCTTAATAGACCAACCATGTAACAATAGTTGCTTGGAGTCAGATGATGACCCACCAGGTCGATCTCAAGGAGACTTTCAGAGACTACCAAAAGAAGAGTACAGACTTTCTCCAAGCAGCGATAATATCACTCCTCATGTCACTGTGGCACAAGTTATATTGGTTATGCAACTAATGTGACAAGCCTTAGACTCCGATCTTAGCGCAGGCCGATGATTCACGTGACCCGCGCTATGGCGAAGCAAGGGACCACGGTTCAGAGCTGGGTGCTTCAGGTGCAGGTCCAGCCCCGTCCCGCCGTGCCACTTGGACCGTCGAAACCAAGCCATCGATCTGTCCTGTCTTGATGCTCGCTCGTCTCTCAAGTTTCCCTCTCCCTTACCCATCTCTCTTCAAAGTGCCTCTAAGCCGATGATTTTCGACATGGCGAATCTCCAGCGGGTCTTCATTTCCTTGATGGTCATTTTGACCGCCACGTTCCTTTTCATGGGCCAAACTGCAGAAGCAGCCAAAGGGCCCAAGATCACCCACAAGGTCTATTTTGACATTACCCACGGTGATGAACCCCTAGGGAGAGTGGTCATGGGTCTGTACGGCAAGACTGTTCCCAAGGTAACTTGCTCCTCGTGTCCTGTCGATGTTGGAGGTCTTTGACTGACAAATGCTCCATTAGACTGCTGAGAACTTCCGTGCCCTTGCAACCGGCGAGAAAGGCTTTGGCTACGAGGGATCCGCCTTCCATCGAGTCATCAAGAACTTCATGATCCAGGGAGGTGACTTTACAAGAGGAGATGGCACTGGTGGAAAGTCCATCTATGGAGACAAGTTTGAAGATGAGAACTTCAAGTTGAAGCACACCAAGAAGGGCTTGTTGAGCATGGCGAACGCGGGCAAAAACACCAATGGCTCTCAGTTCTTCATCACCACCGTCGTCACCAGGTAAGGACCTTTGACGAAGGATGATGCAGCAATTACTGACTGGAGCAACAGCTGGCTCGATGGACGTCACGTGGTTTTTGGTGAGGTGCTGGAAGGCTACGATATTGTCGACAAGATCGAAAAAGTTGCCACCAGCTCTGGAGACAAACCAGTCAAGCAGGTCAAGATTGCGAAGAGTGGAGAGCTGGAGGTTCCAGCTGAAGGTATTCATGCCGAGCTTTAGATTTGAGGGCAGGGGATTGTACTGCTCTCGAACTTCAATCGTGAGAAACATGCACTGAGACCGTCTTGACAGAACCCCTTTATTCTGATGCACATCCAGAATACACGGTTGACGACAGTGCCGACCTGGCAAAAGACAAAAGTGAATTGGAGACACCAGCTAAGGAGGTGCCTGCCGCAGCTGATAGCACGAGTGCCGCTGAAGCCATTCTCACCCAGTCATATGTGCAGAAGGCTGTGGCATTTCTGGTGATCTTGACCATTATCTTCCTGGTCGTCCGCCGACGGAGGTCGACATATACAAAGCTGGACGAGAAAAGCATGGCTTAAACAGACTCATGAATGAATGCACCATGTTGACACACATACGGAGTACTCGCTTGTACAGATGTAGCCCCTTGTGCCCCTGCCTCGATAAACCGATAATCGCATCGTGTTGCCATGATATTGTCCCTATCTCAACAGACAAATATGACCAGACACGATATCTGCCCCTATCGACGAATCTGGTCCAGTTGGGGTTAGAATGGTCCCAAAGTGGGGTATGGCCTTGGCAATATTGTTCCTATTGGATGCTTGGTTGGTGATGAGATGTGCAGGGGAAAACCCTGACTGATCTTGGCCATCAATTGATCGTCATTTGCCGCTGAAGTCATGCCAGGACTGGCTGGAATGTTCTGATTCCCTTCGAAGGTCGGTGAGAGTTGAAACCAGGATATGCCATTTTGCAAATGGCAGTATTGCTCCCTAGTGTCTATGTAATAGCCTGGGTTATATGTCAGCTCCATGCTGGAATCGTTGTGATGCAGCATATCAACAGGAGGCAATTGTCTGAATATTGTTTCAAATGGCAAATCGTCATCAACCACCTGGGATAAGAACTCCATAGGCGTGAATGGGCAGGGGCTGTTTGGTTGTCCACCCAGAAGCCCCTCTGCTGCACCAAAGACCCAAAGTCCACGGTAGACCCTTGGTGGGCTTCCGTAGGCAGGCTCCGTGGGCCCTGGGGGGCCCTGTAAGCGGCACCGCAGTCCCAATCTCTGTCATTTGAGTGGCTACAGTAGTGATGGATGCACCGACTCATTCAACCAAAGAAAAAAAGTTCCTGCCTGCGCCTTTTTTCGTTTTCACAGTCTCGGAAAACTTCACACTAACCTCACATTTCCCTTTCTTCCTTTCCTCCTCTCCATCACATCCCACATCTCATCAACCTTGTTGTTGCAATTCAATAGCTCTACTGTCCTTCTCGTTCTGCCTTTCGTTTTACATCAGATAGACTTGGAGAGGCGTTTTGTGTCTCTCTTTATCTGTCTAGGACATTCGGAAAGGCCGTCTTCAATCGACACCAACAAACCTCGAACCACTCTCTACAGCCTCATTCCCACTCTATTCAAATCCATCCAAATCCATCACTTGGAACCCTCGCCCCAACCATACAGTTCGAATAGACCCAACCACAACCCATCTTGTACGCTGCTCTCTCTCCCTATCCTCTCCCAAGCGGTTCCCAACGCGAACAACTTGAGTTCCTCCTCGCCTCTCTGTTTCCGCCACCAGAAATTTCTAGAGATTTCTGCCGTTTGCAAAAGCATTCACTCCCAAGTCTGAGATCGACATCATCACTAACATATTTCTCCCCTCAGACTTTTAGTCGTTTCAAGATCCACCAGAACCAATTTCTTCAATATGGCTGATTCTTTGAACATGAACGGTCTCTCGATCAACGAGCAACCCCATCATGGCGGACCTCATCACGGCGGACGCGGAGGTCGTGCCTACATTCCTCCTCACCTTCGTGGCTCTTCCAACCGCGGCCCACCCCCTCCAATTAACCAGTTCGATGGAGCTGACCCTACTCCTGCTGGTGCTGCTGCTCAAGGTCTGAATGGCAGTGCCTGGGCCAACAAGTCAGTTTGATCTCCCTCAAAGTCCTCTCCACCGTGTACTAATCTCTGTTACAGTGGTGCTGCCACCAATGGCACTTGGGCAAGTGCACCTGACTTCAAACCCGGTCCCGGCGGCCCCGGCGGTCCTCCTCAGAGCAACGGCTGGGCTGGCCAGGGTGGTCCTCGTTCTTTCAATCCCAACGCCTACGGCGCACCTGGCGGCGGCTCATACGGTGGTGGTGGCGGTGGTAACTACGGCGCCAATCGTGGCTCTGGAGAAGGTCGCTGGCAAGATGGTCAACACATCCCTGGCCCATCGAACGCAAAGATCGAGCGTGAATTGTTTGGAATCCCCAATGATCCCACCAAGCAACAGACCGGTATCAATTTCGCCAACTACGACGACATCCCAGTCGAAGCCTCCGGCCAAAATGTTCCCGAGCCCGTCACTACCTTCACCAACCCTCCTCTCGATGACCACTTGATCAGCAACATCAAACTTGCCCACTACACCACCCCTACCCCTGTGCAGAAATACTCCATTCCCATCGTCATGGGTGGCAGAGATCTTATGGCTTGTGCTCAGACTGGTTCTGGCAAGACTGGCGGTTTCTTGTTCCCCATCCTTTCACAGGCTTACCAAACTGGCCCGTCGGTAAATCCTGCGTCCAGTGGTGGCTTCCGTCAACGCAAGGCTTTCCCAACCTCTTTGATCTTGGCTCCAACTCGTGAGTTGGTCTCTCAGATCTACGATGAAGCACGAAAGTTTGCCTATCGATCCTGGGTCAGACCTTGTGTCGTGTACGGTGGTGCCGACATTGGAACCCAACTTCGATCCATCGAGCGCGGCTGTGACCTCCTCGTTGCGACTCCCGGTCGTCTTGTCGATCTCATAGAGCGAGGTCGCATTTCCTTGGCCAACATCAAGTACCTGGTTCTCGACGAGGCTGATCGCATGCTTGACATGGGTTTCGAACCTCAGATCCGTCGTATCGTCGAGGGCGAGGACATGCCCAGCGTCGAAAACCGCCAAACCCTTATGTTTTCTGCAACATTCCCCCGAGACATTCAAATGTTGGCACGTGATTTCTTGAAGGACTACGTGTTCTTGTCGGTGGGCCGTGTTGGTTCAACATCCGAGAACATCACTCAAAAGGTGGAGTATGTCGAGGACAACGATAAGCGTTCCGTTCTGCTCGACATTCTCCATACCCATGCCGGCAACCTCACCCTGATCTTCGTCGAGACTAAACGCATGGCCGACACCTTGTCCGATTTCCTTATCAACCAAGGTTTCCCAGCGACTGCTATCCACGGCGATCGTACTCAGCGTGAGCGTGAGAGAGCATTGGAATTTTTCCGCAATGGTCGATGCCCAATCATGGTGGCCACAGCTGTTGCAGCCCGAGGTAAGTTTTTTCCAGCCAACCCTCTTGTTTCTGACCTTCATTGCTGACTCCCTACAAGGCTTGGACATACCCATGGTGACGCACGTGATCAACTACGATCTCCCTACCGACATTGACGACTATGTTCACCGTATTGGTCGTACTGGACGTGCAGGCAACACTGGTCTTTCGACTGCGTTCTTCAACCGCGGCAACCGTGGCATCGTCCGTGACCTGATTGAACTTCTTAAGGAAGCCCACCAGGAAGTCCCCTCATTTTTGGAGAACATCGCCCGCGAAAGCTCAGGATTTGGTGGTGGACGTGGTGGACGTGGACGTGGAGGTGCTGGTCGCGGATCTGCTGCTACTCGTGACGTCCGTCGTGGCCCCGGAGGCGGTATGGGCGGCGGATACGGCAGCAGCGGTGGCGGCTTTGGCGGTTCCTCTGGAGGCTACGGAGGCGGTAAGTACCACCATTGCTTTACCCCTGTCACTTTATATCGGTAGTACTAACAACTTACAGGCAGCTACGGCGGCAGCGGTGGTTACGGCGGTGGCTACGGCGGTGGCTATGGTGGTGGTGGTGGCGGCAGCTATGGCAACCCCGGCGGTGCTAGCGGCCCATCTTCCTGGTGGTAAACCGGTCGAAAAGGTCGACTGTGAATTCACTTTCCACCCAGCACTGTTTTTGTTTTTTCTTTTCGACAAATTCGCCACTTCGAGAACATTTGATTGTCGAAGACTGCCGACGTGTCGTCGAAGAGTGAGGATTGGTCTCACCACACTGACCACAACTCATGACCCAACGATGCAACGAGCATTATGTTTCGACCATAATACAGGCACAGCATGAACACATGATAGATAGCGTTGGCTTTTCCGATCGATTTTCAGATACCCCCACATGTCGAACTTTCCTCATGCAAATCGAGCATGATGTTATGCCATGAATGACCAACTCATCAACATTGGCGTCGGTTTGCAACGAAAGAGAGTCTTTTCGAGGCCAAGAAGCACCGAAATGAAAAGGGGTCTTTGGTTGAAAGAGGAGGCACAGGACGGATATGATCCATTAGGAGAAAACAGGATGAGGATCCTGAGCCTCTTTGACCATTCAACGAGACAACCCTTTCAACAGACACAAAAGTTTTGCATGCAGTTGGCTCTCTTTCGAACCACGGGATATGACGATCAAAATAGACTACATTCGACATGAATCAATGGAAACGAAACGAGCTTTGATGGGAGGCCGGGCGAGGAAAAATGGGACAGAGATCTGATGTGCAAAGCGTAATTCTCCAGGGTCACGACAGGACCGAAAAGTGGGAGAGAAAGAGACGATTACGACAGCAGATCTGCATATCCCGGTGTTTTCTTGGTCCCAAAAGCACGGCATCACAAGGAGCTTGTTTCTCGACTGTTTCGAGAACATCGGAACATTAGCCGTTCAGAGGAAAGGTCCTCGCTGGCTGGATTAGATCAGGCTTCAAGCAAACAAGTATTGATTAACACAAATGATTAACAAAAAGATTTTTCTATTGTATGCTGCCTCCATGATATCGGCCATTTCTCTGTTCGTGAGCGGCGATTTCGTGTTACAGAGACCTAATCATCCAACCATGCTGATTGTAGCCTATAGCAAGTTTGGTTCCTAAGTGGGCCATCGGCCGAGATGTCCGCATATAGTTATGGATGGTACAAATAAACCGCACCACTGAACGACCTGCATATGAAGACAGCGGTTAATTGAGTCGAGTCATGAAGAGGTACCTCTGTGTTTAACTCCATATAGCGCACGGAGTTTATCAAAGAGCGAACAGCGAGAGTAGACATCTTTGTCATCCGGAGGCTAAACTCCATGGTGGGGTGAAGGTCTTCTTCTCTTGGCTTCAATACGACCGTGTTGGTCCGGAGCCAAAGTGTCAGAGGGAATTGATCTATTCGTGGGTTTGCTCGCACCCTTCTTAGAGCTCGAGGGCTCGAAGGCCCCTCGGCCCTCTACTGTACCTGGCAGTTTTTAGTTCTTCGGTTGCGAAGCTCGAAATAATATGCGATTACCTCGTATGTCAGACTAAAAATCCAAATCCACTCTTAGACTTTGTGCCTCGCTTCTCAGCTACTCGGATTCTCAGACGTTCTACTCGTCATGATTTCCTGGTCTGCGAGTCATGTAGTCTTGTCTGTGCTTTACTTTTCGTGGTTGGCTATTTGCTCGGTAGAGTTGTGACCACCCCTGGGTGCTGGATGCCTGATGCTTCAAATATGTATATAACCACTCGCATGCCCGATGGTCTTCAACCAGAAGCACTCATCTTCCATCTAACGTCTTGAATACTACTTGACTCACTCACCAGTATCGTCCATTGAAAAATTGTTTTTCCACTTCTATCTTAATTCCATCAAATATCTAGTCTCCAACCATGGGTGATTTGTTTCAGCCAGCTCCTCCCCCACCCACCGAGTTGGGTCGGTATCAGATCCTCTCAAAAACCGCTGGTATCAGAGTCTCGCCACTATGTCTCGGTGCCATGTCTATTGGCAGTGCATGGAGTGGTGTAAGTCTTATTGATCCAATGATACAGTAAATGATTCTGGCTGACCATTGAATCTATTTGGGGAAATTTAGTTCATGGGAAGCATGAATAAGGAAGACTCATTCAAGCTTTTGGATGCCTTTGTCGAAGCTGGGGGCAACTTCATCGACACTGCCGTAAGTTCTGGAGACAGATGACCCCAGATTGGCCCAAGGCCCAGGGCCCAAAGCCCGAGGGTCATAGAAAGACATGTCTAACCCCAATGCAGAACAACTATCAGAATGAAGAGTCAGAAACATGGATTGGAGAATGGATGACGGAGCGAGGAATCCGTGACCGCATTGTGCTGGCAACTAAATACACCACGCCATATCGAAGCCACAAGCTCGGAAAGGCTGAGACGGTCAACTATGCCGGCAACCATAAGAAGAGTCTCCGTCTATCGGTGAGAGATTCGTTGGCGAAATTACAGACTGATTACATCGATCTGCTGTATCTTCATTGGTGGGTAAGTATAAGCAAGATCTAGCTACATTCCTGCGCCTTACCCGGTCCGTGGGTTTCTGGACGGCTTTGTTGCATGCAAAAAGAAACAAAAGGAATGAGACTGACTTTTCGAAATCAGGACCACACAACATCGATCGAAGAAGTCATGGACTCGTTACACCAGCTAGTTATGGACGGGAAGGTCCTCTACCTAGGTATCTCTGATACACCAGCCTGGATCGTGTCTGCCGCCAACACATACGCCGTATCTCACGGCAAGACTCCATTCTCCGTCTACCAAGGACGATGGAACGTGATTGTTCGAGATCTAGAACGAGACATTATCCCTATGGCCCGGCACTTTGGCATGGCGATTACACCATGGGACGTTGTTGGAGGCGGTAAATTCCAGACTAAGAAGCAGATTGAAGCCAGAAAAGCACAGGGAGAAGGCCTACGTAGCTTCATGGGCCCTAATCAGACTCCCGAGGAGGAGAAGATCTCTGAAGCATTGGCCAAGGTCGCTGCCGAGCATGGCATTGAGAGTATCACCGCCGTGGCCCTCGCCTATGTCATTCAAAAGACTCCCCATGTCTTCCCTATAATTGGCGGTCGCAAGGTCGAGCATCTCAAGGACAATATCCAGGCTTTGTCCATTCGCCTTACTCCCGAACAGGTCAAGTCTCTTGAGGATGTGGTCGCCTTCGACATCGGCTTCCCTTCGAACTTCATCGGCGTTGATCCTAAATGGACTGGCAGGAATGATTCCATGATCTCCTTGAGTGCGCCTCTGGCCTTCCCCACACCCAGCAAGGCTTTTGTCAAGGACAAAGATGAGTAGATAGGTACATACCTACTGTGTTTACATGCAAGTTCTGTCGATCACAGGGGTGTCGAGAGCAAGGATCTGTTGGTGTTGTTGATAGTAATTGCTTAGAATGTACATGCACAAATGAAAGAGATATTCTCGCATCTGATTCTCCAAATTAGACACGTTCTTTGATCAGGTCTGAGATACCTAGAAACTAGGTGTGTCACGTCCTGTCTCATCTGACTTCCAAGACCATTCACGGTATATAAGTAGACCACTAGATAAGTACAAAGCGAGACGTCTTGCTAGTCGAATGAAGAATTAAATTGCGAATGTCTTCTTTGTGACATTCCACCACGTGGCTGGTGGCCGGTGGCCGATGACTGGAGCATCTAGACCTTCTAGAACGAGAATCGAGACAAGGTAACAAAGAAGAACAAACCAAAAGTCATGGCTAGAAGCAAAACGTGGTCGATTCTGTCAGTTCGGGTCCACTTGTGACTCTCTTTCATCTCCAGGCCATCAATTTGTATTTCTGGGCTCGAGGCCCTCAGACGGGTTGATAGATTAGTCCGCCAACCGCAAAGGTTTTGCTGTTCACACGCAGAGCATTCAAAAACCATTCATCAAGAAAATCTGATAAGAACTTGACCACGAACTGTAGCTTGCTCAATTAACCCTCTCCAAACCAAACTTCGGCATCGATTTGCTCAAGGTTCAAATACTAGCTAGATATGTGCATCACCAGACGATATCTGTTCATCTGCCGCCATCCCGCCTCTCACAGATTTCGAAATGCCATCTGCGAGTCTGCAGGTACTCGAGGTTGCACCATAAAGGATTACAACTATCTGCTGCAAAATCCTTGCAAGAAATGTGCCAAGAGCGGAACATATCAAAGGGTTCCCGGTAATGGACTGGTCGAAGACGAGCAGGCACTCGAGACCGAATGGCATGTGCCAACCAGATGCTTTATTGATGTTGGATTCAGGAGCCTGAATCCCTTCGAGGAGGATCGGAATAAGGTGGCTGAGAAGGAAGAGGAATTGACACCAGAAAATGAAGAGCCACCCAGTTCACAAATGAGTCAAGACCAGGAGCAATCCAATATGTGCATGCGTATCGTGCGGCGGTTGGCCAAGAGACGAGCCAGTCCGTGCTGCAAGAGAGAAGCGCAGAGAGGAGCTTTCGAAACTTGTCGGCTGGAGAGTCGGCCAGATCGAATCAACGGATTCATCAAAGACGACTATTGTGAGTCCATAGTGTAGGAAGGGGTGGGTGGTGGGTTGAAGCCTGGGCACATCATCGGGTAGTTGGATTTAGCATGAATATATCCTGGTGATGTTTCACACTCTGTCAGAGACTTCAGCCTCCTCTTGTTGGGCCCTCTGTCTCAATCTCCACAGTATTGTGCTTGGATAATTCTCCTTTGGCAATTTTGTCACTCTTTGCTCCCGCGGCAGCAATTGCTTCTTTCTCGTCATCAGCGCAGCCACAATCATAAAAGTCACCAATGTTTGCGCAATCGAAGATAGGCTTGCCCTTGCGCTCATTGACCTGGTTATGAACAAAGCACGCCCAAGCGGCGGCACTCGATCGAGAAGACGTTTGAGGAGGGTATTTCTTCAAAAGTTTCTGAAAGTGCTGGGCGCATTCACCACAGGGATATAGTCGGGCGAAGAGGAACATGTACTGATTTAAGGCTTCGCTTTCATCAGGTGTTGGCTTGTCGGGGAATCTGGCCATAGTGGTATGAAGGACTTTCCATGCGGCACGACCTAGCTCTTCCTTGAGGGTTTCGTTGCCTAGCTTGCCCATGATGTTGTCGCCATGAATGACTGGAGGAGTGGGAGTGGAAACTTCAGGTAAAGGGTGAGGCGCAGGCTTTTGTGCAAATCCAAATCGGTCGGCATGGGATAGAGCTGAGACATCCCTATGGTGCCCAGAAGTATAAACAACATACCAAACGAACAAGGCAATGGCGGAGAGCACCACCATGCCAGCTGGAGGTGCTCGAGGCATTGTTGATGTTATGGGGAGGGAGACGTGGAAGTTGGATGGGTGTCAGGATAGGTGGAGGGTGACGAATAGGAATATGATAGGCGCTAGAATTGAGCCAACATATTGCATAACAAGACAGTCATAGAAAGGATAAAAGGAACCAGGAAGTAATTAAGCTGGAGAGAGATGAGGACAGAACATTAGCGGAGTGAACGGGAGAGACGCGGATGAGAGATCAGATATCAGGTGATTTGCACGTGCAGGTCATTATTAGGGAAGGAGGTTTAAAGTTTTAAGGGCGGTTTGCTCTTTCCTCTTCTAACAAAAGTGTCAATATTTCGATGCATAAAGCGGCAATAACGTAGCTAGTAACCAATTCCGTCAGTTGCTCGGCTCACATGCCATCTTGAGACTAGTGGCTTCTCCTCCACATTAAGCGGCAATGCGTCGGCAAGCTGGGGAAGCCGCGGGCCTCGACTTTGGACGGATTTCTTCATCCCTCCGACTTCGGTTGGGTCCAAGATCCTCGAATCACACGACAACCATAATAATACTATCGACACAGGAAGTCCAGAGTCCTCCAGGTTTATGATCTACGTTTGATCGCACTTCCTAAAGCATCAAAGCCTGTTGATAAGCAACTTGCGGCCCTTCTGACAACACCGTAGTAGGGTACGCCTTTAATCTCACCGCCCGCAGGCCAAACGTTCAACCCCACCAAAATCCTTCATCAGCCGCGGGTCCGAGGTGTGACTCTTGGATATCAAAATTCTTCCCAGCTTCTAGTCCACCACACTCTCCTTCCTCTCTATCGACGACGCCGTCTTCTCACCAGGTTTTCACTACTAGCTGGTCGCCCACAATGTCTTCCTTTCCTCCTCCCCCAGTCAGCACAATTGGTAAGTCCACATTCATCCTCTGCCGGCATCGGCACACTCTTCTCGATTGCTTACTCATTTTCTCCTTCATCTTATAGACTGGTCCAATGTTGGCTTCAAAGTAAGAGAAGTCAATGGACACATTGAGTCCACTTTCCGATATTCCTCGGGCGACAACCCAACCTGGAGCAAACCCAAATTCGTCCGCTCGCCGTATCTCTCTATCCATGGCATGGCCCCAGGTCTCAACTATGGTGTCCAATGCTACGAAGGCATGAAGGCCTTCCGCCAACCAGATGGAAACATCACCATCTTTCGTCCTGACCAAAACGCCCTGCGGATGCAACATTCCGCTAGCTACATCTCCGTCCCACCAGTGCCCGAGGCTCTTTTCGTCGAAGCAGTCAACTTGGCCGTTTCCGCCAACGCAGAGTTTGTCCCTCCTCACGAGACTGGTGCCGCCATGTACATTCGTCCTTTGCTCTTTGGCTCATCCGCACAACTTGGCCTCAACCCACCGGATGAATACACCTTTGTCGTCTTTGTCATGCCAACTGGAGTCTACCACGGTGTCCACGCTGTCGACGCCTTGATCCTCGAAGACTTTGACCGGGCTGCCCCTGAAGGTACCGGCTCCGCCAAAGTCGGCGGCAACTACGCTCCCGTGCTTCGTCACTCGGAGAAAGCGCGTGGTAAAGGCTATGGCATCACATTGCACCTCGACAGCAAAACACGTAGCGAGATTGACGAATTCTCAACCTCAGGGTTTCTAGGCGTGCGCAAGGACGACGACGGCAAGACGACGATCGTGGTGCCCGATTCCAAGAATGTCATCAAGTCGGTGACATCGGTTTCGGCGACCCAGATTGCAAAGGATTTGTTCGGGTATAATATCGAAACCCGGCCGATCCTATACAGCGAGTTATCCCAGTTCTCTGAAGTTATGGCCGCAGGCACCGCCGCCTCGTTGGTGCCAATCAAGAGCATTACCCTTGAAAGCAAAGGTGACAAATTCGACTATCCCGTCAACGAGGCTCTGGACCCTGGTCCAGTGTGCGCTCAACTGTTGACCACATTGAAGGGCATTCAACAAGGCAAGGTCAAGGACACTTTCGGGTGGAATTACCGCGTCACCCCGGTGCCAGAGGCCTTCATCACCGAGGCCAAGGCAGTAAATGGCGCTGTGGATTCGTTACCGTGAAGAAGGTGTCCGCGGGTTTGAGGAAGAGAAAGTGAGATGGTATGGTCGTGGCAATCTATCAATATTTGGGCCAGACGGGGTTCACGTCTGTCGAGGACTGATCCAAAAAAAAGAAAGACAAAAGGTTGGCTGCAATGTTACACAGTATAGGAAATGCTCGCGCCAAAAGTCCAGACTTGCAAGGGATCGATACCTATGGGATGTAGAAAAAGCATTTGAAATACTCTTGAACACGTTCAAATCAGTGTCATATGTTTTTTTCCCCTTCGCTTGACAATAATGGATGAACGTCTGTTCTTGGTTCTTTGGTGGCTCGACTAACAAGAAACTCCTTAACGGCCTCGCCATCGCCGTCATTCGTGTCATTCCCCTCAAGGTGTAGCCATACATAATATGAGCCATATTCCATCATTACCGACCATTGTATCCTGATGAGGGGTATCTTTTCGTGAATCATATACATACATCGGTTTTTTGCTATAGACCCCGTGTCGTGTGGAGGCCCAAGCCCATGTGAAAAGTGATAACTCGACTCCATTCTGTGATTCCCAAGACTCACTCGGGCATAGGCAGCTGGAAATCCTCATCATCCAATTTTGAATTGTCAAACGGAAAGAAATCAGCCTCGAAAAGATCGTCTGCGAGACCTTCTGCTTCGTCCTTGGCAATGTCTTCCTCTAGGAGCTCGTACTCCTTCAGTCGAAACCACATGTCGCTCTCTTCAGGTGGAGATCCATAAAGGTCTCGAAAGTCTCTGGGATGAATCATGGATTGGTCGATCTTGATGGGTTTGGAGACGGCGGCAGAGCCACTACGTTGGCTTGGAAGACCGCGTGGGATGATAGATGGCGCTTTCTTTGCTCGAGGAAATCCAATCGTGTTCTTCGAAATGGCCGCATGTCCTGAGCGACTGCTCAATGGTGCAGGAGTGGGAGTGGGAGTCTTGGTTCTATTGATGGGCAAATATCCTTTCTGTTTCTGCTCTGACGCTTTTGTTGACTTTGTGACTGCTGATGGTAAGCATGGTTGTGGTTCTGACAAGGCGGCAGCCGCGCTTCTGGCTTGCATCGAGTCGACTCGTGACAATGCAGGTCTCCGCCTCTTGGGTCCAGCAGCTATCATATCATTCACTTGCTTGTTCAACTCTTCAGACGTGGGAGCGGAAGGTTGGTCGAGACCTTTCAATGATTTCTGTTCCTCCTGCTTGAGCCACTGTTGATACTCTTCTTCTTCCCGTTTGAGTCGCAGTGAGACCCCAAACTCATCCTTGGGGGAATGTAGGTAGGTATCACAATAGTCTCTGACCGCTTCGTCCATCAAGGGATCGTGGATGACTTCTAGAGGGAGATCTGGCAGATCCACAGGCGGTGGAGGGGCGTATCCGTAGTCTATTTCATTGTCTTCTTGAGGTGGGTTTGTCAAGATGTCAATCTTGGTCGGTTCTGCCTGGGCGATGGTGATTTTCGAGCGAGCCGAACGACGTGCCGAGGAGTGCTTTTGAACGGTTTTGAGAGGTTTGTTGGTAAGTGGTGCCGGACCAGGGGTCTGAAAGGCACGAGACTTTGCATTTGTGGTCTTTTGTCCTAAGGGAGCTCGATTTCGAGGTCCTGCAAGATGTCAGTCTCTAATCTGCGGTCTGCCACTGTCAATTGAATGATGGCTCAATCCTACCTAATGGGGTGACAAAAGCAGCCTTGTCCAATTTGCCAGGTCCATCTTTGAGGAGTCCCTTCTGTCCATTAAATTCAAAGGGTCGGTTCTCATCATTCTTTGAAGCTCGAAAGGGTGTTTTCAAGTTTCCAGGAGTTTTGGGCTGTAACGCTCGGATGCCTTGGTTGAGAGGTTTCGCCGCGGCGGCGGCGCGGTGAGCGTGGGAGAGATTTTCTTGGTCTCGTGCGGCTAACATGATGCAGTTGAATTCATGAAGTGCTGTGTGATGTTTTGGGATCTGATTGTCGTAGGAAGAGTGTAGGTAGGCGAGTGGTTTTTGTGTTTTGGCTGAATTGGCAAAGGACAAGTGATGGACACGTGTAGTAGTAGAAGTCGATTCCATGGTCAAGGGATTTGCAATGTTGATGTTGGTTGTCCCTCGCAACCGGCAGTAGCCGCCAGGGCCTGGATTATTTGGGGAAGTGTCTCTGTGGGCAGTTTCTTCTCCTCGTAGGCGTCGTGGGCCCCTGACCCTTGGCTGTGAGAGTTGGAACGGTTGGGCAGCCTGGCAGCCTAGCAGACTCCAATTCCAGACCCTTGTTTCTTTAAATTCCCAGCAAGGGGAGGGTTGGTTGTGAGGGTGTCAAGGTGTCCCCCCCCCTAACCAATCCCCGGCCTGTTGTACGCCCAAACCAGACTGAGGCTCTCGTCCTCCCTCTGGGTCATCAATAATGCTGACGCCTGGAATATGCGTGTCCCCCCCAAGGCCTGCGCCCCTCGGCCCCTCCCCTCTTGGGTTCTGTGCTTCTCTGCCTATTCCCATTTGCATCCCACCAACACAAGCCACGGTTCACGCGGCCAGGGTTTCTTTACATGTCTGATCCCACCATGCCTGATTCACACAACCGTGACCTGCGCCATTCCGCTGACTTGTGACTTGACCTCCCTGCACTTGTGACCGCCGATTGCTTTCCTATCCACATCCAATTCTCTCTCAATCCTCAAGACCTAATTCAAACCATCTTTGATCACTACTTTGTTCTATTTGTCCAATACAGAATCACATCTTCCATATCTCACCATGGATCGCATCAAGGAGGTACGTTGAACCCCTTTCCTTCCCCTTTCATCTGCCCGATTTCTGTCCCAGCTGCACCTGCCTGCGATGCTGCTGCAACGCCATACAATGGGTGAATGCAGGCATCAGTGTGACTGCCTCAAGCCCTCACTTGATTGCCCAGTCACTGTTCTGCCGCACCTCGTCAGAATTGAAATCACCACCTTGATGCCGGACCATCCAACCACATTTCATTCCCTCATTCCCTTTGCTCAACACCACTTGTTCCGCACCATCCCCGCCCCTCCCACTATCTAAAACCCTACATTCCATAACCATGGCGTCCGCTTTGGCTAATTTCCAACAGAAAATGAACTCGCTCCGCATCGAGGCGGACGAGAACGCTGCCAAAGCCGAAGAACTCAAGGCCAAGGTCAAATCCCTCGAACAGGACAATCTCCAGAAGGAACAAGAAATCACTTCCCTCACCCACCGCAACCAATTGCTCGAGGGAGAGGTAGAGAAACTCGAAAGCTCGCTCAAGGCTGCCAAAGACGCCGCAGGCGAGTCGTCTCAACATTCTCAACAAAATGAGACCCTGACTCGAAGACTTCAACTTCTCGAGGAGGAGGCTGAGACATCAGACAAGACCTTGAGAGAGACCAACGAGAAGTAAGGTTCTTCACACCTCCCTCTTGCCGTCACTAACCCTTGTAGGTTGCGACAAACCGACGTCAAGGCCGGCCACTACGAACGTAAAGTTCAAGCCCTGGAACAGGCTCGAGACGAGTGGGAGGCCAAGTACGAAGAAATGTCCAAGAAATATGCCGACCTCCAGAAGGAATTGCAGGAATTGGAGCAGAGCATGGGCAACATCTAGACGCTTGGTCTCGAGAAAAGTGTTTGTTGGCCCGCCCTGTTGTTTGGTTTTGATGCCGATCCCCGGTGTGGGTAGGCATATGAGCGAAAGCATGATGAATAGAACCATGGCCATACCCCTCCCTCGTTGTCTCACGCAGAACGCAATGTAGGGCAGAGAAGAGCATGTACGAATGACCATTACCGATTATCCTACACCGTGTCGTGCTGGCATTCGTGATTCTCTGCGTCATCATCAATTGTTGTCATATTGAGCTTGTTCTGTACCAAACTAAGGCCCCTTGCGCCGTTCTTGAGCCTGCTTCCGGCCTCGAGACTTTTCTTTGACCCTTGTCACTCTTCGTTCCGCCTTGGACTCGTACCTGAAATTCCTCTTCTTTTTTCTGGCCTTGGCTTTGTCCTTGTCCTTTGGCTTTTCTTTGGTCCAAGTCCGCTTTTTTGTATCCGTCCCTTCGACTTGCTCTGACAGCGGGGGATCTTCAGGGTCATCTGTATCATTTTGATCCTGCTGGGCTTTGAATAAGCCTTCTTTCGAGACGTCCATGGCTTCTACCGTCACAGTAGTGTATTTATCTTCGTCAATGTATTCTGCCTCATGGTCCACCGGAGGCGGCTGCTCTTCGTCTTCCAGCCCGGCCCATTCATCGTCTGTTCCAGATCCCTCTGCTTCGACATGAGAATCATCGGCTGGGGCCAACATGGCATTCACTTCGGCGACATGCCTTTCAAGGTCCGCCTTTCGCTCTTCTCGTAACTATAACAATCTTGGTCAACGGTCGTCCCAGGATGAACGTGGTCAGAAACCTTACTTTTCTTCTCTCTTCTATTCTCTCGGCTCTCGCTCTCTTCTCCGCTGCTTCCTGGGCCTGTTTGGCCCTCTGCACCTTCCTCTTGTGGAATCCTGTCAGGTATTCTTGCCTCGCCGCCAGGTCAAAGTTGATTTCTTCCACCGCGCTGGGTTCTGTTTTCCGCCGTTTCGTCGGTGGAGGCATCTCAATTAGATCTTGAGTCTGACTTGTTTTATCGACACATGGGACACCTCCTACTGTGCCTTTGTGCGTGCAACAGCAGTCGTATTATTCTCTTCGTTAACCGGTTGTCGCCAACCGTTCTGCAACTTTTTGGGTGCAAACATGCCAAACAATCAGTTCGTCCGGATTCACTAGTCTATTTTGGATCTAGTGCCTTTCTGGCCATGAACTCTCACGTGATGCTCCTCATTCATCAAGAACTTCATCAACCTCAACCATAATTGTTGACTACGGAAGTGCAGCCATTTAGCTCTACAGCGACGGCTGCTCATGGTGTTCATGATCGGCCTCTCCACACGAGTAACGAGGTAGGTACAGTCGATGCGCTACCCCAAGAATGTCTCAGAATGACTGCCATTCGGAAACAACCAATCCTCCAGTGGTCTTGATATCATGAAATACATCTGTGCCCCCATACGACGCCCTTGAAACACGTGACATGCTTCCTAAGTAGAGTTGTAGCTGGGCTTTGCCGACATTTTCATGCTCCTACTAATAACCAATAAACTCAAGGTGCATCATCCGCCCTGTCACTAGAGTGAAACATTCAGAACTAAGTAGTATCTAAAAGTACTCATTTGTTTATTGCATATAGTGCAAATATCCCACGCAAAACCAATCCTTACCAGAAATACGATCATCATCGAATCGTGCATGACATCGCCATCCAGGATTACATATACATATACATGTCATGACTACAGTTCCAATCTTGAATTCTACTTCCTCGGTCGATGAGCTTTGGGATTCGGTCCCTTGGCAGGAGTATCACCCCTCGTCATCATCATCAGCAGCAGCATCATCGACATCATCGGCGGCGGCACCATCGCCGTCTTCACATCACATATGGCATAAGCACCAGATTCCATACTTATCCGGAGCGAACGCCTTACAACATCTCGACATTTGGATTCCGGTCGCCCAGAATTGCAGTCCACCAGAAAATCTATGTTCGTTACAAGGAACATGGGCAATCTACATTCACGGCGGAGCATGGCGTGACCCCGCCGTGACATCCTCATCTTTCATTCCTACACTAGAGCATTTATTCAAATCTCACGAATCGATTTTATCCAAAGTCGCGGGCTTTGCATCGATCAGTTATACATTATCGCCATATCCAAACCATCCTACAGATCCGTCACCGCCGAAAGATCCCTCCGTCCCTGTTGACAACAGTCGCATGGGTCGGCATCCGGATCATATCCTCGACGTGTTACGCGCATTGAGGTTCTTGCAAGTCAAGGCGGGATTTGGTGATGATTATGTCTTGTTGGGACATAGTTGTGGAGCAACGTTGGCATTTCAGGTTCTGGAAGATCAGGCAAGGTGGGGTATTGAGGCCAGCCGGTTGGGTGTAATAAAGCCGAAGAAAATCATCGGGTTGAGTGGACTATATGATCTCCCCGCTTTGATCAGAGATCCGGGTGAGAAGCATGCGGCCTGGAAGTGGATATATGAAGAGCTCACCAGGGGAGCTTTCGGTGGTGATGAGAAGACCTGGTACGACGCCAGTCCTGCTTCGGTGAAGGGCCGAGTGGAAGAGTGGGGACGGAATGACGGTCAGGTATTTCTGGTCCAGAGTAAGGAAGACTCGTTGGTCCCGTATCGACAAATGGAGGATTTCCTGCGGAGCTGGCAGAGCTCTAGAGCGTCAGGTGTTCAAGTCACTGAACTACCAGCATCTGGTGATCATGATGAATTATGGGAGAAGGGTGATCGCATAGCGGAGATTGTGGTCGAGGTTTTGCTACAAGAGCGATAAGTCTGAGATCATGGTACATCCCACACTAGATCTGTGTCAAAGTTGAAGTTCTCAGAAACCTGCATGGCGAAATTGTCCCAGCCAAATATGCCAAAGTCAAAGTCACCACCGCCATCGACAGGTAGTTGATTTGGATCAAAGACAAATGATTGCTGGAAATCGGCAGTCTCGTCCAGGTCACGCAAATTTTCTGGTAGTATTGACGCCAAATTTCCATTTGCAGTTGGCGAGTCTCCTCTTGAGGTCTGGACTGTGTCGGCTGATTGCATATCAACTGGATTTTGGCTAACATCGAAGGTCAAGATCTGGTTGACGTATTTGTTCTGCGACCGCCGTTTCTCTCGAGCAAGATGTTGACGGTGTCGTTGAATTGCATCGGCGAAACCGGTGAGAATTTCATAATAGTGTTCGGCCTGTGGACTATGAGGCGAGAGCTTCTTGAGCACTTCTCGCGCACCGTTGAATGCCTCGTCCATCTCGAACTTGGGTTCAGCTTGTGCAAACATGGAGAATCCAATGACTAAACCAGCCGCGAACATCCATGCCCTAATAATAGTTAGAATCATGTCTTCTCCTATGCTTCGAAAGAATTCAGAGAGCTTACTTGACGATGCACATGGCATTCATGAGCAGGCCGGATTGCAGAGCTTCATGGCATATCTGCGCCATGTACATTGCCGAGTCGACACATGCCTCAGCCATGTTCTCCACGTCAGCCGGCTTATTTTCTGCAGAGTCGGTTCCTGGAGTCTCCGCCACCCCGCCGGGCAGGTTCTCCATCAGGTGAGAGATGAGGAATGGTCGAGTGATGAGCATTACTGCAAAGTAGTAGATACATGCAACGTGAATATTCCCAATCACTCTTTCCTGATCTGCCACGGTGAGATGAGCATCAAAGACACGCGAGAATTGCTTGACATCTTTGGGAAGACTTGAACTCCAATCTCGAAGGCGCTTGAGATACTGTTCTGCCGATCGCAAGCTCATGGTGTTATCTGCATCAAGTGTTTGCATGATCTCGGCAATAAGAGAACAGGCTCCAAAACTGGCGTTGAGGGCCATGTCTCGCGGCTTGCCGGCGTGAACATGAAGACCATGGAAAGCAGCTGTATCGATGCGAATGGTTGGGGTAGAAACGGGTCTTCCAAGAATGGAGCTGACAACAATATCGAGAATTCGGAGACTCTTCAACGTCCGTAATCTAGATGGCGGATTAGCTGGAGAGTGCTCGACAAAATCAAACCGGGAACTCCTACCTGACGCTTTGGGTTGCCGGGGCGAAATGATGGTATTGTTCGGTGACATGTAAGCCCAGAGCAGAGGCCGCTTTGGCAGCAACACCAATGTACATAAAAGCGGCATTTCTTCGACAAGCCCCAAGCATGTAGAATGCCATAAGGAGGAAGCATCGAACCATGTCCAGGCAGGGGTCCTCGAGCATTCCAGCTAGTGCAGCTTTCTGAGCGCGAGTGAAATATCGAATGGCATACCGCGAATCGGTTGGAGATTGAGCTCGACACTGCCCACCAATGGCGACGATCAGGTCTAAAGCAATGGCAGAATAACCTTGAACATCATTTGGCGTACTAATTGTGTTGAGGTACGTATCGACTTCATCGCGCGAGTAAAGATCCAGGAGCCCGTTTGTCTTCATGTTGTCAGTCTTGAACTGCTTTATGTTGGAGAAACTTACGGATGCATGATAAGCCTCGACAAGAGTACGTTTATGTTGATCGTCCTCGGAAAAGTGACTAGAGCCGTCTTCGGGGCTATTGACCTCTAGCATATGATGTCGCCGATTGTTTTCGGTGAAGACTGACGGTCCCATCTGTTGGCGGATAGTATGGCGTAAAAATTGGAGGAACGACAGCGAGGCCGTCTTCCCAATGTATACTAAGAGAAAGACGAAACGGATTAATGACTAATGGAGGCACTTTGGTTTGTAGAAGCGAGCATACCTTGTTCGCCCTTTGAACTGAGGAGTAATCTGTCCCTGGTCAGCCTCTGCGGCATGGTTGAACTCTCAAGGAGTCGCGGAGTGGCGATGTCGCCATCCGATCTCATCGACTGAGGGGGTTGAGATGGTCGATTAGAGGCTGATTCTGAGGATTGGTTGGAGATGGACATGCGATGTTGCCGTTTGGGGGGAGGTTCCATCAGATCCGAGTCTTCATAGCTACATTGTGAATGTTTGTTCCGGCGGACGCAATTGGAGCATGGAAGCTGAGCATCGCAGCGCTTCTTGGAAGCCTTGCAGGTGAGACAGGCCTTTGCTGCTCGTTGTCTGTCCTCTGGGCGAACCTTGGGTCTCGGCATGATCAGTTCGGTCCCTATAACAATAAGAAACACATTTGGGGACCCTTCAAGTAGGCCAGCAGCACATATGAAGCGCTGTGGAGAAAATAGTTGTTGTCCGAGGAGTGTTATGGGTGGGTCAAGAATATTATAGTACGTATATCTTTCTGAGAAGACGGGAGAATGGATGATAAGAACCCTCCACGGTTGACGCTAGCTGGCTTTCAGTGATAAGGTGTGGGAGGAGTCTAGAGTTATCCTGACTATAGGCTCTAGGCCTCGGCTACGGGCGGAGCAGTGGGTAGGATGGTGGCTTGAGTGCCTTGGCCAATCTGTGGAATAGAGTACAAGTACACTTTAAGATCCCCTCTGGAGTACACCTCGAGAATGTGAGGTACCCCTAGGATTTGGAGCAGCTTGCTATACTGGAGGTTGTGTCATTTTGTATAATGGTGCCTCCATTTCCACATTCGGCAGAAGCACCTGTATACATATACTATACATACCTGATCCGAACGGTCGCGCCTGCCCAACTAAGACTACCCCATGAAAAAGGCAAGCGCGACCAGCTGCTCCTACATCAGTAGGGAAGGTGCAGATTTGTATCCACATCCATCCACTGCTACTGCTTCATCCTCGTCCTATGGAGTGCATTGCCATGTCATTCCAGTGCAAATTATGCCTTTGCATCCTTGAAATCCCCTAGCTTAAACAGCTTACTGGCATTATCCTTGCCAATCTTCCTCCTGTCCACGTCGTTGATCTCGGTCGCATCAAACCAAGTACATGCATCATGGAAATTCTCAAAAGGATAGTCAATGGAGAACAGGATTCGATCTGCGCTCACTTCGGTCATACAATAGTGTAGTGTCGGCGTGGAGAAGTGTCCGCTGGTCGTGATCCAGATGTTTTGGGCAAAATACTCTCTGATCGTCTTCTTGCATGTCTCTTTCAAGCCCAGAGGTTTCTGTGATATCGAGTCAGACTGACGCTATCACAATGATGACTGAGACCGAGGAGGCTTACCTTGATATCTTCAAACCAGTGATTGATTCTCCACAGATCAAACGGTAGATGCTCTCCCAGATGTCCAATAACAATTTGAAGTTTGGGATGACGATCGAATACTCCGTTGGTCACCATACCCAGGAGATGCAGGCTCACGCCCTGGGCAAAGCTCAATGGGGGCCCAATGAGCCATTTTCGGGGGGCCCAAAGTTTATCGTGAATGCTCCCAGTCGGATTTCGAGGGTGCAAGTAAAATGGCACGTCCAGCTCAGTCACAGTCGACCAGAATACATCCCACTCAGGTTGGTCGTAGAAGATCATGTCATCTCCATCTGGTCCTGCTCGCTGGGTATCATTGACTAAAGCGCCTTTGAAACCGTATTTAGTCACCACTCGGCGAAGTTCCTCGGCAGCTTGCTTAGGATCATGCATGGAAAGAGTGCTGGTTTTGATTAGTGTGTGACGCTCAACTCGACTTGCTTGGCCACTCACGCAAATGCTCCAAACCGATCAGGGTGAGACTTGATGGTCGAGGCAATATAATCGTTGACTTCGGTCGCCAGTGCTTCGGCTTCTTGCTTATCCCAAACATCCTGAACTCCAGGTGCAGTATATGACAACAGTTGGTATCCAACGCCGTACTGATCCATGTACTTGATTCGAGTCTCGACAATGTCATTAATTTCGGCGGCATGTTTGTCAGGGTCAACCGCGAACAACCCAGCCCACCATCTGGTTCGCTCAGCAAACCGAGGGAGGGCAAACGCCTCTTCCAATGCCACCTTTCCAAGCATGATCAATGTCAGTTAGTTCAAAAGGCCACGAAAAACAGGAATCGACACGGAAAAGTTGATCAGGACAACTAAGAGAATCCTCCAGCTCGCAGAGACTGATTTTGTCAATGTTGTACGGTTTTGTCCTGTACGACGACAGCGGATCGCCAGCACTCCTTTCCGTCTCCAACCCGAATCTTACCTGCTCAATTCCATGGTTGAGGGTGAGGAGAAGCAGAGATCCGATGCATCATAGAACCCCAGGTCTGTTCACGAATTAGATTTCGAGGATCGTGAAAGATAGTCCATCAACTCGTAAGCCTTCCAGGGTCTGAGCGGGGAGTGTGGAGTTTGAGGTTGAGTGTCACAGGGCAGTTATCCGACATATTGCGGGAAATGCACCAAGTGGTCGGGCCGTCACCAAGATATGGAAGTCGTCGCCTGCGAGCTTGACTCTGATGGAAATCATCAAGTTTTTAAAAATTATTACATCTGGCTAGTAGCTTTGGTTCTGTGGCTTGCCGTTTGGAAGACTCTAGGACACCTTTTGACTAGGAAATGTGGCTAATCCATGCATAAAAGTGATGCTTGAGCTCTTAGCATTACACAGTCGGTCGGATGGCCGCAAGGCTGAATATGCAGGGATGCGCTACTGCGACGAATCTCAAACAGGATCCAACATCTACAAAAAGCAGAAGTACCACGATCATAAATCATAATGATTTCAAGGAAGGCCGAACAAAGCACCGGCTCTTGCTTGCTATCTCTGTGCATTGAACTAATCTCAACCCCGACGCTCCAGGGTTCAGCCTCGCAAGTTTAGGCAAATCCCTATTAATAATCTGCCTCACTCAAAATGAAGCAAGGCCCCTTGTTGATCCAACTGAATCCAAATTGCGATTCATTGCCTTAGTACCCAAACAACCACGGCAACGGTGAGAACTGCGCTCACAGGATCTGCATTCAATTTCCATGCCCGTCGCGGAAAACCAAGTCCGTCCGCAACCCAATTATCCCCCAATCTCGGACCAGCACCATTAGCAGCAATAGCACTTGCAACTACATTGGTGGTGGTGTGAACTGTGACAGTGTTGCCCATGACAGTGGTGCATGCCGTGACATGGACGGTGGATGTCACCAAATTGCCATCATCTCCCAAGTTTGACGATGCAGTTGCCGCAGGTTCTGAAATGGTAGCCTGGGCTGAGTCACCTGTGTTGGTAGCATTTGCTTGGTCGTCATGGGTCGCTGTGATCATTGCAGTGGCTGTGGCGGTAGCAGTCACAACTGCCGTCGCTGTCGTGGTCAAGTTACCATGGCTAACATTGGTGCTGGTAGCGTCATGGCTTATCTTGGAGGTTGGTACAGACGAAGGTGACGCTGACTCAGATTCCGATTCGGATGCAGAGGTGGTGACATCAGCACTCTTTGTTGCTGTGGAAGATCCAAAAGTCGAGGTGGCGGAGAGGGCGCTCTCAGTCTCAGGCTCAGGAGTCTATGTCACACACAAAATTCAGACTTAGCAAATGTCCACAAACACAAACATCAGACCATACAGACCCCCAACTCAATGAATCTCAGATTTTTGTTTTAGCACATACCTGTTCAGGCGGGGGCAAGGTGAAAGTGACGGCATGGCCACCGATCTTAGTCTCGAATGTCATTCTCGCGTCTGACTCCGGATTGCACCAGAAGTTGTCCTTGAAAGCAATGATGTCTTTTCTCATGGGGTCGTCTTTGTTGCACGGGTCTTTGCCCTTGGCCATCAGGCATGCATCGATACCAACGTTGTAGTACTGTGATTGACAGACACATGCCAAGTCCAAAGGACAGTTTCCTCGATTTCCGCTCACTGCGTCGTGGATGGCGTCCTTGCCGATACAGGCCTTGCCACATTTGGGGAGGTCGTCGAAGTGAGTGTAGTTGGTTGCCAATGCCGGTGCGATGAATGTGGTGATGACCAAGATGACAATCATCATCAGATAGACAGGAGATCGGCGCTTGCGGTGGCCGAGAGGACTTGTGATGAAGGAGGAGCGCGAGGATGCCATCTTGGGATAAAAGATAGTATGGGTAGTGGGGTTTGAACGAGCAAGGACAACGCCTCTTCCTGTTGTGGTGGACAATGTCAGTGCCAATCAGGTGAATAAGAGATCACAGATAAAACCTACACCGCGCAAGAAACAGAGATAGAGAGAAACGCGTCCTTATTCTGGCCGTTGTTGTTGACAATGTGCTCAGTTATCAATCAGGTGAACTTGAAATTGAATCTGAACGAATTGCTGCTTGGAAGTCGAAAGCGAGGGTGAGATCACAGTGGCAGATACAAGTTAAAGCAAGTAGGACACGATCATGACGGAATAAAAGAAAACGGAGGAGAAGGAAGACAATCACAACGAGAGTCATCAAAACTACATTAGCAGCACAGATCTGAATCATTGGATGCGGTAGAAACGACTCGAGTGACGGATGTAGCGTGAGTCACTTCACTGTTAATTGATCAGATCACTCAAAATGCCGACTTGAATCATGGTAGGCACTGGCTGTGATAATACAAATACACAGTATAGAATTATTGACCCGAATCATGGACAATGATGGATGCGTTTACGAACCTCATAAGCACCAGTGTTAAGTGGATTCATCTATGGATGAAAAAGCCTAGAATTCAATGATCTGTGTAAAACGTCTCAAACCACACACTAACGTTGATCAATGACAGATCTGTAAAGAACAAATCATTTCTATCATTCTATCACTCTAGCAAAACAGCTCCTATTCATGCCTTCTTTCTCCTCCGAAGACGCGCTGACCATCGTTTCGTAGGAGACGCCACTACCGGCGGCACTGCAGGTTTTCTCTTCTGCTTTCCTTTGCCTTTGACCTGGCCTCTCTGTCTCGGCCCATCTGCTGCTGCTGCTTGGCCTCTTCCTCCTTCTTGTCCCTCTTTTCCTTTAGATCTGGCGCCTTCAGGCTCGGTTCCAGCAATCGCTCCGTTCGATGAGACCTGATGTTTACCGATTCCATAAACACCACGCCTGTCCAGCTCCATCAAAATTCCTACGAGTTGCTGCTTGTTGTATTGCCGAGCGCGAATTTCTTGCCAGGGTACTCTCCGAATATCTTTCAATTCTTTGTTGAGGTCGCCTTTTTTCATTTTCATATACTCCGAATAAGTTTTCAACTGGACTGGTGCCTGCCGTTGGTCGTCGGCAAAGAATGCCATAGACTCAAGTGGAGGTTCTCTCATTTCGTCGTCAGATGAATCTTCATCCTCGTCGAAGCTGTCCATTGTCACATCGTCTGGTGGAGGGATTTCTGCCCCTTTATTCTTGAGAATGTCATCATCGCCAAGTCCGATCAGCCATTCCGCATACAATGTCCGGAGCTCGTTCAAAGTTCGAATGAAGCGGCCGAACTCGTGGCGCAGGGTTAACACTGTGCAGAAACGTGGGCCTGGCCCGTTTGGAAGGTCAGCCGTGCGACCTTCTCGAAGAAGGTTCCACAATCTGACGAAGTAGGTGTCAAGATCGTAGGCTACCCGTTGGCACAGTTCAGCTGATATATCCGCTTCCTGTCCTCGCCGTCGCCGCACAAGGCCCCACCGAGGAGGCTCCTGGCCGACTGGTGGATAAAAGCCTGCGATGGCGTCCATAGGTAATCTTGGCTCGCTGCGACTGACTATATATCCTCGTAGATGACTTGCCCAGGTGGTTGCGCGCAAAATTAATTCTGCAACCCGCTGTCGCCATTGGTGCGATTCAACGTTCAGGGTTGCAAATCCTTCCTGACCCACTAGGCAGCTGATGACTCCAAACTCTTTCATCTCGACCATGACGGTCGCGACTAAGCTGCCTTCGGTATAGTCTCCCAAAAGGGCGTCGTGATCAGAGTTGTGGAAAGTCCGTTCAGGTCGTCGTAAATGGCGCGGTTGTCCTTTTCTATTGTGGCTTGGATCTGCAAGTCTCATATTAGCACTATATTCCAAGTTGTATTCAATTTCCCACTTACCACAAACATGATGAAGACAGTTTGGAAAAGTTGGGCACCAATGACACTGTTTAAGTTTGCAGTGACAGATATGATGAATCTCATAAGGGGCCCCCGGGCATCGATAGCAGCCCCCTGGACCGTTCTGCACGTGCTGTTCATATGCTGGCTGAGATGGTACATCGGCTGGTTGAGGCTGGCCATATGCTGGAAGAACCCGTCTATCTGCTGGAATGTGGTAGAGGCTTTGCTGTGGTCCCATGCCTCCCAAGATGGTTTGACCCTGGTATTGGCCGTCAGCATCATGAGTTGGCTGTACATCCTCAGGGGGGGCATTACCAACATGGCCAGCCTCCGGTATTGTAGTGTTGCCTAATCCTTGTTGATCCACAGGCTGGAATTCTCCCTCGTTGATTTCGTTCTGGTAATCACCGTGCTGGTTCTCCTCTTGGGGTTGCATCTCTTCTTGGTTTGGCAGAGGTTCCGAGCCTGGCCCGTCCATATTATAATAGGCACGGTCTAAATCTCTGAGGATTTCAGCATCCGTTGCCATTGATCGTGACGGATGGATGTTGGCACGATGTCGATATTGGTCGATCTGACTCTGCTGGAAACGGCGTTTTTTCAGACTTAAGGGTGCTCCAGCTACTGGAGCTGTTGCTCGTGACCGAGCAGGACCTCCCCCTCGAAGGCTGATGGCGGGCTTTTCCACTCGAGCAGACACATCAAGAATTTTGGCTTGCGATAGGACGTTCTTTTTCCTCTGACGGCTAAAAAGCGAAGATAGTCCAGACTTGGCTTTTGAACTTAACTGACGACGGGCCTTAGAGATTCGATGCAAAGTTGACCCTACGAATTCTGTAGGCGTGGCAAATGTTGGCCAGACAATGGTAGGGTGATACTCTGGACCGCGAGCATGAGAAGGTGGAATGTCAATCAGATCTTCCACTTTTGCCCCTTCAGAGGAAATGCCTGGGTGGCTTAGATCCCGCGAAATAAGTCTGCTTTGAGCAACCTCCTGTGCTCTCGTTTCTGGCAAGGGGCACCAGACGTAGTTGAATGCACTCTTGATGTTTATTCCGACAGGCTGAGGAAAAACAGACTGCAGAGGCATGAATTGGCCATACTCGATTTGTGACACTTGATCTATCATTTCGTCCTGATCGTCTTCACGGTGTCGAGCAAGTGTGGGTGAGTTTGGTCCTGGAGCCAGGGCGGTAGTTGGGGACCACATATCGAGTGATTCGATTGTCCAGTCGTCAGCTTTGTCAATGGACGTCCATCTTCTGATTGTGACCGGCCCATCGTTGATGAAGTTGAAGCGTACAGCGGCCCGCTCAAGTCTTTCTAGGTCGTTGGGTTTGAGTTGGCCGTCCTCGATGAAAGCCTCCAATGCATCAACAACATGTCTTTGAAGTCCGGTGTTTGCATAACGTCTCAGGTGGTCATACCTGTCGTCAGGGTCGTCGCGACATTTTGCAATATAGCGACAGTACTGGGCAACAGTGTCTTCTACACATCTCGGTATGGAAGCGTCAGAACTTCCGTCCAACCTAGCAAAGAAGGATCGAATGCCAGGACGCTGGAAGAAAGTGGCCTCGAGAGACTTCTTGGGTGTGTCACGAAGAGAATTGGAGAGTCCTATCTGGTAGTAGGTTGCTTTCAACGCCCTCCAGATGAGAAGCCATAATAGATGAAGCTCTGATTGATATGTTGAGACTTGCCAGGTTTCGAGCAGATATTGACCAAATCTTTGGGCACGAAGTGCCATGTGAGATGACACCAACGCTTCAGCTTCGTTGAATTGTGGTGAATTGAGGCGAGACCTCAGGAGAGGGGGTTGTGACATTCGACGGATCAGTCCCATCAGCATTGTGAACGAAGATTCGTGCACGTCGAGGGGGTTGGTGCGTACGGCATCTTGAAGCAGAAGTAGTCGATCCGCAAAAGCTGCTTCGGCAGTAATTCTATGTTTATCGGTGAACATGTGCCAAACTTCTATACATTCAGCTAAGCCTCCTGACACTTGATCGGATTGCAATGAGCTATTGTTGATAGCATCTATGTCATTGAGACAATCTATGATGCTGCTCACATCCAGCAAGAAACTGGGGGAATGTATTGCGACTCGGCGGGCTTCTGTTTGGTTGTACTCCGAGAGGAGCCGATATGTTTCACGTAGAAGATCCAAGGCTTGGGCGGATGAGATGTCTTCTGATACTGGACCGAGATTGCCAATAGAAAGTTTAGCCGCATCTGCTGCTGGGGGGTCACGATGAATTGTCTTGTCATAATTCAGGCTGTTACGCCACACAGACGGTCGGTGATATCGAGTGGTGGACGATTGTGCAAGATCCGGGTTCCGAACTAGCATCTGGAAATAATGCTGCAATACTGACACGGAAACTGAGTTCCATTTCTTCTGTAGGTGGGACTGACGGGCTAGGGGTTCAATCAACGACAAGAAAGAATCGCATTGTTCTATGCGGGAAAGGACATCGTCGCTGGGGCCGGAAGTTGAAAATTGCAGACGAGAGAATGTTTGGAGGACCAGCTGGAGTTCAATCTGAGCACCAGGGACTTCCGATTGCAACAATTTCAAGCACCGTTGCGCTCCAGCATGAATGGTGGATTGTTCCCCAGACTCTGATAGACAGTTCTTGATATCAGGGAGTGCCAAGATGACGTCTGAGAGGAGCACCAATCTCTCGAGCGGGCCATACTGCTTGATGGATTCAAGCGCAGAGAGCTGTAGATTGATTCGAAACGCCAGAGGTAGTTCAGAATCAACATTGGCTGGGCGTTGGAGGCTTGTCAATTCCAAGAGCAAAGCAGGGGTTACATCGGGTTCCAATTCATCGGATAGAGATGATGTCGAAGCGACAGGAGAAAGTTCTCGTTCCAGTTGAGTTAAAGTCGCTATCCTTGCATTTGCATGAGGATGAGAGAAGGCTATGGGTTGTTTGCCACGGAATTTAAGGGAGCCCAGTGGCTTTGGAGCCTTGCCTGGGGTTTGGGGTTTCGTTGGGGCCATGTTGTTGACGAGTCGAGGCGAACGAAACCAGAGGAGGCCGGGGGAAAGGTTTGCATCACCAGCAGAACGACAACGATCAGAAGGGGATAGATATTACTTACTGCCATCTTTCATCTTTAGCTAACAAAGAGACGGGGGATACGTTGAAGTAGGGCAGAGCATGACGTTTGCAGCATTTGACGACGTGCAAGATGGGATAAAGGAGGTGTTGAAATTTCCGCATTCAGACCACCAGGCTGCTTTAGGGTCGAAGCTTGGGACAAAGCAAAGTATACCAGTTGGCTAAGTCTTGCTTGTACTTCTCTTGATGTATCATGCCGGGCACAAATTGTCCTCAAGCCATCAATGCGTGCATGTAAAAGAACCTTGCATGGTTGGTCCCTTGTTGGCGAATTGGACTTTCTCAGCTTTGAATCCAAAGCGTACTTTAGAAAACAGGGACTGCATGTCGGTTGCAAGGGGACTTATCTGGAGATGTAGAAGGGCCAATACTGATGATGGAGACGGGAGTTTTCAGATGGAAGAGGCTATGACCAAGACTCGAAATGATGGAATCTGGTAGTGAGAGAAGAGTGCGTCGATGGATGTATGCTCGACCTGAGTGATGCCTGGAGAATCCTGGCGACTCGAGATAGTGGAGGCAGGTGCTACTTACTCCGTGCAGTCCTCAGAAGGAGGTGGGTTAACCTGGCTGTCACGCCATAAGACAAGATGTACCTGTCCTGAGTATCAGCATGGGAAAGTACATCGGGTGACACCTACGCGGATAGGTGTCTTACGTATCTATCTTACGCATTGTAACCCATGTCCCAGGCTCCATCATTGTCAGGGCTCTCATGACTGTTTATGCTGTTCATGCTGTTCATGCTGTTCTCCAGAAAACATTCAGAACCCCGTCGTGCCCGTACATTAGATCCCTACAGGAACAGCATTCTTGCCTTCCGCCAAGTGGCTGATCTGGAGATCGTCTGAGCCTAGATGCCTTGGTAATTCCACCCAATGTCAGGGGTGGGATGAATTATGGGAGCACTGGCAGGTAAGGGCGAAACTCTGCACGGGTGCTGATGCTAGTACTGGAGTTCTCTCCCTCCATTCCCAGTCAGTCTGGATGAGCATTTGTCCAATTGAACAAGTGGTGGCACACAGTCCACCCTCTGTGCTTCTGAAGCAGTTGTGATCAGTCTAGCTGTTCGTAATGGTCCCACTGACAGTCCCACGTCGCTGAAGATAGCTAGTAGCCGGATAGAAGCACATAAACTAGCGGGGTGAGGGGGATAAGGCAGCCTTGACCCAGGGTCACAGGGGTCTCATTGGGTCCCCGAGGTCCCCGCTAGCCCCCAGTGCAGGCCTAATGCATGCTGGCAGGCTGGTAATGCGTCCCTCCTCCGCATTATGCTTTCCCCCTCCACGGCCTCCAGTTGGAAACAACAAAGGCAAACCTTGCCGGATGACTTTCTTTGCCATTTGATTGTTGCAAGCGAACCACAGAATAGAATTCCTCCCGTCACTACCGTTACGACACACCGACCAGACCAGACTCTAGACACCAGACTAGACACGTCAGACCAGAAGAGGTTGTGTGTCAATGCGCGCTCACCTCACTCGTTGTCCTTCTTTTAGCCCAAACATCTCCGCAGTGTCCTGATATGCAGACTACTCTGTACTCGTACGCACATGCACCGTATTCATGATTGCAGTGATTGATTGGGGCCACTGGGCTAGATTCGTTAATAATGATGATAATATGTAAGCCAACTTTTCTTCTCTTCCCCCCCTTCCGCCCTTCCTGTCCCTCAATATAACATTCCCTTCTCCTGCACATAGTTTCAGTACCTACCAGTCTGCCCATCACCAGACGGCGATAATCCCTTTAGTTTCATGTTTCAGTCTCTGCTTTGGCCCTGATCATCCACCCTATCTCTAGTTCCCCTCTCCAGCCATCCTATCAAGCTTTGCTGTCAATCAGACGCTCGCACCACAATGACGTGACATTTCCTGCCTTTGTCCTACCTGCCTACCTCAACTTACAGCTCCATTGACAACACACACGCACACACCTTGACCCCTTGGTGGTCGACTGTACAAACCACACTTTCTACGTTCTACATTATATTACATACTAAGCCTTTCTCTGGAAAACATGTCTGACTCCAACGGACCACCTTCGCCACGACCCCAGCATCGTCGACGTTCGTCCATCGTCGATATGTTCAATCCACGCCCTAATTCGAACTCTCTTTCCTCTTCTCCCCCATCCCATACCGTTCCATCCACTCCCAGTGTACCCCAACATCGAAGAGGCGCATCAATCACCTCGCTTGGCCTGACGACCAATCCAGCGGGACAATCACCTTACAACAATGCGTTTGCACGCCAGAGACGAGCAAGCATTGCAACCTCATCCGCCTCAGGCTCCCCGGATTTCCGAAATAGCTTTGGCGATGAGCCAGCCGTGATTGAAGAGGACGATTCCACCAGTGCAAGCTTGCAACCTCCGCCGTCGCCTTCTTTTGCACGAAGAGTGAGTTTTGGAGCACAGGCTTTACGGGATGTGAGGCTAGGCACAAGCCCTAGCAATACCGGCAACACCGGCGGTGGTAGGCGCCCCTCGTCTTCCCTCTTTACCTTGGATGAGCGTTATGAAAACCCACACCAACAACGTCAACCTGCCACTGGGACGGTCAAGACTGCAGGTAAGAGTCTAGGCCTGTCCCTCCCACATGTTGCATGTTGCAATTTGCTGTTGCATTCTATTGTGGTTCAAGCTCGATCTCACACCAGGATGCTGATGATTCCCAGGAGAAGGATTCAATTGGTCTGAAGCCATCCGAGACCGTAGTAAACGATCCCCCTCATTTTCCACCGGCAACCCATTCGCCTCCAATACCTCTCGTCCGCGAGCCTCGAGCATTTCCGATCCTGCACCACCCAAAGAAATCTCCAAGCCCATGGCCGATCCCGCCCCAAAGTTGAAGAAGCCAGATCACCTGGGTGAGAGAATGCTGCGAGGTGACTTTATGATGGATTGAGGACAAGACCTTTGGAAGCAGAATCGGGAAACTGTACAATCAAGCGATGCTCTGTACATGACATGGCGACACATGTTTGTTTGATGATGTATGTTGGGGGCATGTTGAGAACAAGGCACGGTATCTGTTGGATCTACCTCTGGGAGAAATGTTTACATTCGTTTTCCGGTATGGCATATCAGGGTCCTCTTGCGGGTCTATGGTGCGGAGATGAAGATTGGCGATGGACGATATCTACGTATGCTTGACGTTACAGCAGCTCAAGGAATTGAGACCATGTCTAGGTATGAAATGAATGATTTGAGACAAAACCACCAACACAATATGGAAGCTTTCAGAATCGTAAGCGAGATCTGCCTCACCATAATCCTAGTACATTTCCCTGTGCCTATGCGTCCATATGTAGGTTAACTGCTTAAAGCATTAATGTCCCATTGCTCACCGCGTTGCGTCTGCATTCATCCTTATAGTAGTGGATCAAGCATTGCGGAGGTCTGCTCGACAAGTGACCAGAGTGACAGAGTAATTCAGCTTGAACACCGTATTTCAACAAGCCTTGACTGGGGAACAGCCTAAGTGACTACTTAGCGAGAAGACTGGCCATTGGTCTTGTTAGTAGTGGGATATCCGTATGTGTGATATTAGGTCCTGATGCTGCCTGTAGGGCTCAAGGGCTAGAGGCCCTCGGGCCTCTCAGCCCTCAATCGTTGGGCCAGAGTGGCCGTGAGCATCCAGCGATTGGGCCGAGGGGGCCGCCCCGCCCACGTTTGAGATCCTTAAAGGCCCCTAACGATTAGTTGAGCCACCTTTGCGTAGGTGCTGATGATGGCCAGGCCTAGGAGCCGCAACAGCATCAGCATTAGCATCGTGGCCTTTTGGTTCTCGGAGCAACGAGCTGCGACGCTCCCACACTCTGACTGAACCACTTCTCCCGACCACCGACCACATCCTCCAGGTGACTTCAAAGCTCCACCGTAAATTGGTCTACCAACTTCCTCTGACCAGTTCCTTGGTGCATCGCACGTTCGACACTGGATGGTTCTGATTACCATATCTTGGATAACTTTTTCCATATTGGTCGAGCATAGAGCGCGCACTTTTTGTTGTCATCTTAATTACGCCCTTTTGCATTGCCTTGCCGCTGCTCCGCTACCCAACGCCTCTTGTCGCTCGTGGCCTCCCAAGACTGCGGCTGCCGAAAACACGTACTACAGCCACTTTGTCACAACTTCCGCCTGTGACCGCCTGCTTTAAAATCTATCCTCTTGCGCGATCATACAAGCTGCCATGTGCTAGTCGTCCCTAGCACCTCTGTCCAACATGCCTGTCTGAAGCCCACCAACCTCTCGTGGTACGTCGCGCAGTCACCGCGTCACCCCGTCCTAGCATTCGTAGGACCGGTCCTTCACTCATTTCCTTTTACTCCTCCGGTCGGCCTTTCCGGATCCTTGGAACCTTTGAACAGGCCCAAAGCAGAGAACTTGATCTTTGCGCATTTGATCGACCAACCCCCGATTTCGAGATGGAGAAGACGGTTAAAGGTGCTACAAAGATAAAGGTGGGCCCCTCTGGAGACATGTCAAAGTACCGGGTGTTAAGAATATCCAGCTTGCCGCCCCCAAGTCGAAATATGTCGAATCGATCCTGCTTGCTACTAAACAAGGCGAAAGCGGAGTGGCCGAGGTCTTTCGCACCCTCCAGCTACGGTTGAGAGATTCAACATGGACCATTGTTTTCAAGTCCTTGATAATTGTTCATCTGATGATCAGAGAGGGCCAGCCGGAGGTGACGTTAGCATACCTCGCAGCCAACCCCAAGAGACTGGCCATTAGCAGCTTTGCAGAAGGTATAGTCAGCCGTTCCCACTCTAGCAAACGAAGTCTGACCACGGACAGCGCAAACTCAAGGACACAACATTCGAAAATACAATGACTACCTCATGGAGCGAGTTATTGGGTACCGAGACGTCCGAACCGATTTTGTCAAGGCTGGAGCGGGCAAGATGAAGAGATTGACTGTGGACAAAGGCCTCCTCCGACTAACAGAGGCCGTGCAAATGCAAATAGAGTCTTTGGTCCAGTGTGATGTGAGTGGAGACGAGGTTCAAGACCACCACGGGCTAACCAGTATAGCTTCTGACTTCCCATGACCCTGATAACGAGATTTCACTGACAGCTTTCCGTCTCCTGACCTTGGATTTGCTTGAACTGTTCAAGGCCATGAATGAGGGCACTATCAATGTCCTGGGTAAGTGGCGTCCCTGACGGCCCCACAACAAGCTCCTGACCGCGGACAGAACACTACTTTGAGATGTCTCGCCCAGATGCGGAAAGGGCACTCAACATCTATCGGACCTTTGGAGTGCAAACAGAACAAGTAGTACACTATCTGAGCGTGGCCCGGCAATATCAAACGTCGACACGGCTAGAAGTTCCCAAGTTGAAGCACGCCCCCACGACTCTGACCGCGTCTCTGGAGGAGTACTTGAACGACCCAGACTTTGAGATGAACCGACAGCAGTACATGGCTCAGCAACAGGCTAAGAAGTCAGGAAAGCCGGTTGCCCCTGCGTCGTCGGCATCGAAGGCAACGTCAGCACCAGTTCGACCAACAACAGCTCCATCAGCGCCACAGGCACAGACGCAGGCCAAAGGACCAGCACCAGACCTGATTGATTTTTTCGAGTCGATCGAGCAGAACCAACAACAGATGGCCCAGAACCCTCCTCAACAATTCCAGCAAGCAATGCCACAGGGCCAAGTGTACCAGCCCATGCAGATGCCGCAACAGACCGGTTACAATCCTTTTATACAACCCCAGCCGACATTCCAGAGTCAACCCATGCCCAGTCAGCAACTTCAACCCGACTTTACTGGAGCGGGATTCGGTGGCTACGGACCTCAACCTCAACAAGCGCCAGCTCATGCCTTCCAATTCCCAACTTCACTCTCACCAATCCCACAGAATGGAGTGGCAGACTTTCAGTCCCAATCATCGACATTCTCCTCGTCTCAGCCAACCCAGCTGCAACCACAGCATACATCGACGAACCCCTTCCGACAGTCGATGCTACCTACGGGCAACTCACAGTCATCCCCAGTTGGAGCATCTCCCAATCGATCATCGACGAATCCATTTGCGAAGCACAACACTGGTCAAGGGTTTGATGCCAATACTTTTTCTCCAGGCGCTTCTGTGCTGTACGGCCAACACACAATGTCACAATCACCTGTGCCCGAGTTGGGACAAGGAGGCATGTTCTCACCGTCTCCGCCAGCCTTGCAGCCACAACGAACGGGGACGAATCCATTTGCCAAAGCTCGGCCAGCCACGGCCAGTCCCACAATTACAACCAATGTCACAGGCAGTACCAACCCCTTCCGGCAGAGCGCATTTGTCAATCAGCAGACAGGCCAGGGATGGCAGCAGGGGAACCAGGGAACATATGCTGGATTTGATTTGAACAATGTCAACACCACTCCGATATTCCCTAGACCTGGTCAGGGGTAGAACATAGAACGAGCGTAATATCATGATAATGTCTGCAAAGGTGCCACCCAGGTATGACGATGCATTGCTTGTGCGTTGGACGCCGTTGATGTTGTAGTTGGTGGTGTTGGTGGTGTTACGTGGTCGTGCCTGCCATACTAATCTGATGTGGCGATCCGCGTCCCTTCCTTACGAATCGCTTCAGTTTCCTGTCTTGTGATTGGTCGAGTTTCCCCAGACTTGACATGCATGACATGCCACCTTTTTTGTCTCTCTGTGCTCCCTCTTTGCCTATCGAGCCTCAAGTTCTCCCTTTTTTCTCTCTCATCCTTTCTATTTGGTGCTTGTCAAGACTCTGACGTTTTGACGAAAACCCCTAGATCCAGCTTTGGTTTTTCTCCCGTCGATGTGCCATGATTCCTCCGCGTCATACCGGATTCGACAGGCCGTCTCGTTCTTTGACGAGAACCTTGACCGACACAGTTGACTCCCAATACTAAGCTCTGACTGGCCCTGTTTCCAGCCTTGGTGGTCATCTCACATGCTCCCAAGTCATTGGTCAAGTGCTTCAATGCTTCAATCTTCAGCTGATTCGATATAAGAATGGACGAGACCAGCCCTGAGCCAACTGACAGTCTTTCCATCATCCCCTACGACAACAACCGTGATGTTGTTCTGTGAGTTCTCTCATTCATGCCAGACCTTCTTCTCCTGACCCAATCATCCAGACGAAGTGCAGACACGATCATCTACCGCGACCCACATACTAACCAATTGGTCCCCTTCCGCCATGACCAAAACCTTGACCGACATTCAACGGACTGTCCCACCTGTGGCCGTCCCTGGCACTCTCAGAACGATGGCCCTGCTCATGATTTGGCTCCAAATTCCCCAGACGACCAACCCACCTTCATCACTCATGACTATTTTGAGATGCTCGCCAGGAGCCTCCCGGGGTCCGCCGAGCCTTCACTGCCACCTTCCCCCAGGCGCCGCTTAGCTCAACCAGTTCGCTCAAGGCTCCGTCCACCCTCGACGAGGACTCAACCTCCTCCCCCGGACGCGGAGTTTGTCACCAGCGAGCCCGCCCCCGTCACCCATGCTCAAGGGATTTCTGAAGCTGCCTTTGTGCCCAACTATTTTGAGAAATTCTTTGTCGAAGAAAGAGAACTCGGTCGAGGCGGCAGAGGGGTCGTGTTACTCGTCAAACACCTCGTCGATGGTTTTTTCGCCGGCAGATTTGCTTGCAAGCGTGTTCCCGTCGGCGACGACCATGCTTGGCTTGAGAAGGTCTTGATTGAAGTCCGGCTGTTGACAACCTTGTCACATCAGAATCTCGTCTCCTATCAACATGTCTGGCTCCAGGATTACCAGGCCAGTTCTTTTGGCCCCAAGATCCCATACGCCTTCATCCTACAGCAGTATTGTAATGGTGGGGACATGCAAAACTATGTCCTGGGCTCAGCCCAGGCCACTACCACGACCCAGGACCTGAAAGAACGGATCCGGCGTCGGTCCAAAGGAGAGTCTGATTCTCCTCGACAAAAACACGAGCCTAAGAGGCTCCATTTTGATGAGATCTACAGCTTCTTCAAAGATATCACTTCTGGATTACGCTTTCTGCACCATAATAATTACATCCACCGGGATCTGAAACCGAGCAACTGCCTCTTACATACTGTCGGTGGTGAGACTAGAGTCCTCGTCAGTGATTTTGGAGAGGTTCAATACGAATATGCTACTCGCAAGTCTACTGGTGCTACAGGCACTATTTCCTACTGTGCTCCTGAGGTTTTACGAAGGATCACTCCCGGTGGGCCCTACGAAAACTTCACTTCCAAGTCCGACATCTTTTCTTTGGGCATGATCTTGCATTTTCTCTGCTTTGCAAATCTGCCCTACCGGGCCTCGAATGTTCTCCATGAGGAGAAAGAAGATGTCGATGAGCTGAGGTCAGAGATATTGTCTTGGGGCGGCTTTGACGATCAGCGAAAGGTGCGTCCGGAATTGCCTGGTGCTATTTATGCATTCCTGAAAAGGTTATTGTCACTGGAGCCGGACATGCGTCCTAGCGCAGATGATGTCCTCCAGGTCGTGACATCTGGAAGACTTGATGACCTCCCAACAACAAGACGCAAGAATTCCATGGAGCCGGAAGAACTCACCCCTGGAAGACGAATCCAGAAGCTGGATAGCCCGAGAAAGGGAAATTCTCCACAACGAGGAGTAGATTATGAATTATCTCAGAAGCGGAGAAAAGGTTCCGTGTTGACTGCTGAAACTTCGACCAACGATCTTTCCCCTGGATCCACGTTCTCCGGTGGAAGTGATGGAGAATCCTCCTCATCTCCTCTAAGGCAGAGCTCGGCCGGGCAGAGGCAGAACAGCAGAAATGGATCCAGTACAGTGATCATTCGGCCGCGACAGTCATCAACATCGGCTCCCACATCGCCGATTAAACGATCTTCCACGTCCCCATCCCCGGTCCGTCGGCAACTCCTCCTCGAATCGGCCCATTCTTCACCTCAAACACTCATCTCACGTACGGTGACTCGCGTCAGATCCTTTGCCGAAGGTCCAATAACTTCCCCTTCGCTCCGCATGGCCATCCTCGGACTTAAATTGCTCAGTACCCTCCAACCGTGTTTGTACCGTGGAATCAATGCCACGACGGCCTACCCTGTTATCGCCATTGCGTTGGCAGAATTCTCCGTCCAGGATTATCGGGTTTGGAAAGCAACATTGGCATTCTTGATCCACCTGGGCATATTGGGATTCGCGATGAGGTATAACAAGCTCTGTCGCCATCCTGGGACGACATGGCAGTGGGATGGCGACTAGACAAGACAGTCAGAACGAAGAAGCGACTACAAGTCAAGCTATTTCGCGTGCACTCATCGAGCATCACTTAATGAACGGCTACGGCGGAAGAAAAGTCGTTGTCATGATGGAACAATGATGCGTCCTGTCAGGACCTCTCGTTCCCGTGTATATAATCGCACCATTTTGCAGATGGGTCAATGGTGAAAAAGGTATTCCAATATAACTATATTTTTGTTGCGATGCGGTTGTCTGAACGAGCCAGGGCAGCCAGATACGTGATCAACATTGCACGTGAGACGTTTTTGATCATTTTCTCATTATTGAGTAAGGACACATGCTCATTGCATTCGTCGATACTGTCCAGATGAGGGAATTTTATACACACTTACAAACTATATGAATAGAGCCAGAGCACAGGACGATCTTTTACATCGAACAACTAGCCGCGCCGTTCTCCAGTCAGCATCCATCCTGTAATGTCCTGTCACTCGGTCCATCTTGACTGATAGGGTATAAAGCAGAGGCGAAGAAGGATTGCTCTATCCTTCAGTCACAGTAAAAGACATCCCATAAAACCAATCTGGCACCTATTCGCAAAAGTCAACATCCACCGTATATCGCCACACAGTTGAATTGTTGTTGACGGGAAAAATTACCATGAGCTACCTGGTTCTCATCCCTGCTGGTTCATATGGCTGGGGAGATTCCAATCGGCATAATCGGCATGGACAAAAGCACGGTCGACAGTAGGGACACTCTCAAGGACGTACTGGAGAGACTCGCCAAGGTCATGACTGTCTCTAAGACTCATATTCTCATCCAGCACTATGTCAACCTCAACGTTCAACTTATCGCCGGCATGGTAGGCCTGGAGGCCTTGAATATACTTGATCGTCTTTGCGAAGCGCATGGTGAGGTAGAGGAGGACGTTTCGTTGATCGGCAGTGGCGGCGGCGCCGCAGAGGTTCCGGACATGCTGTGATGAGGTCTTGGACCAGTTGGAGATGACGTAGAGAGATAGTAATAAGCCGCCTAGAGCATCGAGCCACCAAACATTAAGGTAAAAGCCGACAAGGGGGAAGATGATGGAAAAGGTGTTGAAGACGACATCAGTCACGGCATCCTGCGCCAGCGCTTGGACCGATGAGTTCTTGACTAGTCGGCACCAGAACCAACAGAAACCCTTGATCACCACAGTCGACACCATGATCATAATCGCCGGCAGCGTCAGCTGCACCACGGAATGGTCTCCGGACACGGTCAGACGGTTGATGCACTGTAAGAAAACCTGGAAAAACGACGTGATCATAATCACCGAAAAGACCAAGACACCGACGGGTTCCAAGCGCCGTCTTCCAACGGGATATGCATACTGATCTTGCTGCGAGATGAGCTTCGTCGTAGTCCAGACAATCGCAGTTGATAGGAAGTCAAGCGCTGCATCCACTAGTGAAGCCAACACCGACAATGACGATGTCATGACAATCACAGCGAGTTTAGCCACCAGCAAGACGACATTGGCCACGAGGTTGAGGTAGATAGCCGCCGTGACAACGGGATCGTCGCTGTCCACCCCTTCATCGTCCGAATCGTAGGGCACCTCTGGGTACAGTTGTTCTTCGGGGTCGATAGCAAGATCCGGATCGCCGAGTAGAGGAGTCGCCTCATCCGGCAACTTGTATAAATTCTTCGGCGTGCGTTTGATTTTGGTTTCATTGGGAGAAATGCCCGGTGAACTCTTTGTAGTCTCTGTCGGGGTAGTGCCAGCGGCGATGTTGGTGCCAGACCCAGGAATACAAATCGCCGACTGCGGCTCCTCATTGATCGTATTCATCGGATTGGTATATCCATTCCCTTGCGTCTTGGTATATTCCTGAATCAGATTATGCGGCAGCGACGAGTCGAGTAGTCGGTCGATGTAGATATACTGCGAAATGAGAAAATTATTGCGCTCATAATACTGGCGCAACGGTTTTTTCATCTTGCTCAACTGCTCCTCCGTCTTGTAATACTGTTGCCATCGGTACCGAGGATTGCTGTTTCCAATCAATCGCATACTGCGCATTTGAGGCGTCATCAAAATCTCCGGTCCGAGCGACATGCGTCGCGCATCGATCTCTTGCGGCGCTTGATAGCTGTGGTGCCATTTCCGATGGAGTGGCGACGCAGTCGCAGAGTCATTGCTACCGCCGCCGCCCAAGACTAGCTCGTCGCCGACCAGCGGATCGACTTCCGTGTCGGAATTGATCGAGTGTACGGAATTGCGTCGTTCGCTGCGCGGTCGTCGTGGGAGTGTGAATAGTGATGCGGTCGATCGGCTTTGGATTAAGCTTGGGAGTCGTTGTCCACGCGTCGACACAGCAGTGCTAGGTTCTTCGCTTAGTGGGATGAAGTTCGAGAGTCCGCTGAGGCGGTAGTGCGGTCGTTTGGTCGGTGGTGTCGATGGTATATCTTCCATTGTGAATGGAGGAAGTGATTGGTATGGTTTGGGATGATATGGTATGGGGGATGTGAGTTAAGGATCAGTCAGTCGCGGATCGGTGGGAGGGCGTGTATCAAGCTGGCCAGATAGATCGTAAGCTAACTACATGCACTCACAGCGGATGAGTAAGTATCGAAGGACTGAGAGAGTGATGGAAGATCGAGGATGGAAGAATGGAAGGCGAAAAGATAAGCCCGTGGAAATATACAGTCTTGTTAAAGTATGTGAATATGCATGTGAAGGTGAAGGTGAAGGTCTCGGTGGTCGCGTCTTTGCTCACATAGAGCATTCAAGAAACAAAAACATCTTTGCTGATGCTAGTCTGTTAAGACAAAAGACTCAAGAGCTCTGTATCATGAAGCTTGGGCTCACAGCTATTGCTGCATATACAGCATGATGAGGATGCAGGTAGACATATGTCAAATCCGAAACTGGGTTTTGAGTGGTGCTGCGCCAGCGCCAGCGGACGTGGACTTTCTTTCTGTCTGTTTCTCCACATGCCCGATGTCGCATACCTAACCTTCTGTAGTATAGGCGACAACCTTGGGGGGGGGGGGGGCGCTATGAGTACGGAGTAGGTGGGTGATCATCTGCTGTGGACGCCGTTCAAGCCAGCCAGTCCTAGCAAAGAATGCCAATTCGGCGAGGAGCGCCTCACCTCGGTTGATTGGTTAGTTGGTGGTGGGTGGGTTCTAGCTTGGAGCTCAGAGCTTGAAGCTTTGAGTGCTTTGTTGAGAACGAGGGTCTACAATATGGCCCCCAGGGGCATCTAAGGAGGCGCATGGGCGTGGGTGGTAGGCCGAGTGGCTCGGGTGGAGATGCCCATGGCCATCTTGCATTTGTTTTGAGCCCAGTGGAAAAGGAAAATCTCCAGTTCTTCTTAGAAATGAGATGTGAAATGTGTCTGGATCTGATAGTTTGACTAAATTATCTTCAGTTAGTCAGTACTCCGTACGTGTAAATGGTAGTGTCATCCAATAAGCATGCTATATGTTTAATTGTAATCGATAGCATGTGAACCGAGGCCCAGGAAGCTCTGATTTTGTCTCAGGCTTGTTTTAGAGTAGTACAACATGGATGTTTGATGTCATTTGTCCGTGAGAAGCACATATGTGTTTTGTTTTGATGTAAAACCATAGTTGTAGCTATCATTCTCTATGTGAACGAATGTAATCGAAATTTCTCTATCCACTCTCATGTCTATGCCATTATGAAATGAAAATTGAAACATGATGTAGCATATTAAACTAATCAAATTGCGTAGAGCTAGCTTATTAAATGCTAATCCATTATAGTCATCATCTCTGGGAACATCGATATCTATCTCCTATGTACATAGATCGTCCTCTTCTATTAGAGTGTAGTGGCCCAGCCGATCTTCCAGGCTGCATCATGTGTCAAAACGCCAGATCATCTATTCACTTGTTCGTTTGCTTGCGTGGTCCTGTCCAATATGTGCACTTGCAAATTGTAAAACATTGATACCGATGGAAAACTCCCGGGACCAAATCAATCATGTCTATCCTCGCTATGTCGATGAACTTGGATCGTAAAAGACAAAGACAGTAGGGTCTCACAAGACCAACCAGCATCCGCTCAACAAGGCTGAAACAAGAGTGCCGAGGATAACGGTCGATAGCCTGGTCATTCCATTACTCGGACTTGCGGCGGTGGCACTGGATGCGGCATTTGTGTGACTGCTGGAATCGCTTGTCGATGTTCCATCAGCAGTGTTTGTGCCAACGGGCGTTTCGGCCGGTCGAGCATTGGGTTGTTTCTCCAACAAAGCCTGGCACGCACTGGGGTTTGCCTCCAGCTGGCCGACAGGCCCGCTGAGGCTGACGACAATGGCTTGGGTATCTCTGACGAGGACCGATAATACCCCATCGTCTCCAACTCGGGCGGTGGCCTGAGTGTCGTTGACTCTGGTCGGTAGGCCATTGCCGCTTTCTTCGTAGCTGATTCCATTCCACGTCGTGCCGGATTTGGCATCTGCTCCTTCGTTGGTGAGATATGCAAGATGCACCTCTTCGCCAGCGAATTCCGTCGGCAATGTCAACTCAAAGGTCAAGCTTGGCTTGTCCGTCATCGATACATTGGCCTCGTTCGAATTGATCAGAACTATAGACGAGATCGTGCTGTCTTGGTAGATCTGATATACGGCACTGCGTCCTCCGTATGGCTCCGGGGCATTTGTGAGGACAGAGCCGCTGATTTGTGCCTGGCATGTTGGTCCGATCAACTGGTCAAATGCCGCATAAGCGTAATAGTTAGGTCGAACGAATGGATCTTTCCCGTAGAACCGGATTGGCTGCCATGCACTAGCATTGCTGTTGTCGGTCATGTGCATTTGCACCGATGAGATGTTCAACGTGGCGGCATAGAGGAAGAAATTCAATGCCCATAGTGAAGCCCCAAATACGTCGGTGATATCGTTGAGTCCAATTGGGCCAACAACGCCCATCTCTCGGAGATGGTATGGGTAAGGCGTAGCTAACGCTTGAAGAACTTGCTCCTCCCAATGAGCAAACTGGTCGTTGGTGGTCGACAGGGTCATGAAATGGTATTGTGTCAGAGGGTAGGTAGACACCCCAATGTAGTAGTAGTAATCATGTTGATTCCACGCGGCGATATAAGGCTTGCTGGAGTCGTTGGCTGTGACGGTGATGCCAAACGAGTCGAGATCATTGAGCTCAAATGACGTTCCGATCGTCGACGCCGTTGTACCAGGCTCGAAGATGTTGCTAGGGATGCCTCGAGGCCGAAGCACTTCTTGCCAAACGGCTTCGGCACGGTTTAACCACTGCTGGGTATAGATATTGCCGCCCCATTCTCCCGATCGAAAGCCGTTCTCGAGGTATAGATCAGGCTCGTTGCCTATTTCCAACGACACCACGTTGAGATTGGTCAGGCGATTAAACACCTGGTGGGCCATGATGACAATCTGGTCAAGGTAATCCGGCTCGCTGTATGCCAGGTTCAGACCAAAGGTGATTGGAGTGTTGCTGGGCCATCGGTTCATGACCTCGAAATAACGTGGTCCAATCACCATATGATCCGAGGGATATGCTCCCTGACCCACAGCCTCGGAGGCATTGTTGTACCAAATGTACTCGTCTTGGTCCTCGTTCCAAATAAAGTAGTCCTGAGTGTTTCCACCAATGCGCATGTGCGGAGGGGTGCCTGTATAATTGGCCAAGTTCTCTATCAGGTTTTTGGACAGTTCATTCTCCTCGGCGCCACCGGTAAAGGAAAACAGATTGGAGGGCTCAATGCCAAATCCGGCAAACGCAGGACTGATGAAATCGGATGCGCCTTCGGGAGGTCGGGCAGATATCGTCAAGGAAACAGTGCCTTGAGCAGTAGCGAGTGATACAAGACACGCCCCGGCGGTCAGAGAGAGATAACGAGCGTACATGGTGGTGTGGCTCGAAGCGATGAGCTGGGAGCTCGGGAGCAATTGAGCGGTGACTTGTTGCTGTTTGTCGTTTGACGAATGATTTCTAGCAACCAACCCACGGGGTTCCTTAAAACAAGCGACAAGCGATCGAACGACTGCTTACCTCTCTGGTGGACGGACGCAAAAAAGCACACACCCAGCAGCTAAAGCAACAGCGAGCGACAAATAAAGGATTGAATTAAATTCTACGACCCCAAATAACCACTCCCCGCCGATAAAAGCAAAAAGAATCGTGTCACCCAAGGCGCAGATTGAAACCACCAAGCCCAGATCATATGCATGCGGTATCTCGACATGGCAAAGACAAGGAAATCCAAGCACGTAGTCAGGCCCAAAACATGGAGATGCCGCTTGGTCGCCGCGCATGCCACGCAATCTAAGTGGACAGTCCGGGCTTTGGAGCTCCGTGGTTGGACATATCAGCGCTTGTGGCTTTGCTATGGGGGAGCTATCCAAGGTCGATGCCGTCATGGGATTGATCCCAAGACTCTATTTCTTGCTTAGACTCATCGAAATACCCGGTTTTAGGGCCACTTGGATGGGCCTCACTGCGGAGAGTTTAAGAGATTGCCCGTTGTTCTCAAACCCACCAGCCTCCTCGAGATCCTACCACACCTACGCAATTGATCCCCAGTCTTCTCCCATCTCCTGTAAATCCCATATGTAGTGCATAGTATGTCTCGGGCGGTGTCGTCAAGTCGAGACTTTCTATGTGGCCTCACGCGCCTCAGTAAGGCTCAGCCTTCCTGGGCATGTCTCGTCCATCTTGGTCGTGGTCCACTATACAGACCCAAAGAATAATTGCTATGACTTCAGGATGGACCAGAATGTCTTGCTGTAAAGGGGAAGGTGAAAGGCTGGGAGGTCTGCATTCGTAAGGAATGGCTGCAAGCAGTTGTACATACTATACCGTACTGTGCTCTCATTCCTCGCAACATTCTTCCGCCTTAAGGAACATGTATAGCCGAGACTCGTGAACTTAACGGGCCGAGAACAACTACTTGGTTACTATGTATGCACCTAGCTTTGTAGAGTCTCGCATGGGACTTGGGAGGCTGGTTGCGAAAAAGACATCACATCACCCGTCTATCAACAAATATGCTGGCTGCAGTTGGATTAAAATCCGTACATTGTCCAAGCGTCTTGGAAAGTTGGTGAACAAGTCGTCATTGAACATTTCCGTCCCGCAGTGGCTCGAGTGGCTATTATTATTGAGTGGAGGTCACTCGTATCTGGAGAAAGATGGCCGAGGGGAAGAATCGCCCGCCACTGTTTAAACCCAGCGGATCAGAGGTCCGGACCTGAGGTGACCACGCGAGGTGCCGCTGGTGCCGCCGCTGGTGCTGCCGCTGGTGCTGCCGCTGACCAACTGCGTAAACTCTGGTTTCTACTTGCTCCCAAGGTACCATAGCTACCGTTGACAGGGCTAACTCAATGTGCCAACACAGATTCTACAGTAGTCCTCATCCAGCATCCGATCGGTGACTTTGTACCGAGGCCTCGTTTGACGTGTGTCATCAGATTTGAGAGCTAGGATTGGCATGAGGGGTTGTATGTCTAGTAATCACATCACGGGGTCAGCTGCAGCCGCCCGGTGGGCGCGAGAATACATGCGAGTTGTCACGATAAGGCTAGCCTTTCGATCCTGGCGTATAGCATAGCCTCACACCGGGGTCTGTGGTAGTAAACACCGACCGGTCAGGTGAGGAACGAGAGGGGTGCCGAGTGTTAGTCTAATACGTCTATCAAGGTCACAGTTGAGACGTCGAGGAAGACGATTTCACTCAAGAAAGCAGGACAAATTGGGACGAAATTGGACAAAGATTGGATTATCCATTAGCCAACTGCAGGGGCAATTCCCCAAAAACTAGTATATGAAATTCGGTGCGACCTCGGTGCAACCAGGACCAAGCTCGTCAGGTCAAGCTCGTCTCATTAAGGCGTGGGGATCATCAAGTTGCTCTCATGCACAAAAAAGTAGTATACAAACAGGGTGGTGCCACCTTTCAAGGGTATGCCACCCGAGTCGGTGTGTGAGACCAGTGGTGTTCCTCCACGAGTAGATTAAGAAACGGTGGGTATAATGTATGATGGTACAGGTGCTGTGGGTTGTGTTGTTTGGGTGTGTTGGTACATGTGCTGGGTGGATTGGATGTGGTTCAGAAACGGGGCGCTGAGTTGACCTTGCCCACCACAGGATCTTGCTGATGGGTCGACGAGTGGGTGAAGCGCGTTGCCAGGACTGATTGTAAGGCTGTGTAGTGGGGGTATAGGTCGACGATATGACGATAAAATGTCCAGTTCTCCGTTGGACCGTGTTGAAAACGGAAATGGGTATTAGGGATTGAGGCTGTCGGAACGAGTAGGATGGGAAACAACCCACTGTTGTCGATTTGGAGCAGTGTGCATGGACAAGGCCATGTGTATTCGAGAGAACCAGTGGTGATTAACTTGCATGCTGCAAGAATGTTGTGCTTGAGAGCCGTGGGAGGGGTTGGCTGCCAGCTCATCGCCTCATGCAGCCGCCCAGATACCCTTGCTCACGTACATGTACATGTACATGCACGAGTGACCCCATGCCAAGCGGCGACCACTCCTGTGGACCGTGGGAGGATTTGGAAAACAATGACCGGTGTCGTGTTGGATTCAAGGCGTGATCAGACGATAGGCATCCCAGTATTATGAGACGTGGCCGCGTGGTGAGTTGTTTTGACGAGCTTGAGCCACACCTCGTTGCCGACTGGTAGCCATCGGCGATCCGTTCTCAGTGAGCTTGTAATGGTCAATCGACCAGGCTCAAGGCGTCTTTACTTGGGTAGCGCTGGCAGAGGCCGGTTTGGCGGAGGGCCTGGGCAAGGAGGATATTTGGATCCAGCAGGCATGGTGGTGGTCGATGTGATATATCGGAGGGATGATTGGGAAGATGATGAAGCACAGATAGCCATTCAGTTGAGAGGATGTGTATTGGCCAGGGGGCTCCAAGTGATGTGAGATGTATGGTAGGTCGTGAAAAATAGAATCTGTCTGGTGAGTCTGAATGTAGGTGTGTGCGACGAGGGCAAAGGGGAATTCAAGTGTATATTTATTTTTCTCGGCCATGCGGCGGACTTGGATGGTGTACCCTGGCACCAGCGATCATACGGAGAGTTGTTCCAGAAATGGTGACGCGAGCACAGTCATGCCTCCATTTTGCCCTGGTGCAACCGACCTGGGTTTCCCTTGTCCAAGGTGGATACTTGACTCTTGGAACATTGAGTTTTACGCCAGAAACTGAGTGTCTGAGCGTCTGAGCCAGAAAGCTCATGGAGCCTGAGCGGGTCCTGGGTGGAGGTGGTTCTGACATGGCACCATGGCAAACTGTCAAACTGTCCTTTTCCAAGGCATTCGGGGGTGGATGACCCCCCTGGCTTCTGCTCTCCTCTTCCGGTTAACACGAACCCAGTTGTGCCAGTCCTTTTCTCAAGGGCTCCTGGACTAGTCGTCACGCTAAAGACTCAGAAGGCCAACTGACAAAGCGAAGTCCCCGCCGCGTCCCAGCTGACCGGGTGAGCCTAACAACCTGGTAAGCCCGAGGAGATGTGGCCGTCGCCTGGGGTTGCTTGCCCGTACAGAGAGGTATTTCGAGGGTCGGGAAAGGAGGAGATTGTCACTTTTGATTGATCGTTGCTTGCCCGACAGGCCAGCGTATTCCGTAAAGGCGATTCTCCATTCAGGCAAGCCAGTCGACCACCCACCTCCAGATGCCTACGCACACGCACACGCACACGCACACGCACACGCACACGCACACGCACACCCATACCTGTACGGCCCACGGAGTACCCGTGACTGACCACCTGGACGAGCTGACCTTGCTGCCTGGCTCGGATCTCAGGCAACGCACCCCTGATGCCCTAGGTGTGGTTCCTTGACTCATGAGTGGGACACAAATCAAATGCTGCCAAAATTATGCCCCAAGACAAGATGCTGTCAATCTCAGTTCCACCCTGTTTTTATTATTATTGCTTGACCTGGCGGTGAACAGCAAGCAATTAATCAACAGATCAATCATGTTGGGGATTGACTCGGGTCTCAACTCTCTGGCCTAGGACCATTGTTTGACCCCTCGTCAGGCTGGCAAAACAACCGCCCGACCTTGATGCGCAACGCATTCCATCTGCATACGTTGCATCTGCAGGAACTTGGGTTGACTCATGTCTCGTTTAGCGCTTAGTTGTGCCTACGGAGTATTCGTATCCTCGGGCTGAACGCCTGAGACTCGGTTTCCCTGGCCCGGGTCCGAGGGGGTTGCAGTCTGATCAACACAACACGGATTCGTCGGATGTTGCGTTGTGACTTGTTGCGACCAGGAAGCCAAAAAAAAAACTTGGTTAACGTAGGCTACATGACTACTCCGCCGCCGCCAGCGTCGAGTTTGGATTCCTTTCGGTGGACCGGCAGAGGCCCCAAGGCCCAAGCTAGTCTCCAGATCAGCTGTCATTGACTTTTTTTGGTATCAGTCAAGCAACTTCGGAAAAGTCTCTTACGGCGACATAGTCAGCATTTTTGCACGCGTGATCGATCGCATGGACGGTGACCCCTCCTCACCCATGTCTAGTTCCATCTCTTGGGGTGGTGTCAGATGAAGAACAATTGGCGATTCAGACATGCCTTGGCTGTCCACGTTGTCCAACACCACCAATGGAGACCGGCTTTGTCGGCAACTCTGACAAACACATCCCCAGAATCAAGTTTTGGCTAGTCTTGGAGCCTCCGTCTCGGGCACTTTAGAGAGTCCGAGTCCTATCTCGTTGTGTAACTTCATTTATGCTGGTGCGAAAACCTTTTTGCGGAGCCTAAGCGCATGTTGCCAGGCGATACAAATCCCTGGGGCAGAGCATAAGGCGGCGACTACAGTACAATGGAAACTACGTTTCCAAGGTCGGTGAGCATGTTTAGCCAATGACCAATCCTGTCGCTGGCGCTCGCAAATGCTTTGAAACACGATCCGCGTGACATGCTCTAGCCGAGGAACAGTGACAAAAAGACCAGCCGCTCAAGAACTCTGTATCCAACCAGTGTGCCAGTACAGGTGTCAACTCTCACTAGAGGTAGTGTTGACAGGCACTTGCGGGTCACCCACTGGCAGTAGTCGCCAGGAACTGAGGGGTAATTGAGCGCCAGCTCTCCGTCACCACCATACAAAGCGCTTGGAGGCGTTTAGGAGATGGCCACTATCGAGTTGATGTGTGATCGAGGTATGTTTCATCGGCAGTCAATCCATCACCATTCCAGGAACACGATCATCGCACTCTCCACGGATGACGATGGTTCAGGAGGAATGAAAGATGGTACCTGGCGTACCTGGAAAAAATGGTCTGATGGTGGACGCCGAGTGCGGGTTCCTGAAGATCCTCCTTGCCGCTTGGATCACCGATCACCGCGTGGTTTTTTGCCACCTCCCGTGTTCAGGCCAAACCTTGAGCACAATTCAGTGCTCACCCGCTACTGGCGTGTTTCAGAATGCCTCCTGAAAGCCCCAACGGTTCGATGGTTCGATGGTCAAATGATTTTTGTAGATGCATCTCGATTCCTGGCGTTGATGGACAAAATTTTACTTTGGTCTTGATGTCACTTTTTTTTTTTTGCTTTCGTTTTCTGAGTCGACGGTGACGAGGACGGGACGAGGAGTGACGAAGCTGGTGGCTTGGTAAATGGAATGCCACAATGGGTTCAAGTGAGCCCAGGCCAAGGCTTAATGTTTTTTCTCGGCCAGAGGGCTTGATCTTGATTTCGACTAAGTACAAAATCCGTATTGCCCGGGCACGCCGGGGCAGAAGTTTCGGATTCTGTCTGCATATACGAAGACATCCCAGCGTGTACCATGCGCACAGCAAAACCAATGACACCTGCACTGCACGAGGCGCGGGTGTCAGCTGAGGTGATGCGAACGCACTTGTTTGGTGTCGATTCCTTCAGGAGGCTATCTCTAAGCAACTAGTGCGCCTGGAGGTTGACAGGAAGCTTGGATGCCTCGCAAACGGCCTAGGCCGCTGAGTCGGCTTCTCGAAGATTGCCTCCCTTCCACACAATTTCCCCTTTCCTTTGCACTCGATCCTGGGAGTCCGGGTACCTGGGAGAAGGGATGACAGCCCGGAAAGCGATGTCTCATGCCTTCTGTACATGGTCTGTAGCAAGCCAATACCTGAAAGGGCAATCTGGAGAGACATTCAGCCACCACTCTTGTCCCAATTTTTGACAGGTCTTGATCCAGCCATAAGCAACCTCGCGAAAGAGTTTTTCCCATAGGCAAACTTGGTTGAGCCTCATATCGATGACCCTGTTAGGCAATTCTATCACCCTGGCTCTGCACGAGTTACTAGTTAGTGTCGTAGACATGAGTGGCTTCAAATGTACCAGGGCTATTTTTCGGCCACGTTCGGTCCCATGGAGCATTTTGCACGCGCTTAACTTCGGCATGGCCGCTGACAAACTGCATGTCAAGCCGTGAATTGCCACAGTTACACGTGAGGCTGAGATCCCGTACACCGTATCCATGATTAAGGGAGAGAGCGACAGTCGCAATCCTTCTGATGCAACACTACCGTGAGGCTCGTGTAACTTGGAACTGAGAGTGTAGAGACCAAGGCAAACAAGCCAAAGGTGGAAACGCCTCCCTTTTGCCTCGAACGATCCGAGGCGAAAGTTGGCGGGCCTGGCCGCAAACTCATCTTATTCGGCTTGATGCAGGACTTTTGCCCTTGGGAATTCGACTCTAACCAGGAACCCAAGAGGGATGTTTCCCCTCGTCTGTCTGGAGTCTGTACCCTCCTAATAGCCACAACCACGTGGAAATTGCGTGACAGAATCAAAAGTGGGCAAAATTTGATGCAGGGTAGTGGAGTCTGGCGACCCCCGTAGTTCTCCCTTTTTGACTCCTCACCTCCTGGAACCGTTTGATTTCATTGGGAATGACACGAAATGTATTTGCTGTTTGATACACGTTCCAGTATGGCACCCTGGATCGACGGTCGCAATTTCTTGCACCCAACCCACAGCCCTTAACCCACATTCAGGTGGTTTAGTCCCAACCCCTTGGGTTGATGCAGGACGCGACTTGCCCTTACCATTGGTGGTACTGTAATTGATCAATGCTCCAGACACTTGACAGGGAGGCACGCGAGGCTGTGGACAATCTTATTGCCAGTGGCTGCCTGAGGCTGAGGCCGAGATTTCTGTGGAACTCAGGGTGTTGAAGGGTTGAACCCTTGGAATGTCGAGATGTACGTCAACTTTGACCACCACTGAATCTGGTGGGTCAGGTCCTCTTGTATGCAGGGTCTCTGGGGAGATCTCGGGCCCGAGGGGCCTACGGAGTACATGCCAACTCTCAGTCTGGCATCGTTGATGGACTCTTATCGATGGTTTAGGGATCGCGAGGTTTTGCCGGGTGAGTGTCAACACCATGACAAGAGCTTTCAGCATTCAAGACCACTCGAGTTAGATAGCATTGATCAACACCATGACCCTGCTTCAAGAGGTGCGGGTGGTCGCCTAGAGGAATGCAACATGATGATCAATGGCTACGAAGGTTTGTTCCATGATTGTTTGAAATAGTCTGTCAATTCACCAAATTCGGAAGGTGTAATTCCTTTACAGTGTAGAGCCAGACCGCAAGACTTGGCCAGACCTTGGGCAACACACCGCCTTTCCATCATTCATCATCCTCTTTCTGTTGTTGAGTCGAGGTGATCCAGTCCTGCATCAAGGCCTGCGCATTTCCTTCAGTCGCAGCAGCCGACTTCTTGCCTGGCCCTCCCTTGCGTTCAACGAAGAGGCAAAGCACCCACCCCCAGATGCTGAAGCCGTCATAGGTGGTTTTGAACCCCAACTTTTTCTTGTCATCGTCTTGGTCGGGGTTGAAAGTATCATCCAGCACCCGAGACGTCTCCTCGACATCACTTTTATCATCCGCGTCAGGGATGTCGCTGATTGCGATATCTTCATCGTCACTCTCATCACGAATCATGATAGAGTCGGTCCCATGATTAGCAGCAGTCATCTTACTACCATTGTTGGTGCGTAGAGAGGGCTTTTGCTTGAACGTCTTGTGCTTGACGATAAGTGAATGTCGGGTCTTGAGCTCAGTCAAGAAAATGGAAACCTCAAAGTCGTCTATAGCACTTTGTCAGCAGAGGAGCCAGAATGCCGAGAACGATGGAACGGCGAACCCTGCTTGACCACGTCTTTGACAGTTTTCTTCTTTTTTCCTTTGCCCTGGGCCCTTGCATTCTCTTCGATGAGCTTTGGGAGAACAAGAGGCTTCACAGCTTCAATGACGCGAGTGAGCGCAGGATCCCCAGCCTTTAGCAGCCACCTTTGCTCATCTGCTGGGTTCTCCAGGAATATACGACATTCGAGAACCGAGTATTTGCTGATTCGAAGATATCTCCTTATCGGAGCCATGTCTAATGTGGTGAAGGTGTACGGGACATCCTGGTGCTAACACGTCAAGCCCCTTGAACAGATGACATTCGTGGTACAACAATGCATTCAGAATACGAACTTCAGTTCAGGTTCAACTGACGACACTGAGGATGAATTGATGACGAAGATCCTGCCAAGGCGCTAGTTGCTAGCGGATTTCTATGCAAAGCTTTGAGGAAGATGCACCAATTGAAGATTCCACTTCCGGTAATAATTGTTCTTCCGTATCCCAACCTTCAGCCTTGTGCAGCCCTGCCTCAAACTTGAATTTAATTACGGGTCCGCCTTCTTGGTGAGTTCTTACGATGAAGCAAAGCACATGAGCACAGAACACAGGTGGTGCAAATACTTAACAAGGAAGACTTCTGTCTCCAGAGGATAACGGTGGCATCAACGGGGAGGAAAATGGCTGTGAGGGTGAATAGTAGGAGAGAGGAGCCAGTCAGGAGCATCAGAAATGGGTTCTTTAAGGAATCAGATGGTATGCTCCCATGTTTGAACATCTGGGGAAGTGAAGAGATCGAGCAGGTTCCCTCTATGGCGATGGCGATGGCGATGGCGCTAGTGAGCAAAGATCTGCCTGGTGAATTTGTTCCTTTCTGTTGGATCACGCCTCACCCCCAGCAGAAAAGCAGGAAGGTGCAGTTAATGGTGAATCAGTTTCTCTTCCTCCTCCGCCCACAAATCTTCTTCATCCTTGACCTTTCACTTCAACCAGACTTCACGTCTTTGTTCTGAGACTGCAGTGACCTAGCCTATGTCGTGAATGCCTACCTAGGTAAGCAGCACGGCTTTCGCCATGTCTACACCAAATTTCTCTCGTCACCTTCAATCTCCCGGATCCACTCCCTCCCTTGACACTCCTGTTCGAAGTTCACGTTCTCGTCATGTCCTGCTAGAGTCACCACACTCGGCTCCCTTCACGATGTCTTCCGACTCGTTACATCTTCACGATCTGTTTTATCGTAACGATTTGTATGAGCTTGACACGTCACTCACAGATCCCCCACATCCAATTCGATCCAGCAGTCCTCAGGTCTCCCCAGTCAGACAACATGATCAAACCAGATCCAGAGAAAGTCTCTCAAGCACATCCGATCCTCAGATGGCTCATATCAGGTAAGAGAGGTGTGATACAGTGACCATCATTCATCGTATCTGACAGGCCCGCTAGCGTCGATCTCGGTGGCCCCGAGAAGCCAATCCCCAACTTCCGTCCTCAGTTATGGCGACACCTAGACAAGCAGCGAGACTCTCTCAATCTCGATCTGTTCTGGTCTATCAAGCTGGAAAGCCACGGGTCTGATGATGAAGATGGTGGTGACATCGATGATCTTGACGAAGACCAAGAAGATCTCAACAAGGACCTTTTTCCCATCCAAGGCCTGCGACCTCTTCTCACATTCCACAACCTGCGCTACCTTCAATTGAATGGTATGATGCAGTCTTACCAACCTCTGATCTGGGCCACCTGCTGGGTCAACAAGAACCTGAGCACGCTCCACCTCGAGATGGCTTTGGAACCTGAAATGAGACAACCTCCATTCGACCCGAGAGAAGGCAAGCCATCGTTTCGCCGCATCGATCGACACTGGACATATGACCCATCTGCTGAGGTTGATGAGGAATACACCGAGTATCTTGGCTTCCACGGTGAAGGAAGATTGCATGAAGAGTTCGGCTATGGCGAGTACCTCGATCAACAAGCCATCCGTGGCGCTCAGTTCTTGGTGGCCAGCCAGATGCCTCGGGAAAATCTCCGTTACCTCCCCATCCGAAATCTGACCCTGCAGAACTTTGCGCTCGACGCCGGCCCCTTTTACAAGTGGTTCGACCCAAAGAAGCTGCGTGAAATCAACTTGCGGGGCGATTGTCTCGACACCGGATTCTTCCTGCCCGATGACATGAAGTTCAAGGTCAAAGTCACAGGCCCGTCAGCCAACCCGGCCCGCCTTATCGCTCCCGGAGAAGTCAAAATCGTCGATATTCCCGTCCGAAAGAATCCCGTCAGCCCACCGGACATGAACATGAATGGCAGCAACTTGAAGAATAAGATTAGTCAGATTGTGCCACTGTGGAGAAACAAAGGCAACGAGAGCAACGAGAGCAAGGAGAACGTCAAGAAATGATATGAGCTAGGATCAATCCTCGATCTTGATCGTTCCACTTTTCACGTTGAATGCTCTCTCCAAGGAGCGTCACTTGGGTGGTTTGGAGGCGCTGGGAACAGCACATTACGACTGTGTTAGTGTAGGAAAGGGCCGGTTTGACTGCGGCAGCAGACGCATGCGCATACGAAGCAAGGCAGTTGGCGCATGACTGGTTGTTTAGCTCACCAAGGCCGCACCGCCACCAAGATTTGTTTGGATTGGTGCTTCATGTTGGGCCTGGAAAAAAATCACCGGGGAGAATGTAATAAAAAAAATGGGAAAGGCGTATGACATGTTCTGTGTCTTGCTCGGTCCAGAGATAGACGCAACAACGCCTTGCTTGACATTAATCAATCAATAAATCGACCTGAGAACAATCATCAACGCCCCTGTAGTCATCTTGATGTGTCTATACAATCAGCCTGGGACAAGATGGTCATAGAAGACTGAGCTTATGCCGGTGGGCTGAGGTTACGCACGAGTATAGCGAGAATATGCCTCGAAAAAGACTGATCACCACGGACGGACGGTCTTGTCAGGGCTCCGATCAGAGGTCCTGATATCCCATACATGTCCGTCTCTAATACTTCTGATAGCCTCGTCCGCTGCCATATGTGCTCACACTGTTGGCATAACCATAACCTGGGTTCGGAGACATGGTCCCAGAGATCATGGGTTGCGCCTGGCCGCGGTTCTGGTACATTGCACCGGCGTTGCCCATGACAGGTGCTACTCCATACTGAGCTGACTTGAGCTCGTTGTTCCGTTGCTGGGTGATGGTGCTGCGGTATGCTAGAACCTCGGCAGCGTTCTTTTCGTATTTGGCGTCTTCGATCAGCTTCTCGTGCTTGCCTGCTCGCCGTTGTTTGATGCAGCAGAAGATGAAGATGGCGACAATCAGAAGAACGACACCGCAAACAACACCAATAATGATGTATTTGGTGGTATTGGGAAGTCCGTTCCATTTCTGTGACACGCTCTGGACAGTGGATTGGCTGTTTTCGCCGTCGAGTTGAATGGGTTTGGTGTCACTGTCAACGTGTTAGCTGTGATCATTGGTGGAACATCAAAACTTGGGGTAATTCATACTTGACAACCTTGATACTCTGCCAGCTACCACTTCGATCGGTCCATTGGTACTGCGTGGCTTCGGTGGCATCAGAAATGCGGACTGACTTCACTGTCATGGTCCAGGGGACATCTTTGTAGTCGGTCTCACCACCGGCCCATTCAATAGTGCCCTCAGGGTTCTTCGGGTCACCACCAGCCCAGATACCGAGACGAATGTTGCAAGGGGTTTGGGGAAAGTTCAAGCCTCCATTGGCCTCTCCTGCCTTGAGTACGCGGATGGATTGGCCATCGATAAACCATTCCAGTTGATCCCGCGTCCAGTCCACCGTGTAGTTGTGATATTCATCCTGAGGTTTGCTGACTGGATGCCAGATGGCGCGGTCAAAGGAGGTTGTATTGCCCTTGCCAAAATAGTTTGATTGCACGTGGGTGTCGTTTCCTCCAATCCATTCCCAATCAACTTCATCGAGATCTTCTGACTGCATCACAATCGAGGAGACAATACCAGTGCCTGTTGCGGCCTTCATGATGATTTCTACCTGGCCGAAGAAGATATAGAAGTTGGTCTGGACGGTGGGAGCATCGCCTCGTCGGTTGATGGTGAATTGAGCACCCGCAGGTTTAAAGTCGACCTTTCCCGCCGTTGTGTTCCAAACCCTTGTGGACATCATGTTCTTCTCGAAATCAATGGTATAGTTGGAGACACCCAACGCCTGCATGTCGGGACAGTCATCTTTCTCGAGGGGGTTACAGTCTGTGAATGTCTGAGCCAAGGAGGTGGATGCGAGTAGGGAGAGGAGGGCTACGCCTGCGGTCTTGAGGTTTAAGGACGGCATGGCGGTTGCTGAGAATTCTCAGGTTATGTATTGGTCCTCCAGATGGTGCTGTTGTATCTTTGAGGTCGAACAAGTCGAGAGACCCTTCCGAGACAAGTCTTTCTTTGTCGATAAATCAGGTGGTTGACTCCAGGTCTTGCCACCAGGACAAATGGCCGTGCGTTGTGGCCAGGAAATTTGAGGTGCAATTGGACTGTGCGTATGTATCAAGTGTATTCACGTCACAACGATAGAGATCTTAATGAATGTGGGGTGGTCCGAGTCACTGCACAGCGCGACTCTGGAGAAACGCAAAGGAAGGACTGACGGTGTATAACGAGCGGCAACGTCGCAACACAAAGGCTGTGCTTGAAGAGACACAAGAAAGAGAGGAAGGCGAGAACAACGCAGCCAGATATTCAGCCTGGGGCCTGTAGAGAAGAAGGGCCACGCAGGGGAGGTGTGTGGTGCGCAGTGCAAGGTCGGGAGGCATGAAACGCGACGATGGCTTGATTTCGAAAAGGGGCCGCGCCAAGTCCAATTGCAGCCAGTCGCCGCGCCGTTGCCGATCGCGCTTTCCTCATTTCTGCTGGTTCCCTTTGTCAATGCGTTTGCTCAATGCAGCCTACCCCTTCGCCTGGAAAACAACCGTGACTCGACATACGCATATACCCCGTGTCCAACGACGACATAACAGCCGATCAGTGACGTGCTTAGAGAACAGAATACATAATACGGCACAGCGGCACGGGTGGTTGATGTCTGTGAGGTTGTTCAAGCCTTGAATCATGATCACGGCGTGTCAAAGGCACTTGTCATGGGACTTGGAGATCTGCAGGTGGTAATTTGAGGTGAGTCCACTTGATGATAGCTACCCTTGCAACGATAAAGAGCTCGCGTAGGTGGCTGAGTATTTGGGCGAAAATCTATCTGGTAACGCCTCAATCACATGATAATAATTTATACAACTACTCCGTAAGTGTTGTTTCTGGGGTCACGATATGGAGTAAGAGCAACAATGGGATTTGGAGGTTGAGCCTTCCCGAGATGCAATGAAAGAACAGTACTCCCTAGGCAGGCGCTGTTGGCATGGTGCGTGGTTGCCTCGCCATATATCGTTGATGGAGTTGTGTTCCACCGCACCAATTACTACAGCGCACCATATACCTGAAGATGACTGCTAGACTACGATGACTTGCATCTGGCCAGGGCCTAACGAGGGACGGTGCTTTTTATTCCATGCGGGGTTTCGTCACTCGCCGTTTGACAAACAAAGCCTCAGCAAGGCCAGTCACTCATTGCATGGTGACTGTTCACCATCACATCTCCCAGCCAAACACTTACTGAACTTCCTCAAAGCGTCCATCGCTGCTCTAAACCTCTGCCATGCATGAACTCTCCCCCTACCTGATTCAAAACCAGTGACGCGAGATCTACCCCTTCCCAGCATCATGGCACAAGATCAAACCCCGGAAGGGGTCTTCTCCTTCCTTGACACTGATCTGTACAAGCTGACCATGCAATGTGCGGTCCTCAAGTACTTTCCCTCTGTTAAGGTGGAATACAAATTCACCAACCGAACGCCCCAAATGCGCCTGAACAAAACCGCATTCAATTGGTTAAAGACACAAATCGAAAAGCTAGGCAACATTAGACTGACGCAGCAAGAGTTGGAGTTTCTGAGGTCCAGCTGTCCCTTCCTCCGCGATGACTACCTCAATTATCTGCAATTCTTTAGACTCAGGCCCGCAGAGCAGATCAAGCTCACCTTTCAACCCGTCGATGAAGAATTTGGGGATCTGGACGTTGTGATCACAGGGCTTTGGGTAGAGACAATTCTGTATGAGATTCCTATACTTGCCTTGACCAGTGAGGCATATTTTCGCTTTGTTGAGACCGATTGGGATCATCAAGGACAAGAAGAGAAAGCGTATCAAAAGGGGGTTCGTCTGCTGCAAGGAGGCTGCCTGGTCTCTGAGTTTGGGTCTCGCAGACGCAGAGACTTTCACACCCAGGACTTGGTCGTACAAGGATTGGTCAGATCTTCCAAGGAAAAAGATCTGCCTGGTAAGCTGACTGGCACGAGCAATGTCTACTTCGCAATGAAGCATCGAATTGCCCCCGTTGGGACGGTCGCCCACGAGTGGTTCATGGGCATAGCTGCACTCACCGGTGACTATGAAAATGCAAACCTGAAAGGACTCCATTACTGGCTTGAGTGTTATGGTGCAGGGGTCCTGGGCATCGCATTGACAGACACATTTGGGACGTCAGACTTTTTCAAAGCGTTCAACAAACCCATCCCAACCACAACTTCTGCCTCGGGTGAGCTCATAAGTGATCATGTGGAATCTTCAGATGGATCCAAAGGGTCCACTTTTGCAGAAGTCTTTACCGGCATCCGACAAGACTCGGGCGATCCCAAAGATTATGTGAAGCAGGCGAGTGAATTTTATGACTCCGTAGGCATCAAGGGAAAGACGATAGTGTTTTCCGACGCACTGGATGTGGAGAAATGTCTGGAATACAAGCAGGTGGCAGAGTCTTATGGCTTCAAGGCATCTTTCGGAGTGGGCACCTTCTTCACCAATGATTTCACGCTCAAGTCAGATGGCCAGACCAAATCCAAGCCGTTGAATATTGTCATCAAACTGTCCGAGGCCGGTGGCAAACCTGCCATCAAGATATCAGACAACATTGGCAAAAATACAGGTCATGCAGAGACAGTCGAGGAAGTCAAAAAACGACTCGGATACACGGAGAAACAATGGGGTGACGGCAATGAAGCACAACGATGGTAAAGCGAGGAAGGAAATGTCGCAGCCTTGTGGCAGCAGGTCAACCTGAAGTGGGCGCTACCGAATGAGTGTCAGTTGGTGAATGTGGAGACTCGAGTGGGCGACATCAACTGTGGCTGTGAATGAAATGCTAGACAGAGCGGAAAGCATTTATTATTGGAGCCTGCATCACATATTGCAGATTGGATAGAGACTAGATGATGATCTTCACGATGTTGATGATGACTTGCTAGATAGTCTGATTGCCTGGAACGAGTGGCCAAGGCAAGGCGACCTCCAGGCATGAAGCTCACAATGAAATCATACCGAATAAACTAAATATCTCCGACGTTGAACAGCAACAACCAATGTGGAAGTTGAGGGGTTGGTAGGCCATTGAAACCCTGTCAAACTAGTGCGACATTGGGCGATACCCATTTTTGCCAGCAGTTTCATGACTGATGATTTGGCCAAGTTAAGATTGCGAGAGCTTGATTGGAGGCAAGCATATCTGACTAAGGCTCTACCGAAGCGATGCATCATGGGGAAGCGATCGTTAATAACACAGATAGCATTATGCCCATCCTTGAGAAGGTAATGGACTCCGTGGATGGATGCGGTGATGGGTACCCCTAACAGTAATGATAGAACGCGTCGACCAAGACCGGAAGTGCGTGGAAGACAGAGATGACAGTAAATAATGTTCTAGCGGGGCACAGAGGAGCAGGTGGGTTGGCAAACTACTGGTGACGAGACAGTTACAGTTTTGACAGATCGCAAGCTGGGTATTTTTTGGGGTTCATCAGGAGCACAACTCGGTATCCCTCGGACAGAAATCATGCTTATGCCTGGCGCCCGGAGGTCTTGGGCCGTTGCTAACCCAAGCCAGGAAAGGCCCAAGACCCAAGCGTACAGAACCCTAGCCAAGATTTCTGTCATCTGGGGCCTCTGGATTCTGGCATTCTGCATGTAGAAGCCCGCTGGGGTCCGCTTATCAGGCCAAGTGCGACGTGACATTGACTGAGGAACACGAGTGCCTGAGACTTGACTGGTTGCAGACAGGGCACGCCTACTCGCGTGTTCACGTTCAAGTAAGAAGAAGCCTAAGGGATCTCCTCCAGGCTGCACATGTACCCTTGCACAGCCACCTTCGTCCCTTTCGAGTCCCACACATTCACGCCATTTACCCAGTCTGCCAGTCAATCCATTCCCGTCTGCAGTTTGTAGTCCAGGCTTTTAAGGCTCCAGACTCAATCAAGCCAGCCCTGGACCCCTCAGCCCTCCTCCAAACTCGCGCTCTCTCGCCCTCACCCTCACTTCTAGTACGCATGCTGCAGCATCTGCATCTGGAGCTAGTTCACTACGCATATGTGGAACAGGAATACTGTAGTTGTAGGCCTACTTGTGCTATTCCAGTGGCAAGCTGACCACCACCAGTAGTGCAGCCACTACTACTCCAGACTGCTAAGCTTGCTAGTACCATAGTTAACTCCTCTACCTACCAACTTAGTCTTGATCACTCATCTCAGCCCTTCTCTTTCCTCATCCCATCTTCCAGCCAGCCGATCAGCTGCTGATTCAACCCTCATCACCTCTCCATTTCTTTGTTCCAACCTTCTATTTCTTCCTGTCGCATCTTCCATCGGTCCTGCTCCGTCGGTCCACATATCGCAGACTGTACCTATTCCTCTTTTACTCCTTGCCCAGTCGAGCCGTCCGACCCCATCCTTGTCAGATCACATACCTTCCACTTGCATTGTTTTCTCACATCAGCTTTTGACTGCTACCTAATCACAAACCGGCCATCATGAGTGTAAGTCTTTGTCCTCGCAGCACGGCTCTCTCCAACACCCATCTCCTCGACGTCGCCCGCCGCTGCTCAATCCTACACGACCCCTTGCTACGTTGCCCGGGACCTGCGGGCTGACCCTTTTGTATAGTATCAAAACTACGGCGGCCAGCAAGGCGGAAACCAAGGATACGGGTCTTATAACCCCTATGATCAAGCGTCAAACCCATACAATGACACCCAGGGTTACAGCGATCAGCCGGCCTATGGCGGCCGGAATCAGGGCAATCGTTATGGCGATGAGGAGCAACAAGGAGGATATGGCAAGTACCACGCATCCCTCGACTACCAACACCCACTAATTTTTCTTCAGAGATGAGAAATGTCAATGGCTCAGACCCAAACCGAATCCTCAACGAAACCCGTGCCGTCGATCAGGCCATTGACGAGATCGAGGCCGATCTGCAACGGCTGAGAGGCTTACAATCTCGCTACCTGGCGGATACCAACACCTCGGCTCAATCCCCCCTACGAATCGAAGTCGATCGTACTGGCGATAATATCATGACCAAGTACCGAGGACTTGTGACCAGAGTCAAGAATATCAAGTCCCAGCCCGAATCTGGCAACCCCCGAAATGCCCCTCAGGTGGGCAAGGTGGACAGGAGACTCAAGACTGCCATCAATCAATACCAACAGGTTGAGCGAGAGTTCCGCAAGGCTTCTCAAGAACAAATGGCCCGACAATACCGAATTGTCCGCCCAGACGCGTCAGACGCCGAAGTGCGCGAAGCAGTGGAAGACCCCAACAACCAGCAGATCTTCAGTTCGGCCTTGATTCAAAGTGACCGACGCGGTGAAGCTCAGTCAGTGGCCAGAAACGTTTCTCAACGTCACGAGGATATTCAGAAGATTGAACGACAGATGATCGAACTTGCTCAGCTGTTTCAAGACCTCGAGGCCCTGGTCGTTCAACAGGAGCCTGCTGTCACTCAGATTGAGCAGAGAGGAGAGGAGGTTACAGAGCACGTCGCCAAAGCTAACACCGAACTTGGCGGCGCCGTGGAGAAAGCTCGGGCTGCGCGCCGGAAGAAGTGGTGGTGCTTGGGCATTGCTCGTAAGTTAAAATTCACTGCTACGGTATGTACTGTGCTAACGGACCATCAGTTCTCATCGTTATCATCATTGTGGTCATTGTGGTGGTGGTGGTCAAGGTCACCTAATCAGGTGCAAATTGATCTTGTGTCTCGAATACGTTTGAATAGCATGCATGAGCTCTGGTATGGGAATCAGAACTCAAGCCTGAGGATTCATGTCACGTTCCAGTCGACACCTACTAGCCCCCACTTGTGCGCACGGTTGTCCCTCGACCAACCCATCCGCGTCCCATGCGTGCATGCACCCTCCACCAACCACCAATCCACCACCTTCACAGCTTTCGAAGATCCCCGGGGGTTAGTCTCGACGAGAATGGAATCTCGATCTCGGTGTGACGAGAGAATGGCATGTGCCAGACATCGACCCCGAGCACATACATCCGTCCTCGACATGGATACAGGCTACACACAGTTTCTGCATGTTCAGAAAAAGCAGGCGCATAGCGAGTTCCTTTTTTGGTTTGGTCTCTTTCCCAGTCTCCCTTTTATGTTGCAGAGTTTGTGCGCGCCCCTATTGTTGGATGGGACTCTGTGCACTTTGTTGGCCCCATGTACGCGTCTGCGCGTGTGTGCGTGTGCGTGTGCGTTGGGAGGGTGCCACAAATACATGTACAGCATAGAAAATTATGCACCGTTTTAATTCAACTTGCTTTATAACTGCCTGCGGATTGTCCTGGTGAGCGTGAGAATGAGTAGTGGGAAGGAGACGAGTTTCCAAACGACTAGCGTCCTTTGTGTGTTTTGCTTCGTTATCAGCTGATCTTGTAGGATATTTATAAGGAAGACGATGGTGGCATCATGGCATGAATGAACCAGGTTTAAGATCATTATGTGGGATGTTTGCGTTTCCTCCGAGAACGATCGTAGCGAGGATTTTGCTCGCGATCGCGATCAAGGTTGCAACGAAAGTTCGCCGGTGTATATGCTGATCCTCGCTGACCAGGGCACTCTGATTGACACTCGCGTCCAACTCGAAAGGCTGGTTTAATCCGATCCCGTTTCGGCCAACTCGAGCGAAGAAGAAACGACCCAAGTGTCGAAAAGGGTGAATGCTGATGACAACGTCAATTCAACAGGTGGATGATTGCTAGAACCTAAGCAGAAGACGCCTGTCGTTTAGCATCCTCCTCGGGCGTCCGCGTATGCAATTGCAACGCATGCACAAGTCCCGGCGCCATCTCATCTTTGAGAAGATTGTTGACCATTCGGTGTCGTGAGAGTTGGGTTTTGCCGGCAAAGCTGGGTGATACGATGTCGAGTCTGAGAAGAGGTGAGAATGGGAAAGGGTCAACGGGGTTGGTTGTGAGGATCATCGTAAAGCACATGGACCACATGAACCACGAGGCTATGTAATAAGGGTGTAAATAGAACTTGAACTTACTCAAAGTGAGTTTCTTTGGACGTCACTCCTCTCATGGCGCTGTGATGAGCATGCTTGTGAGAGTTATTGATGATGTTCAATTCCACGGGGGAGAAGGATTCAGTGATCTGTCATTTGGAAGGACTCATGTCAACAACATTTTCATTCTCAGGGACACGTACTGTTTATGTAATGTGCCATGGGGAACTGAAGTGGACGGAAATAGAATTGTCCTCACCTTCTTTCTGATAATGTCTGCGAGAGGTGTTTGTGACTCGGTGGCACTAGCATTAGCTACCGTAGAGGCCATTCTCCTAGCAGAGAGAGTGGTGAGTCTGGTTAAGATAATCGACCGCATCGGAGTGCTAGGGTGAGAGATGCGGTGATTATGGAGGAGAGTTGAGTATATTGTGAGTGAGGTGTCTCGATGGGATGTCGTGGAGGTTGAGGTTGATGTGGATGGAATAAAATTATCAAAATCCTTAGTACAACGGGCACCTAACGAAGCCCCCTCGGCCTGTTGAGTGCCAGTGTTTTGGGGTGTCTGGGGTCCGGGGATGCCTAAGAGACTACCCACAAAACCCGTTCCTAGGGGTTACCTACTTAGTACCGGGAACTGGACATCCAGATGTACGACTGTGTGCTATGAGATGTCCGACACAATGGATTATTCTATTATACCATCATAGACGTCTTTCTTCACAACTACCCCCTCAGTCCTACCAGGTTCCAGAACCAAACAACCCGTTCAAGGCCGATCGGAGACGAGAAATGATCGGAAGTTGACAGGCTGATGGACGGCGAGCTGGATCGGAAGAGGGCTGGCCTTGGCAAAGTTGATATTATTTGCAACGTTTCTGATTGGCTCTCAAGGTCAAAGCATCATCGAAGCAACTCACCTCAACTCCACGCCACGACCATTGCCCGTTTCTTTCTTTCCATTCCACCACCTCAACGTCCACGCTGCTCTCCACTCCCTCCTCGACCGTGAGACAAGCTGCGCACCGTCGATACCACATCCAGGAAGCTTCAGACCCTCACGATGGCAGCTTTACGATCCTCCAGCCGCCTCCTCGCCCCGACTCGATCTGCCTTTCGCTCCTCCTTTGCCGCTCGTTCATATGCCACCGTAGTCGACACCTCGGCCAGTCGGCCTGCAACCCCTGCATCGCAGTCGACACCCGTTGAAGAGCCTGCTGCCACCAAGGACGCAAAGATCAAGACCTTCCAAATCTACCGATGGAACCCCGATGAGCCAACCTCAAAGCCCAAGATGCAGTCATACACTTTGGATTTGAACAAGACTGGTCCTATGATGTTGGACGCTTTAATTCGTATCAAGAACGAGGTTGACCCTACCTTGACCTTCCGACGAAGCTGCAGAGAGGGTATTTGCGGGAGCTGCGCCATGAATATTGATGGTGTCAACACCCTGGCATGCCTTTGTACGTCCGGTCCGTCAATATATTTCCTTCAGCTCTAACAACCATACAGGCCGTATTCCCACAGACACATCCAAGGAGTCGAGAATCTATCCTCTTCCTCATACCTACGTCGTTAAAGATCTCGTACCCGACATGACCCAATTTTACAAGCAGTACAAGTCCATCAAGCCCTTTTTACAGCGAGACAGCAAGTCTCCAGACGTGAGTTGTTTTCCCTCTCTTGTTTTGGGTAGCCCGACTTTGCACAATGCTGACTATCTATCCTCAATCAGGGCAAGGAATTCCGTCAGTCACCAACTGAACGAAAGAAGCTCGACGGCCTTTACGAATGTATCCTGTGCGCGTGCTGCTCAACATCCTGCCCATCCTACTGGTGGAACAGCGACCAATATCTCGGCCCTGCCATTCTCCTCCAGTCATACCGATGGCTCGCAGATTCACGTGACGAGCGCACTGCCGAGCGAAAGGAAGCCTTGGACAACAGCATGAGTCTTTACCGATGCCACACCATTCTGAACTGCTCGAGAACGTGCCCCAAGGGTCTGAACCCTGCCAAGGCCATTGCAGAGATCAAGAAGATGATGGCTGTTTGAACCCAGCGACGAGTCTATGTGTGATATTGTTTACACTACCCGTTCCTCCTACTTTGCATCTGGGAACTTCAGCCATGTATATATAAACACTCTGCTGCTATCTGCTGCTATCCACAATGACCATGAGCCATGATGGAAGTCTGTGTTGCGTTGCGGTGGGATCCAGCGTTGGTGCAGGATACAAATAGTTTTTATTCTCTGGTAGTATAGTGTCGCTGAAACAACACCGACAGTGCGATACTCGATCCAGTCCCACAACCAAATTGCTATAATCATATATCGTACCGGCAAATCATTGCTACAGTACATTTAGAATAGTAGTGAAGTGATATTGGATTTGTATTACCGTACAGTATACTTGCATCTCGGCATCTCGGTCTTTTGACTCTTGTTTGCCCAATCCTGCCGAGGCTTTCCATTTTAGCGTTCAGTCCTTTGCCGTTTTTAGATTCCGCGGCGATCCATATAAACTGACCAATCATATGCAATGCCGGCTTCGGTGTTCGCTGTTATTCACCTGCCACTCTAATTGCACCATCATCTCGACCCATTACGAATCATCATTGTGCTACTATACTGCACATATATAGACATGGACGGTCGCGTTGAACAGGAGGCCGAAACCTGCCAGGCCATCGGCAGTCTTCGCAAGTGGTACGAACTTCGCATCGCATCTCAATCTCGCACGGCAACTCAACAACGTGTTGTTCCCGTGACTTCATTGCTTAGGCAGCAGCAATCATCCAACGACCAAGTCATCCAGAATGCAATTGAAGCCCCCACCATCAACGATACCAACAAAGACAAAACCGTCCTCTATCTAGGCTATGGCTCCAATCTGTGCGCCGAGACATTCAAAGGCAAGCGCAACATCCAGCCTCTGTCTCAAGTCAATGTCGTGGTCCCCGCCTTGTCGTTGACATTCGATTTGCCGGGCATTCCGTATACGGAACCATGTTTTGGAAACGTACGGTATCGCAACCTCGACGAGGCTGAATCCGTCGCCCGAAGCAATAGCCCGGCACGATCCGATGACTACCACAAAGACCGCTGGTCGAAAGGACTAGTCGGGGTAGTCTACGAAGTCACCATGGAGGACTATGCTCACATCATCGCCACGGAAGGGGGCGGAGCAGGGTATAAGGACGTCATGGTCGATTGTTACGCACTCAATGGAACGATCAACCAGGTTGTGCCTCTACACCCAGAAGGCCAGTCATTCAAAGCACACACCCTATTCGATCCACAGGGCCCCAAAGCCCGAACCCATGCCTACGCCCAACCGAGTGCGCGATACCTCAAACTCATCACCGACGGTGCAGCAGAACATGCTCTTCCTCAGGAATATCAGGATTTTCTTAATCAAATCCGGAGTTACCGTATCACAACCACTAAACAACGTCTGGGACAATTTATCTTCATGTCCGTTTGGAGTCCGTTCTTTCTTTTCTTCCTCAGCGGTGCCCAGGTGTTTTTGAAACCGGACGGAACGTATCCGAAATGGTTGGCTACGTTTTTACAGGCTATGTTTGTGGTTATTTGGAAGAGTTATGATCGGGTTTTCAAGCCGTTGTTTGGTGATGGGGAGAGGACGCTGGGTGATGGAGCTGATGATGATGGATATGATGAGAAGAAGAAGAGGGGACATGGCGGGATTTTAAGTGAGAAGACCGCACTCTTGGATGCAAGGACTAAAACTCCAGAATCGTATGTTTAAATGGGGTTGTTGCATATACTTATCATTCATCACAAGCGAATCCTATCCTTCCTTTAGTTAGCTCAGGCCTGGTTTGAATATACAAAAGACGAACTGCCATCATACCTTATCTGCGAGAGAATGAAGGCAGTGTTACTCCTCACCTACGATCGCAGGAGTGGCAAGGAGAGTAAGAAGGCTCGTGAAATCAACAAGGCAGGTAGGTAGGTGTATTCAACTTCGACACCAAAAAAGTCTCGTCCAACAAAACATGTATTCACATCTATCATTCAAAAGTCCATCGCTTCCAGACCAGTCCTAGTTGACTCAACCGCTTAATTTCTCAATTCAAGCCAAAGCCATGTAAGTTCGTACCATAACAAAGGAAACCGATAGATTCGGATGTGAGATGGCCGTCTGGACTAGACGGCCTCATCGAAAAGACATAGAACAATAAAGAGACAATCTCTTCTGAGACAAGATGCTCCATACACATGTAGACGAAGAGAAAGGAACCTCTCCCCCCTCTTAAGCCATGACATGGAACCCAAGTGCATCACGACCTCGACCAAGATCAAGATCCAATTCCGAACTCAAATCCGGAGAAATCGGATCTGACAACATACTTCGATCCAAATCCTCGTCTTGGTCTTCTTCTCCGTCATTATTCTCGTCATTCCCGTCATTTGGCACATCAATCTCATTAAAAGCAATCACCGAATCATCCATGCCAATACCACTGTCATATCGACGACGACCACGCTTGACAGTAGGCTCGGACACCGAAGGAACAGTATAGCCGTCGCCACCGACTTCGTCATCATCGTCACCAAGACCAAGATCTGCCACGTCACTATGACTCCGTTTGAGACTTGAGCGCTTGTTGGGTCGTTTGCTGCGACCTCGTGACATTTCGACTGAGCCGGGGACGTGTACGGAGCTATGGGGCGAGAATGGGTCAGATGGTAGATATCCTCCGGAGTTGGAGTGGGAGTGGGAGTGTGCTTCGGGTTGATGGTGTGTGTCGGCCTCTTCGACATCAACATCATCGGCAAACCGAACCATGCTCGCAGGAGTCATGGGTCCAGTAATGTCGTCGGATGGGATGAGACCATCACTTTCAATATCCCAATTTGCCAGACGCACTTTGGAGCGACGCAGGTATTTCTTGCGTTCTTCGTTCATTTTCGCCACGCTGCGCACATATTCTGTCTGGATGCGTTCGAGCGCGATGGCGCCCTGATCGACTTCGTGACGGTAGCGATCCTCGAGGCGTGAGTTCATGGTTTGTAGACGCTCGATCTGTTGATTCGCTGATGCGAGTGCCGTGGCTAGATTCGACACTCTACTGTTGAGGTTTCCTGTTTCAGCTGTGTGTGTGCTGATTGTACCGCTGTGTTCTTTTTCCAGTGTTCGTAATTGCTGGTGCAGGTCTTCGGACATCTGGCGTGCCGATGTTAGAGTTGATTCCAATTCGTTGATTTTCTTTAGTCTTTCAACGGCAGAGTCTTCTGCCGCTCTTCGGCCACGTGTTTCGGCGGCGGCTTTGGCTTCCAAGTCGGATACTTGTTGGCGGAATTCGGCTAGTGTCGCGTTACGCACGTCTTGAAGTCGAGATGCTTGTTCGGATTCAACCAGTTGGACCAGCTGTTCTAGACGCGTAACTTCTCCCCGGTATTTGTCTAGAGCTGCGATCAGCGACTGGTTGTTGGCTTCGTGTTCCTTGGCTTCTCGTTCCCATGACTGTGCGCGCATGCGGATCTCGAGCATCTCTTCTGCGTTCTTGTCGAGAGCCTCTTCGAGGTCTTTGACTCGTGCATTGGCTTTCTCGGCAGCTAGAATGGCGTGGTCGAAGTTGCCCTTGAGTGACTTCTGTTGATCTCTCATGGATTTGAGTTCCGATTCACGATCTCGAACTGTCTGTGCGGCCAAGCGAAGTTTAGCCATGATTTCAGGAAGCAAGTTGGCGTTATCAAATGTTCCAACTGTTTCACCGGGAATGATACGCTCGAGATTGAGTCGCATTTGGCGGAAATGTGACTTGATGTTGGAAATGGTGGAGCTAGCATCGGCGTTGTCGTAGGAGAAACCTAGACTTTGGATTTCCACGGTCATGGCTTGAAGGGCAAGCTCTGCGTCTTCCGCTCTACTCATTGCAACTTTGAGTTGTTTCGAAAGATCTTGATAGAATGTGGCTGGCGTTGATGGGAGGTTGCCGGACATGGAAGTGGGCTTGACGGGTGAGTCGGCAAAGACCAGAAGATTGGACAAACTAGGTCCAGTCTGACTAGATCGAAACAATGCCTGCTTTGCCTGACGGGCTGACTCGAGTTCCAACCCCATGGCCAAGGCATCGTCACTCTCGAGATTGGCAGGGCGTGAAGAGACATCCTCGTCCTCGTAGATGTGAATCACCCCGGCGTTATCGTTGTCGATGTTGGCTGGGGAGGTTCGATCGGGAAACTCACTCCAAGACAACACTTCAGTGTCGTCGTTGAAGCTCTGTCTCAACTGATGGAGCTGGGCCTCGGCCTCATCAATGATACCTTGACTGGAATTGATGTCGTCCTGCAAGATGGTGTTTTTGTCACGGGCCTGCTGCAATTCATCCTTGAGACGCTGAACCTCCTTTTCTTTGATTTGAAGAGTCTGCTGGAGCTGCTCTTTGGATTTATTGTCGGCTTCAAACTTGTGCATCTCCTCGCTCAAGCCATGGCGACGGATGCGACGGATGGTTCGAGGTTCCAATGTTTCACGGAAGGGAGTGAACTGAACTTGATCATACTCAGAGTCCGAATCATGATGACGAGTAGCTGGAGCTGGAGTTGATGCCCTCCTCTTAGGAGTCTTGAGGCTGGTCTTGCCCACCCACGGAGTAAGGCCAGTGGAGTCGGGTGCTGTAACAATAGCGGGTTCAGAGAAGCGAGCTTTCTTCTTGGGCCGAGCTTTAGAAGGCGTTCTGCTGGAAGAGACATGATGACTCTCCTCTGCTGGCTTGATGGGTGAGATTGCACTGCTAGGACGCTTTGATCGTCGAGGACGAACAGGATCCTCTTGCTGAGTATTTGCCATGGTTGAGCAACTACAGACGAGCAATTTTTGGCTATACAGACAGCATTGAGTGAGCAGCAAGCTAAAATTGTTGCTGAAGATGAAGAATTTTTGCTAAAGAGGTCCAAATATCCTTCAAAGCAATCGTTGTGGTTGTGATTGTGGCCGGCCAAATGGTTGCATATATAAACAAAAGAGCCAAAGAGTTGCCCGATTGGGGCGAATATACAGTTTACCAAAAGCGGACTAGTCAGCTGTTACAGCCGGCGCTAGTTACTTTAACAAGGAAGTTTAGGGGCCAGAATTCACTTTAACCGGTCACGTGCTAGGCACGAACAGCTTGTTCCCACTACGCGTCCCAAAGTCGCTGGGCAGATGCGGAGACGCGTTTCACTTGATCAACTTCATTTGGTACACGATTGGTCCAGACTGCATTTTGCAAATGGAGGCTTGACCATCTGGCAGTCCTTGACGATACCGCTTTTGGTAGCTCGAACGTGATGAAGAGGGAGCTTGTTCGTTGTGGAGCTGGCCTAGGTCAACAGCTGTAGCTTGACAGAGGTCATTTATTGGCCAAGAGCTGCTCTAGGACTTCCCATGGCCATGACCGAACTCCGTCACCGAGAAACACTTTTCCATTGAATGACTAGTATCTTTTGGTCTTCGCTCTATCTGATGGATCCTGAGGCCATGCCTGGTTCTCGTTTTACAACTTGGGTAGTAAAGGTACCACTTCTCGCAGGTCGCTGGGCAATTGGCTTGATACGCCAGAGCTCTCCTGTGCCTCTCGCACCAACCATTCTTTTATGGTGGCCACGAAATTATCAATCTGTTCGATCGTGTTCCCCGCATGCAAACAAACGCGAACTCGTTGGGTTCCCTCAGGTACAGTGGGTGGGAAGATTGCTCTCACCACGAATCCGGCCGCTTGGCAATATGTGGCAAGCGCTCGAGGTTGGGGACTGAAAATGGCGAAGATAGGCGACTCGGGGCATTCACTAGGGAACGTGACCAGAGGTGTCTCTCCATTCGATGGGATTTCTTTGGATAGAGACTGAAGGCTTTCATGGAGATGTTGCACAAGACCCCAGAGATTGGTGGCCAACTATTGAGAGTCAGTACATCACGAACGAAATGCTAAACGTGGAATACTCACCTGATTCGTCTTGCCTTGTTGAAGCCAATCGTATGCCACCTTGATACTTAACAAGCTGGGGAATGACATAAAAGTAGTGTATATTAACGGTCGGGCGTAGTTTATCAGGTAGGATTTGATGACCGGAGAGCAGAGAACGGCAGCTAGATTCCTGTTAGTGATCTTGGCTCACTCAACATAACTCAAGCACTCACCACCGCTGGCTGCCATCGCTTTGCCATATGTGTGTAACCGGATGAGAATCTTCTTCTCTAGACCAAGCTCGCACACTCGACCTCTACCATCGGCACCAAAGTAACCAGTGGCATGAGCTTCATCGACAATAAGAAAACAGTTCTTGCGGGGAAACAGCTCATCAATCAGCTCAGTCATCTCTTTCAATGGAGCCAGATCTCCATCCATGCTGTAGACCGACTCAACGGCAATAAAAACGGATGATTGGCGAGATCCATCCAGAACCAGTGACATCAAGATCTGTCTCAGATGATCCAAATCATTGTGCTTGAACGAGACCTGGCTCTCAGCTCTGCACAGTTTGAGGCCATCATGGACACTGGCATGGATCAATTCGTCGTATACCACGTGATCTGTTGGCTGGGGTAGAAATCCAAACAAGCTAACATTTGCATCATAGCCCGAGTTTGTCAACAATGCGGCCTGAGCTCCATGGAACCGTGCGATGTCTTTCTCGAGGTCTTCAGCAAATGTCGAGTTTCCGTCGAGAAGTCTAGACCCAGTGGACCCCAACCCATGTGAGCCAATGGTTTCTTGAAGAGCTCTGAGATAGTCGTTTCGCAGTTCACTATTAGATGATAGGGAGACAAAGTCGTTGGACGAAAAGTCGACCGAGCCGGGCTCACTGGCTTTGAGCACCCGTAGTTTGGACTGGCTTTTCCGTCTGGTCAGGAGGCTCGACAGCCTGGCCTCAAGAGGAGTCATGGTGGCTGATGGGTATAGATGGCCAGACTGAATGAAAGGTTGTCAATGGAATGTCAGTTGGTCTCTCACTTCATGATGACACCAATATCTCCACCGTGGGAAGACTGGAGAATTCAACGAAGGCGGCTGATGATGATGATGATGATGGGTGGATATTCCTTGGATAAGCGCGGTAATGCACGGCTGACACGGCCCTGGCCTCTCTTCCTCGTCTGCCCCAGAAGAAAAAAAGCGCCAGAAAATCGCCAGGAAATCGGTGAACTTGCCCCAAAATCTGTCGAGGCCCGCCGAGGCTCCGAGGTCCCCAGCTCCTTCCGCCAATCGGAGCCGGTAATTCCCGGAACAGATGCAGGCACCAAAAAGCTTATCTGGACGCTCCTGATCACGTGCCATCAACGGTTCTCTCACCAAAGTCATCATCGATGAGTACTCAGAGTTGTCCTCTTCCTTTTGTCCTAGTCACTCGCTTCCCCTGCACCTGGTTGACGCACCATTCGTGATGCTGTGGAGGGATCTGAAGGCATGGCAGGTCTATGGTGCCAACACCGATGTTGGCAAAACCATTGTGTCGACCATTTTGTGTAGAGCTTTACAGCGTCGAGCTCCACAGAACGGCCTGCTTTACCTGAAGCCAGTCTCGACCGGACCCCAGTCGGATGCTGATGACGGGTATGTTCTTCTCTTGACCGCTCTGTTATGCTGTTGAGAGACTGACATCCATTTAGACACATACGGAAATTTGTCCCAGGTGCCCTCTCAAAATGCATCTCTCAATTCTCCAGGCCATTGAGTCCTCACCTCGCGGCTCAGCTAGACGGCAACCCATCGGTAATTCTTTCATCCATCACAGTTCTTCTACTCGATCTAAGCACACTAACGCCGGCAAGATCCCAACCTCCGATCAGTCAATCGTCAATCAGGTCAAGGACCTGCTGAGTAAGCACAGTTTGTCTGGAGGAAGATATGTCCTTCTCGAGACTGCTGGAGGTGTCCTCTCACCTGGTCCTTCAGGCTCCATGCAAGCAGATGTCTATCGGCCACTCAGACTTCCCACTTTACTAGTTGGAGACAGCAAACTTGGCGGCATTTCCACCACCTTGTCTGCCTTTGAATCCTTACACGTCAGAGGGTATGATCTCGATTCGGTGATTCTCTTTGAAGATCCGCAATGGGGCAACCACGAATATCTCCAGGAAAAGTTCTCCAAGCACGATATTCCTACATATGCAATTCCCAAACCACCCGCCAGACAGGATAACATCCAAGACGATGAAGCGGCTCTCTCCGAATACTATGACCAAGCCTCGACATCTCCTAGCATTACATCTCTGATCGAAGTCCTTCAGCAGAAACATTTCTCTCGCGTGTCGAAATTGACGTCACTCCCTACACAGGCCGAAGCAGTCGTCTGGCATCCATTCCGTCAACATGGAATCGCCTCCAACATCATCGCCATTGACTCTGCCTATGATGATCACTTCCTTGCATACAACCAAGAGACCGACGCCGCACTGACACCACCACCTCAAAACCCCATCGGCCTAACTCCTCTAGCCGCACAAGCACCCGCAAAACCGCTCCTAACTCCTCTCTTCGACGCATCTGCATCTTGGTGGACACAGGGTTTGGGACATGGAAACCCATCCGTGGCTCTGACAGCAGCTCATGCCGCCGGTCGATATGGACACGTCATGTTTGCACACGCTATCCACGAACCCGCCCTCAATATCTCCTACAATCTACTTTCCACCCTCAAGAACCCGCGCTTATCACGCACTTTCTTCACCGACAACGGTAGTACGGGAATGGAAGTCGCCGTCAAAATGGCCCTACGTGCTTCCTGTGCCCGATACGGCTGGCACAAGGACGACGGCATAGGTTCAATCGGTATTCTTGGTCTACAGGGAAGTTACCACGGCGACACCATCGGCGTTATGAACTGTTCTGAACCAAGTGTCTTCAATGAGAAAGTCGACTGGTACAAGCCTTGGGGTCATTGGTTCGAACCACCGAATCTCCTGATGAAGGATGGACAATGGGAACTATCCATCCCGCAGAGCATGACTGAAGATGGGATATGTTCCAACCCACAAATCTTCAATTCATTAGACAACGTCTTCGACTTTTCAGCTCGTCAAGAAGACGCGAAACGATATGAATCCTTCATTACATCGACACTCGAAGATCTAACACAGAAACAGGGTGCTCGATTCGGTGCTTTGATCCTTGAACCTCTATTGATGGGTGCGGGTGGTATGATTTTCGTTGATCCTCTGTTCCAGAGAACACTGATCACCACGGTCCGAGCACATCCACACCTCCTCGGCGCCGAGCCAGCACCGTCGTCTAGTCAAGAGTCATCACCATCTCAAGACGATCCACTAAACTGGAGCGGCGTACCCATCATCGCCGACGAAGTCTTCACCGGTCTATACCGACTAGGCCGAGCCAGCTCGTCTTCATTCCTCGCTTCTTCCAACGACTCAGTCAATGCTAATAGTACACCACCTATTCCTCATACTGTGGCGCCTGATATTTCAGTCCACGCCAAATTACTCACTGCAGGTCTCCTGCCCTTGGCAATCACCACGGCAAGTGAATCCATCTTCTCGACATTCCTCTCCGATTCCAAGACGGATGCTCTCCTCCATGGCCATAGCTACACCGCCCATCCGATCGGGTGTATGGTCGGTGACAAGGCTTTGAATGAGTATCGACGATTAGACACCGATGGGACCTGGGAAGGATATAAATCAGCGTGGAACCAGGGTTCATCACTTTCGTCGTTGTCATCAGCTTCTTCTTCTTCTTCCTCTCAATCACCAACATTTTCATTCTTCCCTCCTTCACTCCTGACGAGACTATCGCATCATCCACGTCTCACCGGTTGTTTCGCTCTGGGCACTGTCCTGGTTCTGAAACTTGCCTCTGCGGGTTCTGGCTACAATTCGACGGCGACTGCAGATGTGCAAGCTCAACTCCTGACCTTGCTTGATGAGCAAGGTTGTGGTGTCCACTCTCGTGTCTTGGGCGATGTCATTTATTTCATGACAAGTTTGACGACCTCTCCGGACCAGGTTGACAGGTTGGGACGAGTGATTCTGAGGGCTTTGGAAACATAGACGCAGTATGGGACTGTGTTGACTAAGTGTACATGATATAAACAGACTCAGAAACAAAAGGAGAAAAGTTAGTCATCGATGTCGATACGTGTGGCAACTATGCAAGCCAACCGAGTCTTTGGTGAAGCCTCATCTACCTGACTTGAATTGATCAAGCTCGTTCGATAGGGATAGTCATCTATAGCACAGATAGTTTTAGACGGATTACATCCGTGGTTTCTAAACACACTCTAGGTTGTGTGATAGTGATAATTAACACTCAGTGTATCGATATGAAGATCCCCTTCCTTCTGGGCAAGTAGGTACTGAATGCCATCCTGTGACAAGGATCAAAGCAATTCTGGTGAGTCGTCCTGCTGAAGTCATTGACAATCCCGTATACCATGCAACAAGCAGCCAATTGATCTTCTCTGCCCGCCATCAAACCCACCGCACATGCACTGATGCATGTCTTCCTTTTTTGGTCCCAGACCCGAAAGCGCTGACCTGCTCTGGCTCCTTTCCAAGACCCCATCGCACTACGCCGTCTTCTCTCACGTAGCTGACGCTGGTCTCATCTTGTGCGGCAAAGATGTTGTACAGTCTCGCAACACCACTCTGACAAAATATCCAAACTGAGAACCCTCCTGCTGCCGTGTTTACAGCAATGTCATCTACGACCTCGTCATCCATATGTGCGATCAGAACTCCCTGGAAATGAGGCATTGCGCATGGCGAAGATGAGTCAAGGCTTGTCGAGATCAAACTCAGAACTTCGGTTGAGGATTCTGTTTGATGGTCCATAAGTCTGTCCATGATGAGGTCACTCTGGCCCATGGAGCCAAAGTTCTCGTTCCAGGCATCTCTTGACCTTTGCACGTCTTTCATATCCTCAAAAATGTCTCGTGGCACGTTGTACAACATGATGCTCCCGCCCCGGAAGGCTACCACAACTCGAACTCCCTATCGGAGATCTCTCCCACAAGCATATCGTATCGGAAGACCTTTTGCAGGTTCCGTAATTGTGTCGGCGGGTGGGACAAAGACCGCCTTTCGTATGAGTTTGGTAGAGCCTCCCAGGGGTGCATCGCTTCCTAAGCAAAGTAGCCCTGTCAAAGCATCTATGAAGAGGAGATGGGAGCCATCACTGAGAGGAATCGCACGATAATGATCGCAATCCACCATTCGCAAGACTCCTTGAGCCTCTTCATTCTGCAATTGCGGTAGAGAAGGAGATGCTCTATTTGAAGAGGTCGGCGCGGGAAAGGGCAAGCTTCCAAAGAACAATCTAGTCATGCTCTGGCGACGCCCATGAACAGGCGAGGTGGCCTGAGGACCCTGGGTCGCCTGTGAGCTATCGCTTCTTCTGAGCGTAATAGTCTTTGGACCTAATGCGCTGGATATTAACCTGAGCTTCTTTTCCGCGTCAATATCTTCCCTGATAGGGAGAAAGTACAGGAAGTCGCTCGGTGCTGCTAACGGGAACCACCTATTCAGATCTCCGCCAGTCAATGCGTCAATCCAGTGAAGCTCTATTCCCATTCGACTACCAAATGCCACACATTTTCGATTCGGACAAATCGCCACGCTTCTTGGAGGGTCGTCTGAACTGCCAAGGTTGGTGTATAACGCTGTAGCCATGGTCTGAATAGGTGCTCCATAGACCTGCTCCTCTTCTTGTGAACCTGGCAGTGCCTCTCTTGAGAGGCCTTGACATGATTCATCTGAGTGACAGGCGGTGAAATCTGGATCGAAACCGTTTCCGGAAACGGTCCTTTTGGAATCTGCAGGCTGTTCCGGTGCGAGCAAAGAGAGGTTTGCTGCAACTTGCTGTGAGACTGGCGTGATGGCAGAACCGTGTATGGTGGCTTGCATCCCAAGGCAAAGTGACTCCCCAGAGCTACTGCGAAGTCGAGTTTTGTTGGAATTCTTAACCAGCTCCCAAAGCATGCCCTTGCGACCGGAAAGAATAGCTGCGACAGCATATCGGTCTGCACTTGTATCCATGCTGACCTTGAAGATTGCACAGCCTGCAGCTAATTTAACGATTGGCCGCATCGGTTCTTCAGAATTCCAAAGACCATAGACGGAGATGTTATTCCCATGCACAATCAGAACAAACTTTCCACATGTAGAAACGGTGAAGCTCGGCCTCGCAGACGTGGTAGTATTTTCGCCTAGGATTTGGTGAAAATGTATCTCATCTGTCAGGGACAGTCTACTCTCACTTGGTGAGGGACCAAGGGTGAAGGCCCCACGCCACCCAAGCGACAATCTTGCTTCAGTCGCCAACCTTTTGTGACAGAGCCATTCTTTGTTGGGACTAGCATAAAATTGTGGGAATATCGGGATGGTGTCGCTGGACTGTGAAAGTGTGTTGGTCCTTCTACGCTCTCTCGTCAGTGCTCCATCGGTCTGGAATCCCAACGTGCACCCGGCCGATTTCAGCATTGATCGCAAAATTCTCCAGTTCAGACTGGCAAAGAACCAAGATGCACACGTATGTCGTGCAGCATCGAAATCAACCGGGTCCAGGTAGGAAAGGAATTGTTGTATTGTCTCTTGAGGCAGGCGATGGATGGCTGGGAAGGACGGTGGAGGGAGATCATTATACCACTGACGGCAGACTAGACGCATTGATTTGTAGCCTTCAAAAGAAGTGTATCGCAATATCAGAGAGAGGACCGGGTAAGGCAGCCAGGCCATGACAGTAGTACTCAACCGTCGGGATGACGTGTAGGGTGACTCGGTCGATTCATCCTCCTCGTCACTTTCGAACAATTGTCGGTGAAGGAGTCGTGCAAATGTGTCTCGATGTCCTAGAAAGGCATTTGGCCGAAAATAGGATGAAGCATCTTGGGACGCTGAGGTTTTCCTTGATGTCAAGTCTTCTTCGGTGAAAGGATTGACAAAATCATTCCCACCAAAACTGCTCGGTTCTCTAGGTCGCTGTGGGATTGCGATACTGCAGGCACTCTTTCCTTGGGTCGTTGGGCTGGTGCGGCCATCGTCACATGCTCCATCGAACATGAAGAGCTTGCCCGCAAATACAGTACTCCTTGGTCGTTTGATTTGAAGGAGGTCCATTTTCTGTTCGCGGAGAAGTAGGGTAGCAATGTTCCCGTCGCTGGTAGATGTGACGGAGGCGTCAAGTGATGTCAGAACACCGCATATGTCTCGTCTCGACCTTGTATGCAGTGTGGCGGAATCGTCGCCTCAAGACTCGCTTTTGTGTTTGTAGGCTGACTCGATGAATCTGGCAGGCAGTGTGTAAGACAGTCTCTTCTGGCCTGGAAACAAGGAGATATGAGCAGGGTTCCTCGACAGAAGAATGTCGAGATCCAGTGTCTAGCACCGAGAGATGTTAGATAATGATGCTAGGAACGAATGACTGAGTTAGACGGATGAATGTTGAATACAATAGGTAGACAAGTGTAAAGTGAAAAGTGAAAGGAGAGTGAGATTTGTGATGAGAGATTTGACTGCGCCCTGGTTGAATCTGTCAATGTTGATCGCACCTACCTCATTCAGTGAAAGGAATCGACGTCGGGGAAAGTGCTACCCATCACGTGCAAGTACGTCGGCATCAGGATTGATATTCTCTACTGTGTTGGGTAAAGTGCAGACAAGTGGTTGTGAATGATATTAAATTTGGAAACGGACAACAAGTCTTTTGTACAATGAGGGTATCTCGAGGAAAAGTAATCATGCATGCCAGAAAGGTTCGCTTGCTAAAAATGCAATAGGTGCGACAATCGGCTCGGAGATCTATTCAACCGCTGTCGTTATTAACTCCAGGAAGCGATCGACCATGTCCTGGCTTCCTGATCCAAAGCGTTTCGAGAGGAGAGACGAGGTTGGGGTTGATATAACGAAGACCGGTCTCCGGATCGGTGTCGACAAATCGGCCCCGATCGGTATCTCTGTTCCAGGAAGACTCTGCAGGGGATGGTAGATCAGGTGTGGTGACTCGATCAATGCTTCTCAGTGCAATAAACCGCATCAGTGGGTAGTAGGTGCGAGAGAAATAAATGGTGAACCAGATGGTTGCGAAGAGGAGAGGTGCAAGAAATAGGGACGCTGTTAGCGCTCCTCGAAGAGCCAAAATACCAGTCATGGCCACTTGGAACAGGACAATGCCAGTGATGATGCGATTGCAAATCATTGGCCAAGCCCGTCCGGTCGAATGTTGGCGATGCTCCATCGCATAGAGAAGTTGGTACTTGTAGATAAAGCCGCCGATGAGAAAGTAAATGAGGCCGAATAGTGTGATCATCCACGATGCTGGAAGGACACTATACACTGTACAGATGATGAAGATCAACATCGTTTGCGGGAGATAAAAGCCGTAGCTGAACACCGGTGGTTTGGCCAGGTCCGCGTAATCTCGTGGCGTCTTTGCGCTAATTAGGAAGAAGGGGTAGAGTGCCACCGATCCAAACTCGAGTAATCGGAATGGGAAAAGTCCCAACGCTTGCAGAATGATCAGATTGACGTAAAAGGGCGACAGCTGCTCTAGAGACCTTGCAACTGCATACATGATGGCTGAGGTGTCGCGAAGGAGGTCTCGTAGATTCTGCCAGAATTCGTACAGGGTATAAGCCGAGCCGTAAATGGTGAAGACAATGAAAAGGTTGAAGAAGATGAAGAAGAAATTCTTCGAAATGACAGATAGCTCGACGTCACCCTGTGAAGTCATGCCCTGGCAATTGGCCAGCCAGTCGTAGAAGTAAGGTACTGAGACTGAGAGGAGAGAGAACAACAAGGTTGTGAGACCTGTCTGCATGAGCGAACGTATGATTTCATGCCTTTCGAGGGCGGCGGCCAATCCTGGGAGTACTTTGTCGATGGCTTCGATACTCAAAAGACCAGCCAAAGGGGCAACGGCAGCGGCCCAAAAGATGGTGAGCAAGCCAATAAGCACCATGATACTCCACGATCGCACCATCCTATTGTTTCGCGACAGATATGTATTCTTCCATACAATGTCCGCTGGGGGTGGTGCCAAACTGGCAATGAATTGACCGGGTTTAGGATCCAGAATGGCTTGGACCGCCATTTGAGCTGCAGCGGTTGAGCGCATTGTGACAAAAGCCAGAGGGGTCGGTTTAAATTCGGACTGTCTCAGAGCTTGAATCCTTTCGTCAAACAATCTCAGCTTTTCTTCATAATAATCAATCGCATCGATCTTTTTGCCATAGATATTCAAAGGCCCGTAACGGATGGTGATTGTCGGGCGAGGGCGGTCAGCAGGGGTGATATGGGCTTGTTCCATCTCCGATCTTGACAATAAAGCTCCTGTCTCTTCGTCACTGCCTAGATGGCCATTTTCCCTGCGACGAGGTCTGCTATGGCGCAACGAATGGTGATGACCGAGGTAAGCCGTCCACGCCTCTTCAAGCTTTCTTAGGCACTGCATCCGTGACTCCATGACATTATCGAGAGTCTTCCAATTCCTGCATAGCATGACACTCTCGACCTTGCCGATCTGGAGATCTTCGATGAATGTCGTTATGGCATCTTCTGACCTCATCTCAGGGGGAATTCCAGATAAACGCAAAGTTCTGTCTGTGATGGTGGATTGAGTGCCGAGATAGGCTTGTCGAATGCGAATGAGATTGGTAGTCTCCTCAACCAACAGGTATACTGCAACAGCGGTGAAAAAGTAGACGAAGACGACATACATCCACAAGTAACTGTCATCTTTTTCGATACCTGGACCCTTGGGCTTCTTTGTCGTATCGTTGGATAGAGGGTAGAAGAGACGAAGAGGGTCGGAATCGGACGGATCATCGTCGGTGGAGTTGCTTGGAGGAAACGGTAGGTCACCCGTATAGCGATAGTTGACGGGAAGAATGATGGTGACGGAAAAGAAGAGGGCGACAGATAGGAACTTGATTGCGTATCGGAAAAAGGCCAAAAAGGCAAAGGCGTCAAGACCGGCAGAAGCTAGAACTTCCTCGCGCGAGATGCCGTAGAGAACAGGGATCCAGCCAAAAAGCGACTTTGGCAGGTCGGGCAATCGAGAGGCGGCATCGGACTGCTTCTTGCGGGCGTGATACAGAGAAGTCCATCGTGGGCGAAGTACCTGATTTCCATCAGAACCAGAAGGAGAAATCTGGGGCCGAAGACGAGGAGGATTGACTTACACAAAAGGAAAGAAATGCGCTCAGACCAAAGACGACTGACACCACCACCTGGACTTTGAGATCGCGCTGGTTGGAGCGCTTGAATTGATCATTCCATCCCGGATGCTTGTTGTCATACACCGACATCACCGGGGAATTCTGGTGGTGGTGTATCTATGCGTGTGAAAGGTGACAAGGCTGTCGAGAATGAATTGGACTGGGGCACGGGACAGAGACATGGAGTTACGTAGTTGATTGCATGCATGGAGAGTTTGAGGGAAAACTGCGGAAGTGAGAGGAAGAGAAATGAAAGAAGTCAGACGAGGAAGATGATCACGTGGTCGAGTTGTAAATAGGTACTTTTTTGAGCTATTTTACAGGAAGGTGCGACGGACGGTGAGGATGGTGGCTTCCGTCAGACCGACCTAAGCACGGGTGCTCCTTCCTTGCCTGCAACCCAAACCTCCTTCCCTAATCATCCGCTTGGTGCAAGGATTGTCGACGGCTGCTCAACCAATCAGAAGCTCCACAATACCAAGTCAACCCGAAATGTCGATTTGAGCTTCAACTCTCAATTCAAGGACATTGACCTTCTTCCACGCACCACCACCCCGTCAACCCTCTACGTCGGCGCCTCCACCACGTCTCTGCTTCATTGCTCGACTTCCTCCACCATCTGTCCAGAGCGCCAGGCTTTCTAGACGAGATGTTGGCCACGTCGGCAGTTCGCAGCGCTCCTCTCAGGACAGCTGCACGAACAATTGTCCGCAGAACAACTACAGTCAGTCCACCCGTCCAGACATGGCCAATATGACTGCCAAAGCCCATCAATACTGACATGTCTTCTCAGCGTGCATCATCCTCAAGCTCCTCCGAATCGACTGCTGCTCCCTTCTGGCTCACTGCTGGCTCAGCAGCCGCGACTGTTGGCGCACTTGGTTCTGCAGGATGGTATTTTCATCTTTTTGGTCAAGATGTCTACGCCATGACTCCTGCTGAAGAAGGGTGAGCTTGGTAAAATGCCTGTATACAGTGCATGAAGCTGACAATTATTTCAAGTCTTCATCCTACACAGTATCCTTGGGAACATCAGAAGTGGACAAAAACATTCGACCACGGAGCGTAAGCATTTCATCCTTTGCCGCATCTCGACCTTGTATAACACTAACCCTTATCAGTCTGCGAAGAGGTTTCCAGGTCTACCGAGAAGTCTGCGCTGCATGCCATTCCCTGAAACGTATCCCATACCGATCACTCGTCGGTAACTTCATGACGGTCGACGAAGCCAAGGCTCTCGCTGAAGAGAATGAATACGACACCGAACCCAACGATGAAGGAGAAATTGAGAAACGACCTGGAAAATTGTCAGACTACCTCCCCTCTCCATACAAGAACGACGAGGCTGCCCGAGCTGCAAACAACGGTGCTTTGCCGCCCGATCTATCCTTGATGGTCAAGGCTCGACATGGTGGATGCAACTACATCTTCGACCTGTTGACAGGGTATCCTGAGGAACCCCCTGCTGGTGCCGTCGTTCAGTCTGGCCTCAACTTCAACCCTTATTTCCCCGGTACTGGAATTGCAATGGCTCGTGTGCTGTACGATGGACTGGTCGAGTACGAGGACGGAACCCCAGCTACCACCTCCCAGATGGCCAAGGATGTTGTGGAATTCTTGAACTGGACTGCCGAACCCGAGATGGATGAGCGAAAGAAGATGGGTATCAAGGTGTTGATCATTGGCACAGCACTGTTGGCGATCAGCGGTTGGGTCAAGAGATACAAGTGGGCACCTCTAAAGACGCGAAAGATTGTCTATAACCCCCCGGTAGGAGGCAAGTTCCGACGATAGATATAACCACGAAAGGGGAGGAAAGATCGGAAAGAAGCGTCTAATCTGCCAGGATGGATGGCTCTGTTTTACGCCAGCCATCAGGAAGACTGGCTGGTCATCGTTTGTAACAATGGAGAACCGTACAGAATTTCAAAAGAATTTCAAAAGGCCTGCAATATACCAAAAGGTCCTAGAAGTGTATCATCCATGCCACGTGACGATCAAATAAGCCGACTTCGTCACGGCCACATTATTCTACCAGGGTATCTGACAGGGGAAAAATCAACAGACGCCGAATCAATGCTTCCACAACTTGACCGTCTTGTCCTTGCCGGCACTTGCGACGATGCGACCATCCAAAGCCCAATCCAAAGCAAAAACCTCGTCCTTATGACCTGGCAAATCTTCTTTAATCTTGCCCGTCTTCACATCCCACACTTTGACCGTCGTGTCTTTACTCGCGCTAGCTAGCAGTCGAGAGTCACTACTCCAAGCCACCATGTAAACAGCCCCAACATGGCCACGGAGTGTTGTGATGAACTTGCCGTCCCGTGCATTCCACAGCTTGACGCTGTTATCAAACGAGGCCGATGCAATATACAGACCGTCCGGACTAAACGAGACGTGCAAGACTTGTTTCTGGTGGCCAAGAAGTCGGGCAACCGGTTTCACCGAGGCATTCGAGTCCCCAGAGATCCCTGACGGGTCCCATAGGAATATTGTGTTGTCGTCAGACGCGGAGATGAGCTTTTCCACCAGTGTCCCCTCGTGTCGGGCGGCATCTTCGAATCTCGCTTTGGCTTTTTGGACCTTGTTCTCTACCGTATCCGGGACTTTGCCCGTGTGGTCGTGGTATGATGTTCTCAGAGCAAAGTCAGTAGATAGAGCGAGATGGTTGACCCAATGAGTGTGTGTCGATAACGTGTGCAGGCATTTCCATGTCTTGGAGTTCCATATCTTAATGGTCTTGTCCTGACTCGATGTGAAGATGCGATTGAAACCTCCCCACCGCACACATGTCACCGAACTCTTATGGCCAGAGAGGACTTCTTCAACTCGACGGAGTGGAATATCCCATATCCGCACCGTGCCATCCTTGGAGGCAGACGCTAACCGTGGCTTTCCTGGAGTTTGGTTGTGATAAGGCTCCCAGCACATGCTGGTAATCCATTTCGTGTGACCCTTTAGTGGTCCTCCGAGAGCTTCGCCAGTCTTGGGGTCCCAGAGTCGGATGGTGTTGTCCATGCTGCCCGTGGCAAGCAGCTGGCCGTCTGGAGACCATGCCACCGCTAAGACCCAATGCGTATGTCCTTTTAATGTATGGAGAGGTGTTCCAGTATCGCAATCCCATATTCTTGCGGTGTTGTCGCCACTTCCTGTGGCCATGCGAGATGATGTTTGGGGCGAGAAGGCCGTGACCAAGATGGCCTCACCGTGGCCGGATATGGAGGCAGAACATCTTGTGACTGCGCGGACGCGGAAGACTGCTTGAGGGATAAATTGCAATACGATGTTGTCTTCGGTGGTCTTGAAGCCCGGGCGCAGGACTGAGTTCCAAATATCGGTCTGTATATCTAAGACCTCGTCGTCGCCGCCAGCTGCTGTGGCTCGATCGTTGCGGAAGAAGAAGCGATACGGTAATCGTTCGGAGGGGTCCTGACAAGAGTTAGTGACGATGGTCTCAGCAACATTGGGCTGAATGGACAGGCTGGATCTCTGCATACCTTTCCTTGTATAGTATTTAACAGAGTCTCCAGGTTCTTGACAGTGGCATCTTTTACTGGAACTGCGACCACAGACCCAGTAGGCTTGCCAGTACTTTGATCGACAAATTGAATTCGAACGGAACCCAGATCTTCGGGTATTCTGGCATCTTCGGCTTTCTTTTCTGCTTTTTCCACTGCGGCCAGCTTCTGCCTCTTACTTGGAGGGGGCGCAACGGTCGCCATGAGGTGCAATGGGGGTGTGGAATTGGGATGTTGGTCGCCTGCAACCGTATGAAGTTCTCATAAAAATTTATGGATTCAATCCCCGCAAATCGGAACAACTTCGGCAAATATTGAGGCCCTTGGTTCCTTCCCTCTTCAACATGGACCTCAACCATTGCACTTGCCATTCTTGCGATGCAACTTTTGATGAGAATTTAACATGATGGACTGCGTCTCTTCTCTTCAACCCAAACAATGTTCCGGTAGGCAACATGTCTTCAATCTCTCGACGAAACACATCTGGTCTCAAACAGGCCAGGGTTCCGACAGACGGAACCGTCTCTTCCAAACCTTACTCCAGACCCTACTCCAGCAGGTCAACCCGTCGTTCACGTACTGCGGTGACCTCAACTGGTTATGGTGACCCTGAAATCATCTGTGCTGTGTGCGAATCACGAGGCATCTCCCCTACTGTTGGTCTTTCATTTATCAGCACTTCTACTTCTGAGGCTATTCTGTGCCAAATCACTGACACCCAGACCTACGCCCGAACCTGCCACAAAATCAAAGTCTTTGCTCCCACCGAGATTCTTTACATGTCTACAGCTGCAGACTCCAAATTGGTTTCAATACTGCTTGAAAATATTGTCGGCCATGATTCTGACGTCGAATTGACAGCACTTGACCGCAAATACTGGACAGAAAACAGTGCTCACGAATGTATTCAGCACTTGGCTCTGCCTGAAGATCTCGAGTCGCTCAAAGTATCGCTCTCTGGAAATTATTTTGCTCTATGCTGCTTCTCAGCAGTATGTACCTGACTGATATGCCACTCCAGTCGCACTGACCGCCGTAGACCGTCAAATACATCGAATTCAGCCTGAGCACCACTTTTGTTGCACAAACCCTACGCATCAAGTATGAGTCCTCCGAAGGCTCAATGATGATTGATCTATCCACCATTTCTTCCCTTGAATTGATTCAAAATCTGCAAAATGCAAAATCAAAGCACAGCCTGTATGGCCTCCTCAACCACACTCTTACACCAATGGGAGCCCGTGTTCTCAGAACCAATGTCCTCCAGCCTTCTACCGATTCTGAAAAGATCATCAAGAGGCAAGATGCGATCACAGAACTGACCACGAGAGAGGATATGTTTGTGGCCGTGCGCTCTGGTATCTTGGGTGACATCCTCGCTGGAAAGGATTTAACTGACAAGCATTCAGCTCTGAAAGGCTTCGTTGACGCAGATCGGGTGCTGGCTGCGGTTCGCCCTTGATCAAATTCATTTTTGTTGTAGCACTAACAACTCCAGCTCGTGGTCATTTCAACCAAGGCCGATTTTCTGTACATGGAACAATCGGTCAACAACGTGCTCATGCTCAAGACCTTTATTGATTCTATCGCCCCAGTCCACCAAGCTTTGGTCGGAGCTGCGAGCGAAGAGCTCGGTATAATACGTCAGGTAAGGTGCAACGCTGAATTGCATGTGGCCCAGCTGATTCGTTGTAGCTATGTGATCCTGAAAACTTTGTCGAAGTCGACGACTTGATAAAATATTGTCTGAACCCTGATGTCGGCTATTCCAGTAAGCCCACAGAGCTGCGGAATCAAAGAGTCTATGCAATCAGAGTACGTTTCCAACCCATTCCGTGTCCATGGCCTGATAGCCCAGGCTGGCGTCAACGGCTTTCTTGATATAGCGCGTCAAACCTACAAGGAAATCAACGAGGATGTCGTTACCATGATTGACGAACTAAATGGTAAGCTATCATCAGCCATTCGCACCCAAAGTGTTGATGGGAGTAGATGAAGTTGACGTCCCTCTCGAGTTGAAATATGATACGGCTCGACAATACTTTCTCCGTATTCCAGCCGTTTCACTCGAGGAGACTGCACTCCCTGAGCTATTCATCAATATCTATCGACGCGGCAAACATGTCGAGTGTCAGACTCTTGAACTCGTTAAATTCAACCAGAAGATTAAAGACGCACACAATGAATGCATCTCCCTATCAGACCATTCGGTACAGGAACTCATTCTCAGCGTTCGTACTAAGATCCAACCATTGTTCAAAATAAGCGAATCCGTTGCAATGCTCGACATGCTGTCCTCCTTTGCTCAGCTCGTCACCACAAGTGACTACGTCAGGCCGGAACTCACAGATACTTTGGCCATTAAAGCTGGTCGTCATCCAATCCACGAGCATGTTCACCAGGGTGACAAGTTCGTGTCCAACGATGTTTACGCTACCCAACAGAATCGATTTCAGATTGTAACGGGTTGTAACATGTCAGGCAAGTCTACATATATTCGAGCCATTGCGCTCGTGACCATAATGGCACAAGTTGGTTGCTTCATCCCCGCTGCTTACGCCTCGGTACCGCTTTTTGAGAACCTCTTTGCCCGGGTATCAACTGACGACACGAACGAAGCCAACATTTCGACATTCTCCTCTGAAATGCGTGAGACGGCATTTATACTGCACAACATCACTCCAAATTCGCTCGTGATCATTGATGAATTAGGCCGTGGAACCAGTACGACCGATGGCCTGGCTATTGCGATCGCCGTGGCAGAGGCACTGATCGAATCGAAGGCTTTTGTATGGTTTGTCACTCATTTCCGAGATCTTCCGCGTATTCTAGCAGAGCGTGCTGGTGTTGTCAACTTGCATTTGGTAGTTGACATGGCTCAAGACCTTTCAGAAATGCGGATGCGATACCGCGTGGCAGATGGCTATGAAGAGGAAAAGTTCTATGGCTTGGCTCTTGCAAATGTGGTCGATCTGCCAGAAGACGTCATCTCAGTCGCTACTCAAGTGAGTCGGGCGCTTCACGAACGCAATGAAGCGAAGAGGAGCAATCCAAAAGCCATGGCAGTCGTGAGAAAGAGAAAACTGTTGTTAAATCTAAGGGAACAACTAAAGCAGGCGGGCCAAAGCCAGATGGAGACTGAAGCTTTGAGGAAATGGCTGAAGAGATTACAAGATGAATTTCTAATTCGAATGAAGGCGATCGTGGATGAAAGCGATGCTTATGGCGAAGATGAAGAAGGGAATGTCACAACTCTTATGACTGACATTCCCAACATGGACTCGAGCACAATTACCGGTGAAGTAATGGAGGATGATCTCGATTCACAGCAATCACACAACTATCGGGACGGGTCGGTGAGTTGGGAATCCAGCAACAAAATCAAAAGGGAGATGAATGGCGGTTCTATGCGACCAGGGACAATGCTACCTGAATCGATGTTGGGTGTGACATGGTTTGGTGGATGCTCTGGTGACACCGTGGACAACCCGGTCCACATCGAGAGCGATGCGAGCGATGATAGTTCAATTACGCAAGGTTTTACCGGGTAATGGAAGGGGGGGGGCGGGACTGAGAGATAGAGAACAGAGGAAGACAGGTCTTGGAATGATTTTTTCAGCATGAGGCTCAGACACTATAATCTAAACAGTCCAAATGACGACTCTGCCATCGACACCGCTAGTACTGAATTTCCTGACGCCAGATGCAGAACCCTCAAAGACACGGATAGTGTTGATGGTGTTTTGATGAGTAGTGCTCAACTTTGTATCATCCTTCGTCTTGCCCTTGAGATCCATCTGTCTGAACATATTGAGTGCTGACTCCTCTCTAGCAGCGCCACCGGCTCTCTTAGTCTCGACAGGACCAGCAAGCTGCCAACCCTGTTCACCACCACGGAAGCGGAACGCCTCACAATCATATCCAGCAGCGAGGATCTCAGACTCTCCGTTCCAAATCAAACTGGTAAACGGCAAAGTCTGGGTCGAGATATTGACAATGGCACGGGGAGGCTGGTCGGGACCACTGGGATAGACGACCGTAATACTACTATCATGAGCAGCAAAAGCCAGCGCATCACCGGAAGGCGAGAACGAAACAGCATGGACCCAACCAGCCGATTCATTCAAGTACTCGCCACACACGGTGTTGAACGGCAGACGTTCTCCCCAAACACTGGCCTCAGGTCGCTCATCAATCCCCTTGACAAATCCAGAGAATACCCGGGCGTGGGAATCGGTCGAGCCCGCGGCCAGCAGAACCGAGTTGGGATGCCATGCCACGGTCGTGATGGTGCTGCGGATCGGCTTCTTCAAGTGTTTCGACACCCACCAGTCATTCTCTTCCTCGAAGTAACACACTGCAATCAACCGTGCTCCCGATCCAACGGCAAATTTCTTCTCCGATGGCGACCAGCGAACGAACGTGGCGGCGCGGTTGATGCGGAGGAGAACGAGGGTTGGTTTCCATCCAGTTGGAGACGGTTCCCAGACATAGGCGTTTCGATCTGTGGTGATGATCATGTTAGTTAGTATACTAGTAGCCCTCTGACCTTTTTGATAATGGCGGAGAGGGAGGATATGTCGATATGACATGTAGACATGGACATGGACATGGACATGGACATACCTTGAGAACAAGTGACGATCAACCCACTATTAGGAGCGATATCAACACCCGTAACGGTCTTATCATGACCCTTGAGTTCATCTCCAAGTACATATTTCGAGCCGGACTTTTGATACAGTTCGACGTTGTTGTCTCGGGCAACTGCGAGGGTTTGTCGGTCGGCGGAGAAGGAATGGTCGGCGATGGGGTCGTGGAAGAGGTGGAAAACTTCAGGACCAGACATGGTGAAGAGAAGGAGGGTGGTTGGTGGGAGAGGTGGAGCGATAGGAGGAGCTCTCTACTATCGCGAGAGGGAGGGGAGGGAGTTGTATGAGTGTGAGTGTGGATGTGAGTGTGAGTGTATGAAGGTGTTGGTTGTGAGAAGGGGAGAGAGTGGCAGTGTAAGTACTCAGTGGTGGGATGACGATGACGCGGAACCGGAAAAACTGCGGAAGTAGGATGGAATATGGCAGCCTTACTGCCCCACGTTGAACCTCCACAAACGAGGCTGAGGCACGAAGGGGTCAGAATAGTCAACATTGTAGGTGCTCAACAACCAAGTGCGAGTTGTGTTTTGTAGATTCGTATATGTGACATATATTTCTCGTTCTGATCGTCAGTGACTACGCTTTATATTTCCGATCACGAAACCCAGCAAGAACCTCGGCTGTCCCATCCCCAGACTCGGAATACTTCTTCTTCGCAATCTCAGGATTCAACTGCAGCAACTGTTTAGCCTTGACCCATTCCTCCATCGTAACAATCTTCTCAAACCGTGGCTGCACACCTGCCTCCTGCAAGACCGGTGAATCCGTAATCGGAAGCAACTTGGTCGTGTTATGCGGACGAGCAAAGTACAATAACCCAGTTCGATCATACTCTCGTTGATCCTCAGGAGGAGCCACCACACGATGAACTGAACTCTTAAGCCAACCTCCTGTCAAGTGAGAGATGGTGTCGGCGAGATTGACGGTGATGGTACCCGGTTGAGGAGACACCCAGGTCCAATTTCCATCCTCGCCGAGAATCTGTAGGCCTGCAACTGGTTGTCTGAATAGGAGAGTCACTGTGCCCAGATCAGTATGCCCGGTCTTTTTTCCATATTCGCCAGCAGCCCATTCCTGTTCAGTTTTCGAATGGTAGATCATATATCGGAAGTGGTCTTCACTCTTTTCTTCGTATGTATGCTGTTTGACGAGATGTTCCTCATCTGGTAGTTTCAACACGATGGCAAAGAGTCTCAACAACGGCAACACCACATTATTGTGCAAAGCTCGAGAGAAGACTTCAATGTCATCGATATGTGCTTTGATCAAGTCCGGGTGATCGTATTTACCCACAAAGTCTTGGGTGAATTTGGGAATGTTATACATCTCCACTTTACTAAAGGCAGTGCCGGGGCCGACTGGGCGTCTCCATCCATTATAGTCGGCGGCAGCATAGTTGACTTCGTATTTTTCCTTCTCTTGGACAGGGAGTTGGAAGAAGTTTTTGGCAATGGTGAATTGCTGTTGCACTTGGTCCGGGCTGAGGCCGTAGTTCTTCACGTAGAAGAATCCGACGTGATGGACGGCATGTTCTAGTTGTTTGGCTAGTCGTTCTTTTCCTCCTGGTCGGTCATAGTCTTCTAGGTCGAGCGTGACTAATTCGGACCATGGGAGACTTTCTTTGGTTTCTGGAGGGTGCACATATGGTTGGAGATGGCTATAGTCATACTTGAGCACATCAATCACAGGTGCCTGGGGCTCTGTTGGAACGGTTGGAATAGTTTGTACAGCTGCGGCGGCCATCTTGGAATACTTCAATTGTGGGTGATACGATCCAACGATCTCAACCCTGGGGAATACGCCCTGGTAATAAGCTAATGACAAGCGTACTTGGAACGACCATTATGCCTGGGGTTATGCAATTGTGATCGATGTTGCGTTGCGTGTCCATTGGTTTGTGAAGTCGTCACTTACATGTTGGATGTCGCCATCGCGTCTAGATGCTGTTTTGGCAATTGGCTTTCGAACCACTTTTATCACATCAGCACTTATCACCACTCAGAACTGCATCTTGATATCTTCTCCGGTCGACCTTCGGCCGAATAAGATGGGCGAAGACCGTCTCTGCCGCCTACCAAGACTCGGGATCAGCAATGGTCAGCCGATCGAGGAAGCTTGTGGTGAACCTTGCACCGACATTCTGAATACACTTCTCCGACCATCATCGTCGTTAGGCTCAGCCAAGATGTATCCAAAGCAGCATTTATGTGCTCTCACGGACTACTCTGTCCTAGTGAAGTGGTCTGACTCCGCCAATATACATTTCACACAGCTTGGCCACCTCTCTAACTTTTATGCCCAGACATTGTCTCCGGGCGAACTCCCAGTCTCTTCTGCCATCGGAATAAAACCGTACCCGCTTCATCGATTCCACCGAGTCTTGGAGGCTCAAATTTGCCTAGAGTCGCTGCTTTGCATGCAACATGATTCTTGGTATGCCTATGGCGACAGTAAAGTGAGAATGGCGCCATGGATAGTATCTTGTTTGATGTCGGACGTATATGGAGGCCAGATTCTGGAAGTTGAGGTGGGTTGTATATCTAGGATCTGCAACTCCCTTCAAAATACGGGAATATCCACGAATCTTCTTGCTGAGAGAGGTCCTGCATCATGACGGGAAAAGTCGTCGATGAATTTCCAGACAAACTGGGGTCCGCAAAAGAACTGCCTGCTGATCAGGAGTCAGATAACCCTCGATCCTTACCAGCTTGGGAAAAGCCCGGGTTCAAGGGAGCCTCACTTCGTTTTTGGAGGGCGTTTCAGCGATATGCCTGGGACGACCCAGACAAACCAAAAGAAGAGAAATGGTTCTTGTTCAAACTCGACATGTTCCTGCTCACGTCCGCTTCGCTCGGGTAAGTTCGTCGCCTCGTGAAATCCCTGTCATGCTCGCAGCTGAAGATGAATTCTCCAGATACTTCAGTAAGAATTTCGACGCTTCCAATGTCAACAATGCATATGTATCCGGCATGAAAGAGGCCTTGAGCATGCATGGAAGTGAGTTGACATATGCCTACAACTGTTACACCGCAGGATATGTCGTCGGCCAGATTCCCGCTGTGATTCTGTCAACCAGAATTCGTCCATCCATTCTCCTGCCAACCTTGGAAGTCCTCTGGTCCATTGCCACCTTCTGCTGCGCCGCCATCCACACCTCACCTCAACTGTACGCGCTTCGTTTCTTGATTGGTCTGTTTGAATCCGCATACTTCCCAATCATGATATATCTGGTTGCAAGCTGGTATACCAAGGAAGAGAGAGGCAAACGTACCGTCATCTTCTATTCCACTGGAGCCATGGCTATGATGTTCAGTGGTTACCTTCAGGCTGGTGTGTACAAAAATCTCGATGGTAAGCGCGGACTTGAAGGATGGCAATGGTTGTTCATTGTCTGTGGCGTAATTAGCCTACCAATCGCCTTCATTGGATACGTCATGTATCCGGATTTCCCTGAAACTACTCGTGCTTTCTTTCTCACGGAGAAGGAGCGTCAATTTGCACGAGACCGGTTGGTTAGGGAAGGTCTCCAGCCACTTGGTGCCGCCAAATGGGATCGAACAAAGTTGTTCCGCATTGCGAAGCAGTGGCAATTCTGGTTGCTTCCAGTAGGTTACTGGATCGTCCAGGCAAGCACGCCTGTATATCAACCCGCCTTCGCCATATGGCTCAGGTCGGCAGGTCACTCCGTATACCAAGCGAACGTGTGGCCAACAGGACAAATTGCCATTGGGCTGGTCGTACAATTGCTAGCAGGAGCCATCTCCGATTCTCCCCTCCTTGGAGGTCGCCGATGGCCGGTCTTGATCGCTATGCAAGTCCCCACCATCATTGGTTGTCTCTTGATAGTCATTTGGAACATTTCGGACAGTTCGAAGTTGTTTGCATATTATGTCTCTTGGGCTTGTGTCGGTACACCGGGTATTTACTACGCTTGGTATCCAGACCTGATTCCGCATGACCATGAAATGCGAGGATTTGTGGTCGCCGTGTCCAACACTTTCAGTCACATCCAGTCGATCTGGTTCACTCTGGCTGTCTGGAGGACCGTCGAAGCTCCCAAGTTTCACAAAGCTTTCGTTGCGGCTATGACCTTGGGGTTCGTTCTAATCGGATACGTCTTTGTGTTGCGCGGATTGGAACTCCGTGACAGGCGAATCCGACAACGGGCTCAGGATGGAGCAATCGACGAGGAAAGTCCCAACAGCCCGAACGAAGGAGCTGATGTTTCTGTGGAACCTTCAAGCAATGTTAAAGTTGCTGAAACAAAAGCATGAGTATGAGGTGAGCTTTTATGTTGGCAAGCCAGACTGCCCGCCAGGCCGAACTCCTGTTGCCTAGTGGAAGGGGTTTTAGAAGCGAAATGACTCTCGGCATAGAGACGGTGCCCGTGGAGTCTAGTTAGAGTCGTTGAGATAAGTGATGGTTGAAGCTTGATGTCGGGTTGTTCGTTACCCAAGAATAGAGATTGGGTTAAGAGGATGTTAGAAGGCAACATTTGGTGCTTGCTACGCGCGTTTGTTGAGACCTTCGATGTATTCTTCCAACCCTTCAACAACGACTTGGTGATCTTCATGTTGTTTTAGGCCACTCACGACGATGACACCGACAATGCCCTCGACACCGTGGACTCTGACAGGGACGCCTCCACCATGGATGGCATATTCTCCCGCCGACTCACCAAGCATATACTTCTTCTTGAATGCATCTTCGTCACCGTGAAGTTTGTTATGCATGAACCACGTGCTTACACCCCAGCGTAGCACAGTCTTTCTTTTGCGTGCCACCCAGATGTCGTTATCTGGCTGGACACCGGGACGGGAAACGGCATGGAACAAGAGGTTGTTGCTGTTGGCGAGCGAGATGTTAACCACGGCTGACAGTTGAGATAGAGCTCGAAGCCGGTTTCGAAGGGCTAGGCCAATTTCCAACGCGTCATCGGCATTGAAGTGAGGAAGAATGAGAGCCTCTTCTTGTCTGGCAATGATCGAGAGCTATGCCTAGCATTAGTACAGTAGGTGGCCCGAGGTGGGGAGGGGTAGACAAGTCTTACATCTCTGGGCGCTTCGTGCAAAGGTCGGGTAGACATTGTTATTGTGCAACGTGAGATATCTACCCCAGATTTATACAAGGGAAAGATTGAGAAGAGGCAAAGAACTTCAAATTCGTGTTGTGAGCGGAAGTGACGTCCTACTTGCCGACATATTATTATGAAATTCCCCCGCACCTTCCTCTTTTGTTGATCAATCCTGGAAGCAATGTCCGTGTCTTGGCAGGCCATGAGATACATCGACGACGCCTCCTTCCTGACGCCATTGTTGCTGCTTTAGAGGGGGGCGATTCGAATTTAGTGAGATTTGAAACATGGGTTACCCGTACAGAAAATATTTTACTGGGCCAAGGACTACAGAACAAAGTTTCTTAGCCCAACCGTTGCCTAAACTCATTAAGTGCCGTTAATTACCTCGTTTCGAGGCTTTGAACGTCAATATGTTGGTCGAAGGAAGTTGCCCATTCTTTCCATTTTCAGGCAAAAATTGGCTCGAAATGGTAGCTGGACCTCGTGATAAAGATTGGAAATAACGGAGCCACAGGCCTCGAGCGAGATTGAATCCTTGAATCCCTCCGGAATACTGCTGGGCGATGTTTCTGCCAGCTAGCCGTAGCTGGAATCAAGAGCGTTTATTCAAGAATCCTGAAGTATTCTATTTGGTAAACTCGTTGCCCGAAATTCCGCCGCTTGGTCCCGCTCCGGCCACGCCGCGCTTCTTCTCCCCTTCCCGATCGTCTTTATCCATCGTGTCGACCTGCTTTCCTCCTTCGCCTTACTCGCCTCGGTGTAGCCGTCGTCGTGCGTCTGCCTGCGAGGAAGTCAGCCGAAGAGGACATAATGAATATGCTGGTGTACCTCCCATACGCCCTTTCTGCAAGTAAAATCTAGTGCCCATCAAGTAGACGAAACATGGGATATCTCTTTACGCTCGGCCACTACTGTCAAAATCTAGTGTTGAGTAATTACTTTAAGGTACTTTAGAGCATCACGAAGATTTAGTGAAAATATCGTCTATCCATTACATATTCTCCTCCCCTTGCATTACCCTGGGCCTTTCCTTTTTCCATCCCAGTTTCGACAGAATCGTCTTTCATCATACTTCTAGCGACCCGTCGTACGCTAGGTCAGCAATGTCCCTAACTGCGACAAAATTGCTAGACCAACACCCAGGGCTTTATGCAGATAAACATATGAGCCAGACCCATTTCTGTGGCAGTACAAGTTCTGTAAGATTAAATGCAGGGTGTAAAATAGCCCAGCAAAACTTTCACGCTGAGAACCCGTCCACTAGCGCTCGAAGTTTCCCCAGATCAACCGTCCGAAACAATATGCTGTTGGATTGCGAATTTCCTTACGCTTTCTGTATCAGGCAGGTCACAATCCTAATTCAGATATCTTACCCACAAAGGAGGCGAATGTATATTCGCGCTTTCCGGCATTAATGATTGAGCAGGAAAGACAGTACGTTGCAGTTTTGCCCAATGGTCCTGAACTTTATACTTCTACGCCAAGCGCTGCTGGTCAGCTGATCGACTTGCAGCAGTCGCACTATACGCCGTCGTAATCGACTGGATCCGTGAAAGCGTTGTCTGCCGTGCACAATACGCAGCTACAGTATTGTGCTCTATATTGAGGATGAGGGAGATCAAGACAGACATTATCAACACAACAAAGCAAATCGGTTATCTCGTTGACTGGCTAATCTTACGCCATGCATCTCCAGAGCCGTACAAGCCAACGTTGTATATTGATCTCGAAGGCGTAAATCTCTGTCGTGTGGGCTCCCTTTCCATCTTCACCCTTCTCATTGATATCGATATCCCGACTATACGTGTCTATCTTATCGATGTGCATTCGCTAGATTCACGAGCGTCCAACACTGCTGGCATCAAACAGCAGACTCTAAAGGATGTTCTCCAAGATGAAAGGATACCAAAAGTGTTCTTCGACGTTCGAAATGATTCGGATGCTTTATTTACACATTTTGGCATCGCTGCAAGGGATAGAAAATATTTAGCTTATGGAGAGTGCTACGAGGACGACCACGAGATCCAGAAAGTAGTTAAACGACCTGGCTAGGTGTATTGAGAATGGTGTGCTATACAACAGTGACCTAAATAGCTGGAAGCTGGCGAAAGCGAAAGGAGAGCGATTATTCAAAGCTAAACACGGGGGTTCGTACGAGATCTTTAGTTTGCGTCCAGTCCCCGACGATATCATCGCTTACTGTGTTGGCGATGTCCAGTGCCTTCCCGAGTTTTGGGACAGATATCGGTAGAAGACTAATGGGTCGCGAGACCTGGTTTATTCAAGACGAGGAAGGGAAAGTGATGACCCAATGCTAGCAGGAAATCGAGACGCTAACCATTGTATTATTGCTTAATCATATGTCTACTATGAGTAATCACTGCATGGGATGGTCGAAACGACCTGACTGTTGGATTCCAGGCGCAAGAGGTACGCTCAGATAACATCATGACGAAACCGTCGCTTGGAATTTGTGCCAAATCAACGGCCCACCCTGGCTCCCTGCCTTTGTCCTGCTATGAAGCATAGCAACGGAACGGCAAGGCAGACTCCGCCGAGTCCAACAGACCGCAGGGCTTGTTCACTGGAGTTGATTGGCTTCATTCCTAGGTTCCCAATATTTGGATTGCTCCAAGTTCTATCTCTGCATTTACACATCATATATTCTCAACGACAACCCATTTCAGATTCGCTGCTTCTTTAAGTGCCTTTTTTTGGTCTTTCGTTTCCTTTGTAGATGCTTTCAACGGCTCATTCTTCTTTCGGGCTTGCTTGATGGCTTTCTCCTGGCTTTTCCTTATCGTATTTTGCACCTGTCTGGCGCTTAATTTGTCCAATACGTTGGTCTGTGGTTCAGGAGATGGGACGTCGAAAGTTAATGGCGCTATGTGATTCTCCAAAGCTTTCATGCGACGCTCTGCGACGGTGATATGCGAGGAAACGCTTACAGGCGCCAAGGGATATGACCTTGGGTCTTCGCACGTCAATAGTCTGAACTTTTCGTCCTTGACAAGTGTCACTTTGAGACCACGAGGTCCAAAGTACTGTTCATTCGCCTGTTTCAAGTATAGCTTCGATCTGGCAGCACTCACGGAGGCGGTCCCCGCACCGGCTACTACACCAATTCCTGCACTAGCTGCTTGTGTCCAATGATGAGGCACAAACCCGATACCCATACTAGCGAGTTGTAGTATTTGAAATGGGGCCGCAGGTGCTCGAGCCACAGTGAGGTTGTCTAGAAAGCCGACAAATTCCTCTAGCGTGATGGCGTGGTAGGAGAGGTCTGGGGCGTATGCCCTGTAGAAAGGCATAGGACCTGATCGAAGAGTATCTGGTTGAATCTGGGGGATGGCAACCAAACGGCCTAAGCGAGGGAAGCTTCTTTGAGAAGGTTTGCTAGGGATCCATCCCAAGGCCCTTGGAAGAACTTGGGCGTCTGCTTCTGACGGTGCGTCATTGGCTCCAGAAAGCTCATGGGCGCGAGGCTTGTGAGTGTCTTCGAATATTCGTTGAGAGCTGGAGTATTTGTCTCTAGCGTATCTCGCTTGTGGGTGGGGAGAGTAGACTCGGGCTTGCTCGTGTGCCATTATAGTATTGTGGTATCGTAGTACCGTCTCTTTTAGGGGCTTTTGCTTCCAAGTGTCGAAACGATAAGAAATCAAAATCTTGATGAGATTGGACTTTCAAAAGAACAAAAATTGCCCATATTTATATCTTAGATCTGCTGGCAGCAGTGCCCTACTATTCTGGAGCATTTCGGGCTATGTATGAAACAGACTTCAAATTTGAGGTCAGCTGAAACCGAAGATTATTTCCCAATTGGGTGCTATTTGCGGTATAATAGCGGTGATTGGGTACTCAAAGGTAGATAATTCTCCACAGATTACAACCAAACCTTAATGGAATCTCATGAAATCAAAATTAACGTCAATTCTTTCTGCCTTTTTTGTTTTCGTCAAACTGTGTGAAAGGTTACGATTTCGTGGATCTGTTTGTGTCGAATGATTATAAAGCACCGTTAAGACTCGGATGTTCAGATGGTGGGAAGAAGCGGGCGTTCTAAAGGGTGCGCGAGTTGTCGAAAGCGACACCTAAAATGTGGTGAGTAGGACAGTTTACGCGCGTTTCTCTTTGATAATTGCGTGCTATTAACCACTATGCGATGAATTAGACGAAGCGAGACCCACTTGCGAACGATGCAGACGTGACCGGTTCTCCTGTGACGGCTACACGGCCATTAGCTTTGTTAATGAGTACAATCGACTCGACAAGCCGAACTCGACTAAGGTTCTTGCGGCAAGGCAGACACCTACCTTTCCCCCTGTCTCGTACAACCTACAGCCCGTTCGCAGCGAGCAGTGTCTCAACTTCCTACGGTACCTGTTCTCTCCGACCCAGTCAGAGCCCTATACGGGCGATTGGCCCGGCTTTCACGCGGCCAAAGATTATTCAACCCTGTCTTATCAATGTCTCGATTCGCTGGCAAAGTCGTACTTTGGCCGAGCGCAAGCTTCGCGCGAGGTGCTTCAAGATGGCCTACTTGTTTATGTGCGCTCTTTGAAAGCGTTGAACCAGCGCCTGGCCGATCGTGTTCAGATGGTTGAGGACGACACGTTGGGGTCAATTTTCATTTTGAGTGTCTACGAGGTAGGTCAGCCCAAATCATCGTCACAAGGCTGCTGATAGTTGCTAGATGCTCGTTCTCTCAACAAGCAAGGGGTGGGTTAGTCATATCCTCGGCTTGGCCAGCATTATGCAGATTCGAGGGCCACAGGATTTCCAAACGGGTTTTCAACGTCTGGTACTGGACAACGCTCGGATTCTAATCATCTTGGCATCGCTGGCTGTGTCGAAGGGAACCTTTTTAGCACAGTCGGAATGGAAGATTATCCCATGGATGCAATCAAGACCAATGGATCCCATGCAGGGGTTGATCGAAATCATGACCAACCTTCCAGGGCTGAAAGAGATGCAACATGAACGTAACGATCCGTTAGAATGCTATTCCTTGGCAAAGCAGGTGCTATCAGAGCTGCTCACCTGGCGCAAGTGGTGGAACTCCACTCCCATGTCAGAAACACTTATTGTCCATTCGTCGGAACAAGACCCGTTCTGGTCGGAGGTCTTTGAAACAAGCCTTTACTACCACTCAATACATGCTGCAAACTGCACATGTCTATACGATGGCGCGGTGATCCAAACTGTCGAGATCCTTACTGCGACCAGCATAACATCCTCAGCATTTGACTTTGATGACCTCCTAAGGGATGCCGCCATGGAAATTTGTCACAGCCTCTCATACTTGCTTAGTCAGAGAAATTTTGCCCGAGGCCACTTCATGGCGCTGTTCCCCATGCGTATGGCGTGGAAAGCCCTGGGAGGCGGTGCAACCAGCCAAGGGCGATGGATTGAACAGGTTCTTCAGAAAGTTGAAGTGCACAAGCAGAGTTGGGGAATCACCAGTCAGACAATCACATACCCAAGCTACTGAGCTAGGCCTCTTAACCGACTCTTGTGGCGAGCACGAAATAAGTACCGGGCCTATTTCCGAATAATGGGAAAAGGAGCGAGTAAAACGACTAGGGAAGGTGCGGCAGTAGGCGCCGACTCCCAACAGCTCTTGCTTGACTGCTGATCTCCTCAGATACTGGTCAATATCTGCGACAGGCCTATATCATTGGGTGGCAAGCCGAGCTATTAAGGTATTAGAAAGATCGACGATTTTTGATCCTCTGTAGTTCTCAATTCTGACGTCATCACCAGGCCAAAACCTGGCAGCTTTTGGAATGTCGAATATTCGAAAAGATAGCACGGATATGAGAGTGATCAGTTGACATTGGTAGATAGTTTTTGACGATTACCCAACGGCTTAAGCAGCGGGTATCGACAAGATTTCGAATGGTATTGAATTGCACATCAGATAAATTCATCCAGCCGTGGTACTCAACAGCCCACATTCCATTCTCTTTCTGCGAGTCTAGTCGAGCAAACGCTCTGCTCTTTGATGCAATAAGTGTTATATAGCAAGCGCGATTGTAGAGGTAAAAAACGGGGTCAGGTTGTTTTTAATTCCTTCTGTTCTACAAATTAATTCGCTTAAAGAGTTCTTTAGAGATACTTACCACCTTTAACGCATATTCTTTGCTCTTGATGAATATAAGTACCACGACGCCGTATTGCCCGCTGGCGAAACAAGGAGGTTGTCCAATTCTCGCTGGACTCCCTGCTGCTCTCGGTAGTCCTATCCTCTCCTGCCTATTTTGTAGCTCCACCAGACTACTCTTACAAAACCTAGAAGCTCAATCGCGCCCGGCCGCGGACGAGAGTGGGCGTCGGGTTTAGAAGGTGTCTAGGAAGATCGAGGCTCCTGTACAAAAGGGTCGAATTAGTTTATCTTCGACGTCGGCGTCGAAACGCTGCGCCGAATCCGATTTCCGATTTACAGGCGAACTTGGGCCCGAGATAGATTTCTGCGACCCGGACACGGCCATACCGGCTGGACTGATAACGGCGTGCCTACGAAAGACCGCATTCCAAGCCGCGAGCGCGATTATAAGTGTCACTAGCACTTCTATATATCTCACGCATACTCGTGTAGTCCCACCGCCTCGCCCGTGAGGCAATTCCGCGATTAGATCGTACGAAGTCTAATCCTAACCTTTCTCGTCGTGATGGTGGCGGAGCAGAGTCCCGTCGGATCATATGGCGGGGCGTTTCGTGCGAAGGCCTCGGAAAGCTATACTGAGAGCTATCTCGCTGCGCGTATAAGTATTAGTTAGGCCAGGCCTCACCATAACGCGTAAAGGTATGAGGATGTATATTGAAGGGGACGCGGGAGTCGACTTGTATATAGATATATAGAGAAGACGTTGATTCCAGTAGGGTGTTTGACGAGATAGAAGATACGTAAGCTAGAAGGGTGTCGGCAACCTCCCGGTCTAGCTACCCAAAGAGCACAATGTTTCGAGGGAGCTGTCGCTATGGCTGTCGTATCATCTTGCCAGAGCGGTGGATGTGACGCAGAGCGCGTACACCTTCAGCTGCCAACATTACAGGTGCCAGTGCTGGAAAAGCAGCGAGCGAAGGCATCATCTCCCTATATACCTATTGACAGCAACGACCTCGCTGTCGGGTCCGCTATTCCCTCAAAGACAACAGATACTAGCACCGAACAAGCGACAGTACGACGCTGCTGTTCGACTTGTCGTGGCTTGGAGCCCCTGGGCCGCCAATCACACTGTGGCGCCCCTCCACCCACAATGACGCTGGGGTGAGTCAGTGGTCGGGGGAGCGTGGCGCCGACGCCGACGCTAGCGATGCTGGCCCCCACGCTGGGTGAGACACGCAGTGGACACGACAGAACGGGGTGGGCTCAGGGTGAGCCGAGGATGAGCCAGGGGTGAGCACAGGGCGGCGTTACCCTGATTCCCGACTGGGGTGAGCCCGGGGCAGATTTTACTCTACTTGGCGCGTCATAAAAGTGGCAGGCACAGGATACTACTAACCAAGGGGGCCGCTCCTTCCACAGCCAACAATCAACACGATACTGATGGGCGTTGTTGAGAACTTCCCCAGCATCTCCCCTGCAGAGTTTGAGGCTGGCTGCAAGAAGATCGAGAGAAGATATGTCAATGCAGTGGAGGGGACAGGCTTGTTGAGCATCAAGTGGATCGAGAAGGAACTGGTGATCAAACAGCAAAGAAAGGTGAATCTCCAGCACAGAGATGAGGATCACGACGTTGCAGATCTTCCACCAGAGGTCGATCAAGACGACATACAGGATTTCGATAACGAAGAAATGGTAAGCGGGATCATTTGTATCTGTAAAAGCATCGTCCTCATTCGTTCGTTCTATTCAGGTCTATCGGTCATCAGATAGCGACGGCGACGATAATGTGATCGTCGATTTTTCAATCACTCTATCTCCGACATATTGCGTGCCGGTATTATGGTTCTCCTGTCGATGGATGTCCACACAGAAGATGCTATCTCTTGACCAAGTGCATCAGTGGTTGGTTCCCCCACAATCCCAAGCATCGCTGAAAAGTGTTGGGGTGATGGGAGGCATAAGCATGACAGTAAGTTTTGATCGATTTGCTGCCGAGCCGAGCTCTTGGTGACTTTGGGCAGCATCATCCAATTTCAGACCTTCCGGCCTTCTTTATTCATCCTTGCCAAACTCCAGAAGCACTTTCAATACTTGGCGCCAACAACACGTTCCAACCGGTGGAGTATCTGATCCTCTGGTTTGGTCTGATAGGGTCGTCGGTTGGGCTGTTTATACCTAGTAAGGTTGTGGACCAGGCGAGAGAGTGACGGAGCATCGCCTTCACGACACAGAAGCGCCCGTAAAGGCGAGTCTGATGCTCGCTCCGTGCTGTGCGCACCTACACGGCAAGCCGTCCAGTTGCGGTCGAAAGCCTGCCGGTTCGTCATGCTTGAAAGGCTATGAGACGCAGCCATCGCTCCAGTGACTGAAGCCGCGCACAGTCTTTTGTAAAAGCACCAGCAATAGATGGTATCCATCAGTCATCGTCATCTTCCTCCATGGAAGCATCACTATCGTCCTCATCCATGGGAACCTCGTCCTCGTCCGCCTCATCTTCTTCTTCGCGCGGTCTCTTGAGGCCATGTGACTCGGTAGTGGCGGCGGGGGCTTTGACGCCATTCTCGGCTGGTTTCGACGGCATACTCGGTGGTGGAGCGTTGAATATAGAGGTTGCAAGAATTGTACTGCCAGCAGTGGCAGTGCCGGAAGCAGTTGTCGGCTCAAAGGTACCGCGAAGCTTGGGGATAATCTGAGATTGACCTCGACCGTATGCAATAACCTAGACATGTAATGTCAATATATTGTGCAAATTTTGGAGCCCGACAGCGGCACTCACCATCTCTTTCCCAAAAAGATCAAAGCCTTGAAGAGCTCTCAAAGCCTGAGTACTTGTCTGCATGTCGCGAAACACCACATGAGCTTGTCCACGCATGCTCTGACCCTTTGAACCTTTGCGAATTGTGACAATATCGAGTACGGGACCGTAGGTCGTGAAGAGCATGTATAACGCGCGTTTCAACTCATCCTTGTGGATTTTCTCATTGAGATTCTTCAAATACAGCCTGTATTTAAAAACATGTTAGCATATGATCCACCACGTCTCATCACCGAAACCTGATTGCTGGACCCAGAGGGAAACGGGGGGTGAGCTCACGTTTGATTTGGATTCCCCAGATTCTGCTGCGACTCTTTACTCTTTGGCGCAGATTGCGCGGCCTTGCTCGCCATGGCGCCGGTCGCGCACGATAAAGGCTAGGCGAGACGAAATGACTTGTGTTGACTCCGGGTGAGGGTTTGGGGATCACAATCTTTCCCACATGGTGACCTGTCGCAATCTTCTGATGTCCGACTCGCACGTCTTCAATGAAGAATTTCGCCGAGTTGGAAGAGGGCTTGGCATTAAAGTCCAAATATGCCATTGGGGGTAATCTGCGGAGCTGGACTAGAAATGCTATTTGTGTTACTGAGATCCGCTGGAAATTTTGATGTCACTGTTTGGTGGAAATTTGGATGAATAGTTATCCTCGAGATATGGTAATAAATTCAGAACTCCATTTCATTGATAATCTGCCTTCTAAACTCCTGGGCATGTTCGGTAAGAATGTCTCGCCGGATCACGTTTGTCTTGACTATGAAGGAGTATCTATACTTTGACCACTGCCACTCCTTGACCTCCCCACCATAATGTGAGTAAAGCCGTTGAAAGACCTGCTCCGCATACCACCAGCACATCTCTCTGTTGAGATTATACCGTGGGCATTGGTCTGTGACGGTGGCGAGAATGTCACTCAACGCCACAAGGTCAGGTATTTTTGGCGAACCAGGTGGAAATCTCAAAGAGAGAAGTGGCAGAGGAAGCAAATGATGGTGAGAAGGACTAAGTCCGGATTTCCAATTCCAGCCACAAACGACCCAGTCTCCCGAGTCTTCTCTCCCGACGGCAATTCTGACGCGATGTCGGGTTTGTGCATCCTCAATGACAGCTTGGATGTACTCGTGAGACAATGGCGAGGCAAGGGCTTTGACCCACGTTAATGAAACAAGTTTGAATTGGGAACTCTCTTGGTGACTGGACATGACTGCTGATAACCAATCCTTGGTCGAGATCCTTGCGTACGTGGTCAAGAAGTTTGAAGGGGTAGCATTGTCTTGCAAGGGAAGAGCCTCAGCTTGTCCGACAGCGGGGACGAGATTGTTGTCATCGACTAGTCGTTGGCTCGGAAGTCTGTCGACCTTATTCGCGACAATCGATGAGGTTTGAAATGGAGATGCTTGGTAGAACAGACGCAGAAAGAGTAGAACCAGAGTATTGAATCGGCTTGTTGCAAAACTGTGCCGAGGTACCCAAGAAGAACTTGACTCTAGTAGTCGATTGTGAGAACTGTTGTCATAAGTGCAAGTCGTGCTGAGGGAGTTGGTGGCCCGTTGTTGAACCGGACTTCGCTGCCGCCAGAGGGACCCATGGTGCTTTATTTCCCGTCGGGAATGAAGACAGGTACGAGTACACAACATTGTGAACTGTCTATAATCTGAAGTACCTTTTCTAATGTGACGGTCCGCAACATCAAAAGAGCAGAGGTGACTTTATATGTTGTGCAATGAATCTAGGTCCGAAAAGGGAAACCCACCTGGTCGAACAAGCAAGCGTCCAATCAGGTGTGGGTGTTCCTACTCGTGGACATATCTTATTGGCTAGGAAGGAACATCAAGCGACTGCTCACATTATTTTACATGATTACTTGCTTCTTTTCCCTTCATGTTCGCCTGCTCGGTGAATACAGGCATGTCACTGCACTTGTACTGGACAGATACACGAATTAGGGCCTCTTGCGATCAGGAGGTCGAGGAGTGTGAATACTTGCCCCTCTCTGATGCAGGCCAGTATAAGAGTATTCAGAGCCATCCATTACAACCAGTTATGGCGATTCTCAGCGGCAAATGTGGCGAACCTCTTGGGCGGCCGACCTGTCACCTTGAGGACGTTCTCGTCCATCTGTTCCTCGGATCCTTGGGCGATCTGTCCTTCGAGCATCACCAAGATCTGGCCTTCCTCTTCACTTGTTCCCATCTCTGTGAATCTCTGATAGAGCTCCTCGTCGGATATAGAATTGTGTTTTACTGGTTTCCCAATCTCCTTTGAGATGATTTCGGCGACCTATAATAGGGGAATAGTGAGTCAATTGAGATATCTTTCGCCAGCAGAACTGCTGGAAGAGACTCACCTGGTCATATGTCAACAGCTCCGGTCCACGCACGGTGTAGTCAGTGTTGTGAGGTTTTTCGTCTGTAAGTAATCGGTAGGCAACGGCGGCGATGTCTTCGGCCGAAACCCAAGGCAGCTTGCCATTCTTTGCGCCCGAAGAGATTTGACCTTTATCGATGATCTCTTTGTTAAATACATCCATGATGAGGTTGTCTGAAACGGAATGTGAGTCTAAGAGTTCAATTCAACTCATGGGCTGATTCAAACTCACCCATGAACCATGTAGGGCGAACTACGCCGTACTCAACACCAATTTGGGTCAAATACTCATGAACCTTGCCATACATGGGACCTCCCATGGGGACAGGGGTGGCGCTGAGTAGAACGAAGCGCTTGACACCTTTGCCTCGTGCAAAGTCGATGAAGGCCTTCATCCTTTCAAAAACGTCTGGGACTTTGGGTGCCACCATGTAGATGGCAGTGATGGGGTCTGTGGCAGCCTGGAAGGGAAGCTCATAGGTGCTTTCATCGCACCAATCGAATCGGACCTGACCTTGGCCGGAGGAGGAGCGTGAGGCGACGAGGAAGGGAATATTGTTCTTCTTAAGCACTTCCGCCAGGGGCTTTGCTGTGGTACCCTTGCCGCCGGTCACGAGGATTGTCATTGTGAAATTGGTAAAATTGGTTCAAAGAGAAACAGGGCAAGGAATGGTATGGAGGAAGAAGTGAGACTTTACTGTGACCTTTGAGTTTATGGGGCCTGAGGATGGTCCCTGAGACTCTTATACTTTTGAGGACAGTTGAGAGAGCCAACTCCGATCTAAATGCCTGGGGAGGCATCGGATCCGACCAAGGGTCATCAAGCATAATGCATCCTAAATCATGTTGGATCAGCTAAGCGTTACCATACGGTGCAAATATTGAACCGACTTGAGCCTGTTTTTGTCTCGCATTGACAGGCAACCAGCAAGCCACGAACGAAACACTGCAGAGAATGGTGGTGCAAGCTCATGATGTATATTGCTGCTGACAAAGGAATTGGGTGGCCTTTCTTGGGGAAGCGGGGCTGCGGCAACTGTGAATCAATCAGATTGGCGACTTCACGCCGGAGAAGTGAAAGCCTTGCAGACTGTGTCATCGGAGAATGGCGCCAAACCTCCAATACAATGCTTGTGCATCGTATTCGCCTCTCAACCTTGCCAAATAACGTGAAAGATTGGTAAAGAGAAAGAAGGACATACTGTGCTGGACGCCTCTCTCGTGAGAGAAAGAATTGTACGATGGGATCCGATGGAGAGATGAAGCAATGGGTGACCAACCAGAAGGGACTCGACCAGCTCCGGATGGAAAGCGCCCCAATTCCCTCTCAGCTCAAGGCCAACGAAGTGTTGGTCAAGATCAACAGTGTTTCCCTCAACTATCGTGATACAGAAGGTAAGCCGACATTAACAGACCCATCGCTTATGCACTGTGTGCTGACAGACGGGATGGCTAGTGTGCATGGGATTGTATGGGCACCACAAATCGATACAACAAAATGCATCACTCGTTCCATGCTCCGACGCAGCTGGCGTGGTGGTCAAGACAGGAGGTGCCGAAGCCGAAGAAATTTTGGCAGTAGGACAACGAGTGTTGTCCATCTTTACACAGTCCCATCTCAAGGGCCAGATCCTGGAGCGAGACATGGCCACACAAATGGGCCTGCCACTGCCTGGTGTCCTGACACAATACCGTGTCTTCCCTGCGTCGGCTCTCGTGCGCATACCAGACTCTCTGACTGATCACGAGGCATCAACTCTACCCATCGCAGCCGTTACCGCCTGGACAAGCATCAACTGGATGCGTCCGATCGGGCAGCACCTCCAAGGAAAGGAAAATGTTGTGGTATTTCAAGGGACAGGCGGCGTGTCCATTATGGGTCTTCAAATAGCCAAGGCATGCAATCTGACAGGTAAGTCTTTCAGCCTCAACATGTGATGTGAACTGAGCGAGGACAGCTATCGTCACTTCATCTTCGGATGAGAAACTAGAAAAGGCTCGTCAGCTCGGGGCAGACCATCTCATCAACTACAAAAAGCAGCCAGACTGGCACACCGAAGTGCTCAGACTGACTGAGGAACGGGGAGCAGATATCATTCTCGAGTGTGGTGGGTCTGGGACTTTGAACAAGAGCTTCGAGTGCATTGCCTTTGGCGGACTGATTAGTTGCATTGGCTATCTGTCGGGCAAGGAGGACGCCCCGGGTAGCCGCATGAACACCAATGTTCTGGCTCTGAAAAGAAACGTGACGCTCAAAGGGATCCTCAACGGGGGCAAGGACCGCTTCGAGGAGATGCTGGCCGCAGTGTACCAGAAGAATGATGTTCATCCGGTTGTGGATGAAGTGTTTGAATTCGACCAGGCCGATAAAGCCATCCAGTACCTCTTCAGCGGGCAACATTTCGGAAAGGTGGTTGTTCGAGTGTGTTGATGGTGAAGTTGGATTTCATCCTCTTGCACGAGTATTCTAGGCACTAGCCCATCCCAGGCTTCATCGAAAACAAGGAGCGATCGAAGAACAGGACGAACCTGATCGATGAAAAGAATCATGACGATGATGTTACTTGGTTCAGACACTGGGAAAAGGAACATGGACGAGATCGTCAACATGGCGATCGAACAATGGATTTGAATAATCCTTGAGATAGATTGAGATAGACTTGATGGACTTGATATCCATGATGAACTACTTCGGCCGTTAGAAATGACTCCACAATGAATTCTGGGGACGGAGATACCAGATTAACATGGCACGCATGGGCACAGACTGTGAGGACGACAGATAGAGCGAGAAGAAGCATGAGAGGTGCAGGACAAAAAACAAGCTTCGACTCGCGAAGAGCTCTCGATTAGGCAACGATAATCGGGAGGGTATGAGCTCCAGTAGGTACTTAGTGCCTGGCACCAGGGAGTGCAAGCATGCCTGTGCACTGCAATAATGGGGCTGTGGCTCATTCACACTCTGCTCTGCCTCTCTCCCTATTCAAAGTGCTCAGCCCCCAATCTCCTATCTCCTCATAGGGCAAGGGGCAGATCTCTAGGCATGGGAACTGCCTATAACGCCCAACTGCAACCATGGCAGTACCCGCCTTTCCTGCCCATTGTTCCCAAGACATTCGCGAAAGCAGCCAAACAAGGAAAGGCCAAAAGAACCACGATTGGGTTTTTTGGAGGTTGCCTGTCGACTTCACGCGGGTGGAGGACTTCTGTCACTTTTTTCTCCCGCCTGTCGAACTCAATCTGTCACTTCAAACCTCGTCAAGCCCTGGGCTGGGAAAAACAATGAAACGCTATGATCGACCTCGCAATTGGAACTATACAGGTCTGTTCCAATCGAGTTAACATCGCGAGGCACTTCCCAGCCAGAGGCATATATACCATGAGGGTGCTCCTCATGTTCAAAGGTAGGTCTTTCTTGTCCAAGCACATTCATATTCATATTCACCTTCGATCTTGATTCCTCTAAATTATCAACAACAAATAAACATCTTCGAGCTTGACTCTACGAGTCAAAACATCTATAATCCCACAGAACCAACCAACTTCTCTTCCACCATGTGCCACTCCAGACGTAGCCGTCACGCTCCCATCATTGTTGTCGCTCCCAATGGCAATGGCCAACCCTCTATGATGGGCCAGCCTCAGTACTATGGATTCGATAGTCGACGACACCAACGCCGTTGCCGCCACGGGCAACCCTGCACTTGCCGCGACAACCAAGCCTTCATGACAGACGGGTCCTACACCGACTACAATGACCCCTACCAAATGGGCTATGGAGCCTGCTACGGCCGTCGCCGTCGCCGCCAGGGACCTATCTCCATGCTTATCGGAGGCATCATCAGTATGGTCGAGCAAAAGCGTGCTGAGAAAGAGGCCGTTCGTGCCACGGAGGCGGCGGAGGAGGAGGACTCAGATGACTCGACAAGCTCGGATTCTGATGAGGATGAGAAGACCCGTGCAAAGAGACAACAAAAGAAACTGCGAAAACAGCAGCAGCAGCAGCAGCAGCAGCAGCAACAGGGAGTTGCTATGGGCCCTAGTGGTAGGGCATCTGTCCCTGTGACCACAGACACCAACACCGTCGCCCCTGTTGCAGTCAGGAAGCCACCGCAGCAACAGGACTCTAAGGCCGGCATTCACTGGGAAAGCGGACCACCACCCTATCAGCCATGAGCAGACAAAACGTCGAAATGATTCATGTCTGAAGCTGGCTGATTCCATGGCGTTTGTTTGACATGCTTTTATAGGGTGTCAAAATGTATGAATATGTATGCTTAGGATGGCGTTATATCTGCAAACATGGTCACGACTGACCGCACATCTATACATACCACGGGTTATTCATGTGATTCCCTAAATTCATTTCATTGATTTCTGTCGATCGGTCCTTCTGTGTTAACGGCATCACATGTCTAAACCACGTCCAGCACTTTGTCGAATCTCCACAGCACACCATTTCTGTTCAAAGACGGTCGTTCATTCTGTATCTAATCATACCCACTTCTCCCTCAGGTACCTCTAACAATACTTAACCTCATCATCAACGTCATGCATTCTAGGCACTTGGCTAAGACATCTTAGGTCACTTAGGCAGTAGAGGGTAGCCAAGCCTTCTCTATTCGCAGGCAAACCCCCCGAGTCTCACACGCGCCATGAGAGAAAATCTCTTTCAGAACAAGACAAAACACTGGACGCCTCGGCTGCATCTGCCCCCATCCCCTAGGTGAACAGTCACACAGCTCCAATCATGATGCGTTCATCCCATCATCATCTCTGTCCCGAGATCAGGACCCCATTCTATGTTCAAGCGACAGCCCCCGACGCTTGTCCCGTAGCTGCTCGACCTGACCGCATATACATTCCATCTGTCGTAGTAGTGGGAGAAGATGAAGGATGGCCGGCCTGCTGCTGGGCAACAAGTTCTCGAGCGTAAAATTCAACCAACATGGTCCCATAAGCTTCAAGCTCCTCCACAGGAACCGACAGTCTAAAGTCATTAAGAAGGAGGAATTGAAGTTCCAGATTGTTGAGTTCGGCCAATGGAAGGCCCCCAACCTGTGTCTATCGTCAGCAAACAAGTTCCTTCGTCGCCAACTCGAGTCCTATGACATACCTTGGCATATCTTGAGTTCGTGTAAAATACGTCGGAAAAGAATTTGCTGGCACATGTAACTCCGGCAATCACCAAACGGTGGATGTTGTAGCTGTCCACCACAAAGAATTGCGATAGATCTTGAGGGATACCCGAAGGAGGGTTTGTTGTATGACCGCTCTGATCAGTATTTGAGCCAGATGCTGGAGGAGTGCTGACATCAGTGTGTTGCTGCGGGCTGTCCATGCTCATTGGCATGGGTGACCGTGCTGTGGGAGTTGACGACTCTGGTGCCGTCGCTGGCGAGTCGTTCGCTCGTCTGTGCACATTGCCTAAAAGGCCTCGATTGACCATCTCCGTCATTCGGTCAAAGTAGACCAGCAGGCTCAAGAAAACCTCATATGTCGTCGGACAATACTTGTGGATTCGGCTCAAATAACTCAAGATGGTGATTCCTGGCACATTTTTCCCATGAAACGCCAGCACACAATTGGCGTGAGGATTCATGTGTGCCTGCTCTTCTGTGAGCTGGACCGGCCGATGATGTTCATGTTGCCGATCATTGGTAGTGGTAATCTTTGTCAAAAGTCCTGCCACCATTTCGATAATATCGGTGACGGGCATGGAACTGATTTCATATGATCTTCCCCCATCGCTGAAGCCACTGGCTGATCTGCTAGGCAGTCTCGGACGGGCCAAATATTCCTCGCTTGCGAAACTGCGGATATGGGAGAGATCTCGGACCTTGATGCGACTGGGAGAGGTGGCTTCTGAGCCACCTAACGAGCGCGTAGATCGATATGTCGGTTGTAATCGGGGAGAAGGTGGCGAGGAGGCGACCACGAGTCTCGGGTCGCCGCTGAGGGGAAAACCGGATTGATCAAAGCCCCGGCTATAGTATGAGGTATGTTGTTGAGGAGCGCTCGATCGAGCGCTCGCGGTATCTTGATCGTCATGATGGGATCTAGGGGTATGGGGAGGGTCTGCGGGAATTTCTCGAATGTCAGGTGTGGCCGAACCGTGGCTCGGCTCTGGTGCTGTGTTTGCTGTTGTGGTAGAGGGACTCCTCTGGCTAGAAGGATGTAAAGTGCTCGAAGAGGCCTCTCCTCTTGGATTGCTGGTGTCAACCATCATGTGATGATACTGATCAGGCGCGGTTGCCGGCGGAGCCTGGCTTATGACCAGCGAGCCCATCTCAGCCAGCCGGGTTTACGGCCTGAGAAAATGACATGTCAGCGTAAAATCCTGGAATTGCAATCACAATGTTGATGACAGGAAACAATGCCCTGCTTCGTGGTCAATGACGTTGCGAATCATGGGAAGCTGAAAGGAGCAGGTGCGCCTTGCGGCTGTAGGACAAGGCTGTCGCACGAGTGAAAAGTGACGCAGTGACAGGCAAACAAGATAGTAGAAATGCAAAGCCCAGTCGGAAAACAAGGTCGAAATGATGTCGGCAATGAACGAGGCGAGGTTGCTGTTGGCGCAGAGGAGTGGAAGGTGACAAGATTTGGTGGGTTGGATGAAGCTAGCATGTGCTGATTGGGATGGCAGGCCTTGCGGGATCGGGACTTGGAAGCGGCGTGGGCATGGACTGGGTACTTACTAAAGACATTGCTGGACTCGGAATGGTTGTTGCAAGGAGGATGAGAGGGAGATGAGCGCGTCTATCAGAGGCGTCTACAAGTGGCAGACGCCGTGGTGACATGCAGTGGGCAGTATGAAGTCAAAAGGGTGAGAGCCTGAGAGGACATGGAGTTATTTTGGTAGGAGAAGAATCATCCGTCAAGGGAGAGCCAAAGTCAATTTGCGAGAGTTGATGGTCGCACGCTGCGGGTGCAGGCGCAGGCGGCGCAGGCATGGATGTTGGGTGTGGATGTGCATATGTTCGCCTTGAATTGGGGACCGTGGACGGACATGCGGGCGTGATTTGGTGGATTACCCACGGGCGAGAACGGGATTCGGACCATTGGAATCGATACGATGCGCTCCGTAATGGCGATAATTGCTGGGCAGATCGACTCTTCTTGCCATGGCTGACTCGCATAGGGGGCCAAGTCCTTGTCCCTTTGCATCCTTTAGGGACCAGCGAAGGACCAGCGAAGCTTGACCACAGATGCATGGACACCTAACAATAGGTATCAAGACACTGATTCGAGGGCATGGAGCCTCACTGGAGCCCAGTAAGCCCCCTTGCCCCCCAATGCCCCCCTTTCCCGGTCAATAGCCCTCAGGAAATGGAGCCTACTGGGTGCCACCTGGCGTCATCTTGCAGTCGGCCCAACCCATCTTCACACCACTCGATTGGTTCATCTGATGTCCGAAAGGTCGTCCGTGGAACTTGATACCCAAATGCTGTACAGAACAATCAGATGAATCGATCTCATTATTTTTTAGGCCAGGGAAAGAGCAGCCACTTCATGTTTGGAGACCTATGAGACCAGACTTGTCACTTCTGGCAGAATGTGACAGTCTGTTGATCTTTGTACTGAGCATGCTGCAAGATGGGACTGCGCCTTGAATTCAGACTACAGTGCTGGACGCCATAAGACCTCAAGACCAAGCCCATCGCCTGGCTTTGTCAACACGTTCCAGACTCTCGTCTAAAAACGCTCAATATCTTTATCTCCCGGTCCCTGGTCCTTGATATTGTTGATCTGGTAAGTACAGATGCCGGACTGCTCCTTTGGCAGTCAGAACCACCATTCGGATAACACCGCCTGAGCTTCCATCCCACTTCATAGCCTCTCGCAATGAACTCTTGACAAAGTCGACTCCCTCTTCTTCCGTCATGTCTTCCTTCCAGTGTGCGTCGGTGTATCCGTAGATGTATGTTGAACCTGATCCACCGATCGCAAATGACTGTTTGTGGAGGGATCCTCCTAGGGGTATTGAGTAGACTTGTCCTCCGTGCTTTTTGTCATAGCCAGCAATGATCATACCAGCGCTACAAAGATCGAGTCAGTCAATAAGAACACACAACTAACATGCTATGCTTGCCTCAGTTGATCCTTGTTCTCATAGCACAGTTCCTGGAACAGCGCAGCCGCAGTCTGGGTTGTAGGAGGCTCATTGTTCTGAATGCCATACAGTCCGAGATGATATTGAACAATGTCTGCGACGGCCTGTGTATCTGCTGCTGAGCCAGATCGACAACACCAGATAGTGTCATGCACTTGTGTGAGCTTGTCGGTAACTCGATTCGCAATGTACGCCCCGGTCGTCGTTCGGCTGTCTGCTCCAAGGATGACACCATCTCTAAATGTGATAGCCATAATCGATGTGCCGAGATTGACTTCGCCCTTCTTCAAGTGGTTCATATCAACATGGATGCCATCCTCCCCCAGCATTCCTGTCGCATGCCCGATCATGATGGAAGAGCCAATGCGGTGGAGCAGGTCGAAGGTGCGAAGGTGCTAAAGGAATTCCACAAGAGACGAAAAGAGCTTGGACAGGTGACGATTGAAGGCCGTCCGTAATGAAGGGTCAGCAGAGAGGTTGGTGTTGGTGGTGATATTGATGATCAATGGAATCAGAGAAGGGTCTTGAAGCGGATCAAAAGGCATACAGTGAACGCGTCTACACTTTTGACGCCTGTGCCTGCAACCTGCACCTTAGGTTTCGCCCCAATTATTAGGCGCCGAGTGCTGCAATCAGAATCCCACGAGCGCCAAGATCGCGGCAATAGAGCTCAATGTTTATTGGCTTCTTTGGAACTCCAAGCTGGATTCGATGACTTCCAGAAGTACTCTGTACGGTACATACGAGTTACTACAACCACAGACCATACGCCTTGTGGCCTACTCCAGTGTCGACGCCTACTACGCCTATCTTTAAGCGCAGGCAACTGCACCCATCAATTACCTGCCTCGGCTACTGCCCTCGCTTGTCTGTCATCAGCCTCTACTTTCCCCATCTCCTCTAAGTCGTATTTATAGACCGGGGCTTTCCTGCGACCTCTGCCATACCTCCATACACGCACTCTGATCACGGTCCATTCCAAGCTCCTCATGCGAACCTTACGGCATTGAAATCTCGCTTTTACGGCATCCATTCTCTGTGCCACAGTCCAGACCATGGGCAACACGGTTTCATATCTACGAGTTCCTGCTTTGGCCACATCTGGAATTGCGGCCTTGGGTAGTAGCCTCCTCTATTTCAAACAGAATGATATAATCTATCCAGCAAGTCTACCAGCTGGTTCAAGAACAGAAGTTCCCTCTCCCAACCAATTCGGTATCACCAATGCCGACTCCCTCCATTTCCCTACTCCAGACGGCGAGACCCTTCATGCATACCTCCTCCGTCCTACAAATCCTCCAGTCAAAAAAAATGTCACTCTTATAACATTCCATGGAAATGCAGGCAACGTCGGTCATCGTTTGCCGATAGCAAAAGTCCTCTCCGAAAGCCTTGGTTGTTATGTCTTCATGGTTGAATACCGAGGGTATGGGAAGTCCACAGGCTCCCCCGATGAGGACGGATTAACCATCGACGGACAAACCGCGCTCGATTTTGTCCGCAATCACAAAGAGTTGAGGAAAACCAATATCGTCTTGTACGGACAGAGTTTGGGGGGCGCTGTCGCCATCAAATTGCTTCAGATGAACGAACAAGTCGGTGACATCGCCGCAGTCATCCTAGAAAACACCTTTCTCTCACTGCGCAAACTTATCCCGACGGTCATGCCTCCAGCCCGATACCTCGCTCCTTTGTGTCACCAGTTGTGGAACTCGGAATCGACTCTGGCAAACGTCACCAACAAAGACGTACCTATTCTATTTCTCTCTGGTGGTCGAGACGAGATTGTCCCCGCGTCAATGATGAAAGATCTCCATGATCTGTGCCCGACCAAAAAGACCTGGAAAGAGTTTCCGAGCGGTGACCACAATTCCACCGTTGCCGAACCGGGGTATTTTGATGCAATCTGGGATTTCTTGGTGTACGAGGTCCTAGGTTCGGACAGAGGTGCTGAGAAGAAAGCACCGGTTGACGTTGACCCGGAAGAACTATGGGCTTGAGGCACTTTCCTTTCTATTTGTCTCACGAAATTCTCTCAGCTTCGTCGACCAACTCTTCCAAGTTAAATCTCTCGTCGCCGTTGCTGAATTGTTGCAAGAGACCTTGTCTCTTTTCTTTACCGACGCCGCCACCGTGACCACCATGGTCATAAAACTTTTGCAAACACATCAAAAGCCATCGGCCTTCTTCGACACTGACACCTCTGCCTTCCATGACACCCCCGTTCAGCAATACCAGACCATGGGAATCCGCAAGGTCGAGATGATGTGTGATGGTGGTATGAGGCTGTGCATAAGCTCCGTGAAGCTTGAATGCCGCCAAATGCGTGAAAAGAACGGTACTTGTGTGGGTGTTGGCCGTTTTTACATGCGGGCTCGGAGGCGCACCCGCCGGCGGATGAAAGCCCCACTGCAGGAAGTGAATGTCGGCTGCCGACCTTTCGCCCCCTTCGAACCCATCGGCAGACTGCTTGACGTCGCCACTTCCATCATCGGCGGCTGGACGCGGTAGCGGAAGCACAAATTGAGGGTGGCTGCGTGCAGTTTGATAGATGCGGTTGTATGTCTCGAGGGGAATGACAGCGCAAAGAGACTTGGAGTCGTTGGCATGTCGTAACCGCCAAATGTATTCCACCTCTTTATTAGGGAGTGCTGCCACTTTTTCGAGATCTAGATAGGACGAAAGAGGCTTGATACCAGGAGCTGCAGAATTTGGTTTAGATGACGTAGATTTTGCAGAGGCATCCTGTGGTGTGGGAGGTGGAGGAGCTGGTTGTGTAAACGACGAGGCAGTGGGTTTGGTGGCAGTGGATTGACTGGATGCTTCCGAGGTATCAGATGTCGCCGGACCTGCGAGTACAGAAGCCTTCTTCTTCGTTTCTTCAATCTTGTCTTTATAAGACTCTTTCAAACTTGAGACCGAGTCATGTCCCTCTCTGAGATTTACAAACCATCAGCATCCGCATTACCAAGACCCAGGAAGATTCAGCAAATGCATGATTTGAAGCTCACCGTTTAGCCTTCTCCTCTAATTTGGCTTTATATCTTTCCAACACCTGGTCCTGCGCTCGCTGTGTTGTCACAAACCGCACATCTTGCACACGAGCCCATCTTCTCTGTTGCGGACGCGGTAATAGTAACGAGGAGGAGGTATATGACGAGGATGATATGCTGATTGTACTCGATGGCAAGGATGGGACTGGCCGGCGGAGATGGAATGTTGATGTGAGTAGCGACCGGGACATTGGAGGCGGCATCTTATGTGTCTATTAGAGGTAACTTGGGAGTGAGGATGGCCAGGTTGGGAGTGTTCTATTGTTGGTGTTGAAAACGAATGAAGTTGAGTGGTGGAAATGCAATACCTAAAGTACATAATTGCGACTTGGGATAACGGCCAACGATGAGTGGACGGAAGCTCTGAGGTCGCCGATTGGCTGGAATCCAGGCGAGAAATCTCTACGGTGGAGTATAGGGAGCGCTGATTTTGCCTACGGTGGATGGTAAAGATTTCTTTAGTGCAAGGGTCAAAGCCCACGTCATCTTTGGCGGTGATGGAGGCAGTGCAATGGTTGTGTTTGATATACAGAGTACGTCCACACACAAGTAAATTATCACGACAATGTGGAAATGAGGCTCATGGAGGTGATCACTCTGATCTTGTAATGGTACTGTGGCCTTGTTCTGCATGAAGCTTCATGGCTATTACCCGGATTCTGCACCCTCTTTATATCTTCTCCGTAGATTGGATAGCGCACGGTTATTGCCGCCGAGCAGTGCCAAAGGTCATAGCTCAGTTGCGGAAAGCATACTTGTTTGTAAACAATCCTCACTATGAGTCTTCGCTGCGAGCCGGGTAGACTTGATTCCAGACTTCCTATCCGACTGCCTATCCAATCTAGACGCCACCAACGCCATTGTCCCACCAGAAAATGATCAGACCCTAGTTGCCCTCCAGCGCCGTGCTAAATTTCATGTTTTCTTTTTGAGGTAGATATCAGTCTTGGTCGATACCATCATACGACCTGCGTCGGGTCCAAGCTGTAATTTCAATCGTTCTTGGACTTATTGTCGGAAAGTGAGGGCTTGGTTGGTCTAGATTCAAAATCAAGTAGCAACCAAGGGACACAACTTGACCCGAACTGGATGATCTCTTGATCTGCCTTTAGCTCCTCCATGGTGACAGTATTTCACTTCCACAGCGCCTTGAATGAGAGTGCGGTGATGAAATGACCGTGGGTTTTAATGTCGAGTTTGTGTTTCATTATCAAACCATGAACGTGAATTGAGCCCAATCTACCGGCGATATGAGTCTGAAGCATCTCTGTAATGACCAGCGGGTAGATGTTGACTGCTGGGGGGTCTTTGGGCGTATCTGGCCACTTCGGCGGTTGGCGAGAAGAATAAGCTGGGAACGCTCGAAAAAGAACGTGGCAGTTTGCTCAGATCGGCCATATCGTGTGACGATTGCGCAGCAGGTTGTTTCTTTAAGTCTGGCAGCGGAGAGTAAGAAGCTGCCCCTCCCGTGACTTTGTTGGCATCTCGCTTGAAACTGCGATTTATCGACCAATGCATCAGAATTCGCCAGCCCAAGATCAACAGGGCCACGAAGCCGAGAGTAGCGCCGACGACAATAAAGACAAAATTCTCAGGCAAGCTCGAATTCTCGAGGTAAGGAGCGCCGGCCTTGGGAGGCACTGTTGGAGGAGGGTAACTGTAACCGCCAGGGAGGGTGGGCAGATTCGAATTTGTGACGCCTTGAGCCACCATGGTGAGATTTTATATGCCGCTCTTGAACAATATAGTAGACGATGTCAGAATCGAGGTTCGGTGAGGCTATGTGGGTTTGAGGTTGGCCTGAAACAAGGGAAAGGCGATGGCGACTGGCTGATGGGATAGAGTGCAAATGTGAATGATGAGGGAAAGGAAGACAAAGGGAAGCAGATGAAGGATACCCGCGGACCAAGTGGCGCGTGGCAGTGGCCGCTACCCTTGAACAGGTTTGAAAAGCCTTGCTTGGCCTGATGTCTTTCCACGAGAGCCACACGCAATGTTTCGCCTGACACAAGTGTCAAATGAAGCGCGACATTGGGTTATTTTCGGCTGCAAGTCATGCAACCAACGGGTTCCAAGTGCATGACTGTGCCGGAGTTCGGGTTCTTAGGCGCAGGCTCAGGCTCAGGCGCATGGTTTAGGGGCCGAACCACCCCAAGTTCCCTCCAACCAGAACAAGGTTCTAGTGCCTCCCCAAGCATTTCTAGCGCCAAAGATTATCTGGAGAGGATCTACGAAAGTCCGCCAGAGGATTTATTTTTCGCAGTCAGTATCAACCAAAGTCGACGACAACATCACCAAATCCAACACTCTTCTGGACGTCGCCCAACACCTTTTCCCATTGTTCGACAATATGGGTGTTGCAAAGAAGACTCGCAAATTCGCTCAAGTCAAACGCATTATTGGTCAACGTGATGCTCGGCTCAAGAAAAATCAAGACACAGGCAAAAAGGTCGAACCCAAGAAAGACGGCGATGTGATCAGAGAAGCGTAAGAATCATCCAACACTGGTCTCTATGGAGTAAGCTGACAATCACAAGACCACAAGTCTCATCTGCTCTATTCTTTCAATACAACACAGCCCTTGTCCCGCCGTATCAGGTCCTTGTCGATACCAATTTCCTCTCCCACACGGTTCAAAAGAAACTCGAAATGTTGTCGACTATGATGGACTGTCTTTACGCCAAATGCATCCCCGTCATCTCTGATTGTGTCATGGCCGAATTGGAAAAGCTGGGACAGAAATACAGAATTGCTCTACGAATTGCAAGAGATGAGAGATGGGAGCGATTGAAGTGTGGTCACAAGGGGACCTATGCCGATGACTGCATCGTCGATCGAGTGATGAGACACAAGATTTACATTGTGGCGACTAACGACAGAGATCTAAAGCGACGGATACGCAAAATTCCTGGTGTGCCGATCATGTCGGTGGCTCGAGGAAAATACGTGATTGAAAGACTCCCTGGTAAGTCTTTATTGTTGCAGCAACATACAACAGCGTTTTCCAAGATGATTGAACTGACTCTAAACCCCATCAGACGCCCCCGAAAAGTGAGCCTATGGCCAAGATGAACCGAATTATACAATCAAGATCTCCTGCGACCTGAGAGATTTCCATTCATATCCTTCTCAGACCCTCCATATCCTCCAAATGGACTCAACAGCCCAAGCTAGTAACGCGAGAGACACAGCGCCAATAATACAGAGGCCAGTTATGACCTTGCGGCGCAGCAAGAAGGCCTCGTTGACTTCGGCTTTTGCCAGTTTGCGCTGGTGCGAGTGATAATAGTCTGGTTTAGTGTCGGCGCTGGAGAATATTCTGCCATAAGTATGGCGGTCGATGAGGAACAACGACAATAGAAATGAGACGAAGAGTATGGGAGCGACAAAAAGCCGCGTGAGAATTGGCTCAGCCGCAGGCATTCTCTCCGCCGTTCCTCCGAATTTGGGTGAAGCCATGGTGCAGAAAGCGGGTGCCTGGTGGTGTGCACCGCATACCGCAAATGGCAGATTCGTCTGAAGATGAATTTCTGTCGCGTGCAGAATAAGTTGGACGTCGTGAATGAGCAAGCCTAAGAAGCACTTCCAGGTTGTGTGGAAGCTGGTGGCTGAATTGACAAGTAGTCCGTCCAGTACGTCACAGCAGATGTTTATTCGAAAGCGAGGGGCGCAGGTTCCCGCTCATAGAATACGAGAGATTGAGTCAGCGCACGGTGTAGGCTGCAAGAGGAAAGTCGTTGGCGATCACACTTTGTCAAAGACAATCCATGATTACATTACCCAGCCTTCACCACAGTTAGGTACATGGTACATACTGCATGAATAAGTCAAGTATCTATGTAGATATGTCTGGAAAGATGATCATGGTGAGCCATCTCCATCCCGGAAACTGCTAATCGATCTCTATGCACTGCTGTACGGAGTAGAGACACGGGGGAGTGCAACGCCACCAATGCCACCGGTAGCCGCGAGGGACCTCTTGGCCCCTCGGCCTCTGGGTCCCCCTCAAGTAAGTACATAGTGGTTCCCCTCGTAATAATAAGGTGCCTACCTAGGTACCTAGGTAACTATGCCCGAATTGTGCTCTCTTAGCCCCTCGGCCCCTAGGCACCCTTAAAACCACTTGTGTACTTATCCCCCTGGGGCACACCCACTCCACGCTCAGATCGGTGGTAAACACGCCAAAGTCGCAACCAGATCCCTTTTGTATGGCAAACTACAAAGGAAGTACCAATGAACTATCTCTTTACTGGCCAGACATTTCGGCCCGGTAGCTCGTCATCGATAGCCTTCAAACAAAATTGTCCTCGAGCCCCTCATCGTCGATAATGGGCCGGTAAAAGCAATTCCGGTAAGTGAATCGTTATCTTGTCACCATTTCCAGCGATATTGCGTGATTGCAGAGAATCTTTCCCTTTCCACAGTCAATTTCGAGTCACATATCAATCTCTATAAGATGACGGTCTACCTCGGACCCTTGATGGAGAAGATTCACTTTACTTACCGGCATATCTCTCGATTTTTCTGTACATAATGGGCTCGATTGCACAAACCATCCCCATTGTGGGCTCTAAGACCGCGGGGCAGTATCCTCAACCTTTGAAACAGACAGGTATCCTCGAAAGATTCGAATATGAAGATGTGACCCCAGTCATTGGGCGGGAATTTCCCTCTGCCAATATTGTAGATGACTTTCTCAACTCACTCGATGGGGATGCCCTCTTGAGAGACTTGGCCATCACCAGTAAGTCTTGTCGTCTACCTACATCACACCATCCCTAACGCGACTTATAGTCAGTGAGCGAGGAGTCGTCTTCTTCCGGAAGCAGGACAACTTGACCAATGATCTTCAAAAGCAATTTGTCCATCGACTTGGTCAGTTGGTCGGCAAGCCCACAGACTCGACCCTTCATATTCATCCCGTCTTGAATGGCTCTGGCGAGTTTGGAGATGATCCACAAATCAGCAACATCTCATCAGTCGGCCGTAAGAAGCTGTTTGGCCCTCAAAGTCAAAAGGACAAGCGCAAGTATGATGCCGCTCTCTGGCACAGCGACATTCAATTCGAGCCTGTTCCTGCCGACTACACCAGTTTACGACTGGTAGAGCTCCCCAAAACTGGGGGCGATACCCTGTGGGCTTCAGGCTACGAGATCTATGAACGCTTCAGCAAGCCAGTGCAGAAGTTTCTTGAAGGTCTAACGGCCACGTACAGTGGTGTCGGATTCATCAAGGCCGCTGAAGCAGGCAGAGCCACACTGTATGAGCAGGAGAGAGGCTCTCCTCTGAACGTCGGCAAGAAACTCACCGCCGTCCATCCGGTCGTGAGAACAAATCCCGTCACGGGATGGAAATCCATCTTTGCCATTGGACCCTTCCCTCAGTATATCAATGATGTTCATGAGGATGAGAGTCGTGATATTCTCAAGAAGCTTCATGATACCATTATCGAGAACCATGACTTGCAGGTTCGATTCAAGTGGAAGAACCAGAATGACATTGCCATCTGGGATAATCGCAGTGTCTTCCATTCAGCCACTTTTGATTATGACGGTCTCGGCGAGCGATTTGGAAATCGTGCCGTGGGTATCGGTGAAGCTCCATATCTGGATCCAAACAGTAAAGGAAAAAGTGAGGATATCTCGGTTTAGCTTTTGTCCTCATCGAGTGTCTTACTAGGACGAGTACATAAAGTCATCAGTATCTATAGCACCTCTCTTGTCAAAAACGCCTTGTTCCGTAGCATCCGCATATGACCACTAGTACCCCTATCCCACTCACTGGTCAGGTCACACCAGTCTTTCTCAACCAGTCCGAGAATTTGCAATGTCGAGAACAAGGATATCCGTCGCTCCCACATCGGTCAATTGGTCCATGACTGTGGCGATGTTCTTCTTCTCCACCATTGAGCTGACGGCCACCCAGTCAGGCTCTTCCAACGCTGTTATCGTAGGGGCTCTCTTTCCAGGAGTAATCTTGGTTGCCGCGGCCAGTTTCTCTCTCGGTGCGTTGTACTGACAGAGAACATATCTCTGCGCAGCAATGACACCCTTGATACGAGCCACGATCAAATCGACCAATTTCTGGTTCGAGACGGATCTCGATTTGATCAAGACGGCCGTGCTCTCCACCACTGTCTCGATTGCTTTCAAGCCTGCAGCTCTCATCGTCTCTCCAGATTCGACCAGGTCAACAATTCCATCAGCCACACCCAACGCACACGCAGCTTCAACACTTCCACCCACAAACTTGACCTTTGTCTTCAATTTAGGGATGGGGCTGTCGGTGCCATTGACGCTCTCCTTTCGGCTTCCTCTACCTTCCAGTCTCGCAAAGTAGTCCTCCGTCAGTCCAGTGAAACTCGTGACGATGTTCTTGCCCACCAAATCCTTGACGTCCTGTAGCGGTCCCTTGTCCGGCACCTGAACTTGTAGTTTGCATTTTCCGAATCCGAGATCCAAAACTTCCTGAACTCCCGATTCCTCTCCGAGTGCTAGATGGGCGTCATGCTCGGCAACCTGATCTCGACCCGTGATTCCCAGATCGACTCGTCCTTCACCGACAAAAGTGGGGATATCTGCTGCTGGAAGAAAAATCAACGCCAAGGGAAGATTCTTGACCAGAGCAATGTCCAATCGAGTCTCGCGACGGAATTGAATATCGGATCCTGAAAGGAGGTCTAATGTGGCGGCTTGAAGACGTCCTTTTTTGGGGACTGCGAACAACAGTCGATCTGACAGGTGGTTGACTAGATCCATGTCCTGTGACTCTAGGAGTTGTCTGATGCGGAGATTCAGGATGGTTGATTTTGAGAGAAAGAGTCAATAGCTCTAGGTATGGGTTTTAATTCCTGTCAACGTCGAGCGACGACAATCTGGGCGGTTCTTCCTTTGGCTGAACCCCGAACTGACCTTTTTTATGTTGGGTGGAGTTTTCAGATCAGACCGGACAGGACTCAGCGAATCACACTGGGCCGTTTCTGCACGCAGAGAATTCGCAACGGAAGCAAACGAGAAGGAAATTATGATTGTTCAGTCCCTCGACTGATGGATGATAATCTTGCTCTATTCACTGGTCGTGTCGTAGAGTTCAATCCTCTCTTCTAGAAGCTCTCCTCTTTCTCTCATCAAAACCCAACTCGAGTATTTGACTCAGAAAGAACCCAAGACCCACACTTGCCAATTTTGGAATAGCGTAGAAAATCTTGGCAGCATTTCTCCCACACGACGATTCGAAGCCAACATCAACCAAACTGCGCTTCGACGATTCGCAATCAGGAATAAACCTCAAGTCGCCCACGCACGAAATCCCACAATCTTCCTCCAACCTCAAAACCGTCCTTACTCTCTCACCACCTCATCCACACATAAACATCTGACAAGATGGCTGACGCCGGAAAAGTCCCCGTAAAACTCGTCAAGGTCACCAGAGTCCTCGGCCGAACAGGTAAAAATACCTTAGCTTGACAGAACTGGCGGAATGCCATTGAAATGGAAAAGAGGCTGATTTTGATTCCCATTTGTACAGGTTCCCGGGGTGGTGTCACACAGGTCAGAGTCGAATTCATGGATGACACAAGCCGAAGCATCATTCGAAACGTCAAGGGCCCAGGTATGCGAATGAAAACCCAATCAAACCGACCAGCACGGCGATGGTGGTTAGCAAATGATTCAAATACTAACGGAATATTTCTCGCCACATAGTGAAAGTCGATGATATTCTCTGCCTACTCGAATCCGAAAGAGAAGCAAGAAGATTGCGATAAACATGGAGAGGGGCTTGTGTGGTTGTGTGGTTTCCAGATGGATGGATGTATTATCGACGAGATTGGGGATGACGAACCAGACCTGACTCGCGATCAGAATACCAAAAACGTGTTAGGACCGAGGTGGTTGTGGAGGGGAATGCATGAGACACGAAGGTCAAAATGGAACGATAGATGTGGTCCACACCAGATTTGTCTCGCATTGACTGGGCGTTGACCAAGGCGACACCAAGATTGTGCGCCTGCCCACCAAATCATCCTGGACGGGGTTGGCTTATTCGCATTGAGAATATCAATTGATCAAATACCAGTCCATTACATTGAGGCTTCTCATCCTTGACTTTTATTGTTCTTGGTCCAATCGACATTGCACGCCCAGAGAAGTACAAACTCACATTACAGCACATGAACTCCCTGATATGATGGACAGGCTGTCAATGTTGCTATGGACTATGTCTTTACTCGTCGAAACTCGAAGGCAAAATCGCTCTGAAGGCTATAGCACAGCTGAATGCCGTGATATCTGATGCTCGGAACTCTTGTCACAGACCAGCCTACCCGCAATAAGCACTCTCTCATCGTCAGGGATTCCAACCGTAGACTCGGGCACTTTGATGAAAGCATACCAAGTACCCAGGCGAGCATCGTAGAAAATGTGGAATCCATGTCAGCCTCGTCGACAAAGCAGGGCATTATTGGCCGCCAAAGCACGTGACCTCCTTTTTCATGGTCTTCTAATTACTTTTTATTAACACTGCATCTTTGAGAATTCTCCTCCACTTTGACACCTGGATCCGAGAACCTGAACAGGCCAAACGATTAAAACTGGATGTGACGATCAAGGTAAGTTCCCTGTGATTTCGACGTCAAATTACCGAGACCTAGGTATTTGATCTCTTGATACAATTGCTTTCCGTTTTCGTGGCGCTGCAGTACCTGCACCCCTCAATTTAAGTGTCAGATGAGGCCAATCAACCGCTTGAAACGTACGATGGTGTGCTCTCTTTCTCTTCACAAGGCGTCCGACCTAAGCCTAATACTTGTCATTGCCTTTTCACGCCGATGATGATGCTCAACACCTTGAAATGAGATGATTGAAAGATTGATCCACTACACCTGCGCTCCATGTGGACAGTGACATCCATGCTCTGGCATTGAATTTCGACATCAATTTTACGAGGAAACCCGCCTCCCCTTTATTCTAACATGATCCCTCTAAGACTGCCTGCGCGGTCTGAACATGAACTCGAATATGTGTCTCAGGTATTGGAATCAGGCTCTCTTGGGGGCGGAGGGCCATTTACCCAAAAATGCGAAGAGTGGTTGGGGAAGCAACTCTCGTGTGCCAAAGTATTCTTGACCACGTCAGGAACAGCCGCGTTGACCATGGCTGCCCTCATCGCCAAGCTACAACCTGGCGACGAGGTCATCTTACCCAGCTATACCTTTGTCTCTACTGGAAACGCCTTTGCCAGTCGCGGTGCAGTCCCTGTCTTCGTGGACATCATCCCTGGTCAAATGAACATTGATGCAAGTATCATTGAAAAAGCAGTAACCAGCAAGACCAAAGCCATTGTGCCTGTCCATTATGGCGGCGTGGCGTGTGACATGACGACCATCATGTCTATTGCCGAACGGCATCATCTTCTTGTGATTGAGGATGCTGCGCACAGTTTACAGGCTTCGTTCCAAGGCCGACCTCTAGGCTCAATTGGACACCTCGCCTGCTTCAGTTTTCACGAAACCAAGAACATCACCGCTGGTGGCCAAGGCGGTGCCTTGATCGTCAATGACCCCAGCCTTGTCGATGGGGCTGAGTTGGTGTATGAGAACGGCACAAATCGGGCTCAACACCTCTCTGGCAAAGCGCCCTCGTACTCCTGGCAGACTGTCGGGAGCAATTTCGTCTTGTCTGAAGTCCTCGCTGCTTTACTCTGGTCGCAATTGGAGATGGCTGAGACGATTCTCAACAGAAGGAAGTATCTACACCAACGATATAGCCATCTCCTACTCAACACTCAATCGCACCGAGCCGGATATATCAGCATCCCGCCCGACCACTTTCACAACTGCGAACCCAATGCTCATATCTTCTACATCTTGCTCAGGGACCCCACTTTGCGCGCAAGACTACAGGCATTCATGAAGGATCGCTCTATCCAAACCAGCCCACACTATGTGCCCCTTCATTCTTCACGGATGGGGTCTTCTCAGGGTCGCTTCATAGGCGAGGACAACCACACCACGCACGCAAGCAAACAAGTCCTTCGCCTACCGCTGTATTATGCTTTGTCTGACTCGGATCAGGAGTTGGTGGTTGACGCAATCGAGTCTTTTTTTGCCACCTTGGAGGTATCAGATACAGCGGAGCTGTCGAAGGCTTGCTCTTGATGGATGCAGCTTATGAGAGCCGGAAGGTCCGAGTCCTTGTGTATCTCACGTCGCAGATAATGTGTGCATATTTCTAAAATCAGGCTGGCCTAGGTTACAATTCTAATTCCCTGCGGCGCCATTGAGGTGCTCCGAAAGTACAAGCGTGCCGCTTGACTTGACTGTTTGTTCCCTGATCCTTCCCATCAAACCCCGTGCTGTGAATCAAACCCGAGATGAAAGAAACAACGACACCCAAACATGCTCGTCCAAAGAAAGCCCTTGAGTCTTCGAATGACTTTAAAACCCATCACCAGCTTCCCAAGTCTCTCCACCACCATACCACAGCCGACCTCTCCTCACATCCAAACCTCTCTCACTACCAACCAACCATTCTCCAGCACCAAATGGCATAACTCGACCAACCTTTGGCCAAAACTCCCTCTCCAGCCTCACATTGATAGCATCAAGCATCTCCACCCAGTTCACCACTTTCTCGTGATCCAGCCGTCCCTCTCCTTGTGAATGCGACGCCTTCTTCGCGGCAAAGTCCTCGTCGCCAAGAAACCTCGCGATCGTCAAATGACAACTCGTGGTTGCGTACCTAGCTCCGATTTGCACACCCTTAGCATGACAAACACGGATCAAGTCGCGCCGTAGATGCAGATACGTGTACTCATCGTTACAGACGTCGCTTTTCGAATCCTCAACCGATACGATATTTGTTGGCTCACCTGCCGCAGGCACAAAAGTCAATGCAATGGCGGCATCGTCGTACGATAGCTTTGGTTTCACCAGTCGAGTGCGGTGAGTCATGTGGTAGGATGCAAGGGTGGTAACGGCTGGAGAGATGGTGTTTTCCACGGCTTGCAGCTCTTGGGGAGTCAGGGATTGAGCTATTTCCAATACCGTCATATGTAGACAGTCAGGTGGCATTAGCCATATGCCTGGACGAGGTGAGTGGGTTCAATTAGTCAATATTCTCAAGATTGATCCGTCATATAATTCATCCGCTCGCTTCCTTTCTGGATTTCTTGTTTGCTTGCTTTACTTACTAGGGCTCATCCTCCTCAATTCCTCCTGGCACGTCAACACCAAATCCATGATTTTCCGCGTCGGTCGAGCCCACACACATAGATTATTTCTTGGATCCGTAAACCCAGGTACATTAATCAAATTGAACAGGACTTCATCTCGTTTGAAACCCTGGAAACGAGGGTCCAGAATTTGTGTGCGGAATTTCGCATTTCGACTTGTTCGTTGATTCTCACAGAATCTCTGGATCTTGATAGGGTCGTGTTGGTTTTCATCGAGAATGGCGTCGTAGGGGTTTTTGTTAGGTTTCTCATTGGTGTCGGATATTGTTGAGTGTGCACTGGCTGACGAGGGCGCCGCCAATGCCGCCTCTCCTGATTGACTTGCAGATATCCATGAATATAACCAGTTTATTGTCGCATTCATTGCAATGGCACAGATTTCACCGCCAGGTTGTCATATAACGGGACGGGAGTATGCGCGTGGGGGTGGAGATGGAGATGGAGATGGAGATGAGATGGAGAGTTTAAAAGGACCCTCAGGCGGGAGGGGAGGGATGTTTGTAAAGGCGGGAATGAACAAGAATAACTGTCACCACACATACAACACAATTAGAGTTGATACACTCATACATATATTTAAATGTCCAAGCTACAGCTACATGGTAAGCAACAGTGATGGCGAGATCATCCTGACCATCTGTTTAAAATTTCAAGTCAATGATTTGCCCAATCCTCAACTCGTCGAAAGATACGCAGACACGTTACGTTACCCAAGATTCCCAACGAACATCCGGTTTGTTGGATTTTTTGTCGCTCAAACTCGCCTCACCAAACATGTGTCTGGTCATGGTCAAGACTCAAATTTCTCACATCATTTACCATACCTACTTGGTCTATTCAGGCTAAAATCTCCATGGGATTTTTATTAATGGGCATGGGCGAATTCTCACGTGCCCAATTGCAGCCCAAAAGAGTCGACTGGTCTTTTACCCCACGGATGCCTGACGAAGATCAGACCAGACGCCGGCGCGAAGGCGAAGGCGAAGGTGAAAACGAAGGGTGTTGGTTCTGTTACAGTCTAGCTGCATTCACTCACCGGCCGGCTTGGTCAATAGGCACAGGCACAGGCACAGGCACAGGCAGAGGATCTAAGAAGATGTACGAGTAAGTGTGCAGTGCATGTGATGTGATTCGATTCGATTCGCGCCCTCTCCTCTACCTGCACCTCCACCCAAAACCAAAGATGGGCGTTGCCGTGTATCTGTTGGTGATATAATGAGACAGCTCAGCTCATCATTCAACATGATGGTCAGGCTTTACTTCTATCTTATCATACCATCTTCTTTACTATCCTTCCCAAGGCCCTATCCCCCGCCCCCCTTTCATCTTCGCTTGTGTTCAGCCTTACAAACCTCACCTAACTTGTCTTGATGGTTCTACAAACCATCTACGTGGTGAGGCACGGCGTAAGTGGTCCTCACGTCCTCTATTTGTCTTGTTCTTGCATGTCCTGGTTGAGCTCAAATCATCGCCGGGGTTTTAGTACCGTCAAACATGGCCCGATAGTGAAGGTCAGGCTGCACGAGCTCGAGGCATCTTCGGGCCTGCGGATGCATCGCTCTCACCTCATGGATTCGCACAAGCGAATGAATTGGCAATATATGCGGCTAGGCTGAAGCCTCGTATCAATGCCATCTACACAAGTCCCTTGATTAGATGTTTGCAAACGGTTTCGCCAACCGTGGCACTCGCCGCTGAAGAGGAGCAGAACGAAATTCCCCTGCGCGTCGAGCACGGATTAGGGTAATGAGGAAGTTCTTCACTTCTACCCTCCTCCCCTGGGACTATGGGGCTCGCGCTGACTTATCTTTGTTGGACAGCGAATGGTTTGGCGCTGATGGCGCTCACGACTACACCCCTTCTTCTCTAGAGGCATTAAAAGACCAATTCCCAGCTTGTTCATTGGACTATGTTTCCCTGTCGCCGCCTATCCTCCACGGTGAAGATATCCGACAACTCCATGACCGCCTCGCTGCAATCTTGTCTCAATTGATTGCGCAAGCTGATCAAGATGGACATGAGGCGATTCTGCTGTGCAGTCACGCTGCGAATGTCGTGGCTATCGGCCATGTACTTGTCGGTCGAGCATATGAAGATGTCACAACCAAGACCGTTGGAGCGTTCACCTGTGGCGTTTCAACCTATACGAGGATCCCAGACGCTTCGAATCTCATCAAGACTCTGTCACAGGATGACAACGACCGTCTTGGCCTATGGTCGCTGACCGTCAACTGCGAGTCTTCATTCTTGACGAATGGCGCAGAAAGAGGCTGGTCTGAGAGCTCCTCCACTTGTCCACTCTCAATTTGCTGACCTCTCTCAGGCGTTTTTCCGGTTTGGCGCGTTTCACCAAGCTGCCCCTTGAGCTGGATGGTGAGGTCGATGATGGAACTGGGCTGGGAGTTGTTGTCAACGCACCCCCGGCCACCTTGGGCGAGTGACTGTCATCCGTGGTCATCACAGGATACTCGTGGAGTTCATTTGCAGCGCACACGATACTCAATCACCCATGTTGGTACTCTTAATTCAACCGTGGTCGAACTGAGCTTACCCACATTGACTTGATTCGATGATTCTTCTCTTCTCGAGCTCCTCACCGGTATATCTCCCGGGCGTCCAATAGCTCTGACAGACGTCTCAGTGCCGCTCCCGCCCTTTTCACATCGTCACTTTCTGGCACAAGATGTTTCTCAAAGCCAGCCTTGACATCTTCGTAGTAGTCTCGCGCAGTCCCGTGATCACCGCGAGCCTCAGAAATCAGCGCCAGGCCTTCCCAACTTTTCATCGTGTCAGTGTGGTCAACGCCCAGCGCTTTCTTACGCCCTGAATGAGCCTTTTTGTATTCGGCCTCGGCCTTTCTAAGATAGAAGTTGAATTGGTCGGTATCGTAAGGATGATCCTTGCTTTGCTCACGGTAGGTAACAGCCATGTTTTGAATGGTAGCCAGAGTGTCAGGGTGGGAGTCCCCTAGTGACTGCCTCCTGCCCAAATACGCCTTGTTGAACTCCGTTTGCGCCTTTGCCCATTCCTTTTGGTGGCGATAAAGTATTCCGATGCAGTCGATTGTACGCAGGGTGTCTGGATGTTGACGTCCGAGATGCGAGATCCTAGAGTCCAGCACCTCCTTGAAAAGCTGCATTGCTTCCTGGTATTGGCCTTTCCGGCCCAAGCCATCCGCAAGGTTTTGTTTAGCCACAAGCGTGTCCGGATGGTCAGGACCAAGTTTGCTCACACGGTGGCTGACCACTTCATTGTAGTGTTCAACAGCCTCTGTATATAGTCCACGGTGTTGGTACACGATCGCTAGGCCCAAGACTGTGTGGATCGTGTAATGGTGACCCGCTCCGCTTTTACGGTAGAAGCCATTGTCATCGCGCTTGCTTCCGTGAAGTGCCCACTCGTACAGCGCTATTGAGTCTTGCAGGCGGCCGAGGTGCCGATATACCACAGCTAGGCTCTGAATTGTCTGGAGTGTTTCGATGTCGTCCGGCCCTAGCGTTTCTGTGAATCCGTCTCTGGCTTCTTCGTAAAGTCTTTGGGCATCTTCATAATCGCCTTGAAAACGTTTGATGGTTGCAAGACCCCTTACAGCCCTCAATAGCTTTGGTTCGGAAGGCTGAAGATGGCTCCGGTAGGCAGTAACAACGCCACTGTAGATCTCTTCCGCCTCGCGATACCGACCCAGGTAGAAGTAAACATGAGCATACTTGACCCAATGCTCGGCGTGCTCATAGAAGGTTTCACTGTCGGACCATGCAGAACGTACGTGCGTACTCGTAGCCTCGATGTGTGCCATGAGCTGTCGCTCAAACGCCCAATGTTCAGTCTTTCGAAAGCCTGTAGTCCATATTTCCGCTTCGAAGATCGAGGACGCTACAACACACAACGCTTCTGCAGATAATCGACGCGATTGATTAGGCTGGCGGATCCGAGCCCATTCGTGCACAAGTGGGTGGACCGTAAACGCATCATCATCTCCGGTTTCGGTTCTTGATACGAGAGAAAAGGACAATAGTGGTCCTATCCTATTTCGCACTGTCCACGTGCACTAGGGCATGCGCTCCAGCGATGAGAAACATAGTTGGAGTGGATATTCAGCAAAGGACAGGAGTAAATGAGCACGTGCTTACCTTCATCGTCCTCCAGGCCCATCCCTCGCTGTAGCATCTCGACCTGAATTTTCTCATTGGACAAAAAGCCCCATAGCAGCAGAAAATCCGCCGACTCCGGATCGTCTTCGTCAATCACGGCAAAGGAGACCTCCCAAGTCGTGAAAACGGTGTATTCGTACGACTCTGCACAGTTCAATGGCTTGTCGTTGAGTGTTTTCAACATTCTATTTTTGATCTTGAGATAATTTTTCAACGGGCATCTGCGCTTTCTCAAGTACGAACCAGCAAGGTCAATTGCCAGCGGTAGATGTCCCAGTGCTTCGACGATCTGACGTGCCTCTTCATACTCTGGATGTGCGTCAGGGTATAATTGTCAGAACCACTGGCAAAGGACTTACCTGCGCCCGAAGTGGAACTATCAGCCACATTGCAGTATTTGAGAAGCAGCTCAATGCCCTCCGAAGACGTCATTGACTTTATACTCAGGAAACTTTCCGGCTTGCACAGGGTATAGCACTCATCGCGGCGGGACGTAATTAATATGCTACCTCCGTGCCCTGAATTGGGCAAATACTCGCCAATTTTGTAGCGCTGTGGATGATCGTAATTGTCGTAGATGAGCAGCCATTGTCCGTTGCCCTGGGCTTGAAACCATTTCTTGACTGGCCCCACAATCTTTTTCGAACAGTTGGGCAATACGTTGCCCGTTTCATTGATAGATCCGACCATGTCGAGCTGAAAAGCTGCCTGGACACCGGCATGTTCCACGCCAACTAAACCGGAAAGCAAGTCCTTGTAGCGGCTAATGAGCTGTTCCGCAAGCTGCACGAAACTTGCCAGCAAGGTATCGAGACTGTGGGCGTCGAACCAGAAGATCGAGGTAAAACAGTGTCGGTATGAGTAGGCAAACTCTCGGGCGATTTGAGTCTTACCGACGCCGCCCAGGCCTTGTAAAACGGCAGTCATGGTAGAGACTGGTGAACGCGCCAAAGCCCCACCCATTGTATCATGGCCGGTATCAGTCTTCGGCACAAGGATAGAGCATAGTTTTTCAAGCTCGTTTCGACGGCCAGTGAAGAAAGCGTTGTTGGTCGGAACGGAATCAAAGGACACTTCAAACTTGTCGGATCCCAGGTCAGGAACAATTGTGCCGGCAGAAGAGCGGTGCCTCTCATCAATATGGAAGTCTGGGGTATCAGCATGAACAAGCGTACGTGCAGGACTGTCAGCCCTTGCATTCACACAGGCAACCTACCCGCTTTCTGGCCAGTCCATGTAGCTGCTTCTCGACACATCTCTTTGATCATCTGTCGAAGAGCTTGATAGTCATTGTCCTGCTTGTTTTCGAATTTTGTCATTGTGGTGTGGTTCTTCATGAACTGCCGGATTTCTCCTCCTCGCTGTCCAGGCGGCACGGCCGAAGAAAATGGCACAATCTGCTGAATGTCAGATTTAAGTTCTTTGGCATGGAAATCAAGCATACGAGGATCTCCAAACCATGTTTTACCACTGGAAAGGCTTCGTAGCAGTAGCAGGTATGGAACTTGTTGCTGATATTGGCGAATTGCATCATGTTGTTCTCGAGCCACTCTGATTTCTCTTTCATGTGTTTAACAAATCTAGTGTCCGTGTTGAGATAAACGGATTTGAGGTTCAACAGAAATTCTCCTAGCCCAGCGGCGCCGGAGCCTTGATGCGGAACGCCCAGGAAGATGATTCCGTAGGACCACTCAGAGACTTCCCGAAGATGTGTGTTATGATCGGAGGTGGCTAAGTGGGCGTTGACCAGTCCCTGGGACAGTCAGAATGGAGGGATATGGTTGTGCTTGGAGTCAAGCTGAATGAAGAAGCATACACTCTTTAATATAAGGCCTCCTAAGCTGTGAGCAACGAAGAGGATAGGGAGATGTCTCGTCTAGCAGTCAGTTAGCGAAACTTCGGGCCAAAAAGAGAGAACGGCAAAAGGCGCGCACATTTGTGCTACGACGATAGATGCTGAGCTCCTGGAGGAGATTATTTCCATGTTGTGACAGACTCGTGGCCGAGAGCACATCGCTGCTGTATGTTCGAGCATCCCAGCCAAAGGTGAGAAGTCTTGCATTCTTGATCTCGTCTGCGAGTAGGTCTCGAGGCCACAATATTCCGTTCTTCGCGGTCCAAGTGCGTTCACGGTTTCCATTTAACCCATGGACGAAAACGACACTGCTAGCATCAGCGTCAAGTCCAACGGAACAGTAAAACACTTGCGTAGACTGACTCTACAACGGGATTTTCCGTCGACGTGCCCTCCGACTTGCACGTCACCTCCAGTATGCCCCATGGTGACTCAGTTGAGGAGGTTTTGGGGCTTTCATTTGCAAATGCTTTGTCAATCAATTTACGGATAACCCCAGGCATGATAAAGGCCGATTAGACTGGATGGGCTGACATGGAAACGGCTGACACAAAGACGTGTTGATGATCCATACTGTCCAGATGCTGGACGAAGGACCGGCGACAGATGAACTGCGTGGTGTAGCATTGTTGCCCCGTTGGGCGCAAATGGTATTGTCGGCAGGCAAACCATTCCTTCTGCAGCTGAGAGCGGCCACATGAGTAGCCATCAGTATGCGATTTGGGGCGCAGAAGCATTAAGGCTGAATATGGTAACGCCTGTCCACGCGTGCAGCCTACCTTGGCCATTGTTTTTCATGAAGGGGGTGCCACGGCGCCACGCGAGCAAGCTTGATTCGGTTCGCTTGTGACTAGGCGTCCATGAATGAACGTGACTCGGGATTCAGGGATCTAGAGGTAGTGCGCACCTGCGAAATCCGTAGTTGCTTGGGCATGGAGGTCTCTTCTAGCCCTTTGATTGAAAGTCATGGTCACGCTCAGGAACCGCAGACCCTTTGGCGACAGGTTCGAGCTTGCAATACACCAGCTGAAGTGTTGGCCTTACCAGTAGGACAAGTCTGCATACGCATAATCCCTGTTCACTACGAGATAGTATTGGGTGAGTTGATCAGGGATTGTGTTCGACAGAGACTTGTCTTTTAGAGGGTCGGTCACGCGGAGGCCTCAGGCAACAGCATCCACGGACATGCTCGCAGGCAGGCACGAGTGGCACATGGCATGGCAGGCACAACCCACGGCCCGTATATCACTAAGCTTAAAGTATCCTCGTTTGGCGCCGCTTTTTGGACAGACCTTTTATGCACTATGATCACAGACCAGGATAGGGCGGCATCACCTAGGCTTTCCACATATGGGCACGTGACTCCGAGGCAAGGCTTCCCTCGACGACGTGGACTTCGAGGTGGCCATGTGGATGCCAGGACGACAAGTCCAATTCATCATCAAAGTCATCTTAGTCGATGACGAGCATCTTTGTTGCCTTACTCCGTTCGATAGATTTTGCTTTCGATCCCACAAACTCGTCAAGCAACTTCCATTTTCTTGTCCTCTGAAGCCAGAATTGATCATGCCAATTGTTGGCCTAACTTTAGAGATCTCATCAAACTAGACCTTTGGGAAGCGACTCCACGAGTGACAGGTCAACAAACCCATGCTCAGACGTATAAACAATAAAGTCATGGTTCGTCCTTGAACAAGCGAGTTCTCCTTATTTATCATAAGCATTCATGGCGTCGGCATCGACCACCAACGCCGCCGCGGCCCCCGTCGACCCCGAGCAACGAGAATATAATTTGATCTCACAACTCGAACTCCGCATCGCCTCGGCATCGACGGATGAGAAGCTTGAGGCCATTCTCCAGAAATTCCTTCCCGCTCTACTGCTGAAATTGGCCTCTCCAACTGAACGCAATCGCAATCTCACCATTAAGGTATCTCAGTATCTCAATCAACGACTCAAAATCAATCAGAATATCAAGTTACCCGTCTCCGCTCTGGTCAAGACCTTCCGCGAGGCCGAGAATGCATTTGTCCGGAGATTCTGTCTGATTTTCATCGAACAAGGTCTACCGAGACTGGAAGCTCAGCAGGCGATTGAGGCTCTCCCAGGATTTCTACAGTTTGCCATCCCAAAGGCCGAGGGCTATGACAATACTGATCGGAAGATGTGGGCGATTGCCTTTGACTTCCTGCTCGAGGTCCTGAGCAAGTGGAAGCTGCCGGACCGGCACAGCAAGGAAGATTTAGCCTTGCAAGCGACGTTCTCCCTGTCCGACTTCCAGACCAATCTCCTTGTGCGGCGGATCTGCGACTTTCTGCTCTACGACCCCAAAGACGCATCCACTGTGCAGTCTCTCGACGAAGACTTCCGCCCTGTTATGGACAAGAACTTCCGGCGCCGCTCCCAAGTCGTTCTTCCTATTGCCAAATTCCTCTTCACATCCATCTTCTCCGATCAACAGCGTCTCCTGCCTGCTGTGATCATGGCCGTAGACGCCAACGCTTCCGCCATCAACATGAGCGACATCTTCTTCAAACAGACCGAATTCGACCTAGAAGCGGAATCCAATGTCGACGAGTTGTTCGCACTGTACCGGCGATCAAAGCCAAAGCTCCAGACCAAAATCTTGTCTCTGCTATCACGAAGCCAGACCTCCACGAGCCGCACCACAGAGATTATGGCCATGATAGAGTCCCAGCTCAATACCACAAATGCCGGCCTGGAGGCCGCCAAACTGCGGACTGCGCTGTTCTCCTACCTGACTTGGACGGTGCGAGTGGGTAATACACTCGGCCAAATCAGCCATCGTGTCCAAGATCTTCTCAAGGAGTACATTGAAATGCAAGGGTGGCCTTCCATGAATGACCGTTCTGCTGCAGAAACTGAGCTGCGTGCCAAAGCTTATGAGAGTATCGGCCTGCTAGCCGCTGCAAAGGAATCGAAAGCCACTGGCTCTGGCCCTGGTACCCCCAAATCCGAGTCGGGACATCGCACTCTCGACCTCATCACATGGCTCTTCACTAGTCTGCGCTGTGACACAACCAGAGACATCAAGGGGAGCATCGAAGAGGCCATCGGTCGGGTCATGAACACAATTACCCAACTTGACGACACTTCAACGCAAAGACTTAAAGACCTGCTGTTGTGGAACGTTCTCGCCGTCCCTGGCGACGAGGACCCCGTCTACTTCTTCCCTACCGTCAACACTACAAAGTACCCAGCCGTCAGGTTCGTCAACAAGGTTCTACCGTTCCACGATGTTGACGCAAGATTTATCAACGTCCTAGCATTAGCATCTTCAGACCGTCGTGAGGTTGCCGAAGAGGGCGTCCGCGGCCTCGATCCCTACTGGCATGCTTCAAATCTGCGAATGGTCAATGCCAGCTCACAGAACCAAAAGCTAGCCTTGCCAGATCTAGAGAAACTAGTCACACGCTTCTTCGTCACAACAGACGACACCAACGCAAATCAGAAGAAAATCTTGACTGAACCACATGTCCTCGCTGCGGCCGTCATGTTCTGTCGCAACGTCCTGGTCTGCGATGCTTTGAAAGACACAAGTCTTGCGCCTGAGGAGTCAGCCGATTGGCGCCAAAGAATTGATGCTCTCGTCAACAATGACCAAGAAGTCCGTGTCAAGATCCGCACTCATTTGCAATCTCTTCAGCCTGAAATGCAGGTCATACTGGTACAAGCGGCTCTGATGGGATTGTCCAAGGGATCACTGGACTGCGGCGATTTCTGTTTTGAGTTGCTTTCTCTCTCACCAAACGATCTATTACCCTTGGTAGCCGAAGCTGGGCTCCAGGCTGCCTCACTGGTTGTTTCAAATGCGGCAGTGCAGAGCCGTGCAGCCAGAATCTACGGTATTCTCGCTTCACTTCGGGATGACGCCGATGTGCTCATCAACCTTGGTCTGGACAAGTGTTCTGCGTGGAGGAATGCGATTGGCGAGGAAGTCCACCGAGTTCGCGGGTACCTGCTACAAGCGGTCTTCACATTGACTCGTCGATCGCTACGAGGTCTAGCTGTTGAAGCGACCACATTGACATCGACCTTCAAATTGGTCTGCGATGTCATTCGCACCTCAACAGACAAGTCACTCAAAGAGACGGGTTTCAGATGTCTCCGTCAATTGGCCTCTTGCACTCCAGACATCAAAGATATGCTTGTCGAAGCTGCCATCTTCAGCCAACTGGTCTCCGAGTCCAAGAAGGAAAGCGAGCCTGCTGCCTCCGCCATTGGCCCAGTCTTTGCGCTTCTATCTCAGGGAAACACTCAGGACGATGTTCAAGAAGGCGCCGGCACTACAGATTCGAAAACTCCAACAATGCTAGATCGCATCCTTGGTCTTTACGAAGTTAAGCGTGCCGAGTTTCACTTTGCTCTGGGAGAATCATTAGCCGTGGCATTGGCAGGCTTCAAGTCGACCTCGACCATTACCGAGTTTGACGTGGATGCTCAGCGTCCTGAATGGGGATTCCGAGAAGACCTGATGACGGATGTGCTGAGCAGAGTCATTGAGGATTCAAGAACTACTCGGCCTTCGCAAAAGAAAGCTGCGGCAATATGGTTGTTGTGCTTGATACAATATTGCGGTGATGCGGAGCCGATCAAATCACGTCTTCGGGACGCTCAAGCAGCATTTGCTCGACTCCTGAGTGATCGCGACGAGATTGTTCAGGAGACTGGATCACGAGGACTAAGTGTTGTCTATGAACACGGCGACAAATCTCTACGCGACGATCTGGTTAGAGACTTGGTATCGTCATTTACAGGCAACAAGGCCAAGATGTCCGGCACTGTCAACGAGGACACCGAGCTTTTCGATGCTGGAGCGTTGCCGACTGAAGGTGGCCAGTCAGTCACTACATACAAAGATATTGTCAATCTGGCGACCGAGATGGGAGACCCCAGTTTGGTGTACCGATTCATGAACCTGGCGTCCAACAACGCCATTTGGACCAGCCGAGCTGCATTTGGCAGATTCGGCTTGGGCAATGTCCTGGCTGATTCAACGTATCTTGCGGAGAACAAAAAGTTCTACCCAAAACTTTTCCGATACCGATTTGATCCCAACCCAAATGTTCAGCGATCGATGAACGAGATCTGGAAGGCCTTGGTCAAGGACCCCAATGCTGTCATTGGTGAAAATTTTGACCTGATCATGGACGATCTGCTAAAGAGTGTTTTATCAGGAAAAGAATGGCGGGTGCGAGAAGCAAGTTGTGCAGCCATATCAGACCTTGTTCAAGGGAGAGATCTCGACCTGTTCCAGAAATACTTGGATGAAATCTGGAAAGTCTCGTTCAAGGTTTTGGACGATGTGAAAGAAAGTGTTCGTTTAGCTGCGATGAAATTGTGCAGAACCCTTACAAGTATGCTGATTCGCAATTTGGAAACCGATGGCAATACCAAGAGGTCTCGAACGATGCTGAATCATGCCATGCCATTCTTGTTACAACAAATGGACGGAGGTGCAGGAAAAGATGTTCAACAGTATGCCATCGTGACATTATTGGAAGTGGTCAAGAAATGTCCATCTAGAGCACTTCAGCCTTTTGCGCCTCAAGTCCTGGAGGCTCTAGTGGTCTCTCTCAGCTCGTTGGAACATGAGAGCATCAATTACCTTCACCTGAATGCTGACAAATATGGACTGACGGCAGAGAAACTGGACAAGATGAGAGTGTCGAGTATCAACGCATCGCCGGTCACCGAAGCAATGGAGCGCTGCCTGGAAAGTATTACGATGCCAAACGACGAATCCGTCGATGGAGCAGACGCAATGGAAGGGGTAGTGGTCAATGGACAAGGGTCAAACCCTGTCATGGACGATGCAATGCAACGACTTTCGAATGCCTACCGTGCAGCTATCGGACTGCCGTCGAAAGTTGGTCTGAGCCGGGTGATGACAACGCTGGTCATTCGTCATCAAGCTGCCTTTGGACCATATGCCGACAAGTTCATTCAACTGACGAGAAAGCACATACTGGATCGTAACGCAACCATTAGCGTGGCGTTTAGTACGTCGTTGGGTTACTTGATGCGCTTGGGCTCTCAGAAGGAAATCCAAGCAACAAGCAAGTATGCCCAAAAACTGTATTTTGAGTCGGAGGAGCTAATGCATCGGTCGGTGGCGGGGGAAATCATTCAAGCCATCTCAAAAGCGGCCAATGATGTGTTTATGAATTCAGCCTCGACATTCCTTCCCTTTGCTTTTATTGGGCGCCGAGATACAGACAAGGAAGTCCGCGAACGGTTTGATGTTCCATGGAAAGACAACATTGGTGGGTCGCGCGCAATCAACCTCTATTTGAAGGAGATTGTGGAACTCATTTCGACACATATCAAATCGCCGTTGTGGCCGATCAAGCATGCATGCTGCTTTGCCGTAGCGGAATTGATTAAAACGATGGAGGTGACAGAACGATATTCCCCGGGTGAAGCCTTGTTGCTATGGGACCTCATGCAAGCGTCATTGGACGGCAAGACATGGGAAGGGAAAGAAGAAGTGATTGAAGTGTATCCGAAATTTGTTCGTCAGGCCGGGTCGCTCCGAGAGGACGTCAAGGTAACACAGCAAATGAAGAAGGTGGCATTGAGAGAAGCAAAGCGGACCAACGCGGGATACCGACCGCATGCGATCAAGGCGCTGGGAGAATTTGTAATGGCACGAAAAGACATTGACATGACGGACGAGGTTGTGCCTTACCTAGTCGAGCTAATGGATGAGCTTACCGACAAAGATGCAATGGATATTGACGAAAGCGGTGGCAAGGGTTTCGACAAACGGTAAGACATTTCGGCCCCAGAAGAAACAAACTGACCAACCGGCGCGTTCTAGGTCAATAGTGGAAGACACCATAAGCGCCATTGTTTCGTGCTTGTTCCAACAACTAACTGCCCAGACCCGGCGAGAGGTTCTGGATGCTGCGTTGGAAATTGTGGGAAAAGCACGGAGACTCCGAACAAGCGAGATTGACCGCGCAACATATGAAGGAGCAAAGATTTTGATGGAGAAACAGCGACCTGAAGGCAGAAGAGTTGATGGATTTCGGCGTGATACGAAAGGAGGTGATGTTGAGAAGACGTTGGGAAATGCCGCAGACGCAGCCTCAGCCTCAGCCTTGGGCTCGGGCGCAGGGGAAAATGGGTCGGCGGAAGGCGGCGAAGGGCCTCAGTCGGCTAGGGAAGGAATTGCCTCAGAACCACGGGCAGTTGCACTTGCCCTAGCGCTTGCGGCTCTTGGCTCCGGAGATTCTGCCAGTATCGACCGCCAAGCCTCTGAGCCGGAACATCTGCGAAAGTCACGTGTGTCTCTCGCACTGGCCGTGGCCCAGAACTGCGGCCAACGTTCGGACACGCTAGCCAGAATGCTGGATGGTTGGTACGAATCCGAGCGGTCCAGGCCCTTACGCGAAGAGATCGACCGGGTTCGTCAGGCTAATGATCGGAGCGGATGATATACTCCGTATGTCGCCTAACTCGCTTAAGGACGAATGTACTCCGTATGTACGTACTTCGTAGACGCGTAGGGATTCCGGCCCTGCAATGTAAATGGGCCTGTATTGGCTGCATATCTGCACCGGAGCCATGGTTCAGGGACGCGGACTCATGGCACGGTTTTTTGGAGTTCGAGGTTTGTGCTTTTGGAGCCCGACGGGTGCAGGCTGCAGGCGGCACGAAGACCCCTGTTGAACGTGTGAAGCTCGTGATCCCCACAAAGTTTATCCAGAGAAAGCCGTCTTGACCGTCGGAATTGGTTCAGCTGGGCTCTGTGCAAGGCTGCATGGCAGAGCGTGGCATGGCATGGGTAGAGCCGGAAGTCGGCAATTGAAAGGCCCACCTCATTCGAAGTCAGAACGTGCTGGGGGTGGGCGCTCCAGGGATTTGTATTGCTGCCCAGTTATGCCTAGAGATTGTCAAATGATGTCACCGTGGTCACTGATGATGATGGTTGGTACCATTTTGGAAGCGGTCTGCCTCGCTCAACAGGCTCAACAGGGTCAACAGAGTTCAGCCAAACAGTATTTTCAAACCCAGGAAATCAGCCTTTCGTAGCATCGAACCGTGAGGGATAGGACAACCCAAAAGAGACACAAAGCTAGGGCCTGTGGATGCGTAGGGAAAAAAGTCTCACGAAGCCCAAAGTCGAAGAGGCATCTGGGCGTCGACCAGGGAGGGGCCTTGACAGGATTGCAGAAACCAATAGGCGGATTCCTCGGCCGAACTAGATTTTCCATTCCGTAATTCGGACCCATGATTTTCCGTTCCGAAGTGGAGCGCCTGCCAGGATTTGGGCGAGTGAGAGACAAGGAAGGAGCGAGAGGGGACCAAGCAAGGAAGGAAGTGGGTTTTTGGAGAGTTCCTCTCGCTCTGCTGCAGATCTGCATCCGCAATCCTGTCGTGCTTCGTCTGCTTGTCTGCTTGTCTCCTCGTCTACCGTCTCCAGTCTTGTCTCCATAGGGCTTTTGTACGGTGTCTCGAGCCATCCATGAAGCCATGCATCCACCATCCAATCCCCCGGTTCACCAGTCTCCTTCCTGGCCGTTGAACAGATGCAATAGCCGAAAAAGGCTTCACACCTTATCTGAGAATTTTCAACACTAGTCGACACCCCCCCAAATACCCTCTGACCGCGAGTGGCACACCAATCAATCAGTCGCTCCGACCTGTGGCTGTCGCCGTGCGCAATGACATGTTCTCCCCAAGGCCTGCCCACCACAGCACCCTAATCAAGACCCATCAACCTATGGCCTGTCATGTCGTTTAGTTGCTTCAAGATTCGCTCATTCTGCTTTGCTTTGTCTATCCACTTCTCTTCATCTTCTTCACCTACTTCTTCTTTCCTCTCTTTCGCCTCCGACCTTTTGGGCACCGCCCAGATCTAGTCCCAGCTCTCGACCTCGCGCCCTCCGAGACCACTGGTCCATGTACCCGTCGACCCTCTATTCAAGATCGTGACTCTACCGATCGCCGTCCTCCAGCTGTATTCGATCGATCAGACTACTCTTGCAGCCAGTCACCTTTGGTTCCAACGAGTCTGGCCATCGCCACGTCTCCGCGGCTCCTGGGGCCGAGTGTTGAGCAATACATGCGTCACTTTGCCACGTGTATGCCTTGGTTCATATCCCAGTCGCCCTCGCCAGCCCGCTTCATTCAACACGCAACTCGCAAATGACATTAACAGCCACATTGGTAATGCAGGACGATAGACGAGGAGACTCGTCCAGGAAACAGCCGCTGCGATTACCCATTATTGCCCCCAAGGATGACCATTCGTCTTCGGCTAGCTCTAGCCGGAGTGGTCATCTCGGCACCATTGCGCCTACAGTCACCCCTAGAACCCGCCTCCCCCCACGGTCAAGAACCGGTTGTTGGACCTGTCGCACTCGCAAAGTAAAGTGTGATGAAGGTCGACCTGTTTGTGGTCAATGTACTCGACTTGGTCACAACTGCGATTACAGTCCTCGCCTCGCCTTTCGCGATGACACTCCCCGTGTTTTGGAGCGTATGCAGGAGGTGACCATTGTCACCAGCTCAATATGGGACTGTTAGTTTGCGCGCCGCTCTCTTCTCGCTTCCCCCGCTCGGACCCCGTGCACTGACTTTCTCTATAGCAAACTCTCCCGCCATGACCGAGACCAGCAACACGTCGACCACAGCCGTGGATGATCTTCCACCGTTTGCCTCACTTACCACCGACGAAGAACGTGAGAAAAAGGCCGAAAAGTCCAGCCCCGGAACTTACAATGTCGTGGTCAACCAAGACAGCTTCCAGCACCTTCCTGAGTACGGCGACGACAGCGAAGTCAAGAAAGAATTCCTTTCCCCTTTGCGTCGTGGCTCCGTCGCCACATCGCTGAGCAGTGGTATCGGTCGCGACCAGACCTCTGAATCCGCCGCGGCCTCCACCGATCCCAACATTGTAGTCCTCCCGCGGTTTGAAGATGTCGCTCGAAGGACCACCTTTGGCTCCACCGTTTCTCGCCCCCACCTGTCGCCCCTTCTCAAACAAAATTCCTTCAAACTGGAATCCTCGGAAGAGGCCGCCATCACCGAGGAACCCGAGAAAATGGACACTACACAGAGTACAAGCCAGGAAGCCATCTACTCTCGACAATTTCGCCATGTTGTTTGGAAGCAACTAGTCCCTGCAGAGCTTGGTCAACTGGACGGCATGCTGGGTTCAAGCGTCCACCTGCTCGAGGCCGCAGCTGCTACTTTTACTCCTGTACGTGTTGCATACACTGCGCAAAACAACCTGACTGACCTTGGCCAGTTATTTCATGCAATGATGGCTGTCTCTGCCCTCAGCTTGTCCTCCAACGATGGGAATGCTCGACTAGATGCATTGCAGCACTACCAACAAGCACTGCCAGCGTTGCAAAGCACTCTGAAGGGTCCCGAAGATCTGTCCTCCGATGGAGCCTTTCTCACCCATTTCCTTCTTCTTGTTTACGAGGTATGTCTTGCGGGATCACCATCATGACCATTCTAACACTAGAGCCAGATTGCTGCGGCCGAAGCGGACGATTCCAACCTCTGGTCACAACATTTATCCACTCTTCTCCGAATTGTCTATCTACGTCGCGAGCTGTTTGGAGGAGAACGATTTCCTTATATTATTTGGTGGATCTTCAAAATTGATTTAGATGCTCTGTTCAGTGGCGCAGGACGCGGCGAATTTGTGAGCTCCATGCTCAACAACGATATCATCCCACCTCCGAGTTTTCATCTGTACCCGCTGGGTCCTGATGGCTCGAGCGTGGTGATGGGCGAGGAGTTGGACACGCTGCCGACCATTCTACAACTCGATTACGAAGTGACTCTGCTCGCAGCACGGCTGGCACTGCTCTCGCATGAATTTCGCAACGACAAAAGCTTTAATGTATCGGATCAACTGCATCGGAATCAGGCGACGAGAATCAGACAATCTCAAGTTTTTGAGGTGCAGGAGGCACTGCGACAGCTATGGGCGGCACCGGCAGTCATGATACTTTCACAACGCCAGAATTCGTTGCCGGATCGATCCAGGCAGCTATACGAGCATGCCGCAACGCTCTACCGATCGTGCATCATCTATTCGCATTCGTCCATGTGGCCAGGGCAACGACTTGAGACACCACCCGACTACGACACGGAGATTGCAGTGGCATCGAACCAAATCATCAACATGGCTCGAAAAGCGCTGGGTGAAGAACGATCAGACTGTCGCTACCTGGTCATGCCCATTTTCATAGCGGGATACGCCAGCGTCGACGGGCATAACCGAATGCACGCGTTGGATTTGATACGATCAATGGAAAACACCAGCATTGGGCGAAACACGACAGCAACGCGAAAGTCCCTGGCCGCAGTCTACGAAAAGCAAAATGAGCGATTTATGAATACTGGACAGAGTTTGGACGTGGATTATATGGAGGTAATGAAGGAGAAGGGGTTGATGGTGGTGAATTTCGGCCTGTAGAGGATGGATTTGTGGAACGATGAATGTTTGAGCGTGATCCTTGCGATTCCAAGCAGCCTTGGACTGTGCAGATGTTTCTGTATGCTATGCTTGCCTTTCCCCTTGCGATACCCTTCTAAGTCGAGCAATTTTCCTCTTTCAGTTTTGGTTGGTCTCTGGACAAGCAGAGGCGGCGTGGAAGGACAACTAAGGAAGGATGGATACTGATCTATTATTCGGGGGCAATTTCGTCCGCCTCGGAAGGTCGATGGTCCATGCGTTGGTCAACAAGGACCTTGCATCTATCTATCTTGGCCAGGGCGAGCTCGTGCTCAAACACCACCGCTTGATAAGGTGGGACCTCGGTTGCTGGCATGGGACGGAGATATCAAGCCAACGCATCAGCCGTTGGACACTGTACACTGACCATCGTCCAAGCCAAGGTCGACGTGGACAGGCCTCTTTATAGTGGAAAGACAAATGCCACCACAATCAGCCACTTTTGACGTACACATGGTGAAAGTTGTGAGATTGAAGCTGAGGTCGACCAATAGCCCACCCTAAACTCAGCCTGAGATTTTAGATGGAGAAACGGTGAGACAATCCGGCAGTAGAGCTTGGTTCGTGCGCGCGTAAGGCTCTCGTCGAATCTCTACCCTTGTGTACATCATTCATTCAAGCCTCTCGCAATCCCTGTCGGTCCTCACCGACGGAGTTGCCAGCAGCCAACAACGGCCATCGACAGCCATGCACCCCGCGAATGAAAAAGACTGATGATGACGACTCGGCTACTGCCTAGGATTGAATCACCTGGTTCGGCCAGGGGATTGGTGTTTCGTAGGCATTGATAGAGTTTCAACCTTGGAAACCTTGCCTGGCTGTACCCTGGTGCATGTGGTGTCCACATGCCATCAAAACAGTGCCAATGGCGGTGGAGTCACGAGTCGTTCCGGCTCTCACGACTTTTTCACGACGAACAACATCTTCAAATGCATAGATCTTGTACGGAAAAGACCGCATATCGTTCAACTCTAACAGAGAAAGAGGGGGTTGAAGACTTTGGTTAGGGGAAAAAACCTCAACAAAAGTGGATGTCTGCATGATTGGCTTTAAGGCATATGCCCAGGTTTCATTCACTTACTGGGTATATGACTTGAAGAATGAGTGACAGTCGGTAATATGATGCGCGCGGAGCCGACATCGATGTGAATCGCATAGAGCGAGCCATGAATGCCAATCCATTCATTCTGACTACAGAAGCAGTAAAACAGGACAAAATCGCTCGAGGGTGGATGACGTCCATCATTTCGAATGCTAATAAAGTCGCTTAGAGAATGGACTCGAGTCTCGAATTCTTACACACTACTTTCTCGAGACATTAAAACTCGGACCTCGGATGTAGAGTCGTTATTAGGTAGTATCTTCAGTCATACAGCACATGCCCAGGTTGTCGTACACATACTACACTAAGTAAGACAATCCACATACGCTTCCTGAATGCGCAAATATCCCACGCTCACGATGAGGATAATATTAACTATGATCAAGAAAATGTGACATTGTACTGACAATGTACGTTGTACGTACATTGGTACATTATCGGTAGTGGGTGTATCCGATCAGCTTAGTCGATACCAACGACCAGCTCCAAAAGAACCTCGAGATCCTTGGCAATCACTTCCCGAACCAGTAAGCGAGATTCTCCCCTCACAGGGCGATCCAGACTTGCAGCCCCAGTCAAACCGTTCAAAACAGAGACAGGCATAACCTTGTACGACAGGAGAGACAGGGGTTGGAAAGGATCATTATTTGTCCGCGGAGAACCCCACTTAAGCCACGGATGAAGTTTGATGAGGTCAGGAAAATGTTTTTTCCGTGGAGATTTTTGCTAAATTCACTCGATAATGCCAAGGAAACTTCCGTTTTAGGATTAGTTTGAAATGCGAAGTCTCTCATTTGCCGTCGGGCGCCGCCATCTCAGCCATCATCATCAGCCACCTTCTGGACCTCTGAACCTTCTTCGGCCATCTCGGGAAGAGCTGCCCCAATCAGTTGCTGTCCCCACAATCAAACCATCAATTCGTTCACTACGGAGTGAGCGCATCAATGTAACAAAACCATTAAATCAACAATAGAGGCAATGTTGTTATTATTTTCATTGGGACAAGGAAAAAGTTTTTCATGACGGTTACACGGCCTGTCCCTTGACATACAGGCTGATTATCACCATTACCGGCAGCTGTAACCCCCCCCCCTGATCACCTGTAAGGCTGCAGCCTGCCTCCCGTGGCACATCAATACACCTACATACGCCTATCATATGTACTTGATGTACGTAAATACTTACGACACAACGACCAGGGTAGCGGAAATGTCCTCTCCGTCCGTTAATGCCGCCGGGTTGTGGGTATCCAATGATACTAACGCAATCCCATGTGTGCATACTTATGTAACCAGCCTAACTGGGTTGGTACCAGTAAACATAGACGGCACTGTATAGTACATTAGTATTTCGTAGGCGCATTGAAACTAGGAAATCAAAAAACATTTTTCGACTCTTCCACAGTGCTGCATGTATCTCGCTCTCTCTTGTCGAATTCAGGTATTCTCTCCGCAGGTTATCTTTTCGCAATCTCCACTTTAATTCTCAAATTGTCATTGTCATCATCATCATCATCATCATGCCCAGGATCATAGACCCAAAGCCGAGTAGGGATAGTTCAAACCCCCAACGAACGGCTAAGGCAAGCCTAAGGTGAAGCACGGCGAAGCGACCAGAACTACGAGTTTGCGACGGCGACCACCGCCTTGATTCGGGGTGCGGAAATATGAAATCTCATCGGACACACCCGCGTTCCACTCGGACGAAAGGCGAGGACCGTGAGTCTATCACCCAAAAAAAAAAATAAAAAAAAAAGGGTCAGCCCATCAATCACATCCGTTAGTGTGTATTCAGTGATTGATTGATGGAGATGTTCCGTCCTCCTATTACGATATTGAGCATTGGGCGTTGGGCATTGGGCATTGGGGCAAAGCACTACTGTAGAACTGCCGACTACGGATTTTATATATCCACCCCCTAGGTGTGGGCCTTTTACTGTAGTTGTGACTGGGTTCAGGATCCCAATTCTTTTTCTTCCGACGGGCAAGCATCTCGTATTTGCTGGTGTGTACAGTAGTGCGGGCTGCAGTACAGCTGGAAAATGTCCACGTTTTTTGTGTAACCTCAACACACACGCACGACCTCTGTACTCTACAGTAGTATGATATGTTTGTCACATGCATGACTTGCGTTGGGGTTGGACGAAAAAGGCATATGCATGATGCACTTCCTTAGGGTCAAAAGTGGACTTTAAACACATACCACACACGCATGTACTCCGTACGTACGGAGTATGCACATCTCTCTCGCCAACAAGATAATTCAGCATCAACCGAAAATTCCTCGAGAGACTTGTCGAGAAAGGCTTTCCAAGTCATTATCATCACCAGGTGATCTTCGTAGAATGCAATCCAACTAAACTGCCTACCTAATTATTAGGCCGCCATGATGCTTCCAATAGGGATGATCACACCCCAAACTTCATCCCCGCACTCGTGACTCTGACGCCTAAGGCACTAATTTCCCCCCAAGAAAAATCAGCACCATATGTTTTTGCACCTCCAAAATCTGAGTTGCCTTCGGGCATTTGGTCAATTTGAAACGATACAGAGAAGATTAGCATGGCCCCTGCACTAAGGATGACACGCTTCTCAAAGAGTGCTAAAAGTTTTTTTGGCATTTCTTTTTTGCTCAGGATCACAAAACCCGGGTTGAATTGAGTGTTGTATTCGTTGTGGTATGGGGGTTCGAATCGAACGTGTGCTCATGGAAGGGACTTTTTGACGAAAATTCAAAGGTGTTGATGGGTGTTGGAAGTTGTCACGTGATATGGATTTCCCTTTGCTTTACTTTTCGCTTTTCGTTCAATATCCCTTCCACTTTCATATCTCATGATTAATTACTATAGGTACTACCTGTATTTACTAGATGGTGATCATTCCATGCGTCAATTATTGCCCTTGGCTAGATGAATATGGGTCTGAGTTCGCACCACTACTACTCGTTCTAGCAGCAGGCGAGGGCATAATCGTCGCAAAACTTAAGTTCAATCAAAGTTACCCTAGATGTTTGTGAACTGTACACTTTCATTCATGCACAACACAATCATCATAGCCAGACCATGCATGTATGGCATGATATCTCAATATACAACGCCGAATCCAACGATGCAAGAATCCAACAACGCCTGCGCAAAATCTACTCTTGACCAGACATGACATGAGGTACCAATACCAACAAACCCCGACGACTTCCTCCCTTACTACTCCCCTTCATATCCTTCTCCCACGTTGGGATCTCGGAAGACTCTGATCTCCTGCATTGCATCTTCTCCTTCTCTCTCGCCTTCAAGCACCAATCCCTTTTCGTTGGCCAAATGCAACAGACAGATGAAGCAGTAACTAGTGCTGATGTCCTTCATCTGCTGCTCCGGGTACACCTGTCGCAGATCTTGGATCATCTCGGTAAAGTTCATAACTTCGCCGTTGGACGTTGTTGTTGTTGGTGGCGTGCTGGGTTCATGACCGTCAACCGGTGTCTGCACTTCTTGTCGGTCATCAACGTCCATCATGTCCACGTCTTCATTGGCTTCTGTAGCTGCCACTGGGGTAGGACTCGTCGCTGAGGGTTTATCAAAGATCTGGATCAGCTTGACGCTCATTCCCTTCCACATATTTTCCTTGAGCCTTCGGACATCCACCTTCTTCGCTGTTCGTGCATAGTTGACATATTCAGGTCGCAATCTTTTACCCGCTTGTGTGACGAGTTGAGATCCAAAACTACCAGGTAGGAGTTCGCTTTGTTGTGTGTTCGGGAATTGTGTGTCGGGCGGTTGTTGAGTAGCTGGGTCGTTTGCTGGATCAAATGCATCACCAAGTAGGTTCATTTGTTGGTGACCTTCAGGCTGAGGGCTGAGCATTTCCCTTGCATCCATAAAGGCTTGCTGTTCTTCTCCCCCGGCAAGGATTCCATCATCGTCGTCGTCATCGTCAATCGGGAGTGGTCCATCAAAGGGAAGCATCTGATCATCATCCGCAAAGAAATTCGCGTCATAATCACCCTTTCTCCCCTCCTCATCATCCTCGTCTTCTGCGCCGCGGTTGACGGTTCCCACACGATTGCGAGCGCCAAATCCTTCATCGATGATTCCAAGTGCGCCTTTCCGTCGGCCAATGCGACATTTGGGTTTGGTCCAGAGTCGCATGAACTTCCTGGGGTCAATGACTTCATCATCTTTGTCAAGTAAGTTTCTTCCTTTCGTTCTCCATTGCGCTTTTGGCAAGCTGATCTGCGTGTTGAGTACTGTTGGAGCGGCCAACAATTCTTGTAACGATTCAGACATTGGTCCAACAAAGTCGATTTCAAAAGGCTCCTTCTCTTTCCTCTGCCTTGTTGGAGGCGCCGTCTCGGTTTGCTGGGCTTTTTGGATCTTTTGCATCCTCCAATTATCCAATGTCATGAACGCGGTTTTTCCTTTCGCCCTTGAGTTGAAGGCCTTCTCGAAATATGCCATGACCGATTCATGCTCGGCATCTTCCTGGTACTTGTGCTGTAGAGACATGGCGTACCCATCCGCATTGTTTCCTTCAATGAGATTGTCGTCAAGATCACCGACGTGGCCAACCCTAGCTTGTGCATCAATGGCAGCATCTCTCGCCCAAGCTTCACCGCCTTCTCCGAAACCAACGTCTTCTGCGACATCGAATCCACCCAGGAGTCCGCCATCGTCATCATCGTCATCGAATGCGAGCGCATTGCTTCCATCGAGAAATATACCCGTCTGGTCTGACAAGTTGGCACTGATCGGCGGGGCTTGTGGTGTCGCAGATCCCTTCTTTTGGTCTCGCCAGTCCTCAGGCGCCTTCAAGAAAGGGATGCCTAGATCTCCTGACGGATCACCCAGGGTGAAAGTCTTCATCGACGGGCAGACATCTTGATTATCGAGGATTGACAGGTCGGGGAAGAATTTTGACGCCAAACCATCAAGATCAATTTCTTCGTCCTCGTCGGCATCTTCTTCCACTTGAACTTCGGCTTCGGTAGTTGATGTCTTCGCGAGAGGATCCTGAACTTCTTCTTCCGCCCCGTCGTGATGTTCGCCTTTCTCTGCTGCAAGAGCTGCGTCTCCCGCATCATCACTGCTGTCAAATACGATTCTGCCATCCGAGTCAATCGACAGATGATTGAGTAGAAGACCTTTTGCTCCTCCTTCGTCGAAATCAGCGGATGCCTTTTTGAACAAAGGGTCGACTGCGAATTCCAAGTCGAGTTTCTTGGCCTGAAACGTCGCAAAACCTGGCGCCAAAGTAGCTTCATGACTTCTAGCCGGTTTCTTTTTCTTTTTCTTTCCCCCTTCGCCATCCTCGCCTTCTTCACCGTCCTCACCGTCTTCATCGTCATCCTCGCCATCCGCATCACCTCTTTTCTTCTTGCCTTCGTTGGCACTGCCATCTGCCAATCCACTCAATAACCGCCCCGTCTCTGTCGCAACGCTGTCGACTCGACTAGTATAGATCTTGACGCAACCATCCAATGTGCAACTCGCTTTCTGAAAATTGACACCATCTCCTTCTTTCAACAGGCTCATGTCGTGGAAATAGTCGATTAGAGCAAAGTTCCATGAATTGGCTGCATTGATTTTATTATCTGTAGCCATTTTCATCCATTCTTCAAAGTTTGCGAGGATGGGTACGCGTTTCGGTGGTGTCGCAGCATGACCGGTAACAATATCAATTTGTCTCGGGCTATTTTGACCATTATTATTGTTGTTGTGACTCTGTACGACTCTTTTTCGTAGATCTGCGGCAGCTGAGGTGCGTGGAGTGCGCGGTGATTCTGACATGGCTCGATGGTGCGCGTCTCGACGTTGATTGATCTTTCGTACAGGACTGGCCGCGGCGCGGATTTCGTTCATATGGATCTCTTGTAGGGCTTGTCGAGATTGCAGACGTGCAGCCTTCTCGCCACGGTCATCGTTGAGAGAAAGCCTGTCTTTTGGTCAGCATGTCTAATTTCGTGGTTGCCTGTAAGAGGTACGAGGGAAGATTTAAGTGCGGATGGAACGTGAAGGAATGGTGGGATGTGATGATGCGTACTTCACTGGCGATGGCCTTCCCTTCTCGCGCGCCATATTCATCACCACCGCTTGCCTACTTGGGCGTGCAGTCTGTTGTCCTGGGTTGCGCGGCATAATGATTTGCGAGGATTCAACACTTCCTTTTGTGCCAGCCTGCTGGATTGTCCCTTCGGGTGCGGCAATGCGCCTTAGCTTGTTCGAGTTCCCCTTCTCGAGGAGCACTGATGGATGTCAAGTGACGCGCTCTCAACATAGAGGATCAGAAGGATAGTAATGCCGTCCCGTGGCTCCGGATTGATCACGATGATGCTTGGAGCCGACGAGGTGTTGTCCATTCGATGTGGAGCATCTGTTGGCAAAACATGATTCCCAAAACGGCAAGGCGCGGCCAAACACGTAGTCACGTGGTTTAACCACATATTCGACCCAGGTATAGATATCACGCATGTGCAACAACAAGAAGACTCAACGAAAGCATTTGGAGCTCGAGTTTCGCTCAAATTATGGACCAAGGAAATAGTAATTGAATTATGTTGGACTATGTCGCAGATTACGAACCCGACACTAGTTCCGCCCTCATGCTTATAGCCTCCAAATGTACCAGCCTAGTTCAACACCCTGCCAGCCGTCGCCGAGGCGCTCCGGTCCTTTGTTTCCGTCTTGCGCAATCCTTTGCCTGCCTGGATTTGTCCCAACAAAGCTCCCATGCTAGGGGGACCAGCAGGGGCCGCAGTAGGCATCGGTGGAGGGGGAGGAGGTCCAGAATCGGGGAATGGCGGTGGCGGGGGTGGTGCAGATGGTGCTCCAGAAGGAGGCGGAGGAGGTGGTGGAGGAGGTGCAGTAGGGGCACCGCTGGATGGAACTGGTGGTGGTGGCGCCGGTGGCGGTGGTGCTGCAGACTCGAACGCACTAGCATTGTTTTGCGAGTCCTGTACTGGAGTAGCTGGCTTGCTGTCCATGGCAGACATTGGTCGCGGAGGTGCCATTGTGCCAAATAAAATGGAGGCCAATTGTTTGGCAGATCCTCCCGCTGGGGGCTCGTCTTCCTCATCACTAGAGGCATCATCCTTCTCGGAACCTGCTGCAGACCATGAGTCCTCTTCAGGTCGGCGGCGTGACTGTGTTCCAGTGAAGCTAGCCGTTAGAGGTTTGGCTGCTTCTTGCTGTGCGATCCGATGGAATGGGTTGGTGGAATGCAAGTCTGCCGCAGGAGGCGCTGGGGGCGAGAATGGCTGTGCTTGAGGGACGGGAGGTGGTGAGAATGTTGGTCTGCCGCTGTCAGAAGAATGCGAAAGCTTCTTGAAGTATGGATTGCGTGATTCCTCTGCAGGGGGGCTCGAGACCGGTGTGGCGTCATGGGCGCTGCTTTCTGTAGTTGGCATGGACAATGTCGTAGGAGGCGGAGAAGAAACGCCCGTTGGAAGCACTTGGCTTGTCGCTGGTGTGCTCTCTTGAGGAGTGAGCTCCTCATCATCCGATGAGGAATCATCGCCCAGGCTTTCAAGCTGAAGCTGAAGCTGACGCTCTCGTTCTCGAGCAGCCTCTAACTCGGCTCGCTGGGCGGCAAGCTTGGCCTCCTTCTCCTTCGCTTCCTTCTCTGCTGCCTTCTTACGGGCCTTCTCCTCCTGCTTCTTAATCTTGCCGGCCTTGACTTGTTCCTCGAGGGCTCGGAGGCGGGCTTGTGCAGCTTCGCGCTCTTTCTCAAGGTCGTTTTCCTGAGATTTTGCCTGGGATCTAACAAATGTCAGAACATGATTACTTTCAACAAGTGGCTAGACTTACTCAAGCCGTTTCCGCTCAGTTTGTTGAGCTTCCTGCTCTGCCCGTATTTCGGCAGCTGCCTCTTCCTCGGCTTTGGCGCGTGCCGCCGCCTCTGCTGCCTTGCGATCAGACAAATCATTGCTATCCTGTCTACCTTTTCTTTGAGGCGGGGGAGGTGGTCTCTTGCTTGCTTTTGGACTAGGTGGTGCAACTCCTTCATTGGCAAGTCGCTGCTGGCGTTCTTGCTCCCGTTTTGCATCCTCTTCCTCGGCTTTGCGAACGCGCTCGGCTCGTTCCTGCTTCTCTCGCTCTTGTTTCTGTGCTAAGCTTTCGCCAGAGTCACCAGCAGGCTTGATACCAGCAGCGGCCATTCTGTCCTGGATGCGCTTGAGAGCCTTTTCCTTTGCAGAAGCAATACGATCTTGTTGGGACTGGCCGAATGACGAGGACGAAGTGGTCGAGACCGGGGCAGGCCGAGACGGGAGATCACCGTTACTAGATCTGGTTTCCTGTCTTGAGGTTTCGGGAGTAGACCTTTGGGTAGGGCGGGATGACCTGTCTCGTTAGCACGCACGACATAATGGGAAACGAGAATAACATACTCTTCCTTGCGAACTTTGGCAGTTCTGCTGCTTCGTTGAAGATCAAAGATGAGCTCCTTGATTTCGTCTTCGACTCCCAATGCTTCTTCCCACCGTCGTCTCTCATGCTCTTGGGTATCGCTGCCGCCCTGCTCCCGGAGACCGTCTTCCAAGGTCGAGACAAAATCTTGGACACTATCCTCGACATCTCTGGTCATGCTTTCATTGCGTTCCTGCTCGGATTTGACTTTTGAGTTCTCCTGCTCGAACCGCCTCTGCGCACCTGCCTCATCGTCAGCGGCTGGGGCGGGTCTACCGGCCAGTTCAGCAGCCCGAGCTTGCATCCTAGCACGAGCTCGAGCTTTGATGCGGTCTGCCTCGGTGATGGAACCCCCTGGTCCAGTGCCAATAATATTTGCCGCGCCATTGGGATGTGCTTTTGCATCCTTGAGACGGAACAGTTGTAATTTGGCTTCTGAGATGCTTTTCTCGATACGGCGGACATCCGATGCAAGTGCGGGCAATTTATCTTGATATCGCTGCAACTCTCTCCGCATCGATCTGCGCTCCGCACCGGTATCAGAACCACCAAATCCTGCGTTGGGATGAGTGTCAATGTCATCCTGGATCCGGCGAATTTGCCGGAAGAGGTCCTCGGCTTCCCTTCGGTCCCGTCGGTCGAGAACATCTTCATCGTCGGCCGATCTTTCGTCCTGAAAGTCGGTCGCGTCTAGAAGAATCTTCTTTTCACGAATCTTCTTTCTGATCTGGTCCGGCGACAGGTCGTCGTAGGAAGTATCAGATACTTCGGAAGAAGGAGCGGGAGAAGGTGTCCTTCCATCAGCGCCGATTCGCCGGCGAGCACTCGAACGATAGCCAACATCGTCATCATTGTTGCGGAAAACGGTGGCATCTTTGCGGCCAAAACTTGGCGAGTTGCTGCCGCCACGGAACGAATGGTCTTTGAGATAGCTGACTCCCGTTCGTTGAGGCTGTAGAAAAGCGCCGGAGGATTTCCTAGTTTCTGCATCTTGAGAGAGTAAGGACTTCACAGTATCGATGGAGCTGTTAAAGTTTCTGGTAGATGGAGGAATGAGTTCGGGAGGTAGACGTGCTGGAATAGGATAACCATTCAATTTGCGGTAGATCAAATGCATGGCGACGGAAAACTCATCCAGGTTCAGGCGTCCCTTGTTGTTTGGATCAGAGAGAGTCCAGATGGCCTCGAGATCTGGCCGATCCAATCCACTTTGTCCCATGATCTCGATGGCGACATCGCCAGTGATGAACCCTTTCCCTAGCCCATCCCAGGCCTTGAAGAGCTGGTCGTACATCCTCTTCTCATCCTTGGTGACTGCCCATGGGACTTTAGCATTTCCAGAGATGCCTTGCGTGGTGAAGCCACCCTCTCGTCCCTGTTGAGGCATGAGCCGCTGCTGTAATGCTTGGATGTTCTGCAAGCTGCCAGCTGGAGCATTGACGAACCCCCATTGACCTGGGATACCCGTTGGTTGTGTCTGGAGTGCCGATGGACCAGTCTGTTGAGGCGATTGATTGTTGCCATAGCCGGTGGGCATGGGAGGCATGGGAGGCATGGGCGGGCGCGGACCCGTGTAGCCGGTGGGCTGTTGCCCGAACCCGGTAGGCTGAGTCTGCAGGTTCTGTGAGCCCGGATAACCTTGAGGTTGTTGCTGCCCTCCAGGCTGGAAACCAGTGGCTTGGTTGAAAAATCCGGTGGGTTGTGCGGTCAGCTGGGATAAGAGCTGCTGATTCGATGCTTGTTGAGGCTGCGGTGCTTGTGGTGCCGGTGGAGACATGGCATTCTGCCTCAGAGGAGCATCGAAACTTGGGACATTCGTACGCTGTGGTGGGTTGGGAGTATCATCAGCAACATTGAATGAAATAATGTCGACGATACTGGACACCTCGTTCTTTATCTTCTCCGGCAGCTCTGACGGTAGTGACTTTCCCGTGAGACTCAGGTTGCATAGATACATGGCCAATGCAAACTCTGGGAAGAGAAGCTGTCCAGACTTGGTAGTGTCTGACAGAATCCATATTTGTGACAATGCACTGCCAGGAAGTTTAGATCGCAACAGGAGATCGCGTGCCTTGTCTCCGGATAAGGCCTGTTCATCGCCAACCGCCGACTTGAATAGCTGTTCAAACTTGGCCTGATCGGTCGCTGTGATAAACGAAAGGCGTATGTTTGGAATCTTCCCTGAGCTCTTGCTTGGGCCTGTGCTTGTGGAAGGACTGGCAGCCGGGGCGCTTGCGAAGGACTGGGCGATCTGGGCAGAGGTCTGCTGAGGGCGGAGGGGAGCGGGTGGAGGTGGCTGTGAGGCCGGTTGTGAGGGCTGCTGGGAACTCTGAGGCCCTTGTTGATAAGACTGCTGTTGTTGGAAGGATTGAGGCTGCTGTGTCTGGGAAAATGGAGGTTGTTGGGGTTGGTTTTGAGGAGGATAGCCGGTAAACTGTGGCTGTTGGAAACCCTGCTGCTGAGGTGCATAGCCAGGAAACCCAGTCTGCTGAGGTTGCATTTGACCGGGGAATCCGGTGGGTTGAGGTGCGAACGGCGAGGGCTGTTGCTGGGGAGCTTGGTTAAAGGAGCCAAACTGCGACTGTTGTTGTCCGAAGCCACCAACAGGAGGGCGAGCACTGTTGGAGCCGCCCAGAAAAGAATTGGACGAGGAATACATGGTGCTTGAAGAACACAAACGCAAGACGATGCAGATAAAAAGGGCGCAAGTTCAAAGAAATGGGTGAGACAAAAGCCAAGTTGAACCAGAGATACAGAGATGCGGTTCCTGAGTAGTAGTCATCCAAATTGGCTGGGCTGGCGCGGGTTGGGGGGAACAGGGACAGCAGGAAACGGCAGGAACACTTATGACGCGGACTTTGCGTTAGCACACAGCCATTCTTGGCATTTAGGCTGCTGCTTTAACCCCGGCACGTGCAACTACGGAGACAGGTGGAAACTGGTCATACAATCAGAAATCAAAGTAATCAATTTCAATGATCTGCTAATGGCTATGAGTACCAGGGCTACTGATCAAAACGCGCCCATTTGCTGACGTGATGAATCGTGCTCGCCCTCAAGCAAACGCCAATGATGCCGGCACGCTGTTTGTCCATTCCCAATCCAACCCAAACGCCGTCAACTGCGTCCTCGCATACACTTCGTTATGGTACAAGCTATCATCATCTGACCACGAGTCACGGTGATCGTGCCGTCGTCGAGTGCGGGTGGTGGTAGTCAGCCCTACTACTGACCGTTTTGGGCGCCACCAACCATCTTACGCAGCTCAAACTCTCGGGTGAAGTTGGTCTTGAGCACGTTGAGATCTTGGATAGTGTCACTAGCGCTAGCCAACAATGCCTCCTTGGGTGTGATGTCTCCGTCCGTCTGAATTCGCAGCTCGAATGTGGCAAAGAGGGGATGAGGAACCTTGTGACAGTTAGTGGTTTGGTTTGTGTGAAGCCTCTGTGGTGCTCCTTACTCGATACGCAGCGAAGGTCACATGGCTGTTCTTGAGGAGTTTGTCGCGGAGGAGGTTGGCAAGAGTGTGGTCTTCCTTGTTGAAGGTGAAGATTGCGGTGTTGGGAGTACCTGTAAATTGAGTCAACCAGAGTTCTTAGATCTTTGATACGGAGAGACCAACGAGTATCGATCTTTTCCTCGATTTTCTTCTCGTTGTCTCCGAGAACAAAAGATTCGGTTCTGTGGAGACAACAGTCAGTCAGCACATTGCTTGGATGATAAATACAGCAGATGCAGATAGATGTAAACTCGATGTCCTGTTGCGCATCGATGAATGTCAGATTCTGACGAGGATGGAAAGGTCGATACCTCCACCTCAGTGCAAAACCAAGGCTGCAGGCGACCTTCCATATCCTAGAGAGGAGGTGGTCCACCAGGAGAAGGCCAGAACTGATCCAGAAGAAGAGCGGTTTTGCCCTGTTGCAGCGGCCTGATCACTCACTGGTTTGGCATGTTGATATCGGTACTGTTGTTTGCAGAGTTTACACTTCCAGAGTACGGAGTGTTAGACGGGTGGGTAGCCCATTGCTGTTCCTCAACTAAGAGAAGGGTGCCATTTGACATTCGTCGTGGACGCAATGTCTCTGACTGTCTGGATGCTGCAGGTCCCGTGGTGGAAGGGGTTGTCTCTGACATGATGAAAAGATCTCGCGGTGATGGAATCTTGGTGGTTCAAAGGGAGATACAATGGTTGAGTTGGTGAGATCAGGACATCCGAATTATTGTGGGAATTTATGTGAAGGATGGGTGCAGTTGATTCCAGAGCCAAGACTTAGGAGAGCAAACAAGGTAGGCAGTTACATGGTGACAGTGAAATCTGGCAGGAGCGTAGGTGGCAGGCACATGAATGAAGCGTGAACCGGCCATCTCTGCAGAAGGGATATGGGAAATTCATTTGTAACTCTCCGTGCTCTGATGAGAGAGAGAGAGAGAGAGTTCTGGTAATCTCTCTGATGGTCGCGGATTTCCTCTCCAAGGTGAATTTTGACCGCAAAGAATGAATATGTATGGAAATGATAGAGAGGTTGAAATAAGAGAAAAGAGACACGTAACATACCTATCTGGAGCGTTCATAATGATATCGTTGCGTGGTAGTGATGTGTGCTAGCTATTACTCGGTGTGATATGACGCGATATGTGATGATGGTGAAAACAAAGCCAAACTTATCACTATCCAAAGCGAGTGGCGGAGGGTGTTATTATGAACGTTTTGGCTCAAGCGTTGGTAGATGGGAGGAGTCGCTGTAGAATATAATTAAACTTGAAATTTCAAAGGTAGGGTGGAACCAGCGTTGTCATTAAGAGGAGTCAATAAGATACAGGTGACGAGAATATGCTGCCCCTTTGTGAATCAGTGTGAATAGTGAAGACACAGGTTCGTGATCTTGGTCTCGACCTGGGATGCAGAATATGTGACTCTAAAAATGATAGATGGTCGTCCGAAGCCAAGACACAACTGATATGGAAGGTTTACCGGAGTACCAGAGTACCTACGAAGTACTCAGTACATATCGTTGGAACTATACTCCGTAGTGCTCCGTACAATACAGCCAACCACGCAGTGATGAATCGCACTCCACTCCATCGGTCCGCTTTCGCTGGTTACGCCATCAACATCACCAACCACACTCCATAATGCTTCCAATCTACTTCCATGTCCAGTAATAATCACAGTCCAGATCAACTCCCATTCGTGGTAGCATCCAATTCCAAGTCCCAAGATTACTTGTACATCCGCGGCATTTACGAATCCAGCAATTGTATAAGCTCAGTTGCCCGCTTTTTCGCAGTCTCAGAGCTTGATCTGTATTGTGTCCGCGGAGAAACCCTTCTGCTTTTACCTTGTTGACTCACATCACGACCTTCGACGGCCTGTCGATCAAAGTCCCGTTGTTGTATATAACCCCCTTTCTGGGGGCTGTTTTTTCACGGGCCTGATGGTAAGTTCAGTCAAAAGACATCAACTACCAATCATGGCAGCAAATCCACTTCATCATGACTATCCGTGGACAACTGAAGATGCCCCTCTGGTTGTCTCTGCGCCGATGATGAAGATCACCTTAGCAGAAGCCGCAATTGCAACATCAGCAGCAGGCGGCATTGGCTTCCTCGCCGGTGGATTCGACCTCAGTCCCTTGAGCAAAGACCTTGCCAAAGCGGCCGAAGTTGCGCAGGAACGAGGACTGACCCTGCATCAAGGGGTCCTACCCATTGGGGTTGGATTTCAAAACTGGGGAAGTGACCTCAAACTCGCATTGGATGCGTTGCTAGCGCATCCTGTTGCTGCCGTATGGTTCTTTGCTCCTCATCAATTGGCCGACTTGCTCGATTGGTCAGAGCAGATTCGCACTGCAACCGGCGGCAAAACCAAGATCTGGATCCAGGTCGGTACGGTGGCAGAAGCTATCGAAGTTGCGAGAACATCCAAACCAGATGTTATCGTAGTCCAGGGCTCCGATGCCGGTGGTCACGGACTGGCTCAGAGAGCAAGTCTCATGACCTTGCTACCAGAGGTCGCCGATGCTTTGGCCAAAGATGATCTTCATACTCCCTTGATTGCCGCAGGTGGGATAATTGATGGAAGAGGTGCAGCTGCTGCCCTGTCCTTGGGCGCAAGTGGCGTCGCGCTCGGAACTCGGATCCTCGCCAGTCGAGAGGCGGTGATTGCCAAAGGCTACCAAGACGAAGTCCTGAGAGTAACGGACGGCGGCACAAGTACAGTCACCACCACGGTCTATGATGTCGTGAGAAACATAAAAGGTTGGCCAAAGTGCTACAATGGGCGAGGGGTGGCCAATCGAAGTTATATGGACGCCGTCCACGGCATGAGCGATGAAGAAAACCAGGAACTATACAAAAAAGCCATGGAGCAAGGTGACGCTGGATGGGGCCCTGACGGGAGAATGACGACTTATGCGGGCACAGGCATCGGCTTGGTGAATCAGGTCGATTCCATTGCGGATATAATTCAAAGTGTGCAGCAGCAAGCTGTGGACACCTTGCAAAGGTCTGCAGCGAGGTTTGCAAAGCCATAAACTATTTATTGTCCCTGCCATCCAATGGAGCAATTGTAGCAATGTATGCTAAACTACAATTTCACACCTTGATGTCCTTTTCCTGCTCAAAGTCTCATCTCGAGTGCCTCTCGTTGCCTCAATGCAATCAACTTCATGTTGACGCAGCGTCCAGTAATACGTCATGCGGGCCTCAGCACTTCGAGTGAGATGGCCCAAATGGCCTGAGCCGGGTTCAAATGAGACAAGGCCAGTATCATTTCTAGCCCTCACGCAGCTGCGGCGACAGGTCCCTCTCCACCAGGAATCAACTATTCGCCAGAGTGTAATCAGCAATCCATCCCAGCAGAATGTCCAATCAAGATAGGTTTCAGAATGTCAAACCGCCGATCGAACGCAGATGGACATACCATGCAAATATTATTTCCATTGAGGAGAATTTTCGGAAGCTTTGTTTGACTGCCAGAATAGTCACTGAAAAGGGACATCAGTCATCAAGGCTTAAATTATAACAAAGCTAGCACTCACAATTCAATTACGTCTTCGAGCACCATGTCTGAAACAAAAGTTTAGTCAGTCCAACTTCATTCACGTCGCTGGTCAGCAGAGGGTGTGGCGACAAACATACTGACGTAGTCGTCAAATCCGAGTAACGTTCCGGCGAATTCTGAAATTGATTAGCATGACGAAGCGGACCAGAGAACAGCCATGATATGTCGATGAGGTGGCTTGGGTGTCATGGGATCTCACCTTTGTCGCCTTTCATGATGACCCAGATCCTCGACCCCACACACTTGTCAATCAACTCTGTTGATCGTCAGCGACATCTTGGAATATTGAATGAGCCGGCAGTCGTACCTAAAGGTAGTAATTGTGATGCCATGTTGATATGGTGTAGAGTTTGCGGAAACAATAAAGAAGAATGGTCGCCGTGCCTTGTGTGCGTCGGGGTTGCGAGCTAACAAGAGAATGGAATAACACCGGATGTCCTCCAAATAAGTCCGGCCTGAGGAATAAATTGAATTCTGAGAGCAATAAGATTAAATTGGTATCACGATCGATGGAAGTTGGTGACAATGGGAAAAGAGATTGTCAAATTGTCAATATGCTCCAACGTATGATATTGCCAAGAAATATTGGGTCCTTCCCGCGTAGAATCTTGTAGTCACGTGGCACCACTCCCTCTCATACAAACTCCACGTCCCTCTCCATCTTTTCTTTCAATTTATATGTCTGAACATCGAAGACCTCGCTACATGCCCATGCTAATAGACTGCTTTATGTCCAACTCGATGTATCAATCTATTTCTTGTCAGCCAAATGTTGATTACAATCCAGCTAGGTTGCCACCATACTGTTTTTTGGTGAAATTTGTGCATATGCTCCTGGAATTCATTGGTGACTTCATGTTTGACTTCAACGGAAGCAATTCTCTCCATTTGCATCTTGAGCAAGAACGATGTGATGTAATCACAAGTGACTTCGACCTGTAGTTTGTCGGCAACGAGTGGTAGGGTTTCTTGCACGCTTGACTGACAGATGGTAGGATCGAGCCATTTCCAAGCGTGCCCTGAGGTCCGCAGACCATGAAATAATTGGGAAAATTGGGAGCTGACAAGCCAAGGTAGGCGTCAGGGAGATCTTTCCATGCATCTGCAATTTGGGTGGCATTCCTGCCCACAATCTCAAACGACGGCACGAACGACACATCGAAGCCGGTCGCACAGACCTGGATTTCCAGGTCAGCAAACACCTATCGGATCAGGGCACATTTAGTCTTACCAGGACATCTACCTCGTGCCTAGTTCCATCCGTGGTCACCACAGCTGTCTTATCAATCTCGGCAATCTCATCAAACACGGGCTTCACATTATCCTTGACAAGGGATTCAAGATACTGATCTCCCGGTGTCAGTCGTCTGCAGCCTGGAGGCCACTGGGGAATTAGTTTCGCTGCCAGCTCCTCATGACCAGGGCCAAGTCGGGCTTTCATCTGTTGAATCATCATTTGATGAACTTCCTTCTGCATGTCACTTCCATAGGAGAAGACGTCGGCCATCCAGTTGATTTCCGCTCCAATTTTTTTTGCGGAATTGAAGGTGATATTCAGGATCAGATTTAAACCTCGCCTTCTGCTCATCGGTGAAGGTGAACTGCTCATGTCCAGTATTCCCATCGGCCTTGTCGTCGCCTTGGAACTGGTCTGACGTCTTGCCCCCAATAGCTGGGGTGATCCAAGTCGGGGATCGCATGAAAATCTTCAATTGCTTGGCCACTAGACAGTGTCAAATTCACCTTCAATTTCTCTACCTTTTGCAAAACTGACATTGCTGGAGTTTGGGGACAATCTAGGTCATGGTTAGCAGAGAGTAAGTGGGGAACAAAATGGAAAGGATGTACCTGGATGGCACTTGAGCCAGTACCGATTAGTCCAATAGTCTTGTCCTGGAAATCAACCGAGGGATCCCACGCGGCGGAATGCAGCTTCGGACGGTTAAAGGTCTCAATGCCCTTGATTTTGGGCCATGTCCATTTGTTCAAGAAGCCAGTGGCATTGACCAAGACTTGACATGTGTCGATAATGACTTTGCCTGTGCTGAGGTCTTCGACTTCGACCTCCCATTGGCTTTTGTCCTCACACCTCACACCAGGTAGCTTTCTGGACCTTGTGTTGTAACTTGGTGAAGCGTTCGAGGCGGTTGCGTTCATAGAAGGCTTCGAGTATGAGCTTGGTGAGGAACTTCAGAATTATCAAGTGAACCACTTACATCGACAATAATCGTGGATTTCGGCTGAATCAGCGTAGTACTTGCTCCAGTCATGTTTGGGCTCCCAGGAGAAAGCTGAAAGCATTCTGTCAGCTCACTTATGCATGACAAATGAGAAATGAACTTACTGTATAAATGTGCTGGAATGTCACAAGCACAACCTGGATATCTATTCTCAAACCACCTATGTTGTGAATAGTGTGTCAGTCCTGTCTTTGCACATAGCACGACGGATCACATGCAAGAAAACTGTTAGGCCGTTCCTGCCTAAGTGCATTATAGAGTGCTAGGTAGGAGCGGCCTGAGGAAGGTGCTAGCCAGCAGAGCTGAGCTGCCTTTACATAGACTGCCTCTCTCATCCTTGAGGATAGAGAGCTTAGCTAGACATACAGACTTCCTTATAAAAACTTACGTGCCACCAACGTCCTTATTTTTCTCGTAGACGGTCAATTCAAATGACTCCAGACCCTTCAGCATCTTATATGCCAAGCACATGCCAGACACACCACTGCCGATACATATCACCTTAATAGGAGATGTGACTTGGGAATGGTAAAAACCCTCGATCTCGTACTCGGACGAGCCGTTGCTCAGCTTCTGTGAGGGCATGTTGTTTGCGGGGACAGTCTGGACGATAGTATGCTGCCATCACCACGACCAACACCATAGCGATCCATTTGTACTTTTGTATTATTCGAGGAACCATGACAATCCATCGGCTGACTGGCTTCTCGGGCGGTTCTACTGACTCAGGCGGCAAGGCAAGTCTCAGGGACGAGTCAGCGAATAAAAGTGGGGCTTCTGTCTGATATCCACATCCACAGTATCAAAAAGGGGTCATGGTTGAATCTTATTTGGTACCACAAATTGGCGGGACGTCTGATTTACAGATAGATCTTGAATAAAAGTGTATATGAATCCCCTGATTGCTTCTCGAGGATCATTGTCGATGGTAAGATCGGTCAAGGTCTGAACAAAAGCGAAGAACGAAGGGTAATTTCGGCGTGTTGCGTGGGTCTTGGGATTCGCAAGGCTCAAATGGACCACTTTGAGTTTGTTTTCAAAGAACCATGATCGTGCATATTGAATCATCTGGTTGACAGAGTCGATATAAAGCCCTACCTGGTCACAACGAACCCTCGCAGCTTCGATGCGGCTAAGCACATCTCTATTCCAGCCGGATTATCGTCTAGACCGACATGAACAAACGCTTCCGTGATATGGAATATTTGCGACCATGTTGGTCACACGTGTTGAAGATGAGGTAAGAGAACCAACTGACAGGGGCTTGTGACATCCACGACCACTGCCATTGGCAGGCCAGAGATGCGCAGCACTCTGTTGTTGAATGAACAAGCCAGAAATCCAGTTTCAAACAACCACAAGAATGAAAGAATTTCCCAGGTCAGTAACACTGCAGAGGGTAGGATTCGCATGGCATCCTGGTCAATATAAGTACCGACACACTTGAACTCCACCGGAAGCACGAACTAGCCCCCGACCACGAGTTACTAGGATTAGATGTTTGGATCTCTGCTTGTTGATCCCCAACCCTAGCTTCACGAAAATAAACTCCCCAGGTCCAGAACATGCCTCACCAGCACCATACGTGTGATCAGTCATACAGCGGGATTACATTCCGATTGATCTATTAGCCTACTCGTCTTTGAAACCGGCAGCTTCTATAAAACATCTATAAGCACAGCATGTGATCGGTAGCTGCTGGCGTGTCTTACCCGGTCGGTCGCTTCGGAACCATCCCCTCGAAGTCCTCCCCAGATCCAGTATGGAACAGCTTTTTTTGGCTACCATCCATCAAGCTTGTAAAGTCCAGAACCTCGAATCCTAGGTGAATGCGGAATGTGTCCGGGGTCCGGACCGGGGATGAAGGAGAGGATCGTGGTGCCAGTAGAATCCGGGGTCCCCAGCGTAGCATTTCAGTGTGGAGCTGACAAACGCATTTCCCAATCCGGGGTACAGAATCCAACCGAGCTCGCGCACCATAAATCAATCCCCGTGAATAATACACTGTAGCGCCAATATACGCTATCGTGATTGGTCATGAGACTAAATCAGGTATCGCGGAATGAAGAATGTCGTTCTAGACCGTGAGAGATACAAATCAATACCATTGGTATCCCGAAGATAAGACTCACTTGTCTCTCCTTAGCTGTAGAGCCAATCTTCTCTGAATATAGGTCTCTCTACATACTACAGTACTCAACGATAGCGAATTGTCAAAATGTCTGTTCACTCGAACGAAATGAAGCCCAATGTTAAGGAGCTTGACGTTGTGGAGATTCCCGTGGAGTTCGAGCAGGAGATAGAGTTGAAGAAACGTGAAGCTCGAGTGGTGCGCAAGATCGATCTTTGTCTGATGCCAACTCTGCTTATTTTGATGTTGCTGGGCTTTCTCGATCGAGGAAACATTGGGTTTGCTGCGTCTCAAGGCATGATCCAGGATATCGGATTGAAGGGAAACCAATTGAATGTAAGCTGCATCCTAAACACCAATAGTGCCAAACTTGTATTATCACAAAGGTTGACCATTGCCAAAGATCGCAGTTTCCATATTCTACGTATTCTACATTATCGCCGAGATTCCCTGTTCTCTGATGGCTAAGCGGCTGCAATACAACCGAGTGATTCCTGGCGTGAGCCTGTCATGGGGCTTGGTGTGCCTTGCAAATGGCTTCGTTAAGAACTTTGCCGGTCTGGCCGTATGCCGTCTCCTACTGGGTCTATTCGAGGGCTTTCTCTTTCCCTCTATGGTGTTGATGATGGCAAACTACTATCGACGAGAAGAGTTGGGATATCGTGTCGGATGGGTGTACAGTGAGTATCCCTTTGGACCTGATCAAAGAGCACAACTGATGTATCTAGTCTGCATCGCTGTCTCAAGTGCATTTGGAGGTCTGATTGCGTTTGCAATCCTCTACATGAACGGCGTTGCAAATTACCCTGGCTGGAGGTGGTGAGTTTCATTGTTCAAAACCCTAAGCACAAGACTTGAGCACCCGTTAGCTGATCTTGATACTATCTCCAAGGTTATACATCATCGAAGGCCTCTTCACCGTCGTTTTTGCCACTGCGTGTTTTTGGCTTATCCCAAAAGACTACAAGACTGCCTGGTTTTTCACTCCGGAGGAAAAGGAGATCATGCGTGCGCGAGACGATGAGACACGCGCGTACAGCGGTGGCAGTGGACACTATAAGAAGAAGGATGTTATGATGGCGGTCAAAGACATCAAGACTTGGCTCTATGCCTTTATCCAAATGTTTTGCATGACAATGGTTTACGGTATGTGGAAACCTGCCTTGTTTCACTTGATCTATGAAGAACGCTGACCAGAGCAAGGATTCTCTGTTTTCCTCCCCATCATCCTAAAGAACGGATTCAAGTACGATACAAAGCAGGCACAATACCTTGCTGTTCCAGGTAACAACGACTGCCAACTGTTTTCAGCCTCTGATGACTAACTCCAACCAGTGTTCCTATGGGGCGCCATCGTATTGACGACTGTGGGATATCTATCAGGACGACACCAATCCAAATTCCTTGCTGTAGCGCCACTGGCGCCTTTCGCAATGGCCGGATACGCGATTCTATTGGTACCCACGACGTCCATCTCTGTCGGTGTTCGCTACTTTGCGTGCTTTTTGATCACCACGGGCATTTTCTGTTGCGCGGCGGGCAACTTTGCATGGATGTCGTGCAACACGGCGCCGGAGGGCAAACGCGCCGCCACAATCGGTATCACTCTGACGTTGACGAACATCGGAGGCATTATTTCAGGTCAGATCTACATCCTAGATCAGGCACCACGGTTCCAGGCTGGTCAGGCATTTAGCTTGGCATGTGCGGTCCTTGCAGTGGGTGGCTGGTTCTGGTTGAGGGTGTTGTTTAACAGGAGAGAGGCTGAGAAAGCCAGGCTTCGAGAAGAGGGCCATGTCCCTGCGACTGACGGGTCGGTCTTTGAGATCTCGGACCGTGACACTGCGTATAGATACCAGATGTGAACGGAAACCTGGCAATAGTGGACGTCTGCTTCCAGAAAATTGATCCGGTCCAGGAAGATGATGATGTCGATCAGTATTAGGGGCGAAGAGGCTGATTGACTGCAAATTGATAACACCTAGGTAATCGATGTGATGGTAGTATGAATATAGCAGGTGAATGTGATATACTACATTTTTGTAAAAGGCTATGAGGGCAAGGACCCAAAGAACCATTACGTTTTCCGTTCCAATCCGTACAGTGACTCTGAAACGCCAGCGCTATTCCAAACAAAAGTCATTCGTCGTGAGCAGTCTGTTTCCAAACCAATGCCATCTCTCCATAATCATGGTTCATCGTTTGCGTTGCTGATATTGTATTTCCCTCGTGACCAATCCCACGGATCACCGCCTGGAACACAGAGGCCTAGCCTCCAGAAGTAGTCACGATGAGCAAAGAACAGCTCCCAGAGCTTATACCGCCGACCAATGCCCCATAAGGCTCGGACTTGGTCCTCATCGGGTTGCGTCTCCTCATCATGGTGCATGTCGTCTGTGTCAGTGCTGGTCTCGGCAATGCAGGCAGGATCTTCGTCGCCGTTGCAGTGGTGGATGTCGGAACGAGAGGGAGGCAGCGAGGGTTTGGAGATGTAAACCTCGCCTGCATGCATCCTGTACCCCCATTCTTCCAGAGGGAGTAGCGGCACTGGGTCATCAACATGCGTGACTCTCCTGTAGAGTGACTTGTCCTTGTCTGTGTCGTTCAAGTTGAAACGACTATCGATAAACTGATTCAGGGCAATATTGCCCAATCTTGGCTCGCCAAATGTTGTGACATGAGGAGTCCATCCACGAGCCTGGAACTCAAGAGCGGCCAGTGCGGCGACTGCACCGCCTAGAGAATGTCCGACAAGAACCAATTCATAACCAGGGTAGTCATTCAACGCCTTCTCCACATGAGGGACAATAGTGCATCTGGTGTTACGCCAGGAGGTCATGAAACCCGAGTGAACCGTGCAGTTCTTGCATTCGGGAACTGCATCTCTCTTGCGAGATTGTTTTAGCAGCTGTGGCAGGACATGTTCTTTGTCGTTGACCGGTTCAACTGAGGCGCAAACATCATCGTTGTCATGTTCTGATGGAAATGGGGCGTATTCAGCAGGGTTTGTAGACAAATCGGCGATGGTGTTTGCAATGGAATAGGTGCCACGGAATGCGACAATGACTCGTTTGGTGTAGGGCTCATGCGACAAGGCAATGTAGCCGCATGAATCAGAGAGTCGCGGTCCCGTGTTCCAAGTTGTGACCAACTCGAAACCCTCAAAGTCGCTACACCGACTCAGGCATTTGAAGGGTCTTTGTATGCCACTGGTGCCAACGCAGTATGAGATGTCAACAATTCTGGCGAGTTCTTCCAATTCCTCAAAGGTCTGTCGGGAGATTGTGTTGTCGGTGTCTTGGATGGAGGCGGGGAGGGCTGCTGCGACAACTAGCGATGCCCACAACCCCAGGATAGCATATTGCGCTTTCATCGAGGTTCGATCTCAGAGGAGAAATGAGGTTAGTGTCGTCTCGGTAACATGAGGAGGTGACTTTAAGGATCAATGGTGGGATGGTGAGGGAGGGAGTGAACGAAGAGGTTTTGACTGCGAAGTCACAAGACGGCAAAAAGCGGCACGAGGGTCTTGGGAGTCACGTGGTAACCTACGTCATTTCTGGGGTTGACAATCACATGACATTGAAATGTGGTAGAAGGTATAACCAAACCCCATGAGCCTGAGACTCTCAGGAAGAAATCATCTGGGAATGCTGTTTAACCATCAGCATCCATCAATCTATAGCTGAGCTCCTCCTTCAGCCTCATCCCCAGAGTCATCATCATTTTCATCATCAAAAGTCGCAAAATCGTCATCAGCAACGCCGTCAGCAACCTCTTCGCCGTCGTCACCGTCGCTTGAAACATCTTCGTCATCACTATCCTCCTCACTGGATTGGTCCTCGGCCTGGTCTCCTTCGTCTAAGGTCGTTGACTTTCTCTTGCCAGGCATTTCACCTAGTCTTCCTTCGCGACCCTCCACGACCTCAGCAGGGGCATCGGCGGTCTCTGTGGCGCCAGCGCCCTCTTTTTTCGGAGGCGGTGTGAACCATGGAAGTTTTCCACGTAGAAAGTCGTTGAGAACCATCTTAGCCACGCCGTCGACATCAGGTTCACCGCCCTTCAACAACCGACCACCCTTTCGTGCAAGAATGCTCAAAAATTCAATAGCGTCGTTATCGTAGTCGGACAACTTGATATCGTAGGTCCTTTCAATATGCTTGCTCTGAGTCCGTCGGAGAACTGCTTCCACATATTGGGCAGGATGTTCAACATTTTCAACACGAACTACGCCTCGGAGTAGAATATCCTCTTCACTGTCGGCTTGACTTGGAGGAACCACACCAGGGCAATCGATGAGGTAAATTCTCTTCATCAACGTGATATACTGCCACACTTTGGTTTCACCAGGTATGGGAGCAACCGTACAAACTCGTTTCTTTCGCAGAGTGTTTATGATGGATGACTTTCCAGTATTGGGATACCCAATGAATCCCACTGAGATTTGTTTTCTTGAAGCATGAAGCGTGGAGAACTGTCGTAAAACTGTGATCAACGAACCCTTACCGAAAGAGTTCGTCATTGAAGCATGAAATGCGAGAGTCGGGTAATCTTTCGAAAGAAGTCGAACCCATTGAGCCTGAAAATGGAAACCGAGTCAGTATGTGTGAACCATTACTAAGAGACGTGCTATCGTCAAAAGCCAACAAGGCAAAGCAAACCTCAACTCACAACGAGACACGCCATGCATCCTGTTGACAAAACCTCCAAGACGGATGTTATGTCGGGAACCAAGAACTGCCGAAACAGAGACTGGCGGATGCGGCTTAATTTACCAAAGCTGTAACAGATGACTTTCATGGAGAGTTTGCAAAGGATTGCGGAAAGGTATCTTGACTTAGCGATGGAAGAAATGGGCAAGAAAAAAACTGGCTGCAAAGCGATAGACAAAACACACTTACCGCAATGGTAGTCGGGACCAGGTCACATTTGTTCAAGACGAAAATCAAATGCTTATGCGGCGCTTCCTCACGAATGTACTTCTCGACACTTCGACATCTTGTTCCCTCGGGATCTCGAGCATCAAGAACATGGATGACGACATCTGACGAGTCAATCACCTTGTACAGCTCGTTCCAAATTCGTTTGCTCTGACCCTTAGAGAAAATTGGTTCGCGTGCCGTCGTCAAGTTCCCATCGTCGGTATCCTGTGTGGTTTCAGCTGCAGCAGCTTGACCGCTGAGCAGCTTGTTTTCCTCAAGTCTTTCGAGATAGTTCTCGTGCATCTTGACCGACTCGTCTGCCAGGTCATTGACCGAGCTAGAACTCAACTTAACACGCTTCCGCTGCGACTTGGGACCGAATGTGTCAGAAAAAGGTGCTGATTCAACAGCGATCTTGGCTTGATGCTGCTTAACCCCATTCTTGGTGTTCTCCGTATCCCGTATCAGACTCATAGGCAGTTTGTTCGTTTTTAACAGGACTTGGTAAGGATCGGACGACCGTTCCGCCACCGCTTGTCGGAACGAGTCTAATGCATCTTGAGAAATGACTCTGGTGTTTCCGAACCATTTTCGATTGGGCTCGACTCGTGCTTTGGGTAGTTCTCGAGATTGGTATGAGGCGGCCTGTGTGATTTTCCCTGACGCATTTCTTTGGGCCTTTCCATCCTTGAACATGTTCAGGGTCTTGAGTTTTTTGGCATTTCTGTATTCACAAATGTTAGCTGAGGGACTCATCGCCTTCGTCGAGAGACAACATGCCTGTAAAAGTTTTCGCCTTTGACCTTGACATTAGCCATGCCATCGTTAGCAACGCCCTGCCGCTCACGGCGGTTGGCTTCCTTCTTGCGAGCGCCCATTTGTAATTATTAGGGCTGGTACGATTATTTCATAAAATAAATGGACCAAGGACGCTCTCAAAAGTCCAGGGTCGTTGGGATGGTTGATTAGAAGGACTTGTACAAATTCTCGAACGAGATGCCCGCAGAAAATAAATCTGGCCAAGAGTTCTCCAACTTGTCTTAATTGGGTAAAGCGCATTTTGCTGGCCCCGGCCGCGATTTTTCGAGCAATGCAGCAATTGATTTAGGACCTCACATCTGTTTCCCTTTCACACTTCAAGAATTGGTTCTCTAATCCCGACGTCTCCATCACTTGTAGCGAGAGTTTGATTACCTCTCCGGGGCATGAGCCCACTTCTCATCATGGAGAGTCTTCAAAGCTCGGTTTGTCGTACCTGTCGACTACGACTGCAGAGCTCGAGTGCCGCAGCTCGACTCTTCTCTACCACATCGTCAAGATCATACATTCCTCCTGAATCTCCTCACTATGTCGACATCCCCGAACCGTATCAGTCGATCACTGAACGACGTCCTCACCTCAAGGGTATTCTACCAGTGCCTCGGGAAATTTTCCCCCGAAACCGCCCTGACAAACCAGGACGACAGTACCTCGCCAACGTGACACGAGACCCACTGGAGAAGAACAAAATTCCACTCAATAAACAAACCGAAGGCCAGAAGTACAAGCTGCGCATGGCGGAACTCCGCAAGTCTCATCTTCGCGAAGGCTTGACCCAGCTGTACCAGCGCAAGAAATCGTCCGAGGGCAAGATCCTACGGCGTGTCATCTACAAACAAGCCGAACATGCGCGACTGATAGCTCAACCTGAACGGGAGGACGAACGATTGACAAAAGCGTCTTTGCCCAGTGCCATGCGTCCACAGAAGCTACATCAGCTCTCCGAAGAGGAAGAAGCAGCGATTTTCAGGGCTCGAAAGGAACGTCACGAAGCGCTTCTCCAGGCCAAGGTGGACGATCGCAAAAATCGACTGCACACTCTGTATATGAATGCTAGAAAATTCATCACCACCCAAAAGCAGTTGAACACAGCTTTGGACGAAGCATTCAGTACTGGCAGCATGCCGATCTGGGAACTGGGCATGCCCTCGGGGCTGGATGATCTGTTGCGCGCTGGCGACAATTCTGCTCTTCAGCCTGATTCTATGGACGCCATTGCTGGACCGGATCAGCGCAGCCTCTATGACAAGCGCAGGCGTGAGAAGTTCGACCTCGATCAAACTCGTATGCGCAGAATCGCAGAAAAATTGAGCGGTGGAAAGATGTAATTTCTGCGTTGGGCCAAATGATGCGGGATTAGGAGAGGTGGCCTTCAAAGGAGAGCCAACTGGGTTTTACATCGTAGTAGGGTGATCGACAACAAGATCAAGATAGGTGCGTGTGCATGTGCTCACAGGTGATACTTCACATGTAAAATTATACGGCTGGTGGCCAATATGCTAGACAAACGTTGAATTATTAAAACAGAGGACTTGGAATCTTTGCATTCAGTATTGATCCGACTATATATGACAAAGTAAATGGATGCTTGCGGGCCAGATGTGAATGCAACGACATACTCATGCTAAGCCACGGACACCTAGACCTACGCTTCTGGTCTCGAACAATTCGATCAGACCAGCACCGAGGCATTCTTCAAGAGCCCAATCAAAGTTGAGGCCATACAAGTCCTTCCATTTCTTGGTTTTAGATGGCATTATCCCAGAAAATTCTCCTCTGAGTTGTTTGGCGGCGGAGGGGCGGCTGTCCGTGTCAACTGCACCATCCCAGCGTTCTCGAAGGAGATAGAGTGGTGCTTCGCGATACTTTGATTTTCCAAGAAGCTCCAGAAGATGTGACCTCCCTGCACTCAAGAGTCTTAGGTATGGTCCGATATTGGGGACAGAAAGTGCCAGTTGGCCGGTTTGCCCATGGGTGGATGCATGGTTCAGCCGTAATGCGCCACCGGTACCACCCAAGTTCTCGAAAGCAGCGTCACCACCGACAGCACCGCTGGATCCCGAAGCAGCACGTGAAATAGTCGGCATGGAGACAAGGCTGGAGCCAGCCAGTGATAGGTTGCGAGAGCCGGATAAAGAAGAAGAGACAAGAAATCCTGTGCGAGTTAAGGAGCTTACATGGGTAGACGGTAGCTCGTGGGCGGGAAATGAGGTGGAACGGGGGTAACGGCGCAGAAGATTGCAGAAGTCGTTCAGGATCTCGGGTGAGATTCGACTTCTCTGCAGCAAAGCCTCATAATCTTGGACGGTAATCAAGGCTTCGCTGATGCCACTGATATCATTTCCCCGGCCGACAACTTTGATTTTGCGAAGCTTACCGGAAGACTGCAGGGTGGCGATTTCTCGCTCTGTCTTTGACGAGGCGGCGAGAAGAGCGTGGACATGTGCTAGAGCGACAATAGGGGGCATGTTTTTCTGAAAATTGAGGACTTCAGATATGCGGACACTGTTCATCCCGGCACGGTCAGGCAGCGGGGCGAACATTGATTGCTGGGAATGTCTCATGGCGGCGAGGACAGTTTTGGCATCGTCGACCCGCAGAACCGACAAAACCTTTCCAGTCTGGTCCAGGACATGATCGTCCTCGTCATCAATCTGGTCGTCGAGGTCATTCTCGAGAACTTCACCTAGAGACTTTGTTCTCTGAATCGATGACTTTGTGCGTGGAATATTCGAGAAGGGTGCCGAGGAGTGACGCCGGGAGCCGGTGACGGAAGCGGATGCCGGCTTTTGGACTCTTGATGAGTGGGCAGCGGTGAGATAGAGTGGCATGGCCTAGTGACAAAGGAGAATTGTAACAGAGGACGGAAATGGTTGGTTGCACATGGCTGGGGAATAGACTCGAGATGCGGCTGGATGGCAGGGGTCAGAACGGAAAGATTGTGGCGTGAGGCGTGCATATAAGTTGGTCAGAGAGACGCCCCGCACACATGCATTTGTAGGGACACGATATGTCGGAGTAGTGATACCGACAAGACGAGTTCGGCCAGGACTAAGTAGTTCGGGTGTTGGTGAACAGACGGCACCGCATGAATGTGGTTGGATGGTCAATGTTGTTGGAAAAGAGTTTTGCAGGATGATAGTCACGTGGGATGGTGGGTTGGAGAGGGGGAAGGCATGAGGGTTGGAAGTGGAGATGGTGGAAGCAAGTGCGGCAGCGACCACCCATTTTCTTGTTCTTGGAAGTTGGGGCTTGGGCAGGGACTGTGTCACTGTGACACCTTCCTCGGGACCAGAACCTTCTCAAAATCCATCGGAGGGATTTCCCGGCCAGTCGCCAACATAATTGAACCAAGAGCAACCCTCCCGAACAATTCTTGAATAGAGTGGAATCTAGGCACTTGCACTAAGTAGACTAATATGCGTGCTTTATCCTCGTATGCGTATGCGTATGTGTCCCTGGGATTTTCTGAAGTGGGAAAAGTTGGCCTTGACAGCCCGAAACCAAGATCTACATACCTAGGTATGTATGATGAGATCGAGGATCCAAAGAATAGGTGTACTCTCAACATGCCCATAATTGAACACGGATATTCGCTTCCGCCCAGCCCCGACAGGTGGCTGTTGGGACTCGAAGTGACATTGACGTTGTGCCTAGGTGTGTCCATGTGTATGTGGACGGATGTACCTGCCCAGTACTCCAGACTGGCCACGGGGGCTGATCGGCCGCATCTATGCCTAAAGGGGTGTTAGGGCATCCCCACTGGGCGTTCCCTTTCAAGCGCTCCTCACCTCCTCCGGCGCCTAAACAAGGTCTACGGAGTAGACATGCACCAACGGGCAGTCTACCCGGGCCACATCCGGGCCAAAATCAACCCAAGGACACTCACTTACCTTACTTTTGCCCCTCCTTTACCGTCCGTCCATTTGGTGCCTGTTCCTGGTCTTATCTCCACCTTCTGCGTCATTTCTCTTTAACTTGTACCCAATGTTTTTTCCCATTTCCTCCAATTTGTCGCGTTCCTAGGTACAGTATTTTCTGGAAACTTGTACACATGGAACTTCCACTGTCACCAACAACATTTCGTACCTTCCTGACTTTTCCCTTCCCATGCTACTTGCTCCGTATTCTCCTTCCTTGTGTAACACATGCTTTGCCACGCGTTGCCCTCATCTGCATCCTCTACACGCTTGCCTCTATTCAGGCTTGCCGGGACAAATTAATCGCTGCACCTGTAAGCCTGGAATGATATTTGCCCGTTGCTGCGTGTCCAGTAGGTATCTGATGTTCGTGCTCGTGCTCATGCTTTGCTCCAGCTCAGCTCAACAAGTATGTGATTGTGTTTCATCTATGACATGACGAAACCTCATCTGGCCTGGCCTTCCCTTCCTTCACCTTCCATATTCTTGTCATTGATCCCAGTCTCACATTGTCCTGATCTTCACCTCAACACCCATGCACCCACACACACACACACACACTCCTTTGCCTGCATTCTTTCATGTCTTCTCTTCTCTTGATTAAAATCCCCATGGCTTTCCTGTGAGCCCTCATCTCTAACCTTTTCTACCTCACCTCTTTGCTGCTATTACATCACGTTTGCTTCGCAGCACTTTTCATTCGAATCTTTATTCCCTACTGCCCAACCAATCTATCCTGCGAACCTCTACCTCAACATCCCTCTCGCTCTCTTGCCCTACAACCCCCGCGCTCATTGTATCCTGTATCCTATCATATTACAGACATTGGCTATCATCATTGTGACGGGCTGTCAGCAGCCCTCCTGTGCTGCCCACAATGACAGTCTTCATAGCAACTCTGTTCCTTCCCTACACTGTCGTCTTCGACCTCTCATCCCCGCGACCTGCCTCACCAAATATTCAACGACCTCAGTCGACAAACTCAGCCTCGTCAAAGACGAAGTCCCCTGACACTCCAGCCGTGAGCCTGTTCACGCCATCAGCTGCTCTCACACAGAGTCCCGGCCCATTGGTCCAGACTCCTGGTGCGACAACCGACCATGAGAAGATCTTTCTTTCTCAGTACAGCCGTCCCATGCACTTGAGGCTTCCAAGCCATCTCAAGCAAGACATTACGCAGGATGAACAATCCCCACCCGCACCCACTCTACCCCCGCGGTCAATCTCTCAGGCTGATCTGCACTCCCCAGGCTGGGGAAAGTCCGTCACTTGGAATCAGCCTCCCTCCAGAGCCAAGTCTCCCCCTCCCAGCTCCATCTTGAAACATGCTGCCATCAACAACAAAGAAAAAGCTGCTGCTATGCGAAACAACATCCTTGCAACAAACATTGGTCAGCGCCAGCGCAAAAAGACCATCAGTCATGAGCGCCGCTTCTCAGAATACAACTACTCGGTGGAAAAAGCACAGCTCGGCAATGGTGGGCTCTTCATGGCAATCAATGCCGCCGCCGAGGCGGATTTACTTGAAGACAAGACCTGGGTTGGCACTCTGGGTTGCCCTACAGATGCTCTCGACAACGGTCTCAAAGAGAGTATCGCTGAGAAACTCGAGAGTGCTTACGATGCCTTGGCCGTCTACGCTGCAGATAGCGACATCAATGGCCACTATGAACACTACTGCAAGACCATTCTGTGGCCCGTCTTCCACTACCAGATCCCAGATCACCCCAAATCCAAGGCCTACCAGGACCACTCCTGGATCTTCTATGTCAAGGTCAACGAAGCATTTGCCGATCGTATTGCCAAGAACTACAAAAAGGGAGACATCATCTGGGTTCATGACTATCACCTACTCCTCGTCCCCGGCTTGCTTCGAAAGAGACTGCCAGATGCACAGATCGGCTTCTTCCTCCACACAGCATTCCCATCATCCGAGATTTTCAGATGTCTCTCCGTCCGATCCGAGCTCTTGGAGGGTGTCCTGGGCTCCAGCATGATCGCTCTTCAAAATGAGGAATACTGCCACCATTTCCTGCAGACGTGTAGCCGTCTTCTCAATGTCGAAGCGACACGCCATGGTGTTTTGCTCGAGGACGGACGGTTTGTACATGTCCAAACCTGTCCCATTGGAGTCGATCCCAAATCTCTCGAAGAACAGCGACGCCTTCCAGAGGTGGCGGAATGGATTAGGACTATTTCGGAAAAGTACCAAGGCAAACGCATCATCGTCGGCCGGGACAAACTCGACAATATTCGCGGAGTTCGTCAAAAAATGCTTTCCTACGAACTGTTTCTTAACAGGAACCCTCAATACGAAGATCAAGTCGTTCTCATTCAGATTGCGACCTCTTCCACTGAGGACCCCGAATTGAGTGCCGCAGTCGCCGACATTGTCACTCGCATCAACTCTTCTCACTCCACCCTTGCCCATCAGCCCGTTGTCTTTCTCAAACAAGACATCGATCCTGCTCAATACACGGCTCTCCTGACCATCGCAGATTGCTTGTTGATCACCAGTCTACGTGAAGGAATGAACTTGACCAGCCATGAATTTGTCTTTTCTCAGAATCCAAAATTTGCAGACACCAAGTGCGGACCGCTCATTCTTAGCGAGTTTACCGGTTCAGCGACAGTGTTTGGGAAGTCGGCTCTTCTGGTCAATCCTTGGCACTATACCCAGTGTGCCGACACCATTAAGATGGCCCTCGACATGTCCGATGAGGAAAGAGAGCGACGTTGGAAGTTGATGTATAAGATTGTCACCGAAAACAATGCCGTCAAGTGGTATGAGACCTTTATGGAGGCCCTCGATCACGCTTGGAGAGAGCAGTCGATCCGCAACTCCACATCCGTCCCACGCCTGTCCATCGCCGGAACCACTGCCAAATATCAGAAGGCCAATCGACGTCTGATCATCCTCGACTACGAAGGAACTCTAGCTTCATGGGGAGCCCCTACAGACATTGTGCTTACTACGCCCAAGCGCTCCATTGACGTCCTTAACGATCTCACAGACGATCCCAAGAACATTGTCTATGTCATGAGCGCCAGAACACCAGAGGAAATGGAACGCCTCTTCAGTCCCGTGTCCGATATTGGCATGATTGCAGAGAATGGTGCTTTCTTGCGTGAACCGAGGACCGATGAGTGGATCGAATTAGCCGATCTCGACCATGCAGAGACTTGGATTGGCGCAGTTTACAAAATCCTTCAATACTATGTTGAGCGGATCGAAGGCAGCAGAATTGAGTTGCGTCATTCATCCCTCGTCTTTGATTACAGCGACGCCGAGGATCTTTCAGGGGCGTTCAAACAGGCTGGAGAGTGTGCCAATCATATCAATGATGCCTGTCGTGGACAGAACGTCAGTGCTGTTCCTGTCGAGGATGGACTACTCATTTCCGAAATGGACGTTAACAAGGGCAATGCTGCTGCTGCCATCATCGAAAACCTGGAATCCTCCGTCGCCTCGGAAGGATTGACCTTTCCGGACTTTCTTCTTGTCATCGGTGACTCTCGAGAAGATGAGTATGTCTTTAACTGGGCACATAAGCTTGAAAAGGCCGGAAAGATCAAGGAGGTGGTGACGGTGACACTGGGAGCTAGAAGCACAGAAGCATCTGCTACGTTGACCCAAGGTGTGACAGGTAAGTGTAACACAGCTTGTATGATTGCACTTGAGACTAATTGATCGCAGGCGTCCTCACCATCTTGGAGAAGCTTGTGCGAGCCAAAGCCGAGGGCCAACCACCGAGCAATGGAGCGCCGAAGTGATGCTGGACGATGTTGGACGGGGCTATGGACAGGGGAATGCCTGACATGGAGTATCAAGTGCTGGATGACGAATTTACGATTGTGCTCTTCCACAATGACCGATGAATTTCGGAGTTTCATTTTCTTTTACTTTTCTTATCCAGCGATGAGGCAACGCAAGGCAATAGATTTGCACGGTACGATACCATTGCATATTCAATTAGCGATGAACAGCATTGATGGGCATAGACATGGGTGTGAGCATGAGCGTCGTGGGCTGTTCCCACTTTTATTCGTTCTTACATTTCACAATGAGCACAAAGCAGAGTACATTAGAATTCGAATTAGCAGCACATTCTACGAGGATAGAGTTGGAGCTTGTTGCTTGTATCGATTTCCAAATGTAAGTACTAGGTACCTAGACTTACGTTCCATTACCAGACTTACATGGTATACCTATTTGAGAGAACTCATCAGAGAGGAGAAGTAAGTAGTAAGTCCTGCCACGCTTGCCACATTGCTTACATAAACTGAGCAGCATAACAAGATTGATTTCTGGGATCCGGGGGGAATGACGTGAGAAGGCTTATATCAAAGAACTTTAAGTTTTGTCTTGGGGACAACAGTGATGAAGTACTAGGTAGTGTACTATGAATACAATAATAGCATAACCGTCTCACACATACACCAAACAGGACTTGGACCGTCTGCATTTCAGATTCCTCTAGTAGTAACCCTGAGGCGAGAAAACGATCGATCTTTCAGGTCTAGACGGTCACCGATAAAGGGTTCTCTCGCTGAAAGAACCAAAGCTACTGCTCATCGAGCCAGAAGTCGATAATGGGCTCGCCTCGACTCGGGGATTCCGCATCATTGTAGCCGTAGTCTGGGGATGGAGATTTGATGCACTAGTGGTAGAAGACGAAGATGAAGAGCTCGGTGATGATCTTAATGAATCTCCAGCTGTTGTCGATCTTGACCATGGAGGAGATAGCCAAGAACAACTGGAACTCGAAGAATAGGTCCAAGGTGATGATGATGTTGTTTCGGAGTTGACGGACCGGTCGGATTTACGGGCAAGATAGAATGATGACATCTTGTCTGGAAGAAATGCTGATTTGGGTCGATATGAAGGCGAGTGATTGAATTGTGATTTTGGTTATGCCTGTGCTGAAACACTGCATTTCAAGGTGGTGGCATTCGAGTACTTATAAAGCTCACCTCTTTACTCGACTGCTGCACCTCCGATCCTATAAATTTCAGCTCGAGGCAGTGCGAATGCAATGCAAGTGAAAGTGCAGGCCAGGATAAACATGAATAAGTACCTATGGCTATACATTCATCGACGTTAGTAGTACACGGTGCTTACCTACCTGACTACAGGCTGCCAGCCCTACCACAGCCTCTAGGTAAGGACACGGTACACAATGTAATACACGACTGGCATTGGAGCACAAATGATGCAAGCCCGAGCTGATGGGAGGCCCCAGTGCCAGTCAGATGGGTTTGTGTCCCCTTGTATGGATTTATGGTCGTACTCGACTGGATCGGTTAGTTGTCATCCCTCTGTGGCGCAATTGCTGACATGGCGCAGGGCCGTTGCTGAACACTACAGTGATCCACCACAGCCAACCACGTATCAGACATGGATCATTGATCATTCCACTGCAGATAAGATCTGCAACAGGGCTTAGTTCAATCCCCACGCTAAACTCGATATAACGATAAATCGTGGGACCTGAGTAGACGTCGTATGCGTACCTGGCCCGGAAGTGTTCCTCGTGTCCAAGAGCGTAAGTAGAGCCACACTTTGGTGCATGAGGACACCGCCTGAAAGTGTAGGCCCACCTTGTGCCATTCTCGTTGTGTGCGCATGGGTTGAGTTCGAGTGATGCGGTGTTTATTATGCACAAAAGCTCTTTTAACAGGCGCTTTCTCATTAAATGGGTTATGAATTTGATAGAATGTGTACGACGGGGAATTGCTGAGTTGATATTGAAAAATTTGAGCTACTAAGTTGGCAAGAGCGATGGGGGACTGGGTGCTCTTTCCTCGAGACCATGCTCCTTCATTCCTTGGGACAAGTCGACAGGTCTGTGTCAGGTGACGTTCAGATGATTACTATTAAGTAGTTAGTACCTTAGTTACTAGGTACTTAACTAGTAGTACTTAGGTAGTACCTTACTAGTACCCAGTCTTGATACAACACTGTCACGAGGTAGAGCTCAAAGTCCATATCAAGTGATATGCTCCCTGGGTTGGAACTAGGCTATAATCGATTTTGAGTCGAGTCAACGTCTATACGCTGGACATACCTACTTAGATTCATGTACTCGAGTTAGGGAAAAGTAAGTACCTACTAGTAGATCTCGAGAGGCAGATGCATTGTCGTTCTTACCACACTCTGATGCCTAATAACTGCCTAGATGTGCACAATCCTCTACGCAGGACTACCTGGAAGATCATTCCCATGACTCTTTGCCTACACGACCAAAATGCTTGCGCTTGAACTAGACCTCTTCAAGTGGGTCAACAAACTCGATGCCTGAGAACCCAAAGCTCTCCTCCGTTCCATATCGAGAAGCAGATTTAGATCGGCCAACAACAAAGATGGTGTTTGGGATCAATTCCCTCTCCGGAATTGCATTCGGGAACACTCCCTGAACCGAATCGAACGCGATGTCAGCTGCGACTAGATCGCCATTGATTGCCTCGAAAATCGTATCGTTAGCATGTCGAGCATGATCGTCTGAGGTTGGTGTGGATAAGGGAGGTCTCCCCGAAGCATGGCAATCACCAGTCTACCGTCAGGGCGATGTTGGCAGGTTGCGGAGGAGGGTCAAGGTGATCTAAGTAGTGGGGTGGCTGCAGGCACAACTGCAGGGGAGAGAAGCGGAGGAGATGATGGTTGGATGTGGAATCGTCCATATCTCGAGCAAGACACGCCACTCCCGCTGCAAGGGCCTCAATGGAGAAGTGTCTCAGAATCCTGCTCACTTTGCCATGTGGAAGCTCGAGGGAGAGAATTGAATGGGTGAGTATGAGTATAGAGATGTCTGAGAGGGATGTCGTAGAGGATTGCCGACCGAGTGAACGCAGGCAGGAGGGGACGGGCGACAATGATGGAAGCTGCGATGATGGGATGCCGTGCATGTGGTGCATGAGATGCAAGACATGGCAGGTGCATCACCCCTTCAGTCTGCACCTTCCTAACATGTCTAGGAGTAGAAACCAGGTCGCTGCACGTGATGGCTGACAGCGAGTCTACCAGAATGAGATCTTGTGGTCGTGTATCTTGTATATTTAGATATTGTATAGAATATCTCTCTTCACGATCTACGACCGCGAGTCATAATACTACATGTATTATCAGATACATCCACCAGGCCATGGAGTGTCCCGAGACCCGGCCGCCCAATTATCATTCCTGCCATCGCTATACATGATTTTAAAATCACTCAGCTCTAGACCTTCCTGAGGCTGATCCAAGGTCAGGATGTTGATGGTGAACAAGGGATATTTGACACCCTGGAACTCGAATTCGCCCTCGGACCAACAGTGAATTCCACATGTACCGCAAAAGTATTTGTTGATGTTGTTGTTGCTGTTGGACTTCATCTTGTAATTCTGTACTTGAGCCTTATTCTCGGGCGAGATCAATGTGAAATCGTCTGCTGTGATTCGGATAGTCGTGTAGCCTTGTTTGAGACACATGGTGCAATTACATCGTTGAGCGACTGGGGGTTTGCTGAGTGCGAGGGCTGCTGCATATCGGATTTTTCCGCAGTGGCATGACCCTTTGAAGGTTTGCTTTGTTGCTTCAGGCTCCGCCATTGGATTGAACCTGACAAGAGATGATTGTTTTCTGTTGCTTGGTTCCAGATATTGACGACGATTGAATTTATTTGTGTGAAAATACCCTGCCCTTATAGAGGGAGCCCAACGTAGTACTTAGTTTCGTGGTCCCCCAAACTTTGGTTCCCTCACCGTTATATCGTTATATCGACTCACTGTGGGGGGCGGGGTCTTGTGTCAGGCAGGAAGAGGAGAAGCTTTAGGCACCAGCGGCGGCATAGACGGCATGGCGCACGCTGTGGAAAACGTGAGAACCCCGACGAATCCCTCTTAGTTTGGCTTCGACCGTCGTCTCTCATCAGACATACGAAATCCATTGTTGCGTCCACATCAGGCCCCCACTCCCACCTCCCTGGCCGAATTCACCAGCCGTCATGCGCGTGCCCCTGATTTTCCCTCCAGCGCCATCTCTGTCGGGTGTACAGTACCGCAATAAGACCCTTCGATCCTCGAGAAAGAATGTAATGTCCACCCATTTAGGCTCGAGTGAGGCCGGAACAATGCCTGCATTCACCACGGCATGCTCTGAAATGCTCGACAGTTTTTCCGCAATGTTGTAGACCCCTAGTGTGTCCCATAGCCGTTTCTGCATCTCTGATTTATCCAGGAGATTGTTGACCTGGTGCCGCACTTTGGTAGAGCGGCAATCTGAGGTTCCGAGATATATGGGCGGGCCAATTCCCGAGTCATGAGAGGTGGAATGTTCGTCGTAGGCAAAGAATGACGACGCATTGAAGACTGCCTCGGCGAGAACCAGTAAACGGGCAAAATGCGCGTTGAGGGCTTCCTTGCGCTCGGCATACGTGCGACACGATCGGTGACATTGGCATGTCTCTGGCGGGTCACACAGCGGGATGATCGCTGCCCCCGTGTCTGGTTCGTGCAACGCCATTTGAGTCAGCAACAGGAGATAGGTAGCTTCTCGATATATCTTGAGAAGGTAGGCGGCATGCTTGGCTTGAGAGTCTCGTGCCTCGATCTCGATCTTGGTGAATTCAGCATATGCCGTCGACCATCGTAATAGACGTGAGATGTGGGCTTGATGTCGTTGGAATCCGTCCGACAACAACCCCTGTTCCATCAACCCCCATGTGTGCCAGATCCACTTGGCTTCGGTGAATAGCACGTCGCGAGCCTGTGCAAGGGAGGAGAATGCTCGCGGGATCGGATACGGTTCTGGGTCGACCACATCGTTCGTAATAGGGGATTTAGGTGATGGCAAGTATGTAGGTTCGTCCGATCCTCGTATTACAGAAGGTTCGACATCTTCTGGGTTGCAGATGATCTTGAACGGCCCATTGAACAGGCGGACGGATTCGAGTTCAAATTTGAGAAAAAATCTTCGGAGACTGTCGTAGCTGATTTCAATGGCTCGGTATTGGGTTTCTGAGAAAGTAGTTCTTAAATTTTGATTGACCAGGCCCCTGATAGCCTCTGTCATATTCTGCAACGCTTCCCGGTAATTTCCCTGGAACGTGTTGAAGATGCTAAAGAGCTTCTTGGAGAGCATGTTGATCTCTACCGCCATAGGGGCGTTTGAAGCTAGGTCGTCGTTTAGCCTCTTGACAGCCTTTTGATACATTCGCTTAGATATTTCGCAAAACTCAAAGGCTTCTCGAGAAATGCCTAATTCGAATCGTCGATGAGCCGCACCGACCGCGGCAGCAGCGGCTAGGACTGTTGGATGTTGGAAACACGCTCGCACAGCATAGGACCTCCATATGGAGCTGTCGAAATAAGATGCGAATTCTGGGCCGGTTCGAGTGCGAAAGAAGTCAAAGCAGTAGAAGTCGACATCGTCATTGAAATGGACGGACGATGGAGCACGCCACAGCGTCTCCAAGTCTTTGCCGCTTAGAAACTGGCTCTTCGGGCGGCTGAGTAGGACGACCTTGTCGTTGGATTTGCTATTAGATGGCGTTTCAAGATCGCGAGTGCCTGAAACTGAGGTTTCGGGTGGAGTAAAGTTGGGATATCCGTCGCATTTCCTGCCTGTACTCGTACATCGTCGACAGAAGGGTTTGACCTCGTCGCACTTTTTTCTTCGAATTCTGAGGAGAGATTAGCACGAGGCTGCGGGGGAAAAGGAGAGGACTTGCATACTTGCAGGTCAAACAACCAGACCGCACCTTGTTGTGTGCTTTGCGAGTTCTCTTATTGGGGTTCTCGGCGACTTTGGCCTCTTCTTTGGGCTGTTTGGCGGCCATGGTGTCGTCTATGTCGGACGACGGAGGAAGTTTGATCTCATCATTGATTTCTCAAAGACGCGATCTGAGAAAAATAAAAACATCTCCAGTATGTGCCGTCTAGCCTAAGAAGCTAACACAACCCTGTTCATCGGCAGTAGGTATTTCCTGCATGATCATCGTCGAGGTGGTAGAACAGGCATTCATGCGTCATGGTTGAGTGTGATTGGTTCGAGCGTATAGCAAAAGAATTGCAAATCTTTGGACTGGAACGAGATGACATAATACAGTGAGAGGAAGTGGAGGATGAGGGGAGAATTCAACGAGTGGCGAGATGGAGGGGTCCGTGGGTGAACCATGGGGGTGTTTCTAGGCGTGGACTTACCTAAGTTGGGCACGGATAGGCTTCCTCAACCACGGATCAAGCCTCTATTGGCGCCTGTCACGTGGGCCGAGGGGCTGCTTTAGGCAAGGAATTGTCAGCACCTGGCTGATAGATATGGACCCGGTGTGTCATTTGGCCCTTCGGCCCCTTTCACCAGATAAATGCTTATATTCAGGTGAAAGCCCGGTGAAGGTCGGCATTGAGGTCCTGGCTATTTGGATCTTACACCAAAAAGAAAGTCATGAATCTAATGGTGAAATGCTGAACCGCTGGGCTGGTGAGACGGCATGTGGAAAGGTGGACGTTTTTGGTTGAACTAACACCCGACAATCAGGCACACAGGCAGACTGTCACTTGTTGAATAATGCTTTTAGGCAGGTGGGTAGGTGCCTGTAGCTAAGTGGCAAGAAATCAACCTCCTCCTCCATCCTCCCCTTTGATTCCAGACCTGACATCTCCCTTTCCTCAAACAAAGATTATTACCACCAGACCAGATAATGTCTCAGCTGTGGTCAGATCAACAGCATCATGAGCATGTGGTCTTGACTATAGCGGGGGATTTCCATGTTCCACCTTGAGCGCAAGGGATCCAATCAGCCGCAGATCACAATTGACAGGGATCCATGTCCATCACCATCTCCATTATTATTGATGGTCTGATCCATTCAGCCTTCTCCAAAAGAACATACGGTAAGCATTATTGTCTTGACATTTCCATGATCACACACATATCGAAGTATTTGAAATATTCTCGACAAGGCAGGTACATTTGGACAATCTCACCGTTCAGCCATCAAGACACTATCAAGAGTCTAGCATTTCATCCCTCCTATCGATCCCTTGCCCAAACCATCGTGACCGTCCACCCCACCTCACCACTTCCCCTCAGCTGAGATTCCACGTTCCTAGAAACGTGTCATCAGAACATACTCTCACCACCACCACCACCACCACTCCTCCAAAGACATGCCACCAACTCCCGCCAACTACATTGCCTACACTGCGCCGGTCAATCCAGCGAACGCAAGTCCCGTCCTGACCACAAGCCAGATCTGGAAGGCGCTGGAGAAGAAGGTGGCCGCAGGACAAGATTTTGTTGGGGGTGCGATTACTGCTACAACGGTTCTGTCCACCTCAACCACACCCGAGGGCAACCCAGTCACCGAGCGTGAGGTCACCTTCCGCGAGGGAAACCGCGTTGTCCACGAAACATGCATCTCATTCGAGCCCATGAAGGTCGAGTTCATCCAGCCTGACGGCAGCAAGGTCCAGAACGTCCTCTCCCAAGGCCCTGGTGGTGAGCACGACTTATACCTCAGCTACACTTTTGAGTGGTTGCATGAGGGCGCAACCCCGGATGAGTTGGCTGTATTTAGAGAAAAGGAATGGAAAGTCGCTATCATGGCTGTAGAAAAGACTATCGAGGTCATAAGGGCTATGGTTAAGGATGGGAAAATACAATAGCTTGAAAATGGTAATCTGGCTATTGTCCAGTCTTCTATGGGTTCAGCATCCAGGCCCTGAATTGTCAAAGAATATCAGAAGCATTCGCTGCATCTTGACAGGAAGTACATTTCGCTACTATGCATAGTATGGCTGGTTATCATTGGCACTGCCCATATCCAGACATCTCCCGTGAAGTAGATTGATCGCGCTTCTGACCTGGTCAGCCATGTCTCCATGATCGTCGTCGTCGCCATTGCGCGCCCATCACGTTCCATATTCCTCAGAACCATCCCTCCAGCCCTTCAACTCCATCTTCGCCATTTCCATCTTAACCAAAAACTCGACCTCACCATCATTCAATCCCAGATGATATTTGAGTAAGCTCGTCAAAGCCTTGATGTTGTCTTTCAATTCAATATGCTCCAGAAATAGTGCCATGGGACTCGTGGTCATAGGAGGACGTAGTTCTGGATTCCAACTACTCGGGGTGGGTGTTTGATGTATCTGCCCAGCATCCTTTAGCCCGCCTTTCTGATTGCGACTGATCATAGATGGTCTAGGATTATTTCGGGGCCTGAGTCCGAGTTGTGCTGGTGGTGTGAACGGGTCGCAGAGCTGCTTTTGGTCTCTACAGCCATGTTCACCTCTTGCATCCCGCTGCAATCGTGCTGTGTCTGTTCCACACTCAACCTTCTCGAGGGGTTTGGTGATGTTCATTGCAATCTTTTGATCAAGGACGACTTTGGATTGGGCAGCGGCTTCTATTCGTTGTTTCTGCTGTCGTTGCAAGGATATTCGGCAGCTATTGAAGACCGAGACGAGCTCTTGGGAAGGTTGGAGGATTCGGTAAGGGCGGTGAGGTCCTTCGTTGGACATGGCCATGAATGGATCCTCAGGTGATGCCGATTGAGCACATAATGGGCTCCCGTCAGGAACTCCATCGATCTGGTTACCGATAAATCGGGAGAGTTGACATTGCTGTCCGTCTGCAGACATAGTTGTAACGGTGCCGAGTCGTCTTCACAATGCGGTCAACCGTAATGCTGTGGCTGGCTTTGTTTTGTGATACCGAAGAGGATGAGGATCTTCGATGAGAATGAAGTGTGACTATCAATGAGATCGCTTGCAAGAAAAGATGAGTCGTTGAACATGTTCTCTCCTATTGACATGTGTCACATCTCTGACTGTTTGGAGCGACAAACAACATGACTGTGATGTGCTTAGAGGTGAAGCGTGTCTGCGCCCGCGATGGAGCGGTCATCACATATTGTGGGGTGAAGTCTTGCTCGAATAGTTGATCGCAGCGGTGAGGGTCCCTTTAAGCTTAGAGGAGGGAGTGAAATCGCCTTTTACCACACGAGTCTACTCATGTGGTCCAATTTGAAGGTTAGTACTAGAGCCCGGTTCTGTGACTTTCACAAAGGGACAATCAAACTTAATCCCAAGCGTCCCCCCAATCGTCCTCACTGGGTTCTGGCTGTTTAGGCTTGGGTAACTCTTTCTTCACCACCTTTGTACTCGTGGTAGCTCTACTGGTGGTGGCTGTGACCGCTTTCTTGCCACCAAGAGGGTTGGAATTCGCTCCAGCAGAGATACTCCTTGCTGGACCCGGTGGCCTTACATCGAGAGTTGCACCAGAAGAGGCTGAAGGCTTGGCGAGGCCTTTGGGCAACACTTTCTTCTGCTTGGCCGTCGATTGCGCTGCGAGCCACCCGGCAAAATCAGGTTCACCACCATCATCGTAGGGGACAGATGCTGTAGTCGGCGCCGAAGTCTTGGAAGCGGCCGGTGACGCGTCGAAGAAATTGTCACCATCATCGTCGACTGTGCCCCATGCATCGAGAGTATCTTCTTCGAGCTGCTCGACATCATCTGCAGGTTGGAAGGTGGATGTCATCGGGATCTGTGACGTTGACAACCGTGAGACATTAGCAGCGGGCTTCTCGCTAGTACGATTGATAGTGGGTGTTGCGCGTCCAGAAGCAGGAGTAGAATGAGTTTGTGGCACAAGTGCTCCATTTGGTGTGGCGGATGCCATATCACCTCGTGCGCTCGTGATCTTGTTTGTAAAAGAGGAGATGGCCCAGCCAGTCCAACCACTATCACTCTGGTTGCCAATACGAGCTGGCGCAGGTGCAGCAGGATTCCCAGCAGGAGGCTCTGGGGGAATGATGGTATCTGGCAGCGTAACAGCGTACTTTCGTACTCTCTGCAGATAGGTATCGAAACACTTGTTTGCTTGATCCCGAATCATCTTCTCCTTATCGATCAAGGACAGGCACAATGCGGGAAGGACCTTGGTAGCACAGTCTTCGTCACTGAAAACGTCCACGGTCGCATTGAGGGCAAGCAGGGCGGCGTTACGCGCATGGACGAAGGGGTCGCGAAGGGCGCGTGAGAATGCAGCCATTAGGACCTTTGCTCGAGAACCGACGCCTAAGTTCCTAGCAATCTTGCCCAAACAAATGGTCGTGTTGGTGCGGATACCGGGTTGCTCATCATTAGCGGTCTTGGCCAGGAACCGAAGGAGTTCACCATTGATGACTCGGTCTGACAGTTTTGAGATCACGGCGAGGACGGCTTTGACAGTTTGCTCCCTGACGACAGGAGCAGTGTCTGTGAATCCCGACGTCATGGCAGGCCAGACTTTGCTGTTGATGTCCTTGGTGGAGATTCGATCCACCATGATGGGAAGGTTGTCTAGTAAACAGACTCTCATTGCTCGATCTGGGCTGGCGAATAGGCGAAGAACGAGAGGAGCAAGCCGGGCTTCAAATTCGTCATCAGACATCTTGAGGCCTATTTTCATGATAGCACCGAAGACGCTGGGACCACCACCACCAAACTCGACTGATTTGAGCAACTCGGGCAAGATCTTCATCTTGAAAAAGTCCTCCGGGAAGTCATCGGTCAGTTCGTCGAGTTCCCTGTCGCGTGTTAGTCGAATTTAGGTATCTTGTGGCGGGTCCGTACCTTAAGAATTCGTCCCTTTCTTCCTCGTCTTTCAAACCCAGGCTCTCGGCGCCTTCAGTAATATGAATCAGCGGAGTCTGGAAGAAGCCATTAAGCTTCTTCCCTTGATCAACGAATTGGCTGGCGGTGAGCCTCAGCTTCGGGTTGGCATTCACTAGTCTCCTGTAACTCTGGACCATGTTGGCGGGAATGCTTCTAGGTTGAGCGAGTTGATCAGAGCCCATAAAACTGCCGTTGAACGCCTCAAAAACAAGGATTCCAAGGCCATAAGCGTCAGGAGCGCCGAGCGGATTCCTCTTGATGTCAGACCAACCGCCGCCGCTTGCCACCTCGGCAGGGGCATATCGATTTGCATCGGGCAGAAGTGTGGCATAAGTGTATATTATGGCGTCATCCTCATTCATAGAACTTAAGACTTCAAAGCCACCAAGTTTCCACTCTCCACTTTCACTCGTGAACACTGAAGCGACTCGGACAGCTCCATGGACAGAGGCCGCGTCTGTGTTGATAAACTTGAGGGTTGATGAGACCGAGTACAGACCCCATTTGATAGTTTCTTCGCTCAAACTCTTGCGCTTGACGTGCCAGCTCAATGGTGCCAACCGTTCGGTGATTATATAAATATGAGTGTCGTTCTCGATTACGTCAACGACCCGAATGACACCAGGGTGACGAAGAGTCCGCAGTTTCCGAGCAGCATTCTTTGCAAGGGGTAAACGAGCCTTGTTGGCGTTAATGTCAAATGTAAACAAGGAGCAGGGAGAGTTGTCATCCTGGAAGGCAGGTCAATTAAGTGTCTTGGAAGGTGTTGGCAGGATAATTACTTTTTTGATCCCATTGTGAAGAGTCCATATTGAATCTGCAAAGTCGACTCTATCGCCAATGGTGACAGGGAAGGAGGAGGATTTGGCGATGGCAAAAGCAGCGGCAGACTTGAGAAAGTCCATGGACGCATATGCTGCTTTGAATAGGAAGCGCCGTCAAGGGGGGAGAGCGTGGTGGTTATGAGAGTGAGAGTATGAAGTACATTTTAATAAACATGAGATATGGCGAAATAATGCAAGAATGACACGCTCGCTGACATGGGACGCACCTTCCTCTCCAAATAAACCCTACGTGGCTACTAACGCCTCGCGCCTGCCATAATCCACATGTGTTCCTTCCCCGCGCCTCGATCCACTTTTGGTCCTTGTAAGGTCTTGCCCCTCGATGTCTTGGATAATAAAACGACTTGATGACAGCCAACTCGGTTCATTTGACGTTTGAACAGTATACATTCAGGTAGGAAGGACTGGATTTTGAAAAAGAATCAATTGAGAGTCAAGACCTCAACCTGTCGAACCTTCTATTCCCCAATAACCACCCAGGAACATCATCTTCTCACTAGCCTTCAACAATGGCCGGCCAACCAGGAAGTAGTTCACGCAGCTTCTCGTCAACCAACGTGCCTAGAGAGAAAGCATATCGACCACACGAGGGCAAATTCGGGGTGGTTACTGGCGGGTCCAGAGGTAAGAGAGTACTTTAACCTCTCGAGGCACCATCGCCATGCTCAACATCCTACAGGAATCGGAGCAGCCATAAGCCAAAACCTCGCCGCCAAAGGTTGTAACCTTCTCCTAGTCTACACATCTGACTCGTCCACCGAACCCACCAAAGCTCTTTGCTCACAGCTCTCCACCGAGCACAACATCATCGCCATACCAGTCCAGGCCGACCTTGCCGACCCTAGTAGGGCAGCACCTCATATCCTCGCAACCGCCAAGAATCACTTTTCCCATCCACGGAGTGGCGCTTTCCAAGTCGATATCATCATCAATAATGCAGGAATCGCAGGCAACAAATCATTGAACGACCCAAAACTTGGTCCCATCGAAGAAACACAGTTTCACCAACAATATAATGTCAATGTCTTGGCCCCATTGCTTCTGGTACAAGCATTTCAACCCTACCTTCCCCAGGATCGATCAGGACGGATCGTCAATGTTTCAAGCGTGTCCTCCGCCCTGGGCTGTGAGTCACAGTCGATATATGCAGGTACGAAGGCGGCGTTGGAAGCTATGACACGGGTTTGGGCACGAGAGCTGGCTGAGAATGCCACGGTCAATGCCATCAATCCAGGTCCCGTTTGGGGAGACATGTACAGTAAAGCTGGGGAGGAATTCTGGAAGACCAACCAGAAATTCGTTGATGCAGCGCCATTGATGGACTATCATGGCGAGGAGGCCGTCAAAAGCCGTGCTGGTGGCGATCCGCAAGAATATGATGATATTGTTAGGAAGGGCATGGGTGGAAAGCGGCCTGGGTTCACGGATGAGATTGCTGGTGTGGTGGGCATGCTCTGTTCAGAGGAAAGTGGATGGACCACAGGGAGTGTCATCTGCGCCAATGGCGGTATGAAAATGTCGATTGCCTGAGCATGGCGATGGGTTTTGGTTGAGGGCACTTAGCCCCTGGCTGTAAAGTGTTAGTTACCAGTGGAAAGCCTAACATAGACTGTTCTCGCCTCAAGGCGCAATATCATTCTAGACATGAGAAAAACGTGTGGACGTAACTTGGGGTTGCACTCGAGAATCAAATGACACGTCATTCCAGTCATTCTGTCATTCTGCTCCTCTCTGATTTCTTTCTCCAAAGAATAATTACATCCCGCATGATCATCAGCCTGTTCACCTTTCTTTGAATCCCATCCCAGTAATTAATATTCTATCTAGCCCGACGAGCTCGACTTAACACACCCAGTCAGCACCACCTGTCTCACTCAACGCTGCCGAACCCACCATAAACCCCGTTTACGAACCCTTACACTTTTCCAAAATGGTCGACATCGTCCCGGTGTCGTCGTACCCATCACACATTTCTCTCCTCCCCTCGATCCAACAATGCAACCTGTCGAACCTTCCCGAGAACTATTTTCTGAAATACTATCTCTACCATGCCCTGACATGGCCACAACTGTCGTTCGTGGCCGTCGTACGAGGCCCCAACAGCAAGCTCTCGTCATACCCGAAGGTGGTCGGGTATGTGCTAGCCAAGATGGAGGAGGAGCCGACGGACGGGATACAACACGGACATATCACGAGTCTCAGTGTGATGAGGACACATCGACGATTGGGGATCGCAGAGAAACTGATGCGCATGAGTCAAAGGGCCATGGCCGAGGTCTTTAACGCCGACTACGTCAGTCTCCATGTGCGCATGTCCAATGTTGCTGCATTGCATCTGTATCGCGACACCCTAGGCTTCGAGGTCGAAAAGGTCGAGAGTAAATACTACGCGGATGGTGAGGATGCATATGCCATGAAAATGGACTTGAAGTCCTTGCAGATCAAGGCTCCTCCGGAGGAGGATGAGGCTGATGAAGGTGATGCGGTGGGTTCTTTGGGAAACAAGAAAGGTGAAGATGGAGAGGATGTTGACGGTGCTGATGGGAAGAAGGAGAAGATGGTCAAGGTTAAGGTGGGAAGGAGTCTTGGAGTCGGTGATTTGGTCGAGCGCAATGAGGGTTCCACCGCCTCGGCGTACTGAGCTGTTCTCGATCGATTTTCTGATCCAGGACGTTGACGATATTGGTTTCTGCTATGGAGTGCACTGAATACCAAGCAGAGATACGAGACATCGCCCGTCGACGGAAACCGCATTTTATCCGGGCTATGGATCCCGGATTGTCGCGAGTCCACGGGCAGATCTGTGGTTGCGACTTCAGGATTGCATGAGTGGTTTGCAAGCAGCATCCCGCTCATGGCAATAAAGACGATGACGAGGGGTTGATATACCTCTCGAAAAGCTGGACTACGGCTTGGTCATCACACATCGATCTCCATAGACTGACCGACCAGTTTTGACGCGAATCAGGTTGACATGATCGATAAGACAATGCATTGCTGAGGTGGTGGTTTGGGTTTATTCATTCCCAAACATAGAGACAAATTTGTCCAGCCATCACACATGAAGAATAAAAGCATTTACAGGCTATGCCCAAGGTATAAAATCATGTCATCGTGTTGGATGTTCTGTATGCTATCCACATTTGCCTTTCCAGTGCCCTGAGGCCCTATGCACTTCTCTCCAGTGCGATGTTGCTGATGTATAAGCTCCGGTGTCCTCCCTAAGTTGGTATCTCAACAGCACTACACCTCAAGGAAAATGCTCTAGCCACTTGTCAGCCCCTCCCCGAACGTGGTGCCTTGCTCTGATGTTCAATGACTTCCATCACGAACACAAAAACCAAGACCACCTGGACGGTATAATATACAGTATCCATGCCAATAGAAAATGCTGTTAATCAAAAGCTCCTCCCTCGCAGCACCAAACCTGATTGGTACTGATTTCATGCTCAGTGCTCAGTTTCTCGTAGTATCGTAGCACACCATTCATTCCTTGTGACACCAAACTGTGGTACACGTTGAGGCTTCCATCATAATATCCATCGTTGTCCTCGCAGAAGCAAAACTTGTCCGAATGAAATCGTCACAAGATACAAAGGACCCTGACAGAAGTCGAAGTCGGGGCTCCGACTTTCATCAAGTTCCACGAAATAGAAATTGCATGTCCTCTGGTGTCAATTTGTCAAGCGCAACTTGGTCGTTGTTAACCGTGCCGTTGATCATGTTTGCTTTCTTCTCTTGAAGAAGAACCATTCGCGACTCAACTGAATCTTCAATGCAAAGACGGGTGATGACGCAAGGTCGGCGTTGACCAATTCGGTGACAACGATCAGCTGATTGCCATTCCGCGGCAGGATTCCACCATCTAAGAAACATTTGGTTAGTCATTGGCGTATCACAAGATAATAGGGGCAACTCACGGATCGACAATATACACTCTGCTGGCTTCGGTGAGATTGAGAGCGACTCCACCAGCTTTGAGTGATACAAGAAACACCTCGACGTCGACGTTGTTCATGAAATAGTCGATTGACTTTTGGCGTTGAGCTGGACTCATGCTGCCATCGAGAAGGACTGTGCTAAAGCCAGATTTCTGGAGACGCCATTGCACCAACTGTAGCATAGAAGTGAATTGAGAAAACACAATGCTCTTGTGCGTCTGTTTCTTGCTACGAAGCTTGTAGAGATCGTAAACGAGCATCTCAATTTTGGTGGACGAGGTCCAATCTTCCATTTTAATTCGGTTGATGATGGATGACTTTTTGACATTCTCCTCGTCCTGCTCGATCTCAGGTTGATCCCAGTCAATGGCTAGTGGAATGTGGCATCGTGGGCAGTCAGCGTCTCCGCCGCCTCCACTGAATGACTGCACGTAAGACTTGGCACACTGGCGACAGAATTCATGACGGCAGCGAGATCGAATGGCTTCTTCGGCAGGCTCGTCACATATGCAACAAACGAGAACGTTTTGTCCACCTTGAGCATTCTTTCGCAGAATCAAGTCGGGGTGATTGGCAACTTGTCGCATTTGCATGATCAGGCCAAAGATGTTGGCATAATTGTTCAGCATAACACCCTGGGAAACATATGTGTCAAACTTGCGGGTAGAGTTGGACATGATGCTCTGAGAAAAGTCTCGTTCGATCTCGCCGAAGAATTCATTATGAATGATAATGTCCTTGGGTGGTAGTTCCATGGATGATGTATGATCTCGTTTCATGCGCCGTAGCATTATGCGGTCAGTGATCAAGCGTAACTTTTCGAGACCTTGTTTTCGCTTATGCGATTCATTGCCTGTGATAGGATTGAGGATTTCCTGGTTGAAGACAGAGACGTGGTTAAAGCCGCTGTGCTTGCAAGTATTACACTTCTTTTGCTCATCTTGTGACCAGTGCAGTTGCTTGCAGGCACATTGTTTGCAAAAGTAACAGGCGAATGGGGTGACCTCGAGAAATCGAAGCAGAGAAAAGAACTCGCCAATGCGGTTCTGCACTGGAGTGCCGGACAAGCACCACTTGTAATCTGCTTTGAGGGCAAAACAGGCCTTTGCAACGCTGGCAGTCCTCGATTTGATGCTGTGTGCTTCGTCCAGAATGAGACGATGGTATTTGATCGAGTGCAGAATGCTGTCCTCTTTGACAATCCCATCATTTCTATTCCAGCCTTTGTGCTGCTTGCGAAACATGGACTCGAGGCCAGAGTATGATACCATGATGACGTCGTACTTCTTAAGATCCTTCTTGGTGAGCAACTTGCATTTGGGGTTGGCAGAGACGTGGTAGACGAGGACCTTGAGCTTGCCACTGGTATAGTCTCCGATCTCTGCTTGCCACTGCATAAGAGCGACTGGTGGTACTATGACCAGCGTAGGCTCTTTAGCGGGCCAATCCGACATGATCAGACTAACAGCTTGAATGGTTTTGCCCATGCCCATTTCGTCGCCGAGTAATCCTCCCCTCCATCTGGACTGTTCTTGTTTGACCATCCAATCAAGACCTTCAAGCTGGAAGTTTTTCAATTTTCTGCTAATTCCATCGGGTTGAATAGCTTGCACAGGCTTGATAGGAGAGATATTCTTCAGATCATCCCACATGGTGACGATTTCTGGGTGCGCCTTTTCCAGCCTCTTCCGCTCATGATCCTGGCGAGATATGTCACGGTGTCTCCGGCGCACTGATCTGGCCTGTTGGACTTGACGGGTGGTGTGCTGGGTATGAGCTATCATACCGGACCCAACGCTTTGCACATCTGAATCCTCTGTGCCCAGCATCGAATAGTCCTCAGCATCATCCGAATCTTCGTCGCTGTCGGGAACGTCACTGAGAATTGACGAGGCGTCAGACTCGACCATTCGCATTTTGCCCTTTGCTGATTGTTGTCTTGTGGCTCGAGCCTTCGATCTTGAGGACAATGGAATATCATCATCACTACTGTCATCCTGGTCAATAATCTCTTGAAGAGTTAGAGGCCGGTCTTGCTGGCGGCTCGTAGCTCGGGCCTTAGTCCTAGATGGCATGGGAATGTCATCATCGCGGCTATCTAGACCAGTGATGGTGTTTGTAGCCAGCCTAGGTCGCTTTGACCATAATGGGGTCGAGTCAGAATCGTCAGAATCGACGTTGTACTCCTCGGCTTGGAGTTTTGCAGCCAATTCGGCGGAAGCCAGTGCTTGGGCATCGATGAGATCTTCATCATATTCTGATCTCTTACGCTTGTTATTGTTTCTGGGTCCGAGAGCAAAGTCAGACGACTTCAGCTCCAATGCACGAGCTGTGGCGCCATTTCTGGTTCTAGAGTTCTTCTGATCGGCCAAGGCAGGAGTAGGCACAGTGGATGTGGCAGGTGTATCATAATTGGAAGATTCAAGAGAATCTGAGATGGAAGATGGAGCCGTGATGGTTCGAAATAGAGAAGCCGCTGAGGGTGGGTTTGGGAGGAAAACTCCTTGGAAGATAGGACCTGCACTACTTCCGGTTTGTGCTTGAATCGGTTCAGGCTCATCAGAGTCTGGTATCTCAATGGTTGTTTTCATATTTCTAGTACTTCTCCTGGAAGGGACACTGGATGGGGGAACCGATGTATCTGGAGTGGCGATCTTCGAGGTTGCTAGGACGAATGTCAGACAACAAGACTTTTTCGAGGGACATAAAGGGAGGAGACTTACAAGGTGTAGACTGGGTTGTAGACAGCCTCTTCGGCCGTCCTCTCGGAGCCATGGCGAATGTCGATGTCCTTGTCAACTGGTGTATCTGGCTAGGAAACAGGACAACAAGTCATGACTGCAAAACTCGAGGGGCCCGAGAGTTTTTGAGATCGAGGCTCGATGGAGAAATGCGCCCCAGGATGGAGAAATAAGATCGGGAAGGAGGGGACCAGGGTTCTAACGAAGGGCAACGAATCAGACTGCGAATGGACCTCTCGGTTAAGCCTAGTCTTGTCATTAGCGCGTTTGCTGCCTGGATTTTGGGAGCCCTTATCGGATGGGAAGGCGCGTGGAGTCAAACCCATTCACGCGTAAAGTGCTTTTCTTGGCATCCGTTTAGCGGGTCCATGGAAAGATTTCCTGTACTGACTTCATCTTCCCAGATGACATCCCACCTGACTGCTGTCACCCAGTATTCGCTGTCACCTCCTCTCAATCATCACTCTCTAGTGGCATCGACAATCCGGTGAGCCTGTTGGCTTTTCTGACCACCTATCAGCGCCTCTAAGCATCTCAACCTCTTTGCCCATTACTACTACATCTGCATTTCCCACCGAATTCCGGCCTAGCACGGGCATGAAAAAATGTAAGCCTCTGACCCTATTCTAAATTCCATGTCCTAAGTGTACCAGGTCTACCAGACGCAATAATCGAGATCCTGCTGCTGCTAATGCCATAAGAGGGCCTCAGTCTGCATTGACCAACTTTCTCGCGGCCCATAACATATCTGCCCAACAGATCCACCAAGACTATCAGAGACGTGTTAGAGAAGCACAGGAACAGGCAGATGCAGAGGCGGCTGCAGACAGTCAAGACAAAGAAAATGAAAGTCAGGAGGACGGTGATGATGTCGATCTCGCCGAACGTCAAAAGCGGAAACGCAAGGAAGAGAAGGCTTTGCTTAAGATCAAGCAGAGCAAGGAGTTCAAACGACGCAAGTTCGACAAAAAGGCACGAGGCGATGTCGATGCTTCTGATGACGATGCAATAGCCCGAAATATGATGGCCAAAGCAGTGCCAATGCCCGGACAATTTGAGAATTGTGAGCTATGTAAGAAGAGATTCACTGTCACACCATACAGCAAGACCGGACTCCTGGGCGGCCTTCTTTGTGGAAAGTGTTCCAAAGAAATGAAAGATGATGAGAAGAAAGAGGCATTGGCAAAGAAAAAGAAGGCTGCTGCTCCTCGTGGCCGGCGGAGACAGACCGAAAGTGATCGCATGATGGGAGACGTGAAGCCCGGTGCCAAAAGCCTTGTCGAGGTCTGCGTAAGACGGGTCGCCAACGTGGTTCACGATATCGACGAATTCGGAGACATGCCTCAGAATATTATGGACCGTCTCAGCCAAATCTTGTCTAAACAGCGAGTCATCACCCCTCGCGTGCTTGAACTCTTCCTCCGGTCAGACGGTGATCGCATTGTTGTTTACGACTGCGGCAAACTTGAAACAGAAGACTTTCAAAAGATGTTCGCATTCATGCCAAATGTTGAAACGGTCAACCTTCGATTTGCAGGACAGCTGAAAAATAACGTCATTGAGTACATGGCCGACAAATGCAAGAAGATCCGTCACCTTCAAATGGGTGCCGCCAACTTGGTCTCTGACGAGTCTTGGATCAAATTATGTGCTGCCCTTGGCCCAAATCTCGAAAGCCTCAAGCTGTCCGAGTTGAACGACTCATTCAAAGACGACACTGTCAAGCAGATTGTCAAGCACTGTCCCAATCTACGACGCCTCAAGCTGAGATCATGTTCACACATGACAGAGGCATCGATCAAGCACCTCGCCAACCTCTCAAAACTCGAACATCTCACACTTGCCGTCGCCCAGCAAGACACATCACCGACATCCCTCGTTAGCCTCGTCACGTCACTTGGACCAAATCTTCGTACCCTCTGTCTGGAGGACTACATAGAACTCGATGACGCAGTCATCAACGCTATCAGAGACAACTGCAAAAACCTATCCAAACTGCGAATCACGGGTAGCAGCACTGTCTCCGACCAAGCCTTCTCAGAGCTCTTTGGAGGCACCTCCGTCATCCCACCATTGTCCTACGCAGATCTCTCAGACAACCGTGACATCGATAACATGCGACCAGACGGACCAGAAGATGCACCTATTGGCTTTGGCGACCAAGGATTACAATCCTTGATGCTTCATTCCGGCGACAAGATTCACAGTTTGAATCTCAAAGCCGATCGACACATCTCACATGCCGCTCTCCTTGCTACCTTTGACGGAGTTAAGAAATATCCGTTTCTGAGCGACGTCGACCTCAGTTTTGTCACCCAAATCGACGACGTGGTCATGTCAGGCATTTTCAAGAGTTGTCCTGCTTTGTCCAAGCTGGTGGTATTTGCTTGTTTCAATGCCCGCGCCTCTAGAATCCCCGCTGGAATCGCAGTCATTGGACTTCCGAATGCACAGGACAATATTATCCAAGAAGGCGGTCTGGATATGAGAGATCTCTGATGATGAATGGTCTTGTATCCTTTACGAAACGTATATGGATGTGTTGATGCCGTCTGGAGGGGAGCCCTCACTGGCACGATCTTGCGACATGTGTGGGGGAATCCCCTACTTAGAGCTATTGAAAGGCTTTTGTCCTTAGGCCTTTTACAGTCTCTACCATTGCCATCCATCAGTCCAACCCCGGTTGGTTCCCTTTTACGGCTGAGAACCTGCCTGTGCTGATAATAGGCAAATCAGGAATGGTAGATGATAGGCTGGTCGGTTTGGACTACAGCCATTATGTAGTGTAATGCGGCTACCCAGATGGTAGACCAAATGGATTCTATGAGCAGATTGAATACAATCAATTGCATGGATACTTGGGTCCAAATCACGCAATGTGGTTTGCCCATGAGGCTAATACAGCAATATTCAACAGTCGTGCGATTGCTCATGTTCCTTGTCTGCGCTTCGTGCAGGAAAATAACCTTGAATTCACAAGACGTCGATGCCCTCCACTAGAGCGTCAAGCCTATTCTCCATTGTTCCGTTCTCTTCGGTCAGCCAACCAGCCAGAGCAGCCAGCTGTCTCTTTTTCGTCTCAATTTCCAATTCGCGACTCTTTTCCCTAGCCAGATCGATAACCCCTTCACCGACATTGGCCAATCTTGCCACATTCAATCCGTAGCTTCGATGCGCAACTCCTTCGCCCACCTCATACAGGAATGTCACCTTCTCGCCATCCCCATCCCTGTCTTCTGTAAATTGCATATGAACATTTTTCAGTTCGCCATTTGAGAAGCCATCAGCCATGCGCGAAAGCATCTGATAGTGTGTGATGAATAGAGTTAGACATTTCTTTTCGCGGATCAAAAAGTCCAACACGCTAGCAGCAATAGCAACTCCGTCGTGCGTACTCGTTCCTCTCCCGAGCTCGTCCAAGACCACTAAGCTTCGATCAGTTGCGAGCTTGAGAATGTCGCTCGTTTCGCTGAGTTCCACCATGAATGTACTTTCGCCTGACATCATGTTGTCAAAGGCACCCATTCGCGTGAACACAGCGTCCAAGATACCCAAGCTTGCTGAGTCGGCCGGAACAAACGATCCAATTTGCGCCATGATGACAATTAAAGCCACTGAGCGGACGTAGCTGGATTTCCCACCCATGTTCGGACCAGTGACGAGAAGGGCGCGTGTTGAACTTTGGGAGAGATTGACGTTGTTGGGTACATAGGCGTCGATGAGCAACTGCTCCACCATTGGATGGCGAGCGCCAGCTATGTCGACGTCCGTTGTATCGGTAAACCTTGGGCGGACATATCCCGGCTGAGAGGCGACATTGGCCAAAGAGAGAAGGCAATCTAATGTTGCCAAAGACTGGATCGTGTCCCTGAGACGTTGGTAGGAATTGTTGCTAATGTCAGCCAGGAGATTCTTATAAGCCGCGTCACAATTAGCGGCAAGGCTCTCTTTGTGTTGGTCCCGTTCCCTGATCAATTTGACAACCTCGGGTGGATGAAAGCGGGAAACTTTCTTGGTTCCAGAAATCTTTGCCCACGATGCAGGGACCTTTTTGATAGTCGCCGAACTGTTCTCAACCTCGATCAGATAATCTATACCGGCAACGGTGGCATACTTGACGGGAGCTTTCTTCCCCAGTTTTTCTGCCGCAGTACCTCGGAATTGGTCAAGATCGTGCTCGACGCTAATGATGCCGAATCTGTGCTCTGTGATTTTTTCGGTCTCGAACTCTTCCTGGAAGAAGTTGTATTTGTCATCCTCTTTGGCGGCATGGAGATTAACCATGTCCAAGTATTTGACTACCTCGGTCAGGATGAGCGGCAAGGGGGTGAGTGCTTCTGAGATTAGCGTAGAGCGAAATCCTGTAGATTCTGCGCCTGTAATGTGGGCAAATTCTCCAGACAACATCTGGAATGATTGCAAGACATTCAAGAGCTCAGGTCTGGTGCACTTCCCATAGTAAATCCGCAACAGGCTTTTCTCGAGGTCGGTCCTTAAGCTGGAGAGTACACGTCTGAGCTTCTCAACGTCTACTGACTTCGCCGGATCGTTCAGTTCCTCAACCGCATTGAGTCGATCTTCAATGATCTGCTTGTCAAGTAACGGGCGGCCAACCCATTTACGCAGAAGTCTGCCACCGAACCTTGTTTGCGTCCGATCCATCATCCAACACAAGCTGCCTTTCGTCGAGTAGTCTGTCTGATTCTGATAGATCTCAAGGCTTGTCAAGGTGTTGCCATTGAGCAACATATGTGAACGGGCTGAAAATGGTTGGAAATACTTGGCCAACTGGAACACATGTTCCAAGCCATAATCTGAGAGATGTTTGATCATAGCGGACAGACAGATGGACACATTTTCGGGCAGACCCAAGATCTTATCGAAGATTCCGCTGGCTTTAGTGGAGTCGCTCTGAGCGTCTTTAAGTCGATCAGCGTAGAAACTGGAAATGTGGCTATGAGCTTGCGCTGCCATAGTCTTGTCTTTCGAGACTCTTTCCACGCGGATTTTGTCACCAAAGACATTCGTTTTGCTGCCTGAAAGATGCTGAACGAGTTTTTCTGTAGCACGAGAGAGCTCGCCCACGATCAGGAACTCCGATGGTGCAATATGTAAAAGTCGAGTTTCGATCTCGCTGCGCATGAAGCCATCTTCAAAGTCGTCGTACACAACATCACCAGTAGCAGGCTGAACGGCCACCACTCCCACGTGAACTTTTTCATCGTTGCCGTAGCCTTTGACATTGACTTCTGTTAGGCACAACAAAAATCCAGTAGAGGGAGACTGCGGGACTGGACTGGCTCTGTTAGCCTCTTCAAGTCCTTCGATATCATCAATATAGGTGCCTTTAGTGTAGAGGTTTGTCAATTTGCGGACAAAAGGGGCATTGCGATTGTCACCAGCCGCTTTGAGTGCAGCGGTCTCGAGTTGTCGGACAACTCCAACTTTATGACCGGCGGATACGAGGCGTTTGACGTGGACATGCAGACGATGGACCGGGATACTCGCAGAAGCAAAACGATCGAGATGGGCCTCGGATGGATGCTCGTCAAACCGGTATTTGCCTGGGATGCAGACAATACCGAGTTCTTTTGCGGCCACCCTAGCATCTTCGCCAAAGAAGCGGAATTTATAACCAACTTCAACCACGAGGAGGGTGTCCATGTGCTTTTGTTTGATATCAATGACCTGCTTCTCCATAGGCGTCAACTTTGTGGAAGATTTCTTGTTGGCAGGCTTTGCTTTGCCAATTGGCTTGGGTCGTTCCTCCGCAGCATCGCTGTCGGCTTCGTCATCTTGCTCCTCAAAGTTATCCTCTAAAAAGCGGTTGCGTCTCTTAATATCTGCAATGCTGTCGGGTTTGCCCAACTTCCTGACGAACTTGAGATGGAGTTCGTCTTTCTTCTTCTGTTCAAAGCTGTCTACTGTGGTGTCGTTCTGGTTTTCTTGAAGAGGCGAGGAGTCGAAGACATATCTAGAAGTCCTATCAGATGGTGAGGATGTAGCAATCGACTTATGGCCATTTGCCACCACAGGTCTGAGAGTTCTATTGAGGTCGGCTGGAGATGCATCTAGGAGGGGAGGGCTGACCAGCTCGCCGTTCGCAGGTGTGAATTTTCGCCTCTTGGAGCTTGGCTTCACAACATCATCGTCGTCGTCGTCATGATCTAGGTCACGAGAGACCACAGGTGGAACAGGGGAAGACGGAGGCTGAGAGGGTTTCTTGAAGAAAGAAGACAGAGTCTGTTGCTTCTTTTGGGAGGACGCCATGAATAATTACATGCCTAGCGAGAGCCCAGAAGGGGAACTAGAAAGAGACTTTTCTGTTCAGGTCGTGGGTGCAGATTGCATTTCGAGTCGTGAGGCTTTGCTGAAGGTGGTCGGCGGTCGCTCCTGCATTTTGGCAAGTTCGGTGACCACTTGCACTTTACGCGACTTTATTTCGGTGACGCGTTTTGCGGCGGAGCACAGACCGTTATGACGAAGCTGGGGAATTACCAATTGGGCAAGACAAGCATCACATCCATCTCATCCATCTCATCCAATTCTTTCTTCATTCCAACAACAGCAATGCCTGTTTGCTGATTCTGTTGTCTAATAGCACGATTCGACTATAGACAGCAGACCACAGCATCGGACCCAACTATGGCGATCGCAGTATGCCAACATAAGACATTATCATGCCCTTTTAAACCTGCTAATAATTCCATCAACAGGCTGTTGGGCAAATATGCTCGACTGCATCCATGACACATAATTTGGCGCAATGTCAGACCTTGATTCGCAAAGCTGTGGCATCTGGCGCAAAGGTAGGTTTTCCCTAGAGATTATTTGAGACAATCTTGCTCCCGTGTTTCTCCCTCAACAATACATCCTTGATGCAGACCAATCAATTAGGCCCTCTTCTTGCCCGAAGCAAGCGACTACATTGCCTCGTCTCCCGCCGAATCCGTGAGCCTCTGTCAGCACGTATCCAAAAGTCCTTTTGTTCGTGGCCTTCAGCAAGCGGCAAGAGACCACTCGCTGGCCATCAATGTTGGAATTCACGAGCCTACGGACCCACCGTCACAACGGATTAAGAATACACTCCTGTGGATTGATCAAGAGGGGGCGATTGTACACCGATACCAAAAGCTACACGTCTTTGACGTCGACCTGCGACCGGGGGGACCCCTAATTAGAGAGAGCGACTCAACGGAGCCGGGCCATGACATTGTTTCCCCCTTCAAGTCAAGTCTCGGCCAGGTAGGTAGTCTTATCTGCTTTGATCTGAGATTTCCGGAACCGGCGCTTAGGCTGCGCCGGTTCGGCGCAGATATCATCTTGTACCCATCAGCTTTCACGGTTCCCACAGGGAAGCTCCACTGGGAGATTCTACTGAGAGCCCGTGCGGTCGAAACTCAATGCTGGATCATTGCAGCAGCGCAATGTGGTCGGCACAACGAGAAACGCGTTAGCTATGGAGATGCTATTGTCATATCACCGAATGGCCAAGTGGCAGGCCGCCTTGACCATGTTACTGACATTGATCGCGAGGGTGAGAATGGGCGGGAACCTGAGATACTGACCGTTGACATTGACTTGGACCTTGTGAAAGATGTCAGGAGGATGATCCCGTTGCTTCGAAGAACAGACGTATACCCAGAGATATAATTCATATGCTTGATGAAAATATTCGTACAACATCGGCATGACTTGATTGTCTCGCCTGATTATTCGGGCTCCATTTTAGGCCTATCTCCGTGACAAGGGGTGAGTATGCAGTGCTACTCTCGTCTCTCGCTGGATTCATAAGCACGCAAGCCTTGCGAAAGACTCAACCCCCACCAAACCATCAACAAAGCCCATGGATTAAATATCGAAAGCTCTGCGGCGAGTCGGAGACTACGCGCATGCGGCTCTCGGGCCTCAGCTAGCGTATGTGGTGGTGTTCCGTGCTTCCTTACCAGAATCTCTTCGGCCGTCGAGTCGCAATCGTACATTGAATGGCCCCATTCCATGCCATCGATCTTGTGCCGTACATCCGGCCAAGGGCCTTAATTCCGGACGACCACCACTACCTCCGACTATATTGTGTGTACTTTCGTTTCTAGCATAGACACGTCTTCTCAGACACTATCCAGCATGTCGCGTCAGATTCAGTTTATCATGGCATCGTCAAGACAGTCTGAAATCTAATACCCTTGAGTTTTGACGCATGGGTGGAAAAAAGAAGAATCGCGAGTTGCCAACTTCACGTCATCTACTGCCTTATCTTTGATGCTGGGCAAGATGAGCGAGGCTGGTGGTCAACAAGGCTCCCGCCAGTCGCTGCACGACGAAGAGAAATATCCAGGTCCTGAGCCTATTGGAAGTGAGGTGACTGACGATACGAGAGACACTGGCGTCCAGGTTCCCGTTGAGACTGGTGATACTGGTCAGGATCAAAGCAGTGATCTTGTCGAGTTCGATGGCCCAGACGACCCAGAGAATCCTCTGAACTGGCCAAAACGGAGGAAATGGGCAATCACTATGGCCATGGGAACCATGACCTTTGTTGTCACAATCTCAAGCTCCATCTACGTATGTCAGGTTGGCTGCTGCTTCTCAGAAGAACCTAACTGCTGACGTTCAACATCAAGGCCTCTGCCATCGGACCTGTGGCCCAAGAGTATGGTATTTCAAATGTTGTCTCCATTTTGGGCGTTTCTCTTTTCCTCATCGTGAGTTCTATCATATTCACCAACATGGAACCTATTCGGGCCAATTCGGCTAAGTCTTTCAGGGTTTCGTCTTCGGCCCAATTCTGTTTGGTCCAGCCTCAGAGGTCTGGGGTAGGAGAATCCCACTTCTAGCCGGCTACTATCTCTTTGGCATCTTTCAGATCCCAGTGGCAGTAGCTCAGAATGTCGAGACAATTATGCTTGGTCGCTTCTTGGCTGGCTTTACAGCTTCTTCGCCCCTGGCTGTGGTTGGCGGAGCGCTGGCGGATATCTGGAGTCCACTCGACAGAGCATATGCAATCTGCGTGTTTGCGTCTGCTGCATTTTCTGGACCCGTGGTAGGTCCTATCATTGGCGGGTTTATTACACAGTCCTACCTAGGTTGGCGCTGGACTGCTTGGATCACTCTTATCATGACCGGTCTCTTTGGGGCCATTGGATTCTTTCTCATCCCAGAAACATCGGCTGCAAGAATTCTGCAGATCAAGGCAAAGCGACTCAGATACCAGACAAAGAACTGGGCACTTCATGCCAAAGCAGATGAGAATCGCATTACCGCGAAGACTTTGGTCACCGTTTATCTTGTCCGCCCATTTGTCATGATCAGCAAAGAACCCATTCTAGCTCTTATGACCACATATATGAGCGTCCTATATGGGTAAGCGTCGCTGCTCCCATTGTCCCGCAGTTCGTGCTAATCCATGGCGTAGGATTATCTACCTTCTATTCGTTGCCGTGAGTCTATGAATCTCGGATCATTGACACTGAACTAATCCCCATAGTATCCTATCTCATTCCAAGAAGAACGTGGCTGGAATGCTGGGGTTGGGTCCTTACCATTCACAGCCTTCATCGTCGGTATCGGCATGGGCACAGGCATGATCGCCTATTCAACGAGAACGAATGTCACCAAATCCTTCATCAAGCATGGCAAGGTGATCCCCGAGGAGCGACTCCCGCCCATGATCGTTGGAGCCATAGCCCTGCCTATGGGACTGTTTATATTTGGATGGTACGTACAAGCTGACCGGCGAAAATGATCCTATCTCCAATTGCTGATCGCATCAAGGACATCAAATCCAAACATAACTTGGGTCCCGCAAGTCATTGCCACAGCATTCATTGGCATGGGCTCCCTCGTCACATTTTGGCAAGGTGTGAGCTACATCATCGATTGCTACGGCTTCTACTCAAACAGTGCAATCGCGATCAACACCTTCATCCGATCCATCGCCGCAGCTGGGTTTCCATTGTTTGCGCCAGCCTTGTACCACAATCTTGGAGTTCCGTGGGCATCCTCTCTTCTTGCTTTTCTATGCATTGCCTTTCTACCAGTACCTATATTATTCTACATGTACGGTGCAAGAATCAGGGCGAAGTCACGGTTCAACCCTACGCCACTCTTCTAGGACTGGCCATACTGGACTTTACATGATGAATATCGAGCTTCTAGACTTACCACGCACGAAAGTCTACAAGGTCTACAGCACATGGTGAAGATTGGCTTGTATTGGCTGTTTAGCTCATTCTCAAGAAGAGAAGATAGGCAGCAGGCTTCCTCACCACGTGAGAGAATGAATGGCATGTGTTCTGTTGGAGACAGTGAAAGCAAATCCCTCGGTCTTTGCGCGTGACATCCAAGATCTGAACCAACCGATCTTAACTGAACCTGCTTAAAAATATATCTAGCTATAAAACTTTCTCCCACACTCAGATTCCCATTTCTCATGCGACCTTTTCATCCACCATCAAGCGGCACGTCCTTTAACTATCTCCTATCTCGACTCAGTCAGCACTTCTCTCAACGCAAGCTACTGCTCTGAACGCAGGCTGAACTCTTTCTCCACTGCCATACACGAGCCTGCAACAATATTATCAGCATGACGACCGTCAACATCGACCCGGATGGCGATTTGATTATCAAGATCGGCTGGAAGAAGCTGCGAGTCTCTTCTCATGTTCTTTGTCTCGCCTCACCCGTCTTCAAAGTCATGCTGCGCTCAAACTTCATTGAAGGCGTAACCGCCGAAAATAGTGCTAGCAACCCGAAACGCATCACTCTCCCAGACGACGACCAGGCCGCTTTCAAGACACTCTGTCACGTACTTCATTTTCAACTTGATTCAGTTCCGCAGAGACTCGATATCGACTCCTTGCAAGAGCTAGCCACATTGTGCGACAAGTATCAAGTCATTACTCCCATGCTCAACTGCGCCACTCTTTGGGTCTGCGAGCTCGCTTCGGACAGCGATATTGAAACAATGGTTCGACTCCTTATTATCGCCATCGACTTCGACCTTCCGGACGCCTTTAACAAGGTCTCGCGCAGCCTGCTACGAACCCATTGTGGTGATGTTGAATCTTTGCAGGATTACCTGGCCCAATACGCGCCCACCGATGCCACTGTTCTCGGTAAGTAAATCTCAAAGAAGACCTCGTTGAAGTCAGCCAACATGTTTAGATGCCTTCAAAGATGCTTGCAAGCGACTTGTCTCAGAAATCCGAGGTGTCATTTTCAACCAAATCTCAGATCTAGCCCGTGGATCATGTAAGATTTGCCAGCGGCAAGCTGGTTTCGTCTTGCGATTCGTTCAAGAGAGGCCCGTCCTCCCTGGCGGTTATCTGTCGCCTTGGGACTTCAATCTTGCTGTGGATGAGTTAGAGGGAATGGACCGGTTGGAGCTTTGTCATGACCTAGACTGTGATTGTAAAGCGGAAGGAGAAGCCATGGGATTTGTGCATCGTTTGAAGATGCAGATGAAGAGAACTTTGAAGACTCACGGTCTCTGCCTCGATTGTGTCAAAAGACCCAAGACAACGCAGACGAAGGATTCTGAACGCACTTGCCGAGTTCGAAACTGCCTCCATTTCACGACATTAAGCCTGTGGAAATGAAGACCCCAGATTCCACTTTCTCTTCTAAGAAACGTGGATGAGCAATACCCGTATGGACTTGAAGGTCAGAGCTTTACATCACAAGGGCCTTGGAGCCAAAGCCTTAGGGGTATTTTCACGACAGTGCTAGATCCATCGAGACTGGAGAGGACACAGCAACCTGCATTACTTCTCGATAGGCTGGTTGGGATGGTTAGGCTGTAAGACAGGTTGCAACTGGCGGAGACAACACACCACTTGCCTGTGCTATGAAAAGTACAGGGACAGGGTGTGCTTGAGGACATGCAACTACCGAAAGCCATACATCGGCGTCGAAGATTGCCCACGTCTAGCAATCGTGCTCAGTCATCCCTAATGGCAGATGATTAGGAAATGGTGCTGGTTTTGGGATCGACCAGAGTTGCAGACAAGAAATGGTTCAGGAGAATGAGGAGAGGCCCGCTCCAAAACTTAGCTTCTCCATGCTGCTGCAAAGTCTTCATATGATGGCTACAGATAGATACCTTAGCTTTGAAACATCAAGGGTTTCTCCTCTCTTCAACGGCTTTCCACGTGTCTAAGCAGATCTGGTTGAACGCATCGACCTCTTCCCAGTTACACGCATGACCACCTTTTGTGGTCTGCCATTTCGACCCAGGGATCAACTCGTGCAACTCTCGTGACAAAGGAACCGGAATTAGGATATCATTCTCACCGACGAGTACTATAACTTCCGGCCCTCCTTTCCCAATCCGATCTGCCAGACTCTTCAACTGCTTCCTCGAATCAAACTTCAGTATCACATTGATCTGCGCCAGGTATGCCGGGACACCCATGCCACCCTGAGCCACATCATCAATCTTGGCAACCTCAGCGTCATATTCTGCAAGCATCTTCTTCCCAGACGCAGAGTCGAAGAAAGGGGGAGTAAAGCACCACAAGGCCAGATCTTGCATGACGGTAGCGAGATTGAGCTTCTGTGCGACATGGGTCCAGAAGTTGAACATGCGCGTACAGAACGTGTTTGGTGCTGCGTAGGTACATGCCAACGTGATACTGAGGACATTGATTTCCGGAATCGCTCCTGGAAGCACGTGTTCCAGAGCAAATGTTTGCGTGATCATGCCGCCCATGCTGATTCCGAGAATGTGCACTTCGCCACGGATGCCCACGCCACGGATCAGAGATGCAAGGTCATTGGCCATGTCTGAAGCAGTATAGACTTGTCCTGATTCCGTTGGACGTGAAGAAGCTCCAATTCCGCGGTTGTCGTAGATCAGCACCGTATAGCCCGCTGCCGTGAAGGCGGGGGTCTGGCTGAGCCATGATTCTTTGGGATCGGTCAGTCCATTGATAAGAATGATTGTCGGTTGTGGTGGATTGCTCGTGGTGGAGGGGTGATGGAATTGATATGCTATCTTGACTGACGAAGACACTGTGTGTATTGAGGACGTCATGTTGACCTTTTGGGAGCTACTCAGGCTACCTCTGGGTGGTGTTCTGGCTGACTTTGAAGATATCTACACTGGAGCGATACGATTATGAATCTCTTGAAACCTTAAAACTGACACGCCGTTGGGAATAGATAAGTAGGCGGATGATTCCCGTTCAGGCTACGCAGCCGGTTTAGAAGATGACTGGAATGGCGCTGAAAGCCGCATTCATAAAAACCATCAAGGCATGTCACCCTTCCCACAATGGTTAGGGTCGAGGGACTGTGATCATGGACCATCATCGCGTGGCCGTGGCCACCTCACCACTCAGGACTTCCTCAGAGTATCGCTCTGGCTTAGCATTCAATGATCTTCACTCAGTTAGAGACTATACGAGTAACGAGACAGATCTTAGAGAACTTTGAATATCCTCCAGGTGTTTGTTTCATGGCTGTGTGGTTGAGGGCTGCAGGACTGTCGACCACCATGAGCGTGATCATGCAACACAAACAAGACTGCACAGGCCTTTCCAATGTGCTTCAAGCTGTATGCTGAGGGTGGTTTCAGATTCAGTGGCTGGGAAGATGTTCTGAAACCGTCAAACACTGCCACGCTTCATGATCATTTGACCCCAACTAACACATTTGAACGTCATAAATGCATACCTCACTACGTACTCCGGGAGATCAGACGATACAAAACTTGGTAACCCAGCCACGCTCGTGCTCGTTGGCGGCGTGCCAAGGCAAACGGTCTAGGAGCACAGATCACGACTTGAGCCCATAAACGTGGTGTTCTCGATCAATTATCCGAATCTGGTCTGTGCTGTGCGTGGAACTAGTGGAGATCGTGGGAACGATGTCATCGCCTGAGAGGCTGGGGTGTGACTATTGGTGATGTCGTTGTTTGAATGTTGATAGTCTTGTATAGATCATCGACATAGCATACGGATTGCAGGTGTATAAAGAATGGATGATCTCTCGAGTTGTTGAGGTGAGAACCCGTTCTCTTTACAACATACACGTACCGTGAACACCAGGACAAGCGTCAAGCTCCGGAAAAAACAAATCACAAACGACCAATTGTCCGAGAAGATGCGTTTCAACTTCAACTCCATCGTTCTTTTCGTTTCAATGTTCCTTCTTCAGTTTGCATATAGTGCTCCGATCAGTAAGTTCTACACTCCTACCACCTCCTCTGTGATGTAACGGTAATAATGACTTATTCCGCCTAGCTCTGGACTCAAGGTCCTCTATATTACCATCAACTTCAATGGAGAAGCGAACGATCGGCGCCACCCGGCTTGCGTGTCTGACAGCAATGGACACAAAGTACAAGAAGTGTATCGGGACCGAGCCGAATGCAATAATGAAGCCCAAGAATTGGGCTAGATGTAAGGCTATACTCGAAGAAGCAAGATATGCCTGTTTCTGAGGGCGACATCGTTCGTACGGCAAACTCATGCCATCCATTTTACTTTTATGGTAAGTCCAATTCTACCACAGGATGCCTGCAAGGCGCTGATGAGGCGACTGAGATCTTAGTCTATCATGGTGATAGAGCTAAGAACGAGATACCAACAAGTGTATTGCTTAGGGCAAATCTAGTCAGTAACCAGGGCTGATTTCCGTACTTGATGCATCCGCATGCATGCGAGGATGACCTCTTGTTGACCTTTGGTATGCCTATCTCTACGGTAAGTAAGTAGTATCGATGCGAAAACACATGTTTCTTCACTGACAAACTCACAAAGAGAGAAATATCCAGAAGAGAAGCCCGACCTGGTCCTGGAAAGGAACCTGAAGCTGATGCAAAGTTCTCAAGAAACTTGACTTTGCGTCAATAGCATGATTTCTATGGTCATCGACTTCACAGCTGCAGGATGGAGAATGAAATTGTCGGTCCTCCATACCTAATCTCACAGCTTCAAAGGATCAATAATCCAAGACCTTGACCCTCCTAATTCCAGACTTGGATGCTGGAGGGTGAAAATTCTCTGACTCTGGCTGAAAGCTGTCTACTATGATTCTGATGGAGACCTGTTTCTGGAAGAGCTCACGATGTGCTATGCGTTCATTGGCACAAGTACGTCTCACGCAGAAATCAAAGTATCGCACAGTACTTAGATCAATTCTGATTGGCCAGATATACTGAGATCTATGTTGATTGACAGAACCCGAGTACCGCAAGGCTCACTTTCGCCCAGCGGATGAAGTTAGCTTTTTGCTCTGGTTCCTTCATATAATATACATTCATCAGGAGCCACGGGGCCCTATCCATAATGGTGGTACATCCCAGCTCCCGATCCTCTGAGACCACGGCGTACGTCATACCGTATACTGCGTACTATCTAGATACCTATAGGATACAAAGCATCCCCATCAAGGAAGCCGAAAATACCACGACAGAATGCTCGGTTGTCAGCAAGCTAAGAGCTGGATCCATATGTTTTATGTGCCATCTCGACATGGTGCTTCACTTCGTTCTTGCGACGGAAAGTCTTCGTACAGCCTGGATGTTCGCAAGGACGTCTCTGGTGCTCGTTCCATATATGGGTTTTATAGTCAGATGTCGGCAACCATAAGTCGCACAGAGGGCATTGGCTGATATCATCTCTAGGCATGATGAGATTAAATTGGTGAATTTTTCTCGTTGATATTATTTGTTCAGATGTGTAGAGTTTGGAAATATGGAGGTTCCTTTAGACTAGGTAGAAATGCAGATATTTATACCCTAGATCTATGCGTTTGCGAATCCCGTTCGTGTGCCTTCGCTTGACACATGTCCCGTTTATCGCTGTTCGAATCGTTCGACAGACGCCACTGGATGACTGTCGATCGAACGCGAGCGTTCGACCTCTGGGGGTTGTGCCATGGACTGGGTCGCCATCGGATTGCATAGTCATGATGGATGAATCCCACAAATCTCGCTGACTCGGATGTATTTTCTAAAATGTGAATTGCATCAAACCAGGATTCAGAACCAAGGGTAGCAAGAAATGAAACCCCACCACTATGCCCAAAGGAAAGATGGCTGTGAATGTGGTGATTCTGTAGTCGTGCGGCACCAGCTGTCCCAGAGGCCCCACTCCAGCCATGACAATCATAGTTGTGATCATAATAATGCAATAGGCAAAGGTGAACTTGAACCTTCGGAGAATGATGGGCACCTCCCGAAAGAATGAGGTGGACTTTGCTTCTTTGGCCGTGGCTCCCCATGTCATATCGACGCTGAATAGATATGAGAGAATTGCCTGCGAAATGTGCATGGAGATTCCACCCAGGTAAACAGTGAGCAAGAGTAACCAGGTGAGATTCTCGAAAAAAGCTCCCACCAAAGACCGATTCTCCACACGATAACGGAAGACGGCCAGACTGACTGTCCCTAGCGCCTGGAACACAATGACAATGCCGAAATAGATCTGGAAACTGTTGACATACGCATGGTCAAGGTATCCGTTGAACCAGCCAACTAAAAAGTAATTCATCAAGGTCAGGACCCAGGCGGATGCGATGGCGAAATAGGTGCCGATGTAAGCCAAGATGGTGATCTTGGCCATCAGGCTCATCGGACTGGTTATGAATCGTCGGAACATTGGAGTGATTGGTCCTCGTGTAGGCCAGTATCTGAATGGGTTGAATAAAAGCTCAGCACATCCATAAGCATATTTCTCCCATCGCGAGAGTTCGTCGTAGACGGTCAAGGACACGCCTTCCTTGAATCCGTCACCACAATATGTGCCGAATCTTAGGTCGTAGCCAAGGGACTGTAAACGAAGGGCCATGTCAAAATCTTCTGACACGGTATTTTCGGCCCAGAACTTCTCTATCCCGGAGTCGTCTGTATATCTGACGTCTTGCACCGCAGACCAGCGCAAAATTGCATTATGACCAATAAAGGCAGCAACGTCTCCATTGGCGACAGCGTATCGAATCGCGGTGTAGACTAGATTGGTGAAGAAGGTGATTGCTCGTTCGAAGAAACTCTGCGTCACATTGAGAACGGAACTGCTGAATTGAATGATCGCGATGTGCGGCGAAATTTCCATCTCCGAGACTGCATCCAGTAAACAATCTTCAGGTACTCGAGTGTCGGAGTCAATCAGGAGGATGTAATCTCCCATTCGAATGTCGCCACCTCCCCAAGCTCGACCCTTGTGTTCTGCAAAAACCTGATCAAATGCATTTTGGTAGCTTCGATCCTCGTCTTCTTGAGTCCATGCGCTTGTTCGTGACTCTTCGCTCATTATTTCCTCGATTCGATTACTGATGGCAAGACAGTAGTTCATGTTGGACGCCTTTTTGAATTTCCCCGCGCGAATGAATACATTATTACCGTTTTCGTCGCCCTTAGGAGCATGTCCTGGACGGGCGACCCAGCCGATATTGTTGTCCTCGTAGAACTGCACTCTTTTTCGCGCATCATCATCGGATATCAATTGCATGCCATCGTCGTTGAAGAAGATATTGGCCGTCCCGCCCTGTAGCTCATAGGTTGAGATAGCCTTATTGACTGACGTGACGGTAGGGATAATGACAGCCTCGAGTCCTTCCTTGAAGACAGGACACTGGATTGTAACATGGGGCAATTCCCTGTTGTGAAGCCGTTCAGAAGGCACGGCAGAATAGAACTTGGAATTCTCGGCCACTTGGTGGACTGGTCCAATCATCTGCGAAATCCCGTTGACCAGGGTGGTGAAGAAGAACCAGGCGAGCCAAAGTTGGAGAGGGGCTGCGGCAAGGATCGCGAGCCGGGTGTAAGTATGGTCGATGGCAATTTCCTTTGCTATTTCTCTCCAACCGATTGACAGACAGAAAATGGTCAAGATAGAAACTATCGCGACTAGAATTGATTGATAGATCCTTGTTTTTCGGGGTTTCTCCTCCTTGGTCGAGCTTTCACTCTTGGTTGAGCTTACCTCTGTGGCTTGGACGTCGACTTGCTTGGATTTTTCAATCATCTCTTTGCTGCGTTCAATCTGGGTAAAGGAACGATCTTGCGCACTGTCCAGAGTCCAAAGCATGTTGACCAGGTATTTCTCGATTCTTTCGGCGCGAGCGATCACCTCAGTGGGGTCTTCATCCCAGACAACCAGCGACCCTTGACTACGGACAAATGCAGCATAGTGATGGCGCTTACAGAATGACAGTGTACTCATGTTTTCAATGATATGAAGCTGCTGCCCATTACTGAAAGGGACAAATGGCAATTTGTACTCTTTTAGAAATAGCTGGATAGCTGATGTCCTGACAGTCATTGCAACCTATGCGAAGTCAGTATTTGTCGTCTCAATGCCCTGATTTCTTACTTTGACGTTAAGTTTCTTGATCTCGTCGTAGAATCCATTGGTATGCTTTGGTAGCTCTGCTGGTTGACAGATAAAATCATGCTTTCCTCTCTTCAGCACCACGCCCTCTGCGGTATTATCACTTGCCCAACGTCTCTCTAGCTGCTGCTGACGCAGATACAAGAGCATGACCTCATATTTGACATTGTTGACCGATACCGGCGGCCTGGATTCTGCTTGTGAGCTGCTGTTTAGAGACTCAGATTGCTCCTGCACACTGGCATGCGTGGGTGTGCTCTTTTCAGAGGAAGTTTGTGGGTTGTATTGGGTTCCTTGTTGTATTGTCAATCTAGGAGGTCGATTTCTTACCCTCCCGGGCTTCATCGTTCCTGGCATTGTATTGTCTGGTACAATTATGTCCCGTCGCCTAGATTTGTCCCAAAGCCGTGAAGTTTCTTCTAAGGAAACAGGATGGTGAGGTGTTTAAGCAGAGTTTCATGGCTTGTCCAAAAGTACGCAGCCCAAAGTGTAAAGCAGCCATACCAAAGGCAAATAGGCAATCCTATCCTTTTTAGACATACTTTCTTTGTAAGAGACTTTCTGGATGACTTCTAACGACTTTCACTTGGCCTGTGCGAATGATTCGATCGTATGGTACCGAACTTTAAACGACCCCATACCGGAATTAACACAAAGCCCTAGAGAACAAATGCGCAATCATCAATGCTTACCAGGAAAACGGTTCATTCTGTGGGATTATCCCGATAACTGGCAATATTCGTGTCATTTTTGAAGCAAGAGCCAATAAGTGGTCTGACCTCGAGGGCCCAGGGCATTTGTGCACGTTTTTGACCCGATCGTTCCTGATTTAGCGAAGCCATGGCATCTCGAGCGGTCGCCGAAGCACCGAACTTTTGGCGGTCCGTGCGTGTAGGATCTCGCCACTGGCCGTGGAGTAGATGGATGAGTCCATGACGAGAAACCGCCAATATCGTCTGGCAAGACCTGCGGAATTCGGCAAGACAAGTTAATGGGTGAGCGGCGAGAGACTTTCATAGACCCGGTTCATTACCAATAGTGCATCGAGCATAAAGTGTCTAGTCAAGTTGATATCTCTCTCAAAATACGTACGTGAGCTTGGCAGGCGCATGATGAAGCGACATGACTGTCAGAGATTTGAATGGATTTAGGTCAGCGCTCTTCTCAATCTCCCCCCGGTAGGTTGTAGTGTCCTGTGAGACTGCTTCTGAGAACGTTGCCAGCAAAGGTTTCGACTCTGCTCTCTCTCTCCATGGCGCCTTTAGCCTCCGGAACGGAGACCACCACCATCATCACTGAATCAGTGATTGAGGAAAACTCTGATGAGGCAAATTCCGAACAACCATCGCCTGGGACAGGTGAATCCAATGGCCCTTCACCCACAGCAACTGTGCCGTTGAATATGAGCATAAGTCATAACACCACGCCTTCTCATCGACGAGGAAGTCAACCAGGTTTCGTTGAAAGAACCAGCTATTTTCCCTCGCATTTGATGGGCGAAAATGTTCTCACAACAACTCCACCGGCTCCCCAAGTTGAACGTAAGTCCGCCTATGTCGGATCCAGCAGTAATAATACCAGCCAGCCAGGGTCAAGAAGAGCCTCACAAAGCTTATGGGCGAGATCCAAATCAGTGGCTGAAGCTTATGTCAAACCGACTTCTTCTGAGGAGCATACCAGGAGACGCAAAGAGTCAGGCGGTCGTCAAGAATCGATCGTGATAGTCAACCCATCACAGACGAACGCCGCCGAGTATGCACGAAATATGGCTCGCTATGGTGCGAGAAGCAGTTCAATCGATGTTGACAATCTGGAGCAGACCAACTTTGCGACTTCTGTCCCTCAAAGTCGCTCTAGCTCGTTCTCAAATAATCTGCGACGGGTTCATACCGCTCAAGGTCCGTTGCAGAGGCGAGAATCAGCTTCAGGTCAAGCTAGGAGGGAGGGGAATCAGTGGGACCGGCGATTGTCAGTCAAGGAATACTTCCGACCACAAGTCTGGGCTGATCAAGGGCCCAAAACCCCAACATACGGAAATATCACGCCTGTGGTGTCGAGTACTGATGATAGTTCAAGACCATCCTTGGACAGCAAAGATGCTCAAGGCCCAAATCTTGCTTTCCAAAGCCCAAGAAAATGGGTTTTTGCAGGCCCACCGTCATCAGGCTCGCATGCATCGCCACGGTTTGTTCGTCAGTATTCCATTGGAGACGACGTGATCGGACCTGTGATAAGCAGGCATCGATCTTCAATTGCTGTGATTGACAAAGTAGCCCCTCAAGCGGGAGTCTACTTCCGTTCAAGGCGCATCAGGGAAGTCGAAAGAGACATGTCGTGGCTCAAGCATCGGAAGGATCCGAAGAAGAAGTGGCTGACGATCATTCCCCTAATTGGAATCATATTAGGGCTGGGTGTCGCGGCAATCAATGTATACTTTGGGGTTCGATCGGTTCCGGTGCACAAGTATTGTATGGTGTATGAAGACGACTTCTCCAGTGGCCTGCTTGATCCTAGTGTTTGGACTTATGAAGTGCAAGTAGGAGGGTTTGGAAATGGTCAGTTCGAGGAAACAACCACTTCAGATGAAAACGTGTTCATCAAGGACGATATGCTTCACATTGTGCCCACGCTTCAGGAAGCCACTCTCCTGACCACGAACAACACGCTCAATCTCACTCAGCTAGGGATTTGTACCTCAGATATGTGGTACAATTGCGTCGCAACGACCAACACCACGAATGGCACCATCATCAACCCTGTCAAATCCGGCCGTATCAACACCAAAAAGGGAGCCAACATCAAGTACGGCAGGGTGGAGGTGGTCGCCAAACTGCCTCAAGGAAATTGGCTCTGGCCGGCGATTTGGATGATGCCGAGCGAGTCTGTCTATGGCGCCTGGCCCAAAAGTGGTGAAATCGACATAGCAGAATCGCGAGGGAACAACTGGACTTATCCGATAGGAGGGAACAACGTTATATCGTCGACGCTGCATTGGGGTCCAGACGCGGCGAACGACGCGTGGTGGAGGACTTATGGCAAACAGAATTCTTTGCGTTCGACATTCTCTGAGCAGTTCCATACCTTTGGCTTGGAGTGGAGTGAGGATTATCTCTATACTTACCTGGACGGGCGTTTGCTGCAGATCATTTACACCAAGTTCAACGTCCCATTTTGGCAAAGGGGGAATTTTCCTTTAGCATTCCCCAACGGCACAGCAATTGTCAATCCCTGGAGTCAGACCGGTAACCCTGCGACACCCTTTGATCAGGACTTTTATCTGATCCTCAACGTTGCAGTTGGAGGCACCAATGGATGGTTTGTTGATGGCAAGGCTGGGAAACCATGGGTTGACGAAAGCCCCACAGCTATGAGGGACTTTTGGAACGCCAAAGATACATGGTATCCTACTTGGCAAAACAACAATGGACCAGGGATGCAAGTCAAGAGTGTCAAGATGTGGCAACAGCAGGGTTACAATGGATGTGGTGATGATGCTGTCGACATTTCATGAGAGAGAAAAGACACATCAATTGGGACGAGGCAGTGGTGAGGAATTGTTTTGATGCCAAGAGCCACGTGATTTGGATACACAATGTCATCACGTGTCTGTGCATCAAAGGATACGAGAAACCCAGCGATGATCAGTGCGCAGCGTTCAAGCGGTTGGATGAATATATTGTTAGATACATGGTACACGATTTCGAGTTGCTAATCAAATGTCATGAAATTCTTTTCGTCGAGCGCTGAACACGTTGCCCATTTAGGGGTATATGCTGATCCTATTTGCAGGTGCAGCCCACGCCATTCCTCATCGTCAATCAAAGTACGCCGGAGAGGACCATGTCTAAACTCAACGGCTACTACTCTCATCTTTTGTGTCCCAAGACTAAAGTCCGCCCTGGTTATACACCAATAATAGATGTAAAAGGAGAAAGAGAGTGAAAATCACGCGCATCTTGATTCCTCCATTTTGTGTGGTTGCCGCTAGTTGTCAACGCCAATGTGGACATTCTTCTCGCCCTCAGGAAGGACATCGTGTTCCTTTTGGCCTGTCAGGGTTGGGAGTTCTGCGGCGGCTTCTCCAATAATCTGTAGAGCCTTGGCAATTTCTTCCTCGGTGATGACAAGAGGTGGTGCCAGCCGGATGATATTTTGATGGGTGGGTTTGGCCTGTTGGGGGTCAGTACAGGTTCGCTGGGTCCATATTCACACCGAGGAGAACTTACCAGCAAGCCCTTGGTCTTCATGAGCATACACAGGTCCCAGGCAGAATGGCCGTTAGTCTTTGACTCATCGATGACAATAGCATTCAGCAGACCCTTGCCTCTGATAGTGGTAATTAGAGGCGAGTTGAGGTCGCGGAGTCCATCGCGGAATTTTTGGCCAAGCTTCTCTGCTCGCTCAATCATCTTTTCCTCTTGCACGATTTCTAGAGCTCGAATAGCCACGGCACATCCAAGCGGGTTGCCGCCGTATGTGGAGCCATGGGTTCCGGGCTCAATGGTGAGCATGACATCTTTCCGGCCCAACACTGCAGAGACAGGATACATGCCACCAGAGATAGCTTTGCCGAGGAGGACCATATCCGGCTTGATCCCAGCCCATTCATGGCAGAGCAGTTTTCCCGTTCGTGCAATACCAGTCTGGATTTCGTCGCAGATGAGGAGGACGTTGTACTTGTCACAGAGCGCTCGCACCTCGGAGAGGTAGTTGTCTGAAGGGACGACAATGCCAGCCTCGCCTTGAATTGGCTCAACCAAAAAGCCGGCAATTTTGTCGCCATGCGACTCGAAGGCAGATCGAACGGCATCGACATCGTTGTATGGGATTATTTCTCCCGTGGCCGGGTTGACAGAGCCAACGCCTGGAAGATAGGGGCCATAGTTGTCGCGAGATTCGGGGTCAGTGGACATTGAGATGGCAGAGAACTAACACGTGAGTATTTGTTTACGTTAAAAGGAGTTGGCGTTAACAACTTACTGTTCGGCCGTGGAAATTTTCGGCCACGCTGAGAACCAGTGCTTCACCATCAGGGATACCCTTGGACTTATAGCCCCATTTGCGAGCAATCTTGATGGCGGTTTCAACGGCTTCAGCTCCAGTGTTCATGGGAAGAACCATATCAAAGTTGAAGTACTTTGTGACAAACTCGGCGAACCTAGGGAATACATCATTGTAAAAAGCCCTTGAGCTCAAAGTCAATGTCGAAGCCTGCTCTACAAGAGCTTTGACCAGTTCTGGGTGGCAATGTCCTTGGTTCACAGCAGAGTAGGCGGAGAGGAAGTCGAGATATTCGTGACCTTCAGGATCCCACACTTTCGTTCCCAATGCTCGCGCGAAAACTATTGGCAGGGGATGGTAGTTGTGGGCGGCATATTCATGCTCGGCGTGGATTGCTTCGTTTGATGAGGCGGCATGGTATCTTGATTTGTCGGGGGTTCCTGATGGGTGAAAAGCGGGAGCGGTGGCTTTGAGTTGGGTGCCTGTGGTGCTTCCGTTGACAGAAGTAACCCCATTCACCCCGTTTCCATTAACTGCAGTAGGCGACATTGTGGGAATTGGTGGTGGACGGTAGAATTTGATGCAATTGACGTTGGGAATTTAGGACGATTTTGATTGGTCCACAGCAGTCAAACCCAGGCACAACAGGCGTCAGAGGGAGTGATCGTGAGAAGAACAATAATACTCAATTCAGGCAATCTCGAATAGTCAGGGTTGGGTTCAAAGGGGGGATTTAAGAGATTTCCAAAGTTGATGTTGGCAAAGAGCAGGATTTGCAGTCAAGAAAGTAAGAGATATGTTGAGTTTCATCGACATAAGAATGCCATCATCTGGCAAATGGGCACAATTATATTTTATGTCTCCAGTTTCCAGTTGCCACATTACAATGGTCTGGTTGGGCATGTGAAGGACCTTTGCCATTGTTCAAAACTTACAGCAGTTGTCAGCGCCCTTCGCTATCCCTCTAAGTGCAGGTCGATCCCTAATGGAAGGAGGTTTCGAGGCATGATCGCTAAGAGCAAGCTTAACCGCGCCAAAAGACATGGGCCCCTCGGGCTGGCTTTTGAGTGGTGGTTTTTAAGGCTAAGAGTGCTCCAGGTGCAACAAATGCAAGGGGCTTAGGCTATCAAGAGCCGCTAGTGACTAAAACTTGGGGGGGGGGGGGGGGGGGGTTAATTGGGGGCAAAACAGGTGAGTGGGAGGTAGAGCAGGGCGGGAAATAGGCCATTGAGCTTGGACATTATTGAGTGTGGCACGAGTGGCCGAGGGGCTCGAGGGACCTTGCATTAATTGAGGGTGAGGGGCAGAGTTTGCGACTGGCTGGCCTTCTATCCCATGTACGGAGTAATAACTGCGCTTAGCTGCGGACAAATGGTCATCCCCAGCCTCGACACTGACGTCTCATCCCACAACCCACACAGTAAGTCGGTTCAACGTGCTACTGCATCTCATTCAATCCACTACCAGAATAAATTACATTACATGCAAGCCCACAGTGGCCCTATTCCCGATTTAAAGATTCGATCCTCATAATGGCCTCTCTTAAAGGTCCCGGCGCTCCCCAAAAGCACGATGGCTCCGACCTGCGCATCGCCATCGTCCACGCTCGATGGAACACTACCATTATTGATGCCCTGATTGCTGGCGCAAAAAAGGCCATGTTGGCCTCGGGGGTAAAAGAGGAGAATATTGTGATGGAATCAGTGCCAGGCTCTTACGAGTTGCCGTTGGCTGCACAAAAGATTTATGCCGCTTCGCAAATACAGAGTACCACAAGTGCGATCGCCGGAGGTGTGGGAAGCCTTGCAAGTGGTATTGGTGATCTACTTGGGGGCAGCAACTCAACTACAGATCTCCAAGGAAGTTTGCAGCCTGCACCACCTCAAGAGGAAGGACCAAGGGGATCAAGACAGGCGTTTGACGCAGTCATCGCAATTGGTGTTCTCATCAAGGGTGAAACAATGCACTTTGAATATATCGCCGACGCTGTCAGCCATGGGCTTATGAAGGTTCAGCTCGACACAGGAATTCCGCTGATCTTCGGTCTGTTGACCGTGCTCACCGAGGGACAGGGCCTTGCAAGAGCAGGTCTCGACGGAGGGACTGGCAAAGAAGCTAAAGGGCACAACCACGGTGAAGACTGGGGAAATGCTGCGGTCGAGCTTGGAGTCAAGAGACGAGGCTGGATTCAAGGTCAAATTGGAGGCTCATAACCACTCCTTACTCAAAAATTTACCAGGTAGAACGCAATGAGCATAGATCTTGCTTGATCCAGGAGAACGCAACAAACCAGCAGATGCTTCGAGGCAGATGCAGGCTGAAAGGCTTGAATTTCGCCCAATTCTGAAACCCCTGCCTGACCAGGTCAGACTCCAAATAATGCTACAGTGCCGACTTTGCTAAACAAGACAGAATCACTCCTGCATGGCATCTCCTTCTTCGTCCTCATCGTCATCGTCATCGTCCCCTTCAATGCTCTTCTTGGCTGCTTTGTCCGCCTCTTCAAACAGGTCTTGAGGAATGTGTTCATGTCTGCCCTGGGTGGGACCATCTAATGAGGAAATCCACGTAACCTCCAACTCGAATTCCTTGTCTTTAGAGTCCTCGTGAGCGACGTAGATGATTCTTGCCGCTTCCATCACAGCTTCTTTGAGGGTGAGTTCGCAGGTGGGTGAAGCCAGGTCTAGTTTCTCGAGTTCGGCTTTGGCAGCTTGTCGTCCTTTACCAGTAGCCGCGCCGTAATATCCCTAGGGCGGAGTTAGTATTTTTCTTCGTCCTCTTCATTAACTATAATGCCACGTACCCAGTAAAGGCCACTGGGCTCGATCATATACAGTCCTGGGCCGCCTCGTTTGACGGCTTCGTCCTCGACTTTCCCGCCCTTGCCAGTCTTAGGCCCATTGCCCACTTGGCCATCAACACCAATCTCAGCCTCTGAGTCCCAGCCAGCCAAAATAGCTGTCACTCCAAATGGCCGTACACTAGAGTAGAGAGTGTATGCTTGTACATAACCCCCGACTCTCGAAGCGAGTGCAGAAATAGGAATGGGGCCTTTGTATGTCTGTCTCCAACTGCTGGCTTCATCTCTGGCTCTGCTGGTGAGATGGCGACCATCTGGAATCAGCCCCGAAGTGACAATGCCGGCGTTACGATCGACGGTAGCTATCCTCTTATTGGCGCTGGGCTTCAGTAGCTTTGATGTGATGATCTTCTCAACAGCGAGCACAACGCCGTATTTTGTTCTGATGCCAACGGCGGTCCCACCATTCTCAACGGCCTTGACGGCGTATTCGACTTGGAAATTGCGGCCGTCGGGAGAGAAGACTGAATTCGAAAGGTCGTAGCCCGTGCCTATTGACGTCTAGAGAGGAGGATCAGTAGGTGCAATTGGCAGACATACAAGTGTAGCTTACCATGTTGAGACAAGGGAAATCAGGAGTTGGATGGCAAAGTAGACTTAGAAAGAGATCAAATGTCGATGGAGAACGGTGGAGGAGTTGATGTGCATTGGGGTTTCTATTTGGTCTTGCAACACCTTGACGTCGCGAAATCCATCGCAGGCGACCGAAAGCCGCGTCTTTCGCTCAACCTTCCTCAGATACCTCAGCGTGACTTAGCATGCTTGGCATCGGTACTTGGGCACCAACCCAAGACCGACATACGTGTCACCGCCTCTTGCTCCTTCCCCTTCACCCTTGACCTCATCACTTTCGTTCCTTCCCACCCTGCCTTCTTCCTCAACTTCCTTTTCCCACATCTTATAACCTGACACCTTGTTTGTCTTTTCCCATCGAGACAACTCTAGTATCTCTTCTTTCATGTTGAGTTGGATGCTAGACTTGTCAGATCACCATTTTCCTGCAAGAAATCATCTTTGAATCTTGCTTACCCCGCTTGTCCCCCTTATCTCCCTAACTCCCATCTCTTCCCTCTGCCTATCCGCCATTTGGATACGTATATCCAGATCGTGCGTCGTTACAACAAACAGAAGCAGCCTTTCTCCTGGATTCCGGACCTGAAATCTCCAGGACTCTTGGCCTTGACCCTAGCCGCCGGATCTGGAACTGGACCAGGATCGGGACCATTGGATTCCTGGCTCTGGAGCTTCTATAGCACGTTGTTCGTTTAGTTAGCTCAATACGATATTGAAGCCTGATTGTCAGTTTCTACCACGTCTCCCTCTTCCTCCTGGTTGATTTTCCTACTGCAATCGGAAGGTCTTTTACGTCTTGGGTTGTTTCTTTGTCAGAAGTTGCAAGAGATGGCTTCGGCATTCTACCGATGCCACCACTGTGGCTGTGAGACGGATCTCACCACCACGATGGCAGTCTTTGAAGACAACCCACATTGCAGACAGGTTTGTCCATTTCCCAATCCGGTTCATGACCTTCTGATTCTCGGGTCCAGTGCGGTCTGTCGACCTCCGAAGGCGATATCAAGATGCAGGATGACCTCATCAATCTGATGACGCGAAACCTGAACCTGAACCCCCTTCAGCATCAGCACCAGCAGAACTTGTCCATGCCTCCTACCCCACAGGTTGTCCCACAGCCAGCCCCCGTCACCTATATCACCCAACATTACCACCATTCCGGCCATCAAGCCCCAGCGCACGAAGTTTCAGTCTCGACGATCTTAGAGAATGTGGGAGTTGATCACTCAGCTCTGTTGCCATCCCAGTTGGCCTTGTTCAAGCATGCAGGAGAAGAGCAGAGGCAAAGATTGATAGAACTTTGGCAGATTTCTCCTCCAACATATGGAAATCAGATGCATCCATTGCATCTAGGTAACTGGCCCGAGGCGAGTATGGAGCGAGAGGAAGAGGCGGCGCGCTATCGTTTACAGATCGCGGAAGAGGAAAAGTCAAAAAGTATGCTGCCTGGTGTTGCAGGATTCGAGTCTCGAAACAATGCTGAACCCTACATTGTACAAGGTTACGCAAACTTGCCCAATATCAATGGCAATACGGCTCCCATGGAGTACAGAAGTGTTGCTGCGCCGAAGGAAGAGTATAAACCGTCGAGCGACCCGGCTTACAACAGTCGAGAGTGGTGGAATCTGTCTGATGACGAACCAATGGAGCACCAATATGGCATGTTGCAGGCGTATGCGTATGCATTTCCAGTGGACTATTCAGTAGCACGGCGAAGCGACGGAGATTCAGAGATGTCTTGAGGGGATGGTTATTTTGCATTGGTTTATTTCAGGTCGAGGAAGTTCAAGCATTACTGTGGATATTGCATTGAGTCGCATCTATGATAGATTGAAAATGTAGATAGCTTCAGAAGACTGTTTGCAGCATGTCATTCCCGGTGCATTTGAGCGTTTTCGCACAGCCACGATGTGATATTCCGAGACCATTAAGGGAAACCAGTTCATCAGTGAGCAGCCAGAGGCACAAGGCAGGGTATGCTGAGAAAGGGCAATAGTCAAGCACTTCTGGGTCTACGGAGTAGGGATTCACGTCGAGGATGATCCGTGGGGTGTGTGGATATGGGTGTATCACCTGTCGTTGAATTGTACCTCGTGGAAGCCCAAATTGATCAATAATAATGTCGCTTGTTAAATGATAGTCCGCGGGGCGATTCCGAACTCTATGCAAGATTCCAAGAAACATCCACACAGCGGCCCGTAACCGAAATAAGACTGATGGGGCCGAGGAGGCGCATCGATGGCAGGCCGTGGCAGAGCTACCAAGGTACCCAAACACTGCAGTGCTGCACCATGTGGCTGCGTTCCCACAGGTTAGGGTACCTTTCAACAGCCTCCTGCAGCTGCTAAGCATCATTCGGCCTTGGATTCTCCTGTTCATTCACCAGTCTGGTAGCAAGAAGTTGAGCTTATGTTCTTTATCGTTCTGTCATTTCTTTGGACACAAGATCAATTCCAACTGCCATGGGGTTGACATCTTGAGCGCCTTCCTAATACCATCGCCCCCACCGCGCCTTCCACGACTGAAGTCAAAAAGCATCATTGCATCGGCAACCACAAATGCGGCTGCAACGACAACGACAACTACAATTACACGACTTCAATCTACTACAATCACCTCCTTTAAGCGGCTTTAGTCTCAGTCTCCTCATAAGAGCCTCCGACGATCCCCTATCACAGCTCCTCTTCAATCGATCGCACAGCGACACCGTCGTGTGATGGCTGCCGTTAGCAAGCGACAACAAGCGCGAAATGAACGGGAACTTCAAGATCTCCTCAGCGTATCTGGGAACTCGGAATGCGCCGATTGTGGGGCAAAGAACCCATCGTGGGCGAGCTGGAACCTAGGGGTGTTTCTGTGCATGCGATGTGCATCCTTACACCGAAAGCTGGGAACACACATCTCAAAGGTCAAGTCCCTGAGCATGGATACTTGGTCTTCGGACCAGGTCTCGGTGAGTGACTCGATCGCCCCATTAACTTCACAACTGACGGTGAAAAGTACATGAGACAGAACGGCAACATCGCCAGCAACAAGATCTATAACCCAAAGAACAGAAAGCCTGATATTCCCCATGACGCAGACGAGGTGGACTCGGCAATGGAAAGATTTATTCGCAAGAAGTATCAAGAGAAGAGCTTGTCGGACGGTAGACCTGAACCTCCTCGTCGAGACGATCCCCCTCTCTATCCTCCAGCGACAAGTTCCATCCCCCAGGCCGAATCACCGCCTCCACCCCTACCACCCAAGAAAGGGAAATTCTTTGGTTTTGGTCTCCGCGCATCATCGTCTGCCTTGGGCTTGAAACATGACAAAAAGAAACAACACCATGAACCCAGGGTTGAAAGCACCTTTCACATACCCCGTGACGACTACCACTCACCATCACGAGCAAACGACGCGCGTTATGAGATGACAGATGCAGAGTTGCAAAAGAAGCTGGCCACGTTACGAGATATGGGTTTCACTGATACCGGGCGCAACACGAGCATGCTTCGACGTATGAAGGGCAATGTTGAACGGACGATTGAAGCGCTCGTTCAGCTCGGACCCAACAATAGTTCAAACTCGTCCGCAAGAAAGGAACCCTCGCCCAGCAGACTTCCGGCTTCTAACAACGAATTTCCACCAGAACCTCCTTCAAAAGGGACAGAGACCTCTAACAACCCTTACAACCACATTTCAGCAGAGCCCATTGTCGGCTTGTCCTTTTCAAACCCTCAGGCAACTTCAAGCACAGGATCTCAAGTATATGCAAGCAATAATCCGTTCGGGCAGATCCATGATCCGCAACCTGTGCAATCACAGACCGGACTTGAGCAATCCTTCCACTCTCTCCAACTAGCTCAGCCTCTGCAACCTCCTCAAGCTCTCTTCCCTCATAGTACGGGAGGGTACTCCAGTCAAGTTTCAGTTCAAGACCCCAGATATCAAACATCAGTGGCACCCCCAGTCCTGCCAATGCAGTATCAACAAGGCTACGTTGCTTCACCGGCCCCATTGCCAACAAACACGAATCCATTCTTTCAGCCTGCTCCCGCATCTGCTCAGTCTACAGGAAGCAACCCCTACCTTCAACAGACTTCGGGCAATGTGCAAGCTCCTTCATCACCATCGACAAACCCCTTTCTGAATCTTCAGGCTGGGACTCCAGTTCAGCAAACACAACTTCCTCGACAACAAGGCTCTTTGGCGTCCAATTTTAACCCGTTTGGTATTCCACCATCACCCACACCTGGGACCAGCCAGCAACCACATTCTCCTATAAATCAGCCACAAGAGATATATGGCGGAGCTCGCCCAGCATCGGCTTTTACACCCTCATCCGAGTCAAGTAATCCATTTGGTCAACAACCACTACAATCGGGTTCGCAGGGCTCTTTCCCTGGCGCTCAGGGGCAGTCGTCTCAGCAATATCTCAATTATCAATATGGTCTTCTTCAAGCGCGATCTCAGAGCCAGCCACAATTGCAATATCAAACGCAGCAACAATTGCAGCCACAAGTTCCACAACCCCAATATGCCGCCCAACAACTCTTCTCATCACAGTCAAATCCTTTTCAACAGCAATTCGGCCAGCAACCTCAATCACTTGCGCCGCAACCAACCATTCGTCATGACAGGAATTCGATCATGGCGCTATTCAATCAACCCCAGTTTGGCTCTCAGCAACTCGCCTCTATCCCTGAACCAGCTTCGGAAAACTCCAACGTACAGACCGTTTCATATCAGCAACAAGTTTCACCCGCACCATCGGGCGATATCTTTGGAAATCCCAATGCCCTAATTGGTGCAAAACGCAGCTCAACCATGCCTGTGTCCCTTCAATCGATGCATTCAGCAGGTGGGGCAGGAAGTCGAAATCCATTCATGACCAACACTCCGAGCATGCCGTCCAATGCCGATTACAGCTCAAACCCATTTGGAGGAGGCTACGGTACGTCACCTGGAACAGCTCCGACTATAGCCGCAAGACATGCAAGTGCTGCCAGTGTCAGTATCAATAATTTAGAGGGAGGTAGACATAGTCCAGATGCATTCGCATCCCTTAGCGCTCGCCATATGAGATGATAGTAAAGAATCATATTGGATTCGCAGGAACTTGGAATTGAGCTCCAGCAGCGATAAGCCTGGGATGGGAGATCTCTGTAAGGGAACGTGTCTAGACTCAAGTTTACACAAGGTGCGGTACTGGTTGGAAAAGGCTTGCAGGCTAGCATCACTCAGGGGATAATGCAGTGCGGACGGGAGCCACGAGTATTTCTACATGGAGGTGCAAGTATTTAGCCATGTGGCAAGAGGCGATGTCGATACATGGCTGAAAACCGCCGAGCTGCGATAATGCAAGCTGGTCAAGGATTTTGATTCTGATTGAGCGAGGTCAACTAGTCACAAACATTACCATGATGACTGAGAGAAGCATCAAGACAGAGTGTATTCGAGTCAATCATGAAAACAGGTCTGATTTCTATGACCAAAGTGGTATCATAGTGGACGCCTTACAGGCTCGAGAGAGTCATGAAACTTCTAATGTCTGTCGTAAAAATAGTCCTACATCTCCATCAAGCAAAGAAGAAGTAGGGTGGAGTGGACAAGGCCCTGCTAAAAGCCAGATTCTAATCTTCCACTTGCGATATTGGGACTTTTGGAAGGTCCCTGGATCCACTTCTTGATCATAGATAGATGAGCTCAAGATGCTTCCGGGCGTGGTAAAGGGGAATGTGTGAAAGGGAGACTTCAAAGTTGAAGAATCCACCAAATGGCAGAACCTACAGACGGCATCAATGCTTCCAGCTGCACCATCATCACAACCGCCATATAGCCATTAGAATCATCATGATTTTGTTAGTAGCAGTAGCAGGATGCAAAGCATCCAGAGCTCGATACACAAAAAAAGGTGTAGGCCGTCGAGAGAACACACTTCGAAGATATGATTGAAGTTGTTGAAACGTCAAAAAAATAAATCACAAAGAGAAGTCGAAACCATGCCAAGCCACCGACTCCCAAACCAGTTAAGCTCCCTTTCTCTCTCCTCTCCCCTCCCCATACAAAACCCTCCCGCCTCCAAATCTCACAACCTCTCTTCCTTCTTCTCCTTCTTTACACTTTTCAAAAACAGATATGGACGCATTCAAATCAACCGCCAAAGCCCATCCCAATGGCCTGGTAGGTCATAATGCGATACTAGACCGAATCCTTTATTTCGAGGCACTTTATAAGGCTTTCACCTTCGTGTGAATTCTTCGGGGTTTGCATTTATAAATGGAGGGGAAGTCACCTGCGTGCCGGACATTCATTTTTAGTAGTAAAGACTTTCTCTTTATCTTTTTTTTTCCAATGGGCATTTCAATTGTACGCAGACACGAGTTGATTCTGATGTATTATTGTCTTGATGCCGTCGTGGATGGAGTTTCCATCAGTGAAGGTATAATGCTTCGCTGTATGATCAACTCTACGCCGGATCATTGAATCATCACCCGCAACTTCTCCCCCGCATATTCGCATGCTGTTAACAATCTTTTTTTCGTAGTTGTTGACTTGATAATCAAAGAGTAAGTCCTCACCGTTAGAAGTGTCTATTGCATGGTCCATATTAAGCAGCTCCCTACCTCCCTACCACCGTCTCGACAGAATCTGCGCAGACATCGAACAGATCTTCAATAGAGCAATTTCCAACGACAAACCTCATCCAAACCACCAATTCAATCCCCATACCATTACCACCTACTACTCCCTCTCATTCATTCTCCTTCAACACAGACACACACACACACACACACGATGAAACTCCTAACCACCAACTTCCTCACCTGCGCCGTGAAAACATGCAAAACCTCACCTGAATCCTACCCACTCCATTTCCGCGACGCCAGCCTCCAAAAGACAGAAATTGAATTCAATCCTTTATTCATGCGCAACATCCTCCCACGGGTTAACTGGGAGGCTCTAAAAACCACTGCCCAAGAACTAGGACTCTCTAAGCTTGTTCCAGACAAGAATCCAATCGATGTGAATGACAGTGCGGCGGAGATTGAAGTCGAGCGGAATCGGCAAAACGAACAAGAGGAGGAGGAGGATGAGGACGAGGTTATGGATTTGGAAGGCGGCCAGGAATCTTCAGATCCAACGACGACAGCGACAAGCGAGGCAGATAATGTCGTTGGTGAAGAGGTTTTGAAGAATCTGCATGGTTTATTACTCGAGACGGGCGTCACGGAAGGGAAACTCGTCTGTGGGAATTGCGGGTTCGAATATCCTATCAAAGATGGAGTGGGCAATTTCCTCCTTCCGGCTCATTTGGTGTGAAGAACCTCTTTGGTAGTTGGGTCAACCCCAACAACTACCTACTCCCTTGCTGGAACGGTTCGAGGCTTTGAACCTCTTATGTGAGGATGGCTTTCCTCCTCCAATCCCGACCAGACACTTTCGACAAGTCAATACCACGAAGCAGCAAGCAGCAAGCGAGGTGGTTGGCAAAATGGCCAGGTACATGAATGATTCCGAGGATTCCTGGGGACACATAATCTCGTGCTCTGCAGAGATCACGGATATCTCGCCTCCGATGATGTCCATGCACAAATCGGGGGTTTCATGTGCCAGATTCTATGTATGGATGGGCTTCCTCCCCCCAATGAGAGAGACACTGTGAAACCGCACCAGGACGGTATTATATTCCTTCACTCGCGCTGAAGAAAAGCCAGACAGCCGAGCAGCACATGAAATCTGCAAATATCAATCCAGCGAAGCAGCCAAACAAGACCAAGAAACTCGCGCGCTCGCTCGATATAGACATCTCAAGTGTTTATAAATCTACTCACCGTCATCTGCGGCAGAGCATTAACACTACGTATGTGTTATGTACTGAGAGTTGATCAATCATCATCGTCTTTCTTCTCGCCGCTGGGTTCCCTCCACTTTTTCAGCAGAACAACATAGCAGGCAAGGCACTTTCATTCAATGACAAGCATGGCCCACACTGCTCTTTTATTCACCCTTGCCCTCTTCTCACTTCTCTGTGCTGGGTACCGTAGCCCAATATACAAGTACATCGGAATCAATGACTTTCAGATCTCCAGACCCTGTTGAGATGGAATGGGCATGCTGCCATGTCATGTCATCCATCTCTCAATCCCATGTGCGCCCGCCCACTGACTGCAAGTTAGCCGGCCCCGTTTCACACGACACGCCGTCCTCAAATCGACTGGTTGAAACAAGTCCAGGGCGCCCAACTGGCCCGGTTCGGTTGACGTCCACCCTCCCATGCTTGATATGCAAACTCCAGAAAACTGTGTTCCCATGAACCCTTTTCCATGCAAAATAGATGCTTCGCCTTGGTTGTGTCTTGGTTTGTAGAGAGGAGAAACGCCAGAAAATATCATGTATTCGAATGAATGTGCGGCCAAAGGATAAGGGATCATTATTGGGTCGTTCGTCTGCCATTGAGCACCTCGGCCGACCGGCAGTGACGGCAAAAAGGATATCGCCTGAGAGTTGAGAACTAGTTGAGAAACCCTTTGCAGACAGCGGACCCGCAAAGACACGGAATCCGATCGTCGCTGTCGATTTCACGTTCGAATTTGTAGTCGTACGTGAGTTCCTCATCTGTACACAGATTAGCGACGAAAACAACCAACCAATACGCCTGTTCTTACCCTTCTCAATATCTCTCAAAGCATAAATGACGATCCGTTTGGTGCCTCCAACCCGTATGATCTTGGCCGTGCAATTGGGCGAGCAACTGTGATTGATGAAACGTGCAATTCCTCCCTTTTTAGTGGCATCCACGACTGTGCCTTCGTCGATCCGGAAAAGATAACTACTACCAATTCCCATCTCAGTGTACTTGACCTCTCGTAGATCGGCAATCTCCTGCCGAATCTTTTCCCCAACGTATTCGATAATCATTTCACTCGTTTGAATTCGTTCCAGAGAGTACAGACCCCAGTTATGGATAGCTGACCTGGCGAATTTGACTGGCTTCTTGCGCTTCTGCAGTTGATTAAATCGTAAAACGTCTGCATCATCTCCAATGCTCTGCAGCATTTCTCGTTGTCGGTCAAGATCTTTGACTGTACGGCGATCGTCCGCACGTTTGCCACGGGATGAGGCCTTGGGGAGCTCCACGGCCTGTTTCACAATTCCTGAAGGATCTTTCTTTGCCTCGGCTTCCCGTTTCTCTCGTGCTTTCTGCACTTTGATACGGTGAGGCAAGTACTTTGATTTCTCAGACTCCAGAATCCTTCGGACTGGTTCAGTCCTCGCAGATCCTGAAGCATTTGGAACATAGTAACCCTCGATGGTAGGCCCAGTCCTAAGTGCCCCAGGCTGTGTCCCAGGCTTGAAGTTCCGGATTTGTTCTTGCTTCCAGGCCCAGGCCATTGCGTTGCCGATGTCCATTGGTTTCTTCGGCTTCAACGCGGCAGCGAGGTGCTTTAGGTCCTCCTCGTCGAACAAGCTGGCTTGCCATCCTCGAAGATCTGGGATGATTTCCTCGTCATCGTCAACCGTGGGTTGGGGCTCTTCGGCGGAGACGCCCCATTCGACTTCTGGTCGCCATTCCGCTGCCGTCGCGATAGCCTCCTCTTCCTCTGCGAGCTCGAGGACATTATCCACAACCTCAGCAGCTTCAGCTTCGGCTTCGGCTTGTCGAAGGGCCTCCTGTTCTTGCTCTAGAAGGATCTGCTTCTTTGTTTTCTTCGGCTTGGGCTTGAGTTGTTTGACAGCTGCAGGTTTCGGCGGCTCCAGTTCGACATCAGGAGTCGCTTCTACCGATGTTTCAGCGCCCTGCGTTCTGACCTCTTCGGAGCCTTCACGATCACCAACTCCAAACAACTCCTCGTCGGCCTTCTGACGTTTGCGGGCTTCCAGCTCCTTGACTAATCTCTTGCGCTTTCTTGACGATGGTGACATCTCATAGATGTTGCGTTCCAATTTAGCGATGATAAGGTCTTCAGCACTGGTCCGTGTCGTATCAACCTCGCCTTTAACTGAAGTGTCCGGCATTTCCGAGTCCTCACGTGCAAGATGCCGCCTTTTGGCGCTTTTCCGTAGAAGATCATCTTCAGCTTCAGAGACAGAGGTCATGCTCATTCGAGAAGCTGGTCGGCTCTCAAGGTCTTCGGTGTCTCGCGTGAAGGAAGTTCGCTGTTCATCTTCCGAATCGTCTTCGTCATGGAATTGAGATAGCTGGTGGAACAGGGGACGCACGAACGGTCTCGAGGGTGGGGCTTTTCTCCGCTCGTCACCGAAAAGCGCAACACCGCGATCAGCGCCGGCGCGCTTGTGGATTTTTGGCAATGAAAGAACATTGGATATCTTGCCTTGTCGTCTGTTCCACGATGAGCCGACACGAGAATCTGGAGTTTGAGACCCATCGTCTGCTTGTCGTGACTTCTGAGACCTTTCTGAATCGTCCAACCCAAGAGCCTTCCGCCGTGCAGCGTGCCGGCTAGGATCCAGATAGTCAAACAGTACTGGCGCAGCTATGCGTGACTTGACATCCTCGAGTAGTTTGTCCCGAAGTTCTTGAATAACCAACTGTACCACGGCTCTTGAAGGGTCCAAGTCACGCGCACGTTGGCGCTTCTCTTCCTCCAAATCCAGGTCGTGTTCCTTGCGCAATCTGTAGGCTTGCTTTGAGTAGACAAAGTCGACAGGTCCAGAGGGTTTCACCGGAGTCGAGTCGGACAAGATACTAGTCTTTCCATTGCCGCTTAGATGAAGTTCCAAGTTCATCATATATGTAAACAAAGGCTGCATGTGACAGCTGTGATACATTTTTCTCGCTTCCATCTGACCGTTGCGTGACTCTTCAAAGATGACAAAGTATCCCGTCTCATCGCAGCGAACATCTCTCCAATCGTACATTCTCAACCTTTTCTTCAGATGTGGAATGGTAGTTGCCATGACGGGCACGTACGCGTGAGCGATGAAAATATAAGGCATTGTCAAGGTTGGGCCGATCGGGTCTGTTTCTACCACATGCGGCCCGGTAGCCTTTGGGACTGCGGCGGCTTTTTCAGACTTGATCGGCATCGTCGGCGGTGTAGGAAAGGTGGACGGAGGGCGAGCCATTGTCTTCGCTGATGGGCCTTTCGGGGCTGTCGGCGGAGGGCCAATGGATTTTGCGAATCCTGGCGACTGAGTAACAACTGCGGTCGTAGGAGACGGAGAAGGTTGCGTGCGCGGCTGGTTCGTGAAGCCGCTTTCCCTGCGATGAAGTGCAATTGCCTTATCCACCAACTTTTCGGTGGCAGTTCCATCTCGATCGAGGGCTACTTGAACTGTTTTCAGCCCTATTCGTTGTCCTCTTTTGCCTTCAAGGAAGGCGGTCTTCGCAGCGAGCGCGGCAGAGATGGGTCCACCGCCCTGAAATGATGCGCAATCTTGGTACTCGATACTACAAATGCCCAGAAAACGACCGGTGACTGGATCGGTCTTGTTGTCCAAATCAGCAATGTCGCCAAAGCTGGAGAAGAGGGCATTTATCTGCGACAGTGGCGTCATGGGGTCGAAGCCTGTAACAACGATGATGGTGGCGGGAGAGGAAGTGACGGTAGTGGTAAGGTCGGGAGTCCACGATTTGAGATTGTATGGTGCCGGCCGGAACTTGGACTTGCCTTTGCCAGCTCCTCCTTTTGTGTAATTCGGAATGGCTAGGCGGGGATCGGGGGGTTTAAAATTATCAACTGAACTTGTACCGAAATCTTGAAACTGCGCTTTGAGTTTCCGCTTGTCTTTTGTATTGAGATTTCGGTCGAGTTCTGGGTCATAGGTACATTTGGAGCCCTTGACTTGAAGATCAGGCCCACGGGCCATCCTTTGGTGGGTGGGAGGTGTGTGAAGCGGCGTGATGGATCCATGGTTGGATTTGGGGACGGGATTGATGCCATCAATAGCGATTTGAGGAGTGCTATCGGTTGTTGGGCTTATGGTGGACTTTGTGTTTGATGGGGAGTCGGAGCTGGTGAGGGGGGTCAAGGTTGTGACATTGTGATGGTTTGAGGCGGTCATTGCGCCGTGTAAGAGGTTGGCGGTGAAGACCGAGGAGGCGGTGCTAGAGGAACTGGCGGAGGCGACACCATTGAGAAGATCGCCAGCGAGATGATCAGCTTCGTCGTGGATGTTTGTCGTGCTATGCAGCTTCAAGGAAGAGTCATGTTTTGACGCGGATATCGCTTCGGCGGTGATGGAAGTTGAGTTTACTGGAGCGTGAACAGAATTCTCCAGGCTCTTTTCATCTCGGTTATGCGCGAGAGGATTATCTGAGAAAGGTGGATGGGATTCGAGAGACCTTGAAGGCTTTGGCCGAGATATGACGCTGGGAGCGCTAGGGAAGAAATCAGCGAATTTGCTGCCCAGCGGGCGCGACATGTCCTGGTGATCAGCAGAACAAAGTCGCGCTCATGTTCGCGTAGGAACTGATTCTCGATCAAGGCGCAGAGGGCGTTGTGGTTGATGAAAGAAAAGGCAGCGGGCGGTTGCAGAGGCTGACCAGTCGGCCAAGGTGGAAGGAACGCGTCGGTGACAAAAATCGGAAGGGGCAGAATTCTGGTGTTGGCGCAGGTGCAATTCCAAGATGGGGATTTGATGACTGAATAAAGGCGGCCCCCAAAAACGCAGCTGTGGCTAGAGCAGAAATGGACAAAGTTGAAGGAGTGAAGGAGAGAGATGATGGGAGAAACCGTGTCCCAAGTGTCCAAGTGTCGTTGTCGTCTTTTCAGAAAGTCTGCCCGGCGGCGTAGGTGGAGTTTGGAGGTCAATTCGACTTGGACCAGGAAGAGACTCCTGCGCCTGTGAGTTGCAAGCAGAGGCCAGCAATGACTGGACTAAGTGACTTAAACGAGCTAGTACTGTAGCGTGCGCAGTTGCGAGAGCAAAATGAGTGTCTACTTGGGTGCAGCGACGCTGCTGAGCGCATTTTAGCCGCACTAGTCACTAGCGTGTGTTAAATCTATCATCATCGACAGTTAGAGACTTGGCATGATTTCTTCCTAGTGATATGCATACGGAGTATGTTCGACTGCGCCCAATTCAAAAGAAGAATCCCTCTCACCCACCTACGCGATGCCTCCGTACTCTCTCTGTGTTTCACACGCAATCAATACGGGAGAGTATGCATATGGTATCGTATAGTTGCTATGTTCCTTCATCAGGTCTGATTCTCATGTTTTCTCACCGTCGTCCAATCAACCCTCACGTTGTACCACTCCTCCCTACAGGATACGACCCCCGTCACAATCACCAACATCCAACCGTCTCGAGCTCCTGGTCTTTTGACCCATACATTGCGTGCCAGGTTTGATAGAAGAGCTGGTCTACGGTCAGAAAGAGTGATACAGGACTCTCAAGTTTGTATGCCAGAATCACAACACCCTATGTCAAGTAATAAGGGCTTTTCGACCCTTTTTGCGTTGATGATTCCATTCCTCATCTTGCTAGCTATTTCTAGAGCTGGTTTGCCCGATTTCCTCAATCAGTTGAACCCTGTCCATCGATTAAGTGCCTTCACACCTACTGCGCAGTCTGCTATCCCGCTTCAGGGAACGCTTCATATAAGTATCCTCAACGCCACAACACGCTTTTGACGGGAATTGCGCAACCACGAGACAAAACCATACAGGAATAAGAGTTAGGTCCATCAACAAGGCAGCAGCAAGTGCAAGTGTCCTAGATAACGTCGTTGGTCTTAGGACTAGTTTCGTGTGCCTGTCCACTGGCGAGGAGCACCAAAGACTGTTGACGCACAAGGAACGAATTCGAGCAGTTTCGTCTTATTGCTGAAAAATTCCTCATAAGGCATCAGGTCCTCTGACTTCTGCTCAATTCCAGTTGCACCTTTGAAGATGAGGAAGATACCAGAGGGACTGAAGCTTGAGAAAGAAACACTTCGCGTGTGCATACCTGTCAAGTCAGCCATGCTGGCACCAGAGTGATCTCAGACTTGGAGCAGCCATTCTCATTTTTACAGGGGCTCTGCAAGAGACACTTCATGCATAACGAGCAACTTGATACTCAATTGGCATATGCTATGGGATGTATAACTCGTTCTCTCCAGCTGCTCTTATTGGCCACAGTAGGTTGTTAGATAGCATCGTAATTCTACATAGTAACACAGACCACTAGAGAACCCCATTATGCGCTTCGTACAGCTCAATGGCCAACCAATTGAGCAAAAGCACTGCCTTCCAGATACGAAGCAACAACGGCAAGAACCGATTCACGTGCCAACTACACGTGGTTCGACAGATGACCAATGCATCCAAAACGACATGTGGCAGATCAAACAACTTGATGCCCTAATCATGGGTGGCGTCTCATTATCCTAACAGGGGGAGGCTGAGACCATGGTAGGACCAGGTGGCCCTGTGCAAACTGGCCCACCCACAGCATCAAATCCGGGCTGAGCCACGGACAGACGCGCCACCAGGAATTCTGTGTCTATTGCAGTATTCACTTTTACAGATTGCAGTGCAGGAGCAAGATCTCATATTATAATCTGATGACATGTCAGAAGATCAAACCTTTTTATAGCGGATGTTCTTGAAACCGAGTTAGTAGCCCTAGGTGATCTACGGTACGGACAGCACGGAGTAGGTTTGGGCAAATGTCAAGGTCGTTTCAAAGGACTTCTATATTTACCTCAGCCCAGTTGACGCCACAGGTTGTGGCACAGAGGGTACGCAACATGTCTGGGCCGAGGGACTGTTGGCCATAGGCGCGCAGGTACGCCTACCGTGGGCGTGAAGCAGGTGACACACAACCCCACAGGCAGGTTTCACTAGCATGTTTAGCTTAGCTTTTAGCGAAGAGTTCACCGATCCAGGCCATACAATATTAGACTACTGTACTCCGTAGAAGCATTCGTCATAGCTAGTCTGTGGAGCTGAAGGAATCTGAAGGAGGCATCTCAGCGGATTCAATTAGTTTCGAGGTGCTAATCATTAGAATAAGACACAATTACGGAGAAAAAATATGGATTGAACCTGGAGAATTATAGATTAGTGGCCACAGTTTGATCGTTGAGTACTGTACCTGCTAGATGGAGATTTCAGGGCCGTGTTTAAGGTAACTAACTCATGTTCTCTGAAAGCCTGGAAGACTCTAACCATGATCGAACAACTCTGCAGGCGGTCAACATGTGCCTGCCAAGGAATCTGTTTCAGGCCTGGAAGGGGGTTGCTATGCAGAAACAGAGTGCGATCTGACTGGTTGCGGTGGCACGGTGTTCACAAACCAAAAGTCACTTGGTAGGTGGATGTTGGCTATGGCTCACTACTGGTAGGAATAAGAGGGGGCCAAAATGTGGGCAGCAACGCACTGATAGGCCCCAGAATTGCTTGGAAGCTGATCATTGAGACTTTTCAAAGGGGCTTCGTCTGACATTTGTGGCTGCTTTCGGACAATTTCTAAGTACCAGGCACCAAGTGTCAATAGGTGTTCAACGGTTCAGACGCTCAGAACCAGATTTTGCAGATCAGTGACTGAGCACAAGCCAACCTGAGACTGGAACTGGCGGTGCTGCTCAGCCGAAACCTCCTAGCTTGAACATCCTGGACATCCTGGTCTGTTGGACAGGAGGGGCTGAGTGGCCTCCCGCGGCCCTTTAGGTAGGTATGGAGAAGGGTGGGTGGCCACCGTAGCGTAGCGTAGCACGTATGTAGAGAACGAGGCGGCCCGTAAATAAAGCGCCGCAGTCTTGAATCCCATCACTTACTCTCATAACAGCGCCATCATCTCGTCGTCCTCGTCAGCATCTGCAACTGTTGCCATTATTTCTCGTATTATATCCCTTGGCCTTGAGTCCTTCTATCATCTCGACCCGCCTCTTGCAGCTGGCCACTCTTTACACACCTCCTCTCACCTCGCTTCGGACCCGTCATCTGTGTGCGGCTGACCCGTCCCCTTGTTTACCATTCCCTGAACGGTGCTCCTTCTTTGTTTCTACCGCCAGATTCATCCCATTCCTCGTTCAGCCACTCCTAACTCTTGACTTTCAAAAGTCTTCCTCCTCTCACCTACCACTTTCCTTTGCCACAGTCCCAGCCTGCGGTCATATCCACCACACTCGAAGAATAGTCGTAGAGCTCCACGATGTGGTACGTTTTGCCTTGTTGACTATACCAGAACCTTAGGGCTGACATGGGACAGTGGCATCTTCGGTTACATCAATTATCTGGTCGAAAAGGATCGTCAATACATCCTCGACACATTGCTCAATGGTATGTTTTTTCTCGCAACGAATCATTGGTGGCCCGAATCTGACATTGGTGCTTCCTAGGCCTTACCCGGCTAGAATATAGAGGGTATGACTCGGCCGGTCTCGCTATTGACGGTGACAAGAGAAATGAAGTCTTTGCGTTCAAAGAGGTGGGCAAGGTGGCCAAACTCCGTGAGCTGATTGCAGCCTCCGGTGTCGACTCAACAAAGGTCTTTGACTCTCATGCTGGTATTGCCCACACCCGGTGGGCCACCCATGGTCAACCATCCAGAGTCAACTGCCATCCTCACAGGTGAGCATGAGAAGACCACAATTCTACCATCCATCCCGCTGACAATCTGTGTTAGATCTGACCCCAAGTGGGAGTTCGCGGTCGTTCACAACGGAATCATTACAAACTACAAGGAGTTGAAAGCCCTTCTCGAAGGCAAAGGTTTCAAATTCGAGACGGATACAGATACCGAGTGCATTGCCAAACTAGCCAAATTCCTCTACGACGCCCATCCAGACATCGATTTCACCACCCTCGCCAAGGCGGTCATCAAAGAGCTCCAAGGCGCCTTCGGTCTCTTGATGAAGTCAGTCCACTACCCTCACGAAGTCGTTGCTGCTCGTAAGGGTTCCCCCTTGGTGGTTGGTGTCAAGACCGCCAAAAAGATGAAGGTTGACTTTGTCGACGTCGAATATTCCGAGGATGGCGGTGCTTTGTCCGCCGAAAGAGCCAATCACAATGTCGCAGTCAAGAAGTCCGCAGCTGGCCTCCTTCGGCCTGGTGGTCTCCTGGCCCCTCCTGACAAGTCTCTTCTCCACAGATCGCAGTCTCGAGCCTTCCTTTCTGATGATGGAATGCCTCAGCCAGCGGAATTCTTCCTCTCTTCTGACGCATCAGCCCTGATTGAGCACACCAAGAAAGTCCTATACCTCGAAGATGATGATATTGCCCATATCCACGAGGGTCAGCTCAACATCCACCGTCTGACCAAGGATGACGGCACTAGCAATGTTCGCGCCATTCAGACCATTGAGCTCGAGCTTCAAGAAATCATGAAGGGCAAGTTTGACCACTTCATGCAAAAGGAGATCTTTGAGCAGCCCGAGTCAGTGGTCAACACAATGCGTGGTCGCCTGGACGTTGCCAACAAGACCGTTACTCTTGGTGGACTGAGACAGTATATTAGCACCATTCGACGCTGTCGACGAGTCATCTTTATCGCCTGTGGAACAAGTTACCATTCTTGCATGGCGGTCCGAGGCGTGTTTGAAGAACTCACAGAGATTCCCATTGCTGTAGAACTGGCATCCGACTTCCTCGACCGACAAGCACCAGTGTTCCGCGACGACACCTGTGTGTTTGTGTCGCAGTCTGGAGAAACAGCCGATTCTCTCAATGCCCTGCGGTACTGCTTAGAGCGCGGCGCACTGACCGTTGGTATTGTCAACGTGGTCGGTTCATCAATCTCGATGCTGACCCACTGCGGCGTCCACATCAACGCTGGACCCGAAATCGGTGTTGCTTCGACCAAGGCGTACACCTCTCAATTTGTTGCCATGGTCATGTTTGCGCTATCTCTTAGCGAGGATCGAGCATCCAAGACCCAGCGTCGACATGAGATCATCGAGGGATTGGGCAAGGTTAGCGACCAGTTCCGGGAGATCCTCAAGCTCAACGACAAAATCAAGGAAATGTGTGCCAAATTCCTCCAGAATCAAAAGTCGTTGTTGTTGCTTGGACGTGGAAGCCAGTACTCGACTGCACTTGAGGGTGCATTGAAAATCAAGGAAATTTCCTACTTGCATTGCGAGGCTGTCATGTCGGGAGAATTGAAACACGGTGTCTTGGCACTTGTCGACGAGAACCTACCCATTATCATGATCTTGACAAGAGACGACATCTTTGCGAAGTCATTGAACGCATATCAACAAGGTAAGAAGACGTGGAGAACTGCGAGATATTTATCAAAGCTAACTGATTGTTCTAGTGATTGCTCGCAGTGGTCGACCAATTGTTATTTGCAACGAGAACGACCCCGAGTTCCCACCTGACAAGACGGAGCGCATTGAGGTACCAAAGACCGTGGACGCTTTGCAAGGCCTTCTCAACGTCATTCCCCTACAGTTGATCGCGTACTGGCTGGCGGTCGCTGAAGGATTGAATGTTGACTTCCCTCGCAATTTGGCCAAATCCGTCACGGTCGAGTAGATAACTTGTGGGCTCAACGCGCGTAATGTTAGACGAGGAAGGGAATAGCATGTATGATAGAGTGAAATGAAGGAAGCATTAGGCGTAGGCTACATCCATTATAGCAAAGGTCGTGTATCTTTTCGGGGCCACAAGACTGGTTTGACTAAAGGCTGCACGGCGCAGATTCTCAGATCTCAATATCACGATCCAAAAAATACTATACTTTGAAAATTGGCTTGGCTGTAGCTGTAGCTTAAGGTTTATGAAGTTGAATAAACAAAAAGTGTGGGTCTGGGGAAGGTGCCATGGCGAGGGTGTGTCGTTCTTGCCAGATGTGTATTATTTTCACCAAGTATCCTGCGCTTCTCTGGGTTCTTGCGTTGACCACGTTTTTCATTTGGTCGCATATGACCGTCGACCGCACCATTTACTTCACTTGTTCATTTTGCTATGGGTCACCATCTCCAATGTAGACGCTGGCAACCTCAACCTGCCAAATCAACCCGTGACCATGACTGAAAAGCCAGCATCAGGTGTCATCTCTCGCCCGGACCCAGAACCAAGGAGCGGCCAACTCAACACCCCCCGCAACCCCCAAAACGTCTTTGCCTTCTTGATTGCACTGCGGCTCGTCAACTCTTTGACGATTCAGACATTCTTTCAGCCTGATGAGTATTTCCAGGCCCTTGAACCAGCATGGCAGCTTGCATTTGGAAATGATGCTGGAGCTTGGATAACTTGGGTCGGTAACATGTCTCAACGAGGTGCCTTGAATGTTGCAAGTTGACAATCCGTCATAGGAGTGGAAAGAGCACTTGCGATCGGCTCTGCACCCAGCCGTATTTGCCCTGGCATATCGAGCCACCGATGGGCTGGCAAATTTACTGAAGTTGAACCACATCCTTCGCGCAGATGCCCTGCTGGCCGCTCCCAAAGCTTTACAGGCCTTGCTTGCCGCGATAGGGGATTTGTACACCTGGAAGCTTGCGCAGGATATATACGGGACAACCTCAACGGCCTCACAGGCGGCGCTGATCTTGGCCGTCATCAGCCCCTGGCAGTGGTTCGTCTCGACTCGAACATTTTCCAACTCGTTGGAAACCACTCTGACCATCATCGCCTTGTACAACTGGCCCTGGCACTGGGGCATTCCTACCACCACTCAGGCTTCTGGGCCAAAGACTAACTCGCGAAGTCTTCGCGCCCGCCAGGATCCAGACACATCTCTTCAATCTACAGATCAAGTGACGCGACTTCGCCGAGCATTGTTGTGCGCTGCTGTTGCTACAGTTCTGCGGCCGACAAACATCCTCATATGGATCATTCTGACAGCTTCAACAGTTTGGCGACTGTCTCCCTTTTCCATCACGTTGGTTCATTCTGAACGGATTGCTTTCATCTGTGAGACGATCCTATGTGGAGGCATTGTGCTCGCATTGTCCGCCATCACTGATCGCTTGTTCTACAATGACTGGGTATTTCCTCCGTACAATTTCCTCAAAGTCAACGTTTTCGAATCAATAGCCGGGTTTTATGGCAACAATGATTGGCATTATTACCTCACGCAAGGATATCCGTTGCTGTTGACCACAAGTCTCCCTTTCGCGGCATGGGGAATTTGGCTTTCGTTATCAGGAGCTTTTCCGGTAGGGGCCATGCCGGCAACAGCACGCAAGACGTTATGGCAACTATCTATTGTCAGTCTCCTGGTACCATTTATGTTTTCCAACATATCTCACAAGGAAGTCCGTTTCATATACCCACTTCTCCCAGCTCTGCATATAATATGTGCGCACCCTTTGTCCACCTTTTATGGCCCGCTCTTGGTAGGGTCTGCTACGCCAAATGCACGCCCAAAACCTCGAAGACTCATTCCCCTCCTCACTTCTCTGCTGGTCAATCTCATCCTCGCCTTTTACATGACCCAAATCCATAATTCTGGTATCGTTGCCCTACCTAATTACCTTCGTCAGGAGTTCGAGTCGTTCTACACCACTCAAAATCAACCACAGAACCTCACTTTTGGTCTTCTGATGCCATGCCACAGCACGCCTTGGCGATCGCACCTACAAAACCCTGCCACAGAATCGACTGCAGGAGTACTTGGCTGGGCATTGACATGTGAGCCACCATTAGGTCTCACAGTAGAAGAGAAGAGAACATATCTCGACGAGGCGGACGTTTTCTACCAGGATCCAAACTTGTGGTTAAAGATCAATATGGAGAGGGAGGCGCCCCAGGCAGCTGACAGGCGTGGAACGAGCCCACGCAACGTCCATGGCCAAGGGGGCAAGCCTACGCGAAAAGAGCGTGAAGACATTGGTGTCCACGCTCCCGACACCCGAGAAGGGCGGACTTTCAATTTCGACCCCGCGAGACATGCGTCGAGCCTCGACTGGGACGCTATCAAGCAGTCCCCGTGGTGGGACCTGGCACTGCCGGAACAAAGCCAAGCTCCAGGTGGCCTACGCCCCCGTCGTCCATGGCCTCATTACCTCGCCTTCTTCGGGCATCTAGAATCGACGATGCAGTCAGCGCTAAGAGGCAGCGATTACGTCGAGTGCAAACGGTTCTTCAATAGTCATGCACATGATGATTGGAGAAGGACGGGCGACGTGGTCGTTTGGTGTTTGAGGTAGAGTGCAACATGGTCGTCTCGACGAGGCAAAAGATATCAGGCCAATGGTATGAGTTCTCAGTTGAATGCCATCTCATGATTGCCGGACACATTCCAGAGCCCCACCACCAGAGTCAAATTGACGCTCAGATTGAGGTTCGACGTGGCACACTTTAGAAACAATGCTATTGGTGCAACTGATGGAGATGCCAGTGACTCGAAGGGGTAGGTAGACACGGTAGAGTCTACATACCTAGTACATTCTCGTACATAGAACGGATGTCTACAGCCGACTGGGGAGTGTGGGAGTTCATCGTGTCCCTGTCATCTCTGGGGTATTAGTCCTTTTTGGGGCCCCTCGGCCACCCTTGGTGATCGTCGTCGAACCCCGCCGTGTCTTCCAAACGAAGCAGTCATTGCATCAGAGGCAAGTAGAAGTGGCACAAGTGGGCACCAACCACTCTTGAAAATGTCCGGCTCAAAGGAAGTGAATTCTCTCAAAAGGATATGTGTTGTTGCTCGTAATTGCACAAAGTCTACTGTTTATTCTCCATCTCGTTGTTCTCTCGTGATGCGATATTTTGAATTGGGCTCGGCACCATCCCGGCTATTTTGAGGCTCTGGTGGTGTGATTAATTTGTCTCTCGGGGCGATGAGCTTGAAAGTCTTGGAAGTCTTGGGCGTTGTGATCCGCCTCGCACTCCAAGAGCACAAGCAAAAGCTTCTCACCCAGACGAAGCCAGACAGGGCTTCTGGGCCGAAGCTCCAACACCCCTGTCGTATGATGGTGGATTGAAAAACGCCTATGTCATCGCCTCACAATCTCCGCCTCTTTTAAGTTTTGGTCTAAAGAGACTAGATACTGTCAGGGTTTAACGCCAACGTCCAAAGGGTCATGTCCGCCATTGCCGATGGCTTTGATTGATAAACCTCATCCACAAAGAGATATCGCCTCCTCACTTCCGCCCAATTTTTCGTCATTGCCCCTCCAACAATCAACGAGAAGCCCGACAAACTTGTGTAAGGGAGTGTGTGTTGTGATGTGTGTGACGGAATGGCTGGACACGCTGCACTCACTTTCTCACGCCAAACTCATCATCCTCCGCTCCTTCCTCTGCAACAGAAGAGTCACATCCAACAAGGAAGGCACGGATGTCACTCAACATTTGCCCCATCTCTTCCTTCCTCGACAATCAATTCTAATCCCCCCGCCAAGATCCCCGTTAGTAGGTTTTCTATGCCCACAGATCATCTCTTCATCTTCCCCGTGATATTCGCACATTCGTCATGGTTGCTTTTGCCTCCATTTGACCAGGTGGGTTTCGGATCAAGACAGATAAAGTCGCTCACGTTTGCCCAGTCCCAAGCAATACTATATTTGTACCCCCTTCGCGACTCTTGCTTGTGAACTCTGTCTCCTTTCTTCCCATAGCCATACTTACAGTCACATCTTGATCATCTTTGTCTCCATACACATCCTCAACCTCACTCCGCGTCCATCATGGCGACCAATACACAACACAATGCGGTTCACAACTCCGCCAACCAAGCTGCCGCCAATGGCTTTAGTAATGGCAACTCCAACACTAATGGAGCGTCCTCTCACGACTTTGAGAGTGCCACTCGCAACATGACCCATGAGGAGAAAGCCACCGCAGCACACGCCGCTCGCTTTGGATACGGTCCACTCGCTCACATCAAGACAGATACGTTTGATGGAGCAGCTTTACAGGGTGATTGGGAATCCTTCTCTCTGTCTGAGTATGTCAAGGCAAGCAGACTGACTTTTCTTTTTGATATTCTTCAGCTTTCGGAGGTGAATTCCAACCCGGTCTTTACAAGGGAGTCAAGGATCGCAGATTCGCCAATCCCGCCCCTCTCGGTCTTTCTGCCTTTGCCTTGACCACGTTCGTCCTGAGTTTGATCAACTTGGGTACTCGTGGTCTCGAACAAAACAATATCATCATCTCTCTGGCTTTTGGCTACGGAGGTCTTGTTCAGCTTCTCGCTGGCATGTGGTGAGTCACAGTTCACCATACGGGAACATCGTGTCCTGTCACGAGGTTCGTGCCTAGACTGATAAATTGGCACAATTATAGGGAGATGGCAGTTGGTAACACTTTTGGTGCGACGGCTTTGTCCTCCTACGGTGGATTCTGGATTTCCTTTGCCATCTTGCTCACCCCAGGCGGATTCGAAATCGAAGCCAACATCGAAGCCGCCGGCGGATCCAAGGCATTGACTGACTCGGTCGGATTCTACCTCATCGTATGTCTTGCAAAACAATGCTCTAAACCATTATACTGGTCCATCCACAGTCTAACACCATCTTATGTAGGGTTGGTTCATCTTCACCACCATTCTTCTCTTCTGCACCCTCAAGTCAACCGTGGCATTCTTCTTCCTCTTCTTCACACTCGACCTAGCCTTCCTCCTCTTGGGCGTTGGATATCTTAACCCTAACGCCGAAGGCGCTCCCAACACCGGCTGTATTCGAGCTGGCGGTGCCTTTGGCATCCTCGCAGCCTTCGCAGCATGGTACAACGCACTGGCCGGTATCGCCGATACTTCGAACAGTTTCTTCATCATTCCTGTGGCTCACTTTCCCTGGTCGGCCAAGGTCCGAGAAGACCGTATGGCGACAAAGAATGAGCATTCGGCCTAAACTTAGCTCTCGAAAGGTCTTGACTTGCCAGATGCAGCTATTCAGCTTTGTATTATGATGCAGTTTCCAATTTCAGCTACTTCTTGCCTCTTGCGTAGCTATGGGTCACAAGGGAATATCACGGATGGTGAACGTTTTTGTCAATGGTTACTTTCATGGGAATTAATGACAATGGTACGGACATGGGTATTGGCACTGGCCATGTGCAACCTTTGTTTACCCAGGTAATTGGCGGTGCTAGCGACGACATCAGCAACAAGGATGACGACACTGACGACGAACAATGACGCACAAACACACACACACCAGTTTCAAACGACTCGAGCTGCTCATCCATAGATTCCCCTCTCTTGATGGGGGAATTCTCAAGACCAGACCACCAGACCAGACCAAACTACGGAGTACACGTTTCGGTCTGCTCGATTCAGCTCCGGATGGGTCGGAACCTGGAGAACGGGGATGGAGAAGTTTAAACAATCCCCAAACCAATAAGGTACACACCTGTAGCTCAATTGCCACCTCCAGAATGATCATGGCGATCAGTTGGAAACCGAGCACCCACGCACATTACTAATTTGCCATTCGGCGACTTCTTTTTCGCCCTCGTAGTAAAAACTCCTTACTTAGTTCCATTGTGATTTTGTTGTGCACAACCCCGTCATGTCAACATCCAGTAGGGACGGGGCATACGGAGTAGGAAGGTGTCCACACACCGTGTATATTGCATTACCTTGTTGACAACAAGGATTCTATTCTCGTATCTCAAAGCAGATGTTCTTCCTGCTTGCTTGCCTTTCCCTCCCTCTCCCTCTCATAAGACAGCAAAAGCACTCACATAGCTAACACTACTATCTCTATATGACTCCGCATCACTACTTCGTTCATACCTCATAAAGCGAAAGCGACCAAACTCCGAATCTAACCCCTCCCCACCACCACCCGCCTCCTCGTGTTGTTTCAACCGTTTCACCTCCTCAACTCCCGCCATAAATACCCCAATTGGATGACGCCCACAAACCGTATTTCCCGTCTCTTGTAGTACACGTAGAAACTCCGAGTGTTCACCCGTGGCAATGGCACACATGCAAGCTCGATCGGCGTGGGCGATACTTTCATAGATCTGTGGACCGGTCTTGGAGATTTTGCTATTGGATCGGAGATCATGTCCTTGGCCGAGAGTGTGAAGTTTGTGTGTTGTTTCTTGATCTTCTCTCTCTGGGGTACTACTGCTTTGTTGAGTCCCTCGAACTCCATTCGGTAATGTGAGTGGTGATAAGGCTGGGCTTGGTGCGTCAGGTAGGTAATATGTATATCCGAAGCGTGATCCCCAGTGGCAGAAATCAGATGAGATGACGAATGCGTTCGCCTTGTCGGCAATATATGGAGCGAGGAGTTTTCCCAACGCGGCTTCGGTTGTTGGGTTGGTGCCGCCGACCATGATGGGGACGAGTGGGGGATATGTGGATTCGGGTCGGTCGGGGTAGAGGTTCTGAAGAAGACGGTGGATGTAGGGTAATTGCATCTCGGCACTGTGTTCGGCTTCGTCGATGTTTTGAGACATGGTGGTGAATTTGATTGTACGTCCGTTTGCTTCGGTGGAAAGTTTGACTAGTGCAGCGATTGTTTCGTGGTCGAGGGGGAGAGGGGAGTCGGATAATGGGGTTTCATATGCGTCGACTACAGGTAAGGCTGCGGTACTGAGGTGATGATGGTGGGAGGGATGGAGAATGAATATTCGTTGGGCTTCAGACAGATTCAGGCATTTGAATGCCCAGGCTGCGGCAGGACCTGAGTATGCGTAACCAGCGTGGGGAGAGATGATGGCTCGGGCACCAGAAAGAGGGAGTTTGTCTACTCCTGGAAGGATGGGTTTTTCGGGCACTTTGGCTAGCCAGCTGTCCAGTTGGGATGTCAGTTGTTTACCATTACCTGAATACCATGACCCCGCGTGAGAGGCTTCTCGGACAGCCATGGTAAGTTGTCTGTGGATGGATGAGGAGAAGTCGACTGCTCTGACAGGAGGAGCAGGGCAGTAAATGAATGAATGACTAGATGAGGTTCCTGCCCACGATCAAAGCATCATACTCAACTAAGGGAGGGGATTTCAGTAGGGGTCGGTCAGGTCGAAGCTGAGGAACAACAGGTAGCACAAGAGTCAATGTCACTTGTGTTGGGCGATGGAGGTTGGAGGGGAAGATCTGCGGTGACATCTGAGGGATCCACTTTGTCGGAGGTTTGGATTCTCCCTTTCCGGTCGTAGGCGACCATACGGTGGATCTCATACGCTCATCCGCAGTTAATTCAGCTGATGGATGCAGTACCTTTGATAGTCATGTCTGTTATGAGCTCTGTCTGTCAAGTATTCAGTCCTGATTCAATTTCGTGAGTCGTCGAGGACCTGTGAATGAGGAAGCAATTTGGGGTATAAAGGCAGCTAGGCTGGTGCTCAGTCAGTCGGACATAATTACGCGACTACCGATGGACTTGGACGCGTAAAGTGGCATTTCTCCACACGCGCCACGGGACTCGATGACTACGCAACTTATCCCGTCTCTGTCATTTCTCCTCTTACTCAACCTTGCCTTACGGAGTACACAAGTAGAGCTCACAACCAGCTTCATTACTTCTATGTACCCACCTAGTACTCATCCCACTGCAAATTACACAGGAGCTTCCAGTATGGGAAACAAACGCAAGGCATACGTCCTCGAAGAGCCTGACTCCTTCAGCTATACCTTCAATCACTATCCATCCTCCAGCCCGATCACCGCGACAAACACAACCAACTCCCTCCCATCACTATCCTCATCCCCCTTTTCCAGCACGAGCACAGCAACCATCATCACCCCACCTCCTCCCATTACCACCACCACAAGATCATATCCCCAACATGCTCAATCTTGGACATGGAACGCATCCGCCATTCCCTACCTCAATTCTCGAACGCGAAAACGTCACCGGGACAATCGGCCAGATGAGAACGAGATTCACGACAACACCATGAGGAAATTATATGATGCACAGAGACTGCATCTTGATGAGGCGATGCCCATGTCGGAGGTCCTTGCCATGGACCTGGATCAAGACCAACATGAGGGAGATGAAGACGAGGATGCAATGGACTTTGACCATAGTTTGGATTTCACGAGTAACTGGGGTGCGAGTCATCACATCGGCGGCCCGACTCCTCCTGCTCAGCATATGAAGCAAAGCACTTTGGATGGATTTTTTGGTCGGAAACAACAAAATCCCCCGGCGGCCACTGCTCAGGCTCAGGCTCAAGCTCTGTCTCCATCATATTCGTGTGATCAAGCCCAGCGGCAGATGTCACTTTCGGGGCCTATGTACTGGCCGACTGCTGACAAAGGCGGATGCTCGCCATCGCCGCGGGGGTTCTCCAGCTTTGGACTGCACGACAATATAGTTACCATGTGATATAGACTTGCAAACGCTGTGCCTTGATATTGGCGTATCAAGACCCATCTGGTACGAGTCATCTGTTAGTAGTAAACAAGTCTGGAGCTCACCTGATCCCCATCTCTTCCTTTAAGACAGGAATCAAAGTGTGTGAAATGACTTGCATGACTACCAAGCTACCTGAATACCTGAATAACACCATTTAGCATCAATAGTCCCTCTGGGCTGGGCCATCAGTCTGTCTGACTTGTATCTCTGACTTGTGAAACGCCCGTTATACACATCCATATCACTATTGCTTGGTCCGTTAAACTTGTCCTCGCGGTATGCCCCGTTTCCTTTGTCCAACCATGAACTTCTCCAGTCCATCATTTATGCGGGGTGAGGGCGAAAGCCAGGAGTGGAACAAGTGCGAAAAATCAATCGTCGAAAATGAGTTGGGAAAGGAGGCTGCATGTTCTCCCCTTCCTGCCTTAGCTTGTTGGTCGAGGACAAAACCCGATATTAGTGCCAAAGCAAGAGGGAAAAGCCGATATGTGCTTCAGCCGAGCATGATCGGTAGCTCGGAACCTAAACGCCAGTGAAATCATGTTAGGAAGGACAATTGCGTCCCAATTCAAGTTCCAGCCTCCCACAATGGCCTGCTGGGCACATCACACCCCACCGTCGCATTCTTTCGTTGACCGGCATCTCGCCGAGGAGCATGGTTGTTTCATCAAATCAATGTCCTTCGTCCATGAGTTAGTTTGGAAACAGCCGTCTTAACCACTCCCTAGTAGCCTGAGTTCTCTCGTCAGAGTTCTCACTGGGAAGTCTGAGAATTCGATAATGTGAAAGATAGTCCGATCCGTAGCGGTCCATTTGCCTGAACCTCTTTTCAGTCGCCGTCCGAAGAGGATGAAGAGAAACTGCGAGACTCGTGTCTCCGGACGTGAAAGGAATTCGCAAGAGTAACATTGTCCATCACTGCTGCTCTCCTGCGCTCGTCGCGGCGTGTGTCACGGCGCAGAGACTCCAGCATTGCATCCTGCATCATGGCCTGTAGTCTGTGTGAATGACTGATGATTGTGGCTTCAATATCCTTTTGGACGGCATGATAGTTCGAGTTTGCTCTGGCCATGGCTCTGCCGGTTTCCTCGCACTTTTGTATCAATGGGGTCAAGTCGACCATTTCACCACGACCGAGTTGTAGTTGGGCTTGCATCAATTGGGAGCTGGCATCGCGATCGTCATCAATGGCGAGATTGAGTTCAGCTTGGGCGGTACCAAGAAGTCGAGCCTTCCCTTCTTGTGCTGCGACTTGCTCTCGTCTCAAATTTGAAATAGCTTGTCGTGCTTCAACACTCATGCTGGTGATGTGATCTGCATTTGCCAGGAGTGCCGAAGAATGCCTTCCCCAGCCCGATAGTCTTGGTCGTCGCATTGAACGGTCAGGACGTGCATTGATGTTCAAGACAATCTCTTGCTCCAATTTGACATTTGGGGGCACATTGAAATCGATGCCTTTATCCCACAATTCGTCTGTGACAGGGGGGATGATGCTGTTCAAGCTCCGTTTGGCATCGATGGCCCTTCGACATTTCATACAGGTTCTGCTTTTAGCATAGGTAGCCGAGTTCACCCACGCTGAAAGGCAGGCGACATGGATTGAGGTGTCGCAGCAAGTCACGCGAGCGGTGAAGTTGTCTACTTCAAACTCTAGCTGGCACGCTGGACATTCTCTCTTGTGTTCCATCAGAGCATCAATATACTCTCGAGTTGCACGAATCAAGATCATTCTGATTTCGGGAGTGGATGACGAAGTTGGGCCGGAAGGGGTGTTTTGAGTGAGGTGAGATGATGATCTGCGTTGGATCAGAGGTTCAGTCGCAAGAGACAGGTAGTGGTGATGATGGCGGGGGTCATACGTGAGTGGTACAAGGCCTGTCATGGCATTTGGTGGAGGCGCCCCTCGCATTTGGGGAGTAGTGGAATTCTGTCCGTACATTTCTGAAGGCATTGCTCGCTGGTGATGGATAGGAATTGTAGAGTCAGCAGGTGACCGGAAAGGCGGATTGTTGGGGTGTCGTCGTGGAGGCTCTGGTAGATGGCCCTCTTCAGCTGCCAAAAGGCTACGGAAAGAACCATTAATATTGGGGAGGGATCCTGATTGAGCCATGAGGTCTCTGGGAAATCCTGATGCGAGGTAGGTCAAGGCCGAGTCTTCATCCCAGAGAAGAGGCTGTTCGGAAGTCATGGGAGTGAGAGCATCTCGAGGAGTTAAATGGAATGATGAAGGTGAAGGTCGGTGGTGGGGGATGTAAGTCGGAAAGTTAAAAGGCAGTGAGGTATGATTGAGGCTGTAACCACGAGAGGTTGGGGTGAGGTCAGAAGAGGGGTGACGAGGATCAATTCGACGTCTTTTGAATTTGTGGTCATCGGGGATGTCGGCATCCCTCTCAGATCGGCCGTGAGTCCTCGGAGGGCTGTTACTATCATATAATGGAGGGGATGAGGTGATGGGAGTCTGGCGGTAATCCATCTTCTGTGGTTGGGGTTGGGGTAGGCGTAGCGGTCTCCCACAGGCTGAGTGCAAACAGAAATTGAAGTTGGTAGTGTGGTCGAAGACGGCCAGGGCTAAATAGAATACGAGGCAGTTAAGTCGTGCTCAGATTTGGTTATTATGGACAGCAAGGGCGCCAGAGTCAGAGCCAGGGCCAGTGTCAGAGCCGCAAGTCTGGTGGTCAGTCGAGACTTAACTTCAGCAAGCGTCACTCATGGGAGGTTGACAACCTGTGAAGAAGCTGCCTAAAATTGGGCATCTGAGAGACGGCAAGCGGAGATGCAAGCGTATCACAGTCTCAGATAGCCGGGCTGCCTATAAAGAGTGAAGGAGGAGAGTGAAGCAACAAAGACATAAAAAGTGTTGGTAAGAGGTGTGGTGCAACTAAGGTTGAATCATGACAAGGTCGACTGACACAAATATGGAAACCGGATTGGGCCTTGGAAGCAGCTAGCTGGGCCGACATTCATTTGTGGTTGGATGATGGAATGCGAGACCTTGTGATGGATTGACACGGCGTTTCGCCGGGCGAAGTCAGAGGAGAGATTACGAGGATGGAGGAGGCACAGGCAGGATTCTGGTTCGACGATGCGAGGGCGAGTGCGAGGGCGAGAGAGAGATGGTGAGAACGAAAACCGAGAGCGAGAGAGAGCGAGAGGGCGAGCTGATGTTGGCAGGCACAGTGGGAGGGGAAAGAGGCAAGAGGCAGGAGGCAACAAGAGGCAAGAGGCAGAAAAGGAAGAAGTAGGAAGCAAGATGCAAGAAGCAGGAATCAGGAATTAGGAAGCGAGGCACGAGAGGTGAAACGTGGAAGGGGAAGATGGGTTCCAGCCCGTGAGTCTTGACGCCCCCAATCCCCAATATGAGGAACAGACTTTCTTTGAGAGAGAGGGATGCCTGTGATGCGAGAGGCGACTCTGAGTAGTGAGTGGTAAGCTTGGGTAGACGGTAAAGGATGGTGGAGGGGCCGAAGTGAACGTGGCAGCGTGGCAACCATGTCCAAGGTCGCAGTAGAGGTGGAGAGTGAGTGACACACTCGCAGTATTACAATTCTTGTTGCCGATGAATTCCGTGTTGACCATCAAACTATCAAACCATCTGACCATCAGGTTCAAAAGGTTCTCGGGATCAGGTGGCCAAGTACTGATCCTGGTAAAGCAGCATCACGTTGTTGGCACCCTCCCGCCCGAAGTATAGGCTAAGGCGAAGGACATAAGGGCCGAGGGGCGTCACCCTCTCCAGCTGCTACTCCTCATTGACATTACAAGAACAGAGCACATAGAGTAATACCACATTCCAAGTCCACATATAAAGTAACATGGATCCGCCATTTCCTCATCCACCGCCCCTACACCGTCACTTGTGTCTCAAGGCCGAGGGGCCCTGCCTGGGCAACCCTCGTAATTTGCAGTGCTTACCTCGGTGCCTCCTTGTCAATCCAACCTGCAACGCCTGCATCAAGCACATTCAACAAATAAGACAGGGTAGTCACCACCTGGCAGAGCAGTCACCTAGTCACCCGTCGTACCTGACAGAATTCTCCCAAAAGAATTATTATAATGGCCTTTATCATTGGTCAAGTGTCACGAACCATGGAGTGGCTCAATCGCTCCATCTTTCTTTCCTGTCCTTTGCCTCCAGTTGGCGTCCTTCCGTCTGCATGTAGACTTCGGAGACCAGTAAAGATTAGGTACCTTGACCGATGTGCCTGCCTACCTACTCCGTAGGTAGGTATACATCGATGCCTAGGTGCAACGCCGTGCACGCTTCCTACGTAAATATTTACGTTGCGAAGAACTCGCTTGCATACTCGTTGCAGAGCAATCAAATCTGGTCACAGCCATCACACCTATAGCCGTCGCCCCCGCTAATCGACTTCTTACTTGCTCCTTCGAATCAACCCCTCGTCGTGGTGTTGATCTTTCTGATCTGGGCTCGCTCTTGATCGTCTAGTCCGGCCTTCTCCAGAACCCACCCCACGATATCGTTCTTTGCCTCACAGTATTCGTCCGCATCCCTCCATTCCCTTTGAGCGAGTTCGAGCTTGGCTTGCCCGTACGCATCCCTCACGTTCGGATCCCTCCTACATATATCTCGCACCGCGAGTTGATTTTTGATTGACTGGCAATCCTTGACCGAAACATAAAGATTTCGAGGTGGAGTATTATCAGGTTTGCGAAATGCATGCCGGTCAGGAATACCTTTCAGCCCCATGTAATCATACCCGCCTTTGGAGCATAATGCCTCGGTGATCGAATTGACATCTTCCCGCTCACTGATAACAGATAGGTCGATGGTTGGTTTGGCCGCCAACCCTGGAACTGACGTGGACCCGACATGTTCAATCGATATGTGATTGATCCCGGCTAGGATGATCTCGAGTTCGCCTTTGAGCACTTCAAATTGTTGGGCCCATACAGGATTATATACTTCAACCACGACATACATGACCAGGATGAATTTACGGGTAAGTTCGCGACTTAGTGATCATATTGGCAACGTGTATGACGAGTTCAATATAGACATCTGGATCAAATGGAAGCCATCAATCCTCTGATGTTCAACCCCTCACACAGGCACGTTCCTGAGGTGGGACTAACCAGATAGGGAGTTTGTAGCGACTCATGCTTTGAAGGTGGTCTGTCGCTTCGATTGGAGAAGACGGAACGATTGCCGTGCTGAATAGGATAGTCCAGGCGCTCAGCTCACCATTGGTGGGGGTTTGCTATAACGCATACAGTAAAAGTCACCTCAAGCGGTGCCGGAACATCCGTAAGTTTCTTCCCACATATTGGGCGCCTCTTGCGAGAGCACCTTCGATCCCATCTTCAAGGGGTTCCATCGCTTGGCTTCCCATGATATAGATGCCTTGTACACCTATCGCTCTTGACTCTACGAGTGAGCAAGATGCCTTAGAAGCTCTCACCTGGGCTTGGAATGTCTGGGTGTTTACCCCAAAGTCTCCCCACATGCCTTGGCGGATGACCGAGAGGGCCTCGGGCCTCCAACCGTTGGCGGCGCTGAGTTGCTCGACTCGTACCTAGACTTCTTTTAATTAAATCTCCCCTTGTGGCTAAGGGCGGTCCAACTGCGCAGGTACCCAAGTAAAAACTGTAACGCAGCTGCCTGGCGCCTGTTACCCGCTCTATTAGGCCCCTCAGGCATTTAATTGGGTGCCACAACACAAAAACCCGGGCACTTCTAGGCTCTCCATCAACCTTTTCTGCCCTCCAGACCCCGGCTTCCACCCCAAATTGACTCTACCCTCTCCTCCATTTACCCAGAAGCTGTCTCACACAAAGTCACCACTATCAGGGTCGATGACACTGATAGACTTGAGGCCAGCAAGAAACAGCCAACCTCTTGTCCGGGGATCCTAAACCAAATTACCAAACCCTCACCACCAAACAGAACAACTTCTCTCGTTTCCTTTTGCTCGGTTTCCAGCTCGCCCAGTCGCTCCAGTTCCTATCCTAGCACACCCCATTCCACCTCCAGCGGAGTCAGGTCCTCACATCCTGATCGTGATCGAGATCGAGCTCCAATCAAGCAACATGGCGAAGCTGTCAGTCTCACAGCCCAACACGAATGCCTGACAAGCCCACCACTGTCGTCGCTTATGCGGCTGGCGCATCTCTTGCTGCCATCGCAGCCTTCTACGTCTTTGGCCCGACCTTCTTCATTGACGGCGAGAACTCGTACAACACAAACGACGGTCGAAAGCGGACCATCATCGGTCTCTCCAATCCTGCAAATGATTGTTTTATCAACAGTGTTCTGCAGGCACTGGCTGGTCTAGGCGATGTTAGAATCTACCTCATTAAAGAGCTGCATAGGAGACAACTCGACGGTCCCGAAATCTATGAAACACCTCCCACGGTTTTGCGCAAGGGTGAGCGCCCGGAAAAGATTGTCAGCCTTCAGAAAGGACCGGTGACCAAGGCTTTGAAAGAGATGCTGGATGCTTTGAACGAACGCCCAATCTACAAAAAGACCATCAGCGCCCGGCCAATGATCGAGGCACTCGAACGAGCCTTTCAGACCCGCATCAGTCGCAATCAGCAGGACGCGCAAGAGTTCCTTCAGATAGTCCTGGAACGCTTGTGTGACGAGTACCATGCAGCACAAAAAGCACGAAAGAAGCCCGACCTTCAGTTAGAACACAATGGGTGCGCCGAAGCCTCCAAGCCCGCGGGCACCAACATTCCCTTGTCACAGGTCACCGTCGGTACCAATGAAGGCTTCCCCTTTGAAGGGCGGATTGAGTCTCAGATCACCTGCATGCGATGTGGCTACAAAACAAAGGCAACCGCTACGACTTTTGTTTCCTTGACGCTGAATGTTCCGCAGAAAAGCTCAACTTCTCTAGACAATTGTTTTGATATCTTGTTGAAAAGTGAAGAGATTGATGGATTCAAATGCGACAAATGCCGCCTGGAGCACGCTTTGCAGTGGAAGCAAACCAAGTTGAAGTCGGCTACAAGTGACTCCGACCGTGAAGCATTAGAAGCCGACGTGGCAGCGATTGAGCGCGCTCTCCAGGATGATCCAGAGAAACCTCCTGAAGGTGTGGTCCTGCCAGACTCAAAGCTCGCCCCAAAATCCAAGATTCGAAAAGCCACCCGGATTACCGTGTTCCCAAAAGTCATCGCCATCCACCTGTCGAGATCCGTCTTCGATCCTGGCAGTTATTCAACTAAAAACATGGCCAAGGTCTCATACACCCAACGCCTACGATTAGGGGGTTTGTTGAATGAACACTGGTATAATTTATTGGGCGTGGTGTGCCACAAGGGAAGTCATAACAGTGGCCATTATGAATCCTTCCGCCGCAACCACCTGTACCCACCATTTGCAACGCCTGATGCTTTCAGTGCGTATGCAGCAGCGAGCCGGAATAGCAGCAGAGTAACCTCGGCGACGGCCAGTCCTCACGTGGAAGCTACAAAGACTGGGGGTGCTTCTGCCCCGGAAGCATCTCAGGCTCCGTCCAGTGCTTCCATCTCAACTCATTCCTTGTCTACAAGCAACAGCAGACCGAGTTCCAACGTGGTTGATGCCAAGGAAGCCTCGGCCACTCCTCCCCCAAAGGTCGAGGAGCCAGCCGAGGCACCGGCGATGCCCGCACTCAACAGGACGGAGACGCAGGCATCACGCCCTCAGATCAGAACCCATGGATCGAGCTTACCAGGGAAATTCCGACGACGAAAGAAATCCCACGATCGATGGTGGCGTATTTCAGATGAGAAGATCAAAGAAGCCCGCACGTCGGATGTTTTGTCTATGCAGCGCGAGGTGTACCTGTTATTCTATGAGTTGGAACGACCTGGTGATGATACCACCTCATAGTGACATGTGCTTGATAGCACGTGATGGAGATTTTTATATAGACTTTTTGTGCAGTCCATCTTCTAGATGAGAGTCGGCGTTCGTATATCTGGCACTACTGGCCATGACCGCGTACATAAACTTGTGAATATAAAATGATTCAACAATAGCGAGAGGTGTGTTTGGTCGATTTTGTCTCGACTCTTTACTCGGAGGTTTTGGTGATTCTCCGTGTAAAGGCCGCTTCCTACCGCATATCACACCAGATATCAAAAACACATCAACAAGCACAACAGGCCAGGGTATGTCTTGGTCGTCTACCCGAGAGATCCCGAAGGCAAGAATCGGTAACTAGTTGTGGGAAATACCCTACCGCGAGATGTGGGAAAATTCTGGAACGTGGAGTGTCGAGGGAGAAATCGGAGCAAAGGGGACTGGGGAAAGACAGTCGGGAAAATGGCAATCTTGACTGGCTGAGTCGGACCCCATTACTCTTCGTGCCATGATCAGTGGAGCGTGGGTTGAGCACGCATTTTGTTTGTATGGAGGCATGAGGAGTTACTTACGAAAAACAAAGCCCAACATGGCCAACAGAACGCTGGGCCACCAGTACTGTTGGACAGGTTCTGAGGTCATGGAGGGGATCTTTATCGGAAAGTCGCCCAGAACGAAAAATGCCCTCGATGCCTGCAGGTGCTGCTGCAGGCCCAGTCCAGCCTTCAATGGCCTCGTTTGTTTTCCAGCCAAAAGGCAAGTGACCGCAGGGCCCTCGGGCTGCCCCCCCTCGCCCTTTGCCCCCCGGCCCCGGGTATGGGATTCGGCGAGTGCACCGTGCAGAAGCACCTACAACGGCGGCCACTTACCTAGCCTCCTGCTTCCTTTACTTCCTAAGTAACTTCCTAGCCTCCACCAAATCGTGTCAGCCAAGCCTCTTCAGCGTCCGACTGCCCCTCCTCCCACCCAATCCCGCAGTGTTGATCGATCGTTGCTTGTACATCCGACCGAACACTATTCAGCTTCACTTCTTCCATAGCTTTCTCTTTTCTCAATTCCCTCGATAGATAACACAATTCGGTGATTTTGTATCTCTCAAACTCTTCCATTACCTACAGTCACAGCTTTCCAGCTCGACTTTACTTTACTCTTCCTGACCTATATCTTATTGTTCTTTTCCTCCGGTCAATATGGGTGTCAAGGACGTTCTCTCCAGAAAGACGGGTGTCATTGTTGGCGATGATGTTCTTGCTCTCTTCAAGCACGCTCAAGAGAACAACTATGCCATTCCTGCCATTGTATGTATTTTCTGATCGCCTTGGATGTGTCCACAGCTAACCGGTCATTCCAGAACGTGACCTCATCGTCCACTGTGGTTGCTTCTTTGGAAGCTGCGCGGGACAACAATTCCCCCATCATCCTCCAAGCCTCTCAGGGAGGTGCTGCCTACTTCGCTGGCAAGGTATGTCCACCGCATCGCTCAACATGTCAGATTGTATGTGCTGACTAGTCGTTTAGGGTGTCAAGAATGGAAACCAAGAGGCCTCGATTGCCGGTGCCATCGCAGCCGCCCATTACATCCGAGCAGTTGCCCCTGCCTATGGCATCCCCGTTGTCCTCCACACCGACCACTGCGCCAAGAAGCTTCTGCCATGGCTCGACGGCATGCTGGACGCCGATGAGGCTTACTTCAAGACTCATGGCGAGCCTCTCTTCTCCTCCCACATGATCGATTTGTCTGAGGAGGATGTTGCATGGAACATTGAGACCACTGCCAAATACCTGAAGCGGGCTGCTCCCATGAAGCAATGGCTCGAGATGGTATGGACACTTGTATATTCTGGGAATATGGGTACATGAAAACTAACGGAACTGGTAGGAAATCGGCATCACGGGCGGTGAAGAAGACGGTGTCAACAACGAAGATGTTGACAACAACTCTCTGTACACCCAACCCGAGGACATCCATGAGATATACACCACCTTGAAGAAGATCTCGCCTTACTTCTCCATCGCGGCTGGTTTTGGCAACGTGCACGGTGTGTACAAGCCCGGCAATGTCAAACTCCACCCTGAGTTGCTCGACAAGCACCAGAAGTATGTCAAGGAGAAGGAAAACACCCCCACTGACAAGCCCGTTTTCCTTGTTTTCCACGGTGGTTCCGGATCAACCAAGAAGGAATACACCGACGCCATCAGCTATGGTGTGGTCAAGGTCAACCTCGACACTGACTTGCAATACGCTTATCTGACTGGTATCCGTGACTACATGCTCAGCAAGAAGGACTACGTTTCATCGCAAGTGGGCAACCCCGATGGCGAGGACAAGCCCAACAAGAAATACTTTGACCCCCGTGTGTGGGTTCGTGAGGGTGAGAAGACCATGAGTGCCCGTGTGGCCGAGGGTCTCAAGGACTTCAACACTGCTGGACAACTATAAGTGCACCAAAAAACAAAGCATGAATGTGTTGGGACCTAGATGGGGCCGGTGTGCTGTTGGTTGATTCGCACACAGCTGGTTGGGCTGGTGGCATGTGAAACAAAAGCAAAGTGCTGCTATTGAAAAAGGATGTACACCTGCGCGGCTGGCTGATGGAGGTTGATAACGTTTCTTTCTGATGATGCTGGGCAGGTCTCAGAGATCCCTTGGCTTAGCAACGAGGAAGAGCAACGAGTGCTTGACGACAGGATCGTGGACCTAGTTCTTATCAGTAGCATACTTGGGTACCTAACCAGTATATAGTGTATGAGACAGGTGCACGCACACGCAGATGTTGACTGGCACAATCTGGTAACTGTGAGCGAGGCTTGCCCCAACACACTTGAACCGCTCCCCGCACCTGAAATTTGTATTTTACCCCTCCAAGCACAAGGTGGGTGATATGCTCTAGCGTAGATAAAATATGGTGAAGCACAACGACCAGCTACGTATTTTATTCCAATTGTGGCTGGAGCTATCGTGGCTGGTGGAAATCTCAACCTCCTTGTACGGAGTATGTGAGCCTGTGAGCTTGTGTACGGCTTGACTCGACTTGATTGCTGCGTGTTGATGTCATCTCAAGACTCACCTTGCGTCCCACAATCACTTTTCCCCCATTCCCTATTCATCACCCTCCGCGTCGAGTCTGTCAGTCGCCATCCCCATCGTGTCCTATTACCAGCCTGAGCGATCGCTCACTCTCCTCCGCCTAAAAGTTGATTTCTACCAAGATCATTCTTCGCCAGACTTGCACCAGGGCATCAATCCCTGTCAAGACCAACTAGATTCCAGATTCCATGTGGACATCGTTCGCTTAACAGCCCAAGTGTGCGTCTTTGTCTTTAGTGGCAGTGCGTTGACTCGACTCCCAAGACCTCTTGTTCTTTGTCCGCCCTAGATTTACCCTCGAGACCTCTATTCGCTTGCAAACCCATTGACGCAATATTGTCAATCACGACACTTAAAGATGCCTGAAGTCGAGGGCGCCGCTGTGCCCGCCCAGAGCAAGGGATCATGGTCTTCGTTTCTCAAGGTATGTTGACCGCGCTAAATCAACCGTAAGCCTCTAGACTAATCCTTCTTAATAGTCCATTGCGTCTTTCAACGGTGATCTCTCGTCTCTGACCGCCCCTGCCTTTATCCTCTCTACCCAGTCACTGGTCGAATTTTCGGCGTATTGGACTGAGAACACCTCTCTTTGGATTGCCCCTACTCAAGAGCCCGATGAAGCCAAGCGAGCTCTCCTCGTAATGAAATGGCTGCTCAATACTTTGAAACAGCAGTACTGCTCTCGCTCCGAGAAGTTGGGATCTGAAAAGAAACCTTTGAATCCCTTCCTGGGCGAACTGTTCCTGGGAAGCTGGGACGACGAATTTGGAAAAACAAGTCTGGTTTCGGAACAAGTCAGTCATCATCCTCCAGTGACTGCATATACCATCACCAATGAGAAATACCGAATTCAATTGCAAGGTTACAACGCTCAGAAGGCCAGTTTTAGTCGAACTATCCACGTCAAACAGATCGGTCACGCCCTGCTCACCTTGTATCCACCGGGGAGCGACGTGCCCGAAACCTACCTCATCACCTTGCCAGCACTGCATATTGAGAGTCTCATCTATGGCGCCCCATTTGTAGAGTTGGGAAAATTCATCCATATCGTGTCTAGCACTGGTTATATTTCCAAGATTGATTTCGCAGGCAGGGGATGGGTGTCGGGGAAGAAGAACAGTTTTACCGCTCAACTCTGGAAAGATGGACATGGGTCTGAGAAGAATCCACTGTACACGGCTGATGGACAGTGGTCAGACACATTTACATTAAAGCAAGGCGAGGGAAAGAAGGCCAAAGAAATTGAAACCTTTTCACCTTCCAACATCAAACTGTCGAGAATCAACGTTGCGCCAATTGAGGAACAAGACGTGTTTGAGTCACGGAAGGCGTGGGCCAACGTGGCACGCAGCATTGAAAAGGGAGACATGGATGCGACATCGCACTTCAAGTCTCGAATTGAGAATGCCCAACGCGCCTTGCGGAAGAAGGAGCAAGAAGAGAAACGAGAATGGCAGCGTGTCTTTTTCTCTCAGGCCGACTCTTCTCATACCGCCGAAGTGATTTTCCAAGGTTTGGTGCAGAAGATCTCTGGCCTTGGGGTCAACTCTTGGGAAGGAGTGGCTCCAGAGAAGACAGCAGGTGTTTGGAGATATGATGAACACAAGGCCAAGACGGCGACCAAGCCATTCCATCCAGAAGGATTAATCGCGCTTGGAGAAAATTCCGATGGGACGAGTGCACCGATCAGCCGCATCTCGACGAATCAAAGTGGTGTTCCAAGCTGAGAAATGGACCCAAGGACTTGAATGGTTTAGATAAAATAGCCGATGGCAGACGAAAAAAGGCAATGGGGAGGGAGGCAACAAGGCCAATCACTGGGGACTAGGCTTCGTCCTGAGGGTATCACAGTACTTGTATTACTATTGTCGAACTTTGATCTTGTCATGAGCTTTAGAACCAAGCTGCAGAGACAGACTTGGTTAGTTGGTCACTCGGTGCTTTGAATGCCCGGGCGCAAGAGTAAAAGTAAACCCATTACTCAAAAGTCCCGAAGTGGGTTCCAATCGATGATGAAATCAAGCGAAGCGATAGGCTTTTCAGCCTTGCAGCTTGAAGCATGCATGCTTGCTCATCGTGAAACTACGCTCGGAGGATCGTATGGCGATAATAGGCTAGAACATAGCTTTCTTTAGCTTTAGATTCTCTCGACCGACAGCCTCGTTGTATCTCAGTCTGGGTGGAGGGGCGGTTTGTAAGCACCTCGGCCTTCGGTCCAATGTCAGGGCATTGAGTGGATGGAGTGGATTCTACCCGGGAGGCCTGGGAGTTAACTTTACTCAATGCTGGGGAAAAGGGTGAGCCCGAGGTGCCCCTGTGTGGCCACGGGTACCTGAGGACGACCAGACTAAGTATGCCAGGGAATCTGAGAAAAGATGTAGGGTGTTGTTGTTTCTATCTTTCTCTTTTATCAAGGGTGTGTGTATAACAATGTGGGCCACTATTAAGAATCGCATCAGCATGAGCTAATCTAGACAAAACAACCCCCCTTGTCCTCGAAAAACAGAGAAAAGCAATTCCTTAATTAATAATTCCGTTCCATTCAATCTTCGATCAATCCCTAACTCGGTCTAACGTCTTGACGATTCCCCGGAACGGATTGCTCCATGGTTTGGGAACCCACTCAACTCACACTGTTCCCCACCAACCACATTACAAAGACCACCACCACCACCTCCGTCTCCGGGGACCTGTCGGATATAAAACAGAGAACATTACCCCTCTACAGACTCGGGTTGGTCCAGGATGCTTGTTATTAGAGGAACAAGTATTTTTAAAGGCATCAGGCCCGTCCGATCCAGTGGCTATCTTTCCTATCATCAATCGCAGTCAATATCGTGTCCTAGCTTGACCTTTAGAAGGTCGATCATCTCGTTATCATCACCACACCATACACGCAAACCCCATCATCTCTCTTTTCGACCCCCCATTCAACATCGCACATTTACTCACTCCACATCAACACATCTCCGACTATTCCCCAACACCAAATCCACCATGTCAGGCCCCCCATTCAATGCCCTAACCCTCTACACGGCTGGCACACCCAATGGCTTCAAACCGACGGCCGTTCTCGAGGAGCTCGGCCTGAAATACGATGCCGTTGCCATTGACATGTTTAAGAACGAGCAGAAGGAACCATGGTTTATTGACATCAACCCCAACGGAAGAATCCCCGCTCTCAAAGATGGCGATATGCGCGTCTTTGAATCTGGTGCCATTATGCTGTATTTGTTCGATCAGTACGACAAGGATAAAGTCCTTGGATATGACATCTCCAAGGGAGGCAAGGAAGCAGAGTTTTACTATGAGATGATGAGTTGGTTGATGTTTCAAATGGCTGGTGTGGGACCAATGCAAGGTAAGTACCTACGTAACCTACTTGAAATTCCATTCCATTCCATTCCATTTGTTCTATTCCCGAACTCCATTCTAACTCCCCATCCTCTTCTTAGGCCAAGCAAACCACTTCCAAGTCATGGCTCCCGTCTACTCCGCCTACGGCATCAAACGCTACACAGACGAAACCCGCCGCTTGATCAGCGTGTTGGAAATCCGTCTTTCCAAGGCCGACTGGCTGGCCGGTGATAAATACACACTCGCCGACATTGCCAACTATTCATGGGTCTCTATTTCGCCCTTGCTCGACATCGATTTGTCCGAATACCCTGGCGTTCAGAGATGGATCGCGCGAATCTCCGCTAGAGACGCTGTTAAACGTGCGAAACTGGTTCCTCAGGGAAAGACTCTTGGTGAAGAAGGCTTCAAGGAGATGTTTGATAAGGGGAAACAGAGGCTGGCGGCTCTCAGGGGGACTGATAAGGAGGATAGTTGACTGGAGTCAAGTGAGAGGGAGTAGGAGAGGGAGTGGGTTGAGGGATAGAAGAGCAAAGGTGGAAATACTAAATTCCCCTCTCATATACCAGAGGTAGACAAGACATGACTCTCAAGACAACTAAAAACCCATATTTGCAACATCTTTGCCAGGAATTGTCTGATTTCAAATCAGAATGTCCGTCCTCCTTCTGGATGAGCTCCTCGCAAAGTGATTGTGACAAATCTGAGCAGTGTTTGTGCATGCAATGCTATCTGTCGATGCATAAAATCGCAATTCTTAGCAAGGCAGCCAGTCTTGTAGCATCACATTCGGCTATAAGGTCGGATTATTACAGGAGTTTAACAGGAAAGGTCGTTTCATCCCATGCGATTTTCAAAACAAGAAGGGGGTCAGACTGTATAAGAAAGCCACCTGCATTAACGAAGCCGGACAGACTCGTGGGGCCTGGAATCCGAGAATTCATTCGGAGTTACTGAACCTGGAAGAGGTCCTCTCGGCATCTACGTATTTAGCAGCTTTGATGAATAAGACTTCGAGGTGGGTTGCAGCTTGAGAGTCAACCATTGGATGATTGGTTTGGAGGACTAACTACCTAGGTTGGAATGAAACCGAGGTGTGATCTATATTCTGACAAAATCTAGCATCAGTGGTATCGAGAATGGCACCGAGCAAGTGCATCTCACTACCTGCGCCTGAACAATTAGTTCGGGAACAAATTCATAAGCAGCATCAATGCTAGTAGTATCTGCTTAGTGGTCGATGGTAGGACAGAGCCTGCAGGAACATGTAGAACAACCCCGAGGAAGCCTTTTCAGCTATAATGGCTAAGCTAGTGTCATAGCTGGATGAATTTTGTATCGACGGTCGACCTTGGCTGTTGGTCCTGTTTCGTTCGCAGGCAAATCAATTTACTTGAGATATGAACGGTAACTATCTACGAAGGTTCCGCTCCATTCGCCAACTGTGCTCGTAAGAACTAGTGTGATGTCCAAAATCTCACCTATCCTCACCCTGCTTGAGAATCTCCCATGCTATCCTAGCATACTCAATTGATCTCTCGTTTCCAATAATCCCTGTGCCCATCTTGTTCATGACATACGTAAAGGTGACGCCACGATATAAGTCACAGATAGCGAAGCTACCACCCCATCCAGCCCAGAAACACATCTTTTCTTGTGGCAGGTAATTGAACGTCTCAGCTGATGGCCCACCGCCAATACCAAACCCCATTCCGAGACGTAACGGTATGCCCAAGACATAATCTGTTGACTCAGACTGAGCTCGGAAAATATGCTCAACCGTTTCAGGCGACAAAAGCTTCGGACCGTCGTAGGACGTCCCGGATAGCGTGACTGTACGTAATATCTGGTTGAGACCCTTGGCTGTCCCGTGGCCGTTAACGGCAGACATATCTGCCTTCCGCCATAGAGGCGTGTGTGAGAAGGTCGCGTCTGTTCTTGGGTTGAAGAGGCTTTTGTACACGATGCCAGTCTGGTCAAGTTTGCTGACATCCCAGGATGGAGGCGGTGGCGGTACCACTGGTGCGATTCGAGGCCAGTCTTCCTCCCTTGCTCCAATCTGAAAGTCTGCCTTCAAGGGCCCGGCTAGTTCCTCGGCGACAAATTGTTTCATAGCCTTACCAGTCGCCCGTCGGATGATCTCGCCCAAGAGGTGGCCTTGGGTAGTGGCATGGTAGCCACTGCCAGTGCCTGCGTCCCACCACGGTGCCTGCTTTGCCAGCCTGGCAGTGGAATAGGGCACGTCACATACCTCCTCCATTGTTATGGGGCCTTCCCAGCCTGAAAGACCTGAGGTGTGTGACATGACATGTCGAACAAGGATCTTTTCCTTTCCGTTTTCCGCAAACTCAGGCCACAGTTTAGCAACAGGGTCATCGACACTCAGAAGACCACGCTCATGGGCCAAGAGTATGGCAATTGCAGCAACAGTCTTAGTTGAGGAGTACACGTTCGTGATCGTATCTGTAGCCCATGGTGTGGTTTTGTCGTTGTCGGCATGGCCTGCCCAGACGTCGACAACGTCTTCACCGTTGATGTTGATATTTATGGCACCGCCGAGCTCCTCGCCCTCTGAGACTTTCTCCTGGAAAAGATCAATGAGCTTTTGAAACTTCGAAACATAGTTGCCCTGAATTTCAGCCATGATCATTGCAAATGCACAAGCAGGTGTAAAGCAGTTGGCGTTCCGAGCTGCAGCCCATCATACGACCATGAACCCTGGCGCCTCTTATATACTTTATTGACTTTGTGCAGGCTACAGCGCATTGGTGCGTACTAAGCTTTCGTCCGTGATCATTCAAACTTGCCTAGGTCTTATGTTGTCATGGGCGGAGAGCTATTCTAGCCGCCACGGCTGGTCGAAAACTGGGCGCTCGTATAACTTCGGAGAACGATTCCCCACCCATCGCGCTTTTCAGTCAGCGAGTCGGTTTTAAAATTCCCCCATCTGGCACTGTGGCTGCTCGGACTTTCCATCTTCAACCTCAATGCTAGGCCAGGAGACAGCCTCAGATTTTAGACGACAATTTGCTTGCTACTCACGTATTCAACCCAAGCGACATGCCGAGAAAGCGACACACCTCAGCTTGTAATCTCTGTCGCAGTCGCAAAGTCCGTTGCGATGCGGTCGACGTAGGCGTGCCCTGCTCAAATTGCTCGAAGCACAAGTCGAAGTGTGTTGTGTCGCTAGCTCACTCAACCCGACAACAACTACAGCATGCGATACCCTTGGGCAGAACACACAGGTTCAGAGTCAAGGCTCGTCAGAATCATGTGGGCGCAAACATCATCAACACATCGACGCCTTTACCCAGCCCGCTGCCCGATCCAACAACCGAGGACCATGAGTACGGCATTGTCGAAATTGAAGCCAACGTTGGTGATCAGGGGCAACTCCATCTACCAGCCTACATCACGCCCTTATCCAAGGCCATCCACCGGGAGAATCTGCAAGTGCTTGTGCAAAGAGACGCGTTGGCATTCCCTCCACCGGATATCATTGACGAAATTATTCGATCATTTCTATGTTATGTGTACCCACTCCTACCGATCATACGTCTAGATGACTTTCTAGCAGCTATAGGACGCGAGCCTGGAAAAACTATGAGCCCACTTTTATTCCAGGCTGTTTTGTTGGCTGGGGCAGTTTTCACAGACTTTTCCCATTCGCAACATCCGAGTTTTCAACGAAGTAAGGACGTTCAGAAACTGCTTTTTGGTCGAGTGAAATTGTTGTACGATATGGAAGTTGAAACTAACCCAGTTATTGTGATCCAAAGTCTACTCTTGATGACTTATTGGCATTCTCAGCTTAACGATATTCAGGGACGTCTCCACTGGCTCAGAATTGCTCTATCCCTGGCGACAGAGATTGGGCTGCACAACCCTGATTTACATTATGAAGAGCTCGAGGAGAATAACTTCCGCCGCCAATTGTGGAGTTGTTGCATCATCAGAAGTGCTTTGATATGCATTGGAGAGCGGGGACACATTGTCTTACCATGTCCAGTATTGGGCCCACCCATCCTGTCTGCTGAGCACTGGAGCAGCACTTCTTTCTTGAGAGCTCTCGATTTCTATTCGGTAAGCGACACCGGAGAACAAATGGACATGTTGGGCTGTATACTCATCCAGAAAGTGGAATTGTGTCGAATAATTCTGCATACTTTGGATACACTGTACGAATTGAGTGGCCTCCGAAGGGATGCATCTAGCCATTCAATCATGGTGTTGATCCCCAAGACTAAAGGTGTGGGCTCTCTAGTCATTGCACTGGACGAAAAGCTAAGGGAGTGGCATGACAATGCTTCTCAACTTGGTCTATTTAACCGGCAGCAAGGCGACCTCGGCTCAGCTGTTCTGGTTCATTCTGCGATTCTCGAGATGCTCTATCATACAGCATTATCTACTGTACACCGTCCACTTATGTTGCAACAGCGGCAATTGGAAACCGCAGCGGGGGCAATGCGTGCGTTCTCGTCTGCTACCTTGCGCTCTTCTGCATGCCGGATTACAGATATAGGCAGAGATCTTGATGCCGACAAGCGGATCTCCTACCTCCCCCCTGTGGCTACAGCCATGTTCCTCGTGGCAACTGCTCAACATTTGAAAGATGCGATGTCGCCCAACTTGGAGTATCGCCAGTCAGGCTCTCTGTACCTGGGGCACGTTCTGCGCATTTTTCGTTTGCTCAATGACAGATACAACCATGTTCATTCTGCCATTGACTTCATTAGCCGAGTGGAGAACGGGGAGCACTTTGATCATTCCCTGGAATGGGAGGATCGGGTGAGTTCCACAAGTGGCAAGCAGCCGAATTACGAAACTCCAACATCGCAGTAACACGAGTGCTTGCAATGACAGGTAAAACTTTGGAGCGATTTATCCCCTCGAGCCCAGACCGAGAGTCTTGTGAAGTTTCTATTCGGAACTTCAGGAGTCCTGACGGACCTTGAGATGCATGGGCAATCATTCCACCGCACTTGGATTCGTCTTCGAGAGTGGATCGAATCTCGAGGATCCAGGGAGGTGAACAGGGTCATTCTATCGATTCCGGGGTAACACTGAAATACTGGCCGCCCGTGCTAGGCAGGGCTGGAGATGTGGACAAGGTTGACGACCCGCATTGGCAGCGCCTGGGCCAGCTGTTCAACATTGTGGTCTTCCATTCAAGCTTTCCTCCGAGCGGGGGCCCCATTGACACTTTCCCCATGGAGTAATTCATGTCCCGAAAACTGGGGAAATTCTTACCTATCGTCGATCTTGCCATGGTGTGATCCTCAGTCTTGCCATGATGTGCGCTCTACATAAGTCTCTCCTGCCCCTTGATGAGAAGATTCTCTACCACAGATATCGTTCATTGCAAGGATGGCATTCAAAGAACAACCTGACGTTGACCAGCCAGACACCACCAAGTTAGAATGCAGTGTGACCCATGCGGAGCAAACTCCTGTCACGACTGAAAACGACCCAGAACACTATACGACACGCAAGATCGATGTCCGTACTGTTCTGGGCATATTGGTAACTAGTGACCACCCAATTTATTGATACTCCATCAAGGCTAAGAATGGTGTAGGCTCTGGCCATCACTTACGAGTCATGTTTATTCTCATTTGTGCTTCCCGTTTCAGTCCTGTTGAGCATCAATCAAGACATAGGCCCTTCCAACAATATTGCTTGGATGGCAACAGCATGGTCTCTATCAAGTGCTGTGGTCATGACTGTCGCTGGAAGATGTAGTGACATTTTTGGGCGTCGGAACTTTTTCCTGGTGGGCAACTCTCTGGGAATCATTGGATGTGCAATCAATTGCAGGTAATTCTTGTGTGCAGGGCGAGATATGAAACAGCTCAGACGTTGACTCTTGCAGGGCATCCAATGTATCAGTTTTGATACTTGGATCTACTTTCATTGTACGCATGCTTCAATCAGCCAGCTTCAATCCTTAAATTGACCTGTTGGTAGGGCTTATCTGGTGGGCTGCAACAGCTTGCATTCGCGGCGGCCTGCGAAATTGTACCAAAGAAGCATCGAGGTCAGACACTGGCCATTATGACACTTATATCGTTACCTGGCTCCGCTTTCGGGGCCCCGATCGGTGAGATTTCCATCACGGTCGAGCAGCTGGTCTGGCCATTGACTGACTTCACAAAACAGCATACAGCATTATCACAGTCGCAGATTGGCGCTGGACCTATTACATTGCTCTCATAGTCAATGCGCTTGGCTTTGTACTAATCTTGATATGCTACTGGCCTCCGGATTTCCTGGGCCTTCATCCAGAGGGCAAAACGAGACGTCAACAGGTTGCAGAGCTTGACTTTATCGGCATGTTACTTTTCGCCGGAGGACTCACCGTGTTTCTCCTCGGTATTGGGTTTGGCGGTAATCCATACCAGTGGACGAGCGTTACTGTCTTGTGCCCGATCATATTGGGCGGCCTCTGTGTCTTTGTTGCATTTCCGCTCTGGGAAATCTACAGCTCCGATACCATCGTCAAAGTCTGTCCTCCCCACCTCTTCCGGAATGTTAGAACAGTCGTCATCCCTTACGGTGTGACTTTTGTTGCGGGGATGGCATTAATTAGTCTGGGAACCTTGTGGCCACAGCAGATCGCTCGTCTCTTCACCACGGTCCCAAGTACAGTTGGGTGGTATGCTCTTGCGAATCAGGGGTGCGCAACTGGTAAGATAGGCTCTCTCGATATGTCTGACAGCAGGCTAATCCCAACAGTTGGATTCGTGATATTCGGGCAGACCTTCGGAACTCTTCGGCGAACAAGATGGCAGTTTATATTCGTGGTCACCATGATGGCGCTATTCCTAGGACTCAACTCTACCGTCAATCAGCATACCCCTGCGCGAGCTGTCGCCTTTGTAGGTGTTGCATCTGCCATGGTTGGTGCAACAAATTGTATTGGGACTCTGATCGTGCAACTCGGCGCAAAAGACGAAGACATTGGATTGGCGACAGGTCTGCTCAATTCTATTCGCGGCATCGGTGGTGGAATGGGAGTCGCGATTTATTCCAGCTTGCTCAACAACCGAATAGCAAGCACATGGGCAGTCGATATTGGCGATGCAGTTGTGCAAGCTGGGCTGGCAACATCTTCCGTCGAGAGCTTCCTCGGTAAGGCCCCGCATGATGTGCTAGAAGACCGCTAATAACAAGTTAGGAGCTTTGCAAACCGGAAACTTTACCTCTGTACCAGATATGAATCCAGACATCCTCGCGACGGGCTTGGACGCTCAGAAAACCGTCTTCGTCGGCGCTTTTCGGCTGGTGTATCTCGTCACAATTGCCTTTGGAGGTGAGGATGGCCCTATTTTCAGTGGAAAACTGCTCATATTCATAGCGTTGGCGATAATTGGAGCTCTGTTTGTTGGAAGTGTTGATGACCAGCTAACCCGGTAAGTCATTTGTATTGACACAAGACTGAGCTAATGATATTGTAGACAAGTCAACGTTCAACTTGATCGACCACATCTAGTAGGACAGAGAAACGGTGAGGTGGAAGATGCAGTTGGGAAAAAGTGTTGATACGTGATCTCGTCACTTTCGAGCATTGCAAAAGTCACGACAGATTACCCAAGCAGATATCTAGGTGGGGGACAGGTCTAGCCAGTCGCTAGGAGTACTCGTACCTCACTGGGGCCATGGAGAGTAGCCCGTGGCCAAGCAAGTCGGGCTTGCGGGAGTTGAATATAAGCATATCCAAGCGGCATCCAGATATGGTGTCATTTAAATGCAACCACTCACCCGCCTCATTCAACATCGAGATAACGTGTTCATGGTCACCCACGAAATGTAACTTCGAATCGTCTCCTGATCGATTATGGGCTTATAAAGCACACAGTGTACATAGCACTATTAGGTTGGACATGTTCATAGAAAACGGCCGAAATCGGCTGAAGGGTAAATGCGTCATCTCTAGCCCGTATGTCGCCATCTGGTGTGATTCTGAAGATTGACCCCGAACCTAAAAAAATAGATGTTAAAGACCGCTCATGAGAACCAAGGATCATGTCGAACTCCTTGTCCATGAGAAACATACATTACAGGGATACTCAGCCATCAAAATGCCTGTCGAATTCATCAGCGCCACGTTTCTCAATCAATCAACGGAGTTGAATCCCATTCCCGGAGCACCAATCGATCGGGAATATGTCGAACGGTATGCTCGTGCTCTAGATGACTACGAGTTCAACTATACACTTGTCCCATATGACTCATCATACTTCGACCCATGGACCGTCGGAGCGACCATTGCTGCTCTGACTAAGAAACTCAAGGTGATCATCGCTGTCCGCCCCAACACACTGTACCCAACAGTGGCAGCCAAAGCTCTAGCCACACTCGATCAACTCAGTGGAGGCCGGGCCGTCGTGCATTTCATCGCTGGTGGAAGTGACGTCGAACAAGCACGAGAAGGTGACTTCTTAACCAAAGACCAACGCTACGCCCGTCTCGAAGAGTACATCAAGATCCTGAAACGAGCATGGTCATCGACAGAGGCATTCGACTGGGATGGTCAGTATTATCAATTCAAGCAATTCCGAAGCTTCGTTCGTCCCGTCAATGGCAAATCCATCCCTGTGTCCGTCGGCGGCTCGTCCGACGAGGCATATCGCGTTGGCGGGTCATTGGCCGATATCTTTGGTCTTTGGGGCGAGCCACTTAAGGAGACAAAAGAGCAAATCGACAAGATCTACGCTGCGGCTGAGAAGGCTGGCCGAGCTCCGGGCGACAGACCTCGTATTTGGGTGACGTTCCGGCCCATCGTGGCTGAGACTGAGGAGCTGGCTTGGGCGAAAGCCCACCGTACTCTTGAGGCCCTGGAGTCAAACTCAGCGAATGGGAAACCTATTTTTGGTGCCAGTCAGGCGGCCAGTACGGCCAATGCTCCTGAGCCGCAGAATGTGGGTTCGCAACGACTTTTGGCTATTGCGAAGAAAGGAGAGGTTCAGGATCGTGCTTTGTGGTACCCTACCGTGACAGCAACGAATGCTCGTGGCGCTTCGACTGCTTTGGTTGGGTCATACCAGACGGTGACGGATGCGATCCTGGACTATACAAATTTGGGTGCTGAGCTGATCTCCATTCGTGGTTATGACAATCTCAACGATGCGATTGATTATGGTAGGTATATCTTGCCAAAGGTCCGTGCTGGACTTGTAGAGCAGGCAAAGAACGGTGAGAATGGAGCGAACGGCACAAACGGTAGCTCGACGACTTCTTGATGAGATACATGGCCCCTGAGAGGTAGTTATGATACCTAGTATGTTCGGGTGAGAGATTGGTTCCTGTCACAAGACTGAGGAAGTCAAGGGCGGAGACAGCATTTTAAGAGATCTTCGATGCAGACTGGGCAGAATCATGTGTGGGAAATGACTCCCGACAGCATCTTCATACCTATCAAATAAATGATCGATAGATAATCGCACTCTAAGAAAATGATTCGTGCGACAAGACTTGGAATTGAAACCCACCCGGATATTTGCTCCGGAGGATCCTCATTCATACTGTGGGGATCCAGAAAAAAGACAAACAAGCAGCCTTAGACGAGGCAGTCACTAAGAGTCCACTGTCCAAACGATAATAATTATGAAAAACTGCCCGTCCCACGAATTGAAACTTCTAGCTTGGGTGGCTTGATCTCTTTAGATGGAGATGCCTACCCATAAATTCCAAAGACAGGGGCACTCGAGGCCCAAGAGGCCGTATCGGTGAGATCTTCCGCGGATCTACATAACGAAAGTCAAATCCCCAGCAAACGTTGAGTCTAGCATGGTTGTTGGTCTACTTAGTGGACTTTACCCCACAGACCCTTGAATTTTTAGACCAGTCGAGATCTCTTGGAAGGATCTTTATCGTGGCAATGCCCTGCAGTTCTGGACGGGCCCGTCTGTCAACCCCTGTGGTCTAGACTCCAGGCCTTGTTCAACATGCCTTTCTTATCTGTCAAAAATGAAACTTGGCTCACGTGAAATGGACAGTCGTGTCTGTGTGAGTCGAAATATTATTTTCTGCTAACTTCAATCTCGACGGTGCGCTTCTCTTTGACAATCGTGGGAAGTTCAGTGTGAAAACGAAGGCAGGTAGAGAATTCAGGGTTATGGTTACGATAAAGGAGAGATGGTGATTCAATATGGGGTCGATCGACTTGGTGACTCTGGTCGATGCGCTGAACAGGCCGTCGATGATATTGTCGTCGACAAAACAAATCCTGGCAATCAACCACGGGTTGTATAGACTTCTTGGACGGCCATCATCTGATGCTCTCGTCGGTACGGATGTCCATCATCTAGGAGTCGACTTTGCCCTCCAACTTGGGTCAAAGCAGACAGGATGGGATTTATTACTCAACATCGAAACGAATCCAATCGAGCACAATGCGACAAGCCACAATAACACAAACAACCATGTCGAATCTCCCTGGCCGGCCTCCACCAGCGAGTTCTGGGACCAGGAGGACAAAAGATTACAGCCGACCGTGGACGTGATCATAACCCGGCCTCAGTCAGCAGGAAAGCGACCGGGAGATAAGCAAAAGGTTAGCAACCATATTCGAGCTCAGATGTGCAGTCGAAGGATACAACTCGACGATCAAGTTATTTACCTAGTCGACCTACAACGACCAACATCACCACCGATCCTTCCACCACCGCGATCTGATGAATCAATCGGTCACGATGACAGTATGGGACCACCCAATGGTGACGAACGAATAGCGTTACCGGAGGACAGTTCTGACCAAGAAACTCAAGTTCATCGAATCGTTAGCACAGCCATCCCTTACTTCACGGCCCTTTTCGATGCACAAGGAGAGGCAGTCCATTTGTCTTCATCATGGCACAGAGTAACTGGCCGAGGCGCGAAAGAGAGTCTGGGCAATGGATGGTTCGAAGCGTTTCATCCCGACGACCAAGCAAAACTCCAAAATGATTGGAATCAACACGTCAGAGACAACGATCCATCATGGTCGTTAGAAGCACGATACCGAAAAAAGAACGGAAAGTACCGATGGTGTTTGGTTCGAGTCGAATCAGCCAAAAAGGAGCACGGTAAAGATGACACTAAGTATTGGTACGGATCAATGATGGATGTGGATTCTTTGTTGAGAGCGAGACAAGAATCCGACAATCACAGAAACTCGATTCTGGCACTGGTGTCCAATACTCATCTGTGTCTGTGGGCGGTAAATCAGGACCTTACCCTCGCATTGCAGGAAGGGTCTTTGCAATGGAATCCCGTGACGGCGAAGGAACAGCGTGATCGTGAACAGAACGATGTCGATCAATCGGATGTTCTGGTCAGGGCAGTGACGAATTCTTTGGACGCGGTATTCGAGAAGATGCGTGATGTTCTTGATGGCAAGTTGAAGACACATACTCTGGATCACCGTGAAGATGGGAGATGGTATCGATCTACCCTGATCGGCGATAGATGTAGCCAAGGGGACAACACCGGCACCAATCATGATAAGACTGGACCGGCTCGGTCTGTTTTGGGTCTCACTATCGACGTGACGGATGTGAGGGTCAGAGCTGAATTGGAGATGGAGAATGAGTCCCTGACATTGAAAGAACGAGCTGCCACAGAAGCAAGTCAGTTGAAAAGCAGGTTTGTCGCTAATGTGAGTATCCTTTTCTCGTACAGCACAGCACAAATACACCCACCTTATACCCTGTTACGGTGCTCTCTAACATGCTCCCTGTCAAGAAACACGACAATGATGATTAATCTGTAACTGACATTCCATACCTAGATCTCGCACGAACTCCGAACACCTATTGCTGGTATTGTCGGAATGAACGACCTCCTATTAGAATCCCTGGACACACCCGAACAGATCCAATTCTCACAAAACATTCGCTCATCGGCGGCTCAGCTTTTGGTGGTGATCAACGACGTTCTCGACATCAGTAAGATCGAGTCTGGTCGTTTGGACATTGAAACCGTGCCGTTTGCCGTCTGTCTGTGTCTAGAGCGACTTTATACCATGATGCTGGTTCAAGCTACGAGTAAGGATTTGATCTTTGAGTACGACAATGTCGACGTTCCAGAGGGTTTGGTAGTAGTTGGCGACCCTCATAGGCTTCAGCAAATTTTGCTGAATCTGGTCAGCAATAGTATCAAATTCACACAGGCTGGGAGGATTACTTTGAGAGTATCGGTGGTCAGGTCGGGAGGGGAACAGGAACAGAACGAGGAAAGGAAATCGAATGATGAACGAACAACATTAGGATCAGAATCCCAGGTCGAGCCTTTGGCAACGTCCGCGGCCACTTCACCTACTGACACCGACTCACTCGTCCTCCGATTCGAGGTGGAAGATACTGGGTGTGGAATGGACGAAGCCACCATGCAAAGAATGTTTGAGGCATTTTCACAGGCCGATTCATCAACAGCCAGAAAATATGGCGGCACGGGGCTAGGATTGACCATCACACGACAACTTGTCGAGATGATGGGAGGCACCATTAAATTCTCCTCCGAGACCTCGGTGGGAACATGCGGAACGGTAGAAATACCCTTTCAGAAGGTCACCAAGGATCTCTCCGGCAAAGACAGCGGTGTCGTGTCAGAATCCATCCATATCCACCACAACCACCATCATCATCACCACTACTCGAGAGAACTGACGCCAACGGCACAGGTGAAAAGGGCTGAAGAAAGGGGATCAAAGGTACACAGTCGAGCAGGATCGTTGAGCGATCCAACTCCAGCACTAGGGCTAGGACTGTCCACATCATCGATACATGCTCCCCTGGCAGCCATGACCATGACAACCACCACCACCACCACCACCACCACCGCATCCACAACAGCCCGAAGAACGAAAGACGAACGCAAAGACTTCGTCGTTCTAATCGTCGAAGACAATATAATCAATCTCCAAATCGCCGTCCTCATGACCAAGAACCTCGGTCCCAAAATCCTCATGGCTAGTAACGGCGCCGAAGCACTCGCTGTACTCGACAGAGCCAGTCAATCGGGAGAAAAATGTCCAGATCTGATTCTCATGGACTGCATGATGCCCATCATGGATGGATATGAAGCCACTGGAGCCATAAGACAGGATAAATCAAGGTTCTCGCCTGAATTGAGAATCATCCCGATTGTGGCCTTGACTGCTAGTGCTCATCCAGGTGATATGGCTAGATGTTTGGAAGCGGGGATGGATGAATATTTGGTTAAACCGGTGGCGAAGACGGAGTTGGAAGAGGTTTTGGACAGGTGGATTCCGTGACGGGCGAGACGGGTAAGGGAGGAGGAGGGAGAGGAACAAGAACAAGAACAAGAACAGCTTGAAGTGCATGTGTACGGTCAGGAAGAGATGGTGGCATCGTCGAAGGCGTTGGATATGGTTGGATGAAATGGGATATTTCATAGAAGATGGGCGCGACCATGAATGAAGGGTTCATTTTCGGGTGAAACAAGAGACTTCAAAGACGATCTATATCCTCTATCAACAACGGGGTATTTCCCTGCCAGCATTACATCCAACAACCTTGCTTCTTTGTTCTGTCGAATATCATTCCCAAAACACACCGATCGTGTGGCGCACGTCGCACGAGTACCTGATTCTAGCATCATACATACTCACTGATACTGCTTCGTCACCCTCTCACACCAATCATACAACTTGGCCGCCTCACCCTGTTCACCCTTCTCTAATTCCGCCAGCTGGTCGGGTCGAACAGAGCCACGTCTTCCCCAGGGGATGATAAATCCACCTTGGTCTTTTTCGATCGTCAAGTCAGGTGACAAGCCAGAGTAGATTTCGGTGTAGGCACCGAAGATTGGCGCGTACAGTAGCCCTCTAATGAAGAATCTCTGGATGGAGGAGACATGGCGTGCAAGGTCGGATGCTAGATTTCCGGGATTGTACGTCTATATTCGAGGGAAAGAGAATGGGTTAGTAGGTTGATAATGATGGTGAAGGTGATGAGGAGTTGTCGAGAAGGGAGCGGGAGGGAAAACTCACAGTATGTAGGATTTTGTCCCTCGGATTCCTCCTCGCGAATTCATGTCCCAAGTAGAAATTCGCCGATTTGGTCGTTCCATAGATCGGTGATTTGCCTATCGTATCATCCAACTCATCCAGTCCATCCTTCCCTTTCTTCCAAGTGTGCCCACCGTTCGGGGCTAGTAATATCGTTGCCAAACTCCCTGCCCAACTGACTCTCACGGACCCGGCCGGCTCGCTCGCCGCCGTTTTCTGAAGCACAGGCAAAAGCAATTTCGTAAACAAAAACGGACCCAGGATGTTAGTTTGATAACTCAGATCCATTCCCTGGGCACCCTTTAATTCCAAAGCTGGAGTCATGATGCCGGCATTGTTGTTCAACCAGTGGAGTTTGGTCTCGCGAGCGAGGAAATCATCAGCGCTGGCTTTGATGGTGCTTAGGTCGCTGAGGTCGAGATGGAGGTAGTGGAGACTACCGGTGGATTTGGGGTGGAGTTTGGTGATGGAGTCGATGGCAGCGAGGGCTTTGGATTCCGTGCGTGCAGCGACGTAGACTTTGGCGTTGTGTGAGTAGAGAATTGAGGCGACTTGGTAGCCGACGCCGGTGTTGGAACCGGTGATGAGGTAGACTTTGCCCTTTTGGTCCGGGAGGTTTTTTTCCGTGAGAGGCGGGGCGGGGAGGTTGAAGGATTGGGACCAGAAGGCTCGGAGGCTGGCGAACATGGTGGATGATTTTATTGAAGCGTTTAATGAAGGGGAAAAGAGTGATGAAAGGAAGTGAGGTTGAGGTCTGGATGTGGGACGGGATTAGGTTTTTAGGTATTCAATGTTCAGTATTATCTGAAACCCGGTATGAGAAGTAGAAGAGAAATCACATTCGACCGACAAAACGTCCGTAGTATCTCAAGTATAAATAATAAATACATGTCGACAGATGGACCCATTGACCATGGCATGATGGTAGGGGATTAACCCCTACTTGTATCCACTACTTGCCCCGAGCTTTTAGCTAAAATGTCTCGGATCCACTTAGGAAATCTGTTTCTGAACAAGAACGAGGGTATGCGCATGGGCATGGGCATACTTCGGAGATATGATATATCCTTTGGTTCAAAGACAAACACAACGGCCGGTCTGCATATGCGTGAGACGAGTTGGGGGACGAGTGGGAGAGCCCAGATGTTGGAACAGAGTATCCTGGTACGTGTAGTTTCGGTGACTGTCTGGCCTTGTTTACTCCCAACATAGATATATGATTGATGGTCATACACAGGGAAAGTGAGAGGCCCGCTGAAGTATACTTTACTGTAAGGACGAGACTGTACGTAGTCGATCTTATGATTACAACCAAGTTCCCAGCTTGCGTAATTCCTTCATTCTCCTCAACACCATTCATCAGCGGACTTAAGTTTTAAGAGATGTCATCTCAAACCAGGTAACTACATCAACGTCATCAAGCTAGAAAGAAAAGAACAAAATTTCTGCCTGTCACGTCGGGGGAAACATCCACCACGTTGACATTCTACTCGCCTATCCATACAACTTATTACTGTACGCTTATGCATGAAGCCGAAGGACCCACAGACCCCAAGTGGACTGATCCCGCCAAGACCTGTCCAGATCCAAGCGTCGACCAATGAAAAGGTCACAAATCCGAGGTTCTCACCCTGGTCAATCAGTAACCAATGGCCGTGCTCAATGCATAGCATACACTTTCATATTTATTTTTTCGATGCCGATGCGATGGTTCAGGTTAGGCGCTCCAAGATGATTACATTCCATGAGTTTTGTGAATTAGGAGTAATTCTTCTATGTCTTTCTACTGTAGGTAATCTACTACTGTAAGGTTAATACCTCACCGATTCCAAGAAGTCCTATTTCCTTATCCTTGCCAAATTCTAGACCTGCTTCTTCAGCGGCTAGTTTCCAGTTCCGAGGAGGGGTTCGTACGTCTTCGTAGTCTTGAGATAAGCCACCTGGTAGAAGTCATAAGTTAGTTAGTCAGAAATAAGGTGCTGAAGTTGTGTCTTGCGATCATTCAACCACCAGCTGCTCCCGGTACTGGTACCAGTGGTGCAAATCAACAAATATTGTAAACATCATAAGCAAGTAAGTAGATACTCACCACGAACCGTCCCCCAATGCATCCCTATGGACCTCTTACTCTTCAAATCCTGATGAATCCGTATTGAATCCCAAGAATTGGCATGAATCTTTGACATGAACACGCGAGGCTCGCACAATCCAATTGGCAGTAAAGCCAGATCAAACGGACCAATCAAATCCCCCACCTGTTTAAAAGCCGGGCAGGTCGGTAATTGATCCTCGTCTTCACGTGTGAGGTTAGGTTCATGGACGGATCTATAGCCCGTGTCGCCAGCAAAGAATAGTTTCTTGTGTTGGCCATCAAGTTCTTCAATGGCGTATGAACACCATAGATCATGGCCACGGTCGAAGGGGCTGCGGGACGAAAAGTGTTGGGTTGGTGTACATGTGATTCGTAAGAGGGATTCGGATTTGGATGAGGATTCAGACGAGGTCGAGTTCTTATGTTCATCTAGTTTGATCTCGAGTTGATCCCACCAATCGAGTTCAGAGATACAGGTTGCGGGGATGCCATGGTGGATTAACCAGCGTGAACTGTTCAATCCAACGAGGAAATGAACCTTCGATCCTCGCGTCGCATAGATTGCCTTGAGTGTTTCAACATCCGCATGATCATAATGATTATGTGAAATCAACACCAAATCAATATCGATATGATCGAGTAATTCCTGCAACGTGCACGGCGTTGGCGAGTATCTCTTGGGTCCCAAGAACGTCACAGGCGATGTTCGTTCTGAAAACACCGGGTCGCATAAGATATTGATACCGCGTGGCTGATTTTCTGGTCGAGACGTCTGTAAGAGAAAACTGGCATGACCTATCCAAGTAACGCTGAAACCAGGATTTGATTTGGATTCGTCAAAGTCGATCTTATGGATCTGTGCTAATTGCGACCGATCAGGCACAGGGACAAATGCAGGCTTGTCTCGAGCGAATTTGGTCTTGAAGATAGATAAAAGTCCTTCACTGTCGGTGGTGAATGATGGCCAGGGGTTTTGGAATCCTGTTGGTGGGTTTCCTCCTAGGTGGTGCGATTTGGGTTCATCAGGCAGCAGTGATTGTAAGCGCTTGATGGAGACCATATTTGTCGGTCGTGTTGCGGTTGAGTGTAGTGGTTGATGTGCTTCTTCGCCTAGGCACCACTGCCACTGCCACTGCCACTGCCACTGGCGACGAGGATGGTTGCTGATGCGATTGATGCGGTTTGAGGAGTCTGTTGAATGAGGATTGAGAGAGAGAAATACGTTCGTTTCTATGATGAGCAGTGAGATGGCTGGTGGGATGAACAGATGTGGGACGGCCGGCAAGTCAAAAGATGCAAAGACCATTTCGGCCCCTGCATTTCCTCCGATGTCACGGCTGGTGGAGATGAGAAGAGACAATATGGCCGTAACGGAAGATGATGACATCACCAACTATAGTATAGGTATATTCTACAATCCTGTCGATCTATTTACATTTGTTGATAACGTGACGGAGAGATTTTATATACAATCTTGACATGTTTTTGCTCGACGATCATCATACAGTAATCATATATGAGTATTTGAGGTTAAGAAACACACACAATTAATTGTTAGCAACGGTTATGTTCCCACATTGTCTTGGTCACTCAAATATTGACACCAGTACTCACTCCTCTTGACTTACTAAGAGAAGAATACGAGAAGCAATTAGATGTTGATGATCCAAAACAAGAGTTATATGCAGATACCGATACTTGATATACATATGCCACAATGTCATTCCATCTGCTTATAATCTCCAACATGATGCTCCAATAACTAGATATCTCATCATAATCCAACCAACACCTTCGCTGAAACAGACTCATCCAAGTACTCATGTCCAGTATATTTCCATATATATCAATTTCACCGCCGACTCACCCTCCTTGTCGGAGCCCTGCCGCCGCCAAACTCGGCAGGATCTATAGTGCGAAATCCACTGCGACGGGATTCCTTCCGAACAGGTCTCTCAGGACTATGTTCCTCAATTACTTCAACAACATCTTCAGGTTCCTCATCGACAATCACACTTTCCGGCTCGAGACGCTCTTCTACCACGACCCGCTCTTCTCTCTCGCGCACCGTCCTTACCTCGGCCATGCGCGATCGAGCACGAGAGTGGGAGTGGCGGTGACGGTGGATTTCTTCAACTTGAACCGTTTCTCTTGTGTACCCTGAGAGACGAAGCGCCGAAAGAACGACATAGAGAATGAGGAGGAAGCCAGCAATGGCGCCGAGGACAATTCCAACAAGAGCACCTGGTGCTGGGCCGGCGTTGAGGCCAGCATATGTGGTAGGAATGGCAAGGACGGGCTGTTGCCGTTTATTTAGGTGGGAATCGGCCGCGGAGAGGAATATGGGGTGGTATAAAGAGTCGGAGGTATTGGGAATAGGTGGTGGTGAGGTGAGAGCTGATTTAAGGGCGCGGCGGGAGACGGAGCTTGTCCCACGTAGAATGGTGGCAAAAACAGAGGCCAATGAAGGCGGTTTCTCTGTATCTGAGGCCGACCTTGAGGATATTGAGGACAAGGTTCGGGTTAGGATATGGTTGAAGAGGGAAGTGGTGAGGGTGGTTTTGTCTGATAGAGTGGGAGCCATGACCGGGCACAGGACTTGTATGCAAGGTACAATGTGACTGGGGTGAAGAACAGTGCACACAGATCCAAACCCTCTTTTCGTGTCTGTGCTGTGAGAGTTGATGGGTGGAGGGGTATCGCAGTCTGGGTTGAGTGGTCTCAGCTCTGTGGTGGTGGAACTCAATGGTGTGATAGACGCGGGGAAGACATGGATGAGGGATCAGAATGGAGATATGACTTTGCTATATCAGATATTGTAAACGAATGACATGTAGCAGCGAGGAGGAAGGATAGACAGCGAGCAGGGTGCGTGTAAAAGAGAGGCGAGAGAAGAGAAGGAAAAATTCTTCTCGTGAAGATGGGGAAGGTGGTGATGGTCGTGGTGACAGAGGGAAGGAACGATGGGTGACGGGAAATGGGGCAGGTGAGGCTTCATTCCATGCCAAGCTTTCGGAATTCCCAGCCACGTCAGGAGCCCAAGGATCCCAGGGCCACAGGCGCAGGCTAAGCGTAATAAGGCCAGCCTTCCCCGAGAGTCCCCACCCCGCAAGCCTAAAGATGGACATTCTAGTTGGTCTACTGGGAGTTCTACAGGCCCTTTACAGCCACTCACATGCCTGTTCCCGCCTATTAGCTCCCTAATTGTGGCGCCAGTGCAGCTGTCCGGGCCGAGGCTCCACACCCTGGCATGAAATCACGGTGGTTGGAGTTTGGAATTTCATCTTTGGTCTTGTTCGACTGGGATGGGAGATGACCTTGGAACTGGTGACCCAAATACAGTAGACTGAAAGAACATGGCTATCTCGCTTCGTCAATAACCATAATCTACCATGTTCAAGGCCTGTGGTCATCCTGGAATAATCAAGATACATACAAAACGCTTGAGTCGCCCAAGTCTCGAAAACACCGTACGCCAACATGACATCCTCTCATTCATATACGCAGCCCGTCTCACAGGCAATCTGGATCTCCCAGATCCCATTTTCGTGTCGTCAACTTTCGCTGTTTCTTCATCGTCGATGGTGGTACTTTCGCCTCCTCTTCACTCATTCGTGCCACACTCGAACTGCGCAATGAGAGCTTCCGTGGTGACACCTCCGACACACTCAAGCTATCCTCGCTGTCACGAGCTTTGATCGTCGCTTCGCTGTCTCGCGCCCTCAACGATGCAAGAAATGGATTCGTTGCAATGTTGCTGTTGGAGCTCTCGTGCAACACCAACCCCTTGACCGGTGACTTGTTCATGGTGCGTGACTTCTTGCTCGGACTTCGGTTTAGCATTTCTTGCTCCGTTGCTCGAATCTGTGCTCGAAGCTGTTCGTTTTCTCTCTCCAGCTCTTCAACCCGTCTCTCTTCGCTCGAATCTTCGTGAATCGTGATCTTGGTTGTCTTTTCCAATATTTCCAGTTTGCCATCCACATACGCCTCCGTGCGCATCTTCTCTTGCTCCCACGCCTCTCTCCAGCGCGCCTTCTCTTCCTCTAAACGTTCTTCCATCTCTGTCCAACATTCATCTCGGACCTCCTGTTCCATCACCACTAGTTTCTCCTCGGCTGCTTGCAGTTGCAATTCGACCTCTGTCCGCCGGATTTCTTCTTCGGCTAGCTTGATCGCCAGGGCGTCAAACTCTTCAGCCAGTCGAGCCACTTCATTCGTCGCATGCTCCAACTCTTGCTGAGTAAAGAAATTGTCGTGGGGTGTCGAGCGCCCATTCTGGTTCGAGCTTCCCGGTCGTGGAGGATAGCTCGACCCCAAGATCGCACTGGTCACACTCGGCACTCTAGGCACCGTAACCTCGCGAGCAAGAGCAGAGTATCTCAAGATCTGACTCGTGGCGTTGAAGTCTCCCTGAGCATCTGCCGTCACAATCATCACCGCTTTTTGCGCCTGTCGGACGCTCGCGGTCGCTGTCGGTGAAGGAAACGAATTGGAGAACAAAAGTTCTGTCAGTTTGCATTGTCGGAATGGCACAATCGGTTTGCTGCCTTCCTGCTGGCAGTCACTTTGCACCTGGAGACATTGTCCAAGATACATCAGACTCTCGTTGATTTTGCCTGCCTCCGCCAAAGTCGACCCCGTCGTTTTTGCGTTTCTTGCACGTTCCGAGCCTGCTAGATCCACAATCGACATCGTGCCTCCTGTCCAGCTCGACGTTCCATATCCGCCCCATCCTCGTCCAGAAGCTCTCTTCCTAACTTCAATACAGAAAAATCCATGACTGCGTGAGCTGACGCTGTTGCTGCCGGTTCCAGCCACTCTTCGTTCCATCAAGCCGGCCTCGAGCACCATCATCGCTTCTTCATAGCTGCTGCATAGAACTTTCCGAAGCCCTGCCACAACTTTGCGGTCGGGTGACATCTCCGTGTTCTTGAACAACAGGGGGCGCCGCAAGAGGCCTTTTTGGAGTGCCGCTCCTTGCCGAGTCGACATAGCAGGAGCATTGGAAGAGGTAGGGCTGGAAAGTAAATCAAAAATGCGGTCATTGTACACCTCGTACATAGACACGAGGACCACATAATCCGCCTTCTGGTCAATTTCAATCGCGAATGCCGACACGTCTGGATGCTGTGGGAAAGTGCTCGGTCGGGGAAGTGGCGGCTTTCTCGAATGATGCATTCCGTCCTTTACAACACGAATTTTAGCAGGTGATCTTCTCAAACTTCGCAAACGAGTAAGCAATGTTTTGGATGGGGGATGCCATGGCTCCTTTTCACAAGTTTCTGGTGTCTCCACTACCATGGGAAGTTTATCTGGTTTCAAGGGTCCTCCAGCGAAATGATCCGAAATGAAGCTCAATCCAACACTTCTAGTAGAGGATGGGGGGGAGTAGAACTGAGGAAACAAGCCGGGAAGCTCTTGGGGAACTGGGCCTACCGTCATCGGGGTCTGGGCTCGTGACATGGGTGTCTGAGCACGCGAGAGTCTCGCTCTATGATCTCCATCTCCATAAGTCGACTCAAGAAAGGTGGTGGCTGCGGTGATTTGTGCCTCGGATGGGTCTGAAGCCTGTAGTGATGGGAGTAGCTCTGTATCGGTGGGTAGATCAGGATGGTCAGGTCGTCTAATCTTGTCCCCAATCGATCGAAAAAGAACATCCAATGTCATTTGGGTAAGTCCCCTCTGTGTCTTGGAGCCCAGGATTGTATGACTCTATTCGACTCTCAGTCAGCTTGTTCAGATCAAACAACCGTTGTTGACGATCTACCTTTCCACTACCTGTCACTCCAAGTGTGGCTACTAGACCATCTCTTCCACTCTGCAAAACAGTCTTTATGGTTTCCGCTGTTCCAGTCTCTTCAAAAACCTCCAGCTGTGTAGCATGTTCCTGAAAGATCTTGGTAAACCCAAATCGTTCAATGGCTCGCTTTCTCGAGTCGTTTGGCGGCTGGAGGGTAATGTGTTTGGGGAACGAGCAGATCAAATCATCTCTGTTCTCTGTTGGGGATGGAGGAGGTTCGACGATGAGCCACGAGTCCGTCTTGTCTTTGGCTGCCTGGATTGGCGGTCGGAGTCGCAGGTACACCTGGAAAAGAGATGTTTGTGCCGGCATTTTGGCAGACGAGTCCATGATGGAGGGACAGTTGTTGTCGGTGTGGGTGAAGAAGTCGTGAAAAACACGGTCAGTTTTCTGGCCAGTCTCAACTCTAATAATGCATGATCTTATAAGGTCTGGGCTTGGGAAAAGAATCAAGATGCGGTGCAGGTCCCTTCGAATGCCAAGGGCGGTGATGTGTTCATGACAGTTTTAGGAAAGAGCGGTTGCGTTGCTACGGCAGCCGCGACTCCGCCCGCTTAACCTTCCATATTAGATGCTAACAACTCATGTATGTGCCTTGATCATATGCCTCGCGACAAGCACCTTGTGCTGTACCGAGTACGTTGCCAGATGCATCTTCCTCTCAAACAACAGCTTCAAGTTTGCATCATCACGCGTACTGCTGATGTAAGTTTATCAAGTTCTGATGCAATAGTAATCAACAAAGCGACATCTAAGCTGCCAGCTTCGACCGCTCGTCGTCTTTCAACTAAGCCCATAGAACGCATCAGAAACGCTACATGTGACTTCAGACTATAAAATGAACTTTTTGCATCTCAAACAGCCCCACCGTCATATGACAACTGCCACGTCTCTGGCTTGCTTTGAGGCTCAAGAATGTTCCTGTGTTCTCCATCACTCGGAGTGGTTGAAGCAGATATGCCTTCAAATTTGCGTACATCGCCTATACAATGATGCCCAGCTTTTCACTGATCTATCATATTATGAGATTGGCACCATCTCTCAATGTCCAGACCGTTGTTTCCGTAGAGCTTTTCGTTCCTTTTCTTTGGCTGCACAATTGAATTAGCATCGATTCACCGCAACGCGTGTGGAGTTCCCAGCTTACCTTCATCGTATACCAAGAATTCATGCAAAGCCTTTCCAGCCGGCACCATCGGGAGTACGGGCACCTTTTTGTCTGTAATGACTTCCAACAATGCAGGTCCATCACCACTGCCGCTGATCAACCATTTGAGGCTCTCTTCTACCTCGGCGGGCGTCGAACACCGTTTGGCTGCGACACCCATTGCCTCGGCCAATTTGACAAAGTCAGGGTTCTTTTGATGCGTGTGGGCGTATCGATCCTCGTAGAATAAACTCTGCCACTGCGTCACCATCCCTTGTTCCTCGTTGTTTAGGACAATGACCTTGACACCAATGTTGAACTGATTCGCCGTGCTTAGCTCGGTTAGGGTCATGTTGAAAGAGGCATCTCCATCAATGTCCACAACGAGAGCCTCTGGCGCAGCCACTTTGGCTCCGATTGCGGCAGGAAGTCCGTAACCCATGGTTCCCAAACCTCCAGAGGTCACCATGGTTCGAGGGTGTCGCCATCGGAAATGCTGGGCCGTCCACATTTGATGCTGGCCCACGCCGGTCGCAATGATAGTCTTTTCCTTCATGTGAGCGGTCATGTCGGACAGCTTCTCGATGAGCTCCTGCGGTTTGATGAGACCATCAGGAGTTCCCCGCTCGTAGCTTGTGAGGGGAAATCTCTCCTTCCAGTCCTTGATCTGTGCGAACCACTCGGGTCGTTCCTTGACCACGTTCACCTTGGGGATGAGACCTGCCAGATTCGCGGTTACATCTCCTTCGACGGCCTCAGTTGCCTGAACCACCTTGTTGATGTTCTTGGGCATGATTTCGAAATGGATAATTCCTCCTCGCTTCTCAGCAGCCGCCAAACGGGCATTGGGCGCAAACTTGGCGATGTTGAGTGTCACTCGGTCGTCGAACCGGGCGCCAAGAGCAATGATCAAATCTGCTTCTTGCATTGCCATGTTGGCGTACGCGGCACCGTGCATGCCCAGCATGTGTAAAGACTTGGGATCGAGCTCATCAAAACCACCCAACCCCTGGAGGGTCGTTGTCACTGGAATGTTGGCCTTGTCCGACAACTCGCGCAAAAGACGAGGGCCATCGGGGGAACCAAGGATGCCTTGGCCAGCATAGATGATAGGCTTTTTGGCAATGTTGATCAGGTCGGCAGAGCGGGAGATGGCACCATCAAGCTGGCGTTTCGAGAGTTCTCGGGCCGCCAAGCTCGCGGCGGAAGAATGGGCAGGGAGGGTCGATTGCATGGGAATTGGTCTCCGTAGGATGCCGGCAGTGACATCTTTTGGTAGATCGACAAGCACGGGGCCTGGTCGTCCGGAAGTGGCGATCTCGAAGGCCTCCTTGATGCGCTTTGGCAGCTCGGCCACATTCTTAACCATGACGTTCCATTTCGTGCAAGCTCTCGAAATACCGACAACATCGGCTTCCTGGAAAGCGTCGGTTCCAATGGCGGTGGTGGGCACTTGACCGCAGAAAACAACCATAGGGGTACCATCCGACATGGCATCCTGCATGGGAGTAATGACATTGGTAGCCCCTGGCCCTGAGGTCACGAGGACAACGCCAGGCTTGCCGGATACTCGAGCGTAGCCTTCTGCCATGTGGCCGGCACCTTGTTCATGTTTCGGCAGAATAAAGTCAAAATGTTTTGAGTTGTAGATGGCATCAAAGACTGGGAGGATGGCACCACCAGGATAGCCAAAAATGTGCTTCACACCTTGCCGCAGCATCATCTCATGGAAGATTTCTCCTCCCGAGAGGCCGACAAATGAGTCATCAAGCTCAGGTAATTGCCGGTTGACCAAGGGCGAAGGCTCATTCCGTTTGAAGTCATTGTTGAATGCAGGACTTGGGACAGGGCGAGGAGATCTGGGCTTAGGGTCAGCATTTTGCAAATGTTAGGGGAGTCACGGCTGGACACATACGAGGCCGGAGCTGCAGCGGTGGTTGCAGGTCGTCTTGACTGGTCGGCAGAGGGTTTCTGGGGTTTGCGGTAGGGGGATAAGGCGGCGGTGGGAGCGGTGGTGGAGAAAGGATGTGAGCACGAGGGTCTTCGTTTTGAGATTGATCTGATGGTGCTTGAGCCAGGCCTCATGGGCATTATCCTGGACGCCATCTTGATAGACGGGGTTGGATCTAGGTGCAGCAGGAGGATGTTGGTATGTTGGAATTGGTCTCGAGGATCGTGAGTAATAAGGCCCAGGTAATTGGGAAGGAGATGGAGATAGAATTATGAGTCAAAAAGTGGACTGGACTGACAGTCAAAGAGCGGGAGGGTAATTTGTTAGAGTGAGAGAGGCAGGGCGAGTGTGAGTGGTGGTGAGCCGTAAGTGTGTGAGTGTGTGAGCGCGGGTTTGCGGAGAAGGCAAGAAAGAGTTTAGAGGACTTTTTGCACTTGCCACGCCACTCGCCCGCCAACCCAGGCTTCCTTAGCATATTTTGCTGGCCAGAAGCCGACGATCGGGACTTGGCAGATCACGTGAATGACATTTATTGGTGGAAATAGTGGCTTGATCCACCCACATGCTCCGACCTAGGAGATATCACTGTTGTCTGACAGGAGGCTTTGCCAATAATGGGGGCATTTCTCATGACTTTTCTATGACATTCATGCTGTCAACCTCGGCGCAGGCTTGTAATTTCGACTGGTGGCTCTTACAGTTGTTCTGGATTAAGGTTGGCTTTTCTTCCATTTTGTTACTCGATGGATTGCTCTGTATATTTTTGAATTCCGTCTTTGTGCGATTGTGGAGGGAATCAGTTGGCCACATCGCACACAGTTCGATTGGACTCCAGGTACCATAAAGGTGACATTGAGAGGGACATGCTTCACCAGAGCTCTGCTGGACTTGCTGTTGTCTAGAGCTCGATAGTTAGCCAATCACGGGGACGCTAATTATGCTCCGTAAGAGTTGGTCAAAAATGGCAGGAGGGATCCTGTGGGGCTTGAGACATGGGCCGAGGCAGTCGCGACTTACGTGCTTTTGACAATTTGTCGTTGTTACTGTAGATTCAACAATAACATTTCAATGAGTGTACGGAGTATGCTACGCGTACGCATAGTCGAGTTCACTGTTTGCTGAATGCTTGGCGGACAGCTTTTGATGAGGGTATGCTGTGTTTTAACTATTTGATATTAGTAGAGCTTTGTCTATCCCCAGCCCTGGACCCGTCTCATGCAGCATAAGTCGCAAATGTGTTCCTGTTCCATCGCAGAGCAGAGCTTCTCTCTCCCTGAGGTGCTCTATGCTCGCTTGCCGAATATCCTCAATCTCTTGACACCACCATCAGGAATAATGGTCAGCTTCACATGCGTCCAGACACATCCCTCTGGTGGATTCTGAACTGCCAATCCTTGCCCCTCAAACACATGTTCGGTGTCGGCCTTGGTGGCCTGCTCACCAGGAATCAAGGCAACCCACCCTGCTGCATCAAACTTGGGATCGCTCTCGGTGCCCAATGCAGCTTTGGCGACCTCGGTGGCCCAAGCCTCTACCTTGACGGCACGAGGAAAGTTCCCGCGAAAGTCTTTGGTGTCAACCACGACCTGTGAGATCGTTCTTCCCTTCAGTCCCAGCCTGATAATGGCCCAGTCCACATGACCTGGCACTCGACTTCTGGCTGTTTCCCATCCATCACCCATGTCCTTTCCTCGCCCAGGGAGTATTAGGTATGCTTTGCCTCCGAAATGTTGATCCGAGCACTCAATAGCCACTCCTCCATTCAGAGCAGCGGCTAGATCCTCCACAGGTCGTTCCGCACCAGCCACCGCAGCACTTGCTGGTAACGGGGGAGGAACGACGGTTCCAAATGTTCGAAACCTCGCAATCCCACCATCGGGATATTGTTTGAGTCGAAGATGTGTGTATTGTTTGCCAGTGACATTGGGCCCTGACACCTTCCATGCCTGTCTTTGGCTAGGACCACATTTACTCGGGGGCAGAAGCTCAGTCCAACCTGTGTAACCTTCCTTGTCCACTCCACTGTCCTTCTCTTGTTCTTCTGTCAAAAAGGCACCGTCGACGCCTGCAAAGGGTGCTTCGTTGCCATTGAAATGGGCTGTGTCCACTTCGAAGGCATCGATGATGCCAGGTGCCCCCAGCTTGATGACCGCCCAATCATACTCTTTTTGATTATGTCTTCTTGTCTCCCAGCCATCATACCATGCACCGGTGTGTACAAAGTATCCTGCTTTACGAACTGATGGGCCTGGCGTGAGGAGGTTGGAGGCTGCGGCAAAGTACTCGTCCGACACCGACACAATGGAGGCTCCCAGGACTGAAGTGGACAGGTTGGTGGAGCTGGAGAAGGTTGTATCGATTAGAGCGGCTGGGATGGGCACCACATTGACACTTGAGGTAGATCCAGAGGAGGAGAGGAGGGAATTTTCGACCGCAGTTTGTAGCATTGTCTCGGATTCAACATGTACTTCCATAATTGGCCTCTGTCAGTAAAGTATGTTGAGTGAGTAAGAGTGGGTGAGATAAAAGATACTATATGTCTAGAAAGTCGAGACTTGTAGTACGTGAAACGATCTAAAGGACAGACATCCAAAGCACACAATGAGGAAGAAGAATAGTGCAATGGCCACACAGGGCAGAGCCAATAGAAGATGTGCCCATGGGTTATTGAATAGAGTTCCAGCAAATGATTGTGGCGGGCAAGACAGGGTTGCCCAACGCGCAAAGGTGTGGCTCAAGAATGGGATGTGGAAGTATTGGGAATTGTTGTATTGTCCATCGCGGAGGTCCCCGACGGTGACAGTGACAGCTGGAGGATGAAAATATTTCCATATCGCTAGATTCGATTGTATCGAGTAACAAGAATTGCTTCTGTGGCTGGAGGTGCGTTTAGCCTGTGGCGTCAGTTTGCATTGACTAACACTGACAGCACTTGCGTCCAACTGCCACATTTCTCTGATAAATCTGCTAAACTGATAATTGCTAGTAGATAACAACCTACCTAAGGTAGGTAGGTATGCAGGTGACCTGAAGCGCCCTAGTTATCGAGTGCTCTAAGGAGGCAACCTTACAGTGCCTGACCTAACGCATTCCACGTGCTCTCACTACTGTACTCCGTAGGCGTAGGCATTCCCCGCTCGCTGGGGGTGCGGTACGGAGACCTCATCCATGATCCGTTACTGTTCGTTCGCTTGCGCCGGCTCCGTGCGACACTTCCCTTCCTTGGCAAACCCAGAAGTCATGTGTTGACGCTGACTCATACCAAATCCCTTCCCCAACTTAAATAAAATATGTACCTTATGTGCTTATTCAAAAGTCCCCTCTTGTGTGAGATGTGAAAGAGCCACATAAGAGGCCAGAGGCTCAGCATCAAAGTCACATGTATCAAATAAGCCGCTGAAGTGATCGAACATGTCAAACGAGAACACTCATGACTCAATTTTAATAACCATTTGCTTGATACATCCCGGATGCTACCCGTTTCGTAACATGACACTGTGTTATACAGTCTCATCTCAGTAATTATGCTATGCAGAATGTCAATCTCCTGCAATCCCCGAGCCTGCAAGCCATCGGAAATCCCAGTTTATGGTCATAATCCATACATTAATGGACGTCGAGTCCGGATGAGTACCACCTCCCATATGCTCCAATCAATGTCCTGGGTATCAAAATGAAATACTCCGTAGCATATCGCATGCGACAAAAACGAAATGCTATGTGTCATGGTCGTTTTGATGATCCTCGCTCTTCTTGACCACTTCCCATGCATGAACCAGCAGCCAGTTCCAACTTGACTCTTGCGGGGGTTGTGTCTTAGACAGTGGCTGCGGGGGCCGCAGACTTGCCACCAGTCAATCTTCCATGTCCTAGGCGGTCGCTGCGCAAGATGCCAAAAGCAGCAAGGATGTTGAGAACAAGAAGGGCGAGGAAGATCAGCCTGAACACAGTTATTAGCTTCTCCTGCAGTCAAGAAAGCGAGACGAGGGGGGAACATACCAGAGCATGACACCGAATGCCAAGATGGCGCCGGCAGTACCACCAGGCGCACTGATGTACATGTCTGCGACTGCGGCGAAACCAGCCAACCAGAAGATCATAGTGACCGCATTCAAGGCCAGGGTCAATGGGGACATCCAGCGAGCCTCGCCGCCACCACTTCTGCGAGAGAACATGGGGAAGAAGATGAAGAAGGCGGTGACCAAGATGGTCCACAGCGAGGCAAAGACGAGGAAGCCGAATCGGGAGTTGGCGACACTGCTTCTCCAGGTGACATCGACGGCATACGCAGATAGACCCAATTCAATGATGGACCAGACGAGGGCGACGCCTAAAAGAGCAAAGATGGTGGTATCGACGAGGCCCATTTTGAAGATGGAGATGAGGAGAGAGATGAAGAGAGGAAGTTGGAGCGGTGAAGTAGGTGAGATGCGACGAGGGAAGTGCGGTGGTTGAGGACTGGTGACGGTAGGGCCAGGGTTTGGGAGAGAAATCAAGATTTCAAACACTCACTGAGGGACCAACAGCACGGTATCTATACTCAGTAGGGCACTGGCAGCGTTGGCTATGGCCCGTTATGTCTGGTCAAATGCGGACCGTGCGTTTGCTTGGGGCATGTTCCCTACCCGAAATCTAGGGTGGGAGAGGGCACTCAAGGAACACTTAAGGGCGCGCAACGAATTGATCAGGTGGTCGTTTACATACGAGAAATCTGATCTTGGGCAAAACTCCAAGGCTTAAGGAGATTGAAGCGGACGAGCGAGTGAGGGTCAGAGAGGGTCGGTGACGTTGGTTGTGGCCTTGACACGCGAATGGACGCGCCATGGCTCTTGGAATCCCTTGCTTGCACCAATCAGCCTTGCCTGTGGCGCCGCCCATAAGGCTCCGGTCTCTAAGGCAGATTTCGACATGGTCTTGGGCGACGATCACTCCCTAGAATACTTAGAAACCCAGGAACCTAGCCACGGAAGGGAACCACGATACGCACACAAACGGGTGACTGTTCCTGGTAAGGACGCCTAAGGACACCCAGTACGCATAATTGTCATCATCCCAATCTGGATTTCACAACTTGTTTCTACTATGTGAAGGGTGAGTTGCGCCTGAAGGTATTTCTTTGTAGGGAAATCTACTTATAACTACCTAGTAAGAGCGTCCACAATCCAATGGAAAAATCTATTCTTGATCCATCTCTCTTAACTTCCGATGTGGGTTCAAGCCATAGGCCTACTTATTTTCCAATGCTCTCCACCTTCCACCTTCTTACTTTGGTTCCGAGTATAACGTGATTGATCAGTGCCACCATTTGGATCATTTTGATGACTCCATCGCGTGCCGTTACTCCGAGTCGACCCTCGTTTCAGCCATTCCACTCGGGCCTTTTGGAGATTCGGTATACAGCCGCACAAACTATCCACTAATCTTGGGATCTTGGCCAACAACTTATGCCCACCTTGTTGCCGTTTGAGCCTTGCCAATACTCCGTACACTCCGATATCGACTCATTCTCCACGCGCCGTTGTTCCAAGCTCGCTATCGCACACCGAGTTCGGGTCAGTGTGAACTTACTTGCATTCCACATCGCTCTGCCTGCCCTGTCAAGCTGAAACTTCCCAGGGTCAGCCACCGCCACAAAAACTGAGCCACAACGCCATGGCTAACTTCCCCACCTACCAGATTATTCCCTCCAACACCAACACAACTACTCCGTAGTTAAAGAACACGCACATGATGTGATACTTACAAACAGCTGTGCATCACTCTAGCCCTGGTCTCGGCTATTTGTCTAGCATGAGCGACCCTTCAACTGACTGACTAGAAGTGATGTACTTGGCGATATATACGAAGCTCTCGTGTTTCTCCCTTCTGTTCATGATCACGAGGTTATATTCCTGAGAAGGCACAGAGGGTAACCACCAGCTGCCCACAGCTGCAACTGCCTGTTTTACACACCTCAACCCTTCCAGCTCCACGTGACTGCCAGACGCGTGTAACTGCGCAAAATGTCCCTTGGTAGGTTGAACCCGCCTCTGACACTCCCGCGACGTCTGTGATGAACTCAATCCTCAACAAACCTCGAAAAGTCAACGACTGCCTGTCTCTCACATGCCAACGATCATATCATATCGAAGCCACGGCAACTTAATGCCGGTTTCTGACCGATGAATCCATACAGCCTTCCCCCTACCATGAACTCCGAACCCTTGGTCCTTTCTTCAAGGTGCTACAACACCACCAATGAGAGCCGAAAGACAAATTCTGGTTTCGAGATAAATACCTAGAACACGGTTGAGCCCGAAAGCTTCCCCACTTCCAGATGCAACGTTCCCTCCCCACGATCGCCCCAATATCGTCATCTGCGTACCCTTGCAGCGTTGTATCCAAGCAATGACCCTGAACAGCCAGTGGCCCTTTGACCATTCGTCATTCAGCTCGTGCAACATCAAGCTCAAGAAGCTCTGGTCAAGCTTTCAACCAAGCTTGATCGGTGCCATGGACAGCAGTACCGAGTGGCGAGGAGATCATCAACAGGCACGCAGACATTCCTTGACAAGGTGAGAGATAGTACAATCAAGCCTTGAGTGACTTCCCGCACGCCGTTTATACATCTTTGAAACCCAGGACATGGTCTCTTACTGTCTTCCATTCTTTCTGATACTCCCTGGAAGTCCATTATTTGATCATGTCACTACCTAAAGCTGTCCTGCTAGTTGGCGCTGTATTGGCGGGCCTTGCCTCGGCCCAGGTCGGCGCCTTAGATGACAACGGCAGACCAACTAACTACACCGCTTACGAGTTTGATCAGCTCATCGATCACTTCCAGAATAGTTCACGGTATGCTCCCAACACCAACGGAACCTTTAAACAGCGATACTACTACGACAACACCTACTATCAACCAGGAGGACCCGTCTTTCTTTACATCGGTGGTGAAACTAGTGGTCCATCACGCTTCTCCAACCTCCAGACTGGCATCATCCAAATTCTCATGAACGCCACCAATGGTCTGGGCGTCATCCTCGAAAACAGATACTATGGCGAAAGCTTTCCCTTTGAAAACTCCACCACCGATAACCTCCGCTTTCTGACCACCGAGCAAACAATAGCAGACAATGCTTACTTTGCCCAACATGTTAAATTTGAAAATGTGACCGGAGGAGACAATCTCACGGCAGATACAACTCCTTGGATCTTGTACGGAGGCAGTTTAGCTGGTGCGCAAACAGCGTTCTCCCTCGTTGAATATGAAGGTCTGTTGTGGGGTGGGATAGCCTCTTCTGGAGTAGTTCACGCTGTTCACGGCTATCCTGAGTGGTACGATCCCATCCAAACCTATGGACCTCAAGATTGTATCACCAGAATCAACAATATTGTCGACAAGGCTGACAAGCTGATTGAAACGAACAACACAGCTGCGATACAACAATTCAAAGAAATCTTTGGACTGGGTTCGTTGTCTGACCTCGGCGATTTCGCAATGACAGTAAGTCGACAATATAAAATCCTCCTCTCGAAACAAAGCTGACCGCATTTCATTCATAGATTGCATTTCCTCTGGGCGGTCCAATGAACTACCCCACCAATACCTGGCAAGAACTAAATTGGTATCCAGAGTACGATCATCCCGACTTTTTCTGGTTCTGCAACAATGTCACCGACCCAGATGCTCCTGTGGAGATCACAAGCGTTGATTCACAGCTCGCCAACTACACCGATGGCGAGGTCTGGACAGGACTCGGTGGATATGCCAGCTATGTCAAGCAGGTCGTGGTGGGACCCCTTAGTGCCGATGTGATTGACACCACTGCCGGATTCTCGACCCAGAATGGTACGTCCGTTGTAAACCACTACAATCAATCCTACACACTTCCATCTTCGCATGTCTCCCACTTCCAAGCTAACCATTCGCCATTACAGAAACATTCTACGCCGACCCTACATCATCCGCGAGCCGATCCTACCTCTACAGCACATGCACTGAGCAAGGTGCGTATCAAATGCCCCAACCCGCAGGGACACCATCACTATTACTACGAACTATCACTCTCAACTATACACAACAATGGTGCACATGGGCATTCCCGGCTGGACCACTATCACCCCAAGCAGTGCCATCTCCATCCGGACCAGATCTATCATGGTATAACAAATACGGAGACTTTTCCATCTCAGCGCCACGACTTGCGTTCATTGACGGCAGTAGCGACGTATGGCGCGATGTATGTTACCACGGACGTAACGCCAGTACTAGTACCAACGGAATACGATACGGAGAATTGCAATCCGTCATCAATGGCGCAGGACATCATTGGGATAGTTATGGTATTCTAGATCTTGACGCAGAGCCGGATTTCATCAAGGCTGCGCATCGATGGGAACTGGATCTTGTGGGGCAGTGGTTGGTGGAATGGAATGCTACACATGGTAGTGGAGGGAAGGAGAAGAGGGATGAGTTGTAGGAACGCAGCTTGCTCATTGCTCGATCAACTCTGGAACAAGGTCACAGGAACGAGAACAGACACAGATGCCAGATCAAGAGATGTAGATACGTGTATTATCTTAAATACATCTGTTCCCCTCTGTTTACATTCGCTGCTCCTATCTATCCTTGTTTGTTTCCATCTGATTGCCTTGCGGCCCACCATTTCCATCCAATATTTTCTCCCATTAAACCACTTTATCCCTCTTAAAAATAGGTAGTCTATCCACTGATTCCAGGACGGTGGGTGGGTGGATGTTCTTGTCATGATGATGCAAACAACATGTGACTGATTTGACTCCTTTTAGCCAACTCAAACGAACTCCACCCAGTGACAGAAATCAAAAAGAGTAGATCCCATCCTTATGCCACCCATATTCGACTCCATGTGAAACCTGTACCCCCGGCCCTATTTCCCGGCCCCTATTTCCACAATACCGTTGACATGTCTCTCGCTGAAATGAAGAAAAATGTATGTGTGTAATGATACTCCCAAGGTCAATTCAATTGATTGCATGAATTCCACTCAACCCGCTAGCCGAAAGGTCTCGACCCCCATGGTCGGTGTTTCTACCAAGCCATCCCGGGGTACGCCTTCAGCTTTGCGTCGGACGTAGAAGTGGCGACACTCTCCTAGAACCTGTGACCACTCTGCCAACGCTCGTCCGCTGTATCGTGCAGTGGCAGCTTCATGGGCTGCTGGTTTCATCGGTTTAATCTCTCCTGTCCGCGTTCTCATCTTGGCATCGCTGTTGGAGCTCGACCCGCTCACAAGGCTGCCACCACTGCCACCGCTGCCGCCGCTGCCGCCGCTGTCTCCACTTTCACTGCTTTGTCGAAGCTGTCCAAGTAAGATGGTCTGAGCGTTTGTGGGTAGAACAGGAGGGCTGATACCTCGCGCTTTGCCGGGATCGGGACGCTGAGCACTCCATTCCAAGGAAAATTTGAATGAGAGAACTTGATGGGGTGGTGTCATTGGGCGACCTGACTGCTTAGAACTTCCCGTGTTGTTCAGCCCGGGACCCTTGCCATTGTTTCCACCGGGCGCAGTCTGCTCATCTGGACTTCCTGGTGGGGTGACTTCGCCAGGGCGTTGGTTGCCACCAGTGGCTCCAAACATGTTCAAGCCACGAAACACGCTCCAACGTTTTTTCCCACTTGGGGTGATTGGATGGTCAGCCTGAGGAATGGAATTTAGTGCGGACGAGTGGCTCTGATATGGGGAAGACTGGTTCATAGTAGAGGCCGAGGTGACCTTGTTGAATGTAGTCAAGGATGATATAATCGGCTGGCTGTCGGTGCGAACAATGATGAGGTGTCGATTTGGTGCAGGTGAACAAGGCGCAAATGACGGTAGAGGCGTTTCTCGCATTTCTGCTTCCGCCTTTAGGTATTGAAAATGTGCCCAAAGCTTGTTCAACCTTGTGGCCAGGGTCTGAATGATTTCACTAATGCAGTCGTTAGTTAAGCCTCTGAGAGAAAAGGAAGGAATGAACGTGCATATCCAAGTCTGTAACTTGGCCATCGTATCTTGCTATCCTCCAACACAGAAACCGATAGAAATAATGTCTGACCATGGATGACCAGTGGCAGAAGAGAGGCTCAAAGACTGAAGGATCCAATAACCACTCCAGAACGAATTCACGCTTTCGTTGCTCATCAAGTGTCCATATGGACCACGTACTGTACAAAAAGGCAATCAATCGAATCTGTGTTAAAGTGGTGTGACTGTGTATCATGCGTTGACAGACCTGAAGCCAAAATGGCCAGTCAAGAACCGGGACATCCATGAAATGTTGGCTGTACCGAAACATAATTGGGAGGACTTCCTCCATAAAATCACAAATGACAAAACATGCGTCATTGTTGTACAGAGAAATCTTGCGAGCAGTTGCTTTGGTTGCTGCGTCGAAGGAGGATATGAAGAGGGTTCGTAATAAAGCTTGGTCAGGATCGTGTTCACTGCAAATATCCCTGAGCAGCATGACCAGCCTATTTTCCGATATGGAGCGAGAGGCATTGGCAATTGTCATGGGCAGGGGAGCTGAGGCGTCGGGATTTTCTAGATTGTTGCCCAGTCCAGCAGAGAAGCCTTCGGCCATTGCCTGGCCACTTGAGCGATAAACGGTCGACTCAAGGACGACCAATAGTTGGGCGCAAACAGGGACGAATCCAGGAATGCCGACTCGATCCTTGCAGGGGACATCGTCGGAAAGAAAGTGAGTGACCAAAACATGATAGTGCTTGACAAAGACAAAGAATAAGTCACTATCGCGGCCACACCATCTTGTTACCCAAGGACCGTACCAAGCAATATTCTTTGAACCTGGAGGATACTGGAGCCGTCTTTGAAGATGTCTTGACAGTCCGGTCTGGGAGACAACGGTAAGGCTGCGAACTGGAGGGGGGAAATTGACCGAAAGAGCCTTAGATACGAGGTCGAGGCGGTCACCTCGTTCAGAGCCAAACTCGCTGAAGACTCGGCGCAATGTGCCCGGCGGCAAGCGCCACAGTCTTGTCAACATGTCTGCGACTCCTGGGCAGAAGAAAAATGCATATGCGCAGGTTTTGCCAGCAAAGGTCACCAGACTGGCAGGGGCGGTCCGCATGGAGAGCCGGTCAACCACATAAGCCAATTGTGACGACAAGTTTTGGACAAAGACATTGCGGACATTGTGATGAACAGAATCTATTAAGAAGTCGGTGTCATCAGATTCGACGGAATTGCTGGATTTGGTCTTTGGAAGCGAAGGACCTCTCGGACTGTCGGCGGGATTTGATGCGAAACCGGGAGCCTGCCACTCTGGGCGCAGCATGATAGCGGTAATGGCTTCAAGAAAGACGGGGCGATCGGTACCAGAGATACTCTGACTGTTGACACCATTCAAGTGGTCCAAGAGGCCGACCCACCACTTGTTCAAGGTTGCGATGCGACGATCGAGATCTTCCGCTCGAGGAGACAGATTCGAGGGGTGGTCTTGGTATTTAGACAGGAATGGTAAAAGACTTAATCGGAGAACCTTTGCCTTTTGTAGGCTCGTCTTGGACTGGAAAGTAATGTACTCGCCGTCAATGGCACGAAAAGCGGACCAAAGAGGGTCCTTCTTTTTCGGGAAATCGGAGTTCAGAGTGGCCAGGCGGTCGGAAGACAAGGACGAAGGTAAGGGAGGGACTCTGGCGAGAGAGAGGCGCGAGCGAGATCTATTGGTAGAGGCAAAGCTTCTGAGTGAAGTAGAAGAGGAGGCTCTAGAAAGGCGCTTGAGGTTGATTTCGCTTTTACTTTTTGTCTGCATCTGAGAGAGCATGGGCCTTTGAGGCGGGCTTTGTTCCTGGAGCTTTGGCAGAACAGGAGATGGACGCCTGCCAGTGTCATCGGAAGTCATAGGTGAGTGTGGTCTTGAAATTGCAGGTTCAGGTAGAGTAATGGGGCTCGTGGGAGTGTCGTCAGGGCCTTGGGTGGGGGAGTAACTTGCATCATGGTTGGTCTTTCGGACCGGAGAGGACGAGGAGGTGCGTGAGGCCGGGCCCCAGGACTTTCTCGCCAGTGAGCGCAAGGTTCCAGCAACGGAGCGACTGAAGCTTCTGGAGAGTTCATCAGGACGCTTTCGTGAGGAAGAGGAGGTTTCGTCATCGTCATCGTTGTCTGGTGACAGGGAAAATCTCTTGGAGGTGACCTTGCGCTTCATCTTCCGCGAGGAGCGGCGTAGAACTTGAACACTGGGCAAGTGACTATCGCCATTGCGTACAGGAGTGTTGGATTCGGATGAAAGATTAAGGGCATTATCGGAGAAGTTTCGCTTTATGTTAGGGGTTGGGTTTTCTTCCGTTGCTGAAGATCCCAAGTAGGTATATGTAGCAGAACGAGTGAGTTCATTTGGGTGAGAGTAGGAGTTTGAGTCTCTGGTGGAGGTAGAAATGTGTAGAGATGGAGGAGGATGTGCGGGACTTTTGGCATGGACTGGGGGCGCAGGCAGTCTCTCGTGGGACATGGGGACTGTCATTGTCATAGAGGAAACCCCGTCAAAAGTGTCAGGTCGTGGGTGGGTTTCTCAGACCCGGGAAAAGGTGACAGTGTTGCTGCAAGTCGCCATCAGAAGGTAACGGCGAAGGAGCATGGAAATGAAGGTGTCTAGAGTTTGTTGTGGTGTAACAGTGGAAGGCTGCTAGAGTTTATAATGGGGAGCAAGGTGTCGAAGCTGAAGGGGATAATGGCCGAGAGGGTATTAAGACATGGACGTTGAACCGGAGAAACGAGCGAAGAGAGTGATAACGAGAGACAGGATGAGAGAGGACAGGAAACAAGGTGTGAGCAAGATTATGACGGAATAGGATGTAAAAGAATGGTAAACAGCCAGAAGGAGCGAAGTAGAGATGGATGGATGGATAGGTTTAGGGCGTTGATAGTGTGGAGATGGAGATGCAGGTTGTAGGTTGATGGTTGTTGGTTGTTGATTGTGGTCGTGGTTGTTGGTGGAGGTGGAGGTGGTGATGGTGATGGTGTTGGTGATGGTGTAAAGACGCAGGCAGCGCGGGCAGCTTCAGCTGGACAATAATTGGTGCAGGAGCAATCAGTGGAGGCGCGGAGCAGGTGGATCGAGTCTCATTAGAGGGAGCGAGCGCCCAAACTTAGACACAACGGCGTCACTGTACTCGACCTCCGGGGCCTAAAGTCCCTGTAGAATGAAGCTTGTAGGTGGTAGTTGTAGGCTGAGGACTGCATAATAATATGTGGGTGCGGGTGGTCCGAGGGGTTGAGGATCCATGTCAAAAAGGCTAATGCAGTAGTGGTTCCAGGTACCCGCTTGCCTATCGTTGGAACTTGGATGCTACTGCCGGACCCTGCAGCCTGCAGCTTGTGCGAATAGCCTGTAATCTGAAGCATTAATGGCCGAGGGGGCCTGCGGTTGCAGCAAACTCCGTAGCTTGTAAGCCTGACACCCCGGTGCCCGGCTTTGGCGCTATCACTAAGCGAATGCCCAGAACGCGCCTCTAAGAGATTGCTTAACAAGATCCAGCATGGGGGCACGGGGGTTCATGGATGATATGATGGTCGGATGGGAGGATGGATGTCATGATCACCATCTACTCTCCTCAGCCTCCGTTTCAACCATCTCGCTACACTAAGTAGATCCAGATATGTAGAGTACAGTCGTGATGATAAGTGTCCCTCGTGCCATTTCACTGACCAGGTCGTTTAGACTGTACACATTCCCCCATCTGCACGTTGAATCAGCCAAGGTCTTGCTTTGACCGTGTTTATGCTTGTTACCAAGAACGCCCACTGATCTGAATCAGCCACAAACGGGACCTAGCCAACCCCTACACGATCTAAGGCCAGGATATGCCGAATAACGGGGGACTTCTAAATTGCGAGTTGAGTGAAAAAACTCAAGTAGGTACCGCATGGCAATTGCAAAACACCTCCAGGCCAATTGTTACGCGCTTAATTTAGTACATAACAAACTTGGGTTTCAGAGGTACGATCTGCATTTGTAGGTGTCTACAGTCTCTTTGACGTAGCCCAGTCCGTACTTATGGTAAAGTCTGTCAACAAATATAAACAGCAACCATGGTAATGATAGTCAATAACATGCACACCAAACACTCTCACCCTTCCTCCCACTGTACGTATGTAAGCCACCCCGTGCTCCGACCAACACCATTCTTCTCGTATTCCTTGTGATGACTCGGTGCCCGGATGCCTACATTTCGCGTGTCTGTGCTACCTGATCTACCCACCAAGCCTGTCAAAAATGCCCAGTACTTGGACAATCTTGACCCTGTTATCTGGGCAATAATAGCCATACTTGGTATTCACGTAAAACAGCACCCACCTATGACCTCTGTCACGTCGGACCATAAAAGTAAAATCCCAAATGTCTCTCCTCAAGCATTGATTTTTGACTGTAGACAACAGCCAAGGTCGAATATAGGCCATTTCCAGTTTGGGCATATTCAATCTTCGATCACACATTACTCTCTCAGAATGGGTTCACAGGTGCGAACGGATATCCTTGCACGTGAGAGATATCATGGCGGAGACGCACGCTTCACAACACATAGAGCACGTTGTAAACATACAGAGGACATGCTATGCTTCTGTTGACATTGGTGGTACGAGTCTCTAGAAGTTTCCACCATGTATTTTCTCTTGTTCTTTTTGCCTCTCTGTACATCTCTGGGTGAGCGTAGAAGCAAAGCTATCCCATCTCAAAACCCAATGGCTTCCTAGTGGTGTGGCACATCATCCGGCTCGGGTTCCTCAAACAATTCCTCCACCTCAGTCTGAGTTTCGCCGGAAGAGCTCTGTCCTTCGACCTCGACCACCGACTCATCGTACGCCTTGAGTTCACTCGCGAGATTGGCTTCTTCGGGGGACTTGGGTGCCGCGGGAGGGGTGAACTTTTGCACATAACCTTCGGCGTCGGATGCTTTTTGTGGTGGTGGCTTATAGGCTTTCAATTCTTTTAGGTAGAGGTCCTGGATTAGATCGGCTGTGGCCACTATTAGTACGCCCATTCAGGCACACAAAGATGATGCTCACACTCACGGGCGCGGACAACAGATGAAATGGCAAAGCTTCGACGGGGAGCTTGGAAGGATCTCGAGCTCATTCGAGCCAGGACGCGGGACTGTTGTTCAAGTTAGACAAGAATCCGATTCATCAAACAACACATCAACTCACGCCCGCTCTCAGTGATTGTGCCATCTTAGATCTGACGAGAAATCTGGTGACTGTCATTCAACGAGAAACTGCGATTTCTTGCCAGTTCCAAAGTCATGAAGCCTTGAAGCTTTGAGAAGAGCTCTAACCTGTTTTGGAAGCTTCAAAGTCACGTGTGAAGGTGCAGAATGATCACGTGAATAGTCTTGGCACCCTGTCACTTGGATGGGCAGAAGTCTAGACTTGAAGCACCAACCTTTGTCCTCTTCCTGTTCCTTTTCTTTCCATCTCCATCTCTCTTCATCTCCCGCCACTCTCACCATCTGCATATCATCTGAAGTTGTCAGGAAACATCTCTGCTCGCCCATCTTACTCCCTCCAACCCGCAGATTTGTCTCTTGGCCAGAGCCGCACTTCCAGATCGAATTTCCCAGCCTCGACAACGACCTCTTCGTGACTCACGAGACCTTCACTGGTTGAACGGTCGCCGTCAGCAGTTTCTTTCCGATCGATCTTGCGCCGCCTTCAGCATCACAGACAATTCGATTTGCAGGATTCATCACCTTACTAGTCTCTAGCCCTTGCGTAGTTTTACGGACCGGCCTGGTTGGTGCTCAAGCTCATGTTTGGCTTGTCTCATTAACTTGTTGATGGGCCTTACTGACATTTGAGTGTGTGCAGTGTACGACGATTCACCGCCCTCTGCGACTCCGTCTGCACTGACATTACATTGTTTCGCCACGTTGATTCACTACTCGCTCTAGCTATCCTAATTTTTACAGGCATCAGTCCATTTCCTCACCACACCTGGACTGCGACAAGAATAACCCTTTGCTCGAGTGACTCATTGTCACGGCGCTTCAGACCGCCTGTAGCCGCACCGGCTTCTTTCTGAAACACCGCCAAACTGTATTCTCCGTTGTTCGTCAAGACCTTTGCCAAATCCCATAATCTTCGGACCACATACAAGTCTATCAAGAGACGGCAGAATCAGCGGCTGCAGTGTAAATCACAGACTAAGATCGGCGGCCGAGTGGTGAAGAACAGAAAGCCGTCTGCGTTGAAGCCCATCAAGATGGCAACCTTGGCTGGGATAGAGAACCAGCCACCCGACGCCCTCGCATGGCGAGAAAACCTCAACACACACTTGATCTGTCCAGATTGCAAACAAGTCCCACCAGACTTGATCGAGGAGAATGCGGATACGATCTGTGCAAACTGTGGGATGGTGCTAGCCGAGCGATTGATTAGCTACGAGTCGGAATGGCGGACTTTCAACTCGGATGAGGGCAAGGGCGATGATCCAAATCGTGTGGGAGAAGCCGACAACGAGCTGTTCTTGACCAACAACGCAGGCACGTTGATTGGAGGCGGGGGACCCAACGTGTCACGAGAAACCCGCAAGTTGAAAAAGGCGCAAGCCATGCAAGCTGAGAACAAAGCCGACAAGGCACTCCAAAGCGCATACGCTCAGATCGACAATTGGGGAGAAAAGGCCAAGCTCACCAACTCGATCAAGACTGCGTCCAAGATGTACTACAAGCGAGTGTATGAAGCCAACACCATGAGGGGCAAGCCAATCGACGTGATTCTGGCTGGATGTCTGTTCATTGCCTGTCGGCAAATGAAACTGCCTCGAAGTTTCAACGAGATCTTTGCATTGACGGGTGTTCCCAAAAAGGACATTGGCCGTACATACAAGACCTTGGAGAAATTCTTGACTTCGTCATCTCAAGCCAACATCGAAGCCGTTGAGGGCAGTGGAGGAATCGCCAATCGTGACCTTCTCGAGTACCGTGGCACACAGTCGACCAAGCCAGAAGACCTATGTGGCCGATATTGCAACATGGTTGGCCTGAACTTCCGTGTGCAGACCATCGCAGAAGGATTGGCCAAGAAGATTCCCACGATCGAGGGACTGGCTGGACGAAGCCCGTTATCTAATGCTGCTGCGTGCACGTTCTTCGCCAGTCACTTGATTGGTTTTGGCAAGCCCAGCAAACAGATCAGCGACGTAGCGGGTGTGTCCGATGCGACCATCAAACATGCTTACAAGTTTTTGTTGCAAGAAAAAGAACGCTTGGTCGACCCAAGCTGGCTGGGCGATCAGCCTCCACCCCATGGCGGATATGGAGATTTGGCGAACCTGCCTGGTGCGTGAAAGGGCTCAAGGATGCACATGTTTATGCAATGGGATGCAGTTTACGGTGGTCCTCGTCGGCACCGCCCTTCGAATTCTGGCGGGTGTATTGCTCTTGATAGCTCGAGGCTCTTGCGAGGACAGAGTCCTCGGCCACATGGCTTTCGTGCTCGAGCCTCCTTGGAAAAGCTTGCAGTCTTTCTCGTCATCAGCATGGAGTTTTTGAAGGGGACGATGGATGGGATACGACGGTCACGGCCCCACATGAACCGGGGCAAAATCGAAAAAAAATCCAGCGAGAGTCTTTGCTTGCGCTGAGTTCTGCTGCATCCCATCTATGATGGAGTCTTATTAGAGGCATCAAAAGGTAATCTGCCCATCTAGTAATGCGATAAAATGGTGTCCAGCTTTGTCTATGCCTTTTATTTGTCTCATCCGAGTAGAAATTAGACAATTTGGCATATTGACGGCAAGGCTATGACAGGTACATAGCCTCGAATGCTCCTCTACTGTCGATACGCTATTGTCAATCGCTTGATAAGCCAAAGTATCATAGCACCAATGGCCTGCAGCATCTCGTCAAGGGTCCTTGCTTGTCATTTCCACGCCCTTTGAAACTCTGGACGGTGGTTGTTGCCTGGAGATCCCCACCTCTTGAACCGTCTACCCCACGTTGAAACCGACGTCAGCTCATTGGTGTTTGTGACACTTTATACATGGATATAACACACTATACAACCTCTCTCCAGGAACCAGAGTGAAATAGCTCAAATGGCCTGAGTACATCATCAACACTTTTCGTTCCAAGTTATAGGGTATTTTGAGCTCATTGTGTCAACGATATACATTGCCATCAACATGCCACTCCAGGCAACTCACCTCCAATGCCTTTGTGGCGCCATCCATGAACCTGCGACACTCCTGTCGTCCCAACATCAACCATCAGACCCAAGCACAAGTACAACAATTCCCCTTCCGATCCCCAAGTCCATCTATCGAACAACTATCTGTCACTGCAACATCTGCCGACAAACCACAGGTGCAGTAGGCGCATGGTTTGTTCCCCTCAAAGGTCGACCCAGTGAGACCTCGATGGCAAATGTCTCGTCGTACAATGCAACCAAAGACGTCACCAGATATTTCTGCAGCACATGCGGCTGCAATGTTTTCATCTTTGACGGACCAACAGGCCACTGGATCGCTTGTGCTGGCATTGTAGAGACGGAAGACACCCAGGACAATCAAGCCATCGAGACAAATCAGACACCAGATGTTCAAAAACCTGGCAAAAATGTTTCCAATCTCCAGTATCATGAATGGGTGGATGATGTCAAAGACGGCGGGTGGGCGGCTTTTCTGACTCGATTGGACAATGGTCGACAGGTTCCATTTTACAAAGTCAGTCCACATCAGTCGAAAGAGCAATTATCGCTCGAAGAACTACTTGCTGTACAACAGCGAGCAAGGGCAAAGACAGCCATCTTAGCTTCATCACGCGGAGATCGAGATCAGATGACAGCCACTTGTCATTGCGGCGGCGTCGACCTACGGATCGATCCCCCGACTATCCACGATACACACAAACACTCCCACCAGAATGACGCTCCCACCTCTGAACCTCTACGTTACCCTGCAGCAATCTGCTGTTGCAGATCTTGTCGTTTGGCTTTAGGCTTTGCCCTTCAACCTTGGACATACGTTCCTCCTGATCGCATTAGGACCGCCTCAGGAGACCTGGTCACCTTTGGTCCTGACACCAAGAATAACGGCCAGATCGAGAAGATGAAACACTATCAAAGCAGTGAGAATGTCTTACGGAGTTTCTGCACCAGTTGCGGAGCAACAGTATTCTTTCAGGATGCCAATAGGATGTCTATCATTGATGTCAGTGTGGGTATCATCAGGAGTGATGATGAGAATGGAATGGTGGAGGAGTGGTTGAAGTGGAATCGCTCTGGTGTTAGCGCTAGAGATGAGGTTGTTGAAGAGGAGTTGGTCAATGCTTGGGTTACCAAAGAGTAGGAGTGATTATATGCAGCAATGCGGGATGATCGTTCATTGTTCTTTAGCAACGAGTATTGTCATGATGGTTGTACGGGATCTGTGAATGGAAACGCTTGATGACTACCTTTGAAGTTACTGCTGTTTCTTGTATGTGGATATGCATTGTACCTGATGTACTTGATAAGGTTGTTCTCGTGCATGTGCCTTTAGCAATACTTGAGATCTAAGTTCAGTCAAGTAGAGAAGCTTTCTTGTAGACATGAGACTGAAATTGAATGATGAGAGTTGTATTTGATATCACGAAGGGGAGAAACTGATATCACGTGACTAAAGTCAATGGTACGGTGGAGTAGAACTCTTTCTTCCTGTGTCAAACAGCGGAGTATATCCCCAAACCAACATTTGTCGAATCTCCAACTCCAGGCAAAAAGTTGAGAATAAACCATCTTCTACCATGCCCATGTCCAGCAACACCAGCACTTCAACCCATATCTCTGCCCTTGCACCCACTTTCTGAAACCCTTCATGACCTATCAGTTCGACTGCTGACCAAAACTCATCGCCTGAGGCCTCAATCTAACAACTCAACACCCTTCCGCCATGGCCGCCGCTGCGAAGCCAACCAAGAACCAGCTCAAGCGCGCAAAGAAGAAGGCACAGAAAGCCCAGGTTTGTCCTTTCAATTCGTCTTTATGCGCCCCAACTGACCAAGAAAAGAAATCAGAAGAACCTTCACAACCTGCAGCCGCTGAGGCAGATGCGCCCGAACAAAAACCAACAACAACAAATGGCGACAAACCTAAGCGCGAAATCATCAAATCCGAAGACAACGAAGATGCTGATCCTTTTGCCGACCCCCTCATCGTCGACGATGATAACCCACTCTTCGACATGTACAAGGATATCATGGGCAAGTTTGAGGAAGCAGACAAGGAAGATCCAGCATTGAAAGAAGCGGACAAACCAGAGGTGTATTTCGACGATGACGATATTCCCGACGAAGAGGAGAACGAGGCCGCCGCGAACAAGATCTCCAAGAAGAAGCGGAAAGAAATGAACAAGTTATCGGTGGCAGAATTAAAGGCGCTCGTCAAAAAGCCCGAGTTGGTGGAATGGACAGACACATCAGCACCAGATCCCCGGTTATTGGTGCATCTAAGATCATATCGCAACGTGGTCCCGGTGCCTACACACTGGTCGCTGAAGAGAGAATATCTATCTTCCAAAAGAGGTGTGGAGAAGCCGCCATTTTCTCTGCCCAAGTTTATCCAAGAGACGGGTATTGCAGAGATGCGGGATGCCGTACTGGAGAAACAGGATCAACAATCTTTGAAACAAAAACAGAGAGAAAGAGTGCAAGGAAAATTGGGAAAGCTCGACATCGATTATCAAAAACTCTACGAGGCCTTTTTCCGATTTCAGACTAAGCCCGAACTGACGAGATATGGCGAAGTCTACTATGAAGGCAAGGAATTTGAAACCAATCTTCGACATTTACGACCCGGTGAGCTGTCGGATGAATTAAAGGAAGCACTTAATATGCCCCCAGGGGCACCACCACCTTGGTTGATCAACCAGCAGCGTTACGGACCTCCCCCATCATATCCCTCGTTAAAGGTCCCTGGTGTCAATGCGCCACCACCGCCTGGGGCAAGCTGGGGTTTCGCGCCCGGACAATGGGGCAAGCCGCCAGTCGACGAAGCCACCAACCGACCTTTGTACGGCGGTGACATCTTTGGTGTCCTTCAGCAACAACAGAATACGCAACTGGGTGAGCCGATAGAAAAAGAATTGTGGGGAGAACTACAGCCACAGGAAGAGTCAGAAGAAGAAGACGAAGATGAGGAAGATGAAGACGAAGACGCCGACTCAGACGATGGTGGTGCGGGCATTGAGACATCGGCCGGCCTAGAAACGCCCAGCGGCCTCAACTCATCAGTACCCACAGAGATTGGAGGCACCGAGACTGTGTCAGAGTTCGACCTACGCAAACGCCGTGGCACCGAAACCGAAGAATCATCACATCCTCGCTCAGCATACCAGGTGATCCCTGAACGACAAACTCGAGTAGAGGGCTTCTTTGGCGGCGACCGCGCCTACGATCTCAAGGGCACCCAGCAAAACCAGAACCTACCTGTTCTAGGACAAGAAGATACACGAAAGCGGAAGAAGCCTGGCGATGTTGATATCTCAATGGACCCCGATGCGTTGGCTGCAGCAGGCAGCATGAGTAAAGAGGATCTTCAAAGGGCGTACGATACTCAGAGGAAAGCAGAACAGAACCCAGGCTGGGATTTCCAGGAAGATTTGTCAGAGATGATAGCTTCAGAAAGTCGGAAGAGGCAGAAACGAGATGAGGAGAGACGAGCTAAGCGATGAGATGTGGATGTTATTGATGGGTATAGGTCTTGGGTTCTTGAGCAGACGCTCTTACCATGTAACTGTATTATCAGAAAAGGCAATTTTGACTTGCTAAAGGCGAGGCACTCTAATGATATCCTGAATCTGCTGCGCTAATGAACTAGGGTCGCGTGTCCTGTACTCTCGTACCCAGTCAGTTATGGTAAAGGTTTGGCCTCTCAAGTCGAGGTCTGAAGCGTCTCCACAACCTGGATATCTGGAAAAGAACGCCATCAAAGCAGAGACAGGGAACCTCTAGCCTCGGGTCCAGGCACACTCGTGTATATCACTTTAGACTGGAAGAGGACATATTTTATGGCACGGCGGAGGGGGAAACTACTCAAAAACAACGTAAGAAGAGTATAATTCAAGTTGATTGACATTTACGGCCCCGCGAATATTGACCTAAACTATGTGCCAGGTTTGCAAGCGAAGAACCCCTGGGAAAATCGAATCAGTCCCCTTTTCTGCTAGAGTAATGTATGTTGTGAGCGGGTGAATGAGCGCCATCGCGATTTTTCCTCAACCGCCACTTCGAACCCAACCCGACCACCTGATGACTTTACAGAACATATTTGAACTGCAGACTGGCATCACCCTCCTTCCCATTCGATTCGACACCCGTAGCCAAGATCTCCTCCTTCTTCTTATTTCGATAACGCAGCAGACTATAAATCGAAACCACGCCACAAAGAGCCACAAACTCAAGTCCCAGACTAACACCGTTGCCACTGATATATCTAGGTCCGTCAGTAGCAGGATAGATCTGACCAGACAAAATACCCGAGATATTGGCAATAGTGGCAGCAAATGGAACTCCAACACTTCGTTTGTAGTCAGGAGCCAAATTGCTCGTTACCCATGTAAGCATGATGCAGTTGAAGGGGAAGATTCCAACCGCGCACATGAACATGGCGAAGTATCCGGCGCCGATGTTGGCGGTGCCGAGAGCGATGGAATAGCCAATTAGAACGGGGATGGGGACCATGAAGAGGAATAATGCGCGTTTGTGCAGTTTGTCGGATGCCCAGGAGATGATGCCGACGGAGATGGTGGCTAATACGTAGACCGGGATGGTGAGGTAGTTGGCTTGGATGGAGGTGTAGCTGTGGTGATGAGTCAGTTCTCATGTTTCATGTTTGGTTCTGTAGAGATAAAGAGAAAGAGAGGTCTGTCAGTTACGGAATTGCACTTACCCAAAGCCGCGAATGATGGTAGGTAGAAAAGTGCCGAAGCCCAAGAGAGGCAAAGAGGAAGCGAAGAGGGAAAAGGCGACGAGATAGACGAGCAAGTCGGTGACAGCAGACCACACGTAGCGGGTTTTGAAGCTATCCTCCCCTTTATAGAGGACATCGCGTTGTTTCTTCAACAACATAAACTCCGACTGTTCCTTGGTAAGGAACCATGCCTTCTCAGCGCTAAAAGGCATGGTGACCCAACAGAGACCGCCAATGACGAAGGAAATGATTCCCTCAATGATGAACAGCCACCGCCAGGGTTCCAAACCAGCTCGATGGCCCATCGATTGAACGCCATAGGCAAACAAACCGCCAAAAGCTCCCGAAATGGTCGTAGCACAATAGATGACGGCGATCCGTTTCCCCTGCTGGCGTTTATTCCAGATGGTGGAGATGATGAAGATGATGCTGGGTAGGAGACCAGCTTCAAAGAAACCCAACACCAGACGACAAGCCAGCGCTTGGTGGTAGTTGTGTACGAAGCCGGTGCCTAATGTTGCAGCACTCCAGCCCAGCAATGCGACTCCCAGAACTCGATTGGCGCCAAACTTCTTGATCGAAACAACCCAGGGGATGTCGAAGACGATATATGTCACGTAGAAAAGTGTGACTAGGTTGTTGAATTCACGTCCTTGGAGATTGATATCCTGAGCAAATCCAAATACCACGGCGTTGCCTGGAAGTCAGATCGTCAGCTTCTTGTGTCTGCATTTGGTCGACCGGTCCAAACAGACCAGGCCAGACGAGAGCAGGGAAGATCCAACACCCAAGAAATTCTCTAAACACAAGAGGTTGGAAACTGCAACATTTCAGAACCTACCTATATTGGTGCGGTCGAGGTATCCAATGATAATGAGAAAAGCAATCTGCGGAAGCAGACACATATCGAACTTTCTCAATGTCTTCCTCTCCATTTCTGGATCCAACTGCATTTCGGTCACGACGCCAAGTCGGTCTGACTCGGTTTTGCATACGTCCAAGGCTTCGCTGGCTTCCATGCTCGGGCGTTTGTGTTCCTCAGCCATTGTCGGCGAAATGTTGATGACGACGATGACGACGACGAAGAAGTGTTGATGGTATACACCCACTCTCTCTGGAACAAATAAAACAACGAATACGGAGAGGACAACCGGAGAGCAACGACAGAGTGCTAATGGTTTGAGGAAGAAGGGCAGGAGAGGCCAAAGGGGGTAGGACGTTGATTAATATGCATGCATCCAACAGGATGGACATCTCGTGGTAGTCCAGTGAGATAGGAGAACCTCCATAGATCACTATCAGGCTCTCTCTCGGTCTGGCCTGGCTGATGACTCGGATTTGGGTGTCGATGGCCGAGAAAGACGGGGGTTTGTGAGCGTGTAGGGGGTTTAGGTGTGGGAGTAAGTGATCTCGTGTGATCTGTATGAGAATGACATTTGGTACAGCGGGAAATGGGTTATCATGTGGCGTTGCCGTGTCATCCAAGTCCGAGCACCCACTTTTCCATCTCCGCCATGTCCGGATAGCGGAGAAAGGGTTCGCTGATAAGGCTAGACCTATACTCACGTCGAGCAAATCTAGGATTGTTATAGCTTAGGTATTGGTCCTCAAAGGGCTATACAAGTGTCCAATAAGGGTCACTCGCACGATTGCTCGTATCGTGCCTGGGCCTGGCCAAGGTGATAAGCGATTTTGAAGGTCTGAAAAATGGTTGTGTGGTATCTTACGATCATACTACCAGGGATTGAGTTCTACATACTCTGTATTTGTTGGTGGGAATTGGTAATGTGGATTGCAGACAATGCTATCATGATAGACTTATCGAAGGTTCATCCCAATCTCCTCTCGCTCTACTGAGCGCCGCGGCATCTGACAACAGGCCTGTCATGTCCCAACTAAAGAGATCATACGAATCTTCGAGTTGTAGGTCGGCATAATCAAACATCATATCGGTCCCCTCGGTTAGCTCTCCCAAAGGGATGCTTGGACCGATATCCTGGATGGTCGATTGATCCAGCCTGGCCTCATCATCTAATGGCTCGCCGGCGTGACCACTCTGATTGTCAACGCCTGGAGTGATCGCGATATGTGCTGTGGGTGATTCGACTCGGCGTCCAAGATATTCTCTTGTCGAAGTCTCTCCCCCAAGTATAACCGAGATTGAGGGAACGAGACGCTCAGTATCGTCAGGCGAGCATTGCTCTCCCTGCTCGAGTAATGAAAGCATTGTCAGAAGCACTTTGCGTCCATTGACCGCTACAGGCACCCCGCACTCTTGGGCTTCCAGAAGGGCCAAATCAGCCGCCATGGTCTCGACATCTCTCCTGGCGGCCGCCGGGTCAGGCACTGATGCCCGTTCGACCAGTAAAAGGGTCACTAAAGTCACTGCGACCGAAAACACCTGATATGCTTGAGGGAAGAACTTCTGCTGGGTCCGGAATGATTTGGCAGATCGCATACTTCGATACACTGCCAGTGCATCCTCTACCGCTCGAGCGCAGTTGAGTTGAGCGCGTTTAGAGCTGTCGCCGAGAAACGCCCGATACATGCGCACTTGCTGTGTGCTGACGCAGGTTCGAAGGATATGGTGTTGCCAGCTTAGAAACTCGTAGTTACCTGAGAACAGTTTGGGGTTTCCCTGGTTGTCCAGCTGGAAGTACCACGGTAATTGTTCCATTAGGTCACGTAACTGACGGTCGAGTCCGACGACGGCTTCGTAGGACTGGAGCTGATCGGGCTCACTCATCAGGGCATTATTGATGAGCTGGAACACCTGAGCTCGATAGATGTTCATGCTCATTGCCGTCGGCTCTTCTAAAGACCTTGGGGTGATGAAGTTGTCACCCAAGTCACTGTCATGACAATTCTGTGGTAGCGGTACCTTGGCGAACTGTACGCGAATTAATGGTTGCCGGTCGAGACATATAGATTGGAAACTGGTTGTTGTCAGTGTCATGGGTTTGAAACATCCTACTAGTGCTGTCGATGCTCTTGTGATCTTTATATAGTGGGTTTCACTCACGTGTCCGAGTCTACTAGATCCCACCATATCCGATGTCTCATTTCATCATGGACATCCTTCGAAGGGAGGTGGTCTTTATCCAAGCCTAAAACTTGTGCTTGTCTGATCGCTTGGGCCATCCTTCTGAACCCAATGAGTATTTGGATCTGCAATAGTAATAGAAGTACTCACGAGTTGAGGGTCTCAATATTATTTGTGGCATACCAATAAAGCTGAGTTATTGTGAATGTTTGAAGCTGTGTGAGGCATGGGTTGACCTCGAAGTTACCGGCCTGGAGTGCCTGGAATGACCCGTGATGCCATAAGTGTGCGAGTTTGCGGATGGAGTCGCCTTGTATGCCAACAAACTCGATGGCACTGATGGGAATATGCAACCCACTAATAGATAGAATTGTGAACAACAGGGACAACCAGATTAGGTTGACTTCGTCCACGCTGCCATCCCAGAACTGACTGTACTCCTTGCGGAAGCTGGGAATATGCACCGTCTGGAAAAGCCAATTGATATGTTCAACAAAGTATGTCAGGAGAATATCGCATTGCGTCCTTGTTGGCAGTAGCTTGACCAAGAAGTTCTTCCACTGTAGCTTCTGATTCACCTCGCTCTGGCAACTCAACAATGTCAAGCCATCTAGTGGGCCAATCTGAAGTAGTGGAAGCACTTGGGGGAATAGTACTGCTGCTTGTGTGCCCCCAAGGTCCACCCGCCCAGATTCCAAAGCTTGAGCAGCGGAATCCATGTGGATATTGGAAACGATCTGACTCTGCAAGCGATTCGTCGGGCCTCCAGGTGATGTGGGGACGGCTTTTGAGATGGTCGAGACGCCTCTAGCATTTGGTGAAGTCTCCACTGAGGTCTCGTTGGTGTGTGGCTGTCGATTTGCTGGCCGCTGCCTGCCTTTGGCGGGCGCCGGATGTTGACGACAGACATGCTCACGCTGGTAACGTACACATGTACTACATGGCACCAACCTGTCACATCGTAGTTTGTGCTGTCTACATGGCAGACAACTCAAGGGCACTCTTTTGGGCACTTTCCTGCCCGTCGACCGAGCTTGAACCGGCGGATCAGGCCTCGGTGCTGCCGGTGAGGAGGGCATGCTTGCAAGAGAAGGATATAAAGTACCGGAGCTCGAGAATCGGCGCCGGACTTATTGGTGCTGGGTGACAAAATGTTATACAAGAAGCTCAATCGGAGGTTCGGATAAAGAAACTTCTTAGAGATGCCAAGACCGGAGATGCACTCTTCCCATCTCCGGTCACCGACTGGTCCTGTACCGACATCGGATTTATTCGAGTAGATGCAATTGACAACTGTGAGGCTGTTGTCAGGAAGAATTTTGGATGCTTGGGGGAGTTGGGGGTCTGTAGAGACATATTGACTTTGGTCAGATAAGTGTGCATGAGACGACCAGGGCTTCATTGCATTCTGGTTCCTCGCAACGTGGATTTCTAGAACAGACAGCAGATATCTCTGCCTTAGGTGGTTCTTTCCTTTCGTGTCTTAACCAGAGGTGTATTCCTGGAGTCAAGTTTGATGTATGGGACGGCGCCCGAGGGGTGTGCAAGACCGACCTTCTTTCTTCTCAAAGTTGCAACACAATATTTGGGAGGAAGCCAGAGGAGATTGGCGAAACCCTGCACAATCCATTGTTCGCCCACATGTAGACAATCCTGTGCTTCCTCAGGAAGGTCATTTGAATGATCCCACGAGCTCGCAGTTGGAACGAGGTATTGAACCTCTAATCGTGACGAAGCGTGTAGAATCGGCGGAGTAGCACAGCACTCCAGTAGTATTGGGCCATGGGCACCAACGTCCCATGGTCAACCATGGCCCAGGCGAGCGGAGGATAAGCCCGAGGGTTTCCGTCCCTTCACTGAACGGGCCCAGGCCCGACCAGTCCCAAGCGACATCACCCATACGCCCTATGAGGTTGAACAGCTGTCAAATTTACCAGGCTGTGAAATTTGATTTCAAGTAGAGAGCTTGCATGGCATATCCGATATCATCTCGATCTTACTGAACTCTTTAATCCTGCTGAGAGGCTACGGACTTATACCTGTCGTTCCTCAAAAGTAACAACGCCTTTAATCGCTGGAAAAATGGCCTCCATCCCCTATATTGCCCTTGAAGGGCTGTGATTTCAACAGTCCACCGGCTACAACCTGTTCCTGGTACTTCACTAGGTCCCGCACATCCCAATTTGCTGCAATAAATCGACCTCTCAAGAAATCGGCTTCATTTCCAGCCAGAAACACCGTGAGGCCACCGAAAAGCTCAGCTGAAAGAACGTGATTAGTATGGACAATCAACAATGCGAAAGATTGGCTCACGAGTATCTTTTGCATAGATCTCCAGTTCAGGTCGCAGAACGCTACTCTTTGCCATTCCGGGATGCACGTTAAAAACCCTTAATTCTGGATACTCTGGCAGCTTGTCAGTTCTTGCTTTCATCTAGCCTCCTTTCCTGTGCGCTCACCTGCGTGAAGCTGATCTAGGAGCATGTTGACGGCCAGCTTAGACATGGTGTACGCAGATTGCCCTGGGCTGGCGAAGTAAGATGCTGCAGTTCCTGTATTGATAAAGGTCGACGATTGGCCCGACGTTCTCCTAACGAGCTCTCTTGACACGAGATATGCTCCTTTGGCGTTTATTTCCTTTGCGCATCCCTTCAGCGGTAGTGTCCATCTTTCAGTCGGGGTACTCACAAAAGCTCTCCACCAGTCGTCAACTGGAGTGTCGCCAACATTGTTCACGGGACCAAGCACACCAGCGGCATGCACAACCACGTCAATGCGGCCGAAGCTGGCCATAGCTTGGTCAAACAAGTACTCTGTATCCTCGAGTGAAGATACATCGCATGGAACTGCAAGGTATTTGGTGTGTGGAGCCACTGCCTGCAGTTCCGTGATCACTTGGTCAAGTTGCTGCTGTCTCCGTCCTGCCAGGGCGATGGCTGCTACACCAGATTTTGCCCACTGCCAACAAGCTCCCTAGAAAAGACATCAGTTGGAAGGGTTTGTCACTGATTGGAAACAGACTTTGCCGAAGCCACTTCCAGCACCCGTGACTATCACAACTTTGCCTTGAGCAATCTGTTGAATACTTGCTGCCTCGTGACTGATCGCAGGATACAGATCACGGTGAATATTGGGGGTAAATTGGAGGGCCCGAGTCCAGAAGTCGGGATGTGATATATCAAGTGCCATGTTACGAAAGATATAGTCTTTTTGTTGGTTGAGAGAAATGCTGGACACAAGTCTGGATCTGGTGGTGAATAAATGGAACCCAGGAAGTAGAGTGTACATCTTGCGCGAGGAGACCCATTTAAATCATTGACTTTCCATGTCACCCTGCCAAGTCCGTGTTCGGATATCTGATAGATCCGCCGCTTTCTTGCCTAAGGCTTTGATTCTTATTCCGACGTGATACAGTGATACGTTTTGATTCTACTACTACCTATTCAGTCCAAGCCGGTAGCGTATTCCTCGATCACACTTCTTGGTTGACTATAAGTCCCAAGAGGTTCATAAGTGATCTCATCGAATCCAAACGCAGCTGGCCCACCAGCCATCAGTCCCGCCTTTGTCTGGCCCCAGATGGGCGAGCAAGTAATTCCAAGGACGTTGACCACTACTCCATACTTATACTCCGGAACCCCCAAGGCTCGTCCTGATTGAGCATCCAGGACTGTGATTAAATCGGGTACAGTTGCGACAACTCTCGCCTTGCCTCCTGGTGGATGATGCTCTGCGATGAGGTTTTCATTCATGAATGGAATCCTCAATGTGCCACCATGGGCCACAGCTGGTGTCAAGCTCCCATCTTCCACGGGATCTCCGTCATGTACTGGTATTGCCTGCAATACTACTTCACCGTGCGAATGACCTTTGTAGAGGCGACGTTCGACCCCGATGATTTTACCACGGAACAAGATCTTGGCTGTGGTAGGTCCTCCCACCTCTTGTATTATTTGTTCCGCCACAGATCCAACTGTGTTGTTCAGATTTGCTCTAGCAATGCATCGGCCAATGCGCCAGGCCTGCGACATGGTGTTTCTGACCGACCACTTCTGAACAAGATTTGTGGTAGTTGGCTTTGCTGCCAGACCAACGTAGTACCCCATTTCGATCGCAGGGGCTCTCAGCGATCGATCGATACTGCGGTCGTCTGTGGCTTTGGTCAATATCATCGCTCTTCCATCGCCCGAGGCAATAGCACATGGAGCAATCTGGTTCTTCTCGTGTACGGCCACTGTGACCTGCCACAAGTTGGGAAATGCTCGCCCTGGAGGTTTCATGATGATTAGCAATGAACCAGTGACGGAGTTTGATCAAGAGTTTCCTCACCCATCCAGTCCGCATCGACCACAGGCCGGTCAAACTCTCGGGAGGAGCCAATGCTCAATGGTAGCAGCCCGTTTGATCCTCCAATTTCAAGGCCGATAAGAGCATCGAACGAGTCTTTGTGATAGTACTCCAGCATTTCTTTGAGAGCTTCAACTGACTCATTTGCGCATAGTCGTTCCTGAGGCACAGCTGGAGATCCCATATTGCCGGCCCCTGAGCAACTTTGTTAGTAAACTCCGGAAAAGGCTACCCAAAGCCCAAAACTCACAGTATATGGATGCTTGAGGGTCTAAGTCCTCTGCATCTATGATTCTCAGTCGATAACCTTCAGTCAGAAGGCGTTGCAGCTTCAGTGTCTCCGGATAAGGCGTTCCTCCACCTCCACATCCTAGAACATAACAGCCATCGCACATCCATTCAAGGTCTGTTGAAGAAACTAGCCACTCGGCTTTCCCTGACTCCTGGTTCCGCATGATTGTTGGTCGATAACCATCGATGTCTAACGGTTGTTGCTGTTCTAACTTTTTGTATTGTTTGGTTTCCAGGTGGATCTCTTCTTCGGCGCCCAATTTATCGTCAACCCAGCTACCAGCGTTGACTTCTGGCACAGCGACAAAATCACCCACCGCCTTGACAATCGTTCTAACTCGATGGTCAAGATATTGTAAAGGTAATGATTCTTTCTCTGTGATGGCTATTGTTGCGGGGTCCGCACCGTTGAGAATAGCCTTCTCAACGGCCAAATTAGAGGCGTGAGCTAATGCTTCTTTCATTGTCGTCTTTGATATTTCTTGAATGATGTCAACACTTGCACTGACTCTTGATGTGGCTGCTCCCACGGCATTTGCCACGTCATAGTATGGCGGTCTGACGATATCCTTCACCCCTTCAAGTTCATCAAGTGCAACGATAGACCCACCTCCAACTAAAATCAGCTTGAGTGGTTGAGCGGATGTTTTGACCAAATCAATCACGCGTTCAAGCCGGGCTTTGATGACTTGGCGGGCCTTTTGTACCACAGACGCTTCGAGGGAGTTGGGGCCCGCTGAAATCGCTTCAGTTACCAATGTCCCAGATGCAATTGCGATGTCTGTTGCGGTAGTGGTACGACCACCGAAGGCCAATGCTTCTCGTTTAATGGCGAATCCCACCGAGTCCGGACCAACGGTGACATTGTCGCCCTCAACACGGACTATAGATCCTCCGCCGATCCCAATCGATTCGACCTGCGGCATCGTGTAGTTTACCTTAACTCCTGCGATCGACACATTGGCTAAAGATTGCCTCGGGTACCCAGATGGTAATAAAATACCAACATCTGCTGTGGTTCCTCCAATGTCGCACACGATAGATGCCTCGCTGACCGAGCCTTCCCTGTAAAGCCCGCTGAGATAGGCAGCGCCTCTCATCGAATTGGTCGGACCAGAAGAAAATGTTCGAATCGGAAGCCTAGCAGCGGCATCGGCATCGATCAATGTCCCGTCGTTCTGGGTCAGATACAATGCGCATCGTAAGTCAAGTCTCTTCATGGCAACACGAAACTCTCGAACTGTCCTTTGTGCAAACCGATGGATTGAAGCGTTGAGAATTGAGGCATTTTCACGTTCCAAGAATCCAAGATTCGAGACGTCAGCCGAACACACCACGCTAATACCCGGCAACTGTTCCACGATGATCTTGCGGACTCTTTCTTCTTGTTGGAAACTTGAATCAAGAGGGGAAAAGACACCACAAACAACGACCGAAGTGAGATCCTTCTCTTTAATGGTTCGACAGGCCTCGATCACTTGACTCTCTATGACAGGGGCTTCCTCGCTGCCGTCGATATGAAGCCCACCATCAACGTATGTGTGCCAGCCATACATGATCTCCTTGAGAAGTGGCGGAAAGTTGGAAAATGGTGGTACATCTTTAGTAAAACTCTTTGATAATCGAATGACGGCGACTTTCGCAAGATGACGATCATCATGCTCGATGATTGCATTGATAAAGTGCGTGGTGCCGATTGACAGAGACGAAATTTGATCGAGAGGTACTTTGGACTGCTCTAGAACATGACGAACCGCAGTCTCAATTCCATCTGTGACGTTAGGTGATGTGGTCGGGGTTTTGTGAGCTGCAATAACGCATTCGGATCGGTTGCTAGTCGTACTATCAACGATAACGGCGTCAGTGTTGGTGCCGCCAACGTCAACACCAATCCGGTATGGTAAAACCCTTGCAATAGATCCCATGGTATAGTAACAATATTTCTATAGCCAAAGACTAGTTGACTACTTATATTTAATGAATCGTGATGGCTCAGTTCATGTATTTGTTCATTTGCAAAGGGTACTTGGACTTTCAAGATCTCGCACTCTAGTTGGAGTCCCTGTCAGAAGTCAGAGTTTAACCGTCGAAGCCAGAGAAGGGTTATCAAAGATATCGAGTATTGGACAATAGTCCGATTGTGAGGGGTGGGGATGAGTTTCGTGGCTCCACGCTGGTTCGGAGATGTTGTCGGTGATTCGGATTTGAATGAACTCGGATTGTTTCGTCTATCTGGAGCATCCCTGTCTGGGTCTAGAATCACCCATGCAATATTCGACTAGTCCCAATACCATAGCTAAGCTCTTACCCTGGATTTAGATCGTACGATCTAGACCGATGCCGGGTAGCACGTGGATGGATGTTCTTCAGACCAACTGTTTTTAAAGTCAGCGTCCTCCAGATTGGCTCAAGGTGATCTTGTTTTGTTGAGATGCGTACTATCGGTCGAATTCTTCATACGAGATGTCGTCTCTCTTGCTGATTGCGATGACGAGCTTCACAGGCATAGTGGATCTATCGGTGATTTTTTAGCCACTTTTCTCATCTGAACGGCATCCAAACTCATGTAGCTCATGGCAAGATTATAGCATATTAGTCCTGTGAACAATGAAGTGCTCAAGAAGAGAAGATGTTCCCGAATGGTGGCTTGGCAATGTGTGACCGTTTGCAATCGATGGGAGCCTTGTCCGATCACGGGATCGTAGATCCATGAAATACATCCAACAATGCCGCAATAGCGATTAGCTCTTTGTGAAGTTTGCGCGAATCAGATTGGAGCAAATGTTCAGGATGGATTGGGCTCGGGAGGAGGCCAAGGGGCTATCGGCCTAGTGATCAGGGCAGTGCGATCCGTCAGGCTGTTTGCGCAAACGATCTCCCACCATAGGAGTCTACATGATTGGCGCAAAGTCAACTAGGTAAAGAGGCTGTTTCCAGTTCACGGGGCACTTTCGGGAACTGGACACTTAAGTCATCAACGTCGGACGTCGGGTCGGACCTGAATGCTTAACACTTCCCCCGTGGGGAGTGAGAGCCTAATCATCAACGACAGCCTAGCCTCAGTGAAATCATAGGCGGAGAAAATCGCAACTTCTGCATCAACAGGAGGTAATCATCTAGCATTGCAACTTTCCATCTTTCTTTTCGAAATGGCATCATCAACAGGCACTGAAAGCCTGGCCAACACGGTTGCCGGCAGCATTATAAGAATGCAGTTCTAGGGCCCCACTGTCTGCGCACCCCGTCATTGCGTCACGTGCTCGGAGTTCGATTTTGTCCCGCCCCAGCGATGCCTCGGGTCTCACGTAACAAGAGTATATGAGTCTCAATTCGAGATACTGTTTGGAGAACACATGCTGAAAGATAGCTTGAGAACTGGCTTGCGCTTGCTACTGCATCGCTAGAGAACACGCGTTGAGGCCATTCACTGTAATCATGGCAGAGACGATTCAGCTTAGAGACTCGAATCGTGGGATTTACAATGCTCCCGGATTCGACAGTGACGCCGCGAATCGGGCTGTGTCGCTGCTCCAGAGAAACCATAGAGACTTTCACATTTTCTGGAACGATCTCGGATATCACAACCACCAAGTTCACTTTTTGCTCACGGCATATGCCCTGGGCGCCGGAGTCGAGCGCCTCCAGCATGCTTTTGACGCCAATACTGCATATCAAAGAATCAATTCACCTCTTAACGAAGACCGCATTAAAAAGCTCGAAGATGACTCATATTTCCTCGGCTTATTGGGGAACAAGATGGGCGAAGGGACCTACTTTGGAGATTTTCGGACTTTCTTCGAGCGCAAGATGAAGAACGAAGGGTGGCAGAAGGTTACAAATGACTACTTGTTCTCTGGGTCCGAGCTAGCAGAGCAAATGTTGATCAGACTGCACGCTGGTAAGTTGAGCAGCATCCATGAGCCGCAGAGATAGACTGGGTTGCTGATCCGGAGTGCTTCAGGTATTGTGCACCCTATCATTCATCTAGGCTTCGGCGTAGAGTTTGAGCAGCCTGCCATAATTGCTGAGGCGTTGGCTCAAACCGCCTGCCACACCGGTTTTTTTGCCAGGTTCTTCTTTGAGGCCGAGCAGAGATCACGTGAGGTGCGCTCAGAACAGGATGCGCCTCTGATTGACCTGTTCCGCGAGATCAGGGACAACCCCGAGCTTTGGGACAAAGAGCATTGGCGAGGCGGTGACAACCTTGATGATGAGATCTTGGCTGACGCCCCCACGAAGCTGATTGATATTGCGGCCAAATGGCGAGTCAGTCCGACAGATCTCGACATTAAAACAGCCGAGATGTACAATGTCAATGTCTATTCAGCAGGGGCAGCACAGTACAAAGCCAAGGAGGTCAAAATTGACTTCTTCTTGATGCATCAGGTCAATCTGTCTATTTTCTACTCTGTCTTCAATCGACAGACCTGGCTGAGCCTGGAGAACAGGGCTCGCCTGGTCACTTGGAAGGGAAGGATTGATCTGATCAACTATGCTTCCCGCCTTGCGCCGGAGCTCCATGAAGATGAGATCATTAACTATAAGCCAAAAGATCCCAGTCGGACAACTTGGGAGTCGCTTTTTGAGAAGGCTCACACGATGGACGACGATGGTCACATTGTAAAGCTGTTACGCGCGCTTGCATCTGGGGCCGCATTGAGTGCTCCGTACGAACTTCGGGAGGAGCTCTCCCATCGGTTTCCCATGAAAGAGAAGTACTGGATTCAGATTGGAAACATGGCAGTTGACACCACGGTGTCAGATATATATCCCCAACGATTCATCAGGGGAGCAGGCAACCCAGAGAAGTGGGCTGTATTTAAAGACAGGGTGGAAGCTCAGCCTGCCTGTTGAGAAGTTGGTCACATACAGACGTCACTTTCTTCTACTAAAGTCTTCCTGTATTTAGCAACACCACAACGCTTTTGAGCTATTGACATGAGTAATTGGTTGAGAGTCTGACTATGGAGTGGAACACTATATGCCACGAACTTGTGGAGAGGCCTTTTCTCCCTGTACGACGAGCAATGCAACATAAGTTATGACCAGTCACCAGTAACATCATCTTCCCCTCGTGCTTGAGCATCCAGCAGATCCTCAATCTTCCATGGTGTGTGAACATAGCCGGGTGGCGTGTTAGTGTTCTGGAAGGGCGCGCCGTTAACGATGTGATTTAAACATGCTTTGAAATTGTCCACGGCGTATTCTTCTGGGTTATGGTGATAGATCCATTGTCCATGTCGATTTGTGAGAACCTTTGGGTTTTTCTTGACTGCATCCCAGTCTGTTTTCGTCACCGCATTCTGATTGCTAACACCGAGCCGTTGACAACATGCGACGCGTTCAAAGCTGATTCGAATAGTTAGTAAGTTGACAAACATGGAGTGCTGTCGTGGAACTGCAAAGCCCTTCTCACCGGAGTTTGTTGTGAACTTTGAGAGCTAATGGTATGTTGTCTTTTCCTGCTAGCTCGAGACATGCGGCAAGTGAAGTAGCATCCTCAACTCCTTGAGTGCCACCATTCCCTGAGCTGGGCAAAAATGTATGTGCACTGTCTCCAGCCTGTATCACCCTCCCAGCTGGGGAGTACCATTTTTCTTGTGGGTCTCTCCACAAAAGTTTCCAATCTATTACCTTGCCCGATGGCGTGACCATGACCATCCGACGAGTGATTTCAGGCCATCCCTTTTCAGTGATGTAGTCCCTGACTTTCTCAACAGGAGTGAAGTTGTGCCAGGACTCTTGTGCCGTTCCATCATCCTAGACATAGTTGGATCAGCCAAAAGTGCTAGAATCTCGAAGTTAATTGAGGGACAAAAAGTACCGGATGGACCATTGCCCAAAAGAAATAATCTCCAGTGTTCCAGACATAGAGTGACATATCGGGCCTAGAAGATTTGTCAACTTTGGATATACCATCTCCACAGCATGCCATACCCTGCCCAAAGTTCAAATACAGATGGTGGTCCGTTGGCAGGATATGGCCAACGTTCCACGACTAATGGGTCTTTCATGGCGTGCTCAATAGGGAAACACGTTCGATACATCGCATATCCGCTGCTTCTGGCTCTCACCTCGTGGCCACTGATAAGCTTGTGAGACTTTGTTCCAACACCATCAGCTGCAATAACGAGGTCTGCCTCGATTGTCTTTCCGTCTTCGAGCTTGACACCTCCCTTCCCAGTATCGGCGTTTTCATAGTACTCGACCACTTTATGGTTGTACTGTACGGAAATTCCAATCCGATCGAGTTGTTTTAATAGCATCTCTGCGAATCGAGGGCGATGGTGACGATAAACTCTGTTAGGCTTCACCTCACCATCCTTGGTTGTTGTCGATCCTATATCTATCTTGCTTGGCGGCAGAACAGCCTCTCCATTCTGCCTATGGTATCCCAACAGATGCTCATAGGCAATCCTTTCGTTCTCTGCCTCGAGAAATGGCCAGTGAGCGAAGGTACGGAGGGCACTGGGCCCAATCGTGAAATGGTCCCCTGTGGAGTGTGGTCAGTCTCCTTCCGTTGTGGACGCAGCTTGCCCTTGTCTACCTGCTGGATCAATGCCGGGTTGTTTCTCAATGATCTGGACCTCACAGCCTCGTCTCCAGCATTCAAGCGCAGACATAGCTCCGGCAATTCCAGCCCCCACAACTAGAACTGAGATCCCAGTTGAGGGGTGTCGTTTAACATCCTGATCCATGACAGGCATATCTTAAGGGTCTCTGAAAGGCAGTCTACAATAGCACAATTGATATAGTAGGAATCCCTTAACCAAAGTAGAACTATATGGGATGCGATGTCACTTTTAAGTCTGAGCGATTGCCACGTAGAAAGTTAGTCCTTGTCCACCTTGGAGTCGTCTGCCTCTTCAATCACGATGCCCAAGGTACTGCCAGTGGAGCCTCAAAGATTGTTTATGAACGGACTTCACAAAAGTTTCATGAATACATAACTCGGTGGTTTGTCCACTTCTAGGCTATTTAGCTCGTCCCTACATACGTCCGCGTCAATGCCGCAGGCTCTTAGACCAGGTATGGAACAGTTAGATGAGTTCTGTAACAAATCTGCCTTGTGCTTAAGATAAGGTGCTGTCGGACGGTCGGCCCGGATGGTCGGTCCACCAATAAACTTTTCCGAACAACATCAGGAGTTGACAACAAGGGCGAAGGATGTCTTCAGCTTGAGCATTCCATTTTTTAATATCGATACTGCTTTTCTTATAATATAGAAATTTCGGAAGGTGGCATACACCAACCATATCCAAGAAGAATCACCATGGCACTTCCACCACGGATCAAGACCACTGACAAAATTGTCATTGTAGGAGCCGGGGTTTTTGGACTCTCAACTGCTCGAGAACTTTCTAAACGAGGTTACGAGAATATAACAGTGCTTGATCGTTACCCTCCACCTGTTCTTGATGGAACCAGCGTCGACATTTCCCGCATCATTCGCCCTGATTATGCAGACGAGTTTTACTCTCAGCTTGCCCAAGAAGCTTTGACAGCGTGGGAGGGAGAGTATAGACCATTCTTCTACAAGTCGGGGTTTTTAGGAGTTGCCCAAGGGAAGATTCATCCATATTTAAGCGCTTCTAAGCAGAATTTGGAAGCATTAAACAAAACGTTCGAGCCACTCGAGGGGGGTAAGATCAAAGACCGGTTTCCTGCTCTGCATGGAGATCTTTCAAACCTTGGAGGCTATCTCAACGCTGAAGGGGGCTGGGCTAACGCTGAGGAGAGTATTGAATACATCGCCAGACAGTGTGCAAAGCAGAGAGTGAGCTTTGTTTCCGGAAAACTAGGCACAGTCACAGGGTTTCTCACTGGAGAAAAAGGAGTCATCACGGGTTTACAAACACTGTCCAATGTGACTGTGGAAGCTGACTTTGTGATCATGGCAACGGGAGCGTGGAGTCCCCATCTGCTGAATATGGACGGCATCAGCGTTTCAGCCTCCCAGCCTGTTGGCTTCATACAACTCACAGCTGAAGAGGCGAAAGAACTGGACGGGTGCCCTGTGGTCATGGATTTCACATCAGGCGTGTTTATGTTTCCTCCTAGTCCGGGCACAAACATTCTGAAGCTGGCCAGACACGGATATGGCTATGAAGCTTTACGAAAAAGCCACTCCCATGCGACGGAGGTTTCTGCACCACAGTTACTTCACGACAATGCGGCGTCTCACTTCATTCCCGACGACGCAGAAAAGGCTCTCCGAGGTGCACTCTCCATACTACTCCCAAAGTTCAAGGACCGCCCCTTTTTTCGCGCACGTTTGTGCTGGTACACGGACACACGAAGGGGAGATTTCGTGGTCGATTACCATACCGACTACAAGAACCTCTTTGTTGCCACTGGAGGCAGCGGACAGTAAGCAATCGTTGCGTGTCCGAAAAGTCCGCATTGCTAACTGCTAGACTAGCGCATTCAAGTTCTTGCCAGTACTCGGCCAGCGTATTGTAGATAGCATCGAAGGGAAGGCATCTCGGGCGCAGCGAGTGAAATGGGCCTGGCGACCAAGTTCAGAGGCTGTAACGAAAGGGGACGGAAGCCGCGGAGGCCCGCCCAGGCGCAGACTGACTCAAGCAGAGCAAGCCCGACTGTGAGACTTGTGTGACCCAAAATGCAGAGCCCCTGGCAAATGGGTAGGATGTAGTTTACCAGCATCACAGGTTGTTACTCGGTTCAATATCTTCGTTCACTATATCATAACCCTCCAATAGACTTCTAGTGTGATTAGCGCGGTTAAGAGAGGAATGCTGAAGATTATCCGGCAAGACTCGGTGCCGGCTCATTATGCATTTTATTTGTGCCCATGGATCTTACCTTGATAAGGAGTACGTCTGCACTGTAGCTCGACCGTCCGAGTACCAGGAATGGATGAAAATCAACCTTGATTCTTTCTATATATACCCTTCGATCACTCGCACAATACCTTGACCAGACACTACATCCGTTACCTTGTGCTTTGATTTGTAAATTCAAATTCAGTCTGATCGAGATGGCCCCCAGAGTAATAACCAGCTTTAATGGTCCATTGCCAGCAACGCTGTCTGGTCTCGCCACGGCGGAGCCGGCTGTACAGATTGATATTGCCACGGTTGATACTGTCGCATACCCAGGGCTCGGTGAGACCGGTCCTGCTGCTACACTGACATCCATGCCGGGGTCGAACAACAATGGAATGTACGTATTCGCGTCTCTATATGAGGTACGTGGTGATGATACTTACTGAGAATTTGGTATAGAAAGGATCTAGATCTTGCACCACTAGCTCCGCCGGCAGCCATCGTGAAAAATGGTGCTATTGTGAGATATATTGATTTCCTGCCTGGCGCCCAGATACCATTTGTATGTGATGCACAATTCACCTTTCTCTGCCTTCAACAAAGCAGGTGGCTAAAAATATACGATAGCATCGAACAAATTCACTCGAATACATCTTTCTATTTCAAGGAGAACTGAGTGTGTTGACTCCTGCCACGTCCTTCAAGGAGGGCAGTGTTTTGGAAGACAATATACAGGTTACTAGTGTCAAACCAGGAGATGTATACATCCAAAGGGGCACAATGCACGGGTGAGTCACCCGTGAAATTCCTGTCAATTCAGTTCGTTTCGTGGCAAGATCAAGTTAATCATGGTTCCATAGGTGGAGGAATGATTCAAATGAACTTGTGCGACTCTGGGTAGTTGCCATCGATTGCGAACAAAATTCCGTAGCGATAGAAGGAGACAATGGCCGTCACAATCTACCCGAGATGTCCTTTTATGGATAGCCATCTCCTGACGTCAGGAAGGGTGGGACTACTAGCAGTCACCGATGATGGGTTGTGGCATTACTGCGGGAGGTGTAAACTTACGAGATGTCCTAGTCGTCCCAAATAGTCCTATCTTGACATTAATCATTTATCTCACCACCTCAAAATTGTACTTGCTTATCTACTGCCAAGAAGCTCAAGCAACCATAATATCCTGTGAGTGTTGAATCATTCGAAATATTGGGGCCCATGCGAGTTTCCGGGACGGGTTGCATCGTCGGAGGGTCGGATGGTCGGATGGTCGGAGCGTCGGAGGGTCGGCCTTAAGCGGGTCTCGAACGCACGTCCATACATGACTTTCTCGCATCTAGGCCTCGCTCAAATTCGTAGCTCCGATACCGTATCAAATAACTCAGGTCATACATGCATCACGGCAATACGAAAGCTACAATTCTCGAAACTCGAGGCTCACAGCCGTGACAAGAACCAATCCAAATAGCAAGTCTAATCTACTCCTTGGCATTATTCCGACCTCAAATTGGCGCGTCCGAGGACGAGACAGCAATAATCTGTTGGTGCCTGGTCAATGAAGTTGGATCCCAATCTTGAAATCTCGGGGCTGCTGCTCTCATGGCGAACGAGCAGGAGCTGACCCGATCCGAGGTGTTGAAACGGCAACGCCGTCGACGTGAGAAACAGCAATTGTCTTGCAACCCTTGTAGGGCGCGAAAGTATGTTCCACCACGCCCGATCCATCGTCTCAGGCCGCAGCTCGACTCACTGACATGCTTGATACTTTAGAGTCAGGTGTGACAGATACAAACCATGCGAGAGATGTCATAGCCGAAATGCAGAATCTACGTGTATCTATGCTCCGCTACGGCCGACTGCGACACCAAACAGCCCTCAAGCCCGTTCGAGTGGTGTTCACTTATCGCAACGTTCGAAAGCTTTGACGACCACTGAATCAGAGCACATCGATCAACGCCCACAAGCTCCGTCTTCCACTTGGGATAACGTGGCCGAAGGCTCCTGCGGGCGAATCGACGTCAACCCAGATGAGACCAACTACATAGGTGGTGAGCATTGGGCGGTCTTAGCAGACAAGGTGAGTCTTTCTTGCTGTATGGAGGTTTCTCCCTCTTATTGACGGACCGTCGTAAACTAGTTAGCAGCAGACCAGTTATCGCATGGAAGCACGCCAAAATCATACGACGGCAACCATCTCACATTGTCGAATAATCTACCAGATTTGTTCTCAGGATCTTACACTGGCCTGACGTTTCCTGAGCTCTTGGCTTCGATTCCCAACAAACTCCAGGTCGACAGACTCATTTCCAAAGCCTTCCAATCGATTCCTGGCGTCGGATGTAAGCCTTAGACGTATAACCTTTGTGCAAAAGAGGACCGATGACTAACAAGAAGCCTCAAGTTACCCTCCATGCACCAACATTCCAGGCTCAGGTATGTGGGAGTTCCGTTACGATGTGTATCTCTTACTTGGCTAATTGCTTCGGTTAGTATGAACATTTCTGGGACCACCAAGATGCCGTTTCAGCGAATTGGATCTCTGTTCTTTTCAGCTTGATGTCTTTGGGCTCTGAATTTTCCGAGTATCCGAACGGACCCATGTCTCAGGGTCATGACACGGCCTCACACTTTCGTCGACAAAGCGCAAAGAGCCTTATTGTTGCAAATTACGCCAGACCAAGTGCCCATACAGTTGAGGCACTCATGCTGTATCTATATTGCGAACTCCTGCGCAGTGACAGCACAAGTTTTGGGTTGAACCTAGTCTTGACGACGACGATACGCACCGCGATGAGAGTAGGCTATCATCGGGATCCATCGCACTACACGAACATTTCGATTTTCGCTGGGGAAATGAGACGACGAGTCTGGAACCTTATTGTGCAGCAGGACATAACACTCTCACTGGACGTTGGTCTTCCCCGGTTAATCCATCCTTCTACAACGGACACGAAAGAACCGCGCAATTTGTTTGATGAGGACTTGTACCCAACTATCACAGTCCTTCCTCCGTCAAGGCCCGAACCTGGATCCGCAAATGCTGCTTATGTTCTTGCAAGGTCACGACTCGCCAGTGTTCTTGGAGAGATCCAGGAGCATGTTATGGCTACCACAATGCTATCTTATAGCAAAGTCGTTGAGCTCGATGGCCTGCTCAGCCAGACATACGAAGCAATTCCGACAAATCTGAAACATCAACACAATTACACAGTGACAGATTCCCCAATGGTTATCATTCGTCGGTTGATGCTAGACCTTCTTTTCCAAAAGGCTCGATGCGTCCTGCATCGACGATTCATGAAACATAGTGACCTTGTGTCATGGAAGGTTTGTCTGGAAGCTGCGTCAAAAATAGTCCGACATCAGTCCTTCCTCTACCGGGAGTCGCAGCCTGCTGGAATCCTCTGGGGTCATAAGTGGAAGGTCACCTCAATGGCCCGATTTGATTTCCTTTTGGCTGTCATGATTATTTGCCTGGGAGTGAGATCTCTAGCAAGATTAAAGACTGTTGCAGAACGACCTGCGGAACTTGCTGAAAGCACTCTGTCTTTGGAGCATTTGCAAGGCGTGCTTGAAGAATCGTATCTTGTTTGGAAGGAATGGGGTAGCGAAGTCAAGGAAATTGGAAAGACTGTTGACCTAGTCAAGTTCGTGCTGGATAAGGTGCAACAAGATTGTTCTGTCATTCGTGTGAATGGATCACAGAATGATAATTCGGTCTCAGAGCTTCGAAAATTGGGTGATACAGAGCCACATACGTCAAGCGATTGCAATGTCCGCTCCTCGGACAAACACAGGAACTCGAGAATCCTGGAAAATCTCGAAGAAAGGCCTCCCGCTTCCAGAACCGATTTCTTTCAGTCTTCGCATCCGCCCATTCAGGGCATCACCGAAGTGAGAGACGAGTTCCTCTCATCTCTAAGCATGCTGGACGATTTGAATGATGTTAGTGATGAGATTGACTGGGTAAGCGTCCTTGACTGCGTTGCATCTGAACGTTTAATTCGTTGAGAAGATACTGACATGAGTGTTATCAAGGCTCTCTGGGATGGTCATCTGCAGCAGGCTGGGGCTGGATATCTTGAGCCGTATGCCAGTCATGCCTGGCCCTGATATTTGATGTGGAACGACTGCATTAGGTAGTATATTTCCACGAACGATATGTAAGATGCAATCCTCAGGATCGCTCAGCCTGTTGGAACTTTAGATATGAACCGGCAGATGATACCATGTGACTCGCGACTTTTGCCACTTTGATGATCATCACATAATCCTCGTAAGAGCTGCTCATCCTGTCGTAGATAATGAGAACCTCTGCCGTTCAAAGTTTGCCACTACAACGCACAGCCGCCGAAAGGCGGGATCTACTGTATAATGGTTCCTGTCAGCGATAAGGACATTTCAGAGCCGCCCAGCCCAGCCCATGGGCTTATGGCCGAGCGGCCTAAATTCAGCCACCAAGACCCCTCTGATCAAGGCTTTCGGCTCCAAGGATACCCCCCGAGAATCCCTCCACCAAGTCCGAGCGCCCTCTTACCCATCTTCACTACCTCGATACGTAAATCCGACATCTGCTCAAACTCTTTTACACTTTTCTTGTTGCTGGTTTCACGTCTATAAACACTGCTGGCTACAATTTAGAAATTTCCGCCAGAGGTGCAACGATTACCCGTATATGACGATGGCACAGGGCCATCGAGCACGGTCTGGATGCAAGAAGTGCAAGGAACGGCACTTGAAATGTGATGGTATTCCCTTTCCCCTCTCCATCTGGCTGGATTTGCCAGAACAACTTGCTAATGCTGTAGCTAGAAGGACGACCTGTTTGCAATCGGTGCACTGTTTCTGGCGCAGAATGTATTTATACGTTGGCTCTTGTTTGGGAGGACGACAGCATCTCAGCCGGGAAAAGCCACGGTCGTGCTGGAATTTGGTCTAAAGCCGAAACCCTACGGAAGCAAAATGCCCATCCCATGCCAACCTCGAAACAATCACATAAGTTCTTACAAGGGACTTGTGCTGAGGCCTTCCTCAACACAACGACATCTGACGTTCAGAATTGGCTCTCACAGACTCAAAATAGTGACCGACAATGGCCATCAATCCCTCCCCAAGTTACCTCCCCGGACATGAAGTTTGCGTCCAACATCAGCTGTCTCTCCTCTCTGTGTGACACCATCGGCGCTCGCTCGGTCAATACAGATAAAATGCTGTTCGATTACTACCACGCTGTCGTTTCAACGGACGAGACACACGTTCGCCGTGACGATGAATATGATCCTCGTCAATACATTTTCTTGCAAGGTTTATCTTCACCAGCTGTTGCCCTCGGCATTCTCATGGTGACCGCCTACCTTTGGTCACAGACAGATTCAAGTATTCTAAAGCTCGCATCAGAATATCGAAGGCTGGTCTTGGAGATTGTGAAAAGGTCATCTGACCCTGGTGATATGATGTTACTTGCTGTGATGCTCTGTTCTATGGAGGTACGTATTAATGATGCTGGACGTAATGGTAGTCTCTCAGAGTTTCTGACAGGAGACAGCTGGCTTGTGAACGAGGGTCGGTGTGGATGGTCCACTTCACTCTCTTCAGAGACATCATCCAAGAGCGACAAGGTTTGTCAGAAACTGGTTACGTTTATGACTACCTTTATAGACTTTGTTGCCGGTACTTGGTGTATCACCTTGTCATTGCCAAAACTGTGTTTCCAGTTGAAGAGGTACTTGGCCATTGCTTACCAAATTCCGCCAGTTCATCATGGACATCAACCGAGAATCTTTCTCTGATTATGAATGAAGAAACACTTGACCAGATCGACCCTTACTCTGGTCTGAGCAACAGCCTCCTATTGCTCATAAATGAGATATCAGACCTTGAACGTGAAGCTCGGTCATTGGGTCAAGAAGACTCTCTAAGCGCAAAGCTTTTGGCCAAGGCTCAACGTTTGGCCCTCAGCCTCGACAACCTGAAGCAGTTTGTTTCCCCTGGCATTGAAATATCCGATCCTCAAGTGGCAGAAGACATGCGCAGTACGGCAGAAGCTGGACGACTTGCCGCCCTAACGTTACTTCACGAAATGATGTACAATTCATACACTCAATCTCAGAGCGGAACTACAACTCAAGGGGCAGAGCAAGCAGCTCAAGTCGAAGAGAGGAAGCAGTACATCGCGAGGATTCTAGAACTTGTAGGAGACGTGCTGACGCGATCCACGAGACTGAACGTTTCATGGCCCTTGTGGGCCCTATTCATCGCGGGTAGCAGTGTGGATGATGACCAAATCAGGCTTGTGGTCATTCGATTGTTTAAATTGGCAATGGAAAAGTCAACACTTGGAGTGAGTGTCCCCTTACATGAGTCCCAAACCAGGATGAACTACGAAATTAGACGAAGTTCCCGTGTCCACCTTTGTGTTATCATTACTGTTCCCCTGAGCTGAGAATCAGAATGAAATGACGGCTAACCAAGCTTCAAGAACATATTACCAGCCTTTCAAGCTCTTCAAGCAATTTGGAAACGGCGTGATCTAGCCGCTGATGATGCGGTATCAGACCGAACGTTACGAAGAAGGCGCCAGAATGGTTTAAGCCGCATAAGTTCAAGCAAGGAGGCGGATACATATCGAGGATGGAGCGAGAGAGGTAAGGTAATGGCAATGCAAGGATATCTAGTCAGCTTAACCTAACAACATACTGGCATCGGTACATATGTGCGAAACCTTGATTAGTCGAGAGCAGGGTTAGCCCTAAGCTCCAGCTGCCGTATATACCACCATGTGCAGCTGCGAATCATAAGTCGCTCTAAGCTGTGGCTTTATATGCCTTCGAGCTATCACCTGAGTGGCCCGTGTATAGCCCTTAACCCCTAAGGCCCCTTGTAGGGACCTATGACTTAGCCCCTAAGATCTAAGGACCCAGTTCATGGCCATGCGGCCAACAGCTCGGGGGCGAGGGACCACTTTAAGAGCCAAAGCTGCTGCCTGTCGGGAGGGCCCCTGGGGCTCTCATATCCGCCTCTTTGGTGACTACTTACCCGCGCAAATGCGTGAGACACTCCACCTAACTGATTCATTTGCGGGAAGTAAACCTCGACGGCCTCGGCCATTCTTAACAAGAATTAAAATTCAACAGGGAGTCATCTCATGTATGATACTCTGGCGGCAATTTTCCTCGCGATTCAAAGAATTTTAATACGATTATAGGAGAGGGAATGCTTTCGAAGCACTCCACTAGCCTTAATTACGCTATATACAACCTAGAGGTTTTTCATTTCGTCGTCTCCCCATCTCTTATAGACGATCAAGGAGGCAATGTCCCAGATAATCTGATCCACACAGAGTTCGTCCGGGGCCCCGTGGATCGAGTCTTACTCCGCAGACCCAGAAAAGCACCCGCCACCCTGCAAGGCTTGTGTCATTGGCGACGGTATTTGAATGAAACTACAAATGCGATCAACCTAGCCTTGGTTGGCAGATGATACCTTACAGCAATTAGCCTCGCAGTCATTCGAGCCCCAATTATCCTGGCGACTTCCAGCTTCTATCTTCACCATATTTATTTAGTATATGTCAGATTGTACTGAGTCATATCCTGAGTGACTCCAGCGCCGCCCAGCTCAAAGACGGTCGGGTCAAAGTAGATTCCTGCCACAGCCCATCGATCAACAGATGTCCCCTCGGTTGGGGGGTATACTGTATATGGGCAAAGTATCTCAATGGACCATAGGAGATAGCCGTCGGCCCAAGGCTAACCAGATTGGAAAGTGATGATGATTCACGCTTTGTTGACAAACCAAACACATACTTTCTTGGTTTCGGTTAGGGAGTATCCCACTGCTGCCCCACTCAAAAGTACGTGGGGACATGTGTATAGAAAGCCGAGTTATGGAGAGGAATCCCTACATCAGAACGAGGGGATCGACGCTGTGGACGCCCGCTTCCCCGGGCGGCGCCATCCCCTTGAATCCAGCTCCTCTGACTTGATGCCGCGCACATGGTGAGCCATTCCGCACATGAGCCTATCGTTCGAGGATATCATAGGTTGTGCAGTCATCGGTGATCGCCAAGTGGTAGCTGCAAGAGCACGCTGATACGAATATCTACTCCGTAGGTCCTGAGCGAGATTGTGAAGTTTGTTCTGCGCTCGCAAAGTCCTCGGCTCTTTGTACCGGCCCATGACGTGCCGGAAATCCGAGGCGATATTCCCCAGGTTCCGGGGAAAAAGAGTTTGATCTGCGCCTTTTGGTGTTTCGATCGACATCAACCCGCCCTTCATGGGTATGCATCCATTTCTCAACAGTCAAGAGTCAAGATTTGAGAGTCAGACAAGCATCACGACATGGAGTATCACCAATCCAAGTGTCAATCCGAAGTTGTGATTCGACACAGTAATAGCATCCCCTCCCTTTTGCAGGTTTGGTGGTTCCAGACTGATCATTATGATCACGAGTCCAAAGTTGATAAAGATTTCGCCAGTCCCCTCCCTGAAAACTTCATTCCGGAAAAGATTGTCTGCTACTACTCTTACGCAAGACCTTCGACATGAATCGGTTCAACTGGCTATGCGTGCTCTACGTGACCTTCGGGGCTGTATTCTACGGCTATGACTCTGGTTCGTAGTTTCTACCCCTGTTGTCCTTCTCACCTCTCGATGGTCATGCCTAGCAGGCCTCTTGTGAAAGGATGACCGACAACATGATGCGCCGCAACGCCCGCTGACTCACACAAATAACAGCTTGTACTACCTCCGTTTTGGCGTACGCCTCCTTCCTCGAGTACTTCAATCTAGACGCTACCACCATCGGTGCCATGGGCTCTGCCTACTATGCTGGTGCTGTGGTTGGTATGGGCTCAAATTGGTACCTTCCAAACAAATTCGGACGAGTACGCACCATTCAGATTGGTTGTCTAGTCTCGTTGCTTGGTGCTTCACTGCAAACTGGCGCACAAAACTATGCCACCTTTGTGACCGGTCGCGTTATTGGTGGCTTCGCCTCAGGCCTGATTTTCGTCGTCTGCCCGGCCTATGCTTCTGAGATCGCCCCTCCTCGGATCAGAGGAAGAGTCGGTGGATTCTATTCGTAAGCCTCTGCTTATATCTAATTTATTGCGATGGCACTGAGATCCTTTGTTATAGAATTGCCGTCAACGGGGCATACTGTTTTACTGAGTGGGTGTAAGTCGTCCGCCCGTCCCTTTTCGTCGTTTGAGTTCCCGTTTCGACAAGAAAATCAAGCTGAAAAGGTGCCATAGGGGATTGGGATTCTATTTCATCAAGGGTGACGTCTCGTGGCGTCTCTTACTCGGATGCCAGCTCATCCCGGGGTCTCTAATGTTTGCGTGCTCATTCTGGATGCCTGAATCGCCTCGATTTCTAGCCTACGTCGACCGCAATGACGAGGCACTTGCCATTCTCAAAAGACTGCACGGAACCGCACACGAGGAAGGGGATGATTTCTACAAGCGTGAATACCACCAGATCAAGGCCCAGATCGAGTTGGACAGAGAAGAGCGCCTCGGGGTCAAGGCGATCTGGGCTAAGCCGTCCTATCGGAAGCGGTTCTTACTCGTGGTTGGATATGCCTTTGCATGCATGTAAGTCTTGGTCAACATTCACGTGAGATAGGCCCCTCGGCCCCTAATCCTTCCGCCATTAGGCTCTCGGGGGTCATTGTGATCCAGAACTATCAGGTCATTCTTTATACGAACGTGGGCTTCACCGCTGTCATGTCCCTCATCCTTACTGGAGTCTGGGGTACTGTTGGAACAATTTCAGCAACCTACTCGGCGTTTTGCTTCGACAGAATGGGTCGGCGACCAACAATGGTGAGGCGATGAAATTTCTCTTTCCTACATCGGGTATGAACTTTTGGCTGACAAGGTACCTAGATTTTCTCATATGTCCTCATCATTCTCGGAACCCTCATCACGTGCATTACATGGGCAATCTATGAGAAGAACGGGAGCACAGACCGATCACTCGCAAATGGCATCATTGTCGCTATGTTCCTTGTCTGCGTTGGATATAGTGGGCCCGCGAACGCTTTTCTGGCTACTGTATGTTCATCGCAACTCTTGCAATTGGTCTGACAAACCTGACTCGATGTCTTACATAGTACCCTGCGGAAATCATGCCGACTTCGATCCGTCCAGTGGGTGTTGCCGTGTCATATATGACACAGCACATCCTGATCATTATCCTGGTTCAATTCACTCCTCAGGCGATAGAGACGATCTCATGGAAGTTCTTCCTCATCTTCGTATGCTCGTCGTTCCTCTACTTCATTGTATTCCTCGTCTTCTACCCGGAAACACGGTACAAGACACTCGAGGAAATTGAGGCTATTTTTGGAGATAAAGTTAGTTCTGCCATCGTCCCCTCGACGTCCGCAAGCCGCACAGGAATCATTAGCGTGGACTGAATGTTTTTGCTAATCTTGAACGCAGGTTGCTGAGACCCTTGATGAAGCAGGCCAGCACGATGGTAAAATCATCCAGGAATCTGGCCAGGATGAGAAAACGCGCAGCAACCAGCACATCGACTCTGTCCCCATCGACACCCATACCAATACCCAGTCGAACCCCTGAGAGGATATGCAGCGTGAAACGGGGTATACTTCTGAGAATTTGTTCCAATCTGCTGCCCTTTCTCTCCGAATGGGCATGATATCTCCCTTCCTGGGTCCGCGAACAGATTCCCAATGACAAGGTTCGTAAGAGATACCTCGACAACGCCGGCCAAGATCTACTTGGGACGCTGGCTCTGGGTTTGACATTTGAATTACCAACAAGTCATTAGCATAATCCAAACGAGCCTGCAAAAGACAAAAGTTGTGTCCTATTTTCTCTTTCAGTGCTTCTTCCTATTGTGTTCTGCAGTATCTCCTTTGTGCATCTTGTACGGAGGGCGCGTACAGTTTGGGACCTTGCGCATACGCGGGTTCCCAGAACCATACCCTCGCGGACAGTCGTGTAAACCTTACTCCGTACACATCCATCCTCGGGCCCCGACAAAGTGTCGCGGGCGCATCCAATGACGATGCGGCTTAGAGTCGAGACTGACGAGAAGGGTGATCAGGGTTAGCAGGCGGCTGAGCAGGCTGAGGCTGGGCCACTAGGTCACCGTATGTAGCTGTGGGAATCATATTCGGACAAGGGCACACCTGATTCTTGGTATCGCCAAGCCACCACTCGGCAACTGACGACTTCATAGTAAGCTCTTTAGTTGACTCTCGTGCCTAGACACCCCTATGCTGCTAGGCCCTTGGGCCCCTTGGGCGCTAGTCCGCCGATTCGTATAGGCCGGAGTACCCCCAAGGCTTATAGACACTCTAGGCATGCTTTAGATCCTCCTAGGCTTAACTATAAGGGGACCCAACTATATCATAGGGTGCTAATCTGTTTGCTCCTGAGTAGCCTCTTGGTAATACCCACGTCGTCCTTGTGCAGCTAGTAACTCGTCCTTGTGCGAATAGTCACTCCCGCTAGATGTTCCCTTGAAACGGGTGCTCAAGAGATACTCTCCTGCTTTGTGGCCACTGATTACCAGTTGATCATCCAATCGCTTAGCCATGGAGATACCATAGTGACAGCCGCTACAACAAATGGCCTGGGCCAGGCGATGACTACCATTACGAGGAATAGGACTGAGTGGTTAGCGTAGAAAGAATATCGTTCCATACAAACAATCAGCCAAGATTGCTTCCCAGTGTGGGGGGAGGCGAGTCTGCTCAAAGTCAAATGGATCTACGCATAGACCAACCCCAGCTCGCCGTGTCACAGCCGTCCCGTTATCAGCTTTACTTAGGTTGCTCTGGGACAGCCTGGAAGGTCCACCCGCTGTTATCTCACTTCCTATCTTATTACTCATTGATTCCAGCCCCGAATGTATGCCTACATAAACAATTGAAACCACGAGACATGCCTCACAACACACTTCTTGACACGGCGGCAGTCTCAGAACTTTCAGCTGTGGGCGATCTCAAATTCACAAGATAGGAGGTGTTCGTTAAAATACCAATTCTGCCATGGAGAAAACTCAAGACGGCGAGCCAGCCAAAACGCAAGGAGAGGACATCAAGATTGATGTAGCGAGCGTCGAAGAAGTTTTCGTGGATCCGGTGATTGAGAAGCGTGCACGATTCAAGTTCGACTGCATTGTGCTTCCGGTCATTGCGATTTGCATGTTGATGGCAGGACTGGATCGTTCAAACATTGGCAATGCACGAGTCATGGGTTTTGATGGTATGTCCAAAGCCCTCTCCACCTAATGATGCTGCTGAGATCGTATGACTGATGAATGATACAGCCGATCTGGGTCTTGTTGGGACGCAGTTCAACACGATTTCTGTTGTTTTCTACCCTCTATATCTGGTAATGGAGGTTCCATGGACCATGGCCATCCATAAATATGGATACAACAGAATCATCGCCATAATGACGACGGGCTGGGGTTCGATTACGCTTGGCTTTGGATTCGTGAAAACCTACGAGCAAGCAGTTGCGCTGCGTGTTTTGCTCGGGCTGTTCGAAGCAGGGATGATTTCGGGTCTCGTTCTGGTCATTTCCACCATTTGGGCTCCTCATCAACAAGCAAAGCGCATCGGTGTTCTTTATGTCATTGGTGCTTTGACAGGAGCTTTTGGTGGGCTGATTGCATACGCAATTCAGACCATGGGGTATAGATCAGGCATGGAGCCATGGAGATGGCTTTTCATCATTGAAGGCATCATCTCCTGTATTGTCGCCATCATCGTATTCTTTGCTATGCCCCTCAATCCTGAGGAGGCGTGGTTTCTGAACAAGGAAGAAAAGGAGACCATGGCAGCACGAAAAAGACGCGATGTCGTGTACCGTGGGAAGAAGACATTCTCCTGGCCCGCGATCCGCGCAACCATAATCGACCCTACGGTGTATCTCACAGCCATCGTCCAGTTCTCTCATGGTGCCGCAACACTTGGATTCTCGATCTTTCTGCCGACAATCATTCGTGGCATGGGCTACACAAATTTACAGGCCAACTATCTCACAGTTCCTGTGTACTGCACGGGCGCTATCTCTGTCATACTCTTTTCGACCATAGCCGACAAGTTCCAACGCAGAGCCATACTTATCGTGGCGGCGATGGTGCCTCCAGTCATTGGATATTCGATCATCATAGGATCTGCCAACAAGGCTGCTGGATATGCTGCCATGTTTATCGTCGTGACAGGTAAGTTTCATAGGGAAATCCGTCTCTTTACAACCAGCAGTGCACTAACGGGTACAACAGGTCTATTCTGTGTCGTTTCCGTTCTGATAACTTGGACATCCATGAACCTGGCGCCGGATGAGAAGAGAGCGTTTGCGTTGCCCTTCATCTTCACCTTTGGAGGTGTGTCCGGTGCATTGGCATCTTTTCTCTACCGTACCGATGATGCCCCTCGTTATGTTCAGGGAAACTCCATTTCATTGGGCTTGGAAGCTGTAGCTCTGGTCTCGGTCGGTTTGTTGTACCTCTTGCGGCATATGCGCAACAGTAAAAAAGAAAAGCTCAGGGCCCAGGGCGTTACCGACAACTCAAAATATGGAGATGAGGCCATGGACTTTGAGTACAAGTTCTAAAAGGAGATGGCAGTTATCTACACCAAGTGGGAGAGAAAGGCCGGGGGGACGAGGGGGCCGGGAGGAAAAGGTAGTCTGATCTGCTGTCTGTCTACGTTGATTTGTTGGAAATGATATGAGGCCTACCAGTGCTGTTGCGCTTAAGCAAACTCACGCCTCCAAAGTCCAAGAATAAACATTTTCCCTTCTATCGCATCATTGTACCCTCCTAATCACTCTGCCAATTGACAAATGGACTTTTGCAAAGATTCACCGGAATAAGGGACTGGTCATTTAGCTCCTCTAGAACGCTCGACTGCATGTTCTGGACCAGTGTCCTGGTGGTAAAGTGGAGGTCGTAAAGGAGGCTAGAAAGGGTGTTTGCCTAGGAACCCTGCGTGTAAAGGGATCGAGCCAAGATCATAAAAACTGCTCAAGACTGTACTTTGTGTCGTTGAATTGTTGATCAACGAAACCATAAACACTTGGGGGGGGAGAGGGTGGATAGAGATAGGTGAACCAACCAATAGTGGGCGGCTGTTACAAACCTTGCCCAGCATTCGTATCGACCTTCACAACTGTCCGCAAGTCATGGACTCTCCACTTGCCTAAGCATTCGACGGAAGCATCTGCTAGCTACATTCAGTATAGGCCCATGTTCTCCGCAAAGGATTGTAATTGTCTAGACGTAATATGATGTGGAGACAGATAAGTAGAGCTCTCGCTGTTTCCTGTACAAAATAACGAATGAACATCAGTTTGGCTTTGACTGCAACGATTGCCGATCAATCCTATGTTAAGGTCCATTTTCACCCGCCAACAGGTCGCTCTACATGCCTTCAGATGCGCATTCTACTATCCTTACTCCCTACTACGGTGCTGCGCTGGGGATTTCACTTCTTCTGTAGTGCCACCGGAATTATTGGTGTGGCGGGCGATTTGTATAGCTTTCCAGCACGCCAAACATGGGTGATGTTTGTGGTGTCAGTGAGAACATTGATGTCTTGGAGTGGGTCCTTTGCCACTGCGATAAAGTCGGGCGCGAATCCCTCTTTCAACTGTCCGGAGCCGTTAGCAGGGCCTTGTTCTCCCAACGTATCCGGGCAGTTGGCTGTAGCGGCCTCGATTGCCTCCAAGGGTGTCATGCCGGCCTCAACCGCGAACTTGACTTCTAGACCTGCTGAACCATGCGAAGCCATGTGTCCAGGGGAGCTGAGGAAAAGATCTGAGCCAAGTGCAATTTTGACTCCCGCTTTGATGGCTTTGCTGTATGCCTGCGCGTGGATAGGGACCGCCTTCTGTAACTTTTTGAATGCTGGGCCACTGGTCCATTTGCCGAGTTCCAGTGACACATGGTGAAGCGATCTTGTAGGAACCAAGATTGCACCCTTCTTCAACATCAACTCGATGCATTCGTCGTCCAGTTCTGTCCCGTGCTCAATAGTGCGTACACCGGCATGTAATGCGGCTAGAATCCCAGGTTTTCCGTGACAATGGGCTGCTACAATGCGACCATTGCGTTTGGCTTCATCGACAAAAGTCTGAATCTCAACGTCCGAAAATTGTTGGTGACTGGGATTATCGCGCAAAGTACCAAGACCGCCGCTGGCACAAATTTTGACAAAACAGGCACCCTTCCGTATTTGTGTGCGTACAGCTTTGAGGCATTCGTCCACCCCGTCACATAGTGTGCTCATATAGCCACGGGAGCAGATTCCGGTGAACGCGTGGAGAGGCATATCGTGCACATCACCATGGCCTCCTGTTTGGCTCAAGATGTCACCGCAGGAATAGATCTTAGGTCCAATAACTATCCCTTCTTGGACTGCCATGTCAAGATGGATGCCATATCCTCCGGTTTCTCGGACAGACGTGAAACCGGCATTGAGATACTCTGTCGCATCCCGGGAGATCCTGGCTCCAACCAAGACAGGGTCTGCAAAGGCGCTTTCGTGGATCGAGAAGCTGTTCATGCCGAGGAAGTGGGCATGGCAATCCCACATCCCTGGCATCAGCACAGGGACATGGGTAGCTTCGAGGGTTGTGTATTCACTGGGAATGTTTGTCTGAGGTCCAACATAGAGGATCTCGTCCCTGTTCGCTACAAGGGCAGCATCGTGCAGCGGCTCTCCACGCCCGGGGATCAACAGATCTGCCTTGATAAGAGTCGCCTGCTCGTGGGTTGTGATTGCCTCCCCCATGTTTGAAAGATAGGATATAGGATATCTGAAGCTTTGATGGTCCTTCCTCTAAATGGGTCGTCCGATCTGTTCGTGATAGATGTATCGAGGGTGAGAATTGACAGGGAAGGGTTCCGTTCTGATCTTCAATACATCGAAAGCAAAATCGAGCAATCGTAGACCGACCCTCCCAGCTTTTAAACAAGTTGGATCCATCATTTGTTCCACTTGCATTTCATGGCCTTCAGAGCAGGTCGAGCCGGCATGGATAATTGGCCCTTGCAACTAAACTAGCGCCGGGTGATATGGAGCCGGGGAGTGAGAGAACTCGGACATGAATCTGTGTGGGACACAGAAGTATACTTCCTTCCACACAGTATCATCCCCGAGCACAGAATTGAGCGAGGAATAAATTGTTCATAATTTTCATTACAGAGATCCTCCGGATATCCTCACCAGACCGCAACTCTTCTCGATCCGGTCTTGCAGGGCCGAATGGCAGCCCTCTTGATCTTTACTCATACTGCTGCTGGACCAATTCGATGTTCGCAGGGGGTGAACAGACCTTCGGGGTCGCAGGAGATCATGACCTCTGGAAGATCTCAACTCCTGATCGACCGAAGAGTTCAACTAAAAAGGCTTGGGTTATCTTCAACCAGACGAGGGAGGGAGAGAGGAACGAGCCCGGCACGTGATCCACCACAACATCTGAAAAGCAGCGTCACATCAATCCCGAAGTAGAGACCCCTCCAAGCCTTGGCGTGAACGTCTTTTCTCCGTTGGCGTCGACTGCTTATCAATACCGACATGTCATCTCTCCTCCACGCGTGACCCAGCAGCAGGGATCGAAGGAATAGGCATCACATCATATGGTTGGTGATACAATACTGGCTCCGAAGAGAGCTGGCAAAGCCTCATCGCAACCAAGGTCGGATCGGGGATGAAAAAGCAGGTTCGGCGGTCGTTTTCAGCATGTTGGACTTGTCGACGTCGCAGAGTGAGGTGTGATGGAGGGCAACCGTGTACTCCTTGCACCAAGCGGAAGGTGACATGCGAGGGCTACCATGTTGAGCTCTCCTGGGTTGATCCTGAGACAGGCGTCTACAAGTCCCACAGTCGCCGTACCCTGGACTTTGCATCCACTTGGAACGGTTGGCCAATTTATGGGGACCACCAGTTGGATCATCTTCTGGACGCACCTGATTGTGAGGCTTGCGACTGTGTTCCAGCCAAACCACGTCATAACCCTTTTGGAACCCTCGACTTCAAGGTTGACGACAAGGTCGAGCGACTGGTGAGGAAGCCAAGGACCCCTTCACTGACCCGAGCTCTTACCATCAACCCAATTCGAGATCATTCGCACCATGATCAAGCCCTTTTCCACAATTACACACAACGAATCGCTTTTCTAATGATACCAGTCGACGGCGCTGTCAACCCTTGGAAGACCACCTATCCTGTCATTGCTCTGCAGCAGTCTTCACCTGCACACAAGAGCTTATACCACGCCATCTTGGCACAGTCCGCCTTTCACTTGTACAACGTACATCCATCTGGCTCGGACATAAGCAAGTTCAACCGCCGCAAAGGACTCGAACATTATGTTAACTCCCTGACTCAATTGCGCACCTGCCTGAACACTCCCTCCCCCGATTATGAAGCTTGCGTAGCGGCCCTTCTTACCATTGCTGTTGTTGAGGTAAGGACCAAGTCTTGATCGAGTACATGTTTCGTTTCTAATGGTACTAGGGAGTCTATGCATCAGAGACAAAACAATGGCGTTGCCATTTTCAGGGCGCCATTGGCTTTATCACAGATTTCATGCAGCAGACTCCATGGCTCGTGTCTCGAGATGCGTGGGTGTTGTCACAGAGCTTGGTGCTCTCATTTGAAGTCGCCCAAACTAGTCGGACAATGATTGAGAATCGGCCGACTATCATCGACGATCTGTGTGAGGCGGTTTCACTCCAAGCAAACTTTGGCTACACCATCGGCGCCAGTCGCGACGTTTTATACGCATTGTCGACGATTCGCAAACTTCGAATTCAATTGATGAAAAAAGAGGAAATCCATCAGGACCAATTCGCGACTGTTGTCGAAGATTTGATTCGAACCCTGTCCTCGGAGAAACTCGATGCACTCCCAGCATCGATGATCGAGGAATGCGATACCACCGAGCCGAGTAGCGAAAACGAGCAGAAGTCGGAGAAAGAGAAAAAGAACAACTATCTCCAGGTACTTCATCGTCGAATATTCCGCAATGCAGCTCTCATCTATCTCTACCGAACGATTTTCAACGCAGTGCCGGCGATAATCGAACAATACATTTCGAGAGCATTGGCGGACACAGTCGAGTTTCTCGACCTGCACGGAGGGAGCGTTTCCGCATGGCCAGTTTTCATGGCAGCAGTTGAGGCTTGTAGCGAGACGGACCGCGCCAATGCTACCAAATGGCTCACTTGCTCCTGTGCGCTGGGCATTCAAAATCGTCACGCGATTCGAGAGATTGTTGAGAGTGTATGGCGCGAGAGGGATGAGCAGGCTATCGCCCTGGATACTACGCCAGACCAAGTAGAGGTGGACTGGACTCAGGTCCAACAGGCATTGAAGATCGACCTGCTACTGATTTGAAGTTTGCTGGGTAGAGCATATTCCCTGATGAAAAGATCGAGATCCAGGCTTGATTCTTTTGGAGTTGTGATGAAATGTTATGCTTAGGAGTATTATGGTCGGTTGGGTCAGCGGCGGTAAATTGTTAGTGGAAGGTTCAAGTATCGCGTTCGTGATAAATTAAACGGCTTTTTATTTGCTTACATTTCGATCGTCCACATTCCTCCGTACAGCAACCGACCAACGAAATGACAATGCGCCCTAGACCATGGAGATTCTGCCTGAGGGTCACTAAATATGTACGAGCCGACTATCTCGGTCCACCCGCTCAGGAAAATTGGAGAAGACAAGCGTTCATTTCCAACAGCGGATCTCCGTTTCGTACAGGATTGACGCTTGATCGGCACCTCCGCACTCCCCCAAGACAGGGAAGCTGATAGTGACAGTACTTAGAAGTGTCGACTTCCGTAGATCGTATCATCCCTGGAGATAGACATAGACATAGACTATCTCGGGCGCCGGTAGGTCGCATATAACAGGAAACGATCTTGATATACAAAATACTGTGACTCGAGTTAAGCCCAATCATGGTACTAGACATGGAAGCCATCATCTCCAAGACCCAGGCAAAGCGAGATACTTCGATTCCCGAGCAATGGCGTCTACCGAAGAATGCATTCGATCCTGAATCCAGACCAATCGATGTTTTCAAGCAGCCTGGACTTCTAACTGATGAGGAACTTGAGATAACGGGACAGAATGCAGTCCAGGTGCTGGAGAAGATTCACTCGGGCTCCTTGTCGGCTGTCGCCGCTACTCAGGCATTTGCTAAAAGGGCTGCGATTGCGCATCAAGTCGTTAACTGCTTCACCGAGTTCTTCCCGGACGAAGCGTTGAAGCGAGCCAAAGAACTGGATGACATTTTTGCAAAGACGGGCAAACCGGTGGGGGTCTTGCATGGACTACCTATAGCGATCAAGGTGGGTTGTCTCAGGACTTCATGTGTTGATCACCCAGCTGATACTGACAGGACATGTGCGTGTTTGAGAAAGACCCAAGAATACTAGTGCTGATAGATCTAGGTATGACGTTGCAGGCCATCTGACTACCGTTGGCTATGTTTCATGGCATGACAACGTCGCGAGCACAGATGCATCTCTAGTCAAAGTCATGAAGGACGCAGGAGGTACGTCCTCGATCCTCGCCATCTCAAATGAACCAGACACCAACCATCTCTAGCCGTGATCTTTGCAAAGACGACCATGCCCCAGACCGGCATGGCACTCGAAACATATAGCAATCTATGGGGACGAACTCTCAACACTTATAGCACCAAGTTTGGCTCCGGTGGATCTTCCGGAGGTGACGGGGTCCTTGTTGGGCTTCGAGGCGCGGCCGCTGCACCCCTGGCGTCAGATATTGGGGGCAGTATTCGTGCTCCTGCGGCCTTCAATGGACTCTACGGAATGAGACCAACATCTGAACGGATCCCCAGAAAAGGGCTCAGGTCTACCGTTCCCGGGCAAATCTCGATCAAGACTTCATGTGGTCCTATCTCACATTCCATGCCAGATCTAAAGCTTTTGATTAAGCTCATCCTGTCACACCCGTCCTTGCCTTTCGAGGGAAGTTGTCCTCCAGGGTGGTGGAATGAGGTCGAAACTCCAAAGGAGAAACTGCGTATTGGTCTGATATTGACTGACGGTGTCGTGGACCCTCATCCGCCCGTGACACGAGCGTTGAAAGAGACGGCAGAGAAGTTGAAAGCTGCCGGACACGATGGTGAGTTGAAAAAAACAAGATACCCGCGATATCGCAATGATACAATGCTAAGACCGGCATAGTTTTCGAGTACAAACTCCCATTCGACGCATGGGAGGCTGCACTGACCACGGTAAGTGATCAAGAGCACAATCAATGCTCTGTCAGGTCTGACACATCACAGTGGGCACTGTACTGGCAGACTGGAGCTGCAGAAGCCAACCAATTTATTGCTTCTTCCGGGGAAAGTCCTTTGCTTCCGTATGCCAGAAACTTGGAAATTTTCAAGACGAGAGCCTTGTCTACTCAAGAGCTCTTTGCTGTAAGGACCGACCCAGTACTCTTGCGCAGCCTCATATTGACAATTTGATTCTAGTACAATGCAAAACAGCTGAACTATAAATGGGAATTTGCGCAATCATGGCAAGACAACACATCGAGCACGGATGCAGGTTCTAGCAAAGCCGTCGATGCCATTATTTGCCCTGTCGCTCCGGCTGCCTCAATTCCACACTCTTTCCCAGTTTGGTGGGGATACACCTCCCTCTGGAATCTTTTGGACTATCCCTCGGTGATAGTTCCAGTCAAAGATCTAGTTATTGACCCCATCAAAGACAAGAAGGATCTCAACTACCAGCCTCGCGACAATCCCTTTGACAAGGACAACTGGGAAGTTTGTAAGTTGCGTCAGCCCCTAAGTGTTGACTGATGGCTAATGGCTTTGCAATGTAGATGATCCAGAATTGTGGAAAACTCAGCCTGTCACAATTCAGGTCGTAGGCCGTCCATACAAGGACGAGAACCTAGTCGCTGTTGCAGAGGTCATAGATCAAGTGATCAATGGATAGTTTATGCCGGAGTAGAGGGCCTGAGGCTATAAATCTATCACTGAGATATGCGCCTACAGATATTACGACCCACGCAATATTATATATACAACTCCATTAGAGGATAACCCCAGACATTCTGAAACTGAATCTCAGCTGAGTTCTTAAATTAGCATAAACGGTGAACATGGGTTTGTCTTGGCCCCTCGTATTTCTTGTCCCTCTTCGACCCACCTCCAACTTCAGAGTTTGTATCATTCTTATGTTCTAATGTTGCTAATGTATGCAATTTGGCTGTCATGGAGGACCCCTCTCCTGCCAGACCGCCGCGGCAAGCCACTGCATGCAATTGGTGTCGAGAACATAAATTAAAATGCGACACCGAACAACCGTCCTGTCGGAACTGTCGTAAGCGGGACATTGAGTGTGTCACAACCAATCTCCGTCGCCCAGATCAATCGGGACGGCGGCTTCAACCGAAGGGAAGACGGATCAGTCGCAAGAGCGTAGGAAACTCCTCGAGCGCTTCCAATCTATCGCTATCTCAGACTCGGACCGGTTCGACGTCGACACATCCATCCCCTTCAGTGTCACCCTCTCCCCCACCATCTCCGTCGCAACAGCTACTGGCCACGTTCACTCACGACAGTAATGTCCCATCAATATTTGCAACGCCATTCGAAGGTTCTGACAATCAGCGCCGGAGTCCTTCGGTCTCTCAGTTGAATCGATCTCGGCGCGAGAGGGAAGACGGCGGCAACTACTCCAGCCATGCTAGTACCGACAGACTTGACAATTCTTCTACCCAGGACAACTCCAATGTCATCGTCGTCACTGACAGAAGCCGTTCTCGGTTACAGGTTGTTGGCAGCGGAAGCAGCATCTATGTCATGACTCAATGGCTCGACCTCTTTTTCTCCAAATCCGACTTCTGGCAACCCATCTATCCTTTCTTCCAGCAAGGCCTCGCCTTCTCAGTCGAAGTGCCTCTTCCATTTCTCAGTTCGCTTCCCCAATTTCCCTCAGCAGATATTATCGATAAATATCTCACGACGTTCTTCACACGAATCTACTCTATCTACCCAATCATCGACCGTGAATATTTACACGAGTCAATTTCAGCCCTGCGGCATAAACTGGACCATCGGAATTATTCGCTGACTTCGAGAGATTATCCTGCCCTGGCCTGTATCTATGCCGTGTTCAGTCTTGCCGCCGACGAGATTGATGGCAGTGCTACCGATACCGGTACGCACTTTCTCGAAGGCGCTTACTTTCTCTACGCCCATCTCGTCGCCATGCCATATGTCCCTTCGGTCCAGGCATTGCTGCTCATCACCATTATACTGCGACATCGAAACAAGGATGCTGCCTGTCTTGGGACTCTTGGTCAGGCGATCCGGATCGCTCAGTCAATTGGCCTTCATAGACGTGTCACAACAGCAGAGAGCCTCCCGGCCGTGGTAGACCTACACGCTCGAATCTGGTGGACGGCGTATATCATGGAAAGGTCCATGGAATTGGAGACTGGTCGACCATCTGCAATCAGAGACTCGGAATGTGATCAAGTCATGCCACAGAAGGTGCTGGAGATGCAACCTCAGGAATGCTCCTTTGACTACTTTGGTGCCTTGATCAAATTGGCACAAATCCAGAATCGTATCCTCGATTTGTACTACAATAAACGGCAAGTTCGAAGAACCAAAGAGCTTTTGCATGAGATGGGCAAGCTCGATCGAAGCCTATTGGATTGGACAGGCACTTTTCCAGAGGAAATTCGGTAAGTTTTGAGATCTTGTATCTGAAAATCTGGACCTGATGAAAACCAGGCCCGGTCGAGATATATTTTGTCCCGCCGAATGTTTTCACCTGGCTACATATGTCACATTGCAGTATCATCAAACGTATGTGGTTCCAATTGGATACACGACTTGTTCTTTCTAACCCTACACCCAGTGTGATGGCCCTCCACAGACCAGCACTCATGTCCGCCACTGCATGGCTCCGCAATCGGGTTGGCCAGTTATGTGAAGGCACACCATGGAGAAGTCGATTGCGGTATTGTCTATGTATTGGAGCAGCGTCTGCAAGGGCGAGCCTCAAGGCCTTTAACGATTTACTGATGTACAGCGGACCTTCGCGGTTTGTCACTGCAAGCCAAATCATGCTCAGTGTTCTTGTCCTAGCAATCTATGTCACCAGAATACCGACCAGTAGGATGAACGAGTCAGATCTAGCAGTAAGTTCATTCTAGAGTACGTGACTTGTGAATTATGCTAACAGCAATGTTCAGACAGTCTGTACTTTTGCCGAGGAACTCGAAGAGGAATATCTAGAAATGGGACAAGACGTCGAATTTGCAAAAGGTACGAAGTCAACAGAACAATAAGCGTTAAATCCTTGTTCTACCACTGATCAGCCATCCCTTCCAGGTCTATCTGTTCTCCGTGACCAACTCACGATCCATGTCAAAAGAACCAAGGCTGAACTTCGACAACGGAAGAAACGTCTTGGGTCGCGAACATCGAATACGTCAACCACTGAGGAAGTACCTGACATAGTTGCTCCAGCCGCACCAGAGAACCCTACTCCCCACCTAGGAGATACGTTAACACGATACGCAATGGATGATGCGTACATGGAGTTGGACGGAGGGCCCGAATTACAAGAGGCGTGGTCATCTCTTTGGACGGATGATCTGAGCAACTTTTACTTGAACGACATCAACCAAGATATGCTTAGTGCATACTTATTAGGCCTGCCACAGATTGAGAAGGATATTATGTAGACTCGAACAAAGACTATTGACTTGGAGACTGTCTATCTTCCTGAGACACAGAATTGTGTATCTCGCGTCGTATGCTCCACAGTTTTGATATGCGCTCATCCAAGTAATGCGTCACCGCATATTTTCCTTATCGATAAGGACTTCTCGCCTCCAGAAATTTCGCATGAAGATGATCGACGTCAAATTCTTGTCTTTGCTACTTCCCTTCGCCTCGACCACCCACTTCTCGCATTCTCCTCTCCCCCGATCCCTTTTGCGACGAACACGATGGCTAGACCAAGAAAGAAGAAGAGGACGCATATCTCCAACGACGATGCAGCGGAGAAAGGCAGCCGGGGCACAAGACGCCCCAAGAGTATGGTCATTCGGATGGGTGCTGGAGACATTGGACCAAGTGTGACACAGTTGGCGAAGGATTTTCGTGCAGTTATGGAACCTGATACAGCGAGTCGATTGAAGGTACGGTTCAAAGCACAACAACTCTGTCCAATATACCGAGTTCTCCTCGCTAACCAACTCCATGCGGTGAACAGGAACGCAAAGCGAATAAACTCAAAGACTACACGTCGATGGCCGGCCCGTTGGGCGTAACGCACCTTTTCCTGTTTTCAAGATCCAAAACCGGCAACGTCCACCTCCGCGTTGCCTTGACGCCTCGAGGCCCGACGCTCACCTTCCGAGTCGAACGCTACGCGCTAGCCAAAGACATTGCAAAAACGCAGAAACATCCCCGCGGGGGCGGAAAAGAATTTCTCACCGCACCTTTACTTGTCATGAACAATTTCACATCATCACCGAACAATGGCGACAACGAAGGAGAAAAAGAAAATCCTATCAAGAAACAACTCGAATCATTGACAACCACCATTTTCCAAAGCATGTTCCCACCCATCAACCCGCAAGCCACACCCTTGAACTCAATCAAACGCATCCTCCTCCTCAACCGCGAACCCCAATCCGACGGAAGCTACATCCTCAGTCTACGACACTACGCAATCACGACGCGCAAGTCCGGCGTGTCGAGACGAGTGCGCCGCTTCGACCCAAGTGAGCAACGGATACGAGAGAAGAAATCCGGCGCATTGCCGAATCTCGGCAAATTGGACGACGTGGCGGATTATATCCTCGACCCCGCTGCTGGCGGATACACGTCCGCGAGTGAAACCGAGGCGGATACAGATAACGAAATCGAAGTGACGGAGACAACCACACAGAGGGTTCTCAGTCGGCGAGAACAACAGAAACAAGCCAACGGAGAAGGGAAACGAGGCGATGAAGCGAATAAGAAAACGTCCAATGTGGAGAAACGGGCGGTGAAGCTCGTCGAATTAGGTCCGCGCATGAGACTGCGTATGGTCAAGGTTGAAGAAGGCGTCTGCGACGGACGCGTCATGTGGAATGAATTCGTGACCAAGACAAAAGCGGAAGAGAAGGCGTTGGAGGAGAAATGGGAGCTGCGCCGGAAGGAGAAGGAGGCGAGAAAGAAGGAACAGAGAGAAAATATCGAGAAGAAGAAATTGCTCAAGAAGAATACGAATGCTAATGCTGGGAAGGATGGTGAAGGTGAAGGAAGTGAAGAAGAATGGGATAGTGATGAATTGGAAGCATGGGCCGAGGATGACGATCTAGGCGATGCAGAAGACATGATCGACAACGAAGACGAAGTTGAAGTGGACAGCGAAGATGAAGTCGAAGATGAAGATGAAGAGATGGAAGACTGAATTCCATCTGGCCATATTTGTCTTCTCAATTCATTGAATGATTTTGATTTTTCCACGGGTTCAACAAGGCTAGCCACGAAATCAATAGAACATCATGTCATGGCCTGATCATACCAGCATGATTCCCTCCATCTTCGACCAGGACGTCTGTGAAGACGAGCGAGAGTGTTCAAGGCAATGTACTCGAATCACACCGACCACTCCTCACGAGTCACTTTCTGCTCTACAAGGGCTATGCGCTGACGACTGAACAGCCAGACTCGCGACAATCGCGTTGACTGGGTGGGGAGCGAGCGGGACGGGTGGATGGCTACACCAGAGTGAATGGCGAGGGGCGAGGGACGAATTGATACTCTGATGATCACTGTATCGCTGGTTGAGATGACATCCAAGAATGCATTGCACTGCTTGCCCAGCAGGGGGACCTGCTGATACTGGGTATACAATGGATATGGGCAAGGACTCTGAAGCAAGTTAGTCCTTATCTGCGAGAAACAGGGCGGTCAAGGGCAGTTTGGGTTACGAAAAGTCTGCAGTCATATGTTCGTCATGATATCATTCGTGCTTTGTGGTATTTCTTGCGTCAACTGGACTCTTCTGGTGAGGCCGCGGATATTTTCCCTCTCTTCCTTTGATTAACCGCCTTGGGTTTATCCCTTTCATCATCTGTCAGATCTTTGATGTTGATATAGGTCGATTTTGTAGGTTTCCTCGATTTCAGGCTGTGCTATACATCGTTGTTGACTTTACCGGGTTTGACAACGTCCAAAGACGAGCCGCAGACGGTTGTGTGCATGTGGGTATCCATTCCGTGGTAGTATTCCGAACAGATGCATCCATGGAACCTAGGGACTCGATGTGTCTCCTAGAGGGGCACATCATGCCAACACTTTTGCAATGTAGGCCTCCCTATATCCAATATATGAGTGGCGATGCCCAGCAATGACCTATGTCTCTCATCGGCCGAAGCAAATTCGAGAGGTCGCGCGGTTATAATGTTCAGTCGCCTCTGGACGGATGCGTTTATGTTTATGTGTCCCCAGTCAGCATGATCATGACATTCGCTCAATTTCCTCGTCTCTTTCGCCGTTCTCACGGACTAGAGGCTGCAGCATCCTCAGGACTGGAATACTATTTCTTTGTTGAGGAGCCTGAAGCGTAGCGTTTCACCCAGTCACGGGCATCTCGCTCGTAACCACTTCTATCATTGCGATATTGCTCGGCAATCTTGGTCTCCACGGCGTCATCAGGGTTTGGTTCTATGATGCAAGGTCAGAGAACTTCAAGCAAAGGCGTCAACTCCGGCTAACCTTTAAGTAACTGTCTCGCGAACTCTAGCACGGCACTTATCTTGGTACTGGGCTTCCACTCCGAGTCTTTAAGCATACCCAAGCACATAGTGCCGGAGTTTGGAGGTGAGTCGTTGGAAATGTTGGGATGGTAGATCTTGGTATTGAAGACAACAGTCGGCGGTTTGAAGGGGTAGCTAGTCGGGAGAGTCAAGGTCAGAGTGAAATGACCGCCCTAAGCATCGGTGACGATTAGTTCTGGGTCCACTCGACGATATTTACAAGCGAGTGTAGCTATGGAGACTTGGAAAAATGTCTCTGAGTTTCTTTTGAAATGTTGACTTTCGTATCAAGGTGTTTCTCGTTCAGAGAGGGGAAGTGAGACGAAACTCGCCATTCGCTCACATGATGCCCTCGGAGGAAGTTGAACGACTTACAGCATATGGTGAATCAACTGGTCCATCCATGGTGACCTTCCACTGAAACAAGTTGGCTTCATCTGCCAAGGCAACTGTTATTCCCGTTGGCGGCGTGAGAGTCAGCTCAGTCAATTCCTGAGGGGCTAATGTCAGCAGACTGATGATGTTGGAAAGCGCTGTGAATCAATGGAAGTATCTACCTTGGTGATTCGTTTTTGGCTAGCCATGGTGACGGACTCGTGGTAGGGGGCTATCACAAACTGGTGGCACTGGAGCCGTGGATGACTCCTAGAACTTCGTTCACCAGAGTGGGGTGGTGTGATCTTTGGCGATACTGGATGAGGTGAAATTGGGAGTGGTAGAGAGATGGAAAGATGGAGAATAGGCGAAAGCACTGTATGGGATTTGTTTGAAGATTGTGATTGTCCAGACTGCGAAGAGGTAGTAATGAAATGAAATCAAAGAGGAAGGCACGAAGGGCAAACAGACAAGCAGATGTTAGGAAGGCGGCAATTTGAGAGATGGGGAAGGAGCCACTGAGGGGAACTGATGCGATTAGATTAGATTAGGACACTTATAGACCTCCTGATCCGCCGGACAGAGTCTACGGCAAAGCATTTTGAAATCAGATGACATATGAACATTCCGCAACCCGAGAATTGTAATCCTTTTCAGTGCTCGATCAACATCACCATTCCATCTATCGATCTTTTATTTGGGACGCCGACGCTTGCAATATGGGTCCCTGGCCCGAAGATTTACCATCCATCCGATGTCGCTATCGAATCATATACAATCACAGCGTCACAATCTCATCCTACCCGTCGGTTCCATTACTCCGGAACGCTACACACACTTGACAGTATTCATGTGTGAGGTCCAACACGTGCTGCGGTAGGTTCGATGCTTGAACGATACTGCGGATCTTGACCGCTCCTTCTTCCTCGATCAATTTGCGAATCGAATAGAAGAGTTCGGGGGAGAACTGGGCAACGGGTTAGGTCGGGCTGCTCAAATGCATAGACGTTGAATTCGACTTACCTCTGAATACCACCTGTACTGCCATGTGATGAGCCTGATCAAGCATGCCAGAGCATTTCTTGTGTCTCCCCTCTTCTCGTACATCCGCAGCATTCCTCGCATGGCCTTGGGGGAGAATCGAATGTTGAGACACTGTTGATATGCCTCGAGGGCCTCGTTGTTGTGATGTAGTCGTTCTGCCAGGTCGCCCAAGATCTCCCACTCGGACGCGCTCTTTTTGTACTGCATCTGCTGCTGACGATACTGACCCATCTCGGTCCGCCAAATGGTGTATATTCTCAAGTCTTCATATAGCACCATGAAAAGATTGTCCAGCCATCGTTCACACAGCCTCTTGTTCTGAAATTGGGGGTACTGGGCGTCAGAATGGTCGCTGTCATCGTTTCCAGACTTGACCTCTTCAGCAGTAATTGTGGGCACTGGCTTCTCCATTGACTGGTCTGCTTGGATCTCGGCGTTTTCATTGGCCCCGCCGTTTAGGGTCGGAGCAGTCGACGACCCTGCCGCCTCGTTTTGGTCATCTGTGGGCGACTGGTCATCGTCTGAATGAGATTCATCAGGAACCGTAGCTTTGCCATTCGGCGTCCCCGAAAGTGCGACGGTACTGGCGTTCTTGCTAGCCGGTGCCTTGGGCGTGGAATGTTGTCGTTCCGATCGATACTCTTCTTCCATGACAAACACCTGGCTGCGTGTCTTCAGGAGTGCGTCCCACCCGATCGAAGCTGCGACCCTGGTGAGCAAGCTATACGCCTTCAGAAACGTGCCTTGATATGTGGCGGCTTGGAGTTTCCTAAGCGAAACATGTATTGAGTCATACGGTTCTCCGTGTCGTGGCTGTCCTTCATCAATCTCATCCAGCGCGGTCTCGGCTAAGATGGGGAGTAGCACGCGAGTTGGCTCAGGCATCCGGGGTGAGTCCTTGTCTTGGTAAGAGAACATGGGACATGAATTCAGAGTCAAGAGAGCGAGGTCCCATTGCTCCAGGTCGACATAGACTTCTGCCAGCCGAGCCCAAGTACTGAACTCGCTGGGGGCTGCAGTGACCCCTTGTTTGGCCAGTTCGAGCGCCAAATCGCCCTCGCCCTTCTTTTGACAAAATGTGGCTTGACAATCCAAAAGGGCATAGTCCATCGGAACATCCTGCAGGGCATCATGCAACAGCCGAACCGCCTGGACCTCTTCGTCACCGTCCAGGAGGACTTGCGCCAACAAGGATGAAACCTCAACGTCTTTTGTACGCAGCTTCTCGAATAAGTTAATTCCTGATGTATAGCGGCCCGTGGTTTTGATGTACTTCAGGAGACCGGCGGTCAAGTGATTCGAGACTAGGTTAGGAATTTGAATCTCAGGATCGGAGCCCAACTGTCGGCCATTGAAGAAGAGCTTCTCAGCCGCCTCGAAAAATCGGTGCTCAATTTCGGTACTGGTAACAGGATTGAACCTTCGCACGCCTATAATCTTTTTAATCGTGTCTCCGCTGCCGTCGTCGGCGTAGGAATAAGCTCTGAGCACAGCACAGAGAAATGTCTCCAACCATAGCCCGTCCGTGGCTACTCTTCTATCGCCCCGCTCATCAACACAATAGCTTTCAACACTTCCGGGGATCTTGACTTCCACGCGCATGTCGAGGTGGGAAAAGGCATTGTAACAGCAGTACAGGCCGGAGACGACCTTGTGGGTTTTGTCGGCAGGATTGAAGGTGAGAGTGTTGACATAGGCTGCGAGACTGGCGGAGGAGGAGGCGTCGACCCCGGTGACATGATGGTAGACGCCCGTTTGCTTGGAACCGGCCTTGACGCTCTGTTTGACCAGGTGGACCAAGTCAGGAGGTCCCAGTTCGCGGAGCCCAGGGAGACTCTCTGTACGGGCATCGACTGCCAAACCAATGTCGTCGTCCTCGATTATCCTGCAACAGAATCGTCAATATGCATGAGGTAATGAGTGGGTGTGCATGTGGGGAGGGACAGACTCTGGAACCGCCGGCGCAACCATGATGGGGGCAGCGGACGGAGGATGCCTCGCAGGTCAGGACAAGACAGGATAGGACAGATCGATCTAAATTGGGCTGTGGAAAAGATATACTTTTGCGCTCTCAGGTCTGTGTTCAAAGCTGCGGCAGTAAACCACGGATGCCCTTGCAAACACAACCGCCCAGTAGAACGTGAATAGGTCAAATGTTGTAGCGAGAGGTTAGATACAGCATCTTGTGCGGCGAGATCACATTACGCTGCATGTTGCATGTCTGGACAATCCTGACCGCAGCTCGCCAACATTTCCCTTTACGGAAGTCGGTCGTCACTTCCTCCCATTTTCAATTTTAGAGCGCGTTCTTACCCCAAGAACGAACACCTGACGCGTTTCAAGGAAGGAACCAATATCAATATCAACTTTTGCTGCCTGCGCCATCAATTAAGAATCCTACAGATACAACACCGAGAAATCAACTGCACCTTGCTATGATCTGACTTGAGAAGAATCCTGCATTCAATGACCTTTGTCCCATCGACAAAGCAAGGTCAAGCCATGTCTGGACACCACCCTCTCTCGCCCTAGTCGTCATTCTTGGCAATTGAAATCTGACCTGTTCCCTACACCATGTCTGGCTTCACGGCTCTAAATGTCGAACCGGAAGACTCCTTCGAAGAAGAGATTGACGACACAAAGGAGATCCAGCTCGAAGAAGCCTTCAAACTCTATCAGAATGCCCTCAAACTTCACTCTCAGGGCCCGGCCTTCTTTAACGAAGCCCGTGATGCCTACCGCGAACTTCTCCAGTCTGAAGTCTTCAAGTATCCTGAGGCCGTCTCCGAATATACCCACGACGAGAATGACGATGATGCCGTCACCGGCATTACCCAACCAGACTCTACCCTTTTTTCTCTGATACCTACCAATGCAGCCGATTCATCCGCCAGCTCCATCCCTCAAATCCTCTACCTCGCCTTCAAGAATAAAGGCCAGTTTGCTCTCGACGTTGCACGCCACCATCTTCCGGACAAGCACGCCGATCGCGCCGCTTTGTGTCAGTATTACATGAAAGCCTGCCTCGAGAGCATTCACGATTTCGCCAAGGCCCTCGAACGTGACGATGCAGATCTTGATCTCTGGAAGAAGGGTGCTCGCATTGCAGATGTGCTGTCCAGTCAAAGGATTTCCCGGTTCTGTATCGAGAGCGTGCTCGCAGGCGATGACGAAGGCGACTCTGGTCAAGCTATCGACTTGTCTGGCCTGGACGAAGCATTTGCTGCTGGAGAGCTGCAACAATTGCTCAAACTCTTACAGGACGACCTTTCACGCGTGCAGAATACCGATGTCCGACCTCGTGCTCCTCTTCTATTGGCCTTGCGGTCCACCAATGATCCGTACCCCTTCTTACCATCTAGACCAGACCATCTTGACTACAGCGATGATCGATACAAACCATCGACCTTTGACCTTGACATGGTCAAATTGGAACCAGCCGAGGATACTTTTCCATCTCTAGGTGAAGAGATCACCAAAGCCGTGCATGCTTTGCAAGATGTCGCTCTCGCGGCTGCATCAGCCGCACCCGTGCACATTGAGATCTCTGACAAGGGTGAAATTCGAAGCGCCACCGATATGATCGCGGAGAATGCTGCACCAGCTTCCCCAACAAAAGCAGAGCCCTCCTTGAAACTTACTGAGTCCCCCATGACCACTCCTTCCGCGGGGATACAACTGGAAGTAGAAGTTGCCACGACCAGTCAACCTACTCTTTCTGACCGCGGGGATAAAGCAACGGATAAAGCAACGGACCCAGACACAGACATGGTGTCCGACCATGATACTCTTGCTGTGATAACCACGTCAGAACCGAGCGACGTCCACCCAGTGGACGGACCTGAAGAACATACTGCTCAGTCGGTCTCGCGCAAAAGGTCAACGACAGCCGCTGGCAACGAAGAGCCAGAAGGTCGAACCAAGAGCAAACGTCTACGCGCCAGAGAATCCATGGCAGATCTTGCTGCTCAAGAAGAAGTCGCGCTGCAAGACGATCCCCAGTTTTTCCTCGACCAACTGGCAGTCTACGAAAACGCCGATCAGGCCACCTTTGACGTTGTTAATTCATTGCTTTCAAAATTCGAGATGCGAATCTTTCTCTCGGCGGAGGAAGCCAAACAGGCCTTCTGGCAAGACAAAGATCTCGGCGCCGTTCCTGACACTGGGAGCAAAGACGCTGACCTCAAATTGTCAAGCGATCTCAGGATGGCCCTACTCAACTGGTCCGATGACAAGTCTCATGCGATAATCAATGGTCATGGGAACCAAGACTTTACAGAAAAGTCAACTGGAATGTCTCTTTTTCTGCAGCATTCCCGGAGCACCTCGACCCGTGGGACAAACCCTCCAGCTGGTTCCAACGAATCTGCCTTCTCTCATCTAGTTTCCCAGATCAATTCCACTCCTACCAACCTTTTCGATGTCGCCATCCTCTGGCTATATTCTCTGCTGGCAAGCGACAAGCATGCCAATGCATCTCAATCATCATATATGCGGGAGACGTGGCCCGAGGAGCTAAAAGCCATGGTGACACAGGTTGCAAGATCCGCTGATGAACAAGTATATCAAAGGCTCTTGCAGCATCATACTCTGCTTGGGCAGCGTTCTGACGACATCAGCCCTGCGACCACTGAACAGATTTGCTCCCTCTTCGAACTCGTCCAATCCCTGTACGAATTGCATCTCGAGCACTTTGCCCAAATCACTGGCCCAAGTAGTGAGACAGAAGACGAAATTCGCTCCATGGAGAATCAGAGGTTGAACCGGTGGGCCGGGCTGGCTGAACTTGCCATGAGTCTCTATCTCGACACGATGAACCAGCCGCGACTAGATGATCCCTTGATAATTCGTTATACTTGGGCCAGCACAACCCAGGCAACCCTAGAGCCGGATATTGACAAGACACATGTTCTAATGTGTCTCCAAGACCTCAGGGCATTGGTTGAGCAGACCAAGGCGCCAGCCCTCTACTTACCCAACAATACTGCCATGCCAGTCATTGACACAACAGCAATTGACCAAGAGGTCTCTCGACTGAGCACCCTGGACTTTTTCACAAGCGTCTTCGACACAGACAACAGTGACCCAGCCGCTGTAATAGAGAAATTGGAGCCAATTCTCGAATACGGCTTTGACACGGTTGCCGTTGATTCTCCCTCTCAAGATCTAGGCGACGTGGCGCTGAAAATGAAAGAATTGAACAATTTCCTTGAAGCTGGGGATGCCTCGCTGAAGCTGTTCCTGTGGCGACGACTCCAGAATGCATACACGGCGATCTCGTACACTCCAAAGGTCGTGTCTTGTCTTTTGCGTTCACTCGAGATCAGTGTGAACGAACTCTACACGTCTAGGCATTTTGGGACGGACGACGACGCACGAAGACTGGACTTGCTGAGATGGCTGCGTGACATTGATGAACTGGTGATCAGATTGGTTCCAAAGGTTCTCAGTGAAGATGCCCCTTTTGAATGTGTGGATGAACAACACCTACGCACCTCCACACAAGCAGTAGTCCGGCTGATCAGGTTATTGCATGGTTTCATCATCTACGAGGACTCTGTTCGCGTGGGTCAGACGTCACCTCCCTCTCTCAAAGGAGCGTCTTCTGTCAAACTCTATGACAAGAGTAAAGACCGTTTTCGAGAAATGCTAGTTCGGCTTTGGACGTTGCAGTACACGCTCTTGAAAGAAGCCACAGTGCAAGACCCAAGTTCGTTCACGCGGGCGCCAGACGACCTTGCCGAGTACGTGAGTTTCGTCCACAACGCGCTCGGCATTCGACACTATTGCAAATACGCCAACAAGACATTTGTCAAGTTGGTAAAGAGCGAACTCGGCGCACTAGAAACCCAGCAGGATTATTCCGCAGACATGATCCAGGTGTTTTTCGACCTATACCAACTTCGGTTCACCAGTGGTGTTGGCGACGTCAACCACGGGTGTCCCACGGAAACTCTCGACCGCAAAACAGCATGGTCTTTGATCCCGACCATCATGAGCTACGTCTCTAACACGAACATCAAAGATTTGGCAAAGAGCGAGCTGAAAGGAACTATCGACAAGATTCAGCAAGCAATGGGCGTGTTGAAAAATCAACCGTCACTGTCGTACAACCGACGAACGATATCTAGTTACCTCAAGACGCCGATCAATCCCAACGACCTCTATCAATGTATTCGAGGCATTGGAGACCTGCCAACACGACCTGTTGTGACGGAGACTGACGTGGCGGCTCGCAGCGGGTGGTACTCTCTCCTCGGACAAATCAGCCTGGCGAAGTACAAGTCGGTCAAACGGGTGACACCGACGCCCACAGATGACTTGGACCTTGCTGCTTCACTGTTTCGCCAAGAGCTGGATCACAACATCTACAAATGGGAGACATGGTACCGACTTGCTCAAGTTTACGAGGCCAAGATTGAGGACGATCTTATTTGGAATTCTACCAAGCTCAACGATGCAAGGGCCGACATTGCCCTTCTTGAACGTCAGGCCATCCACTGCTTCATGATGGCGACGGCAATAGCGATGCGGTCCTCTGACGACAGTACGGAGACAGCTCAAAAAGTTGAGGACATGCTCTCAGAGTTTGGAACTCGACTATACGCATCTTCACGCCCACCTTTGGATATGGAAGCGTTCCGCACGGATAAGTACACTAGGCACCTGAGCAGTACAGTCGATGGAAGAATGTCCAAACAGCCCATCTACCAACCCGTCGACGCTTACTCCCTGTGGAAATTTGCCGCTTTCCTCCTGGGTCGTAAGCTGACGCACAAGCCCAAACCCTGGCTTTCGCATTACACGCGAGGGAAGTGTCTGTGGAAGATGTTTCAACAGCCGGTAAATGCGTCTCGAAAGCGCCCAGTCACCGCTGAACATGTGTTGGAGGCCTTCACCGACGCCATTGAGTCATTGCCGAAAAAGGAGAAGTCGAGCGAACCCATCTTGGAACCTCACTTCAAGCTTGCCTCGGTGCTTCACAAGATGGTGTCCCGCCGTGTACTTTCGCCTCACCAAGGCTGGGATTACATGCAACATACCAGATATGCACAAGGTATCACTCTGGAGGAGGACGATGACGGGCCAGAATGGATACCGTACATTCTGGCGGTCCTTAAGAAGCTCCAGAATGCGGACAAGGCCAATTGGCATCACCGCTTTATCAATCGTGCAGCACATGCAATTTACGACGTTGACAGGACTCTTGCGGATGCGCTTGGTGCTAAGCACCAGTTTACCCAGCAAATCTTTACCAAGACGATGACATTGCAGGTGTGGAAACCAGAGTATGAGCGACCCGGCCGACACTACGTGTACACGGGTCGATACGTGGACTTTTTTGTTCAGATCTTGGTGCAGCTCAACGACCGGGCCAACCTTGACCAGTTAATCCGCCGCATTCGACGAAAGACGACGGATTTCCTCAACCACACCAAGGTGTGGGAGGACACGGTTGTGGCATATGTAGGTCTGCTGAGAAAGCACGGCAAGATTCCAGACGGGCGCGAACGAGCGGTCTTTGACGGAATGAACCACGAAGAGTTCACCAAGAAGTCAGAGAAAGTAGAACAGTGGGCTCTTGATCCAGAGACTTCGTCGGTCTACCTCGACATCATGCGAGACGCAATCGACCTGAAGAGACTGAACAACAGCCTCATGAAGGGTCCGGCCATTGACGATCTAATTGGAGACTCTTATACGTGTCTGTACGAAGAATTCATACGCCAGTTGCCAGAAGAAGAGCAGCCAGCACCGCAACCCATGGCGTACCCGCAGGGCACCTTTATCAACATGATGACTGAGAGCAATACTGGCGACGATGGTGCATTGAACCGATCACAGGCCGATGGAGTTACCGAAGGACCACTGGCCGTCTCAGTCTCAGCGCCTTTGGGTTTGGGCGTGCAAGGAACACCCACAATGACCACTGGTCATGTGGTGCCTGATGTCCACCGTGTCCCTGGAAAACCCGGCAGAACCAAGACAGTGACAAGGCGAGAGATTCAACGCAAAGCGGAAGCAGCTATTGCCAAGCCGCCACCGATCAAGACTCCGATCTTGAGCAAACGCCCAACCATTGAGATCGTGATCAAGAGTGATCGTGGGGATTCGCCACTCGACAAACGTGTCAGCAGCGCCAAAGGGGAAGACGCGGATCATAGCAGGGCCAGTTCTCGCCGAAGCAGTATGGTCGATGGCGGCGATAAGAGCGTGGTGGCCGATGATGATTCGGACAGTGAGCTTAGCGAGCCAGACGACGATACCAAGCAATTATTCTCGGAGCTAGAACAGGCGGGGGAACACGGCGATGATGCAGGTGAAGAGGATGGCGAGGGCCAGGATGGTGGAGAAGATGAGTCAGGTGAGGATCGAGATGACGACGATCATGATGAAGAAATGGCAGACGCAGAAGGAGATGGGGACGGAGATGGAGAGGGGGAGGGAGAAGAAGAAATGGAAGGAGAGGGAGAGTTGGAGATTCCTGAAACTCAAGACGTCGGCAATGCTCCAGAGAAAGAAAACTCGAGCGACGGTGAAGAGAACGACGAATTTCACGAGGCAGTCGAACAGAATGAAGGCTGACCAGGGCACGAAGGCACGAACGAGTTGGCTGGTGTGTTACAGATTTGGACCGGCAATCCTTGACATGGCGAAGGCAAAGCAACAACCTTGGTGTCTCGTTGCTAGAATTTGGAGCTCGTTTTGGAAGTCCCCGATCATTCTTTTATAGATGACAGTGACTTTTGATATTTGATCTCTGAGACTTTAGTACCTTGGGCTGATATGTTTAACCTACGAAGAATGGAAGCATTTTTGGCCATTTTATTCTTAATTCTGTGTAGACATGCAAGTATCCGATTGAATGGAATTCGTTGGGTTCGAATTCAACGGTTCACTTACTTTTCCAATGAATCGTACTGAGCTGTGAGAAGTAAGCATAAATATTAACATTATCAATAACTAATAGCATCTATCGATCCAGTACAATTGACACCATCCCATGCTTTTGAGCGGGTCCATAGTCCTTGCGTGCCCATGCGGCCATCAATCATGAGGCACAATAGGAGTGACCTGGAAGTCATCCAGTCTTGGACCTCGCGTAGATTAGCCGAAATTTGTAGAGTAGAGGTACTGGTGTCTATGAAAGAAGTATATCCCACGGTCAGGGTGAGAAGGACAGTTGATAGGTAGGGTATTCATAGATGCTCATGGATTCATCGGTGTGATGGAGGTCCGGGAGACCTTCCCTTTCCTATACAGTAGTCCACATTAATATTACGGAAAGGGATGTTAGTAGTATTTTAAGTATTACTTTATTTGTACATTAAGTAGTTCAATATTCCTTGGCGAAGCGGTCAACATCAAAAACGAGAACTGTTTCACCGTGTCACCATATCATATCATTGAGTAAATTTAATTGTCTTCCCCTACCTATCCGTTAGCTATATACATCATAAATCTCCAACTTCGATCAACTCTACTCTTCCTCCATCATGCCAGACAACACCTGGTTCAACCCCTATAAACTCTGGTCCTTGAAATGTCTCAGCTCTGGCCCTTCGCAAGGAATAGTATTCGAACTCGACGACCAATGCGTGATCAAAGTCCCCTTCCAATACCCTGTAGGTGAGGGTTCCACAAAAGAAGACCAGATTGATCACCTCATCATGTCACTCCGGAGTTTCCAATGTTTCAAGCAAGAATCTCGAATCTATGACCTATTACTATCCAATCACAACCACAACCACAATCACAGTCACAGTCACAGTCACAGTTCACCCCATCCCAATATACTGACTAGGTTCAAGTGCAAGCAGGTAGATTGTCTTGTTCTCGAGAAAATCCAACCCGTGCGAGAAGCTTGGAAGACATCAACGGACCGTGTTCGCGCCATGTGGATGATGGAATTACTCAACGTTGTTTGTTTCTTGGAAGATTTGGGTTATCTTCATGGAGATATGACGATTGTGAATATTGGGATCGACAAGGATAATCATCTCAAACTGTTTGATTTTGGTTCTGCGGTGCATTGTCAAGACGAGGAATATCAGTACCAGATTCGAGACGATCAGTTCACTCTTGCGACATGTATCTACTTTCTCGCCACGGGAAAGGATCCGTTTGAACAGGCCGATACAACTGCCAGTGTCAAGTCGATTCGGAAAAGCCTCCAGCAGGGGACTTTTGATCTTGCACCAGCAGCAAAGAAATTTCAGCACGTTCTTCAAGGTTGTTGGTCGCAGAAGGAGTCATGGTCTTTCAAGGAGCTCAAAACCATGGTCTCGGATATATTGGGAGAACAGATGGAAGTCTATCCAACACCAACACCAACACCGCCATTTCCAGCTACCACCAATCAGTTATCTGGATCTTCGGTGTCGACTTCGGTGTCGTTGGAAGAGTTCCCAAGGGAAGAAGCCTGGCTGAATGAGGAACAATATCGCAATGCTTGGACCAAACTTGGTTTTGACTGCAGCCTGTACGAATAAAAAGTCCAAAGTATCATGATTGATGGGTTTCGTGCCCCGACTACTTAGAACGAGTCAGATTCTCTTTTCAGCAACAACCAATCATTCAAATCAACACCTAACATCAACCAATGCATCACCTAACTGGTAATATCATGAGACCGACCCAATGGTCCGTCTCCTCCCTCCCTCTGGTCGCCTATTCTTTGTCCCTTGCAGCGACACACTCTGGACAAAGTGCTTTGAATTTATTCGTGGTCATGGAATGGTTGAATTTCGGGTTGGCGCAGTCTTTTCCATTGGGATAGTCTTTGCACTTGTATACTTTCTCGGCAGCCTCAACTGTATGATTGCATTTTGTATATTTGGTGCCTGGCGCGGCTTTGAAGCACATTTTCCTGGAACGGGGTCCAGTTTGATGACTTTGGCAATTAGTCAGATACAAAGATTTCAAACCACGCGTTGATGTCGACTATTGAGTAATGGTGGATTGTGGGCCATGGAGGCTCAGGCTTGAATCGAAGTTCTAAGTGATAGAAGGGAGAGGCTCAAGTGGCCATGGCTGCGGGAATGATGACCTCAAAACGTGTCCAACTGTGATACGCCGCCTAATGAGCAGCTAATAGGTGGACTTGGGGAGCAGTTCCTCGAAGCCACATCAGGAAGGTCAAGGTATCTTCAATTGGGGGTTTGAGGATGCTAGATAGCCATCACTGCACAATGGTCTAAGACAGAGTAATGCGGTCAGGACCTTTGCAGTTATTCGGTAGAAGGTCTTCTATATCATACGATAATACTGTCGGCTCAACGAGAGATGAATTCTACAAGGACACAATTTCACTCATCATAGGTGCAAGCTTGGTAAGAATTATGAGAGTAAAGTGCCATCTTTACGGCCAATATAAATTGTGGTCTGCCACTATAGTAATATAAAGGAGCGTATTCAGTCAAATTAAACACAGTGGCCACATGCCTCTAACCAATAGATAGAAATGGGAGACAAGTGCCGATAGAGACGTCAAAGCCACTCCATTTAAGTGACGACCTTGATCTGGCATTGACCCAGACGCTGGAAACCACCATGAGCAGCGACATCCTTTTGCAGCTGTGCCATCATCTTTTGATCTTGGAGGGGATCCTTGGAATCAGGGTCAAAAGTCCACTCGAGGAATTCGTTGGTATAGTTTGGCTTGAAAGAAGCGTCCAATACACCGAGGCGCTTTCCATAGTTGGTGACCTTGGTCCAGTCTCGAGCAACGTTCTTGAGGTCATGAGAGAAGTAGGCATAGCTGCGCTCGAAGATCTTGCGGTTGAGTGGGGTGCCCATAACGGGTTTGAAGTCGACATACTCTGCCCAGGCCTCCTCGGGCGAGGTCAGGACATAGTCGGTTGCTTTCTTGACTGCGCGCAGGAAAGCCTTGACCTTGTCGGGATTCTCTGAGATGAACTTCTCATTGCCAATGTACAGGATGGAGCAGAAGCAGCAGCAGCCGAGCTCAGCCAGTTCATCGATTCGTAGCATCTGCACGTCGGTCTTGGGGCGGCCTTGTGCTGTGAGCCACTCTTCAAGTTCCACCATCTGGACGTTCTCTAGTCCGATGCCGGCGTCAATCTCGCCCTTGATGATGGCCTTGGACACGTTCATGCCACATCGGACAGCGGTGTAGTCAGAGGGTTGCATGCCGTAGTGGCTGGTCAGCTCGTCGATCTGGATCTTTCCAAACTCTCCAACGTAGCCGATACGTTTGCCCTTGAGCGTGGTAAAGTCGGGAGTGATGCCAGACTCTTTCAGGTAGACGACACCAGTAAAGGGCTCATCGAGGAGACTTCCAATGGATAGAACTGGAAAGTCACGGGCTTTGGCCTAGAACGGGTTATGGATTGGATCAACACAGACAGGAGAGATAGATGTCTTACAGCAAGGGTGTGAATCATGGCTTTGAATCCGAGGTCGACCTTGCCGGTACCGATGATTTCGGTGACGTCCTGGACATGATGAGTACAAAGTTCGTTGGTTCCTCTGGGAATTACTGACACTGGGATCATTGGGCTCTAGGAGAGCAACTTTGATGCCTTGTTCGGCGAAGAAGCCTTTGGCTTGAGCCAAGTACAGAGGGGCATGGTAAGGGGTGGCGTGCCTGTGGAAAGGATCAGAGCTTGAGAGCAGAGAGCAGAACAAGAAAGTCATGAATTACCAGTTGGTGAGAAAGGTAATCTTATCGGTCGACATGATGGAAGTCGAGTGACGATGGTCTGTATTGAGTCAGTACACTCGCGACCCCGAGCACATGGGAGTGCCTGGGGAGGGGAATCAAAAGCATGTCCTTTCGCTGGTATTATCCAGATCAAGTTCTCCGGTATTTCTCAGATCGACCTTGTCTCGTCATGCTACTCCGGTTGAGCCTCGACTGGGATACAGAGTTGTAGCCAGGGAGGACAACCAAAGACAACACGGGACAAGACGAACACCCGGCATGCAATCTTTTGCAAAATACCTTGACCATCTGATACCCAACGTGATATGCTCCATGATTTTTGCGGTATACAAGTTCGTACCGGATATGTTTGGGATTTTGATCGCAGAGAAGCTGAAGCAAGGGGTGAAAATTGGTCAGGACTGGAACTGAATGGTTGAGATGCAGATGAAAGTGTCTGAGAAGAGAAGAATCCAAAAGCTGTAGGGAAAGACTGGCGAGCAGAGCTCTCTTATAAGAGCTCTCTGTCCCAACGAGGGGCAGCGGGATGAATGTGGGGGGAGGGGCTTATCAGATTTGTTGTTCCGCGGGTACCCGCGAGTGGTTATCACGTGAAGGTCTGTTTGGGAGTGATGGGATGGAATGGAATATGCATGTCCTCTTTTTGAGATACCACTGGATACCTTTTCTGGTCGATTACCTCATAGCCAAGGTGCGGTGCATTGAATCAGCCATGGTGCAGGGGAGCAGCACTCTCAAGGTTCACTTGGCCAATTCTTTCATTTTCGTGGGCTTAATGCCATCTTTTCAGATAAAGGGTCCGAGTGTTGATTTCAAACTCTCTCCACAAGCATGGCCCAAGATAGAGTGTGGAGAAGTCGAGAGAAATAAAAGAGGAATTGATAGGTGGGTATATGGAGGCTGAGAAAACATCGTCATGGCCCACGCAGAACTTGCTCTCGAAGAGCAGAGGGATCGTGGAGACATGTTGGAAAAATCACATTGGCTGCCCTGTGACGAGGAAAGGATTGAGTTTGATATGCACGGGAGAGCGGTTCGGGTCAGGAAAGTAGGGAGAGCGGCTGAGGGGGCCGAGTCGGGCCCATTAAGTGTCGCGATTGGTGGTAGGGCGCAGGCTTGCTAAGTAGGTAGGTAAGAGCCAGTTTCCCATGGAGAGTGGAAGAGGACCAAGTTGTAGCTGGGAAATGGATTTTGAGTAATGTTTAAATTTTGATGTATCAAAGTATCGGAGATGAAGGAGGAGATGGTGTTGGTGATGATGATGGTAATGGAGAGTTGTAGAAGTCTTTGAAGAGATTTCAAGGCCAGAGTTGAAGGCATCAAATCTACTCGTAGATGAGGAAGTCGCGATCAACTTAGTACAGGCAGGGTGTTACACAGTAGCAGGTCATTTCTATTGGTGGGAATGCTTATAGGGATGGTTACAGGCTGCTTCGGGCTCTCTCAGGGCCAGATTGACTCAATTAGGCGCGCCCACTTAGAGGTACAACCGCCCGAGGGAACACCAATTACCCCTAACACCCTTCACCAACTCCCCCGACTCCAATTCTCCTCCAACTTTCATCGCGATTCTCCACAATCACCAAAAAATATTTCTCCAATCATTCCTACAATGTTACAACAATTGTCACCGCCAACCTCGATCTGGTCAGCCAGATCCTAATCTCTCCATGATCCTTGATGCCTCCTACTCCTCCTATTGTGTCGTCTTGTGCAAAATCAGCGATTCGCTATAAGCTGCTGCTCCATGTCACCTTCGTCCCTCACGTCCACCTGAATCACTCTGGACCAGATCGAGTATTGTCCAAGACGCAGACATCTTCTGCCATAATAACACCCAGGTTGTCCCTCTCCCACCAGCGCCTGTTCCACACCTGCCCACATCTACAGCGCAAGTTCAAGCGCAGGCGCAATCCACTGTCTCTCGACGAGGTCACAGCGGCGGAAAACATGGCCAACTACTTGGCCGAAAAAGTCCAGACAGGACCTGTTCCTCTCCCTCCACCCCCACCACCACCAGACTATAGTACTTACTCGACCAAAGACCTAATATCACGCATCACATCGCTTGAATCTCAACTTCGCCGAAAGACTTCACAATATACGCAAGAACAAGAACCTCCTGAACGTCCCCCGAGACCGTTTGATCCAGATGCTTACTCTTCACGCCATATTGCTCTCAAGTTTGCCTACATCGGCACCAACTACAATGGCTACGAGCACGCCAACGGCACCATCACTGCCAAACCAACCATCGAAGAAGTCCTGTGGAAGGCCCTGCGCAAGACCCGGCTGATCAGCCCCGAACTCGGCTCGAAAGAAGGAGCCAGCCGAGTTGACGAGAGTTATGACGTGGTCTGGGGAAACGAGCGAAGAGGAAAACTCTACACCAAGGCAAATAAGATGCACCTCGAGTCAGAAAGAGATAAAGTCATCCTTGACCTCAACTGGGACGGCTGTCAGTATTCCAAGTGTGGAAGAACCGACAAGGGTGTCAGTGCTTTTGGACAAGTCATTGGCATCAGAGTTAGGAGTAACCGACCGAAAGAAGTCGATCCTCCAACGACAGGAACCAAAGCAAGTGCTCAAGACGCAGACCCAAATGATGCAGCCGACAGCGACAGCGACTTACCACTGATCGACACCGATTCCCTCACATCCTCACCCTCTTTTGACAAACCCTTTGACCCTATCGCCGACGAGCTCTGCTATCCTCAACTCCTTAACTGGGTCCTTCCTCCGGACATTCGTATTCTCGCATGGTGTCCCGACCCTCCTCCGAATTTCGATGCTCGATTCTCCTGCCGCGAGCGCCGCTACAAATATTTCTTCACCAACCCCGGGTTTTGCCCCACGCCAGGCACTAATGGATTGAGACATCCCGTCACGGGAGAGCCTGGCGTTGTCAGAGAGGGCTGGCTCGACCTTGATCGCATGCGCGAGGCTGCTAAGAAGCTCGAGGGTGTACACGACTTTCGCAACTTTTGCAAGATTGATCCAGCCAAACAGATGCCCAGTTGTGTCCGGAGGATCTACCATGCCGACATTGAAGAATTTCCCTCTCCGGGGTCTCAGTTCACCGAAGCTCCTGATTTAAATTCACACGGACAGACAGTCCAGACCGGCTCCGGGATGGTCAACTCTCTCATGGACACTGTGGGAGCTCACCCTAAATCAACCAGTCACGTGGGCCCCAAAGTCTACACCTTCACCGTTCACGGAACAGCATTCTTATGGCACCAAGTCCGCTGTATGGTAGCAGTACTGTTCCTCGTCGGCCAAGGCCTCGAGGACCCCTCCATCGTGGACCAACTATTCGACATCGAAAAGACACCTGGTCGACCAGCCTACGAAATGGCCGAAGACGCTCCATTAGTACTATGGGACTGCGTATTCCCCGACCAAGACGACGGAGCAGACGCCCTGAATTGGGTCTACAACGGCGACGAAAACACATTAAAGACCGGCACGACCAAAGGTGATGGCAAATTCGGCGTTGGCGGCACAGTCGAAGAAACGTGGAAATTGTGGAGAGGAGCGAAGATGCGAGAGGTCTTGACTGGAGCATTAATGGACCTGACGCTCAGTCAAGGCGATGGATCAGCGTTGAAAAGAGGAGGTGACCGTACTGGAGGAGCGGTTGAGTTTAAACCTAAAGTTGGGGGACGAACAGGTGCGAAATTCCGATCGGCGAGGACGTTTGATGGCGGTGATATAGGAAGGGTTAAAGGGAAGTATGTTCCTGTCATGAAGCAGAGGCCGATTGATAGTCTGGAGTCGTTGAATCATAAATTTCGATTGAAGAAGGGGTGGACGACTGGGGTGGGTCATGGTGATGACGATGAAGGTGGTGTTGGTGTTGGTGACATGGAGGGTGATCAAGTCGATGACGAGAGATTGGATGATGTGAGTAAGTGAGAGGAGGATGATATCATGAGATGAAGTGGATATAGTTGAGTAGACTGTACAATATACTCGATGATAAATCATGTACAATTTAAATTAAAAAGGACTACTATACTATATACAGAGGAATGTAATGGGAGTTGAAAGATAAAAGCAATGCATTGCATTGCAATTGTTGTAGGTCATGGGATGGTGCTGAATTTTTTTAATTATATTTGCAATCTCAAATCAATTGCATGAACCTTCAACTCCAGCAGCTGAAGATTATACATTATTATTAAATGCAAATTATGACTATAATTCTCCTACGAAGCAATGAGACCATAATACCTTATCTTGTCTCATCTCTTCTCACCTCCGCCAACCATCTACATGAGTAGAGGTCATCGTGGTCGGGGTGCTATGGATCACATGACAATGCTGAAACATTATATATTTAATCCTTTCGTAGCAAGTCAAGCCGTCAAGCAGTGTCTGCATTTACTACTTGGTATCATATTCTATTCATATCATCTTCGTCCTTTATGATGGCCCCTCGACGTAATAGTCCTCGAGCCTCTTAGCGAATACCAGAATACAGACATTTTCGACTACCTCGCCAGACCTGCTCCAGCAATTCTCGTCGAGGTAGAAGGCTGGGAAACACAACCAAGACGTCGGTGGCGTTTTCCACAATCACGGCCAAGTAATATCTCACCTCCAGCCCCTTGAATGCCTCATGGATCACAATGTCTTGGATCTGTGTGGTGGGGATGAACGTCGAGGTGGCGGGTAAAAAGTAGTACGCCGAACTGGTTGACGTCTGAATGCCTAGCCCTTGCAACACCAGCAGTGATTCTTGTACATAATCCCGTCTTAGACACAGGTACACGATCAAGAGACCCAGTGGGACAAGGAGCCACCATTCCGTGTATTCGGCAATGCGTCTGACAAGGCCTTGACCAATTAGACTGGCCCGAAACAGAATTTGGACATGGTCGTGAACCGTTCCAGACCCAAGCTTGGCCACCGTCACAAGCACAACGTGAAGGATGAGAATAACTCGTAGCACGTGGCGGACAAGAGCGAGCAGCTGTTCCTTCCGAGTGGACCGCGGCCGCGTGTTGACCGTGAATGAAACAGTTGTGGGCGAAGGACAGTAAATATCGAGATATTGTGTCGATCGCGAGAACATGACCTGACCCGACCCCGCTCGGGTGGATGTCGACAGATGGGTTGGGAACTCGACTAAAGATGAAACAAGATGGGGGAGGTGAAGGCTAGATGAATGGTCGAGATGCAAAATGCGGAATGCAAAATGGGAGAGGTGGTTCGAACTGAACCGAACTTGTTGAGCACGTAAGGGATAGGAGGACAGTGCTAAGGAACAGTGGATGGAGAGGGTTCGAGAAACTTTCAGGAACCTGAAACGCGGCCGACCGGGAAGCGCTTGTCAAAGGAGTGGAGTTGTGAGCGAGGGGCTCGATGGGGCGAGGGCGAGTTCCGGTCTTTGGACCACGGCCACGCGTGCGTGGCGAGAGAGGTGACGGAGTTTTGAAGGTACTGTGACGGACTTGAGTGTTTTGTCAACGTATATCGAGGTCTAGATTATAGTGAGTGCATGAAGGGATGTGGTAAGAGGAATGGTGGCTACTCGCTTGGATGGTCAAGGTCAAGCATTGAGCGTCAAGACGGTAGTGTGGTATGTAGTAGTAGTAGCGTGGTGGTTATGGTGGTGGTTGGTAGTGGGCGCAGAGAAGAAGAGGATGTGGAGGATCCAACGCGTCACGCCTGGAAACGGAGGATCAATTCTCCGGTCCTTGCTTCTTGTTTGTTGTATTATTGGAGGCAGGCGCGAGATGAGATGAGATGAGATGATCACATCCATCGCCCCTTCCTCCACACCCAGTATCCCAGTACCCTGCCATCTAGGAAGGCACTCCCCACTAACTTACTCACTCCCATCGCCCTTTCCCTCTGTCAGGCACACAGGCAACAGCATCGCAGCCAAAAATTGAACTCGAGAATCCATCACAAACCCACCACATCCACCACTACAACCATCACCATCACCACATCCCAGTCTCAATTATTCACCAAAATTCATCCCAATTCCAATCCCCGTATTCCTCATCATATTCATCCTTGCTTTGTTATGCTTTCAAGGTGAGAATTGCACCCGTTGCTTGGGACACCTGCGCCAAACTGTCAAGCAAGAGTGTCCTCATCTTCCATGACCCCGCGGGCTTGAGCCTCACTTTCGCACGGCCAGTAGAACAGGCACGTCACAGCTGATTCTCGTGTAGGTCTACTCAACGGTGTCCGTTGACTCGCGGCACTCGCGGCACTCTCGCACCTATGTACTCGTACCCTCATGACGAAAGTTACGGGTCTTGACTGCCCTTGCACGCCCCCTCTGTCACTCTCCTTAGTCGTCACGGCTCAATTCCTGGCCCTCGGCCCCATGGCTTGACTTGCTTGCCTCTCACCGTCCAATTCCGGTTGCGCCTTGGACCAGCCTTGGACGACTCTTGGGCTCTTGGGCTTGGTGCCGTTGCAAATTGTGCACTTGGTCCATGTCGGCGTCCCAAAAAAGGTTCCCAACCAGGGACCTGATCCTGCCCCCTGCGTCGAATCGTCAGCCGCCCTACGGGCCACTTGCCCTCCTCCGGCCTAGCCCCCAATCTATCCACCTTGACTTTTCTCCTCCGGGATCCACCCTGCAAGGTACCATGCCACTTGGATGGACCAGTGGTCCTGGTCATCCTACGCCTCGTCAATCTGTCGCGCCGGCCAAGGCCTCGCTATAAAGGGGCTTTGTTGTTTCAAACCACGCCCGACTGGGAAATATGGACCCCAGACTCATCTTGGGTGACAATGAAATTTCCACCGGGGAACGCGAGTGTGCAAACGGTATATCTTCCCCACGCCGCCTGGGCCTCGCTTTGTCGTCTCTCTCTTCTTGTGAACAGTCTGCGACTTTCGTTATCACTCCTTTGACGATCCGTCAACACGCTCCTTTATCCCCGGTGGATATACACATTCATTACATCCCAACCACATACAACCAACTGATCAGGCCCATTTCCCCTGGAATCTGCCCGATTACCCACGCTCTCTACGAGACCAGCCCCCTGAATAAATTCACCCGACGAAAAAAAATGCATTCTGTTAAGAGCCTTTCTCTCCTGGCCCTCGCGGCCGCCACGGCATATGCCGCCCCCGCCGCCGTCGATGGAAATGCCATCGAGGCCCGCGAACCCGGCCGAGGCTACTGGGGCGGTGGTGGCAAATGGTACTATAAGAACGGCGGCAGCCCCCCTCAAAACGGCGGAACCGTTGAGACTGTCGAAATCGTCACCGCTGTTGTAACTGTCACCGGCTATGGCCCCGAACCCACGGCTGCTCCCGCCGAGGTCACCGCTGCCTCCAGCCCTCCCACCGGTTTCAGTGGAAACTTCCGCGGTGGTAACTCTGGTGGAAGCGCCCCAGCAAGCGGCGGTAACTCTGCTCCTGCTTCTTCTGCTGCTCCATCAGTCGGCTCCTCCGGCTCCTCCGGCTCAACCCCCTCTGTTGGTGGTGGCGGTGATTGGTTTTCCATCGCCAACAAATGGCGGGTTGCTATCGGCAAGCCGGCCTTTACTGAAAGCTCTCAACTCGTCGCCAACGCCCAGGACACCGCCAACAGCTCCGGTGGCCAACTCAAGCACAAGCTGAACCCAGGCAGCTTCGCCCAAGTCCTGGCACCCGGTAACTCGGGCAACTTCGAGTCTGTCTTCCTTGGAGGATGGCTTTGCGAACGCCCCAACCTTCCCGGATTGAACGGCGTCTGCGCCTCTGCATCACAAGGATGGAACCATGCCGGTCAGACGGGACATGCCGACATCATCGACGGCAGCTACTCAAAGATTGGCTGTGCGCTCGGTGAAGGTATCTGGGCCTGCGACTTTGCCTAAGGGTATTTAAGCGATAAATCCTGGCCGGAAGACTGAAAGCAATGTGCCACCCTAACTCTAGGGAGTCAAAGGGGCACAGAGTGCACAGATTCTGGATCTAGGTAGTCGATGGACGAGTGACGTTTCTTCAGCTAGTTTTTGGCAATTGCATTACATTGTGCGTTCACTTCTAGTGTTTTTATTGGGGGTGAGGATTGGTGAAATAAAATCATGCATTCAGGTGCCTTTGATTGTGCCGGAAAACGTGCGGCAAATGTAGTAAATGTGCAAGCACATGACGACCATTTGGAACTCCACCGACTGTGCTGGTCGGCGCATCTCTGGCTGATCACATACCATACGAGGCTGAGAGTATGGCGAGTAGGTTGGACCCTGAGCCTCGCCGCTGTACCTCATTCGTCATCGTCATCGTCATCGTCACCCATGTGAACTGGAGATCAGAGTGGACGCTGTTCGGCGTCGACCCCAGGATCTACAAGCATGCAGATGTATATCATTGAACAAAACCGATTGGCCGGACCCAGCCTGCCCAGCCCAGTCTATAGCGGAAGATCTACGGAGTACATACTGTATGCTTGGAGATGACCACCACCTCAGACGAGTGATACGAATGAAACGGTAAGCATCTGGCCCTTTATCCCGCCGTTTGAGGACTGGGACGTCGAGCGTGCCAAAGACATAAATGCGGGCCATGCTGTCGCGAGAGTTTGGATACGTGGTGTGCCGGTAGGTGTTGGTAGGTGTGGGCGCTCAACGACGACGACAACGACAGGTGATGCCGGATAAAGTGTTCAACCTAGGGGTGTGTAACTGGCCGAATTCGCTGTGCTGCGATCGAGCGACAATCTCCAGACACGTCACAGACCATCATCCATGCCCTCGAGCTTGAGGTCGACTGTGTGTGGGTATGTGCACACCCGCCAGCCAGCCAGCCAGCCAGCCAGCCAGCCTCGTCGATGACTAGAACGAGGCAGCAGCGGTAGTCAGCAATCTTTCAAGGCCTGCAAGAACTCATACCTAAGACACCGCTTCTAGTTTTAGTCGGCACCACCATGGCCTTGCGAGTGAATCGCATTTTAGATCACAGACCTATCACAGTTGCTTCTACCGCCTCTACTACGAGTACGACTACTCCGTACAACCCAGCGTCATAGGCCCGAAACGTTGGTTGCTCATGACCAACCACCCATGTGTTTGAAGAAAATGGTGCAGAAGTTTTGTTTCCATGCGAAGTTAATCTCCGACACTCAGATCCCATGACGTGATTGGAGTTGAAAGGTTTCGAGGGTGGAGAGTGGTTGATTCGACATCAAACGTCGCGTAAGATTGGGGAAATGGCTGAAATTGCAAAAGCTTAGTGGAGGGTGGGACGGGCACCACGGGGTTGGATCATGCAGCAAGCCGTAGTACAGAGTATGTAGGTGTAGGCGGTAGGCGGTAGGAGTGGGAATTGTCATGGGTGCTGTGTTGTGACGTACGGAGTATGTTGATGCCGAGTACTTGTGTACGTACGGAGTAGTTGTGTGTACGTACTCCGTATATTGGTTGAGGACAACAGGATGGATTGATTGCTTTTGCTACGTGGGTGTGAGTGATGTTGATGTGGTGAAGGAATAATAAAAGGCGCAGGACACGAGAGGGGAAATCACGTGATTTGAGTTCTTGTATTGTGCCCATTGCCCACGTGGTGAGGCCATATTGTCAAGGGAGGGTTTGGTTATAAATATAGACAAAGTTCCACAGCTCCCTCTACCTATACTCCTTGCATATGATAACAAGTAATAATGATGATTTCATGCTCTACACTATGGGGCAAGCATATACCGCGCCGTCCCATGAATTTCAATTCCTACCCATTCCATAAATATCATCATACATTGTCTGTCATCCCTTCACCTTCCCAACCGGCTTCTTTGCAAAAAAGTCGCTCATCTTCTTCATACCCGTCACATTAACCTTTTTCAAGTCCCTTACTCCTCGAGACTCGCCAGCTTTCTTCTTCTTTTCATCTTCTTCTTGTTTTCGCCTCTTTTCTTCCCGTAGCTCTGCGGCCTCATCGTCGTCCAGCCCACGTTTACGGCTGAAGTCTCCGATGGACCTCGCTGAAGCTGCTTCCAGTTTCATGCTGGCGATCCGTTTTAGATGTTCGTCGAGAGATGTGAAATCGATGGCTGAATTTGTGGCTCGCATGCGGCTTTTCAAATGCTCTGCGACAGTGTCCGAGAAGTAGGAGACTAGTATAAAGTCGAGGACGACGTTTTGTTTTTGGGAATGGTAGAGTTTTTCGGGGATGTCGTCTGAGGGGTCTGAGGAAGTTGAAGAAGTAGTAGCAGTGACGGACACTTCGGAGAAGACTGTAGATGGTGCGGTACTGGCTGTTGACGATTGTGAATCGGCGTTTTCGACGGCAGGACTAGAGTCTTCCACGACTTGGTCGTCCGATCTCGAAGACAATGTCGTATCTTCCCTCTTGACACTCAACAAAGGAATGTCCAGTTTCCTTTTCACAAACTTGTCCTCGAGACTGGCAGGTAAGCCTTGTTTAATCACAGAGTCCACCTTTTGCATCAACATCTGTATTGTTTTGTCATCACTGGGCCGAAACATTTGTTCGTCCCCTGCATCGATTGAGTCGCAGAATTTGGCCATTGCGGATTCCAGGAGCGGCCGTCCATGATTGAAGATATACCGCAAATGTCTGTTTTCCTGAATGTGTTGCTCCAGTATATCATCCAGCGGGTGGAATAGGGTTTGGTTTGATTTGAGAGAAGATGGCCGAAGGAGGGCGAGGAGAATGAAGGCTAGGTCGAAAGGTGCCGCGACAAATAGTTCAGCAGCTTTGCTGATATGTCCTTTGCTTAGAGCATCTGCTTCATCACTTGTATGAGCGTCTGCGCCCGCGAGGAGAATGCTGTGAGGGTCTTGCGAGGTGACTTTGGTGAACTGAAAGAGGCCCCGCTCCGGGCAAAACAGAAACCGCTCGGGTGTAGAAGATTGTGGATGGTTTAGGACCAGGAACCTGGCTTTATCAGAAAGTGCCGTGGGGAGGATAAAGTGTTTGAGGGAGGATGATTTGGTGTCGGCTGGCGGTGGTTTCGCTGTGGTGGTCTTTTTGACCGGGCTGTTGGTCTGAGATCGCGTTGATATAGCCATGGCTTGCAAGAGAGGTATATCAGATCTTGCTGCAGAAATATAAGTACCATTTGAGTTGTCCAGGTTCAATTCAATATCAGATATCAAAAGTTGCGGGGATTCCTGTTCGAGAAGCGCCAAGCCTTATCGCGAACGCGATCTGCGACGCGTCTCCAGTAGCCAATCGGAGTTTGATCTTCTCCGCAAGGCTGCTTCAGATATTCCAACGTCTCAAGCCACCAAGACGGAGACCCTCGCTTTAGAATGCGGATAGAAAATTCCTCGACGCTCGGATGATTTGATACTATTGCCTCATTGAAGGCTGTAAAGGCCACCTTATTTCTCTGCTGACGGCGCGGGCGCCTTGAGCATCATCCAACTTTATGCTCGCAGATACGTCTCCCCCTTGCAAAGCGAAACACACACACTTTTGAAGATGTCCAACGAGGTCGCATGGCCACCATGCTCCCCTCGTGCCGCCCTCCTCAGTTCGCCCAGTGGTCGTAAAAAGTACGAAATATTGCAAACATCTCCCAACAAACGAAAGACCAATACTCCAGGCCTCCTCGACCGACTTCGTGCTGCCCGAAATGTCGATACCTCTACCACCCTTGATGACGTCGAGGACGTCGAAGAAGATGAAGAGATTTTACAATTGAAGTTGGAAGCCATTGAAGCCAGGTTGAAGTTGAAAAAATTACAACAGAGCAAAAAGACGGCGACTCCTTCAAGAACCTCCTCTCGCCAACCATCCTCTCCTGATCCAGAGACCCAGAGGCACACAGGGGTCGAGGTCGCTGTATCCCCAGTTCGACGTGCACTACAGCCATCATTGCCAAAGTCGCCTTCGCGGGTTATACTGGGAATTGACAAGGGTCTAAGAGCAGCTGATGTGTCTCTACGTCGAGCCAACACCACAGCGGGCACGACTCGTCGAGCACAAGACTCTTCAATCACAAACTATGAAAGACCTTCGTCTCAGTCGTCCACCATTCACAGACCACGCTCAGATGTTTCTAGTCAGACGGCAAACACAGGCAGACCAAAGTCCACATTCAGCGAGCGAATGTCCCTGGCTCGGGCGAAGGAAAATATGACCAGCTCGAGACGACAGGAGATTGCACAGAACCGTCAGAAGAGCTTCAAGGTCGACCGGACCGAGATCGAGACCTATCAACTAGCCGCAGAGGAACAGAAAAGTCGGAATGGCCAACGATCACCCACCAAAGCTCATCGAACTGTCGAGTATTCGAGAGAGGACATCCTCCAAGCCGCACAACGAGGGAGAACAGGGGCCAATCTGAAAAAAGCGCGTAGTACACCAAATATTCGAGAGGCTCAATCGTACGATGACCAGGATGAAGACATGATAAAGGGGGACGCGACTCTGTTTGAAGGTTTCTCTCAACTCCATCTCGCATCGCGAATCCTCCCCAACTCATTCCTCAAACGCACACTACCTACCGATAAGTACTCCATCTACAAGATCCCCGACCTCCTCCGCGACGTCAAATTCCCATCCTTTGAGCTGCCAGAGTCAGTTTGCGACTTCGTGGTCTTTGGGATCATCGCTTCCAAATCCGGAGCCATGGACCAGAAAACCCGTGGACCCGATCATACCACAGCACCATCAAACGACTGGGAACGGAAATGGGACGACGGATCGCAGAACCAGCAACGATTCATGGCACTTACACTCACCGACCTAAAGTGGACGATCGACCTCTATCTCTTTGGCACAGCCTTGCCACGATACCATCGCCTCAGCCCAGGTACGGTCGTCGCGATCCTCAACCCTGGAATCCGACCTCCCAGATCCGGACGAAGCGACACCGGCGCATTCACTCTATCACTCAACGCCGGGGAAGACACCGTTCTCGAAATCGGCACGGCTCGCGACTTGGGTCATTGCAAAACCCTCAAAAAAGACGGCAAAGAATGCGGCAGCTGGGTCGACGCATCCAAAACCGAAATCTGCGAATGGCACCTTAACGCCGAGCTACAAAAAACCACATCTCGGAGAATGGGCATCAACACCGGCACAAATGGGTTTGGCGGCGGTAGCGGCAACGGAGGTCGAAATTATCTCGACTCAGCATTTCGCGGCGGCGGCGGCCAAAAACCCGGTTTGAAACCAATAAAAGAAGGACAACGCTACGACCGCGATACACAAAGTCATTTCTTCATCTCTCGATCCCACCACCCCGATGGTGGTGCCGCCGCTGCCGCCGCCATACGAGTTGAAAACAACCCATTCGGAAACACAGGTCAACTCGATCGCGACAAAGATAGTCGAATCCGTAAACAAATGGCAGCAAAAGCCAAAGAACGCGAGATTGCTAAGCAGTTGGGTTCATTGAACAATACACATGGATTTGGTGGCGCTGGCGCTGAATATCTGAGACAAAAGGCGAAAACAGCCATGGATAATGATGACAACAGCGATGTCATGAACAACAATTCCAAAGGCAAAGCCCGCCAATCTCATTCTCGTGTTCGTCCTGCTCCTGCGTCACAGATTCTATCGCCGACTGATTCTGCTGGAAGTCATCGCTCTGCGTTGGCGAGTCGAGCTAATATCCTATCTGGAGGGTTGGGGACGAATGCAAATGGAAAACGCACGGCTCAAGATGTAAGGCTGTCGCCAGTTAAAAAGACGAGATTTATCACGGATAAGGGAATTCGTGAGGCGGGGAGAGAGAGTTTAGGGTCGGTGCCGGTGAAGGATGGTGTTCACCACCATGTGGATGATAGTGATGATGACGAGTTGGAAATTGTTTGAGGTTATGTCATGCATGGCTCAAGTATGCGGTATGAGAGACCTAAGCGTTGGGTTTGTAGGACTTTACCTTTAGAGGGTTGGGAATGAGGGATGAGGGATAGCAGGATGAGGATAGCATTGGAATCCAACCCTGTCGCATGAGGAATGGTCCACACCTTGAGGAGGGTATACAAAGGCTAACGAGGAGATCAAGATCACGATAGATGGCATGAGGTAATGAATGCATGTGTTTTGCAGCACGATTGGCTTTTATTCGTTATTCAACTGTCATTCTTGCAACGGTACCAATTGGTGTTGAATCACCAAGTGACGTCTCTCTGATTTGGACCATCATCCCATCTGGACAGTCTGAGTGTAACCTGGCAATATCCAGCGGCGTTGATACCGACAAGCCATCTTCTCAAGGCTCCTTGTCACTCTCGCCTTGGTATTCTTCTTCAGCGTCGAAGTCTTTTCGGAGCCGGAGCGTCGTCTTCTTCAGAGTCATCGTCGTCTTCTCCGAACAGATCCTTCTTCGGAGTCTTATTCTTCTTTTGAGTTGTATTCTTCGGAGTCATCATCATCCTTCCTTTTGCTGGGCTCAACGACAGGATTGGGTACTATCCTTCACTGCCAGTCTTTGAGTCGTCCAAACTCTCCAAAGTCAAGATATTCATCGGTCTGAGACGCTGCAAACTGCTCATTGTCTGCTCTAGCACTTTGAGCTTCCTATTCACGTTGGTGCGCTCGGCTGTGGTCTCTGACGACTCGGCAGCGATCTTAGTGATAAAGTCGTCGCCCAATTCGTAGACGACGGTTGGGGTAAAGATGTCGGTTAGTCTGAGCAAGAAGCTTGTTTCGACGGCATAGATACTGTAGGCATCAATGACATTCTTGAGAGCGACCTGAAGTGATGTTAGCCACGTGAAACTCTTGACATTAGGTTACAAACTTGGTAATATGCTTCCATAGCGTTGGTGGCCTCGATGGCGGCAAAGCGACTCATGTCGACCTCTGTGTCGAGAGTGAGGGTATTAAGAAGATCCGTCAAGTCGACCGAATTTCCGTACCACACACCTTCTGAGCCACCAAAGTGACTTTTGAGCCTCGCCGCAATGACCTTTTTGGCACCTTCCTGTCTTTTCTTCTGCAGGTTGTCTGTGAAGTAGTGGTTGTAAGTCGAAAGACGGCGACTGAGGTGAGGTTCTAGGACTTCTTCGACTTTAGAAACGAGTTGTGCCTTGACGAGTTCAAATCTAGGCCGAATAATATGACCTAAGATGGCGTCGAATGTCACCTTGTCGGTAGCTGCTTGGAGTACTAGGCTGATGGTGGACTCTGCTGCCTTCTGGAGATCGAGGAGACTGTCATTCAAGATGCGTTGCCAGGGTTTGGATTGGTCGCCAAAGAGATCTGCAATAATATCGGGATTAAACAGACCTGGAAGTTCAGAGCCGCGATTGCGAGCCATCTTGCGTTCGACTTGTGATAAGAATTCGGATCGGCTCATAGGATTTGGTTTTACCTCTGATTGATTGCATGCCGAAGGAGAAGGGTCAGTCTCGGTGAGACAGACGGCATGTCCATCCTTTCGCATTCTTTCGGCGAATGCCTTCATAGCAGCTTGAACGACAGATCGGAGTCGCTTCGAATATCCCTGGTTGGTCTCGGCATCGCCAAAGAAGGCATTGGTGTATCTTCCGTGTACAGCATCAGTCATGAGGGTCTCAAATGTTCGACTCGCTTGTAGGAGATAGGTTCGTTGCTCAGACAGGCTACTTCTGGGGCCGCCGATGGCTTCAAGCTGGAGTTTAGAGCGTTCGATGCCTTTCTGGACATCGGACGTGAGATTTGGCAGTTCGCGCAAGATCTGGTTGAGGAGAACGTTGCTAAGCCGTGGTCGAAGATTAGAGATTCCGAGTTGAGAAAGAGGAACGGCTGTGGACCAAATTCTGTCCTCAAAGAACGTTCGCTCCGACTGGTCACGTTCTGCAGTAGTAGCATCCTTGGTGTCGTAATCACGGTTCTTTAGAACATGCCAGCCTAGCTTGAAGGGAATGTTTTCGTTTTTGGCCAGTTTGACAAAGGCGACTTCACTGTCGGATCCAGCGTACAGAGTGTCTGGTTTTGTGATGATACCCAAGGTACGGTTGCCTGCCGGATCAATCTCTCGTGCGAGTTTGGTGACGACCTGCATAGCTAGATCACTCTTGGCGGATACAACAGCCAAGATGATGCTTCTAGATTTCTTCATGTACGACTCGACCATGGAGCGCACAATGGATGCATCGTCATCTGATTGCAACTTGTCACCAGCCCAGAAAATGCCAGGGAGATCGACGAGGGTGAGGTGGGGTTGGTCAGGCCCACACAACTCGACTCTCAGTACGTCGTTGGAAAACTTTTTGACGCCACCGTCCAGTCCCATTGCCTTTTCGGCCGCTTGGACAATGGTTGAGAAGTCATCGATACAGGTAGATGGAGGCTTGAAAGCCTGCAGCGCCTCCGCCTCTTTTTCAGTGCAATCGTCACCGGGGGTGATGCTGACGGAGATGGTGGGGGTCTGGCCGCGTCTCAAGATGAGTTCCGTGGCAAAGCGGGTGCAGAGGTTGTCCTTGGTGGGAAAACGCAGGCCTGAAATGGCTTCGAGGACTGAGGACTTGCCAGAGCTCTGGTCACCACATACAACCAGTTGCGGGAGATCGACGTAGCGACTGATACCATGCGAGCGTAGGGTATCAATGATGTTTAGAATCTCCTCATGTTCTGCGGTTTGTAGGCCGACATGAGGCAGTTTGATCTTGCCCGCATCTCCCATAGTGACTGAGGGACGAGGGGTGGAGGTGAAGATGAAGATGAGGAAGCGTTTGATTGAGGAATGTCTGGAGAGCAAGGCGTAAACAAGGATTGACAAGAGGATGATAGTGCAGGCATTAAGAGGCCACCAGATTTCACGGGCATCCACTGGTGAGTTGAAGGGGACAAAAAAAGAGAAGAAAGTGGAAAAGGGTTGATTTATGACATGGAGCTTGACCGCAGAAAACAAAGCACTCGTGGGCAAAGATCAAGAGGTGTGGTAGAAACGGAAACTGTCCACCAATCAACCTACCAGCAAAGGAGCCAAACATTAATAGCAAGTTCTACCGTGTAAGCAGATCATGATTTAGATATTTGGCGAGCATGATTGTCAATCACAACCAAGAACTAGAAAGGATGCGTCCAAGAATTAGTCTGGCATGTCTTGGTCCAACTGTGTGGATGTGATCACAGAGATCTGGATCCAAAGAGCCTTCTACAGCATTTTTTGTGATTGACAATCATGTGAGAATGCCATGAAAAGTGATTGAAATGAATTAAGTTGCGTTGAGAATGAGAGTTGAGGTCAAGAGATGAAGTCGAGATGAGAAGAGAAGAGAAGTTGGGAAGAAGAGAAGAAAGAAACTGAATAGCGTTAGACATCACTTGGCCCGCAGTAGACTATATACGGTGGAGTGTATGGATATTCCCCTCCCAATCGTCATCCTTGCTGCGCCCATCAACGTCAACTCTTTGTATTCGTCTCTCTACTCCGTACACCTCGACTGCATACACTTTCATGCCATGTGCTGGAACAAGGCCTAAACTAAAGTTTCATGCAACAGGGCTCAACGCACCGGCAATTCCCCTCCCTCAACTCTTTCGTGGACGCATTTCCTCCCCACATACGCACGGCCCTCCGCAAGCACAAACAAATCCACCACCCTCGGCCGCGGCTGTATCACACCGGGCCTTTGTTCAGCCAGCTCTGGTTACACACATTTGTCAAACCCTCCTTCGATATCCTTCTACGCCTTTGAAAGAGGCGGTCGGCGCTCTTGAACCCACCTCGAAACTCCGTCTGTCTACTCCCACCCTTCCCCTTCGACGACCAAGAAACCCACAGGCAATCGTCCTGGCTATGTCTAAGCATTCATCGTCATCCCTCAAGCGGCTGGGCTTAGATCAATGACAAGGGCCAATCTCTACGTCCTCTTCTCCTCAACACCATCTATTTGAACCCCACTACGCATTCACCCAAGTAAAGCTGTCATCATGCCCGTCTATCTCCTCCACGGCTTTCGCTGGCATCGCGAAGGTGTCTCCGGCATTCGCGTACATGCTATACTCCACAATCTAGAAGATCTCTCCGTCGAGTACATTCAAAATGAGAATTCTCGTGCTGAGTTGCTCAGTTCTTTCCACAAGGCATATCCAGAAATTATGAAGGAGCTCGATGGGAAGCTCGAGTTTATTGAACAATACAATCCTGAGGATCTCGATGGCCCCAATGCCGTCAGTCAGCCATACGCCTATGTCGGTGACAAGGTAGTAACTCTAGCCGCCAACCCAGGAAGCATGGCCTTCAACATAAGCCAACCTACCAATACCACAGCCTCGCCCGCGGGTCCCAACACAGTACAAGGACAACCGCGACCAAGCACCGAGACTCCCAAGACCGCCACAGGTCCCAAGTTACCAGACACCACCAGTCTCAGCATCAATGTGCAAGAAGTCATTGCGGCCGGACCAGGCTTAACAAATCGTGCCTGGGAGGCCATGGCTGATCTCCGTGATCATTTGGCAAAGGGAGAAAACATCGGCTGGTGGGTCATCTACAACGGTGACCCGGAACGGGAGGTGCTAGATAGCGATATGGATTCAGAATCGGACGACGAAGCCGAGGAAGATCTCGAGACCGAACCTGTTACACAATCATCAACTACAGAAACACCCGCAGGACAACAACAACAACCACCACCGCAAAAACAACGAGACGCGACACCAAGCCAAGAGGCGCTTCAAGCGATGACATTGCGCCAGAAAGCGTTAGGTCCAGGCTCGCCTGAACGAGTCCAACCACAACATCATCAACGATACCAACAACAAGCCGAACAACAACGAGCATCCATTCTTCAACAGAGACAGCAACACCAGCGCCAGGAGTCAGGTTCCAGATCAACACTCCCCACAGGTGCTGGGACTCGCCCCAATCCTAACACTGGAGAAGCTCAACCCAGCGACAACACCACACCTATATCTCCTCGCCACCCACAAGTCCCTCCTTCACCCATTGCTGAACGCCACACTGCACCACAGACAAAGTCCTCAGACCCTAGCTCGAATTTCTCACCAAATCTTACTGCTCTCCCTACATCAAACTACGTGCCCCCCACACCGCCCGAAGTGGCGACTGTGCCAAAAGGAAAAAGTCGCGAGAAGGAACCCGCATCGGTATCCAAGTCGCAAGGTTTTAGGAAGAAGCTTTTTGGGAAACGACTGTAGTTTTGTCCATGAATGGAGTCATGGGGATTTAGGTATGAATGTCGTTGTGGACTATTATCAAAACGCAGAGCGTTCCGACCAGAATGAGTTCGACTGCTATATATATACCACGACGCGGGCGACACGGGCGACGAGACGAGACGAGACGAGATGAGATGAGTGAGACGATGTCATGTGATATGATATGAAGTTATATGGAATGAAGAATTACTGAGTGGAATGATCCTCGAACAACGAGCCACAAGGTTCTGAGTCAAGCTAGTATCATCAGCAGCAACTTAGTGTACTTGACCTTGCCGTCGAAGTAGAATGAAAACAGCCTTACTTACCTATACTTACCCGCTGAACTCACCAACGCGGAATATATCATCTAATCCGAACAAGCCTCCAATACCTACCTGCCTCTATACCCGGTTTTCGTAGGTATGCATTAATGACATTTGCAGGAGACCGAGTTGGGAAAATTGGTCGGGGGACTTGGCTTATGAACGACCAAAAACTCCTCCGGATCCATTGGTCGGCAGGGTGACCGTGACCAACATAAGAATTACAGGTGCAGCAGGAACAGCATGTTCACGGTTTACGGAACCCAGGCGGAAGACGCCTCCAATGCTGTTGGCGGGCGCCTTGCAAGCGGGATGCGTCAAATACTGGCAGTCAAGGCATGTCCAGAGTCCTTAGTCCTTGAAGACGTCAATCATTCCAGCTATGCGACAAAAAGAAACAAGTCCGTCAATGTGAGAACCAGTCAGTCAGTCCGTCGTGTCAATCTTATCCAGTCCATGGAATCCTGTCATTCTGTGGCCCGAGACTGGTCGCCATTCTTGGTCCACGGACATACAGTCGTCCGTCGGTCAATTTGAAACTATCAGCCATCCTTGACAGTTTACGTCATCAGCCTTTGCAACAGGGCGACAGACATCGCCCATCCTCGGGTTTGACAAGACCAGCATCTGCTCCAAACCCGCTAGAGAATTACATGACCACTTGGTGGCCTACCCTGGCATTTTCTTGATTGGAGGTCCAATGTTCGGGAATCATTTCGTGCATCTAGTATCGTCCACGATCGTCATAGGCTCCATAGCCTGGTCCGTAGCCTCCAAAGCGAGGCGGGCTCCTGGGTCGACCGTATGGATCACCGCCGCGAGCATAAGGATCACCGTAGCCTCTAGCTGGTGGTGGAGGTCCCCGAAGGTCATAGCCGTCGTCATATCTGCGAGGGGGTGGAGGTCCATCATAACGGGGAGGAGTTCGACGTCCATAACCTCGATCATAGTAGTCATCCATGGGAGGTCGGCGACCTGGGGAACGCTCGCGGTATCCTCGAGGACTCCAGCTCCGAAGGGGAGGGCGCCGGTCGTAGTCATCCATGGGATAACGACGCTGAGGGCTTCTCTGGCGATAATTTCGCATGGTGGGCTTTTCGTCTTGGATCTAGGTTAAAACTTAGTGGCAGATCTGATGAGTGGGCGGAGATGACGAACATCAGCGACGCAGTGGACAGGAGCACCTCTCCACTCATGGCCATCAAGCTTCTCCACTGCAGTCTTGAGGTCGGCGCTGGTCTCGAACTCGACGAATCTAGAAACGACCATATGTCAGATGTATGCCCATTGTTGCACACGAATCAAGAATCACTCGCCCTTTGCCCTCTTGGTCACGTCCTGTTTCCGTATACACGACCTCCAGCTGTCCAGAATTTCGGACAAAGTCTTTCAGATCCTGTCGCAAGTTGTCAGGGGAATGAGCCAATTTTCCTGCGTATGGCGAATACTCACCTGCCAGCTGGTGCCGGACTGTAAGCCAGTGATGTTCATGCGATAGATGGTGCGACGTGGACGGGGAACGTTGCGATCTGAAGGTCCAAAGTCTTCCTTGCGGCGCGGGCCACGGGCAAACTGGACTGTAAGTCTTTCACCTTTGAACTCGGTTCCATCTGGAAGAGGTTAGTGAGGAGGGGCAAGCGGAGGGCCGAAACGAGGGGGACATGGGCTCGTACGAAAGGCTAGAAGATGGTCAGTAAATGGTCTGACATGCGGGCTACAGGAAACCAACCTGGGACAACATCTCTGGCGTCCATTTCGTCCTCGTATTCGATAAAGCCAAAGCCATTCATGAGCTTGACTTCCTTGACGGCACCAGCTCCGTGGCTTTTGAAGTGTTCCTCGACATCCTGTTTTGTGACTGGATTGGTTGAAAAGAGTAAAGGGTCAGCGCCTGGAGCATATCCTGAGTGATTGGGAGATCGTAATCCTAGGGAACTTGATACATGATTTCCTCGGTTGGTGCTACATGGACCAAGATTGACAGATTCTAGGGAAGACGCCAACCAAAAGAAAAGATCAGGTGGAGGTGAGCCATACTATTGTGAGGTAGATTGCCCAGGTATAGCCGGGTAGATGAAACGTCGGCCATTGTGGTGTTGGAACAGTCCCCAGGAGGATTCGTCAGGTACGGACAGAGTGAGGGTGGCCAGACAAGGTCGCTGAGAGTCGATGACGGCCAGCGGGAGACAGGGAATGGAGAGGCTCAGTAAAAGGCCCTCGTGCCAGCAAGGGGAATTTCGCAGATGTGACCCGGGGATGGACGCAGCTTTTGAATTGAAGATGGAACCGGACGACGAGATGGATGGAGCACCGATGGTGGGATGAAGAAGAGCTGAGGTTGAAATGCGGGTGGAGGAGAGGGAGATGCAGCCTAAAGATGCACGAAAGCCGCAGCCCAAGGCCAAGAGGCAACAACAGCTGCAATTGCGCTTACCGCCAAGCCTCCCGCGTGACCTTGAGAGAGAGGAGATACGAGGAATCGCTTCAGGAATCACGCGATAAATCCCTACATCAGGCATCGTATGGCCTAGAGCGTCTGCGGCTCAGCATCCGTTAACTACTAAGTCACCATAATTACACATGACAACGACGATAAAATTGGTGCAAGGTAGTACAGCCCATCTTCAGGATTGTTGCGATTGAATGGCACCGGAGAGTCAGAAACTCGACCGTATTGCCAAGATATATCTACTGCGGACCACATCACAGAAGCCGACATGTTAATTGTCCTTTGTGTCCGCTCAGGTCACTATTTCTTCCATCACGATAATCAACTCATATACAGTGGTGCACGCTGAATGAGAACCTCATTCCAGCCGTCTGGTGGTGCTAATGAGCGCCGTCTGGGAGCAATTATTGACATCCGCCGTCTCAGGACTTCAACAGCCAATTCCACAAGATCCAATCTCTGAATGCTCCAGTCATGACTATTCAGAACTCCGCAGGCGGGCTTCAGACCTTTTCGCCCTAGCTGATGAGAAGCTACACACTTTCCCCTTCAAGGATGTCAAACCTTGCTGGTTCAGACTTTATACCGATGCCAGCATTGCTCTGGCATTGGGCATCATTGACCGAATTGTCGACTCCAAATCAAGTGATCCAGGTTTGGAGTATATCGACAAGATCGTCTCGACTCTTGACATGGCTCTGATCATGGCAGGTGGGCTAGGACGCGAAGATCTAATTGGCCGAATGCTCGAAAACGTCAACTCTGCCCTTCAGCAAGATGAACCCGAGGCTTCACACCCGGCGAAACGACCACGTCTTGGCCAAGAAAAGGATTCTTCGAGGGCTTCAAGACAGGTCTTGCCAACGGACGAGATCTCTGTTCCTGCACTTAGCCATCAAATTCCTCGGCGTAAAACGCCTTCTCTCACCCAGTTTGAAAAGTACATGAACGAACAGCGACAACCTCTCATCCTGGAAGGGACTATGGAGCACTGGCCCGCTCTACAAAGGTGGAAGCTAATTCCATATTGGCTTGACCAAACAATTCAAGGACGACGGCTGGTGCCGATTGAGATAGGTCGCAGTTACACTGACGACGATTGGGGCCAAAAGATTGTCCCATTCAAGAAATTCCTCCACGATTTCATCCTCCCAAAGCTCGAAGACAGTGATCAATCCTCCCAGGATCGTCAGACTGGGTACCTTGCTCAGCACAATCTACTACAACAGATCCCTTCCCTGCGCAACGACATTGTGATTCCAGATTACTGCTACCTGGATGCACCAGGCCCAGAGCCTGGCACACCAGTTGCCCTGAGCAAAGCCAGACAATCCGGCGAAAAAGACAAACATGATCACACAAGACCTGCCACTACCGATGATCCGACGACCAATACTCCTGACGACGAAGATCTGGGCTCTGATGTCCAAATGAATATATGGTTTGGGCCCGCCTGGACCATTTCTCCCTTGCATCATGATCCATACCATAACATCCTATGTCAAGTTGTGGGTAAAAAGTACCTGCGTTTATACGCTCCACAGCACAGTAAATCTCTATTTCCTAGACCTCAGGATGAGCCCGCACCTCATATATCCCAGAAAGAGTTCTCCAATAAATTCAACGGCATGAACACCGCAGCTGAAACCATCGACATGTCCAACACATCAGAGATTGATATCGCTGCAATGGAAACCTCACCCCACGAAGACTGGGACGAAGTGTACCCCGGTATCAGCCAAGTACCATACGTGGAGTGCATTCTAGAGGCCGGGCAAGCACTTTACATCCCTGTCGGCTGGTGGCATTACGTTCGCAGTTGCTCGGTAGGCATTAGCGTCAGCTTCTGGTGGTAATCTCCCAACTGCAGTGGAAAAGTATGACTCCCTAGATACACAGCAACATCGCAGCCTCGGAAGCTTGTCTGGCCGATTGGTGCGTCGTTTGTGGTGTGATGCATCAATCCTGTGCCCCCACAGACCGGGGACTTTCGTCAGATCACCATCGGTACCAAAGTCGCGCTTGATTCGCCGGTTCCGAGGTCAGCAGTACTACCATGCACATCGGCACGTGTGCAAAAGGCAAAGACCTGCACGCTAAGGATTAAAGCTTGAGGCGCCAAACCGTGGTATCCGCATGTTCTACCCTGTTCTGGGTAACGTGCGCCCACGTTGTTTGAGACTTGGAAATGGTTATCTTCCCATCCTGGATTGCATCCTATCATCCAGCTGCGATTGTCTTGGAGCTTATCAGTACGAAGGACGAACCTGGGCTGCGACCTGTTTAGCTTGACAGCATGGCGGACTTGTTGTCGAGATATAAGTATGGGGAAGCCTCCTGCGGATGGTCAAGCTTATCCTGCTTTTGTGGATGCTTATCTTGGGTATAAGCAATTTCTGGCATAACCAAGCCTTTGCCCAGCACCACAACTGACGCACAAGGATCCGCCCCCGCAACGAAGTCATTCCCACGACTTGGCTGTACAGTCAGCCAGCACGTCTGGGTTCAAGATGGTCGACACCGAGACAAACGATGCCACCCAACGTAGCATGTCCAAAGATGAAGGCCGACTTCGAGAATTGGGTTACAAGCAAGAGTTGAAACGTGACTGGTCCATGATTCACAATTTTGGTGTTTCTTTCAGCATCATCTCCGTTATCACTGGTATCACCACATTGTTTAGCTATGGACTGAACACAGGTGGCCCTGGAGTCATGTCTGTGGGATGGATAATCGTCAGCTTCTTCACCATGTTTGTAGGCTTGGGTATGTACCGACCCCAGCTCGACTTGCTGCACCATTGTCTAATGGATGAGACCAGGAATGGCCGAAATTGTCTCTGCAATTCCAAGTGCAGGAGGCCCATACTTTTGGTCTGCGATCCTTGCGCCTCCGAAATGGGCCCCGTTTGCTGCGTGGGTTACAGGCTGGTTCAATTTACTCGGCCAGGTGGCTGTGACAACGGGTATCACATTCGGCGGCGCAGGCCTCATCTCCACCCTGGCGAGCATTAACGGTTATGAGCCCAGTGCTGGTCGAACCCTAGGCATCTACGCTGCGATGCTCTTTTCTCATGGCATCGTCAACTCGTTTGGCGTCCACATTCTGCGTTACCTGAATAATGCATCGATTATTCTTCATTCACTGGGCGTCTTTTCGTATGCCGTGGCAATCATTGCAAAAGCACCAACACATCAAAGTGCTAAATTCGTGTTTGCGACATTCTACGATGGTACTGGAGATCCAGGATGGTCTGTCCGCGCTTCCCCTGCTTATGTGGCATGCGTCGGCATCTTAATGAGCCAGTACACCATCACTGGGTTTGACGCCAGGTTCGTACAACTTGTCCGTTAATTGGATGTCTTGTTGCTAACCTGACTCCAGCGCTCACTTATCGGAGGAAACTCGCAACGCATCTTGGTCGGCTCCCATTGGCGTGTTGATGTCGATTGGCTGCTCGGCGGTCTTCGGCTGGTTCCTGATCCTGTGTCTCTTATTCTCGATACAAGATTTTGACACAACCATCACATCCGAATATGGCAACCCAGTGCTTCAAATTCTCGTCGATTGTTTTGGACACGACTCCGCCATCGTTCTGTTCGTGCTGGTTATTGTATGCGTGTGGCACTGCGGTCTATTCAGCATGACGTCAAATTCGCGCATGATGTTCTCGTTTGCACGAGACGGAGGGATTCCCCATTTCTTCCACAAGGTGGACAAACGGTTCCGGAGCCCGATCCGCACAATCTGGCTGGCTGCGTTTCTTTCATTCCTCCTTGCTGTGCCTAGTGTCGGATCGAGTGTCGCCTTTGCTGCCGCGACCTCAATCGCCACCATTGGGCTGTACATCTCGTATGGACTTCCTATTCTCATTGGAATGGTCAATCCAGAAGGGTTTGTTCATGGTCCTTTCAACCTCCGCTGGTTTTCACGACCCGTGGCACTCATTGCGTGTCTCTGGATTGCTTTTATCAGCATCATCTTTTGTCTCCCCACGGTGAACCCCGTCGACAGCCAGACACTCAACTATACGCCAGTTGCGGTTGGTGTGATTGGGTTCTGGTGTTTGGCAAGCTGGGGACTGTGGGCACGCAAGTGGTTCAAAGGACCGATTCGACAAGTCGAGGCAGAACTCGCAGGGGTCAATGTGGATGATCCAGATGCCATGGACCGTGCCGAAAGGGAAGGCAAGGTGCCTGAGATTGATGCCATCACCAACAGCCCGGCAGCTGGGAAGAGTTTATTAGCGTCATTGAAACAAGACTACAAGGGGTAATTGTTTGGACAGTATTCGAGAAGGGTCACTCTTGCTATACTGTATGACGGTCCCAGATGGTGTCGGTCAACACACGATCAGGCGAATAGAGTCGGACAATCGCAGCTGGACAAGCGGCAGAGCATAGATGTTTGCTCGAGATATCTTAGTTACCTCGAATCATTGCCTGTTCCAGGTCCTGAGAACCATTTCTTTTCTCGGCTTTTGTGTGAATGCAAGTTGGGCAGGTGCATCCGTCAATGGGTTCACAAGGAAGGTGCTATTGTGATACATGTACGACTTTGACTCAGTTGGTCGCGGTTGCCTTTGGAATCAACACAGGAGAACTTTTGCAATCCAAGTCGGATTCCTCGCTCTTGATGGCTGCAGTTTGACAACACCAACTATTTTGCTCTTATTGCTCTCTTTCCAGGCATCATAATCAAACGAATCTTTTTAGATAAAGAAGGATCCTGATCCGTCCCAATAACGGAATATATGCTACAATGGCAGGCAAAGTTAACATGGACGACCTACAACACCTCCCAGCTCAAGTAGGTGTTTCTGACGCTGCCTTCGAGATAAAGTCGAATACGGTGGCCTCAAAGTCATGTCCCGAATTCACTCCAGAAGCATATCCTCCTCTTCCCTCCAACCTTGAGACAGTACAATTGCCAATAATCTCCATCGACGATCTTGCAACACCTTTTCCTGACAAAGACTCTACCTTACGCCTCTTTGAAGCATGCAAATCACCAGGCATCTTCTATCTCAAACCTCCAGCAAAGATGAGTCACGAACGGGATAACTTGGTTGCCCGCGCCACCGAATGGATCACAAAACTTGAGCCAGCATTCCATCTGCCAGTTGAAAAGAAGAGGAAGTATAATTTCATTGACTCGACAAGGATATTCGGATACAAGGAGGTTGGGGCCACTGTGGTAGATGATGTTGGCACGGGAGATACATCAGAATTTTGGAATGTAAGACACTTTTTGGTAAGAGATGATGCAAAATTGCTAATGCGTCTTTATAGATTTCCAAAAATGAGTTACTCAAGAAGCAGTCTTTGCCCTCCGTACACTCAACCATGGCTGGGAGATACCCCGACATCATTGAGGACAACAGTTCGAGCTTAGTGGACTTCATGCAAGATTGTCATCTGCTATGTATGACCATCTTGTCAGCGATAGAACAAGAGCTCGGTGTCCGGCATGAGTTGCAGATGAAACACGAATTCTCCGACACGTCTGGTGACCATGTCCGCCTGGCCAGAGGTCCTGCCAGGGTGGGTCAAGAGATAGAAATTCAGACACCTGCTCATACCGACTTTGGAACCGTCACTCTTCTGTTCAATTGGCTGGGAGGGCTTCAATGGCGAGATCCAGCTGACCTCAAATGGAAATGGGTTGCTCCAAAACCCGATCATCTTCTAGTGAATCTAGGTGACGCAGCCTGCATTTTCACTGGAGGTTTGTGCAAAGCCCCCGTCCATCGAGTGGTGCCGGCTCCTGGAGCACAAGGAAGCTATCCACGATACTCACTGGGATACTTTCTCCGGCCAGGAGATAAGGTCATATTAAACAGGCTGTGCGCGCCGACAATACCACAAGGGTTACCGATGCCAGGGACGGGCGTGACAGCGGAGAGATGGATAGCTATAAAGGCAGAAGGACTTGGCATTGGTCGACAAGTATTGGAAGACACAAACAGCCGCGGCCAAGGTTGACGTTTCCGTAGGAGATCTATGGCACGAGAAGATTTAGGCAGTCATGATATTCCAAGCAACAAGCTGACAAACGTGATCAGGCACCAGAAAACGGGTGGAAGCACTAAATGAGAATATGGGCTGAGATCACGGGCGCCTGTTTAGGCATGAGGTCTGTACCGAATACGTCGCATTGAGGATTGGAAATTTGAAGTCAGGGCGGAGACATGGCATGTGTAGAGGAGGCCGTCCCATAATGGTGGAGGGGGACGTGACAACGGCCCTCGGGCCAAAATTCCAGGCAGTGAGGAATTAAAAGCATTCATTCTAGAAGAAGGGCTGGTCGTTTACTAGGCAGACGATCTGAGCGTGTAATCATCATCGTCGTCAGCATAACAGGCTTGTCTCGCGTCATCCGCGCCTCTAGATAACAGATCGCATCAGAGATGTGGAACCAAATGATGGATATTGACGGTTGAAATCCATGCTGAATACGAATATCCAGCCCAACTTCAACAACAACACATGCATTGAATGAATTGATTTGGTGGTCTACGAGTGAGAACACTAATCCCCTCAGAAATAAGCCTTGAGGCCACCCTCGTGGACAGTCCCCCATTCCATCTCAGTCCCCCTCCCCCCCCTCCATCCCCTCCTCATCATCATCCTCCACTTCATCTCACGGCTAGGCAAGCCATGATCCCTGGTCCGAGGCACCAGTGGACCAATCATGATCATCTCCGCACACAAGTCTCGTAACCCCCCTCAATAGGTACCAAGAACCAGGTACGAGTAAGTCGGATGATATTAGGCCCGTCAGGTGTTAATATATATATCTCTCTGCAAAACTGGAAGGGGAGTTGTCCTAAATTGATTAAGAAGAAGGACTATTGAAATTTTGGTCCGGTAAGAGAGATACTACTGCTGACGAGAGGTGATGAATCTTTCTCACTTTCTCACTTCCCATCAATCTTACGGTTACGATTACTATTCATCACCAGCCTCTGACCCTCGATTGCTCTACCCGACTTGTAGGGAAATTTCTTTCAACATTAGATCAACACCCAGCTAGACAGAAATACTCGAAACCAGGCACATTCACCTCAATTCACCTATCTCAAATCCATACCAACCAACCAACCACCAAAATGGGCTCCATCGGCACAACCACCTCAAAACGCCAAATCACCGACGACGACATCTCAACCCTCCGCACTCTCCTTGGATCCAGCGCCACCACATGTCTGCACACGCCCGAATCCACCGACTACACCAACTCCATTAAACGGTGGTCAGTCGCGGCTCAAAAACCCGCTGGCGTCGTCCTAACGCCCACCACGAACGAAGAAATCGCCATCGCGGTGAAATACGCCGTTTCCAACGGCATCGACCTCGCCGTTAAAGGCGGCGGACACTCCACCGCCGGCGTCAGCAGCACCTCCGGCGGCCTATTAATTGATCTGAACGCCAAACTCCGCTCCGTCACCGTCGACATGACCAAAAAACAACTTCGCATCCAAGGCGGCGCCACCTGGGGCGAAGTCGACCAAGCCGGCGCCAAACATGGTCTCGCTACCGTAGGCGGTACAGTTGCAGATACCGGTGTCGGAGGATTAACCCTCGGTGGCGGATACGGGTTTCTCAGCGGTCAACGAGGTCTTGTCATTGATAATCTCGTCGAAGCCACCGTTGTGACTGCATCCGGTGAGATCGTGACTGCTAGTAAGACTCAAAACGCGGACTTATTCTGGGCTCTGGCTGGTGCGGGACAGAATTTCGGTGTTACGACGGAATTTGTCTTGCAGGCGTATGAGCAAGGTGATGTATGGGCTGGATTATTGATCTTCCCGCCTGTGAAGGAGGTGGTGGAGAAGGTTGTGGCTGCGATTAATGATCTCTATACCGCTGATGCGAATGGTGTGACGAAAGTCGCGGGCCGGGGGTGTGGTGGGTTGGCGCTCATGCGTCCACCTCCCGATCATGCCCAGGTGGTCTTGGGTGTACAGGTCATTTACTTTGGGACGGAAGAGCAAGGGAAGGAAATGTTCAAGTCGTTATATGAGATTGGGCCGCTGGCGGATACCACGGCGGTGGTTCCTTATCCAACGGTGAATAACCTGTTGGCTCCGCCGATTGGCATGAGAGCGAGTATGAAGGGTGCGGCGTATGCGATGCCGATTCGGCCGGAATATGTCAATGAGATGGTGGGTGAGTTTGTGCAGTTTACGGATGGGAATGATGATGCAAAGGGAAGTATTCTCATGTGGGAATTGTATGATGCGGCGAAAGTGGTGCAGTTTCAGGATAACGGCAGTTTTGCGAATAGGGGTTGGCATTTAAATGGGTTGATTTTGCCCATGTGGACGAAGGAAGAGAATGATATGAAATTCAGGCAGTGGGCGAGAGATATGAATGAGAAATTCAAGAAGGAGTTGGAAATTGCGGGACTTGAGGCTGGGAAAGGGGTTGAGGGTGGTGTGGGTGTGAGAGGTTCAAAGGGGGCGGTGTTGTTGTATGGGAATTATGATCGTGAGTACTTCCTTTCTTCTCTTTGTATGAACATGCAGATGACTGACGGGATCAATGCAGAATATGATGAAAAGTCTCGCGACATCTTTGGCGACAATTACCCCAGGTTGCAGAAGTTGAAGGCAAAGTATGACCCTACCAATGCCTTTGATAAGCTGTTTGCAATCACTCCGGCCGCTTGATATGGGTTCTTTGACTAGAACGAAGGGTCAGATCTGTCAGAGATAGATGATGGCACCGTGATAGACCAGACAAAACTGAAGAAAAGAAACCTCTTTTGAATCATTTGAATGTTTGAATGGCGTAATGTATTCAATGCTGGCCTTGATAGACGATCATATCACAGCCACATACTAATGTCGTCTTATTTAATCCTAGACACCAACTTGGCTCGTCATCCTAGTCAATGCCATGATTGACACCTTCTTCTAATCCATCCTTCAATTCGTGTCTGACAATACGCCGTGCAATCCTGACAAATTTGAGCCCTCAACACCGACCGGCCGACCTGGCTTGATGCTAAACGCTGAAAGAAAGACCGCAAACATGGTGAACGTGAGGCTTGACAAGTTGGCAATGGTAGCAGTCTTGGTACAGTGGCGGTTCAGAACTCAATCATCCCAGCTCTTCTCCACAGTTTCTCGCACACGCTTAGTATATTCCTTACGATTATCCTTGTAGAGGTTGCTGGCTTCGACATTGGCAGGAGAAGAGGTATTGGGATCATTGAGGAGCGATTGGATGCTGGTGAGAATGGCGGCGACATCGTAGGTAGGGGACCATCGGTTCTGTAGGATATCAAGACAGAGTTCGCCGGTGCCGTAGACGTTAGGGTGGAACATCTGAGAGACAAATTTGACACCGGGAGGTTTGTTGGGATACGCTTCTTCGAATTGCATGACTAGGCGAAATGTACCATCTTCAAAGGGTGTGTCTGCTGGTCCAATGATGACAGCGTTCCTGCGCAGTTGGATTAGTGGAAAGTCGATTAGAACGCCAGAAGGGTATCCTTACCAAGTCATGACATTGTCGGCGATGGGAGAGGCAGATACACCGGCTGGAGGGTCTGTTTGCATACGCTGGTGAAGGTCAGTCTCGAAGGTAGTCAAGGGTAGAAGAGGGAAAGGTGGCACGAGGCATTCAGCTTTCTTTGGTGGGCAACTTACTTTGAAATCTCTCATTAAACGCCTCCTGGCTGATGTCGACATGATGGGAAGTGATGAAAGGATGTACAGTGACGTTGGGTGCGCTCGTGTAAGGTGACTCAATATCCAAGGGCGATTTGGCTGGGAAGATGGAAGGGACGTTGCAGACAGTTGCAGGCTGAATTCGACGAGCAAAGGATCTTCCGGAGAGTACGGGGAAGAGGAAGTTGATTGAGAGGGAGATGTTGAGATATAGAGGGACAGAGTTTATAGAAGCTGTTGTCGGTGGCGGTGGTGAGTGAATGTATGAAGAGAATCAATGGCGGGCGGCGGGGTGTGAAATCAATTGCCTGAGAATCTCAGCCTCGTCTTGACTGTTTGCCGCAGTCGTGATTGCCTCATAAAGCAGAACAAGGCTCCAGCACGCAATAGGGAGGATACATTGCCATCTAACCACCAAAGTTGGACTTGCTGTATTTGGCTAAAGTTGCCATTGCTGCTTTTATACCACGTGATAATCTCCATTTTTCTCTTCCTCTTCTCTTCTCCCTTTCTCTCACAAACCCCATCTCGGCCCGTGGGGCTCTGCTTCTTTGGCTGTGCTTCTCTCTCCCTCACGGACGGCGGCCCGTCGTCTATGCCATCTCTCACTCCATTGGTTCCCGACAATGCCGAGGTACGAGCACCGCCGTTGCAGCCCCTAAGAGCTGGAAATTCGGGGATATTCGCGCTTGGGAGATGGTATGGAGTACCATGGACCGTAACCCCATTTCCTTCCGAAGAGAGGCTTCTCTGACTCGTAACTGTGGTCAGGCTCGCTCGCTTTGCCCGCCGATTCGGATCCGAAACGTGCAAAAAACAACCCCCAAGGGACAGTCATTGCTTCGGAGACCAGTACGAGTCTAAGGAGTATGAGGAAGATGATGGAGCTTACATCTATGGCGCAACCTCCCTGTATTTATCATCTCGTCAAATCCATCTGTTGGTTTTTTCATCTTTAGTCACTGACTCCTGACGCCAACGGTAATTCGCATCCGTAACCGCACCGGGGCCTCTCCGCCATTCCCCGCTCGACCAACCAGCTTCACATGCCCATTCATCCCTGCCATTGAAATATACTTGACCCGTCAATTCTGACCTTTCTCACTCTTTCAATCCTTCAACCTGGCTTCCACAACTTCTGACTCGGCCACAATGCCTTCCCTCACTTCCTCCACCATTCGAGCTGCCTCGAAGCTGCAGTCTTCAGCTGTCGCCGGCGCTCGTCTCTCCCAAATGCGTTCGCATTTCAGCACCACATCGCCCGCTAGACAAATTCAAGACGCCTACATTATTTCCGCCTCGAGAACTCCAACTGCCAAATTCAACGGCTCCTTCGCCAGCGTCTCCGGCCCTCAACTCGGTGCTGTCGCCATTAAATCCGCCGTCGAAAAGTCAAAAGTTCCCATTGAGAAGATTGGAGATGTCTACATGGGCAATGTCCTGTCCGGTGGCGTAGGTCAAGCTCCTGCTCGACAGGCCGCCATCTTCGCTGGTCTTCCCAACACCATCGAAGCCGTGACCGTCAACAAAGTCTGCTCCTCCGGTCTCAAGGCCGTTGCGCTCGCCGCTCAGAACATCCAACTCGGTCTGGCCGAAGCACAAGTCGCCGGTGGATTCGAAAATATGTCTCGCACCCCCTACTTCCTTCCTCGCGCTGCCCAGAACCCAGCCTTTGGCCATATGCAGCTGAAAGATGGCCTGATCGAAGACGGTCTCTGGGATGTCTACAACCAATTCCACATGGGCAACTGCGCCGAGAACACGGTCAAGAAGTTCAAAATCTCTCGTGAGGCTCAAGATCAATACGCCATCCAGAGTTTCGAGCGTGCCCAGAAGGCCTGGGCTGAGAAGAAATTCCAAGACGAGATTGCCCCTGTCACCATCAAGGGCAAGAAGGGCGACACCGTCATTTCCGAAGACGAGGGATACCAGAACCTCAAGAAGGACAAGGTCGCCACCTTGAAGCCAGCCTTTGTCCGTGACGGCTCCGGTACAGTCACTGCCGCCAATTCCTCCACCTTTAACGATGGCGCCAGCGCCGTCGTCCTGGTCAACAAAGCCCTGGCTCAGCAGTATGGAAAAGACAGCCGAGTTCTTGCACGCATCGTGAGCTCCGCCGACGCTGCCATGGACCCAGTCGATTTCCCCATCGCCCCATCCAAAGCCGTCCCCATTGCTCTCGAACGAGCCGGTCTCAAGAAGGAGGACATTGCAATCTGGGAGTTCAACGAAGCCTTTGCTGCCGTCATCAAGGCTAACGAACAGGTAAGACCGACCTTTCCTTTCTCAACCTACCGCCCATTTTTGAGACATATATATACTAATAACCATTATCTAGATCCTCGGCCTCGAAAACGCCAAAGTCAACCTCCTCGGTGGCGCCATCTCTCTCGGCCATGCCCTTGGCTCATCCGGATCGCGAATCCTCACCACTCTCCTCCATCAACTGAAGCCCGGCGAATACGGCGTTGCAGCCATCTGCAACGGCGGTGGCGCTGCAACCGCCATGGTTGTCCAAAGAGTCGAGAGCGTCGAATAGACGAGTCACATGAAACCGAAACAAATCAACTCTTTTGGGAGGCACGGGGCGGGGGGGGACGGATGCCGGATGCCGGATGACGGACGATGCAACTCGAAAGATGATGAAAAACCCACACAACGTCCCAAACAGTCGGAAAAAGGTGGAGACAGAAACCCAATTTCCGAATCTGATTTTAGAGACTGGTACGGTACGGCACGGCATGTACAATAGGTATATTGATGTGCCTTTGCCGCGATTTCCCCGTTCCCCGAATTTTGTGGCATAAAAGCGCAGGAGTTGGGAAATTTTTGTGTGATTGATAGCAAATGGATGTTCCAAATGCAGGAGGGTAGTAAGTAGATTACTACCCTTTTTGAATGTTTCGGCATCTAGTGTATATACTCATACACAATATAAAGACACAAATAAACCTGTCTATAAACACATATCCGTATGATAGTAAATGATCTATAGAATCCAGGAGATGTGTGAACGATGTTGAACTTCTTTCAATGACACCTGAGGGCATTGCAGATGGACTTGGCGGGATGCTCGATGCATTCAAGTTGAATCGAATCGTATCAGGAACAGAAACAGAATTAGAGACAAAGAGGTGGTACATAGATAGATAGATAATCCACCAGTCAATGCATGGCCAGGCCAGCCAGCCAAGAATGAATGGTAAGTAGTAATTCTCGTGGATATATGTACAAAACATATGATATGATATCCTCTCCAAGTCCACCCAATCCTCCCACCCATCCCATACCTCGCCTTTAGAAGTAGACAATAATGAAGTATAGATCGAATAAGATGATTGAGTAGAAAATGAGATAAGACGAGATATTTCTACTGCCGAAGCTGTTCGGACAGGATGACACCTTTGGAAAAAATGCGAAGGAGAAAAAAAGCCCAACCAGATTGATTGATTGATAGATTCATCATCGCCAACTGACGGTTCCGCTAGCAGAGAGGCTTGCGTTGCGTGCGTACATGTGTGTGAGAGGGTGGAATCCGACTCGACTCGACGGTCGGTAAAAGCAAAAGCAAAATCTTGGTATCAAGTGAAAGGGGAAAAAAAGAAACAGATCCATGGTTCATCATGGTTCAAGTTCATGCTTGGACCTGCAATTTGAGAGTAAGAGGAGGACGTCATCTTCGTGTGGCTCAACAGCAACAAGGTCAAAATCAGCTCACGGAGCTGACCATTTCCATCTTTCTCAGGGATTTCTTGCGTAGAACCCGAGAGTTGTGCTTGCCCGGCACAGTCAGGACTCCGATTGCATTCTCCCGCTCCTCGCTCGAGACCACCGGCGTCTCTTGTGGGAGATTGGCCAGGAACGAGTCCTTGTGGTTCTGAGTTCGGGGTGTCAAAGGCGTCGATGCATCGTGTAGGTTGGCTCGGGATAACCAATAATCTGGAATTTGTGATTCGTAGACGATGCCACTGGGTCCAATGCTGGCTGTTGATTTGCGTTTCTCGGTCGTCGAGTCGATCGTCTGTGTGCTGCCACGTCTATCTACGATAGACCTTCCTTCTGGAACTTCTGCATGATTATTGGTTGGTTGGCGGTAGGAAGGTGATGGAACGACACTCGACTGAAACGATGTGTATGCAATCGGTTTTGGCACTGCTATGCTCGGGTGTCGAGATGTAGATCTTCGCTTGCTGAGCTTTTGTGGGCCGTGTGTTGAACGTGTATGAGCAGCATCGGCAGTCTTGGGCCGTACGGGCTCAAAGGGAGAAGTCTTGTTCGTCTCAGGAAGGTCTGAAGATAATCCAGACATACTACGGCGATTGTACCGTAATGCCGGCAGGGGTGGAATAGGGACGTTGGGAGTAGATGGAGGATGGGCTTGAAGGGGAGATCTATTCGAGAAGTTTTGGAATTCGGGGGTGATTGGAGATACTGCGGATTTTCTTGACCCTGACCTTGAGTCCATAACGGGACCTGGTAAGGGGGTTCTGTCCAAAGGATCGATTGCTGCAAAGTGGGAGGAGCGAGTCGATGTTCTCCTTGGAGGATTGACTATCATGGATTGATGAGGTGAGGTCTCTTCAATAAGCGATAGTACATTTTGGGATCTCTGGGCCAATGGTGATGAAGGGGTTCTGACAAAAGATCGGGAAAAATTGATGGTAGGCCTCATTTCGGAAGGAGATGGCGGAGAAGGCGAAGATGATGGAAAATTGAGCTCGGTGACTCTGGTGAGGGCATCTTTGGGCTTTTCTGGAGTTCGTGTTGGGGTGGCAGAGCGAAAGTCACGGCGGGTGGCTACGCTCGTGGCCCTCGATGAAGGTCTGGTGGTGAAAATGGATGCTCCGTCCACCTGTGACATTTGTTCCTGACGAGACTGTGATCGGTCGACGACTGAATTCCACCATTCAAATGGGCTTCTCCGACCGGCCATGGTGGACTCATTGTCTGCCAGCAGACCAAACTGTTTGGTGCCGAACATGGACCCCGTCAAAGAGAGATGCTGAGAGGTAGGCACCATGCGTCCTCGTCGGACGGTCATGCGTCGTGTTGGGCCGGTAAAGCCATCCCAGTCGGCCCTCCGGGCACGACGACGTTGTAACCAGCATCGCCAAAGAACAGCACCTGTAGCAACCAGAATACCAGAGCCGATGACGATCAAGAGGATGAATAGCCAAAGCGGAAGACCTGTGTTGAGGAAGGTGGTCGTCATGAAGAGGAGAGGCTTTGTAGCAGTGGCCAGCACATTTGGTCGATCAGTCGGAATTTGCCTGCAAAATGGAGATGTGCAAAGAGTTGACGGACGTCGTGGCAGTTCCGAGAAGGTCAGTGCTGGGATGATATATCTTTCAAAGGACGATCTTGCTGCAGTCCTGACGACAAAATGCCATGAGGTATGGGGGACGGCGGTGTGGCCAAGGGGAAACCCTTGGTGTAGGCCGAGGACAGAGTTGGGCGGGCAGGTATGTGACAGATATTGACAGCAGACTGACGGTTTGATGTAGGCGGGAGAGTTCCAGGCCGGCGCGGAAACAAAAGACGGCTTGGACGTTCGGACGTGCCGACTAGTGAAAGTATCAAGGCCACAGGCTTGAGAGGTGAAAGAGTATAATCGCCGTCGAGGCGGTATCAGTACCAGGAATGTGGAAAGAAACAATAGGCAAAGGAAACGAACAGTTGATTGACAAATGGAAGAAAGACAGTGATGCAAGAAGAGCACACGAGCGAGAAGAGGAGCAAGAGGCGAATGGAGAGCGAGTTGTGGGGGAACCAACGCGAGGATTCAATGCAGGAACGACGAGATGCACATGCATGCAGTATTAGCATCAGGATCGGGAACTGTTGTCATATTGTGGATGGATAGATGGCCAGATGGGTCATGTTGGCACCCACCCAGGACTCAGGAAGGAGAAGGAAAAGACGGTCTCGAAGCAGGGGAGATGCCTGGTGGAGGGTGGGAATGGTTTCGATGTGGGTACGAGGAGGGGCCATTTTGGGTCTTGGGACAGGAATGCTGGCCAAGTCAATTGGTGAAGCAGCGGCATGTCAATGAAGGATGGAAAGGAAATTGGGGCCAGGACTTGTAGACGTGGTCAAGCACGAGGAAGACTGACTGATTGACTGACGTATGTAGAAGTGGTCGTGGAAGATAATGGTTGGGCACGAGATGGGCAAGAATAACCATGGAGACAAGACATAAAGAGACCAGGGATGTGAGATTGGCATCACGATCGAGGGGTGAGATGGTGACGAAATGCCTGGGACACCTCGTCTAGTTCTCATTATGATTTTACAGTACGCATATCTTAGGAATGTAAATGAGTTGTGGTTGTCGAGCTTGAAAACATGATTCTACCTTATCCCACCAGTGATGATGCAGAGAAGCAAACTTGGAACAAAGATGGAGACATCAAGTGAAAGGCGGGAGGAGCGGGAGAACGGCAGCACGGACGCTGGACGGAGGTGGAGGAGGGGACGATGCGTTGGCACTGGAGCCGTAATGATGGACAGACTATACGAAGAGTGGTAGTTGGATTGATGAATGTCGAGGAGCAGACCTACTCTAGTTTTTGCATCGACATGTCATGGCGCAGGAGGATGAGTTGACACTATTTGCATGGAAGTGAGACTGACAGCAAAGCCAGAAGATACAGCGTGTTGGCTGGTGGTCCAATAATGAATGAATCTAACAAGAAGAACAAAGAGAGGCACGACGTGACTCGACAAAGACTTGACACGTCAGGCACACATCAGGTACAGTTTAGGCACCCGTCAGGCGCACGATATGCAGGAGAAAAGGAAGTAAAAGGAAAGGAAAGCTCCAAAGAGAGTTCAACCAGGACCTATGGGCCGATGGCTGCTTCCTTCCTCCCTCCCATCTGCCACCCACACCATCGCTCCTGCACCAGGCCCGCCACTAACAGGTTTATTGACAGTTGAACCGCTGCAGGTGCAAGTACTGGTGTGCCACTCTTTCCCTCATTGTGGCGGTCAAGATCGCCAGGAACAGGTGGGAGAACGGTTGCGGAGCCTGAGTGGACCTGACCAGGGGATCCTGAAACAGCCAGTGAGCAAGCCTATCATTGCTCCCTGCCCTACTCGTACCCATCCGTGCCTTGGCCTCTGACCACTTCCCACCAAAGCCTGACGGTGATGACAACCTGAGAGGCTTGAGAGACTCCTAGCTTGTGTTGTTCATGGTCAATGTGATTGGTGATACACCAACCCTTCAACAACCAACGGGACACTTGACTGATGGCTTCGGACAAAAAGTCAGGCGGGCAGTCTGACTGTGACATGGACGGAAACCGGCTTGGGGCGAGAAGATTCGCGTAGTAGCCTTGTTTTGTTTGCAGTGTTATCAACTAGCTTGTAGCTTGTTGTTGTCATTCAGGCCGACGAGCCACCAAGAATGCCTGCCGGATGGAAAGGTACGGCTAATGCCTCTCTCGCCTATCTTGAGATGAATTGCGTCGGAAGGTGGGGCGAAGGCCATGCTGAAACACTGAGAAATTCAAAAAAGTCGGTAGGCAGGTTATTAGGCATGGCTGGCAAGGCAGTCTCGACAGGCCTAAAGGTTAAGTCCATTCCTACCCCCCACCGCCCACAGTACAAACGTATGGGCATTAAACAAGCATTCGGTTTCGGCATAACAGCACCTACCGAATATCGGTGCTTTAACCAGATGACGATTAGTTACCGAAGGTACCTGACCTTCCCAATCATACCATAACCTTCACAGCTCAGTAACTACTACCTTAGGTACCTACCTAGGTACCCACCTACCATACCCATATCCATGCCCATAAAAAGTCCACCTCTAGGCTTCCTTCCACTCAGGCTTTCCTAGGTATCGTTTCACGCTGCCTGTTTCAAGCCTGACCTGAAACCTGGATCTCGTTGTCCTTGCGCAATAATGCGATCAATCGCCCATCTTCAAGCACGCATACGGAGTACAAGATGTATCGTACCACATCTGCACTATCTTTGGAATGTGCCTTGTCTCTCCCGTTTATACCTGCTGGAATGCTGGACGTAGGTCCCACTTAGATCGCTCATAGCCCACGTCGATGATAATGCAATGTCATACTTGGCCGATAGTACTCTCCTCACCAAGCGAGTTTATGCCTATCATACTATAGAGCTCGGTTGCATTGCCCTGAGAGCTCTGATTCTCACAAGGATTACCGAGCTGTTTTATCATCCTCTTGAATGTGTCATGTAGAGAAATTGGTCTTCATGGATATCCATCCCCACGAAAAATGGTCCACGCAGATGCGATGGGGCACGTGCCCGTTAGTGATCAACTTACCTTCTTCCACGCCTACTCCGTACCTATGTATACACCACGTGCCATCACCCAAGCACGGTCCCAGGCCAAGTCATCAAGCATGTCTGATACCTTTATCATCTGTCAGTACCTCCGTACTTTGTTTGAGCGGCTGAGCGGCGGATGAGGTGCGGCTGATACCCGCAAGATACAAGTTCTTTCTGTTACTGAATATTGATGCCTAAATCCGTCTTTGTGATCGCCTGGAGAAGGGCGTTCTAGGCCTCGGAGACCGACCCCCGGGGCCACTGGCGCCCCGATCCCCGCATTTTTCGTCCCTCTAGGCGCCTATACCTCGGCCAAGCTGCCCCCCTTGGTACCTAATCTATTCTTATTGGAGAGGTTACATCAACAATGAGCGGCTTATTCGCCGGAAACAGAACTGCAACCGCTTCAAACAAAGTCCGTGACGCTTTGGACTCACGACCTCCAACTTTAATCCACACACTTTTTCTCCTCATCAGCGTCATACTTTTCACAACATTCATAGTCAACAATCAAGTGAAACAACTGGTAGCCTTCGGACCAGCAACATCTTATCACCTTGGAGCCTTTGGTATTGTACTTGTCGACGCTGGGCTTCGACAACAGCCCCTGCGATTCCTCTCCTGGCACCACCCTCGTGTTGACGACGAGTCCACCTTTGTCTGCGTTGGACTGCCTTGGGTCTGTCTGTCAACAGCATGTCGTCGACAACGTGACCTCGCAACCTCCATCGATGACTACTGTTGCACTATAGGAACACTACGCCATCATCTGACAAAACTACGCTTCGGCTTCCCACCCGGTCACGCAGTTATCACTCCAAGCAATCACGCATTAATCGCAGCCATTTACAACACCATGACTAAACAACCAGCCGTCATAATTATTGCACGGTAAGTCTACCCTGATGTTCTCTTGTTCTCACAGCGACTAATACGCTTTGCAGACATGGCGCTCGACTCGATCAGGCAGACCGCAATTGGGTTCTGGATGCCCAAAAACCCTACGACCCGCCTTTGTCTTACAGCGGTTGGATGCAGTGTCAGACTCTCGGCGTGAGAATCAACAACGAGTTACACAACCTCGACAGCGCAGCTGGCCGCGGCCGGTCGACCTCACAGAAAGGCGACACTTCCCCTGAAGACGATCCACCACCCCCGAAGAAACGCAAGATCATTATCCACTCTTCCCCTTTTACAAGATGTATACAAACTTCGGTGGCAATTGCCGCTGGCATCCAACATCCGCAAAATCACACAGGACCCCGATATAGGAGCCGACCGCGATCCTCTCGATCTGCATTATCTCCCACCGAACAGCCAGACCCTATCTCCCAAACACCTGAGCCTGAACCCAATTCCCTCCGTCGAACCTCCAGCAAAGATCGGCAGAGCACAAATCGTCTTGGATACAACACTTGCCTTCTTCGAATTGACGCCTTTCTCGGAGAGTGGCTTTCCCCAGGCTACTTTGAAAATGGACCTCAACCACCCCCATCAGCCGTTTTGACCTCCGAGGCCAAGTTCATGCTGCAAGAGCCTCAAGAGGAGATCAAAGGCGCCGACCTATCACAGTCATTCTCGTCCGACATGTCATCGGTCGATGGAGAAGAAAAGGAAAATGCCCCGTCATCAACGTCCACCCAAGAAAAGACTGGATTGAGGGCGATGGCGGCGGCTGGTCATTCATTTCCCAAGAGGGCACGCAACATTTCATTCGGCACCGAACTTGCCAACGGCGCTCGAATACTCAATCGAGCCCTACGACAAGCCGTAGGGTATACGCCTCCAATGCCAAACTACGCCATAGCCGCCTCTGCCAACATTCCGCCTGGCTTTGTGGCTCATGCTAGGGATGGGTGTATCCAACTCGACAAAGATTGGGACAGCCAAAACGAGCCATTGAATTGGGGAGACGGCGGCCCATTTGGAGAGGAGTGGAGTAGCATGCACCGACGATTTCGAACCGGTTTCCAGAAGATGGTGGATTACTATGAAAATCTTGGTAGTTCGGACTCTGCTGACGCCGGCGAAGACGATATTGTCCTCGTGTTGGTCACTCATCAGGCTGGCTGCAACGCCCTGATCAGGCTTCTCACCGGCGCTCCAGCTTTACATGATATTGGCACAGCGTCTCTGACCCTTGCTGTTCGACAGCCCAATGTTGAGGCAAGCGCCAAAACGGCAGTGTCTCCAACTAGAAGGAGGGGCTCGCTGGATTGTGGCTTCGCCGACGACTATGATGTCAAAATCATAGCGTCAACCGACCATCTTCGTGCCCCTTCGAATCCACTGGGGCTGAATTCACCGCGACTGGGAATCTCTCCAGCCCTGGCGAGTCGACGAGTGGTAGGGGCTGACTCGCCAGAAGGACTGAGCCTTGGGGAGCCTCTGACATCACGTGGGTCCAGTGGCCCCAGCCTGACTCGAAGTCTAAGTCAAAGGGCGTCGATCGCCGAAGGGATGCCATTGCCTGCGAATCCTACAGGCTTGTGGCGACGAGGTAGTCGATACTCTCGCGACGAGTCGCCAGACCCGAGCGACTCGGGTGCTACGAACAGCGCTCGTAGCGGCACAACGTCAGAGAGCATCCCAGAAGAGCATGGGGGCGGAGCAGTTTCGGACAAATCAAAGCTCAACAATCAGCTCCTCCCCGTTAGAAGTGCCAGTCAACGCGGGCTGTGGGGCGGGGAGGCAATCACTAGAGACCGAAGCCCTGGTAAGCGAAGATGGACTGCGGTGGAGAGGTCACCTTGAAAGGCTAGCTCGTTATCAGGGCTGCATAGTTACGATTCTTGGATAGACGTACCCGCGGCAGTGTATCATCCCACTGACTCGACATGCAAGCGAATAAAAGCAAGCGGATAGTGTAATAATAAAAATGCGGAGTCGATTGAAACTTTTCTCTAAGGTTCTTGTCATATATTGATGGATCCTCGGATTTCCTCATAGGTAGAAGTGAAAAGTCCGTGTTGTCGTCGTGGTTCTTACAACATCGTGGCAGAAGTCTGTCATTAAAGACAGAATAGAATGAGGCTCCTCAAGCTTGATTGTTTACCTGTGCAGACAAATTCGTGAATGCAAGAGTTCAGGGGAAAGTCTGCCGACTATGTATATATTTATTCTCGTATTAAACGAATTTTAGAACCTTTTGACCGCCTTCAAAGTCACAAGACAATATTCTCAATTCATTCTCCACTGTACAAATGATGTTGCAACCAGGATCTCAAGCGAAGAGGCTTATTGCTTGGCCTGTCTTGGTACCTCCTATATCCATTCCTCCCGTTACATGGAAGAGAAGGTAGATATCGCATGACAATTGATTACTCCGGACGCTCCCTGGAATAGGCGAGGCTGAGTTAAGGTAGGCGGCCAGGGGTGATAGTCACGTGATTGAGAGACCCCAAAACGTGGTCCGTGGCCTGCGAGCATTGACCGTTGATCGAGTTGCATCATCGATCGATCGGTCAAGATGATGATGTTGATGCTGCTTGCTACAAGATTTGTTCTCCAAATCCCCACAGTCAATGCTTTGTTCGCTGATATACGGAGTATACTGACGTGCCAGCAGATCAAAAAGATGTAATCCGCCAGTCACGTGAGAGGGATATGATAAGAAAAGTGGTTCGATTGATAACAAAGTCACCAAGTCAACCTTGGAACAACTCAATTGCCCCTCACTATCGCCCAGAGCCCAACAATAATACATCTATTTATCCTTTTTGATCTGCGGGATCCGACACGAGGCTCCTGGATCTTTCAATTCCACCTAGGACCTCATTTTGAAAAATTTGTGCCACAGAAGGCGGTACAACTTCTATCAATCACATCGATATCACCCAACGATCACATCATCCACCGCCCAAACCACAAATAGACAACAACATGGGCTCCATCCCCACCTGGAAAGAAACCGCCCAACTCCGTCGCGAACGACAAAACGCCGCGATTCCACCCGCCTGGCGCCTCAAATCCATTCCTGCTGACTTTCGAGATAGTCGGCATGTAATTGACCTTGCGGGAATTCTGACACCCAAAGAACTGGACATCACTAGCACGGTGGGCGTGGCCAAGATCCTACGAAAGTACGAAGAAGGAGACTGGACCGTCGAGGAGGTTGTCACTGCGTTTTGCAAACGGGCAGCCATCGCCCATCAATTGATTAAATGCTGTACCGAGTTTTTGTTCAGCGAGGCCATTGAGCAGGCACGACAGATCGATCGCTGGTACGCCGACACTGGGGAATTCGTTGGTCCATTGCACGGCATACCGATCAGTCTCAAAGACAACCACGACGTCAAGGGTGTAGACTCGACGGTGGGCTGGGTTGGATTGATCGGTAAACCCGCGCAAGAGGACTCACTGGCAGTGCAGCAGTATCGCACGCTCGGCGCTATCGTCTATGTCAAGACCAATGTGCCTCAGTCGCTGATGATGAGTGACTCGTATAACCATGTCTTCGGCCAGAGTCTCAATTCGTTAAGTCGCGCTTTAATCTCCGGAGGCTCGTCGGGAGGTGAAGGGGCATTGATCGGAGCGAGAGGTTCTATCCTAGGTATTGGCACTGATATTGGAGGAAGTATTCGAATCCCCGCTGCTCTGCAAGGTCTGTATGGTCTGTGTCCAACAGTTGGAAGAGTACCGAACCGGGAGTCGGCTAAAGACCAGAAATACATTGTCCGACCAGTGGCGGGACCCATGGCTAACTCGTTGTCGTCGATTGAGTTGTTTATGGAGGCGTACTCAACGCTGGAACCGTGGATGGTGGACCCTGCCATCCAACCACTTCCTTGGAACTACGAACTGGCACGACTGCCCAAGGAACGATTGAGGATTGGGTATCTGGTCGACGATGGCGTCGTGGCACCTCATCCTCCCATCCAGCGAGCTATGCACGACGTGGTACGGAAACTGAGACAATGCGGACATGAAGTAGTGGAATGGGACGCTTCTGAACATAAAGCCGCATACTACGACCTTTGGGTCCCCGCCGTGACAGCCGATGGAGGCAAACGATGTCAAGACCTGTGCGACTTGATCGGCGAACCACTCATTGAGGGCATGTTGGTCGGCACAGCGGAAACATTACTGTCACCAGAACAAAGGATGGTCCTTAGCGACAAGATCTGGGAGTTTAAACGACAATACCTAGCCAAGTGGAAGGATGCCAATATTGACGCCCTCATTATGCCTGTCCAGCCTTGGGTCGGCATGCGTCCAAAGGCCTGGGTCAAGTCACAGCAATATGTCGGCTACAGCGCCATTTGGAATCTAGTCGATTACACTGCTCTCACTGTGCCGGTGGGGATTGTCGATAGTATGGTTGACGACCCGAGTCGAGACGTGGCTTGGACTGAGTACGGGAAATCGCAGACTCGCAATTTCAGTGACGAGTTCAATCATGCCATGTATCAAGACCTGTGGAATCATGGTGTCATTCAGAATCTGCCGGTTAATCTGCAGATCGTTACGGGGAGGTTTGGCGAAGAAAAGGCCATTGCTGTGGCTAAGATTCTTGAGACTTTGCCTTGAATATCGGACTGAGATTTAGCGACAGAATTTTCTCTAGAGATTTCCACCAGAGCTTTTGCACATTTATTTACCTACCCAATCTAAGCTACTGTTTTATTCATGTCACCTTTTTCAAAAATGCAACCACCTCTTCCACAACCGTTTCGTGAGCTTCTTCCGGCAGATAATGGCCATAGCCATCCCCGACCCCAACACCGCGGTAGTCGACTCCTGAACCAACCCAGTCTTTCCATACGGCTTCGACGTCAGTTCGTGCACCTAATTTAGCTTTACTGAACATGACGAGAAGAGGCACCTCAACCTTCCTGGCGGCCTTTTGGTCCTCGTCCTGTTCGGTCGACTCGGGCGCGGAACCGCTGGCGTAATCCAACGCGGTGTAATACAGAACTTCGTCCGTGGAGAAGTTTTCCGCATAGATGTCAACTGCACCATCAGCTGAGATGCGACGGATGGATTCTGGGTTGGGCCCGGCGATGCGTGTGTTGGCGCCTCGAGCCCAGTTGGCACCTCCAAATGCTGAGATTAGCTGGGTGGAGAGTTCTGGGTTGGCGAGCATGGGCCAGTGGAAATATCCGGAGGAGATGACTGGGTCGGAGAAGCGTGCCCATTGAACGGTGGTGGGGATGATGTCGAGGAGGACATTGCCGATGACGGTGAGGTTCAAATGAGGGAAGATGTCAGGGTGGGTTGGGTGAGCACCGGCGGCGTTGGCTGAGGGTGGGTGAGAAAAGTCAACGGCTAGACGGTGCGAGATGCGGGCTCCACGGTCATGGCCGCCAATGATGACTTTGCGGGGAGTTTGTGCAGTGTTGAAGGTGGCTGCGAGTGCTTCGAGAAGGGCATTGCCGACGGAGCGTTTGGAATTGGACGGGATTGGTGTGTCGGACTTGATCGGGGTGGAGATACCGTAGCCTGGTAGTTCGGGGATGAAGAGGCTGACTTTGTCTTTTAGAGCTGGGGCGACCTGTGACGAGGCATTAGAAATATGTAATGGGGGAGTGGGCGTAGACAGGTAAAGGAATACTGACATAGCGCCATCTAAGATGAGGTAGAGATGAAAGTCAGCAGGTTGATATTCTCAATGAGCAGACGTTGATGCAATAGGTGCTCACTCATAGGCCGATTGAGGATATCCGTGAATCAAGGTCAAGATGGGGGTGTCTGGGCCAAGATCAGATGTGTATGTGTGCACCTGCGAGCCAGATGAGGTCTTTGTGATGTTGTGAGTGAAGCCGAGTTTCTCAAAGAGATTACGAGATGTGTCTGCAGCAGAAGGCATGGTGATGATGATGAAGGAGTTGAGATGACTCTGAGATGAGGGGTAAAGGTGGGAGGGAAGATGAGAGGAAGTGTAATGATTATCTTAGAAATGACCTTAATGATGGATAGACAGACGGGCGATATAGAAAGCTAGAAAAGAAGTATATTATGAACAATATACTATGCTAGATGACGACTCTTTTGGGGTAACATGTACGAGAGTCAAGTCGTCTATGGATGGCGCAATATATTGACGAGTATTCGTCTGAACAAGGACAATGGTTGTGGGACAGACTGAGGGGAGAGATTACTCAGCAATAACAATTTATAATTTATAATTCTATACGACTAGAACAACATCAGCAAAAGCAACAGGAATAACAAGAGTTCATCACTAGGAGAAGACAAATGATGTTCATAGGGATGAAGCCGCGAAACAAAAGCCGAGGTACTCGTACACATCGGCGGATCAGTCAGCCATCTAGCGTGTCATATATGATCTACCGTAGTAATCTAGTAACGTGACCTTGTTTCAACGTGACACGGATCACATGACTTTTCTTCATTCACTCAAATCCTGGAATGAGAAAAGAGGAGAGACACGGGAGCCCAGGAACTGGCCTGACTTGGTTTGATTACAGGGATTCGAGGGAAAATCTCCGACGTCGCTGGACTCTTTGAATTGACCAACACGCGGCAAGATTCTACCAAAAGCCACCCACAAGATTTGACTTTGGGCAACTGGCGCGTCTCGATCCGCTCTATCGCGTCTTGCTACTGGCCCACCAAACGCCCATCAAGACAACAGACAATCACCCACCAGTTGAACCCTGCCACTCTGCCACTTTGCCACTCCAGGGATTACAACTTTACGAGGGACTACTGATTAACCCAGTGCTGCTGTCAACACCAACAACTCCCTGCACCAGTCATCACGGTCACCACAGTCAAGGTCAAGGTCACGTTCTCATCTTCACTTGAGGCTGAGGCTGTCACTGTCCTGTGTTGTGTCTGCGTCTGCCAGCCTGCGCTCATTAATCACCACCACAACTGCCAAACCCTTTCCTGACCAACGTTCACTTTGGCTACACACCTGACTTCACGCTTGACGCTGATTGACATTAGACACACACCACGCCCTCTTTCAATTGCCCCCTGTGTTCCTTCACTCAAGCTTCACCGTTTGATGCGACGACTCACAACATCATTACCCACTCTCTCAGACTCACCAAACCTCAACCTCCCTCCTTCCACCCAAGAGTCGCGAATCCCACACATCCCCAGCTCCCACCTACACCACCTCGTCCTCACCGCGGCCCTCACCGCGACCTAGCTCTGTCTGCCTATATGTATACTGATGCCGTTCCCCTGGCCGGATCACAACAGTATTGATTAGGCCAACCATGGCGTACGATGCTCCCCATCCAAACATACCCACCATGACTTCATCGCTAACATATCCCACAGGACCGCCGCGGCCAACAGTGGAGGGGGCAACAACATCAAAGGTACTGTGCTCTCAACCGCACCATGGATTCACGTGTGTCTAACAACCCCTCTCTCTAGTTGTTGCCCGTTTCCGTCCGCAGAATAAAGTCGAGATTGGAAATGGCGGAACACCAATCGTCCAGTTTGTTGGAGACGATACCTGCCAGCTCCAATCCTCCGAAACCAATGCCCCATTCACATTCGATCGTGTCTTTGGCATGAACTCTCAGCAGGCCGATATCTTTGACTTTTCCATTCGATCCACCGTCCAAGATGTCATGAATGGCTACAACGGCACCGTTTTCGCCTACGGTCAGACCGGCGCGGGAAAGTCATATACCATGATGGGTGACATGGACGACCAAGAGAAAAAGGGTATCATTCCCAGAATTACTGAACAAATCTTCGACTCTATCCTTGTTCATGGTTCTGCTCAAGTTGAGTATACTGTCGGTATCTCCTATCTCGAAATATACATGGAAAAGATCCGCGATCTTCTTAACCCCGTCATGGACAATCTTCCTATCAACGAAGGCCCTAGAGGTCCCTATGTCAAAGGTCTAAGAGAAATTTACGTCAATACCGTCGATGAAGTCTACACTGCCATGCACCTTGGTCAAAGATCCCGAGTCACAGCCTCCACAAACATGAATCTTGAGTCGTCGCGATCCCACTCCATCTTCCTTGTCACAATAAACCAAAAAGATATCAACACCGGTTCTCAGAAGAGCGGTATGCTCTACCTCGTCGATTTGGCTGGTTCTGAAAAGGTTGGCAAGACTGGCGCAACAGGTCAAACCCTAGAAGAGGCAAAGAAGATCAACAAGAGTTTGAGCGCCCTTGGAATGGTCATTAACGCCCTCACCGACGGCAAATCGTCACACGTTCCCTATCGCGACTCCAAATTAACCAGAATCCTGCAAGAAAGCTTGGGAGGTAATTCTCGGACTACCCTCATCATCAATTGTTCTCCCAGCAGCTACAACGACACCGAAACTATCAGTACTCTCCGTTTTGGCATGCGAGCAAAGACTATCAAGAACAAGGCAAAGGTCAATGCCGAACTCAGCCCTGCCGAACTCAAACGCCTCCTCAAGATTGCCCAGAACCAAACCATTTCTTTCGAACGATATATCGCCTCTCTCGACTCAGAACTGCAGCTGTGGAGATCCGGCGAGACTGTTGCCAAAGACAAATGGGTCCAACCTCTGGCCGGACTCTCATCTCGCACAGATTCAAAGACACGCCCTGAAACCCCCTCGCGTACTCCTTCTGATCTTTTGAGGTCTGACACACCCAACCGTCCCGACTCCCGCATGGGCGAACGTTCCAGCACACCTAGCATTATACTCGAGAAGGACGAACGAGAAGAGTTCTTACGTCGCGAAAACGAGCTGCAGGATCAGCTCACCGAGAAAGAAACTCAAGTCGCCAACGCCGAGAGAAGTCTACAGGAGGCCCGTGAAGAGCTCAAGACTTACAAAGAAGGCTCCCTGCGCACCACCAAAGAGAATGAGTTATTGTCAGACAAATTTAATAAGACTCAGCTTGAACTCCAGAAGCTCTCGTACCAGAGCAAAGAAGATAGCATCACCATGGACAGTCTCAAGGAAGCCAACTCTGAATTAGAGAATGAGCTGCACTCGGTGAAACAACAACTTCTCGACCTGAAGATGAGCGCCAGAGAAACTACCGCAGCCCTCGACGAAAAGGACCGCAAAAAGCAACAGAAAATGGCCAAGATGTTGGCTGGCTTCGACCTTGGCGACAACACCTTTTCAGCAAATGAAGATCGAATGCGAGAAATGCTCGATCAAGTTGATAACCTCCACGCTGCCAGCATCAGTGGCGAGAGCATCCCATCGCATGTGCTAGAAGACCTGAGAGCTAAGCTGCTAGAGTCACAGAATGTGGTACGGCAGGCCGAGTTATCATTAAATGAGCACGCCGAAGCCGATAATGAGCCTCGCTCTCTGGCTTTGGAAGAGAGACTTTCTATGGTCCAGCAGGAATACGAAGAGGTGCTCACCCGAAATCTAGGTCCAGATGATGTCGAAGAAATCAAAGCGCGTCTCGAGCAGATCTACTCTGATCGTCGCGAAACTCAGACTGACATCATTAACGACTTGCGGGATCAAGTTCTACACAAATCGCAGGACCTGGAGAAGCTTCAAAAGTCCCTGACCGACCTACAAAGTCGACCCACCGCCAATGGTACAGGGCCTAATGGCGTTGTCAGCAAGACCCTACAGCAGCAGATTGCCGACTTTGACCTCATGAAAAAGAACCTAATGCGTGACCTCCAAAACCGCTGCGAGCGCGTCGTTGAACTGGAGATTTCTCTCGATGAAACCAGAGAACAATATAATAATGTCCTTCGTTCCAGCAACAACCGCCAGCAACAGAAGAAGATGGCATTCTTGGAACGCAACCTAGAGCAATTGACTGTGGTCCAGCGACAACTGGTCGATCAGAATACCAGTCTTAAGAAGGAAGTTGCCATTGCAGAGCGCAAGTTGATCGCCCGAAACGAACGAATCCTGAGTCTTGAGAGTCTGCTGAACGACAGTCAAGAGAAGTTGACGCAGACAAATCACAGGTATGATCATTATCCTTCCGGTCACAACAAGTCACTAACCTTTCTCTCTAGATTCGAGGCTCAACTTGCCGCTGTCAAGGAACGTCTTGAAGCCGCAAAGATCTCGTCGCGCAACATGGCTACAGGTGGCATGGGCGCTGGAGCTAGCGTGGGAGGCTTCAACTCTCTTATGAATGCAGGCGCCCGGATAGCTAAGCCTCTGCGAGGAGGTGGTGGCGCTGCCGCCAACGTCGATGGTGCTTCAGGGGGAATGATGAACGGCGCTCCTTCTATACCCATTATTTCTAGTCTCGCGGGTGGGGACAACAACAATAAGCGAACTAGCTGGTTCTTCAACAACCGGTGAGATGGATGTGGTTATATGACATTACGTTTTGAATGGTCAACCCGCATGAGCGAATGGGATACTCAGCCATACATGGGTTGTGATGATGCACGGCGATATGTACATTATCTCACCTAGACTTAGAGAGCCTGTGCATGTTTAATCACCCAATGTACACTCTTTGGATCAATCAACTCTGACACTTGAGATCTCCAGACGATTTGTTTCCATGTCTAGCAAACAGTGCTTCCCCCACGTGAGCAATGGATGATACTGGTTCCACTGGTGATGCTGACGTTGGTTTGATGGGCAAAGCCATTATCCATCATTCTGCAACGAATGACAGATATGACGACAGTCCACCCTAGAAATGATGAGCTGCAGAGAATTGTGTGACATGTTCTATTCTCGGCTGACCATGGCCATTGGCACCATCCGAGTCCCTTGTCTTCCCTTGTCGCACAATTGTGCCACCATGAGCCATGAGTTCCAAAGAAACTTGCCACAACTTGGAGGCTGAGCCCAGCGGGTTGTCGGAACAAACCGTTCTCTCTTGTTTGTGTCTTGTGTATCGCTCATGTGTCACTTACGACATACAATGAGGGAGAAGAGCATCATCATCACTCCGAACCTTGTCAACAAAGAGCATTACTGAAATACCAGTAGCAATCTCAAATGATGTATGAATCCTGTCCTTACTCTACCTATCTTGCTTATCTCGTTTTCCCATGTCAGAACTGGATCACACTCGTTGTCAGTCGCTCACCCCGTCGTTCATCGTCAATGTGTGGCAAACAGCCCTTTTCTCATGGGCTATAAAAGGTTGGCTATGCCAACTATTGATCCTCAGTGCTTTGCTTTATTATTTATCACATCTGTTGAGAAGAAAAACATCTCTGAGGTGGAACGAAATATCAGAAATCGATTTGATCATCTGAAAACAATTCGGAAACTCGATATCTGAACCTACCTACGGGTATAACCTCCAACAAAAAGACGACGATGGTTCAAAACATTCTCCCATTCCTAGGAAACTATTCCATTCAATCTATACCGTGATCCACCATCAAACATGTGTCTAAGAGAGATCTACACATATACAGGCTGCGCAGAAATACCCCCACACACAGAAGCCGGGGATATTCAGCACTGCGCTGACGAATACTGCACCAGCATCCTGGGCCGAAAGATCATGCGGACAGGTGCATGTGACGGGTGTCGACTCGCGCAGGAGCACCAAAACCGGGGCAAGACATCATGGAATCTGGACCCCAAGGACTTCGACTACGACAAGAGCGGCGACAATGGGGATTCTCAAGCCCAGGGAAACGGGAAGCTATAGCGCCAACCTGTTCCAGTATGTGGTCTTCGATCACCAATGTCCACTCTACATCAATTTCCTCACAACTCCTATGCTAGAACCGACATACATTCCCCTTCTCGGGCGTCTGCTTATGCCACAGCCTGGGCTTATGCTGGATTCTACGTCGAAGCCAACAAAAGGTTCGTTCAAAAGTGAGCCAAACATTATCCCTGGCTATATTCGCGAATCTAAGTCAACTTACGGATACGGGGCTGAGTCTCCAGCTTCGCGAATACTCATCAATAATACAGCAAGAGCAAGAACTATACAGAAGGATATCCCTCACTTTGAGCTGAGAGGAGCTTTAGACCCCACAACAAACCTAACTGAACGGGCTTTCTACAACGAGGAAAATGATGAATCTAACTCTTCCTCCTCAACAGAAGATTCCCTCTTCGACTGCGAGTACAGAGGGTGCTCTAATGGTTAGTCGTATGTCCAAAGATATTGAAGGTAATCAGGTATCGCCCATTGCGTTAATGCGCTATGCTCTGAGGGGAATGTCCGGTAGTTTGGATGAATCAGGATGCAAGTCGGCTCGTGGCAATCGCATTTAAAGCCACGCTGGTCGAAGCGTCGCCTCCGGTCGGCAGCCATCTGGTTTATAGCTTGCCAGCAGGAGTTAGCCGATGCCAGCATGTCCTTGTCGACTCTGGCCAATTCGACGTATCGATACCCGTCGTCCTTTGATCTTGCCACAACGTCGATGAGGATCGCATCAACACCTCTGACTCGCAGGGACAGGGGCTTAATGAACGTCTCTGAGAAGAGAGTAAGCTCTTCGTCCATGATTGGGAGGTCTTTGAGGTCGCGAGTAGCTGCAATCTTGAAATTGAAGTAGGTATTGAGCGTAGTTGCAAAGACGGAACGAACTGGGATATATGGTTAGTTAATGAACGAAAGGATTGTGCTACTTTTCGGAGTAGAACATACACTCTGGATGATTGAGGAAGTAGTGGTGGTCCGGAAATTTGAAAGGAAACACCGTATCCCAAGCCTGGGTGAGATGGTTATCGACCTTAGTAGACTCTATCTGACTGACTTGATCCCAGTTGAGGTTATCATCAGTAAGGTGGTGTTGAAGATTCGGCGATACACGTAGCGCAAACACCAGCATACGGAAGCTGGGACGATGGACCTTCTCATGAAGTTTGCGGGTCGATTCAGCCAGCTGCTCATACCTCGGATCGGACCTCATATCTGGATTGAGGGCATTGTAATGGCGAAGTAGCTCGCGGAGACTTGCAGCAATTGCATGGGATTCGTCTTCGCGTGGAGCTGCCATTTGAAGATTGTCCACCACTCTTTCCAATTGACACGTTTTCCTTTCCTGTTCCTTGAACTTCCTTTCCTGTTCCTCGAACTTCCTTTCCTGTTCCTCGAACTTCCTTTCCTGTTCCTTGGACTGATCTAGTAAGTATGTGAGAATAGACGTAAGTTGTGGGGTGGTTTCAAGGCCAGAAAGAGCGTCTTCGATAGGATTTTGATGGACTTTGTCTGGCAGGATGCCAGGGGGGAATTGAATAGTGGTTGACATGCTGTCATTTTCATTCATATCCATATATGAACTTCTTGAGTCTGGGATGATCATGTTGGCGAGGAGTAGAGGGTCGTCTGATGTCTTTATGTTGGCAGAAGTGAACGTCGGAAAACGGAAAACAGGGTGCAGGAAGAGGGCAACCTGGCCAATCGTTATTAATGGGAGTCGATCGGACTTTGGTTTTCCTAGCGAAGGTTCCGATTCGCTCAATGTCCGCAAGTTTAGTTCAGCTGGGGATTTGATTGCGGATTTGATTGGGGATTTGGATGGCCATGGATGATCAATTTCGGAGCTTCGATCACTAGTGACTCTTCAGTTAGCGGATGATAGGTCATAACGGGTGACACGGACTTTCTGGATCGTTTGCTCATGTTGATGGTGATGATTCTGCCTGCTGGATGAAAAGGAAGATCTGCTGGTACAACGAATTTTACCACAAGGAGAGAAAGAGATGAAGGTGGATTTTACGACAAGGAGAGAAAGAGATGAAGGTGCCAGAGGAGTAAAGATAGGAAGGTGCGGTTGTGTGTAGGAAGAGGGGGAAAACCTCTTCCTGGGCTACATACAGGCAGGGGCGAAGCATATTTGATATAGACATTAGGAAGGAGTGAGGAGAGGCTCAGCTCCTGCCAACATGATCTGGTTGAGATTAGGATATATATGCTTTTCCTACCTCCATCGTATCTAGAAAGTGAACAACACCAAGCTCCCTCTACTTTTCGGTGGTTGCCCTTCATATTTCTTGGATGAAGTGGTTCTCGGGAGTGTAAATACCTATCAAGTATATTAGCGCCATGTCAAATGCGGTACGATCTCCCAATTTGATTCTTGGCCGAATTCTGCTTACTTATTGTTTGATATACTTCTACCTCCACCCACAGCCATTTCTTGATCTTCTTCGACCACACAACAAAGACTATCTCGGTCCAACAGAAAGATGGCTCCAACAACAAAAGGTGCTCTCAATTTTAAAGCTACTTTTACTGAAGAAGTCACGCCTTTCAACATTGAAGTAGATCAAGACTTTCTTGACAATACCCGATTGAAAGCCTCTTTGACTCGATTCGTGGACGACCTCGAGGAGCAAGAGGCCTTCACTGATGGACCACCACGGCAAACTGCAGAGAAAGTTGCTGACTATTGGGCCAACAAATATGACTGGCGCGCGATTGAAGCTGATATCAATTCCAAGCTCAAGCAATACACCACTCTCGTGGAAACACCAACCACCAAATTCACAGGCCCAATCCCACTACATTTTGTGCATCACCGATCTCCACGAGAAGATGCAATTCCTCTTCTTTTCGTGCATGGCTGGCCAGGGTCGTTTCTCGAAGTCGACAATATCATCGAACCGCTAACAAATCCACCTGATCCATCCACGCCTGCATTCCATGTCGTTGCACCTTCTATTCCAGGCTATGGATTTAGCCCTTCACCTCGAAAACCGGGCTTTGGCTACAGACAGTCCGGGGCTGCTTTCCACGCCTTGATGCAGAAGCTGGGATACAAGAAGTATTGTTTTCAGGGCGGTGATGCAGGCGACCTTATCAATCGATACATGGCAGTCGACTTTCCAGAAAGCGTCGTGTCTGGACACTCGAACTTCTGGGTCATTCCACCAAATGAGGACGATTTGGACAAGTATCGACGAAACGAGTCTTCACCGGATGAGAAATATCTCATTGAATTGTATGGAGGCTTTACTACTCGTCACTGGGCGTATGGACAGATTCAACAGACTCGACCGTTGAAACTAGCCGGGGCCATGACGGACAGTCCGGTTGGATTGGCCATGTGGATCTACGATAGTGTCGTGAGCGGAGTTCCAGACCCAAGTATCTGGACTCCTGAGTTGATCATTACTTGGACGATGATGCATTGGATCAATGGCCCGTATGCAGCTTTCAGCTTGTACAAGAATGGTGCTGCGGTAAGTGAGGCTAGAATATTCGTCTGAGTTTTATAACTAACGCTATATCATCAGGACGGAGCAATCTCGATCAAAGGAATCAGTCTTCTTCCCTATGTCAAGCAGCCCGTGGCCATATCACAGTTCCCATATGATCTGTGGTACAGGACCCCTCTCGATTGGGCTCAACGTGGAGGGAATGTCAAAATAAATACTGTGCATGAAACAGGAGGCCATTTCGCAGCGTTGACAAATGCTGATTTGTTGCTTCAGGACATTTGGCGGTTCTTTGGGGACGCAGAATTGTCAAACACTAACATATTCAAACAGACCTGAGCGGATTTGTATTTCATCGCTGGTCTTAGCAAAGCTTGGTAGGTATGGGGAAAGTTGACACCGCAGGCTCTACTGAAATTGTGATGGGAGAGTGCAGAGAGCTAGAGGCCCGATACCCCCCGAAGAGAAAGGGAAGCTGTTCACCAAGGAGTGCAGGAGACGTCATGAATGACTCCAGCATCGGAATCATTTTATAGACGACAAGGACTTGTATAGCATCTAGATTGAAGTACACATGTAGGTATCTACAATGTCTAAATTCGTTGTCTAAAGTCTATCTATGTACTGTCTAGCACCCAGAACTATGACAGAAGCTTGGGCACATTCTCCAAGAGATATTCTACGACCGCATCAGGTCCTTTCTCAACTTGTAAGCCTTGGGGAATGGCATGTGTCTTGATCCCTGGCTTGGTTTCTCTGGCGATTTGTAGAATCCGAGTACTTTCCTCCGGTGTCCACATGGATGCACAGAACTAATTACGATAGGTTATCAGTCAAGGATCCAGGGATTTTTTAAGTTGTCCATGAACCTACAAGGATATCTGGTTGAAACTCTTGGACTTTGCCTTGAACTTCGTCGATTGCTGTATAATGTAAGCTATGCAAGCCATTTCCAAGGTCCCAAGAGACGATCGTCGCTTACTTTCACAGTTGGCCACGTGTAGAATGGTGAATTGGTCTTTCAATGCCTCCGTCATGCGTCCGACAAGACGCTTTGCGCGTTCAGGCGCGGTGTTCACTGTCACCAGCTTAAAGGGTCCTTTTGGCGGCATGTCGGCTAGGTTATGGTGTCCGGAGGTCACGGTTTGGGAAACTTGGTGTGGCTTTGATCTATTCTGATTGCTGGGTGTCTTGTCTTGACTTGACTTGTCTCTATGGATGAATTTCGGAGAATGATGGAAATATCAACTGTTGCCGGGATTATCCCGCCCCTCAATTCTTGAAAGCCGCTTGTGGGGATGTCTGTGTGGGGACGAGGGACATGTTTCTTCCGCATCCTCTTCAATTCCGGATCATAGGTAGCTGCTTGGGCCTTGGATTCCAAGGTGGCACCGAAGTCGGAAACTTTCCTATTGCGCATACTTCCCAGCCGTCCAACCAGCCGTGCCAGGCTAGGAATTGCGACTGCCGAAGCACGCTTCCGAGCCCCGCCATGGCATGTCACGGCATTAAGATGATTCGCATTTTCTGCATTTTGTGGGGGAGTCTGGGAGAACAAGCTGCAAATGTACAATTAATAAGACTGTCGCTTGATATGATAAAGGGTATGTCTCTGGGGTATGCCAGATACATTCAATCTTCAACTTACTAAGAGACAGATCTAGGACCTACATTCAATAGCAAAATTTGTTGCGCGTGATCGCCACCATGCATCCTGACATCAAAACATTGAAAATATGCATCATCGGTGCTGGCATGGGTGGGCTAACCTCTGCCCTGGCCCTAGCACGTGCCGGATTCTCCGACATCACAGTCTTTGAATTTGCATCGAATCTGGGGTTTGTCGGTGCTGGGATCCAGATGGCTCCAAATATGGCTCGAATTCTGGATCGACTAGGAGTATGGGAGGCTATCGCTCGGGAAGGCGTTGTGTTGAATGAAACAAGCATCCGTCAGGGCTCATCAGATAGCGAATTAGGTCATGTCGACTTGAAATTCGTCAAGGACACTTATGGATACCCACATATGGTCGGCCATCGATCGACACTGGCAGGAGAACTCTACAATGGATGCAAACGAGAGTCAGAGAACATCAAATTCGTCTTTGCGGCCGACTGTCAGAATTTCAAGTTCGGGTCCAGACCTTCGTTTACGGTGATGCCTCGGAAGGGTGGGGAGCCTTACGAAGTCGAATGCGATATTTTACTTGGGGCTGATGGCGTCAAGTCCGAGACACGAGTTGCCATCTTGAAAGAACTGAATGTGGTGGCAAATGTCCAGGACACCGAGCAAGCAGCCTATCGTATCATGTTGACCAGGGAGCAGCTGGAGTCCGACCCAGAATTGCTGGCACTCATTGACGCAGATAGAGTAATCAGATGGATTGGTGCGAAGAGGCATATCATCGCATATCCAGTTTCACGGAAGCAGATCTACAATATCTCGACCACACAGCCTGACGTCAACTTTGCGGCGGCACCATCGGCGACCTACACGACCAAGGGATCGAAGAAAGCCATGTTGGGCGTCTTTGACGATTTCTGTCCGATGATCCAAAAAATGCTCGATCTCGTGCCGGAGGGAGAGGTGTGCGAATGGAAGTTGAGAGTCCACGAGCCAATTCCCACTTGGGTTCATGGATCCGTTGCTCTTGTCGGAGACGCATGTCACCCGACATTACCTCATCTCGCTCAAGGTGCCGCTCAAGCCATTGAAGATGCTGCGGTATTGGGTGTGGTTTTGTCGCATCTGCCAGCCGGTGCCACACCAAGTGATATCAACAAAGCACTCAATTTGTACGAAAAGGTCCGAAAGGAGCGGGCGGACACTCTGGTAGAACTAGCTGCTGCCAATGGCAGAGGTCTGCATCTAGGAGAGGGGAAAGCCAAAGAAGAACGAGATAAGCAATTTGCAGCTCTGAAAGCTGGCAAGGGACCGGTCCCGGATCGATGGGCTGATGCAGATGTACAAAGACAGATCTATGGCCACGACTGTGTCAAAGTGGCTGAGCAGATGGTGAAGGATGAACTCAATTGGTGATAGGATAGGGCCGTTAAATGTAGCAGAATTGTATCTCGCCGTCGTACACCCACATCACCGCATCCTGGTGATCAGATCTGGATTCACCATGATCGATGGAGAATCCCCACAACATGACTTGATGAGTACGGCCCTCAGATATGGAACCATGATAATTGTAGGGAGACAGACCCGCGTGGAGATGAAGAAACTCTGTGGGACGCAACTGTCGCATAAATCTTTAGCCGCCGCTTCCATAATTTGGACCAGCCCCACACTCACATTCGAGGCAAGAGCGGCTCCGTTTTGATATCCCCACAACTTCTTCATCATGTCCCCGACTTCATCTCCACCAGCTCTTCTCTAATCCACACATGGACTCAAGGCTCGATGGCCTACCTGTGACCCCGGCGATGGACAATATCTCGAAGTTGAAGTGCCGATCCTGTCACAGGACATTCAACAAGGGAGAGCATTTGAGAGTATGTCTGAACAGATCCATTTATCCCTATTAGCACTAAATTTTGACAGAGACACGAAAGATGCCGTGAGTAAACTCCAAAAGGAATGAGTAGGGAAACGGCAAAAGTGTGGAAATGCTCGATGACAGTCTAACAAGTTATCCCCTTCTTCAGATACTGGGTCAAAGCCATTTCAATGTACCAACTGTCTACGGTGTTTCAGTCGCCAGGATTCTCTCGCTCGCCACTGCAAACTCCATACTCGATCACGGCAAACGACCCCAAATGAGTTCGAAACTCGGAGTCCACATAAGAAGACTAAGCCTATTACACCTGAAAGCATTGACGAAGTATCTTCACATTTCGAAAATGATCAGGGGCAGTTCAAACCATCAGACCACGGCCCAGCGCTCACAAATGAGACGTCGGGCCCCGAAAGCAACCCTCCTTCAATACCTCAAGTAACAGCGGACATTGACTTCGATCTGATTTGGCCTGATTCAGAAAACCTCTTTCAAACAATCATCTCCCCTGACATTTCCAGTCAGTGGCAAACCCCTCTTGGTACACTGCCATTTTCTGCCAGTCCGGGGCCCAGCGAGATGACATTCGGCACCCCTCGGTCTTTCGATGAACGTCCACCTTCTATCGGCATGATACCATCCGGAGGAAACACTCAAGCAGTTCACGATGTGAGCAAAATGATTTCAAATCTGGTGGGTTTCACGACACTCCAAATGTTGATCGCCCTGTCCTCTGACACATCAAACAGTCATCCAGTGTGACAGCGGCTGCCAAGTGCAATTCCATAACTTCAGTCTTCCTCGATGAGTGTTTGCACATGTTCTTTGTCAAGTTCATTCCCACTTTCCCCATTCTCCACCGAGCCACCTTTATCTTTAGAGATAGTGCGCGGACAGTATTACTCAATGCCATTGCAATCGGATCGTTATATCTTGGCCCGAAAGATGCAATCGCAAAAGGAGAAGCCTTGTGGCACCTTGCACATACAGCAATCGCAACATCTTGGCAGAACCTAATTGTTCAACGAGGTCAGTATGATGCTTGTGATGGGGTCCAACTACTGCTCGCAGCAGTTCTGAGCCAGCTATATGGTGCATTGTCGAGGAACAGGGCAATTCGAAACACAAGCCATTCCTTCCACTCACTTGCCTTTACTTGGGCACGGCGGTGCGGCATGTTTGAGAGTGAGCCATTCGACTTGAGTACGGTTCCTCCACTGAATGCGAGCGATTCCGAAAAAGATCACAAATGGCGGACCTGGGTCGCACGTGAGATACAACAGAGAGCACTGTTAGCTCACTACATGCTCGATGGTCTCATTTCCCAGATGTCAGGAGAACCAACGTCAATACGTCATGCGACAAACCAACTGATTTTGCCAAGTACGGAACCTGCGTTCGAAGCGAATACTGCAGATGAGTGGATTTCATCCATGCAGTTGTCATATTCAAAAGACACAATCTCTTTCCGGACGATCCTTCGTCAACTCTTTAAACCAACCGGGGAGGTTGGTTGGCAAAGTGCTTCTCTGTCAGCCTTTTCTTACAGAGTCATTCTCGAAGCTTTGCAGTCGCTGATATCTGATGATGATGCGGAAGAGACAGCAGTGGGAGTACCGACAAGAGGTGAAGTTCGACATGCTTTAAACAAGGTATACGAAAGCATCAGCATGAACGTGTCCCTCACAGCAGCCGATCGACTAGAAACGCTGCTTCGTTGGCATTCAATCTGCATCGATACGATTATCGATTCTTCTGGTTTGTGTCGCATTTTGTGTTCTGATCACGACATCGACCAACACATTTGGCGAAATGCACAACGGCCAAAGAGCAGTGTTGATCTCGCAAATTGGGCCACGACGCCTGCGGCTCGAACTGCACTTCTCCATGCAATGACCATTCAGGAAATTGTAGAACAACTGCCCCGGGGTCGAGCTCATACAATAAATATGCCCAGTGCACTATTTACCGCTGCGACAATCTACTCCGTGTTGGCCCTAGCAGGCCAAGCAGTGCACAAAATCCCTTGTACAGTGGTATGGCAGGATGCTCTGACCGACAGGGCGCAATCCAAGCAAACTTCATATCTAGCGCTATCGGAGCTTTCGAATGATCTTGCATCGTCAAGCACAGAGACAGACACGTCAAGATACATTCGTGGAGACACCTTATACGGTTCAAGTGGAACCTCACGCAACATTGTGTATGAGCTGAATTCGATCCATAAACTGTTTCGATGTCTTTGCGCTCAATGGGGAGTTGCATATGACATGGAGAGTGTTGTGGAGCAGTGGATCGAGCTTTGCCATTGAACCCATGAGGGTTCATTGGCTACGCATGGATTAGGTGTGAAGACACGATGACTATCCAGTGTAGATTCAGCCTAGAAACGCTATCGCTTCATTAGGCGCTGGTGTAAGGCCATTGGCGAACATTGAGTTGGTCATATCCCACCAAACTATTGCTTCTCGGCCAAACTGATCTTGCCTTGATCGTCATACACAATTTCCCGAACCTTGACAGAGCGCAAATGACTGACGCCCTTGCTCAGCTCACAGTCATGGTAAAACAAATACCATTTGCCCTGAAACTCAACGATCGAATGATGAGTAGTCCAACCAACAACCGGCTCAAGGAAGCGGCCAGCATAAGTGAAAGGGCCCAACGGGCTATCTCCAATCCCATAGGCCAGAAAGTGAGAGTCGCCAGTCGAGTAGCTGAAATAGTACTTTCCATTGTACTTATGGACCCAAGCCGCCTCGAAGAACCGACGATCGTGGTCATCTGCAACCAGGAGGTTCCCACTCTCATCTAGAATCTGAACTTCTCGGACCTCGTCGGCAAAGGTGTGTCCATCGGCAGACAGTTTAGCCACACGAGGCAACAATGCGGGAACATCACTCCCCTTTGGTTCCTGCGGTCCAGACATGGAATCGTCGAACTTCCCATCCACCCAGCATTGCAACTGGCCGCCCCAGATCCCGCCGAAATAGAGATAAGCCTGGCCATCATCGTCGACGAAACTAGCCGGATCGATGGAAAAACTTCCGGGAATGGGTTCTGGGTCTGCGACAAACGGTCCGGCGGGGCCGTCGGTGCTCACGGCAACTCCGATTCGGAAGATGCCTTCCTTGTCGCGGGCAGGGAAATATAACAGGTATTTCCCGTCGATGAAGGCTGCGTCGGGCGCCCATAGTTGTTTCGACACCCATGGCACGTCGGCAGCGGTTAGTGCCACGCCGTGGTCGGTCACGGCGCCGCCAATCTCGGATAAGGATAATACGTGGTAGTCGACCATGTCATATTGGTCGCCGTTGTCGTTGAATCCAATGTCGTTTTCTCGGTCCTGTCGGAGGGGGGGGTGGGTTTGTTAGGGATATTGCCATTGGGTATGAGGGGATTGTGGGGGGGGGGGGGGGGTATGGACTTACGTGAGATGGATATACGTATATCTTGCCCTCGAAGACGTGGGCCGAGGGGTCGGCTGTGTAGATGTGAGTGACTAGTGGTTCTGGTGCCATTTTCGCAGAGTCCGTCATGAGGAGTGGATGATGGTGGTGTTGATGTTGATGTTGTGATGGGCAGAGGGTTTGAATTGAATCCTTGGTTTCGAGGCACAACCTCGTCGTTCTCGTCCGCTTGACGGTCTGGTGAAACTATTTTATATTTATCAACGTACACCAGTGATGACTATTTCAATAACAACCACACCCCAACAGACAGACATGTCGATTCCTTTGATGGTGGTCAAACATCTGTTTTATATGGGCCAATATGGATGGCTATAACCCATCGGCATCATGCCCAAATCCGTTTAGCGGCTGATGTATTTAGCCAGAATTGAAAGCCACGGGCGAATAAACTCCAGCGACAAGTTTGCTGGGCTTCACTTTACAGTGCGGAGGGCGTGGCTTTGACCTCCGTGAGGGTGTGTGACGCAGTGGAAAGTCTGAGTTGTGTTGGTCTTGGGTTTGAGGGTAGAGGAAACCCTCTCATGGATAAATGGATCATGGTCTGGGCGAATGTACTGTAGTAATGAAAGGATGGGATGAGTGGGTGTCTTTCAAATATAAGCGTCTGAGCCAGAGGGGTCAAAGCCCTTTTATCTCTGCCCTATAAGTTAATGGGTCCATAGAGTGGGATTTAAGGACCCTGGAACCGTTCTGCCTGGCTTCTCTTCGTTTAAGGCATTGTGTGATATCCCTCAGACATGAGGCATAACTACTTACTTACATGCCTGTAATTACATAGGCAGTGTATTGACCTAAAGTCATTAGTTTGTGCATGCTTCATCTTCCCTATGTATGTAACCTTCACAGACCCTTTGGTGGGCACTCGCCCCTCCTCTAACCCCCCCACCTCCCAGAGATTCGACCATCTCTAGGCACTGAGGGGCACGGTTGGACCCTTAAGTCCAATGAAATCCCTAAGAGCCTTCGAGAACGGCCACTAACCATAGGTAGTATAGCCTTACCGCGATAGCCTCGTGAGTGATAGCGAAATCTCGATTTGAGAGGCAGCCTTGTCTGCGGTTGAGGATCTTCACTCTGGCCCAGACTTGAAGCACATCGAGAAACTAAGCATTATGTTTGGATTTTTTTTCCCTTTCGAATTTTACTTTCCATGGCAATTGTGTCTTGCTTACAATCTTGGTCATTTCCTCATCATTTGTATTGATATTGATTCCTGCATTTCGGTTGGTGCATAGTTTACATCTTAAGCATTCAAAAGTCTTTCTGAAGCTACTGTACCTTTTCTGGACCACTCAAAGCAGCGATAATGGGGCAGACAATCTTCAAAAATGCCCGACTCTTCACGGGGACTGATACGAAAAGCTCTCCAAACTCGACCTGTACCCCATCTACATCATGCATGATCATCTCTGATGATCAAATCACATACATTGGTAGCGAGTCTGACGCCGCTGTCGTCTCGGCACAATCCCATGCCGACACGACTACAATTGATTTGAATCAACAAACACTTCTCCCCAGCTTCATCGACGGGCACATGCACCTGCTGATGTTTGGACAATCTCTGGAAAAGGTCAATCTGGAACACTGCCGCTCGCTCGAGGACATTCGCTCCACCATCAGGGCAGCCGCGGCGGCGGATCACAGCAAATCGCGGATCATGTGCAAATCGTGGATGCATTTCATGACGGATCATCAGGCGCTGGCTAGCGATTTAGATGACCTGGACGAGCTGCAGCGGCCCATCTTCATCGACTCCAAAGATTTGCACTCCACGTGGGTCAACTCGGCCGCGTTGCGCGAGCTCAACGTCCAGGACACGCCGGACCCGGAAGGTGGAATGATCCATCGCGACAACAACGGCAATCCGTCTGGACTGTTGAGCGAGGCGGCAGCCGTGACAATTGTATGGCCGCATCTAGCGCGTGCGGCGACGATGGACGAGAAAAAGGCCTGGATCCGTAACGCCATAACGACATACAACAGTGCCGGGTACACTGGTGTGGTGGAGATGGCGATGGATGAGAATGCATGGGAGGCGCTGGTGGAATTTACAAAAACCGAGAAACTATTGATTCGAATTGTCGCTCATTGGTTGATATATCCTTCCAAGACTACTGAGGAGAATCTCAAACAGGTGGACAGGGCGATCGATTTGGCCAGACAATACAATCTCGACACTTCGCCGAGTTTGAGAATTACAGGCATCAAGGTCATTGGAGATGGTGTGGTCGATGCATGTACTGCATCCCTGTTACAACCTTACTCGCACAATGGCGTCTCTGTCGACCCTCTGTGGAGTAAAGTCCATTTGACGGAGGTGGTCAAACGAGCTGATGCTGCGGGCCTGCAGTGTGCGCTACATGCGATTGGAGACGCGACGGTGAAACTGGCAATCGATGTCTTGGAAGCCTCAGCCACCAAGGGGAATCGCCATCGCATTGAGCATCTTGAAGTCACTTCGCCTGGCGACGCGAAACGACTCGAGCAGAATGGCATCACCGCATCCGTCCAGGCCGTTCATGCCGACCCGGCCATCACCCGGGAGTGGGATAAGTTGCTGTCGAAGGATCGAAGACAACGAGCGTTTGCATATCGCGAGTTTCTCGATGAGGGAGCTGTGATTGCTCTGGGAACGGATGCCCCTACGGCCCCCAATCTGCCATTGCAGAATCTCTACGTGGCTACAACGAGGAAATCGGCCAGGGAACCAGATTGTCAAGACACGTTCAATGAGCAGTATGCTCTACCTTTATTGGATGCCATCTCTGCAGCAACTCGAGGGGCTGCCTATTCTTGTTTCAGCGACAAATTGGCTGGAACACTCGAGGTGGGCAAGAAGGCCGACTTTGTCGTGTTGGATTTTGACTGGGAACCACAACATCTTCTAAAAGCAAAGCTTGTCCAAACATGGTTTGCGGGGAAGAAGGTGTTTGATGGCAATCAATAAAATCAGACTTCAAAAGCTGGCGGTGTCTGTGTTTGATCACGACGATAAGGATGAAACTCCAGCCACCTTGTCCTCAGCCTGGTCCTCGAGCCCACCACTTTGATGTGTTGTGTGCTTCGCCGTCTCTTTGGCCGCTGCATTGGCATCCTTGCTGTGCTTTTGGACAGTGGCAGAGAGATCTGATTCGATCTCCTCTGATTTGCCCGCCGCCTTTTGCAGGTTCTGTTTTTGCACATCTACGGCTTCATCTGGGGAGGAAATTTGTCAGTCTAAGTCTGTGTGGCAGATTCGTGTCCGACCATGAGGATTTAAGGTGGATATCTCACCGTGCTCACCTTGTTTGCCCGACATGACGGCACCTAGTTTTCCAGCACCTGCACCAACAGTCCCACCGACGTATTGAACCGTACTTCCCAACCCGTCCCCAACACCTTGAACAGTCCCTGTCAGGCCCTCACCTACGACTACAACTGTGTTGCCGAGAGTGTCAACTACACCCTTGAGTCCGCCTCCTAAAGTACCACCGAGGGCAGTGACGGCGTTCTGAGCGTTGGCGGAAACACCTTCCGATTCAGATTGGGGCACTTTGCCAGCAATGGCAGTCCTGGGTTCATGACCAAGTCAATTTAGGTCATACACTTAAAGGGTCTCGCATTCTACTACAGATGAAAGGGTAGGAGCATACCTGGTTTGTTCTGCCAGCCTGTCGCCCTTGGGGTCACCTGGAAAGACATCGAGGTCAATGACTCTGTTCTCTGCGACTTTGACCATCTTGTACAAGACAAGCAAATATGGAGTCTGAGAATCGGCGGATTTTAAGAGTAGTCAAGCACGTCAAGCTTAGTGATCAGAGGATGATGATGAAAGATGCAATGTCATGGAGTGGTGTGCACTACGTCAGGCGAGGCTTTCTGACGTAAAGAACTGGGATGGTTACCATGTATGGGGGTCATCCTGGTGAACAGGGGTCTCGTTCTCTCCTCATCCAAGGAACTGTACATAGCTATACAGAATAGGGCAAGACTTAAAGGATACGTAGCGAGTAGCAGCTACAACTAACGCTACGTCGCCTACAGAGCTCTAGAAATCACTCCTATATTCTCTCTCTAGCCTCCAGGGCACCCTCCATTAGCACTTCTTTCTAGGGCACTCTCTCCAGGGCACCCTCCATATAGCACTTCTTTCTAGGGCACTCTCTCTAGGGCACCCTCCATATAGCACTTCTTTCTATAGCACTCTCTCTAGGGCACCCTCCACATAGCACTTCTTTCTAGGGCACTCTCTCTAGGGCACTCTCTCTAGGGAACTCCAAGATTACTCGGATAAATTCAGAGAGTTATTCCGGATCACGGGATCGCAACTCGCGTGTATCTAATCATTCAGCGCCACGATTTATTCTCAGCCAGTAGACATATCACGTAAGAGTTTATCCGGATGCCAGATATTCCTATAGTAAGAAACTAAACTTAATGTAGAACCTACTCCGCTTCGCTCTGTAGGATCATGTTATAGAGTCACTACACGAGTATCTACCAAGTTTGAGGCGGATTGAGATGATTGTTAAGAGTGGGAGTGACGATGGCCACTCCTTCCTACCACCAACAACCGGGACGTTCCTTCCCTCTTTTCGGGGGGTGGACCCCCGCTCCTTCCACGTGGGAGTTGCACGTCTAACAAAGGACTCCATAAGGCTGAAGCATAGCCTTGTCCTCTCAAGCTTCCCCACTGACTACAATGTGTCACTTTCGCTGGGCTTGATCAAGCACGACCTGATTCTATACTTCCTAACTTAGGAGTACGGTATTAGGAATGATGTCGCCGTTCTCATGTTAAGAGTCCTTCTTCGACACTTTCCACGAAGTTACAATGCACTAGGCTGCCGGCTGAGGTCTCCTCTCGCTTTCCCATACCACCTCTCTCTACTCTCATGTCCTCCGATTCCAATCGCCTCTCTCAATCGCCGTAGGGCCAGCAAGACCTCGACTTCCGAGACTATGCCCACTCGACCGGAACCTACAGACCGCCCTGTCCTCCCGTTTGCAAGCGCCAGCGATTTCGAGGCTTTTCTCGACCGTGAACACGCAACAACGGAAGGGATCTACGTAAAACTCGCGAAGAAAGCCTCGGGCATTCCCTCCATCACACCGGCCGAGGCGGTCGAGACGGCTCTATGTTTCGGATGGATTGACGCGCAGGGTTTCAGCCTAAATGAGACGTACTGGGTGGTTCGGTACCAACCCCGCCGCCCTAAGAGCATGTGGTCGCAGAAAAATGTCAACACGGTCTCTAGACTGCAAGAGCAAGGGCGCATGCGCCCGGCAGGACTAGCCGCCGTTGAAGCTGCAAAGGCTGACGGTCGCTGGGATCGCGCATATGCCGGCGCAGCGACCATAACTGCTCCAGATGACTTGTTGGCTGCTTTGGCGGCAAGCCCAGCGGCTGCGGCGAAATTCGAGAGCTTAGGAAAACAAGACAGGTTTGTCTTGCTACAGCGTCTGCACACAGGACTACCCCAGACACGCGAAAAACGCATCAATAACATGGTCAACACACTGGCTGGGAACAAGGTCAAATCTACATCTGTACAAACAAAAGTTGAGACCGAGAAACAACCAAAGAAGAGCGATGCAGTTACAGGCGCCTCGAAGAAGAGAAAACTAGACGAGGGCCAAGGCAGTGGTGCGCCTTTGGCCAATAAGTCGTCACGAAGAGCCGGACTGCGTAGTCAAAATCGAGACTGAACAAAAAAAGATCATGGTCAAACCGAGAGAAAGTCATCGCATATGAGTATCTAGGTATGCAAGTGGCTAAGAATCAGGGGAGGGCAATGTGAAGCCAAGGTTGGCGCGATTGTCGTCAGACAAGCGGCCATATCTGTAGTTGAAGAATTGTCAGTTGGTGCGCACAGATACGGTTGACACGATTATGGGGATCAACTCACTCCAACAACAATCGAAAGATATAGGCTTGCATGTCGACCTGTCTGAGGACATTGTGGGCCCAAGCGCGGGATTCCCGTGCGATTTCTGCAGCCAGCTCCTGGCCTTTGGACTCCTGGGTCAAATAGCGCATGACCTCGAAATGATCACTGCCGTAGAGGTTGAGAGGAATATAATGGACCCACGGCATGATGACTTCATTGTGCCATTCACGAAACAGAGCCATTTTCACCGCCAGCCCATGACTGCCGAGGAAAGCGTGAAACCGGCCGCTGAAAGCATTCCCATCCAGGTCCAGAAGATATTTATACAGAGTGACGTTCTGAAAATCTTCATCCTTTCGAACGTCGAAGAATTTCTTCTGCGCGTCGTGATCCTCCTTTGAGGTCTGCCCAATGAAAGTGAAATGGGTGTTGTACAAATGTTGAAGGGTGCTTCGATCCGTCTCCTCAAGTTGCCAACCCAATTCACGGTCTGGATCTAGTTTCAAGATGTGCTCACGGCCCGGCTTCTCCGCTTGAGTCATGAATCGTTGACGGTTCTGTCGCGGCCAGACTCCCTGCTCTGAGAAGCCACTAGTGGTGGTTCCTCGCCAGTACAGAAGATCGGCTTTTTCTTCCCACGGCAGATCTTTGGCATCATCAATCGACACCATTTCTTGCAGATACCACGGCGCCGGGTAGAGGATATCCGAAAAGGATGAAATCTTGCTCGGTGAGAAGATCGGGAGAAAGTCATGGCTCACGCTCCAGGCGTTGGGCTTGTTGAAGAAACCATAGGTGTTTTCCAGTGAAGGCATTTGACAGATGTCGGTCATTAAGGTGTGATTTTGTACAAAATTGAGAGGGGGGTATATGTATGGAGTAGTGTCGTCGTCCGCGGGATGGCCGTCCAGATCCAATGATCTAGCAGGGCTGTCTGGAGGACATGAAGAGCGTGAAATCGCCCAAGTGAATTGGTGAGGGTACTCGTTGAACGGCCTGATGATGCTGGTGTTGTAGAAGCCTTGAATAAGGTCCTTGGCCGGCGAAGACCAGACATTTGATACCGAGGATTCGTCTTTTCCTACAGTTTTCCTCACTTCGCGACCACGTTTCACTAGGCGGGCCAGGTCGTCGTGGGGAATGATGACGCGAGGCTCGTCGTGCATGTTGAATACCATGTCCATGTCTGGCAGCCACTCGGCAAAGATTTGAATCGTGTTGCGAATAATTTTCAACCTCCAGTTGGTACCTTTGTTGTAATAACCAGCGACATTGCCCTCACGAATCGATACTTGAAGGACAAAGTCGTTGCCTCCAAAGGCCTTTTTCACCTTTTGCCTGATTGCAAATGGAGAAAATGCCCACATGGGCAAAAGCAAGTCGTTGATCGTGTCATATTCATCGATGAGGCGGACATTGTTGCTCACGGCAAATTCGTACCATTTGTCGAAGTTGGGTGGCGGACTTATGCCGTACCGGCGTTGATATTCATGGACTGCTTCCTCCAGCGTTTGAGACTGGCGAGCGGTCACCTGTGAAAACGAGTCGCGTGCATTAGAGACGAGGTACTCGATGGGATGAACTTCTGGCAGCCTGGGAGGAGGAGGAGGAGCAGCAGGGGCAGGCCGACTCAACCCAAGACTGAAGTGGTTGTCGCGTAGATAACTGGGGACCTGATCATTCCATCCAAAGAACAAACCGACCAGGAGGACAAAGGTGAAGAAGATGGCCAAAACTAGGAAATAGCGATGGATCCTGGCCATTTTAGGAATCGCCAACTTATAATGGCCAAGTAACAGGCGATGTGATTATTGCCCATTGACAGTGTCGCAATCCTATACAACGTTGCTTGTAAGGACAACTACACATCTCGTGATGTGGATGAATGAGATGGCAGTAACGAATAACGACAAACCATGAAGGAACTTCGTCTGTTGTTCTTTCTGACTTTAGGAGGTTCGTGGTCTCAAGCTAAGCCGCTTATAGAGAGGATGTTGGGGGCTGAGAGCTGAGCAGGAGAGCCTGCGTGTCATGTCCCTCGGCTCTAAGTGGCTACGTCGCACCTAGAAAGCACCCTAGACTCGTCTGTCGGGTGTCACAATCCTGGAGGATTCGACAGGCCACTGAACTCATGTTGATCATCTTGTGGGATGAATAGTTGTGGAGTTAGTGATTATTTGGCTATAGATGCCATAGGTATCGTGTTAAGGCATAGGGGTCGTGCCTATTAAGCATTCTTCAGGCGTATAGACCTTACTTGGCGGGACTTAAGCATCTTCCGTGCGGGAGAGCACCCCCAAGGGATCCGTTTCGCCTTATCTAATAAGGAGAACAGCCTATGGTCTTTTCGGGTACATTGGGATATCGTTGGTCGTTTGCCCATCCGGTTTTGGACTGTGTGAGCAGCTTCTTGGAATGCCTACTCTGAGACAAATGGGTAGGACCAAACATTCAGACGCGATGAGAATCGTCAAACTAACCGCGCTATGCGAAAGCCACTAAGACGGTGCTATGCGACGACCAACTTGACTACCTGGCCAGCCTTTTATCCCGTCATGGAGATTTTGAGTATCTTAGACCCGCTCAAAGGATTTCTCGAAGGAAAAGTTGTCGTATTTTCCAATTGCTTTTGCTACAATGCCACGACACAGTTAGGTCGAGGCCTGATTCTTGGAATGACCAAGCCACAAATGGCCTATGGTTACGAAATAGACCTCTGTGCTATAAGTCTACTGTTTGATAGCCAACGTGTCACCAAAACCCTCTATACTCGCTAGCAGAGAAGGATATGTATGGGGTCATAGGGTAACCAGTGAATCAGCGATAATCAAGACAAATCGAGCTCGCGACCAAGAATTACGAATACTCTATGACGAATACGATACCAACCTCATGATAGTGGGCCATGATGTGCGCCATCAGGCAATCCTCTTTGACATGATATATGCCACCATTCCCTGTTCGAGGCTGATTCTACAGATCTTGATATCATTACCACGGCAAGGAGACACCGAGAAAGTCATGGCTAGGCGCTCAGACTCCGCTTGCTATGGCTACCCCGAAACAATACAAGACCGCAAGCCTCGTGAAGAATAGAACTCATGTCTTATATACTCACATCAATAAGTAGCCACCCACCTAATTTAGACCCATTTTCCCTAATTGTCATTCGACACCATGTATTCTAGTACGACATTATGTGGTCAGCATCATCATATTTTGAAACATGGCGAGCCTTGCCACCGTTACGTCAGCCGCGCAGGTGCCAAGTATGGAGATCTTGGGAGTTGGGTATCCCGCACTCGCGAGTGCGAGTCGGAGGTTTTATCCATGAGGCTCGGAGCAGCGACAAGCCTCTTGGGCGAGGAGCACAGCCAGACGAGTGAAAGAAATTTCAATGGGTGCGTGGCACAAGCCTTGGTATGACGCATTGTTGACTGACCAGTCCCCATGACTCTCTACATAACTTGTTTGCTGGCTATAAACTCTGGCGGGATCCCAATGGCAAACAGACCTCACTTTTCACCTTTGTCAAACTCTCAATCCCATACGACGCCTGACATAAAACCATAGTTGTCAGACTTACTGATCCTCCGACCACTCGTCTACGTTCTCCTTGACCCAATATCAATCACTATTTATACCGATCAAAATGGACGGAACCCGATCGCGTGGACGACTATCCATTTCGGCGATAGCCACTCTAGCATTGGTGGGCCTTCAGACCGCCTGCGCTATTGTCGTTCTTGGTCTTGTGGGAGTTAGATTTACCCGGCTCTCATTCACAGCAGCTGTAAGTTGACGACCTCGAAACGTGCCAACGCGATATTCCCAACGCCCATAAGGATATCTTGGCAGATAAAGCCTTACTGACCAATAAACCAGGTCTACTCAATCGTCATCGCAGTTGTTACCATTGCCACATGTCTAGGGCTTGGATACTTGGCGATTCGCCCACCGGCTCGACGTTTGGTCATTCTTGCGACCTTTGCATGGCAAGCTGCTCTTGTTGTCCTCTGGGCTGCTGTCGCTGGTGTGACTGGTCGTGAAAGAGGCACGGGATTAAGAGTTGCTATGGCTCTCAGTATCGTCGAACTCTTTACCTTCCTATTCGGCAGCGTCCTCAACGGTCTGGTCTTGTGGCGCGGCAGGTCGGTTGTGAATCGAAAGATGAACGACACCGTCTAAACGACACCATACCCGAAATACCTACCAATATACGCATTGGAGATCAAATCGATACGATCAAAGCGAGAGAAAATTTGAGACTATCTTCAGCCAACTGGAATTGAATTAATCAAACGAATGTATAATAGTGTGCCGAGGAACGGCGTTCAAGGTGGAGATCCCCTATGATTACGGTTATTTAACGAACCCTTATGTCTCCAATACTGATGCTTCACAACTTCAAAGTATTCTTGATTTTATCTTCATATAAACCTTCCCAAATATCTAGTGTTACGAAACATAACTGGATGGGGTTCATACTTTTTTAAAAACAAACGCCTGGAAGCTCGTCAAGGGGCGAATAGAATGAACTCAGGGCCACGATGAACTTCGAGCTATGCCTGTATTCTTGTCATCTTGATCCCTGCTTCTTTCTTCGCCAAAAGCTTAGGAAGAAGATATCTTCTTCCTGCAAGGCTGTTTCGTCACTGGGGGAAGGTTAGTCCAGGTGGTCATGGGCCACGAATTCCAGGCACTAACCCCAAAGTACGCATCTCTGGTTTCCCCACCTAACCAACTCGGCGTGTTTTAGGCAGCGCCTCAAAAGCTCGATCCTTCGGTAGGTGGTGTTATGGTGACTACACCTCCAGTGAGAAGATTTTTCCCTTTTCTCACCTGGACCGCATGGCCAGAGTGATGAGTGAAGGAGATGATAGAGCTGAAAAATGAGGAATGCCAGGCAAAAATAACCAGAAACCTTGTCGTGAAATCACAGGCCGCTTCCATCAAAATTGTGGCCTACAATGTCCACGAGTCATATTTTGAACGGCCACAAATCAAGCCAATCAAGCAGCCCTTGGGTCCTTCTTGTCCAGCTAACTTGAATGAGTCATCATACAAACTGGGCTTGACGATATTCAACACAGTCAGACTCGGGGCGATGGGCATAAAAGTGCTCGTCATCTTGAACGCTGGTAAATTCTCTCCTGAATCATCGCAACCACCTCCACTTCAGACGTCAGGTCTGAGAAAATGGATCAATCATTCGAATCCAGTATCGCTCTCTCGCCACCGATTCACAGAGATCTGAGGTCCCTCCAGCGCGAGCACAATCGAAATGCCAAACTATCAAACAAATATTATGGCTATCGGAGTGTGGACCCCAAATGGGTTGGTCAGCGCTATTACGCCCTCTGTCCTCGTGACTCCGACAATGTGTCCCAGTTTGACGAGACTTGGTACTCCTCCTGTGCTCCTTTGGTGACAATGCCACAGCTCATGAAGCCAAGGATTTATACCAAGCGTGACATGTACCAGGATTGCAGTGGCGATATCTGGCCCCTGGATCGAAGGCATCACAAGGGCAGAAGAGTGAGGGAGAAGCATGCAGTGAAATGGGTGCAGTTGGCGATGGGCACACGTTTAAAGCAGCGTTCCAAAAGACTGGCGTTTGAAGTCAGTACTGGCAAGGACTTGGCTGCTGACTGGGGAGATATTGACGATGCGGAATGCTCCTTTGATTGGGGGGATGATGGACAATATGAGGACTGGGAGGCACATGAACCGTTGACAGAGGCTTTTGACTCGGATCAAACCTTCACGTGGACATCATCTGAGGATGTTGATGCCGAGTTTAGCCCCACTGACGATTTTGTGCTGGTGTATGCGCCGTCGACGCAATATCGCGGAAATTTGGCGGTTCACGGTCGGAGCGACAGCGTCTCTGACTTTTCTTGCAATGCTGATGTGTCTTTTCCTGATCTGGATGACTCCTCTTGGGAATTGACATAGACGGGATTCCATAACACCGAATGCTCCAAGACCAAAGTACTGCTGAGGGTCAAAAAACTCCAAAACCGACATCAGGGACTCCTCGCCATCTTGGCTGCAGCTTTATAGTCCGGGGTAATCTCTTCTGCCGGAAACGCCCATGGCCATCCTGGCAGCGTCAGAATCAGCGCAAAAGGATCCTCTCTGAGTTTGTCGGCTCGCTCTTTCAACTCCTCAACGTCCCAATTGGACCATAGATATTTCCCCGATGGGATGATGGCCCCCTCTTCCGAAGCGAGCCACACCGCGAAACACGCGGGTAAGGACACTACGCTGAATTAGCATCACGGTAGAACCAGCCTGGGGCTGACTGTGTGGACGAGGGATATCCATTTCTCACCATCATCAAAGGGTAGGAACGGCTGGCTCTCTCGCTTTTCCTCGGGCATCATGGCGATGCTTTTGCGGAACATATCTGTTTCAATGACACCCGGATGCAAAGAGTAGCATCTGACATGAGGATTCTCGGCTGCAGCGTATTCGATGAGTTTGGCAACGGCAATCTTACTGGAGGCATAGCTGGCTGGGGCAGAATCGACATGAACGGCTGCTAGATGCGAAACAAGAGAGTTCATTGCCACCAACAGCGGGGAGTGCTCAGAACAATAATGGAGAAATTGTTGAAGGACGATGAAGGTGCCTTTGACTCCGATATCAAACGATGTCCAGAACTCGCTCAACTTTGTATCCCTAATAGTCCCCTTATCGGCCAGATACGCTGCAGCATGGATACAAACGTCGATGCGTCCATAGCGAAAGGTGACGTCTCGGAAACAATCGCCCACGGCTTGTTCGTCTGTGATGTCGACCGAGTAAGTGGCGATGGTGGGGCCACCGTCCAGGCGCTGAACTAGGTGCTTGGTTTCTTGTAGAGCATTGATGCGACGGCCCAGGATCACGACCACCTTTGCGTGGGCTTTGGCAAACGCCAGGGCACTTGCTTGGCCAATGCCCGAACCACCGCCCGTGATAACCACGACTTTGCCATCTGCAGAAAGCTCTGGACGAACCGGGTCAATCGCTGGGTACGGCGCGTGGTAGTACCTTTTGGTAAAAGATGGCATCACCATGACGGGCGTTTTGTGATTAGTACACCGTCACCCGGACGCACGCGACGAGTTGCTTATCAGATGGAGCGGCCAGGAGCGGTGAAGCTTCCGTCAGGCTTATGCCGCCTGCGGTGGGCGACAACAGAGAATTGAAAGGCTCAGGTCAAGTGGAACTGTATGTACTCGGGAATGAGGGCTCTGGGTTCCCCATCAGTTATCTCTTGCGGGTTTCTCAGCTATCAGTTCATGGCTTGCTTTGGCGCTGAACAGTGCTTGTCTTTTGGTCACCACTTGGCACGTCATCACGTGCTAGTTGTGGATCTGTGTCTTCCTCCTGCATGACTGTAAGGTGAAGTTAAAGATACTGTAAAGTCTATCGACCTAGTATTCCAATGTTTTAGTTGTATTCTAGAGTTCAAGGTGCAGTCAATAAGCCGGTTTGCTGATAACACGACAGGCACGAACCGCCCTCATCCTACAATTAAAAACCGATCGGCATTTCCAAACTATTTCCCTAGGAAGGTTCCGACCCCTCTCTAAATAGCGTGAAATAAAAGGCATGAGTGCTGCCAATCATACAGGGGTTCCTAGATGTTGAGGCCTGGGTCCATAAGAAGGTTGAAGGAGTAGAAAAATGGTCGCTGTGGTGCCAAACTATATTAATTTCCCAAGCAGAATCTCGAGATCACATTTGAACGCGTAAACAACTCTCTATGTTTCGTCCTTGTTGAACCAAGAGCTGTGAAACTTGTCTTGACAGTAATGAATATCACTTCGTCTCGAATTTCTGTTCGAGAGCCCAACGACTGACACCATACACCTCGCTTGCTACGTGCGCATGCATATCGATCAATGTAAATTCTTCACCCATAACATAGTACTGATCCCAAGCACTCCTTCATGTTTGAGCAAAGCCCAATCAATCATATCTTCCCTCTGGCATACTTCCACGGATGTATCCATAGCCCTCCTTTTCATCGATCAAACCCAGACTGCGTACAAATGTCTTGTCGTGGTGTCCGGGATCATTGGGATCTGGTCGCACACCATATGCAATATTGTAGTCTCCAATGTGGTCCGACATCTCGTCCATTGAGAGCAATGGTCCTGCTTCACCAACCTTGTCGACGATGGGCTTGAGGATGTGCGAGATAGCCATGTAGCCTGGCTCAATGATGACGGCCTTGCTCGAGAACCACACAACACCCAGCAGCATGACGAATTGGACGAACGGAATTCCGGCAAGAATGGCTCCTGCATATGGCCACCTAACCACCACCACTTGCGCCGGTCTCGGGCTGTCTGACCCGGTCAGATTTTGTCGAGGGCCATTTGTGTCGAACGCGGTTATCGCGCCGATGGTGAAGCCCACCACCGTACCAGCGACGTCTTCGGCAGTCACATCGGCGGGCAGCGAGAGGTGGGTGTCGCCATTGAACAAGATATACTGCAAGTCACCACACCTCTCAGTGCCATTCTCGTCGATTTCGGAGCTGCAAACTCCGGTCCATCCAATGGCTCCCGCAAATATCCAAGCCTGCAGGTCTGGCATCTCAAGCGCGTTAATATCAGTGATCCCCTCGTTGTTCGGATCCGCGTGTGTCACTTGCTCTAGAGTGTTATTGCACGCCCAGAGACGAGGAGAGGGCATGAACGAATCGGATACATCGTCAACGACGCGAATGTCGGATGTTTGGAGAGCGAGCATCTGTGCACATCGTGGACCACAGCCACCCATGGTGGTATTGCTCATCCAAGTAGTTGACCCAGTTGCCACTGAGCTAACCACGTCTGTGTGCTGATTGCCGTTCTCGTCCACCCATATTAGTGTCTGGTCTGGTGTCTGGTCTGTATCTTGATCTGTATCCTGGTCCTCAGTTGTATTGGCCCGGAACCCAGCGTGTCCACCGAGAAGAATCTCCACCTCTTGACAGGTTGCAGCAGTCGTGATATATCTTGTAGAAATCGCTTGACTCTTTCTGTCTTTGGGATTGGCGTTAACGAAAGTGTAAGTATCAGCACCGAGTTCATAACTGTTCTGCCCTAGTTGGCCAAATAGATTTGCTGCTGCTTGTTGATAAGGAAGGGGATAGTCCACCCCGTCATCTGGCTGTTGCCCGCTGGCAATGTATCGTAGATTGGCAACGTCCATCTCACCTGTGGCCCTTTAGTGAATAATCAACAGAGTTCGAAACTGGGTGCGGTGGCTTACCGGCAACCAAGTGCATGAACTGGTTGGAAACGTCGATAGAATATGTCAGACCAATCAAGGCGACAAAGACGTTGAAAGTGACGAATACGGAGAACCAACACAGAGCGACAATTTGTTGCTTGGTCGGATACCAAGTGCCTGGCCTCCATCCTCGAAAAGCGATTTGTAGAGTATTGCGATAGCTAGAACAGCCAAGAACCAGCTCAAAGTCACGCATGTTGCGATACTGGGCAGCAAGAAACCTCCACCTCATCATTTCGGCGTATTGGTTAAACTGGGCAGCGAATGCCAGGCCAAGGGAGATGGAACATCCTGTCACAAGGGCGTTGTAGCCATATTTTTGCCACTGGGTAATGCCTCTTGTGATTGTGGAGAAGCCGTACATGGTGCTAGCCAGAACAGCACAGATAAAGGCTGTCACACACCAGATGATGAGACAATCAATGAAGACCCTCCTTGCCTGGCGACGGCGATTGAAGTATCTGACGGTGTTGGAAGAGCTGGGAACGTCACCAAGATACTTGTCGGTCAATTTGTGCTCCCATGGACCAGATGGAGTCAGCGAAATCCCGGTGTTGCTTCTCTTTTGTTCGCGTTGATTCCACGATCCTTGCTTTCCTGTCTCGGGCGTTAGAAAAGGAGAAACAACATGAATACCAGGCGCTACCTGAAGCTTTGGGATCGAAGGAACCATTGCTGGAACTGACGGCTCTGCCATCACTGGTCTCATTGCGAAAGACGAGAGGAACCTCGGCTGCGGACTGGTCGAAGCCTTTCATGGTGCCAGAGTACTCTCGATGTCTTTGTTCACGATTGAAGTGAGGTGGACTGTGGTTGACAGCAGGAGCAATCCGGCAGTACCTGGCCATGGTGAAGTTTAAAAATGCCACAACCACGTTGTCTCTTCATTTCGAAGGATTCGGGCCGCGGCATGAAGGATCATGGTGTTGCAACGGCGCTGTCCAAAATTAAGGCATTTAAAGGATTCACTATCCCACAGGCGAGATGGGGCCAGACAATATGCATTTGTATTGGCCGAAGAGCAACGTGATTGAGAGGCTAATGTAGACCAAATGCGGCTGGACCCTTCGTCAAACGTTGATCGTGGCGGAGAAGGAGCCGCAAGATCCTGTAGGATCCGTAGCGCTGGACCTTTTTATTACTGATCACAACACCAAGCCATAGTTGCAATGCCTATGGTCAGCAGTGACACCAATGTGACAGCGACTGTCAGCAAGGCATGCTGGCGGCGAGTTGAAGACCATTGAGGCCTCCCATTCTTGACTGACCAATGCGTGCGAGAACTCACACTTGTTCTTGTTTGATGCTGGAAATGGGCAGGATCAATTTAGCCCCCAATCTGTCGACACCAGCGGGTTCGGGTGACAAAGCATTTCCATATCACGAGTTCCTAACTGTAAGAAGGTTGGTGTGTAATGAAACTAAAATCAAGGGGCCGACTTGAATTTGGGGACAATTTTGTACTTTCCATTCGTGTTGCTTGGGAGACAATGGTGATACATCAGTCGACCTCAGAAGCAACAAGGTTTCTAGCTGAACTAAGTTGGAATGCTGAAACCACTCGGCGACAGATGGGCTAATTGGGGCTGGTTTTGTCGATGTCTACTCGTAGCGGCTGCAAGAATGTGGTGGAGATTGAATCCTACGGAGGTCTTGTTTACCAATAGGCGCCGAGCAAGGGGAGCCGATGTGGTGCCACTCGAAGATGGTGGCTTCAGTAAAATCTGCCCTACGCCCTACCGAGACTATGCCACTTGGCCTTATGCCCATCAAAACGCCCACAGAGGGGTAAAGCGGCCCGGGTAACCCTACGTGGGGATCTTCTATGGGTGTTTCAGTATGTCCGCTCTTTGACTATGGATAAACATCACTTCAAGCTGCGCAATAATCTGGACTACTTGGAATAATCCTGCTGAGAAATCATATTTCATGTCCTGCATTCAAGGGCTTTACAAAGTATGATCTATGATTAACATGGGATTTGTGTCAATATTCGCTGAGTGTTAAGGTTCATGACTGTGTCAATTAGATCAGCAAGTAGAGCCATTGTAGATTTCTAGAAATCATTGTGATCAAAGATAGAACCTCCTAAGGCAGCCCAGCGCTCAACCCAGAGCACCGCCACACTCGAGCCCACTACGCTGGGTACGGAGTGCTTTCAAGTACTTATAATGCGTTCCCAGTTCTTCTTCCCTGGGAACATCATCTCCAACTGCCCCGCAATCTGAAGTTGCTATCCGGAATTGGGCAACTTGCGATAGCCAAACGGGCAAAGCTTTGTACTGACGTCGACAGTCAAACCAATGCTATCAGTTTATCTAAGTAGACCAGAAGTGCCTCAAAACACCCACAATTCATTGCTCTCCTCTTAAACACCTATTTCCACTTCTTTTGCTCGGAAATATCCGTCAAATACTAGCAATAATGGTTTATGAACCAGAAGTATACCATCTGACTCCCAACAAAGGAGCCCCGAACAGTGACAAACCCGTGTTGATCTATCGAGATTGCCTGCCGCTGCCAATATCCGAGGAGAAAACCACCGAGTTTCTCGAATCGCACGCCTGGGTAAAAAAGGGAACTTGGGGCCATATTGACGTTCGCCACTTTCACCCAAACACCCACGAGTGCTACGGTGAGAGAAGATTTAGGCATGGTTTGGAGCACAGGATCGGGTCTGACATGCTGTATCAGGTGTCTTCCAAGGCGAATCAACAATTCTCGTTGGCTGTGGCGGAATTGACCCCGACGATCATGGCACCAAAATTGATGTCTCGGTCGGAGATGTAATTGTCCTGCCTGCTGGTACTGGGCATTGTAATTTGCAGAGTACCCAGGACTATCGATATATCGGCGTCTATCCAGACGTATGTCCCTACGGTGATTGAATTCCGGACGTCATCAATGCTAATATTTTCGATCATCACAGGGCGCTCCCCCGTGGCGTAGCGAGTTGGGCAAGGAACCAATCGATCTTACCGAGATGAGGAAAGAGACTGGGTCTGTCCTACTACCAGCGGAAGATCCAGTGAATGGCGCAAATGGACCCTTACTGAGCTTATGGACCCAAAACAAGGACAGTGTCTAGACTATGTCCTCGCACAAGGCCAGCATTGAACTCAATGTCACGATACCTATTGAATCCTCAAGACAAATACACCCCTAAGGCGTCATAAGGCCGAAAGATGAGTGCTCAGGACGAATTCATCTTAGGTCCCGAGGTTTGCCAAGTTTCCTTGATGGATTCGATGCCAACGAAGTCTCGAACTGGTTTGCCGAGCTCTTACTAAAAGTGTAAAACAAGGAAATAGGTCTGTATCACAAGTCTACCTAGTATTCTAGAATCCCTTCCCTAATTTGGAAATCAGCTCTTCTGTAAGTGGAATGGCTTTCAATGGTGAGTAGAATTGGCTGCCATGCACATCGTCTTCTAGGAACCCTCCCGAGCAACTGGGCAAACCTCTTCGTCGCCTAGGCACCGTCGCCTTATACGCCATTGCTGGGTCGAAGAAGCCTTCCGAGATAATTTCTTCTGCAGAAATTTTGTATAACTGGGCGGTGACATCCCGGCCTAGTATTCCTGATGCCTTGATAGCCTCGTAGACCGCTCGGTTGTCAACCATCACGTCCAGTGTCACCTCGAATGGGCCTGCGTTCTTGGATCGAACAACTTTGGCTATATTAAACAATGTAGACGGTAGGTTGACATCGGGTGGCGCTGGAAATCCGTTGACGCTTTTGGCTTTTGGTGTTGCGGGTTGAAAGATTTTGTCGCTCCTTAAAACTTGTGACCAGTAGTCCGAAAGCTCGCCATCCCCGACGAGTGTTGACGACCAACGAAACAACCCGCTGGAAGTTTCATCACTAGTCTCCCTGCCGTGCTGCTCTCCATCTGCTAATTTCATCAAGTGGTATAGTGAGAATTCGGCACATTGATCGACCTCCAGTTCGAGCTTGCCACCAATACCCATACCAAAATTGCCAGAGGTGGCCTTTTGACCTGGGTAAGGTCCATGTGCGAAAGCGATTCTCACTGCTGATGCCAGGCTTGTGGCGGCCTCTTGAGTCGGAGCTAAACTCTCTGTCACCACAAAGATTTGACTGGGAATGTACTCGGGCTTGTCCTTGTCGAAGCCATAAATATGAAATCCAATGTCGCAATCTCCTTGGATGTCTTTGTTCCGGCTATATGCGTACTGTTTGGCTCTTTCAAGAAAATTGTTGATCTGACCAATGAGAATTGGGTCTCCGAAAGAGCCCATCATCAACGTCCGGTAACCGGTGACTCTGGCGCCCTCAAGCTTCACCGTGAAAGGCTCTCCATTTTTTCGCGACAGGTAGCATTTTGAACCAGAGATCCGTGTCGTGATGGAATCTTCTAGTTGGTTATATGTCGCAGTTGAGACGTCAAGCACGCCTCCTGGGCCAGCTAGCAGATCTGGTCGTGACTTTTCGTACATAGTATGAGCGGCGACACTCAGCGGTATACATTTTGCTGCTGCGTCCAGAGGCCTGATATCGACGCTGAAATCCGAGTTGACGATGCCTATTGCCCCCGATCCTTTGGGGGTTGCACAGAGACGCCTACATTCGAGAACTTTGCCCATGTGATAGATAGACCCAAGACTTTCAGAGGATAAGTTTGTGATGTCTCGTTGTTTTGAGTCTAGAGCATGGTATGCTGCAAATGCCACGTAGGGAGCAGGACCGTAAGCTCTTCCTCCAATCATGACGTGGAAGTCTGGATCGCGGATCATGGCGTCCAGGAAAGGCTCAGGGCCCATTTGAGCTACGATTCTCGGAGTCTGAGTGATGGCTTCCTCCGTCAATTCCGGCACAGCCTTGCCACAGGGGGAGATCTGGCCATCTTTGAATCTTTCATGAACAAGAGATTTGTTGAGTTGGGAATAGATGCTAATAACCTTCAATTTCCAGGACCTGAATTGATCGTCAGTCGATGAAATTCCATGATCTGATTGCTCAAACTTGCCTATTTGCCTCCTTTGCGGCAATCTTACGGATGATTTCCAAGTAAAGATCAACATGTTCATCACTGCCATCGCCTCCAGCAGATGACATGAGAATCGGAACATGATACTTCATCGAAAGAGGGATCAATTGTCGAAAGTCGCGCTCGTAAGCCTCATAAGGACATGTCGTTGTCCCAAGTGCCAATTTGGTAGGGCCGGAGTCAGTGGATCCCGCATCTAGGATGATTGCCGTTGGCGTTGTCGACTCAACGCACTTAGCTAAGGCTGCTTCTGTCCATTCTTCGCTGAAGCCATAGCCAAACATCCCCACCGGAGTGACGATCTGGCAGATGGGATGCACAAGGGATGTTGGTGCCGCTTGGCTGGGCTCTTCGAAAACAGCAGAGGGAGCCATCTTGATAGTCGGGGCTCCAATTGACGTCGTTCGGAGTTCACTTGGTAGGAGGATCAGGATAGAGTACGTCGATAAGAGCTGAATTAATTATGAGGCATAGATGTAGGGCTCTCAGCCAAGCGATCACGGCGAAGCCAGCGGACCTGCATAGCTCACCGAGAGCGAAATCGCAACATGGCAACAGACCACTTGTCCACTGGCGTCTTCCATCCGACATGTCCGCTCGCTGCCCTCATCCTTACGAATATGGACCAGAGATCAAAGATGGACATTGGCGGGCAAGCGATTTCGCTCCTATGCGAAAACGCTTGGTTTGTGCTTGGCTGAAAACGGTCCTCTAAGCAACAACTCATGACATTCTGTGAAAGCCTCCCTGATCTCGTTGGACAAAGCCTCGAAGTTTCTTGTGTCTCCTCTAAGACGCTTTTTCAACATATACCTATGAGGTTTGGCAATCGTCCCGACACATCCACGACATATCATACAACTGATAGGCACAAGCTTGCTGGTCACATGACTACATCGAAGCATAGAGCATGTATTGCATCTACCAGCCTTGTAGTGTAGGGTTTAGAGACCAGGCGCGCAGCTCTAGGCTACGACACCCTCATAGTGGCCAACGAGGACTATTAAAAAGGCACGAAGTCATGCATAACAATGCCTCGAGATCTTGAGCAGTGGAGCCTGTGTGGAGAGCAATTAATGGATAGGATGGAGGAGATTGATAGTGATGACGAAGCATGTTGTTAGAATCCCCATCAAGCGTCCGTTTCAGATCAGGCAACAATTTTAGGCGGGTTGATTATACACCGTTTGTGGGCTGGATCGTGGTACAGATCGTGGGCTCGTATTTGAAGAGAGACCAATATCCTCCCGCACGTGTTTAGCATAACATGAATGGCACGAGGTCACACCATTGCAATCAGGGGTGCTGTTTGTCCATGTATGTTGATGTACATCTTCTCTATGTGTAACTGAAGAGGTTGGCATAGATGTATACTGACCAGTTTGTGACAGCATCTGAAAGACGCAGTTGCTCGGATAGAGGATGTCGAGTGATGATGTCGTGGGTGGGTGAGACAAGCACGCCAAGTAGATGTCACGTGACTGTTCTCGGCCAGGTTCTTAAGAAAAGCACCGACTAAGTCTTGGCATTGTCCCGGAGACGGAGGATGTTAGTCCCGAAGCGTTTAGCCATATCGTCATCGATCGAGCTTTAAATTCACCGACTGGAGTCGTGTTCGCTCTCTCGCGGAATTCGATTGCCCCCAGTCTAGATTAGTGAGGCATATCTCAGAGTCACCATTCTCGGGACCAACAGCACCGTGCGTTTTTAATGTATCTCCAGTAAACTGTATCGTGGCACTGTCACTCTGCGCATGTGCAACACGTCGGTCGGCCGGAGTTCGCATTTTAGGCAGGTATGAGTATCTCGTGCACTGCTCCTTCCCACTCCTGCTCGTATATCCCATTCGTATCTAATTCTGGCAAGAGCCGGCCATCCGTTCCTGCCACTTTTTCCTTCTTGGATCTTCCCCAGTGTCGAGAATCTCCCTGCAATCTCTCCGTCTGCCATCTGTCTTGTTCTTCATTCGTACTCGTGGTCTTCATGACAATTCTTCTATTCCCCGTCTAGCCCCGGCTTCGTATCCGGATATTGGTATTTTAGCATCTTATACCCACTGTCACCTGGCCCAATATCCCCAAATTACGTGCTCTGCGATACCCAAGACGCGGAATATCCCTGTTAGCAGACATGTCCACCCAGGACCAATCTCATCAACATGCGCCTTACAATCTAGCCACCACGTTGCCACATGATTCAAGGAACCCTAGCACCCCAGAGTCCGAGGCAACTTTGGCACATGCTTCTCCAGCACCCGACCCAGAATCCCCCCAGCATGGTGCGGGTATGGACGAGAAGGATCGTCGAAATAATTTATCCTCTGATGATACCTCTTCAGATTCAGAGATAGATTCGCCTTTAGCTACGGGTGATTCAAGATTTCAACCTCTGAAATCAGCCCCAGCTTCCCACGACAGGCGCCCAGATCTTAGCCAGCGTCGGTCAATCAAAAGTGAAGACGACCTTTTCAGGGTGCTCTCTCGGCGTCAGACAAGTGCCTCTGGCAAGTCCAATGCCGAACTTCAAGAAGAACATGATGAAATAGAGCGATTGATGTCGAGGATGTTCGGCAAAGCTCGTCAGGAGCACAGTGAAGAGGAAAAGACTCGACACAGCGGTGTTGTCTTCAGAAATCTGACCGTCAAAGGCGTCGGCTTGGGTGCCGCCTTACACCCCACAGTCGGCGATATTTTTATGAACCTCCCAAGAAAGATTCGGACTCTGTTCACACGAGGCGCAAAGGCTGCCTCTGGCAAGCCTCCAGTCCGTGAACTTCTTAGCAACTTTGATGGGTGCGTGCGACCTGGAGAACTGTTGCTGGTACTTGGCAGACCAGGTTCTGGGTGTTCGACCTTTCTCAAGACCTTTTGCAACCAGCGAGACGGCTACGAAGCCGTCGAAGGCGAAGTTACCTATGGTGGGACCGACGCAAAGCGCATGAAGAGAGATTTCAGAGGCGAAGTCATCTACAATCCAGAAGACGATTTGCATTATCCAACCCTCACCGTCAACCGCACATTACGCTTCGCTCTCCAAACACGTACTCCTGGCAAGGAGTCCAGACTGGAAGGTGAATCGAGGGCAGACTACATGAACGAGTTCATGCGTGTAGTCACCAAGCTCTTTTGGATTGAACATACTCTAGGCACAAAGGTCGGCGATGAATTCATTCGAGGTGTCTCCGGAGGCGAAAAGAAGCGTGTCAGCATAGCTGAGGCCATGATCACCCGTGCATCAGTTCAAGGCTGGGACAATTCTAGTCGTGGCCTGGATGCTAGTACTGCTTTGGAATATGTACAATCTATCCGTACTCTCACCAATATGGCCTCTACGTCAACTGCAGTCTCTCTTTATCAGGCCGGCGAATCCTTATATGAATTGGTTGACAAGGTCCTCTTGATTGATGAGGGAAAATGCCTCTATTTTGGACCTGCTGAGCACGCCAAACAATACTTTCTCGATTTAGGTTTCGATAAACAGGAACGTTGGACCACTGCCGACTTTCTAACCTCCGTCACCGATCGCCATGAAAGATCTGTCCGAAAAGGATGGGAAGATCGAATTCCAAGAAATGCCCAAGAATTCTCAGACTTGTATCGCAATAGCGATGCCTACAGAAGGAATCTCGAGGATATCGAAGACTTCGAGTCTCAGCTCGAGCAACAGCGTCGCGAGCGGCTCCAGAATCGGTCCAAGAAGAATAAAAAGAAGAACTATACAGTTCCATTTCACAAGCAGGTCATCGCTTGCACCCAGAGACAATTCCTCGTCATGACTGGAGACCAAGCATCTCTCTGGGGCAAGTGGGGCGGCCTTGTCTTCCAGGTAAGTCTTGATTAAATATCAAAAGTGTTAGACTTCCGCTGACATTTCCAGGGTCTTATCGTCGGCAGCTTATTCTTCCAAATGCCCGCCACTGCAGCAGGTGCATTTCCCAGAGGAGGTGCAATCTTCTTTCTCCTTCTTTTCAATGCTCTATTGGCCCTCGCTGAGATGACCTCGGCATTCTCCTCCAAGCCGATCTTGCTAAAGCATAAATCCTTCTCCTTTTATCGACCTGCTGCTTACGCCATTGCGCAAACCGTTGTCGATGTTCCACTGGTGTTCATCCAGGTCCTCATATTCAATGTGATAATATACTGGATGGGTGGACTTGCCGCCACCGCTTCTCAATTCTTTATCAGCTGCCTCATTCTGTGGCTTGTAACCATGACCACATATGCATTCTTCCGCGGCATATCTGCCCTTTGCAAAACCCTCGACGATGCCACACGGTTCACTGGTGTCGCCATTCAGATTCTGATTGTCTATACCGGATACTTGATTCCGCCAAGCCAGATGCATCCATGGTTCTCCTGGCTCCGATGGATCAATTGGATACAATATGGGTTCGAATGTTTGATGGCAAACGAATTCACAGGCTTGACCATGCAATGCGATCCCCCATACCTCGTTCCTGCCGTTGGGCCGGGTGTCGCCCCAGAATACCAATCTTGCACACTTGCAGGAAGTGAACCTGGTTCCACAGATGTACTTGGAGCTGCCTATATTCAGCAGGCCTTTACTTACACCCGCGCTCATCTGTGGCGCAACTTCGGCTTCTTATGGGCGTTTTTCTTCTTCTTTTTGGCAGTGACAGCTTTTGGCATGGAAATCATGAAGCCCAACGCTGGTGGTGGCGCAATCACCGTCTTCAAACGGGGCCAAGTGCCCAAGAAAGTCGAGGAATCAATTGTTACTGGTGGTCGTGAAAAGAACTCTCAGAACGACGAAGAAGCTGGTAAGGATGACGGAAAGACCGCTGTCGAGAAGACCATGGACCCAAACCATGAAAGCGAATCTTCGGCTTCGAGCGCAGAAAAGGATCAGACTACACAGCAGGTCGCCAAGAACGAGACTGTCTACACCTTCCAAAATGTCAACTACACGATCCCATATGAGAACGGTCAGAGGAAGCTTCTTTCCGACGTGCAGGGATACGTTCGTCCTGGCAAGCTCACGGCATTGATGGGAGCCAGTGGTGCTGGCAAGACTACTCTACTGAATGCCCTGGCTCAACGCATCAATTTTGGAACCATCACGGGTGACTTCCTCGTCGACGGCCGACCACTGCCAAAATCGTTTCAACGCGCAACCGGTTTCGCAGAGCAAATGGATGTTCACGAACCCACCGCTACAGTCCGGGAAGCATTACAATTCTCGGCATTGTTGCGACAGCCAAGGGAAGTTCCCATCGAAGAGAAATACGCCTATTGCGAAACCATCATCGATTTGCTTGAGATGAGAGACATTGCTGGGGCCACCATCGGTAGAATAGGCGAAGGTTTGAATCAAGAACAGCGCAAGCGACTTACAATCGGAGTTGAATTGGCCAGCAAACCAGAATTACTCATGTTCCTCGATGAGCCAACTTCCGGCCTTGACTCCGGTGCTGCCTTCAACATTGTTCGATTTCTTCGGAAATTAGCAGACGCCGGCCAAGCCATTCTGTGCACCATTCATCAACCTTCGGCTGTCCTTTTCGAACATTTCGATGAGCTTTTGCTGTTGAAGTCGGGCGGACGAGTCGTATATCATGGTCCGCTGGGCCACGACTCGCAGAACCTCATCAAGTACTTCCAAGAGAATGGCGGTCGAAAATGTCCTCCTGATGCAAACCCGGCGGAATACATGTTGGAGGTCATTGGAGCTGGCGACCCTAATTACAAAGGCAAGGATTGGGGTGACGTCTGGGCACAGTCAAAGAACTATGAAGAGCAAAGCAAGGAGCTCGCCGACATAATTGAGAAGCGGAAAAACGTGGAGATGAGTAAGAATCTCAAAGATGACAGAGAGTATGCGATGCCTTTGGTGGTTCAGACCCGAGCAGTCGTTAATCGAGCTTTCGTCTCGTACTGGGTAAGTTGTGCGTGGCTGCCTTGCAAAGCTCCAAGTTGACATGTTCTTCTAGCGTACACCCAACTACATCATCGGAAAGTTCATGCTACATATCATGACTGGCCTGTTCAACACCTTTACGTTCTACCACCTCGGATTCGCTCAGATCGACTTTCAATCTCGGCTGTTCTCGGTTTTCATGACGCTCACCATTTCACCGCCACTCATCCAGCAACTCCAACCAGTGTTTCTGAATTCTCGCAACATCTTCCAGTCTCGAGAGAACAACGCAAAGATCTATTCATGGGTCGCATGGACAACAGGAGCTGTTCTTGTCGAAATACCCTACTCCCTCGTGGCGGGTGCGGTGTACTACTGCTGCTGGTGGTTTGGAATCTTTGGGTACCGAGAGACCACCAGTTCTTTCACCTCTGGGTTTATTCTTCTCTGCATCCTCCTCTTCGAGCTCTACTACGTCAGTTTTGGCCAGGCCATTGCAGCATTTTCTCCCAACGAATTGCTGGCCAGCTTGCTGGTGCCGCTCTTCTTCCTCTTTGTCGTCTCATTCTGCGGAGTTGTCGTCCCTCCGGCGCAGCTGCCTTATTTCTGGAGAAGTTGGATGTATTGGCTATCGCCATTCCACTACCTTTTGGAGGCCATGCTCGGTGCCATTATCCACTCTCAACCAGTGATTTGCAATGAGAACGAGTTTGCAAGGTTCCCGGCGCCTCCAGGACAAACCTGCGACTCGTACACGGCAGAATTCATCGGCATGGCCGGTGGTGCGGTGAGAACCGGGGCCGATGGGCTGTGCGAATTCTGTCAGTACGCCAACGGAGATGAATTCGGAGCTAGCTTCAGCGTTTTCTATTCCCACATTTGGCGAGACTTTGGCATATTGTGCGCCTTCATCTTGGGCAATTATGCTATTGTCTATTTGGCCACTTGGTTGAAGTTCAAGGGCAAGAATCCGCTCAAGACGATCATGGCCAAGAGAGCTCAAAAATCAAAGGAGTAAGAGCGCACGGCCATGGACACGCGCTGAGTCTAATAGATGATGTTTCAGAGATGTTTTGTATAGACTTTAATATCCTTATAGCATTAATTGCGTCAATTGAGAAACCGATTCAGGGCCCATCATCCATGAGAGGTAATCCTCGGCTTACATTGCATATATATGTCTCTATCACGTCTATCGTAGGCTCCTTGGCCATATTGTTGGAAGGCCTATGATTCAAAGCTACCACGAGTAGACTCCATCTTTGTGAACAAGACAGCCCAGATCGGCATCGCGTTTTCCTTGGACAATGCCTAGGATGGTTTGACCTGAGACCATGGGATCTCCAGCCTTTCCACCACCTGTGCGTGCCTCCTCAGATTCACCTCGCAAATTGGAGACAACGAAGCCAGGACAAACAGCGATAGATTTCAGCTTTGTGTCTTTGAAATCCTTGAACTCTTCAACCATGACCATGTTGAGGGCGGATTTGCTAGAGCGGTAGCCCGCTGCTTCTGGTGGACCGTTGTAAAAAGGCGACTTGGGATCAGCAGCAGGACCCAGAAGTCCAACCACGCTGCTGACGTAGATGGAATAAGGCGACTCGGATTTGAACAACAGGGGCCGAAATGTCTTCGCAATGAACCACGGCCCCCATACGTTGGCTTCCATACAAACTCGCAGATCCCTCGACCCAACCGCCGCGTTGTTGATCAGCACATCTAGTTTACCGAACTTGTCCTCCACCCATGCTGCTGCCGACTTGATCGATTCCTCGGATGTCACCTCTAGAATCAAGGTCGAGAGCGTGCCTTTGATCGTTCCCAATGCTTCAATCTGTGTCTTTGCGGCCTTGAGCTTGGCCTCGTTACGTCCTGCCATGATTACATGGTAGTCGGTGGATGCATTGGCGATGACTAACGAAGTGGCATATCCGACACCGGAGTTTGCTCCTGAGGGCGGAATCATGAGAGAGGAAGAATGTGTTGAGGGCCTGTATTGGACATACCTGTAATGAGAATGACCGTGGGGGACATGATGTCTGTACTGGTATGAAGAGATATCTCACTTTTTGCGACGATTTCTCCTGCAAATGTGGACTGGTTTCCATGACTCCAGAGAAGAGGGGGAAGTCCAGGTTTATATTTCCCGCAGCTCTCTAACATTTTTGCTTACTTTTTAGCATTACCTAGGGATTGTGCATGATAGTAACATGCCATGGTAACGGAGACGACACGGACTTAGACATGCCCATGGAACGTTTGACTGAATGTGTTGTATCTATCTGGAGATTTGAGGTAGTTTTGTACACTTAGTAGCCAATCAGCGATCATTCTCAGGCTAACGAGACTATACTATTTCAGGAGAAACCTTTGCGAGAGGATCGCATGTCAGTCAGCGGTTCGGCGCCTGAAAGTTCGACCTACGCAACAGCTTACCTGCCAGAGTCATGATGATGTCTGCATTTCTCATGTGCGACATATACTCCGTACATGTCTAGACTAAGCTGCGCAGGGAGCTCCTGGGTTAGTGGCGCTGCGCCTTGAGCGAGGCTGAGAGGAGATTAAGCCGCAACTGATTTCGGGGTGGTAGGGCGGCGTGTCTTAAGTACTCTAAAAGTAGACAGAATTGTCGGTTAGATTTAAGTTAGTGCGATTATAGCCCCGTAGAGAGATACTAAGTACTCCGTACCTACCTATTGAAGCTTTAGTGGTAGAATTCACCGCCACCCGTTGGTCAGCCGGGGTTAAGGGAATCATGCCTGACTATCGCCGATTGAACATCCTCCCGTCAGTCTTTCGAAAAGAAGGGCAATCCGATCTTTCTGACACTGCGATGGACATGGATGTCAATCATCGTACCTGTAAAGTCGAAGCAAGGTGATGACCTCTAATTATAGGCCAGAATGCCAACACCAACACCAATGATAAAAGCACTAGTGTCGTCGAATCAAATATGCCAGACGTGCAGAGACAGACGGATTAAGGTACGCCACACCAATGCAGACTCTCCTGATCATATTCCAGAACCACCCCACTGACCTCGACTCGTCTAAGCCAGTAGTGTGACGAGGGTCTCCCCAAATGCCAAAGATGCGTCAAATCAAGGCGCCTCTGCCTACGGCCTGGGTCGAAAGCCGCATCATTTGCTATTCATAACGAGAATGAATACGCGAGCGGCAACGCCAAACGTCCACGAGGTCCTCGCTCGGCTGTCATGATACGCTCGAGTTCTCAAGACATGGCGAAGGTGCCGCAGTCCTTGACCCCGGACCTCCACACCGTGGCGCTTGGATTCTACCTCAATTGGTACCTACGCCCTCGATCATCACCGGCAGGTTCATCTCTAGGTCTTCTGGCCTCTCTGTCGGCCTGGGTCAGTAGCTCCAAGTCGGCAATGGTTGATTCCGCTGTCTCATCTATGGCATTAGCCGTTTACTCACGTGTTCGGCACCACATACTCGCAGCCACTGCTTCTTCGATGACGTATCAACTCACTCTGCGTTCAGCCCAGAATTCCATCTCCAACTTGAGCGCCGCAAACATAGATGCGTGTCTGATGACTATTTTTCTCATGAGCCGCTACGAAGACGTCTTCCACCGACACTGGCATTCACCCACAGGAATCTCTTTTGGAAGTGCTCCTCATCACGACGGTGCCACGGTCATCTTGAAGACATGGGTCGACAATTTCCGCGGCTCAACTCCCCCATCAGTGGTCATTAAGCACACCCGCCGCGGCCTCCTTCGGTCTGCGCTCTTACGACATCTTGCCGTGCCAGAATGGATGCTTGATGGAAGTGTCTTTGGTGAGACTGGGCAGGATCTTGCATACGATTCAATCTTTGTCCGTTTGTTGAACATTCGGCACCAACTCCAGACTGGCCTCGGAAACGATGATAGTGGTGTCACCAGCAGCTATGTCATTCCCTCGGCAGGTGATCTGGAAGACTTGCTTGTAGAATTGAAGACACTCGACGGTGACCTGGAAACCTGGAAAGCAAACTTTCCAACCTCTTGGGAGTTCACGACTTGGACAGTCAAAGACGTTGGCCAGACACCCCGGCAACATTTTTACACGCCTCGAGCCAATCTTCACTCAAGTCTCGTGGCAGTAGCCGCCTACAACCAATACCTCATCACAAGCATGCTCGTCAGTAGCACCCGCATGAGACTAGTCCAACAAAGCCAATTCTTCCCAGAGACCTTTCGAGACGGCCTTGACAAAGAAATGCTCAAGAGTCTATTCCACCTTGAGGACATGGGGAAAGAAGTGGCTGCTAATTTCCCATTCTGCTTGAGTCTCATCAAATTAGAGGATGGCGAATGTGTGATCCGCAAGGCTGGTTCCATGGAAGCGTATGAACCAGCAACTGCCAATCTGCTCGCGTGGCCGTTGAGTGTCGTCTCAAATCTTCACGGCGTGAACAACGCACAGAAGAAATGGTTCCAGTCTGAACTGATGTTTGTTGGAATCACCCTGGGATATGGGGCTCTGCAATGTACCGATGGTCATGCGTGTATCCGACTATGACTCTTTCTTGCCAATCCGATCAATAATCTGGGGATAAGATGATCATTATTCCGAGATTTGATCTGAATCTGATCTCAGAGTCGGGCTACCAAGAGAGAAAGACTGACATCGGTCCCAAGTCTTCATTTGGATATTTCTCCTTATGGTATGACGTCGTGGCGGTTGGAATTCCTAAACAAGAAGCGGACCTCATTTTCAACCAATCATCGGGCCGGAATCTTGACTTTGACAAGACTGGGCAATGACCAATACTCCGTCCTTTTCTCCGAGCATCTTATGGCATGGTATATGAGTTGAGATCTAGGCAGTCTGATGCTGGAGATTTTGAGAGTAGTCAAAGGCTGAATTCATTACACCGGTGGTCGTTCGATTCAACAGCAATCGCAATGGCATCATTTAACCAAACGCAAGTCGTTGAACTTCAAGATGTGTCCAACCATCTTGGATCAACTCGATCATCGATCAATTCTGCCGATTCCAACCGAGAAGGCATCTCATCGCCACCGGAGAATGCCGTTTCTGCCCTAGAGAGATGGAACCAGTCAAAGACGAATATATGCAAGACAGCATCGACATTCTTTGGATTTTTGGTAATGGGTGCCAATGACGCAGCATACGGTGCCATCATCCCTTCATTACAAAATCACTACAGCATTACCTATACGGTCGTGTCTCTGGTTTTCCTTTCACCGTTTGTTGGCTATGTGGCTGCCGCCGTTCTCAACAACTTCCTCCACAAGACTGTGGGACAACGTGGGGTGGCCATGCTGGGTCCTGGAGCTCATTTGGTCTCATACATCATCATCTCCGTCCATCCTCCTTATCCGGTCCTGGTCATTGTTTTTATCCTTGCTGGGTTTGGAAATGGAATCCTCGATGCGGCTTGGAATGCATGGATCGGCAACCTGGCCAATCCTAATGAGATTTTGGGCTTCTTGCATGGTTTTTATGGTGTTGGTGCGACCATTTCTCCTTTGATTGCAACGACTCTCATCACGCGAGGCGGGTTTCCTTGGTATGCCTTTTATTATTTCATGGTAAGTGGATATTTGGTAGTCCAGGTCATTTTCCTGTACTGACATCGCTGGTTCTAGATCGGAGCTTCTGTTATTGAAATTCTCACATCGACTGCATCGTTCTGGCGCGAGTCTGGTGAGAGATATCGCATGTTGCAATCTAGCGACAATGTCAAAGGTGCGACTCGAAAAGCCTTGAAGACGAGGGTTGCATGGGTCAGTGCCTTCTTTCTGCTTCTCTATGTCGGAATTGAGGTTGCGCTTGGAGGGTGGATTGTGACTTTCATGATCGAGGTGCGAAATGGTGGTCATTTCGAGTCTGGTTTGATTGCAACCGGGTAAGTGGTTGGACTCACCATGTATTCACACGTAAAACTGACATGATCAAGTTTCTGGTTGGGCATCACCGTCGGTAGGGTCACTCTTGGATTCGTGACCCCACGACTCGGCGAAAATCTGGCCATTTGCATCTACCTGGGTCTGGCTATGGCGATGCAGATTCTCTTCTGGCTGGTTCCATCATTTACAGTGTCCTCCGTCGCGGTCGCCTTCGTCGGCGTATTCCTAGGGCCACTCTTCCCTGCAGTGGTAGTCGCCGCCACAAAGTTACTCCCGGCAAACCTTCACGTGGCAGCTATTGGATTTGCTGCAGCATTTGGCGGGGGCGGCGCAGCTATCCTACCTTTTGCAGTTGGTGCGATCGCACAAGCTGCTGGAGTTAGAGTGCTGCAACCCATTATACTTTCGTTGCTGGGCACAGCCCTTGGCTTATGGTTCATTGGCATGCCTTCCATCTCAAGTCGAGAGGGTGATGAGAACGGCAAGATGCACAAGACCAAGGCGGCTGTAAGCAAGTATTTCTATGGTTGTTTTGCAGAGCGATTATAGTCATTGGAAGATGAACAAGGGAAGGGAATGGAAGTTTTACGAGAGATATGCAAAAGTAGATGGAATGGAGACAGTGATAGAGACAGATCAGATATCAAAAGCAGATCAGACATTGAAGAAGAAGAAGCCGAATCTGGAATTAAGATTTACTAGCTCAGCCTCGTCGCCAGGTCACGCGTTGTTGGTTCAGCCTTGTCTCGCTCCTCTCAGGCTTGGCGGGAATTTTTTGTGACGCCGCATCTGATGTTGCAATGGCACGAATGGTCACTATAGTGAATTATACTGGTTGACTTGACCATCATGGCCTGATTTGACCATACCATACTAATCTACCTTCATCAGCCTGACCATCACTAGCCATCTATCCTACCGGGCTGTTGCGAATACCGGCTTTTGACCAGAAAACATATTCCTTCCACTTTCCGGAGTGTGAAGTCGATGTTATGGACCGGTATCGAAGGTCAGTCTTGCCCCATAACACTGTTCGACGAAGCTCACACAGTTGCAGCTCGCGAAGGTCCCCTCCCCCTCGTGACAGGTACCGAGAACGGGACCATCATCCCAACGTCGAATACTTTGGCGAGGGCGAAAGCTATCGGCCTGGAGGCGGCAGTTCCGCAAGCAACGATGCCTCATATCGTCCGCCCAACCGAGATCGACCAAATCCAGATTCATGGTCTGCCGACAGAAGAGACAATGTCCGTCGAGATGAAAGAAGAGAAGACATAGATTCATACATTCCACCCACCAGCGCCAGAGCAACTCGACCAGGCAGTCGATCGCCTCCTCCCTACCGTCGCCGATCGCGCACTCCTCCCGGTCGTGGTCGAGAAGACTTGTTCCCGAACAGAAGATCCCCTCCTCCTCCCCGCCGCTTCTCACCCCGAAGATCTCCCGTTCGAAGACGATCACGTTCTTTTGGTCCCAGACAACGCACTCCTCCTGATACGAAACGATTTCGAGACTACAGCCCTAACCCATCAAGACGATCGCCGAAAAGAGAGAGAAGGATATCACCAGATCGGCCTAGATTTGACCGTCCCCGATCGCCTCCTAGGAGAGACCTAAGTCCTGACCGTGATTCTGGACGAGGAGGAGCACCTTTTCGACCGCGATCTCGATCCCCTCCTCGTCGATTTGACCGTCGCCCACAGGATGACAACTGGAGACGGAGGTCTCCTTCACCGAGGAACTCCGGCGCGGTTTCCAACACGACATCTCGCAGATCATCTCCGCCACTCCATCCAGACAGGGCCAGTCTTACTGGCGAGAGGCCAAGATCACCGCCGCATCAACCACGAAGCCATTACGGACCAGCAGACACATCAAGCCATCGAGACAGATCACCCCCACGAGAGTCTGCTGAGCCGCGGCCACGAACCCGAGATACCAGCCCGCCTTTAGAGGAGCAAACTGTGAGAGACGAGGTAGTCCAACCTCCAGCAGGACCTAGCGGTCGAAATGGTGTGTACGATCGGCCACCACCAACTGGTCCATCCCGTAGTTTCACCCAGTCGCAACCCTCTCCACCAACAGGACCATCACGATCTCGACCCACGCCGACAGGACCGTCCCGTGATTTCACCAGCCCTCCTATTCGCGGACGTGGAAGCTTGACTTATCGAGCCAGAGGAGGGCCAGCATACGGACGAGGTGAATACATTTCAAGCCGGGGAGACTACGGAGGTGGTAGTGGCATCGGTATCGGTAGCGGCGCCAGTAGTAGCAGTGGAGGAATGACACGCAGCGAGCGAGACCCTCCAACTGGTCCACGAGGTGATTTCTCACGAAGTGAAAGTTATCGAGGTGGCTATGGACGCGGCGCCGGGGCGGCCGGCTCAGTAGTCTCTCCTGTGACCCCGACTGGCCCATCTGGCGATCAGCAATCCCAGTTTGGATTCCGCGGCAGTACTGGCGGCAGCGCGACCTACCCACGCACACAACGATTCAACAGCATTCAACAACACCTGTCAACCACCGAGAAGCTTGTCCCTGGCGGCAAACTCCTTCCATCAGGTCTTCCACTGGACCAAGAAAAACGTCTGAAGACACTCGAGGCTGAAGCAGAGAGAATGCGAGTGGAGATTGCTGAGAAACAACGGCTCAAGAGAGAAATGTTGAATGACTGGGACGTCAGGACCAGAGAGACCGAGCGAGATACCCTGAGGAGTGAATTGGCGGATTCTCATCTACAGACCTTGATCGATGGCGACGATGGGATCGGACGGGCTGCATTCTAGTAGGTTTGGCTCGGGAGGAGATCAACATCTGCTCTCTCGATTATGGTCTTGGCCATGAGATGGGATTGCCATCGCAGATTGTATTTCATCAGATGACAGAAAATTGGTCGTTCACATGAGGAATTTGGCATAGCGAGGGTGGTCATGGAATCGAAAAATAGCATTCAGGAAAGACGACCTGATCGGTTGAAGGAGGGCTTGCATACGATACGACGCATTGCACAAGGTTGCTCTTTCAAAGTCATCAAGATACCCACCAACGAATCGATGAAAACTTGACCGTCTTCTCCGTTAACAATATTGGGATGAATCTTCCGGCCATACTTGGCGCATCTTTTTTCCAGGTGCGACTGCGCATTGATCCCCCAAAGAGCTGAGAAATCGTCTGTTATCATCAATGCCGTGGACAGTACACGTGTAAATGTTTTATGTGTATCTTCATTGTGAGCGCCCATCTGAAAGGCGCGGGTATCGCTTTTATGCACTGTACATGTATATAACACACAGAAGAAGGGAGCCACTTCACACTTATTATGGTCATGCTCACTTCTTCCTCTTGTTGAATCGACTCTCTGTAAAAAAACATAATGATCAGTATTCCATAGATTCTCAACCCTCCTTAGGATTCTTGTCGTCTTACCTTCTGCAGTCTTCTTTTTCTTCGGCGCACCCTTGCCTCTCAACTTAGCTCGAGCCACATCCTCCAATCTTTCTGCTTCGTCCTCATTCTCTCCCACCAAATCAAACTTCTTGAACTCGTTCATGACATCCTCCACTGTGGCCGATCTTCGAGGGTAGTAGGCGGCGAGTTTGGGTCCTTTTAATCTCTGTCGGAGGATCTTGTTGCCTAGTCTCTCTCCTGTAGGGTTGAATATCGTCGAGAATATCGAACATTGTAACTGTGGGTGGTGGTTAGTGGAGCTTCGCAATGGGAGGGCAACGTGAAGAACGTGTCGAGGTCGGTGGAGCTGTAGGAAAGCAACTGGAGGTTTAAGCGCTGGTACCTTTGTGAGTTCGAGGAGCCGCGACCTGGCCGGGAGGGCCATGATGGGCAGTGTGCGTTGGCAGAGGAGATCGAGGTTGGTTGAAATGAATAGAAGATCAATGGATGTCTGGATGGATGATTGAAAGTGTCAAAAGTTGATGTGAGGTGCGGCCGGTTGGAGATTCCGTTTTCAATGCAGACTTCGTTAGAAATTGCCGTGTGGGAAAATGTTTGTGTCTGTCGAGAGGATATAAGCCAAATAGGTGAAAGTCAGTTGGCAACTCCGCGTCATTGACATTTTAAATCCCGTCAGACGCTGATATAAATTCCACCACCTACTTCTGCCTTGCCATAAATTTCCAAAGAATTGCCATTGTATTCTGTCCATCCTCAATATGAAATAACAGGTCTCAAAGTACAAATATACCGTCCACTAGTACTCAGACCTGTCCCCAACATGGGAGACTTCGATCGAAAACGATCCCATAATGGTCTCGTGGATCAACATCACAAAAAGAAACCACGTTTTGAGAATCCCAAGAACCACATCCACAGCCAACCCTTTTCAATCCCAGTCCTTCAACACTTGGCCACCCCAGGAAAATCCTTACCCACTCCGCCAGAGATCGACCAGAAATACGCCGACAGGGTCTTCACCCATATCTCTACTGTCTCCACACATCTGGACAACCAGTCTTCCGTCAGCTACGATGACCTGGAATTCATCGGGGATGCTTACATTGAAGTTATCGCGTCTAATCTTATCTATCAACGGTTTTCTTCTCTTCCAACCGGCAGAAAGTCGCAACTGCGTGAAAGTCTAGTCAAGAACGAAACCCTAGCTCGTTTCACTGAAGGCTACGGCTGGGACAAGAAAATCAAAGGCGGCAAACAAATTCAGCACGATTCTCCTCATGCCTGGATCAAAATCAAAGGCGATGTATTTGAGGCTTTCGTTGCCGCTGCTGTTCTGTCCCACCCGTCATATACAGAAGGTCTTGTTGCCATTGAACCTTGGCTACATGCTCTCTGGCGCCCCATCACAGATGCTCTTGCTGCCTCGAATCCATCTACCCCTTCTTCCCAACACAAGGTTGAGCTTGCAAAGAAGATCTCGGGCAAAGGAGTCAAGATCGATTACATTGATGAAAAAAAGCCTGTCATCCACAAGGGCAAAGGGGTCGAGACCTACTATGTCGGCGCTTATCTAACGGGGTGGGGTTGGGAGAACCGGTTTTTGGGCAGTGGAAAGGGCTTAAGCCGGAAAGCCGCTGGTCAAGAAGCTGCCGCGGCTGCATTAGCCAACACCAGTCTGATTGATGAGATTGTCGAAAAGAAGAACGCTATGACTGTCCAGGTTAAGGAGGAGTAAAGAACAAGAAAAGGACCATTCGGTCTGTTCCGGGTTTGAACAGGGCAAAGAATGATCCTCAAACGCTCTCACTTGATTTCGACAGCGAGCTATCGAGAAAATGAATGTGCTTCGTGGATGTATGAAGATCGGGGATGAGGCAAGGCTTATTCCACGCCATGAATGAAAAAACTCCAACTGCAGACCTTTCTATGAGCTCTGCAAGCAGATCAACAACTCCGACTATCGAGCCACGTGCCTCGCCTCATCATGGTTTACCGGTAATCTCACAGCTCGGACGAACAAAGCCGTTGGACCCATGATCATCACCACATACCTGCCACAATGCAATCCCATTGACAAAGAAACCAGGTCTCTGTCCCCAATCTCCCATCCACTCAAGCAAGATCATCACCTTAAATCTCACATAATGGCTTCCTAGAAACTGATGCTATTGCATCATTTCGGCCTGCAAGAACACGAGAATGACGAGCGGTGCCCATTTCATTCCTCTCACCCCGCTTCGCGACTCGAGGAAAGAGTTCTGCCGGAGCACTGACAACACGTCGAGCCTCTTTCCCATCGACAGCGTTTCTACCCAAGCTCAGTCCTGAAAAGAGGTTGCTCACTTTTCCGATGAGATTAGAGTCACTCACACTTCGAATCGCTCGAGAGACCTTTGTCTTTGCAGCCTGCTTGATGGACGCGATACCAGTGCCCACCTGGCTTTTGTCCGACAATGCGTGGAGCAGTCTTCGGCGCTTGGAGTCCTCATAAACTCGGACAGGGGGGGTTTCAGTGGAGCTTTCTCTCGAATCTTGGCCTCGATGGACTCCGTCTTCGCCATCTCGAGGCTCTGGATCTCGATTTTCTTTGCTACTGTCTTCATCCCAATTTCCGCCCTCGAAAGAAATCATTCCCTGAGATCGTCTCTCGGGATCCTGGTTTTCTTTGTCACTATCACAGTCCGAACCGCTTTCCCACAATTGCTGAGAGTTGTCCTGAGTGGAGGCCAAGCCGTCCAAATTGTTCAACGTACCTTGGCGGAGGGTCTGATGCAATTCTGTCTGGCGCCATGTGAAGCCTGGGACGGTTAGATGTCGGCGATCATTTTCGGCATATCGATATGTGAAGAGGTCTTGATGTTGCACGAGTTCAAAATGGCCACCACGTCGTCGTTCCGCCATGGATACTTCAGGTTGGTCTTGGCCCTCATTTTCAACACGAGTAGGCAGCGATCGGAAGGAGCTCATTGAGATACGAAACGATACGTTTGGCAAACTGTACAGAACGTTAGCCATTGTCAATCTTGAGCTTCGGTCTTGAGTTTTCAGCTGGGGTTTCTCAAGAGTTCCTTGCTTCCGATACTCAAAGAAGATGAATCGAAGGCCTACGAAAGAATTCATATAATTCTAAGAATATGTTGAGTGAACTGCCTTTGGACTCGACAGCCTGAGAACTGCCTGCCGCCTACCATACAGCGATTTTTCACGCAATCTTCGGTGGCAGAGTGAACCTCACTACCTAGGCGGCAGTGAGCTTCTCAGTAGTTAATCGAATCTATGGAGGAGACGATTCTAGAATGCCTTGTCGCGCTTCGGGTGACGTCCAGTCGTCACTACAATGGCGTCTTCGTCTTCATACTGGGACAGAATTCATCCTACTAGCACTCCATATGATGAGACAAGAAAAACAACGGAGAAACTTATGTGAAGTCTAGTAAGGGAGACAATGTATGAATAGTAACAAGGAAGCTGGAACAAACCCGCTCTTTCTTTTCAAGACACCAGTTCCCCGACCGTATTGTCCCTCATTTTCTTCTGCTTGAGTGCTTGGGTTGTATTCCGCCCAAGGGAAATGCTCAGGACCACTCCTCAAGATAACCGACCACCTGATGTATTCCATATACAAATTCCAGAATCCTACCTCTTTCCACCTCCTAGTCAGCCGTGTCCCGTCTGCCGTCAAGCGTAGCCGTAGTTAGGATACAGCGCATCTTAACTGCGTGACGCACGGACTCGGTAACTACGGAGTAGTCACATTAGTTATGAGCATCGAGTACAAAGAGCCTTGTTGGAAACAATGGGACCGCAAGTACTACCAGCTTTTGAATCTCGAACAAAGAAATCTGTGCTGTGAATTCCAAACTGTCAAGATCTGAAGATGCCTGGCTCCCGTCGAGGCCCGAGGAACCCTTTAGGCCTTCTGCCTCTTGGCTGGCTTATGGGGCGTGCATAATCCAATGTGGAGTCTACGGACGTAACAATATAGATATTACGAACTACGCCTTTAATTTCTAAACCCTCGTCTACCTCAGTGGGGACCTGATCTGACTTCATATCCATTTCAGTTTGTATTCCTCCGATTACTAGAGAGTTTATTGGTATAAATATATGAACTCCCCTCGTAGAGTTACCCGATAAGTGAAGGACTCCTCCGTTCAGACCTTGGGAACAGTGATTGTTAAGCAACCACTCACTCATTACACTTTGTCAGCCAACATGACGGAAAATACTCCGCCTGGAGAGCCGACTCTCCGTATCGTCCATAAGTCACAGTATGATCGACAGATATTCATCCCAGCGCCAGAATCCAACCTGCCGCAACTCGCACCATCTAGCGTCCGAGTACAAAGCCGGCTGATCGGATTGACGGCCAACAATCTATCGTACTGCGCCCTGGGGACGGCATTACACTGGTGGGATGCATTCCCCTTACCATCATGGGCCGAAGTCCCATCCAACGACGCTTCCGAATATGGGGTGTCGCCTGGCTGGGGATATGCGATGATCCTCGAGAGCAATGTTCCGTCGCTGCAGGCCGGATCACTTCTTTGGGGATTTATCCCAGTCTCGACATGTCCTGTTGATTTATTGTTGACTCAATCCAAAGGCCTCAGCTCACATTACATCGAAGTCAGCCAGCATCGCAGCCAGGTCATGCCACTCTATCAACGCTATATCGCCGTCGGTAACGACGTCGACCTAACGTCACCTGTGGCAGGGTTGACCGCCATGCTGAAACCCGTCTTTGAAGCCTCATTCTTGTACAACACGTACAATTTCCCTTCGGATCCTAGTCTTCCTGTCCTTCATCCCGGGATCGGACATTCCTGGGGTCCTGAGGACGCAGATCTCACACACGCAGCAGTGATCTGCTTGGGTGCCGGAAGCAAGACAAGTCGGTCATTTGTCCACCAGCTGGCGACCAATCGAGCGAAAGGCAGCGGTCCACTGGCTGTACTCGAGATTTCGTCTTCGCCGTCACCATTCTCGGGTCGCAATCTTCCATTTGCACATAAAGCGGTTAGGTACGAGGAGCTACAAGGCCAACAGGCATCAGCTTTGTCTGAGTGGTTGGTTTCACACGCCGGTACCGTCAAGCGGTTCGTGTTATTTGATTTTGCAAGCCGTCGTGGAACGACCCAGGTTGTCTATGACCTTCTTCGATCGCACTCGTCCGGTCTCCCTGTCGAGGTCTTGATGGTCGGCTCCGCACCACAGGTTTACTCTGCACAAGAACTCGGCGAGCGACAGGATCTGACAACCCGCCTCAATGCCGTGCGATGTAACGCGTCAGGTATCCGTGTGGCAGCTATGGAGGCAGAGGGTGAAGAAGCGTTTTTTAATCGACTTGACGCGGCATTTGACGACCTAGTCCAGGAAGGAAAGAGTCATGATGATGGAAAATATGTCGGAATAGATCTTGTCTCTAGGCATGGGCTTCAAGGCTCTCAAGGGCTTGAGGGTACGTGGAACCTTCTGTGCGATCAAAAGCTGCGGGGCGACCAGGGCTTTGCATTTTTGCTCTGAGATTGGATTGAAGGTCCTGAATCCGGTTGAGGCACTGAAGAAGAAACTGGATGATTGGGCGAGGTTTTTACTTAGTAACAATATCATATCGGTCCATATCGGCCACTTCGTTATAGTTAATCAATAGGGTATGCGTATATTTTCCTTAACGCCTTCGCTAGAACAAGTCATGAGTCTTGTAAGTTCCCTCACTCTGCACCAGACTCTACGTATCCAAGTCTTGCAAACCTCCAACACCTTCTGCTCTAACAAATCGTAAAGGTCTGCAATTGAACCTCGCCTGCATCCACTGGCACAAAGGCCTCACCTGTCATGAAACCATCCATATAGCACTCAGAGACTACTTTGTAATAGTCTCCAGTTTCATCAGGCCGTAGGATGACTGGTATGCTGCACCCGATCAGCACATAGACCTTATCTTTGTGTTGCACATTTACTGGCGTAAACCCCACATGTCCCGTGTCCATGGTCACGAGGCGTCGACCCATAGAATTGGCTGAAATGACTTCAAAGTCATGATTGAGTTTGACTCCTGAGGGACAAGGTAAGAGTTCCTGAGGAAAGTAGTCTTTGATACGTCGACCACCAACGTGAAAAGACCCCACTGAGCGTCTGAATTGTTCAAAGGAAAAGAATGAGCCCCCTGGAACATCTGACTCCCACCCTAGAGTACGTAGTGTACCTATGGTCTCTAGGTCTTGTTCATTGGTTTCCCAGTTGTTATCCTCGTCGAGTATCTCATCTTCTCCTCCAATCCAAGGAAACTGAAATAGCCCGGAACTCTTGCTGCTTTCTCCTGAAGGATCAAACAACCATGTGCGTAGAAGTGCATCAACCACTGCTTGGGAGTTTGGGTAAGGACAACGGCCGCTCAGTGGTTCGATGGATGGGTTGGAGGTTCCAGAGATGCCAGTGGGATCAACAACATGTGCAGCCAAGCCGTCGATTTCTCCGATACAGATGCCCTCACAAAGAAGAAATTCGTCGTTGCCCATATATCGAATCTGGGGTGTTCTACACCCATCGGCCCTAACGTCCTGAAAGTTGATCATATAAGCTGCAGGTGATTTTCCACTGCGGTAGGATTCATCAGCGGCTTCATATTCGGTGGAATCGCAAACAAAATCCCATTCCGCTGAGACAAAGAGACCAGTACGATCCGGAGGTAATGTCCAGTCCGTTACCCAAGAGGGAAGTCCAAAAGTGGACACTGCGTCCTGGTCAACGTTGTGCGAGAATATGGAATCCAAATTCACGGTAACCTCCATTATTGTCTTTGCAAAGTTGATATAGACATCTCTGACCGACAGAAGTGGATTGGTATCAATTCTTTCGGTGACACTCGTCGGGAGGATACCTACGATGCCGAAAACTTTGTCCCTAGGGTCAGTTGCAGTGGCATACTGCGCAAGGGTCAAGATCGGATAGCGCAGATCTTTGTAAGAGAGGAAGTGTCTGTTTTCTGAACGAATTGTAAGCTGTCTCAAGTAACCTATCCACCATAAGAGACCAATGACGGTCTGCCATCGGGAAAGATGTTTTTCGTACACAGCGGGCGTGATAATCATTCCAAAGCTTGCAGCATTTATGACAAGGAGCCTAAGCACTTGACGAACCTGATGCAGGAAGACCCAATCATTTCCGCAGTGAATGGCAATGTCATCATCGCCCACGGCCAGTTCTTGGATGATCCAGAGTCGTGTCCAGTGAGGCCGGCAAAGGAGATTCATGAGGGCCGTGTAAGACTTTCTCTCGGCTAGTCTGTTGCCATTGGTGGTATCAATGGCTAGTTCCAGGAGGAAGGGGCTATATTTGAACCCCTGTTTCAAGTTATATGAGATAAGGCGGATGAGCTCGAGAGCAAGGTGCGTGTCGTCGGAAGCTGGCCCTAGGTGTACGAAGACGCCCATCGAGTCTCCAAAGATGCTTCGCATTGTCTTGATTTCCTTGCTTCGTTCCACAATATCATCTTGGTTGATACACAGGGCATCCACCCAGACGCCGGCCTGCATCAGAGTCACACGGGGATCCTCCCGCATGGCAAGCAAGGCTGAGTGTACACTGTTGGTAACGGCCACATATCTCCCGTCGATAATGATTCGGCTGGAGAGAATATCGGAGACCCACGCATATGAGAGTGCGAGATAGTCTCCCCATTGAAAACGACAGAAATGGGGGATGGCTTGATCGCCCGGGAACGCATCGACTTGGTGTTTCCACCAGGCACGTTGCTTTTTGTGTAGTTGCAATTTAGGATCGGCTGCTGATTCCCAGTCAAGGTACTCGCCGGTGTGCCTGGTGAGGGACACGTGGCCAAAGGAGCATCTGATTGGTTCGTCCAGCCGTGCTGTGATCCGGGGGTGTATTTTGAGGAGCCGAATTTCATGTTCACTAGCGTTGAGCTCCTTGTACTGAAGTTTAGGTCGCTGATCATGTCATTAGCGCACGAAATGATCAGCAATGTCGAGTATGCCTTACAGTCACCGTTCGGATCCTTGCCAAAAGGTCAATGCCAAAAACGACAGAGAGATCGAACGGAAAACGGATGATGGCCTTCAATCTTGCATAAAGTGTAGTTATGAACTGTTTTGCATATCCAATGATCGTCGTCATGGCGAAGGTAGCAGGTAGGTAGGCGTATGTTATGTCAGGCCCCCGCTCATCGTTCTCGTTACGGATTGAAGGAAGGCTGTTATAGATCTGAAGCAGACGAGATGTTCTTCATCCAGCCAGTCTAGGCAGAGGTGAAAATATCGTCATCAAGCCGATGAAATACTTTGATTATTGCTGAACCATACCATACAACCGCTTGATACATGTTATGAATGATAGATGGAGTGTGGACGATGGAATTCTCGTAGTGAGGCTGGCGCTTGACGATGTGTGCTATGCTAAAAGGGGTTAATTTTATGTCACGTGTTTGGGAATGTTTCAGGGCGTCAAAAGTACATAGCCCCTCAGCTCCTGAGCAACTCTACACCTTTAGCCAAAAGGAGACGTAAAGTAAGAACCATTAGGCACGGCACTTATTTACATAAGCTTTGCCTAAGTGAAAGGGCTACTTAGAGAGGCACCCCTAAAAGCCCTCGGGCATTTCCAGAGCCGCACTCTCACCTAGGTAGCGCTTCTTAGGTCTAGGCGTACGATATCTATCAAGAGCAAAAGAGTTGAGTCGGTGAAGATTTTGCCCTGAGGCGTTACGATGTGTGGTGTTTGAAGGAGGACCTTAAGTACTAGGTACCTATCAGTACAGTATTATCTTGCTTTCTACGATTTGTCTGCGGTTCTCAAATCCCTTTTAATATGCCTGTCCCAGACGAACCAACATCGTTCGTGCACCTCCTCCTTGGACAAAATTGGGATTCGTATGCTCTCTAGATCGACACAGCGTACATACTGATCCACGCTGGTCAAAGTCTTGGTCTGGTTCGTCGGAAAGAATCCAGTAGGATCCTCGTATTCGTACACCATCAAAAATGTGCCCGTTGAGGTGAGTTGCTCCTCAGACTTGGAGTTCCTTATTTGCACTCCAGCTGGACACGCTGTCCAAGTGTGTGGCACCCCAGGAGCAATAGTCACGAGTGACTTGGGCGGAATCACGTAGATCTCGCCATTCAACTCGACCAATGCCACACCTGAGAGAACCATTATTCGTTCCGCAGTGAACTGTCGAACCGTGCTGGAAGATGCATTTGCCACTTCGCCAGGGGGAGATATGTGTACATGCCGCGGTAAACGATAAGAAGTGTTGAACTCGATAAATCCCAGTTGCCCTCGAAATGAGCGTGCTTGTCCTGGGTCCACTTCGTGCATAATTACTGGTATGTTCACATTTGGCATTTGTGCAAAGGGCTCTTTGATGTTCGCCCCAGCTCCATGGGTGATTGTGCATCCGGATGCCAACGTGATACCGTATTCGAGGTCGGCCATAGTGTGGGATCACTAAAGTCTGCCTCGTTGATATTCAGAATTGCCTAGGATGACGTTTAAGCACTGAGATTGAGTAATACCACAAGGGTTGCTGAATGAATTGAATCTGTGGGGATATTCAATGATGTGCTCCTGCGGACTTCAAGTTGCAGTACGAAGACTACCAACAAGTCGTGCAGGGTGGCAGGTCCGTTTGAGAGTTAGAAATTCCTGTGGTCTACTAATGTTTCTTTATTGACATCAAAAGCGAATGGTTTGTCAGATATGTCATCTATGCCTCGAATGTAAATCTCCAATCTAGGCCTAATTTACCAATGGCCAAACATACTAGGCTCGGGGAAGTGCTACTAAAATTCCCATCTCCGGTGCCGATTTCCAGGTTGAACGAATGGAGATGTGCCTCGAGAGCCTGTGTCCGCCTCGTGCAGCTCAAGCTCGGTTAGAAACGGGAGATAACGGGTATTAAGAATTCTGCTTCTATTGAAATGGGACGTGATACCACTGCCGAGGGCAAGTTCAGTGACTCGCAAGCACTGGTCACCGAACAGGAAGTATTGGATCTGATATCCAAGATGGAGCACCTCAACTCCGCAACCCAACACTTGGACGGTCATACTGTCATTGTTACTGGTGGTGCAAACGGCATTGGAGCAGCGATTGTTCGTCACTACGCTTCTCTGGGGGCGAATGTGGTGATTGCGGACCTTCCATCAGCTGAAGGTGCCGCCAGGGCATTGATGACCGATTTTCCAGATGTGAAGAGGTTGCTCTTTATTCCAGTCAATATCACGATATGGGAGCAGGTCAACCACCTTTTTCGGACATCCAAGAGTCACTTTGGGCGTGTCGACATCGTAGTCGCTAATGCCGGGATCATGGAGACGAAGCCGTTCTTTGACTTCTCAGTCGATGAAGCCGGCGACCTTATGGAAGACAGTGGACCGTTCAGAGTCATTGATGTCAATCTCAAAGGCACCATGAATAGTATGCAGACTTCCGAACAGTCGCGCCCTCTTTTGATGTACTGACTAGTCTCTATGTTAGCCCTGCGGCTCGCCGCCTTCTACATGAAGAGCAATCCAGCCTCGCTGGCTAGCTCTAGAGGCTCAATCGTGTTGATCTCGTCGACCTCGGGCTTCTTTGGGGGCACTGCAGTCGTTTCATATATTGCATCGAAGCACGGCATCATCGGCCTACTCAGGTCTTCTCAGACTGCAGCACAACTGTTTAACATCAGAATTAACGCAGTTGCACCTTTCATCACACCGACCTTTATCACAGAGGGCTACTCTGAACGCTACAAGGAGCGTGGACTACCTCTGAACACTCCAGAAGGTGTAGCCGATGTCATTGTCAATACATCCCTGGAAGCCGGAAGTACGGGGAAATGCTACCTTGTAAGGGCTCAGCCTGTCAGACTCGCGCCATTTACAGCGTTGATTACTGACAAGTCATAGGTCGCTGGTGGTGTGACAAGAGAAATCGAGCAGCCTCGCAATCAAGCCATCGCATCATACATGGGCGCAGATGTGAAGTCGGCGTTGGACAAGGCCAAGGGGTTCTTTGATGAGATAGGTGGCTATCCATTGCCTAGGCCGCGTGTGTGAACATTACGAGAAATGCCGCTGTGCGCTACAATATTTTACCGACTGAGGAGGGACGTCATCTACTGTACTTCGGACTTGGAGATGGAAACCCCGGGGATGGCAGTGATTGGTGGAGATCCGAGCGTTTCTCTCCGGTTTGACAACTCGTGATATTGGATCGGCTGAGCGTCCTTGACGCGAAGATACCAAAACACCTTCGCCCCGGTTCTCTCAAGGCTCAACATAGATCCGAGTCCTATGGCCGTATCAACGACCAACATATATACTATGGTAAATACCTTATAACATCTCAAGGCTGTGGCCATCATACACACACTCTCGGCAAGAGTCGAAGCTTAATTCTTTCAACATCATAGATTTCTGGGACCAACCTCTGATACAGAATCATGTCTTCGAAATTGACAGTCCTCATTATCGGTTGCGGGATTGCTGGTCCTGTGCTTGCCAACTTCTTGCAGCGCAAAGGCTACAACCCTATCGTCTTTGAGAAAGTGCCTCAATTGGGAGATGCGGGAGCGTCCCTGCTTCTGATGCCAAACGGCATCAAAGTGCTCAGCTTGGTCGGGGTGACTTCTGAATTAGAAAAAGACTCGATTGATCTATCTGGGTTTCTAGAGCTCTCGTCAGACGGAGAGCAACTTGGTTTTTCTACCCTTCCGACCACTTTCAGAGAAAAGTACGGCGAGGCATCACTCGGTGTGAAGCGAACCGACATTAATTTGAAGCTTAAGGACATGATCATTAAGCAAGGCATCGACATCCGGGAAGGATGGGAGTTGGAAGATATTCAAGAGAACGAGAGCTCGGTTACAGCTTTCTTCAAGGACAAAGGGCCTGTTACAGGCTCCTTCCTAATTGGCTGTGATGGTATCAAAGCCGCATCGAGGCGACTCCTCCTCGCGCAGAAAGGCCTGACGGAAGGTCTTCCAGACTTCATGGGCATGACACAGACTGCCGGACTTTCATCAACCCCTGAGGCATTGAAAAAGATTCCTGCAAAGACAAATTGGTATGGAGAAGGTGTTCACGTTATCTCCTACCCTGTTTCCGCCGATGTCACTTCCTTTGCAGTGACACTACCAGAAGCATCAGGTCAAGAGGCGGATTGGGGTTTGGTCAGTGAGCAGGAGATGAGTCAGAGGAAAGAGAAACTCTTGTCTCAATTGTCTCTGTGGAAGGATCAAACTCCCCGCCAGCTGGTTGAAGGTGCTTTTAGGATGATCAAATTTGGACTGTTCGACCGTCAAGATCTGGGAGCAGAGCACTGGTATTCTCGACGTTGTGTCTTGGTGGGCGACGCTGCACACCCCACAAGTCCCCACCTTGGGCAAGGTGCTAATCAAGCTCTGTACGTGAAATCCACCAAGCGCACCAAGTTGGTTTTATCTGCTAACTGTTCAAATAGGGAAGATTGTTTCCATCTCAGCCACGCTCTGCCATACCTCGACTCACAGAGTGACAGCTACCAAAGCGACGTCCAGAAGCTGGAGAGCTCCCTCGTGGACATTTTCAGGGCGTATGCAGAAAAGAGACAGCCGCGGACTTCGGTATTGGTCAAAGGAGCGAGAGCACAAGGGAAGCAGCGTGTAATCACAACCGGTCCAGAAGACTGCAAGCGGAGGAACCAACAATTAGCTAAGGCTTGCAGTGATGAGGCTGCTCTCGCGGCCACATATGACGCACTTTTGCGGGAACCCTTTCAAGGCTCTCCAGTGTAGCTAGGATACTGATCCCAGAAGTTGATATGTAACGTTTAGCGAATAGACTTTCAAAGACTGGTGTCATTGAATCAAAAATTGGTTTGCGATAAGACAAAGACCGGCTTATAACATACTCGCAAGTGAGGGGACAATGAACCTTCAAGGACAGGATAATCAAATTCACTAACGGGCTACCTCAAGTTCCATATTGATAGGTCAAAGAAAGAGGAGATCAAGCAACTAGGTTTGCCCGTATCCGCCTTCGACGGCCTGGTTACTATGGTTGTAAACTCGCTTGAGGATCTCGTTACGGTGAGCTAAGGATCTGTCTCGCCCATATATTTCTACCGCCAAGGGATAGGGCATTAACCGAGATCTTCCCCAGATCTTCAATGACGAAGAATACAAGCAGCTGGTCGCGCCAGATGAATCAAAATTTGTGAAACGCTCAGAGGCTCAAGTCATGGTCGGATATGACCTGCTCAAACATGACAATTATGTTACTCTACCTGGAGTCTTTACAGCAGCTAGCTGAAATTTTGCCTTACATAACTCAAAGACAGCAATGACCACGGTAACACACAGGCTGGGAAGGAGGGTCGAAGTCTGCAGGGCGGCGGGGCATTTGGACAGTTCAGTCACTATGCTAGGCAACGGAGAAGGGATACTTGACTCTTTGGACCAGTGGGCCGAGAAGATCTTTTGAAAGAAGGTAGAGCCTCGAAAAATGAATGCAATCCTGACACTTACTAAATTAGCCCTCCAAGAAAGAGAGGTTTATCGAATTGGGTTTACGTGTGTCTTCATCCAGAGGCCAGCTAGGCGCAATGATCAATTTCTCCACAAGTCACGCGCAATAAGGCGTTCTGCCTCATCGTGCGAAAAGAATGCCATATACCCAAGATGTACTTGCACTATATGCAATGTCCGGCTCCAAACACACCTCAAGTTCTGATGGAGGAGCCGGGCTCGGTTTTCCCAGCCATCAAACTCACAAGAACAGTTGGGTCCTGTGAGTGGCTTTTGTCAGTTACTGCAATGTTCAATGTATCCCAGGGTTCCTTACAGCGTATATTTCCAGCTTTTCGATGTAAATCCTTCCATCAGTCTGCACCAGATCGTATGCCGCGACAGATCTTCCAATGACACTGCTTCCACCTACTTGGGGAACTGACCAGCCCCCCCGGACAATCACGTGAAGTCCATCGGCATCAGAGGTGTAAACTCCATCCACGAAATGCGTCATATGTGGCCACGCGGCTTGCACAAAGTCTCGTTGTTTACGAATTTCTGAAAGGGCACGTCAGATCTAGAAGCAATCATCATCAACGTTGCCCGACTTGCCTTTGCGCCCGAAGAACTGCGAGCTCCGGGAGAAGAGATACGCTCCGTTCTCTAGGAAGAGTTCAGACCATTCTTGACTTGCTTCGTCCGTTGGTTCGTCCAACAAGTCAAAGAAGGTATCCAGGAAGCTCAGAGTAGCTTCAGGTACGGTTGTCTCAGGCCACTCGATTGCAGGCGACATATTGTATATCAATTTCTATACAAATGTGATAGGGAGCCGAAGGATCTGGGCAAACAAATCTCTCGGTGAAAGACAACCAGTGGTGGAAAGCTAATATTACAGATTAGTTTGCCTTCGGCTTGTTCCAGCATAATGCATGCTTCTTACACCGGTTGCAAGAGTCATACGAGATAGCGTGTCTCATCCCTGGTACATGTTGAGTACCCCAGCATCCCCGACATACCCCGTAGCCGACAAAACCCCACACCCAACGATGATTTAGTGGATCTGCAACACTCGTGATCGGAGAGTGATGCATAACATTTCCGTCCTAAACGTACAGAATGTGTAGAGATTTGGTTCTTATACCTTGTCATGGAGCATGACCAGGCTATACGGAGAGTGGTCACCACTCTCATGCTTGCTTGTCGCACTGAGGGACGGACTTCGCATATCTACACAGGGGCATGGCTATGATTGAAAACACTGCACATGCTGCAAGAGCTGAGCTGCTGGGAACAGCCGTCGTCACGGGAGGAGGATCGGGTAAGATTCCTATGCCTATGATCGATTTCGATATCATGGATTCTGAGCCGTGACTGAATATTCCGCAGGAATAGGTCGAGTCGTAGCCCATCGCCTTGCGATTGCAGGTTGCACCAAGATCGCACTCTTGGATCTGCATCAGGCCGCAATGGACTCTGTACGATCGTGGATACTATCGGAAATGACGACGCAAGAGCTCAAGATCCTGACTTTAGTTTGCGATGTCACTGATGAATTGTCAGTGACAGCATCATTTAACAACATTCGGCAAGAGTTCAAACGACTGGACTACGCAATCAATTGCGCTGGTATCACATTACCTCCGAGTCCTACTGATGCATGTTCTACGTCTGACTTCGACCGTACGATGGCCGTTAATCTTCGCGGTCTATTTCTATGTGCCAGAGAAGAGCTGCGAATCATGAAAGCTCAGCCTGTGGACTCGGAAATTTATCCAGGAATTCCTACGCTTCGTGGGCAGCGGGGAGCAATCGTTAATATATCTTCGGGACTTGCGGTTGCTGCCATGTCGAATTCGCCGGCGTATTGCTCGTCGAAAGCTGGTGTTCTTGCGCTCACGCGCTCGGATGCGGTGGATTATTCTACTCAACGTATACGGGTGAATGCAGTACTCCCCGGCGCAATCGAAACCCCGATGACACATACGGTAGAAGCTATGCGTAGGGGAATTGAAGCCCACGCAGTTGATGTGATGACGCCGATGAGACGTTGGGGAAAGCCAGAAGAAATTGCCGATGCTTGTCTTTTCCTATGCAGTAACAAAGCAAGTTTTATTCAAGGAGTCTCTCTGCCTGTAGACGGTGGCTACACAGCAATTTAGTCCTAGCTATTCTGCAAGCAAATTCCCAGTACCAGCTATAGAACCAAAAAGCAAGAGGCCGACTGAGTTCAAGTTGGATAAGCTATTACTCGCGATTTCGACCAAAACCCTCGGTATATAACATTCAAGGCACTTTAGTACTTTAAAGTTGCAATGCAAAATATTAGTACGGAACTGAATTGATATCTTGTTATCAGTCCTCTGTTGGTAGTTATGTTCCTCGCACCGCGGCAACCTCCTGACCCGGATTCAATATATTCGGCAAAGGACCAAGCGAGGTAATTGCAGACGGATTTATTTGCTTATGACTTTTCGTGTAATGGTCCTTGATATGTTCAAACTCGGTGGTCTCCCGAAAGGCAGGGATATTCCAATACAAGTTTCTCATCCATTTGTGAATATTCGGATATCCAGATCGAATATCTCGAATATTACACTTGAAATGCTGGACATAAACTGGGTCAAAGCGGATGAGAGTAGTGTAGAGTTTGATATCGGTCTCAGTAATCATCTCGCCGAAATAGTACGGACCAGCTGACCCTGCCAGATCCTTTTCAGCCCGATCGAGCGATTCGAAAAGTTTTGTTACGCTCCGGGTATAGGCTTCTTGCGTTGAGGCGAAGCCAGCTTTGTATACGCCATTGTTTATATCTTCATAAATCCACTGATTGCAGGCCTCAATCAAGTCCAGTTGGTCTTTCGGTAAGAGATTGAGATTTCTAGACTTCGATGCCTCTGGTAAAAGCTCGTCAAACTCGGAATTCAGGATCCTCATGATTTCGGCGGATTCATTGTTGACAATGGTCTGAGTAGCTTTATCCCACAATAGAGGTACCGAAAATCGGCCCTGATAGTCTGAATTGATGGACAAGTATAGTTCCCGGATGTGGGTGAAAGTTGGATGTAATGGGTTTGGTGTTACATTCTCGCCTGGGAGATTCTCAGCGGAGGTGACGAACCGCCAGCCTAAAGAAGATATCAATATCTCTCTCTTTACTTCGTTTGCCTGAATCAAGAGGTCTGACCTTTCTCTCCCATGTGCCAGTGTACACAAGTCATTGAAACAATGTCTTCAAGGCCTTTCAGCTTTCTTACGATCAATGCTCGGTGGGCTGTGGGAACTTAGTCACTGTGGGATCAAGTCTCATATAATGAACACACACACCCCAAGGGCAAGCATAGCTGACGTAGAGATGATATCTGCCTTTTTCCGCCGGAAATCTGGAATTTGGGTCCTTAGATACAAAGTCGCGGAAGGTTGTCGCCTGTCTTTTGAACTCGCCAGACGCATCTATCAGGCCGATTTTTCGGTCCTAAAAAGGGGGTTTAGCAACACCTAAAAGCATCGAGAAAGCGGGAATACGAACCGACATGGCTAAGTATTATGTTGCTGATGTCCTCGAGGAAGACAACTCAGTGGATTAACAATTTCGAAAGTCGCAAAATATTATTCTGGGACGCTTGAGTCTTTGCTTGATTTAACATCTTTGAATCAGGTCATGTTAGTTTCACTCGCTTCCCGATTTTACCGATAGGAAGACCTCTTATGCAGTTGCCTTTCAGAACCATTGGCTGTCATAAAATGTTAATAACCCTAATACCGAGGCACCAATGATGAGCAATACACATGTCGAATGGTCATTACATCCATTCCACTGCCAATCCCGGACGAAAACGTCACCCTGATGGGACGAGATAGAGTTGTATCAGACACACTCCAATGAGACCTACACGGAGGGAGGAAGACTCAGAGATTGATTGCATATTTTGGAGGAGTACAGAGTACAGTTATGTCGTTGTCGATGACCTAGCCACAATCTCATCTAAAACCCTGAGCGACTTGCGCAAACTCTCAAAGTCTGCGCCACCAAGCTCTCCCTCGACTTCCAACTCTAATCTTCTCCCAGCAGCTCTGTCATACCCATGCTGGGCAATATCTGGAAATTCCGCATGCACCTCAACACCAGCAGCCTGCAATTTCTCGGCAGCAAATTTACTCAGGGCAGCTGGCACAGCTGAGTCGTTTTGGCCATGGACGATTACGACTGGAGAAAGGCCTTCCAGACGTCCGAAGGTCAATGGAAACAGCTTTCGGTGCTCGAAAGGAATTGCTTGCACGCCTTCTTTTGCAACCTTTTCACTCAGGCCCGGCACGCCAGTCATGTAATCGGGAAAAAGCGCGTCAATGTGAAGAGTTGAAATAATTTTCAGACGAGAGTCCTGTGCCGAATTCTCAGGATAAGCATAAGAGCTCAGTATAGGCTTGTCTCCGATCGTTCGCAGAACTTCTCTTATCTCGGAGGTGTCGAAGACCGGCAAATTGAAGATGTTGCTCCCTCTGGTGAGGTAGTGCTTGTTAATCATGTCCAGCATCCCGTAAAGGCAAAACGTCGCTGCAGGTTTCTTTTCTACAAGGACCGAGGACGTCAGGGCGAGGAAGCCACCTGCACTGGACCCTGCCATAAATACAGGACCTAAGGTCAACCCAATATGACTTGGTAGAACTTCTAGAACCCATTGGTAGGCGTCCACGGCGTCCTGGACTGAATCATGTGCTGTGGTCTCCGGTATCAGCCTGTAGTCGGGCGTGACGAAGATCCAACCTCGGTTGACACAGGCCTGCGCCAACCACTCTGGAAAGAACATGTAGCGGTCTCCGAAAACCTTCAAATTTCCAGTTATCAAATCTTGCCCTAGGCAGAGTGGGCAGGGCTTACCAAAAATCCTCCATGATAGTGTATCACAACCGGATGGGATGACGACGAACTGTCTGCAGGATACAGCACATCCAAGCTCAGTTCAAGACCTTGAACCTTTTTAAATGGGACCACCTTGTTTATGTACCCGGCGTAGCCCTCAATATCATTTGCCATTATGCCGAAGATAGTTCGCTGGCGAGCAGGAAAGCCCGGAAGTCAGAAGAAGAGTTGCAGAAATGTACGAAGCCTTTAAAGTGCACGTCAAGGTCACCCTACTATCGATATATTCGAGTGTTTGTCAGCCTCCTCTTCTGCAGTGTTCTAAAAAGATTCTCTTTGACCAGCCCATACAATCGGAATACTTGATACCCAGAAACGGTATCATTGAAACTTGGCTTGGAGATCTGTAGTGGCCCATAAAAAAACCCAAACTCCGATCACGGGATCGTGGATATTGCTAATCAGCTCCCCCGAGATCTCATCTGTGGAGGCTAGAGAACGCCAGACATGCGTCAGGGCGAGTACCGAGCGGAGTGAGGTTAAGGGCTCCTGCTATTTATGTCCGCGACCCCAGGGCACGTTAGCCCGCAGTGCAACCGGCTTCAACAAGGACGAGCAAGTGTTAAGTATCACTCGCCTTCAATTCGCCGATACTTGGCGAAACGGTCAACGACAAAGATGACTTCTAACAAACCCCAGGTGATCGGCACCGAAAATTTCGACCTGATATGGAAAGAAGGAGTCGATCCAAAAGAAGGGAAATACCCCGGGTTCCGCCCTAATCATGTCGAGACAGTTGATGGGATGACCATCATTCGCGATGTCGCTGTGCCAATGAGGGACGGTGTTAAGATCTACGTTGACATCTTCCGGCCGGAATCATCATCTACCGAAAACTTGCCCACTCTGATGACCTGGTCACCTTATGGTAAACACGGCTTGAAGAACTTTGACATGTTTCCAAATGCCGGCGTTCCTCCCGGTTCAGTATCGAAGTATACTGTTTGGGAAGGCTGTGATCCACTCTACTGGACAAAACGCGGTTTTGCCGTAGTTAATGGCGATTCTCGAGGATCCTGGGCATCGGAAGGCGATGTCGAAATCCTTAGCGGCCAGCTTGCTGTTGATGGTTACGATGTGATAGAATGGATTGCAACCCAACAATGGTCCAACGGCAAGGTGGGACTCTGTGGCGTATCCTATCTGGCCATTGTTCAGTGGCGTATTGCCCAACTTAATCCACCTCATCTCGGTTGCATCAATCCATGGGAAGGCTTCACAGATGTTTATCGAGATCATCTACACACTGGAGGTATTCCTGAAACAAAATTTGTCCACTTTACGGATTGGTCTTGCCAATTCTCGTATAACAGGACCGAGAACTACGCTGCAAACCACAAGGCACACGAAATGTTGGATGCATACCATGAGACAAAGAGGGCAGAGAATCTCCCTGCGATCACAGTTCCGGCTTACGTTGTGGCTGACTGGGGCGACTTTGGCCTACACACCAGAGGTTCTCTCAACGGCTTCACTTACATTAGTTCAAAAGACAAGTGGCTCGAGGTACATGCATCAAAGAAATGGGAATATTTCTACAGACCATCAAGCCTTGTAAAGCAGGAATTGTTTTATGCCAAATTTTTGAAAGGTGAATCGAACGAAGTCGAATCTTGGCCCAAGGTCCAAATTGAGATCCGGGACAAGGCCTACGAAGGTTTCTGGCGCGCGGAGCAAGAGTGGCCAATTAAACGGACAAGGTTCTGTCAAAAATATTTGCAAGCCGCCTTTGGACAGTTGACCGACGAGCTCTCCACGGGGATGTCGAGCGTCAGCTATGATGGTCTATCTAAAGTCGAAAATGCGCAGTTTGTCTACACATTTAACAAGGTTACCGAGGTCACTGGGAGTATGAGACTGAGACTCTGGGTCTCGACTGATCTTGGAGACGATCTAGATCTCTTCGTCCAGCTGGACAAGCTGGATAATTCGGGCAAAGTGCTTCCATTTGTCGCTTTTTCAATGTTTGATGATGGCCCACTTGGTCTTGGATGGATTCGCGCAAGCCATAGAGAACTTGACCGAGAGTTAACTCATCACAACAGACCCTGGTTAACACACAAACGCAAGTTACCACTGCGTCCTGGAGAAGTTGTTCCCGTGGATATCGAGATCGTGGCCACCTCAACACGGTTTTTCTCAGGGGAATCATTGAAAATCACCATTCAGGGCACAGATATCTTTCGCAATGAGAAGGTTCCACAAATGCTTCTCCATGAAGACTCAGCCAACAAAGGCAAGCATTTCATTCACACCGGAGGTGCTTTCGACAGTTACTTGGTCCTGCCGATCATTGACAGCTAGGAAGCTGAAGAGAGAACTATGTAGCAAGAAAAGACAGCCCACCGCAAGGACGCAAAGGTCTTGGTAGCATCATATGGCCATTACAAATTTGCAGCAACCATGAGACGTCTAATATTCTGGCGCAAGGCCACGATGGCAGGAGAAGCAGGACTAAAGCCCAATTCTCTCTCATATTTGACCTGTGATTGATATGATCTGGCGTCTTCCTCTCTGTTTAAAGCGGCTGAGGGGAACTTCCTTTTCGGAATCCAGAAATCCATTGTTCTTCATGTCATTATTGACCCCAAGTGTTTGCTTCATTTAAGTCTGCCAACTTCTTCTCATATCTGATCTTCTTCAGATCCTCTGGTGATTCTGTAATCACTCTGCATGCTTTGATGTCTTTGTGAGTAAGAATCTGCTCATAGATCTTTGCATAATCCGAAGCCCTCATCTTCCACTTGTTCTCTTCGCCATCACACTGGTCATTGTATTCGACACGATAGTCGAGGTAAGCTTCATTGAAGCGGACATTGGTTTTTTCCAGTTCGCGGCAAGCAACAGCTGACAGTGAGTAAAGAGCACCTTGCGAGATGCCCGTGATACCACCGATACCTTGCATACCAGCGCCGCCAGTTACCAGAGTCCAAGTAGCATTCGGGTCTGCCTTTTCAAGCAAATATGGGATCGTCGCGCGGTAGGCATCTTGGAGAAGATAATTAGATGTGCCGAACAATCCACTTTTCATACCACTTACAGAAGGCGCACTCGCTGTTAATTTTCATTGTGTCACGATAATAGCCCACGTCGACCTCGTATATAGGCGTTCGGGGGTTGAAGACTCCAACTAGGTATTGTAAGCCAAGTACTCCCTCGGTCAGAAAACCAAGAACTGTCGAGGACACACCTGACACATAGACATGCTGAAAAGAGGGCAGCTCGCCCTCCTTCACACGCTCGACCACTTTCGAGACACCATCTTCAGAGGTTATATCTGCTTCCACCGTGATGATCCCTTTCCTTGTTCCAACATGATGGTACAATTTCTCCGCAGCGGCTTTGTTGCGGACTACAGCGAGGACTTCTCGCTTCGTATTCAAAGCCGCAATGACGACGGAGACGCCAATATTGCCAGTCGCACCGACTACGAGGACTGTCTCCATTTCTCTTTCGTTCGAATTTAGACTATACAGGCTTTCAATGCCTCAATAGAGGAATCGGAACCGCCAGAGTTCTTGTACTGTGTTCCTGGGTAAATAAGTCCATTACATGTACCTCGGGTTATCTCCGGTCTGCACCCGCTGGGGTCGGTCTGGAACTAGAAGATGCCG